TCTCCACCAGCTCGGTAGAAATGCCCTGAAGAGGCATTTCCGGCTGGGATGCGCTGCGGATGCGTTTTCAATGTGCTTCCGGCTGGGCTTCCTTGCAGCTGGAAACGCACTGCGGCACGACAGCAGAGGCAGTGTCTTTCTCAGTTGATACCGAAAACGCCTGCGCGCCGTCGCGGCAGGTGAACTCTGTGAAAAATGTTCCTTCTAGCGCAAGTTTGCGACGTCACACCCAGCGGGCGAAGCTATTCGAATCTCGTATCTTTCTATACAAAAATTTCTAGCTCTACATTAGCATTTCGAACGCGTCGTCAGCGCCTAATCGATCCTTGTCTTGCTCTGTTCTTTCGCTCTCGTCTCACGGCCGAGCGCAAGACGAGCCTTGCCTACTTTGCACAGAAAATCGTAAATTCAGCTTTTTCTTTGTTCTTAAGTTGAGTGTCTAACTATTGTCGGAGTAAAAGTTTTGTTCTTAAGTTGAGTGTTTTGTTCTATCTTCAGCCTTTTCAACGAAATTCAGACGAAGAACTGTTCAGCCCTCGGTCAGATCATCGTTGAAGTAGAGGTGCAGGGTGACGACGTGATCGTCCGGGTCCATGCCGAGATCGAGAAACTCGAGGTCCTGATCCGGAATGCCGTTTTCCACGAGCGTTTTCTTCAGCTCGAGAGGCCGCCCCAGCATTTTCCACGTGTACGACTTCACGTGAAAATTGTGCACTTCGAGATACCTGTAAAGTGGGTGTGTCGCGAGAACTCGATTTGTAAAATCAGTTTTCTTTGCAGAACATGTGTCTAACGGCAAACCCAACCAAAAGAATCAACAAATTGACGAGATAGGTACCTCTCTTGTATCTCTTCCAGTGTTTCCTCGCTCGGTACGCACATGAGGACTTTTTGCCTCGACAACAGGTTCATGACGTAGAACTTGAAGGTCTTCTGCGTCAAAAGCCCAATGCAGTATTTCTCGTCCCTCCACCACGGGGTTTGTATTCCTGTGTAGATATGTTTTTGCTTTTGAAAACCCAGCGCGCTTGGCACCGTCACAGGTAGCATCGTGCAAACGTAGCTTAGTAACCTGTATGACAAACACGCACCGTACTAAAAAATGAATCATGCAACGAACTGCAACAAAATGAAAATACTTGTGTCAAACCCGGGCTCCGGGCTTTCTGGTGGGACGTGCAGAAACCTTCCTTGTGGGCAGTAGACCTCTCGCTGGTTGGAGACTGTGATGCAAGGTAACAGTTTAAGTTGTGAAATCGAATCTTCGACATAATGTTTTTCCACAACACGCCCGCAGCGCAACCACAAGAAAGAACTTACATTATGCACGACAAAACGCAAGAAAAGAAAAGCTCTTACATGGGCTTATGTATGTCCTTGGGTCTTTCGTCTCGGCGTCGAACCAGTGTGTGATATCCGTCCCGGCAGCAGCTTTTATTGGCTCTCTAAGCGGATCTGTAGAAATTAGTATTAGATTTGAGAATCAATAATATCATGCGGCGAAAAGCGAGTCGCAATGCACCGCGTCAGGTAACTTTATGCACACCCGAAAGAAAAAAACGCTGTCTCCGTCTACCTTCTCGGTATTCGCTGAGCAGCGTTGAGAGGTCGTACACTTTCCCAAAAATGCTGTGCCAGCCATTGCGCGTCACCTCCTCCTGCGTGTAGAACCGTTTCTTCTTGTACGGCTTTGGCAAATCCACACTGGACGCCATGGTTTTCTCTTTCTACTTCAACAAAACCTCAATTTCTATTGCGTTTTTTCGTAACCTAGGAAGTCCTTCAGAATCTGATCTTCATCTTGAATATAAGGGAGAAAAAATAGACTCGGCGAAGATCATAGCGCTAGCGATTAGCAGTGCAATCCCGAGGACGAACGAGCGCGATACGATTTCTGTCTGCTCTCGATCACGAGCGGTGTCCTCCATCTTCTCTCTGAAAGCGATGGTATAATCTCTCATTCACTGCTTCTAACACAGACAAACTACGACAACGTGCATCGGAACCAATACGATACGATTCGCGCGTCCGCCATGGTGTTTGTCCCTTCAAATGAACAACCTTTCCGCACGTGAGCGGCTCGCTGCGTGCGACGGTCCGTGTTGATATGCGTTCGCTGCAAAGAGTATGTTCATGATGCGTAGTGGAGTTACTTATGTGAAGAATCAATTGCGATGCTCAATGTTGAGTAGCTTATGCTGGCAAGACGTTCTTTCCGTTTAGGGCTCAACATCCACACGAAGAGACCACTCCAGCACCCTATGGCTCTTCCCACTGGATCCCGGCAAAGTCGCCCCACTTCAGCCGCAACACCTCATTGACACGATCCTCCAGTGTCGCTGAGCTCTCTTCCGGCGGACTTGCGGCGGTGACCAGATGGTTCGGACGGACGAAAATTTTCCGCTGCTCCGTGCTTGTCGTGGCCCCGTCGTTGCTCCGTTTCGGAAGAAGCAACAGCAAATCCACGCCCTGTTCACTGGCGACAGACCCCTCGTCGTCGGATGCGCTGAGAATGACTTCGTCCGTGCGATAAATCACCGCAAACTGGCAGCCATTCGCCGACCCCGCTTTCGTATCGTTCGCGTACGACTTCAGCTGCAGCACCCAAGTTGGGCAGATCGGGTTCTTCAGATAATCGCCTAATTCCTTCACTTCTTTGGACAAAAATCCGACCAGAGACCGTTTTTGCACGCCGACCAGCTCTTTGGCGCTGTTGCTGCCGTCGGCGATCGCTTGCAGCTGGTCCTTGCTCATGATTCCCGCGGAAGAAGTGCTGTCTCTGGTCTTGTTTCCATCGAAGCAAAAAGGCGAGGGAAACCCGGTCAACAGCAGGTTGATCAGGCTTGTCGCCGGGTACCCGCTGCGAAGCGTGAGGCTGTGACTGCTACCGAGCGTCTCCTGCACTTCGGTAACACCGGCGGTCAGGATCGCGGACAAAACGAGGGTCTCCGTGCCGAAATCGTCGTCGAGAGGGAGAGCGGTTTTGTCCTCTTTTTCAAATTTCTTGTAGTACATCGAGTTGACGCAAAACTTCGGCTCCTTGTCTGCTTGCTGCAAGCACAGCCGAGTTGCAGCATGCAGAAGCCGTTCTTCTGCTTCTTCCTGCTCGCTGCCTGTAGAAGGTTTGTTTTCCAGAAAGGTTTATGTCTTTTTGTTTCATTTTCATGTCGTAAGTACGAGGTCATTGAGACTCGTCAAGAACAGTATCTATTGGGGAAATAAAACTTATTAATTTACACTGCTGAAGTTGTTAAGTAACCGCGAAAGTCTTACCACTCAACGCTCCCAGCTCGGTCGGATCCCGTTTTTCGGTGTGCAGCAGCCAACAGATGACGAAAGCCTGCAAACAGGCCGCCACTGCGTCCGCACAGGGCGCGACGTGGAACCCATTTTCGATGTTCAAAGGCACGTCTAGACTCGGGGGGACGTTGTAAATGCTGTAGACCGCAGACGGAACCTTCTCCAAACCGGTGCTGCTTGCAATGTCCTCCGTTGGGGAAGTTTTGTTCTTCCTCGTCAACCCTGTTGTTGTCCCGCTGGAAATAGTGGACGAGATTGCTGCAGTGTCGGTGCCCGATCTTTCCTTGGGAGAAAACGACAGCTTCGCGGCGGCTGAATCCGCTAGTCCTGACTTCGTTTTCTTCTCGTCTTTATCCTTTTCACTGATACTGGTCCAACCGCCGGACACGACCGTTTCCTCCACGTCGTCAACAAGCAAATCGGAAAGTTTCGTGGTCTGTTTCTGGAAGACAGGCGAAGCTTCGAACTCATCATCGAAATCCTCATCATATTCGATGTCTTCCTCAATCTCGTCGCTGTCGTCCGGGCTCGGCTTCTTCTCGGTCTTTTCATCGGTTGGCTCCTCCGCCCCTGGTGGCCGGAGTATGCTGGGCGCGCCGCCAAGTGCCTTCTTTCCTGTTGTTGCGGACACATCAACAGCCTCAAGCGATGGCGAATCGAGTACCTCCTTCGACTCGGGCTTATTATCTTCGGGTAGAGCAGTGCTGTCTGATTGATTTTTTTCCTTTTTACTTTCATCCGCATCTGTCTTTTTCCCACTGTCGCCGCTTGAAACTTCATTGGTCTTGCTTGTTGAAAAAGTTGCTGGTGCCACTGTGGTTATTTCGGGAGACGGAGAACGACCTTCCTCGGAGAGGGTGGTGGACTCGGAGAAGTTAAACTTTTGCACTGCAGTTTCCTCAACGTTGGAAGGCTCCTCCTGTGTGTCTTCTGCCGCATCGATTTCAGGTTTGTTCGGCTCAAATGGTTCGACCGCGTCTTCTGTTTTTCCCTCACTCTTGGACTTGGTCCCGCTGTAGTTCTTCGTCTTGTCATTGTTTGGCTGTGCGTCGTCCTTTGCATCAACTTCTTCCTCCGAAGACGAGTGGACTTTGTCGCACAGGCGTTGCAACAGACCGCAAACCTGATCCTTGTTCTTCGAAATCAGGAACTTGTCGTTTTTCCGCCGGAGAAACCGCTCCAGCGCCGAAACGCTCCCTCCGCTCTGGGCCCGGAGCAGTGCTGTTTTCGGGATCTCGATGCAGTAGTGATGAAGTGCATCGGTCGTCTTGGTTCGGTACTCAACGACCAGCGCCGGTGGTTGGTAGCGCAGAGCGAAACGCAAGGGCTCGATGTCCGCATCGGATTGGGGCATTGTGATTTTTCGATTTTAGCGGTATTGGGGACAAAAGACACACAGGGGACAAAAGACAAACATCACATAAGTACTCAGCTATACGGCAAATCGACAGGGGAAAACGAATCTCTCTGAGAGGCGGGGGCTGTGAGTTCCTTGGGTTTATTTTCCTCCGTCATCCCGGAGAAAAAAAGCACAGCGGGTTTTCGCAACCAACAAGCAGCTTTATTTTTCTCCGTCTCTCTTCACGACATGTCTCTCGTCCCGAAGTTGTCTTCCCCCAGAAGCAGAACACTTGACTACTTGGAGATTGAACCAATACTATGTAACGCGCAGAAAATGGCACTGGTGATGACTATGCTCATCAAGCAGGACGAGTGTTTTTTCGTTTCATGGCGCTTCACCGGTTCGCTTCTGAGCGCACTCCACGACAAGACGGCCCTTCTATTTTTCGCCTCGCCGCTGTGTCTTAGTAACACCATTTGTGAAAACAAACACGACAGATACTCTACCATTCGTCTTCGCTGGAATCGTCACGCGCCCTTCTACCCAATTCCAACCAATCCACGGCAGGCGCCGGACCCATCAATCGCCTCCATTCCGCACTCCTCTCAAATAATAGGTCCGATTCCCTTCTCTGTCGAGGAGGGTATCTCTTTTGGTAATCGTCGCTGTCCAGAGACGCGTCTGACGTTGTACAACCAGGATCGCTCTCGTCAGCATTGTTTTTGTTCTTCCCAAGCCGCCCCCTGAAGTACTCTCCAAGAGAACGAAAGTTAAACACAGGCTTCTTCCTGCAAACGCGGTTTTCAAACGTAGTTGCGATTCCTTCTTCATGCACGCGGCGCGGAAAGTGTTTACTGGTTAACGACAAGTTACTGTCGGAGTCTGCTTCGTAGTACTCGTAGTACTTCTCAGGATCACTTTCGTTCTGATCCTCGAGAGGAGTCTTTGTCTCGGGACGCACCTTCGTCGGATTAACCGCAACAAGCTGAATTGTAATGGGGTCGTCCATCGTGGCGCCGCACAGCTCTCGATTTTTTGCCCTATCCCGCAACATCAAAGTACACACGTCCAGCCACGGCATGGATCCAAGACGGCGCAACTCCAGTTGTACCAACTCTGGGTCGTGGCAGTCGAGCACAAATCCAACGCGTTTGAAAGAGATTCTCCCCGTGGTGCGCCCGGTCACATTGGGACGGACCAACTCGTAGTTAACATCCGGGAAAACCGCGGGTAACCAGGAAAAAATGTCTCCAAACGACTTCATGACGCTGCGAAACGCGTCTGTCTCCGATACTTCGAAAACAAACCGACGCAACCGCCTCAGATCCGCGATAAACTCCCTCGCTTCCTCGTTCGTGTCGAAGAAAGCTTGAACACGCGATGACTGGTGCTCCACACGACCTTTGCGCGCAGCAGTATGCGCACAGCGGTACTGCTTCGGATAGTCGATGCAGACCTCAGCCCTGTGACAAGCAGGAGCATCGCCCGTTTTTTGCGTCGCTTCGACAAGAGACACCTGCACTTTCCGGCCGCGCATGTCTTCAGCAGAAGGACTTTCACCGGGCCAAAAGACCGGGTAGTCAAAAAATCTCAAGCGGACCAAAGCACCCGTCTTTTGCTTCAATTCTTCTTCTCGAGTTCCATCCCCAGTGTCTTTGCCATCTTCCCAGGCTGCAATTCTTCCACGGTCCATGAGACCCACATAGGGCATTAGGTCACCAGTGAATGGGCAGGCCATAAACCCGCACGAGTACTCATTCCAATCTTCAGAGTGCGGCCTGTCCTTGGTGGCAAAAATTCGATGCTTCTTGCCGAAAACGAAGCCAAGAGTGCACCTCGCGCTCATAGCCTGTTGAAGTTCCGCAAAGCATTCCTTACCCTCCTCAACGCGGGTATAGGAAAGAAGTTGCCCACGGTCGAAAGTGCCGCGCGGAAGAATTTCAGGGAAGGAAGTTTCCAATTTCGGACCGGCATGATCTCGGGCGAAGAGCGCCATGCTCCGGACTGCTTCACGAAAGATGGCGGCTCGGAGAACCTCTTGCGCGCGCAGCTCTCCAAGTTCCCAGCCGGCCTCGCCAGTTACGTGAAATCGCTTGTAGCCAAGCGGATCGTGGTCTTTAGAGCGAAGGCGGTAGGCATCAAAAACTTTCTTGTCTTGCGAGGGACTCTTCAAAAAGCCCGACTCGCCACTGGTGATGCAATCGTTGGCCATATTCCGGATTTCGAACTTTACGGCTCGCTCCGCCACCGTGGGAATATTCGTCAGCCTCTGGAAGGCTTTGTCCATCTCGAGGGAATAGGCAGCGGCCTCCGCATGTGAAAGCTCCGACACCCTGAACGGTGCAGTGGTGACGGTGTCCATGTGAGTCGCAAGCACAGCACGCTGAGCAAACCGGTTTTCCCAAACTTGCTTCCTCTCATCGAAGAGCTGTCGCCGCAGCTGCAACCACTCTAATTGGTACAGCAAATCCGCAGGAGGCTGCGCAACACCACTACCCTCACTCACACTCGCCACGCTTTTCGCCTTTTCCTTGTCCTCGTCATCTGATGTGCAACCTGACCCGTTCTTGCTGGATACTTCGTCACTTTCCGTTGAGCCTTCCGCTTCATCATCCTCCGCAGCACCGTCGCTTTCCTGTTTTCCGCCAACATCTGAACCGCCCTTCACCTTACACTTGTTCGTCGAGACAGCTACGTTTTCGTCGTCGTTCATCTGCACTTCGTGGTCACATGCAGCATCTTCTCCGTCGAGGTTTTCGTGTTCCGCAGTGGCAAGAGCGTCGTTCAGTCTAACTGTGCCAAAGTCGATGTCCTCGCGCAAGCCATCACTATCCAGCACCTTGCATTCGGATAGGATACAGATTTCTTCGCCCTTCTCCAATCGACGCACCTGCTCGGTCGATACAACATTGTTATCTTGCGAAGTGCGCACTGTCTGGTGAGCTCTGAAGAACTCCTGGGAAAAACACTTTCCTGGGCACAGTTCCGCAAATTGGCTCTTTCGCACAATCAGCGCTGGCTCGTCCATGGTGAACCTTTTCAGCGGGTTTAACGTGACCCTGTGCTGGTCGATTTCGTCGGGTGACAGCTCCTCGGGCATCATTGGCCCCTCGTGGTGCCGGGAAAACAGCCGATACATCGTTCGTGGAAGCTCCCTGCTAGTACCAGTATCAACAAAGGTCAAGGCAAGGAAGTATATATAATATGGGAGTAGTTGGAATCTGACTACGTATTCTCTTTGATTTACGTCTGATACTTTCACTTTTCAGAGTGAAGGAAAAAACCTCGATGTCGGGATTTGCGGATACGTGAGTGAGCAACTATCAAGTACGTTGTGTGAGCACGAGGATGAAAGTAGTGATAGTAAATGTCAAGTTCTCCTCGTTGTACTTACAGTAACCATTGTAACAAAGTTCCAAGTAGTATCAATCAACCGCTGCGCTTACCTCTTCTAAAAGAAAACTTATAGACAGACGCGGAACGATCCAATGTAATACCAGACATCTCCTTCGCGTTCCGGCACAACGCATTCATGAACCGTCGAATATGATCTTCGTCATGATCTTTTCTGCAACGCAAGCTAGAACATCGCTTCTTGATCGACCAATGGGGTCGGACCCTGCGCTCTGTCTCTGTGTCTGTCTGCAACAAGACCGGCAAAAACTGAGCGTGGAACTCAACTGTATGAACACCGTCGCATTGCCGACAGTCGTGCCTGCATCCGCCTGTGGCGGCTGCCAGCGGCAGCGTGGAAGGTTAGATATGGTTATGGATCTTCCTGCGTGAATGACAATTTTCCGCACTGAAGCGAGGGCTTAAGACGACCACTTCGCAGTCCAAGACGCGATGGAACTTTGCCAGCTCTTGCTACTGCTACTCTCCTTCTTTTCCCGCTTGCCACCACTTTTTGCCGAACTTCCACTACCTCTTCGATAGTTCAGCACAGCATCAGCATGCTGTTGCGATGAACCAACATCGCCTGCGTTAGTTGAGTGTTTCTTGTGTCTCACCCCCATCGGCGATATCTGTTCCGCGTCGTCTTCTGCGATCGTCTGTAACTTTGTTGCATCGTCGACCCCGCCGCGCTGCAGGGCGCGCTCGATCGCCGCGGCATAGCTCGAATCCAGCTGGCTTTTCCTTGCGTTCTCTTCCTGTTCGGCCTCGTTTCCTCCTGTTCCGTTGCGGAACGCCGCGAGTGCATTCTGGCGCTCGTTGTCGGAAAAGTTGTCTTGATTCGACATCAAACCTAGCCCGCCGAAGCCGGAGGAACTGGAGGAGGAAGGTCCGCTATTGCTTCCAAAGAAATTGGCGTTGAAAAGTGCTGACCCAGACTCTTCCCTTGGGGCAAACGGATTGTCCAAAACCGGATCTCCCACGTCACCGAGCAATTGGACCGACGCGTAGCTGTCGTAAGACGAGGACGAGGCTGCTGCTGTTGCAGGAACGGCAGGAGCTGCTCCGTAAGGATCGAGGGAAAAGCCCATCGAGAAACTAGTGCTCGAGCTGTTGTACAAATCGCTGGAGAAAGATGTTGCCGTCGTGCCACTGCTGCTGTAAAAGTTCTTCAGGTACGCGTCTGCGGAGGAAACGAAGTCCGGCGTCTCCGATGTCCCCGCGGGCTGTGAAAGAGAGGAAAACGGATCTGCATTTAACACTCCGTCAGCTCCTGTTTGCGGATTCTGGTGCTCGTCCGGATACAGTTCGCGCTCGTATTTCGTGCTGGTCGTGGACGACATCCAAATATTTCGCACCGGATCCTTCGAGGGACTGTACTCCGGGCTAATCGACTCGTGGTCGCCGATGGCGCTGTGCAGCGGCTTGCTGGCCGACCGCGGGGCGCCGGAGGAGTCCGCTAGTTCGCTCGGCACCGCGTCCGAAACCGGCGGCAACGCGGACAGCACGCGCGCATGGGTTTTGCTCGGCGGTCGTGCGGGAGCCGTGCCAGTGCTCGGGGGCTGCGGGGTTCTGGGTTCTGCGTCTGCGCTGGTGCCCAAAATCCACTGTGGCAGCCAGGCACTCTGGTCGCCGAGTGCGGTGCGCAGCGTGCCCTGTATCTGCTCGGCGTACGGCGCGAAAGCAGAAGCAGACGAGGCTCTTGGTCTGCTGGTTCCCGCGGTGCTCGACGAACTGCTGGAAGTAGACGCCTGCATTCGGAGATCTACTTCCGCCGCGTTGCCACTCACACCACCTCTTGGCGTGGCTGTTGAGGCCCAGGCCGAGGAAGAAGCAGATCCTGATTCCGCGGAGCTTTTCTTCTGTCCGCCAGAATAAACACCATTTGGCTCTTCCTCGCTCGTGGGTCCTCGGCTGGAGGATGCGGTTGTGCTCCCGTCCGCCGCTGCGACTTTCCCAAAAATACGCTCCGCCAGTGCGCGCCCGGCAAACTCAGCACCCGGTGCGGAAGGGGCTGGTAGGAGTTGTGAACTTACTTATTATTTCCCAAGATTTGCACCGATATCAGCATTATTCAAAATCGAAACGAAACGAGCCATGCTCTTCTCAAATCCATCATCAAACTGACATACTTACCCGAGCTCGCTGCAGCGACGAATTTCAGCTCTTTTTTCATCTCGACCGCGTCTTCTGCCGGTGGGGGCGCGCCTTGCTCGCCACACAGCATGCACTTTTGGGTTTTCTGCGAGCAGGGTGGGCAGTACGCAAAGTCGATGTAATTTGTTTGCAACAGCGTGTTGCACTCCTTGCAACTGACGGTCTTCGCGATTCCCTTCTGTCGCTTGGAACTGTCGTCGTGCCGCGGGCAAAAATGGGCCCGCTTAGCGTTTTGCTTTCCATACGCCCTGATAAGTTTCGTGACGAAGGCCAAATCAAAGGGGGTTCAACGTAGGGAAAGCAGCATGCGCAAGAACTCACTGCACACGCGAGGACACCATGCATCCAAAAAATTACGCAGTCCCTATACTATTTCTCGTAGAGCGTGAGCGTGTGGAAACAACAATGAAGCAAAAGCTTTCTCTTTACGAGGTACAAGATCTTTTCCTTCTCCGCAGCCTCTTTTTTGGCTGCTTCGTCGTCTGACGGCTGATTGCTGACGCCCATGGCATTTTTCATCACCTTCATGGCATCCAACCCGATTTCGAATGAGAGCTTTTCCAGCTCGAAACTGACCGTCCCCAGCCAGTTGACTTGGATACGGAGGTCCCCGAGTTTGCCTGGTGACGAGACAGTGTTATTTGTTTGGACAGCACTGATTACTTGTTCTAGGTGTAGTAGGAAGGGCACTTCTTTAGTACGATACGTGCAAGAACAAACTCCTCGCATGACAAACCTGCAGACCACACAGGTCAAGATCAAGATGTAGAAGTTGTTGTACCATCTTTGAAATAGAGCGGCGATTGACATTCCTGAAGGTCCTCGTTGATCTGGTCCACCTTTAGCGTCAGATTTTTGAATTCCCCGGGCGCAGCCTTCTCCAATCCAGTCACGTATTCCCCTATCCACTCCTTCAGGACGTACTTTAGCACGTCCGACGCCATCATTGCACGTTTACTTCGCTATCAGAAGAGCTCCGCAAAAGTCAGAATCACAGAATTTAGTCGTGGGTCCTCGTCGTATGGGCAACCAAGAGTAAAAGTTGTTCTTGTTCTCAAACCATTTTTCAACTTACAAAACAGAAGTCCTCTATGGAAGTACAGTTTTTAGATGAACAAACTAGTGTAAATAGCCATCATCCCCAACCGGCTCCTTTCAGTTTGCCGCAAAACAGCTGCGCAGCTTTGCTCTCCAAGTTTGAATTCCTTTCTGCGCCGTAGGTTCCTTATTCCCCCAAAGAAACGGAACAGAAACCGTAAATACCGTGAGAAAATTTCTTTGCTCGAACACGAACTGAAGCGAGGCTAGGCAAAGCTCTCGGGTAGTTCACCCCTGAGCTCCATCCGGGCGTGGATGAAGTAGACCACGTCACACACTACGTAGCGTTTGGAACTTATTTTGATACAACATGGCCAAGTGAATTTCTTCCGGATTATTTTTACATCATGATCCTGTATAGCTTGAGGCTCATATTTTTGTTTCTAGAGTGATGTTCATTTTCAGCATTTTATCGGGTCCATTGTCCGTCGATAGGTATAAATCTTCGCTTGCAAACCCGGCGCACAGCTGCTTTGGCTGCCCGAGATAGTGTCGACGAGAAAGCGCACTTGAGCTTCTTGGTAAGGTACCTGTTGATTGCGTTTATTGACGCTACTGCCATTCCTGGAGGCAGAGACTTGACTTCAGCACTAAACGAAAAAGAAGCTGCGAACGCAGCAAGTGTTGTTCTGAGCTCCCTCGTCGGCTGTAGAAGAACTGGTCAAATCACATTTTATACCTCCTCCTCTGGGCCGTTTGCGTGGTCAACTTGCGTTTATGCGAGGAATTTTCGGTACAACTCCCACTTACCGCCTCAGCTCGATGGTGCTGCTTGTTCTCGTAGACACAACACACACAAACACTGTGTCGACTAGTATCACTTGTTGTTAGACTAGAATTGAAAACGGAAGAATGCTTGTTGAATGGTCAAACTTGTTGAAATGACGGATGAATCAGATACAACGAGCAAAAATGTTTCCAGGGTTGAGCGTTGTATCCATCTACTCTACCAACAGCGGACCTTGAGTGTCCGTGATAAATAAACCAGAGTCTACTGACTTGGTGGTGCTGTACTCTCTACGAAATCGATGATCGAAAGTACTGTTACATCTGAATAAAGCGTATCTGTATTTAGAGGTAGGCTGTGAAGCTGAAACTGTAAGTAACTGAATCCTGCGCGATAAGTAATTAATTTTTTCGCGGTAGCACTACTTGGGGAGTGATAAAGGCGAGGGCAAAGGCGGTTAGTCGTGAGAAGGGTGCGGTGTCAAAAGGGTTAAGGTTTGCTTCGTTTTGACTCATTGCGCGTAAATCGAGAGCAGAACCCGGGTGAGTATAGTCTGAAAGCAATTTTCTCATCCCAACTTGGTCGCTTGGCTGCTGTGTAGAAGGAGCAACGTAGGCTGTGAAAGTTTTTCGCCTAGAAAGTAGGTTTTTGGGTGAGAAAGTTCTAAAAATGACGGCTCACATCATGAAAAAAAAGTTTTTATTTTGTCGTAGTCGCCAATTTTGTTGTGGTTTAAACAGCTGCAGTTGAAGTTTTTCCTGTCGTTCCGAATTTTGTTCCTTGTCTCCATTCACAACTATCACCAGTTCGTGTGCGCTTGCGCTTTCTACATCTCCTGCGACATGAAGAATTTCATAGCGGCGCAGGCGATCAGAACGCAGATTATGATGTGCCACAACTTGTAACCAGCCTTGGCGGACTTCAGCTTTTTCTGCAATTCGATGGTCTCCTGTTCCAGCTGAACGACGTATCCCACTAATTCATCGTAGTTCTTCTGCAGATCGCCACCTGCATAATATCAATCGAAGATTTTTTTTTTTTAAATACATAGGCACAAACATAAAACTGCAATGCATCTAATGACAACTTCAGATCGGAAAGGGTGTTGATCCAGGCTCGTCATCATCATTTCATCACGGTTCCAATTCGTGTTCTGTAGGTTGCGGTCTGACCCCTTCTCCGGCTTCTCGCGTTGCGAATCCACCGGTCTCCGGACTGCTGTTCCCTCCTCCTCGCGACAATGCTACGGTTGCTCACATTGGTCAGTACGCAGCTAGTCACACCACCGGGTTGCCTCCACCCCAGCTGAGCGTGGGAGTCGACAACCGTGGTAATGTAACGCGAAGGCTGCAGCACACTCCCATTTTCGGTGGTGATTCTGTACCTGTTCCTCCTAGTGGCCCACTGCCCCGCCCCTCACGCCTAAAATGCTAAGCCTAAAGGTCGGGAAATCTCAATTCACGCTTGTGAGTTTAGAAGAGGCAACCTTTGGGACGTCGAAGTGCCACGACATGCATGGCTGGGCGCGGCGGAATGTTGGCTGTGCATAGGCTCTTTTTGGAAGTATTGCTGCAGGAGGAAGGCAGAGAAGGGGGCAGTTGCCGACCAAGTCGCGCCCTTGCTCTTCTACGTCTTTATTACGATATAAATACGCAAGCACGGCAACTATGCAGAAACTACCCCCAGGCAAGCCCTCTGATAAATATGCTTGGCCGCGCTTTTTGAGTAGCTGCAAGCCTTTTCCCTTCCCCCTGCAGCATGCTTCTTTGTGGCTTTTTCATTCTATATCAAAAAGTCTTTTTGGTAGTGTCGGCGTGGGTTTGGAAACAGTGTGGCTGCGTGATTCCTGAGACCTTAGAGGGGTAAGGCAAAAACCCTCTTGCACAGTCGAGCATAGGTGTAAACTTCAACACCGCAGCAACTCAAGGAAGGGAACAGAAGCTGGGTGAAGAAATTCACACCCGAACCATAGGTCTCCTATTTTGGGTCCATTTGAAAAGCAATAACTAGCTACGTAAAGAGGCCTTCTTTAACGTTAGGAATCACGCCCTAGCGACATCATCATCTTTGCCCTTCTTTGTATTTAATCCCAAGCTCAAACTCAAGACCGAGGAGTTCAAGAAGTATGGACCCAAGCTCAAACTTCCGAACACCTCGGTCAGGCCACTGGGGTACTGGATGTCCGCGTCCGCCGCACAGGCGGACATCGGTGATTGTCCGCAGCTGGAGCAGCTGTTCCGCACCATTTGCCGGGCCGATGGCGTTCCCAACTGTTACGCTCCCAGCTGCTGCGTGAATTTGTGCAGCAAGAATAGCAAAACTGAAAGGGGGAAGCCTGTGCCTTTTGCGTGACAGATTCGGCACAGAGAGACTCTCATCCTGTTTGTCCCTTCGGGCATTTGTCATGCGAAGCAATTTGGTCGCGTCGATTCTGATTGGAATTCTGCATGACAAATCGCGTAACGGTTGAGAACGTAACATTTGAGAACGCCATATGCTGCGCTTGGGGGTGAACGAGGAGACGGGCCGCTTCAGGGCGGAGGAGGTTCCGCGGAACGAACACCCACTGCAGGGGCTGTTCACCGGGGGGACCTCCTTTGCCGAGTTTAGCGGCGCCGTGAATGCGAACGTGGACGAGGCCGCGGACGCCCCCGTGGAAGGCGCAGCGGAGGACCTCGACGTCGCGGATTTGTAAGGCTGGCAAAACGAAAACCACAGGGAAGGAAATAAATAAAACGAAGAAAATAATATAAAGGGGCCGGGATAGGTTGGGCGAACCATCTTCCCGGCGCAGGTGTAGATAAAACATATGCCCCACGGGGCCACCCAAGTGAAGGAGCCACCGCGCCCCGAGGTATAGAAGGGCCGGCGCGGCGCTACGTTCACTAATGAGCGCGGGCCGCCCGGCGTGTGCAGAACATCTCGCAGAGAGATAAAAAAAGGCCGAGGCCGGATCCCGAGAAAACCAGGCACCGACCTCCTCTAGCGGGAACCGCGCCGGGCGCGGAGTCCCTCTAATGGAGGCGGCGGCGATTTTGTTTTCGGCGCGCCCGCGAGCACGCGGAGCCGCGCGCCCATATCGGTACCGAATAAAAAAGCTGACCTTTCCAAGCCATAGCCAGCCCGACCAAGGGGGGGCCAAAACCGCGGGCGCGGGCGCTGCAGCCCGAACGCCCCCCGCCTTCGTGTTCGCTCCTCGCCGGACCTGCCTCGGTCGTTTTTTTATTTTCCAAAGGCGCGCCGCGCCTTGGCCCGTGGCGCCAAGCACAACCCCCGGGGAAGGGGGAGGCGCCCATCGAGAGAGCAACGAGCGAACAGCGAGCGATCCACGCACCGAGAGCCGCCCGAGCGACTTTCTTCAACGACCCAACTGGCTCCCTTACGCCACTTCCCAAAGACCGCAGAACCACCTGCAGGGCCCGAAAGATAAACAAACAAAACAAAGGGCAGAACCCCCGGGAAAAGATTTCACACCCAAGCAAGAAAAGAAAGCCCAAGGCACTGAAAACCCGCACGGGGGCGCGCAGATGGGTGACCCGGGCGAGGCCGCCCCAGTTCCCGCATGGTTTCGGGACCTCGCGCGCCGGCCGGGGGGCTGCTCCCGGTGTGGCCTCCTATCCCACTAATTCATCATAGTTCTTCTGCAGATCGCCACCTGCATAAGAGTGGGGTAACAATGAAATCCTTATCCGCCCCCCCGGCGGATAAGCCGGGGGGGGGCCCCCCCCCGGCTTATCCGCCGGCGGGTCGTACCGGTATAGCCGCGACAAAGTGGCCGGGCGCTGCCATCGCCTGAAGGACCCGGAAATGCCGACAGCATCCGGCATGTTGTGGCAAGATTTTGAAACACCACAAAGGTCGACGGCAAGCATGACGCCGCCGGCCTTTGAGGTGTTTCTTTGAAAGTTGTAGCAGGCGCAGCATTTGAAGGGTCCGCACTCACTGCCGGGATTGCTTTGGACTTAAATAAAAAAAACCGCCAGCAGATACATACTTGCCACGCAAAAGGTGCGAAAGCTTGGGCTATTCGCCACGCAAGAAGTGGCCCAGCAAATAGCAGCGGGCACACAAGGCCAGGGCCAGAACTTGCCCCACAGAAGTAAACCCCCAGCGTGAGGGCCACCGAGCTTCTTCGCATACACCCTTCGGGTTATGCGCTTACTTGCCAGGCCATGCCGCCCTGCTCTGTCTTGGGCATCCATGCCTGCAGACAGCGGCTTAGGGTCCGAAGCGAGAACGAAACGCAACGGGCTGAGGGTTTCATCTTGCGCGCGCCCGCCTTCTAGGGGTGTGCGCCTGTGCAAACCCAAGCCCGCCGCCCGCCATGGGCCCCCCGCCCTGCTTTTTCAATGGGCCCAGCCTGCCACGCACCGAAACAGGCCGCGACAACGCCCACAGCTGCGCGCCGAGGGCTCGCCTCTTATAAATGTCGGGCGCCATCGGTGGTAAAATCCCCCCCCATGGTGTGCTCGACTTATATTCTACCGAGATAGGAGGGGGCTCTAGGTTGGGCAGCCATTTCCTGGGCCGCGGGCCGGGCCGTGCTGGTGACATGTTAGCTTGCCGCAGCGCGGTTCAATAGCTTCCGCCACGGCCTGCCATAGATATTTCAGCAATTGAGCCGCGCGGGCGACAGCCTCGCGCGCTCTACTTTTGTTCGCCGGCTTTTTTTTTTTTCATACCGCCGCCGGCCAATGTGCTCTAGGTTTCCGGCGCGGCGCAAATGCTCGCCCGAAGTCAGTGACGCGCAACAGGCCTCGGGGCCCACTGAGGTTTTCTCGGTTGCCATTACAGGTTTTCCCGCTTCCCATCTCGGGCCCCGGTGGGGTTTTCCCGCCGCACAGGCCCCGGGGCCGGCCCAGTGCGGCGGGCTGTGACCCTGGGCAAGCCGCAGCCCGCTACCAGCTATTACCCCCGTGCTGGCTCACTCGCGACGCCCCGGCCGCCTCACCACGCGGCACGCATGGCGCCAGGGCTCCGGGGCAGCAGCTCCGGGGACTTGCATGGGGCTGCGGGCTGAGTGATGATTTCTTGCGTGGCCTGTTTTCAGCGCGAATTGGTAGCCGTCGGGGCTTGTGAGTAGCCTGCAAAGCCAGCGGGGTGCTTGCACCTGCGAACAACCCCAAGACAGCCTGCACGCGTGAAGCCTGGTGGCGCCCTTGTTTGCGAGGCACGCTGCCGGACTCGGTCTGTGAGAGAGTGTGTCTCTTCTGTCTGTAATGTGATGAGGCCCGGGCTTCTATTGACAAACCCCCTAAACAGGCCCCGACGTGCGAAGCTATCTAGTTTCTGTGTGAGAATTTTCAACGCCATGTCTTTCCGCCTTGTGTTGTTTTGCTTGGTTGCATCCATGGCAAACATTGACGCACTAATTCATCATAGTTCTTCTGCAGATCGCCACCTGCATAATGTAATTAGAAGCGAAAACCGTCCATACCCAACAATTTTCACGAGCACCAACAAAAACCCCGACCACCTCCTCCCCCAACCGGGCCACCTCCTCCCACGCCCAACGCCTTCTCCGTCCAAACCATGACCACCTCCTCCGGTCACCGGGCCTCCTCCTCTGGAACCCGGAGCTTCTCCTCCTCCGGAGGTTGGAAGGACCTCCTCCTCCGGAGGCCCGCCCTCCTCCCCCGGACCTCAGACCACCTCCTCCGGGGGTTGGACCTCCTCCTCCTCCGGAGGCCCGTCCTCCTCCCCCGGACGTCAGACCACCTCCTCCGGGGGTTGGACCTCCTCCTCCTCCGGAGGCCGGGCCTCCTCCTCCGCACCTCAGACCACCTCCTCCGGGGGTTGGGCCTCCTCCTCCTCCGGAGGCCGGACCTCCTCCTCCTCCGGGGGTTGGACCTCCTCCTCCGCCGGAGGCCGGACCTCCTCCTCCGGACCTCAGACCACCTCCTTCGGGGGTTGGGGCTCCTCCTCCTCCGTACGTGGCGGCCGCTTTCTTATTCGGAAACGAAAAGACTGGCGCCGGGATGTTCTTACTCACTCGGGACCGAGGGGAGACCAAGCGGCCGGGTCGCCTTTATTAGGGCGGCACTGCACTGCGGCAGCAGTCTGCGCAACTGTGGCGAAAACGGTGCGGCGGGGTGCGCCGAAAGCGGCGCGCTGGAGTCGCTGCCAAAGTCGGCGGCTCGGCCGCTTGCGCCTCCAAGGCTTGCCGGACGTCTACGGATCGCGGACGCCGTAGCCATTGGCGACCTTCCGCTTTTAAAATTGCAAAAAGATGGCAGCCGGGGCACCTCCATTCCCCCTTGTAACGTTGGAAAAAGAGGGGAGCCGGCCCACCTTCATTCCCCCTTTTAACATTGGAGAAAGAGGGCAGCCGGGGCACCTCCATTCCCCCTTTTAACATTGGAAAAAGATGGCAGCCGGATCGATCACCTCCATTCCCCCTCTGAACATTGGAAAAAGATGGCAGCCGGCTCACCTCCATTCCCCCTTTTAACATTGGAAAAAGGTGGTAGACGGGTCACCTCCCTCCTATCCCACTAATTCATCATAGTTCTTCTGCAGATCGCCACCTGCATGATATCAATCGAAGATTCCGCATTATTTCTTACGGTGCTGATAGGTAAGTAAAAACAGGACAAAAAGAAAAACCAAAGTCATTGAGTGCACACTGAACCTAATCTGCAAGTGCGAATCTGCAAGAACTGAAGGTTTTCGACGTATGTGCTGATTCTACTATACCCTTCTTTACGCCCCCTGCAGCTGGCTGCTTCTCCACAACAGTGAGTCGTGCTTCCTTAATCTCGCCCCTCTGCAGCTTTTCCCAGTCCGATTTCCCCAAATTTGTCGTTCTGTCCGACCCAACCGCTGTCGCCTGTGATGTCATACATGAGTTTGCGTCTTAGTAAAATTTGACGTAAATTTAACTTTTGTCACTTACGAAGCCACGACCACATATACAAGATCTTCGCTGACGATCTGCGCACTCCAAAATGAATCTCCATTACCTGCACGAGAAACCGGTGTGTGGAGAAATCTGGTGGCGCGCTGCTGGCCTGCAAGCAGATCTGCACAGCAGCGGTGTCGCCCGGCATCAACAGCGCTGAACTCGGGCGCACGAGGTACGCCTTCGGTGCGGTGGTCTTCACTTTCCAGGCTACTGGGTTGGAATTGACATTTTTCAATTCCAGCGTCTGCTCCTCGCCTGCAGTGCTGCCCCCGACAAACTCCAGCTGCGACTTGGGCGCGAGCGCCAGCAAATCGCTAAAGTCGGCCATACTCTTTTGCTACAAAAAGGAGGAACAAGAAAACGGGACTACAGACGGCTTAACCTATGGACTTTTTCAACGAAGTGGAAGCAGTAAGTAACTCCCTGTCGAAGTTGTAAGGAACCTTCTCGCGCTGGAATGAAACTACTTGTACTTTATTTGTAGTCGCTGATATCTTATTTCTTTACTCTTACACAGTAGACCTCCGCCTGGGATCTTCCAAGAAGAAAGCTCTATCTGTGAGCAGAATGGAGGGCAGCAAAAGTACGAAAATTCTCCTGTATTTGCCCAAAATGGTATATGAAGTACAATGGGGTGCTGTGACAATATGATATCCTGCTGCCGCACTGGGCACTGAACTGGAGCAGTTGTGAATGAGAATGAAAATGGCACAGAAAATCCAACACGTCTCTGGTCAGAAAACTAGCTCTGCAAAATGTTTGGGTCAGTCTCGAAGAAAATTGTGCACTCCTTGCACAGTGGTAAATCATGTGCTTCTTCTTCAAACGCCTCAGCTTCACGGGATCGCATAACTCGTCAGAATCTCATCAAATTACCGAATTTTATCAAAACCTCAATGGCTAAAGTGACAAATCAAGAACATACTACATCGACTGTAGCAAATGCGCCGCAACTCTCAGTAGGGAAATATCTCTGACAATAGATCAGTCTTCGGGCGCACCCACAATCCTTCTTGTGTTCTTCAGATCTGTGTTTCATAACTGTCACAGTCAGCGTGCCGGCACTGTAATTTTCTGTTCTTCTAAACTTGGTAGTGGTACATCATTGCATGCGATTAATTACTGCTTTGCCAGTAGAGCACTCCTAGCACCTATTCGAAACCCAGTTGCCATGCTACCGGCAAGCGCAAGCTTGGCTACCGCCGCACCTTTCCGGCGCGCACAACTGTTTCACACATCGCTGCCGAATGTTCCCGTCTCCGGCCTCCGATTTCCAACTCCGCCTTTGCCCCATTTTTCCGTAGTAGCGACGTGTCCTGGTTATCACAAAACACCACCAAAGGTGTGAGTCGCCCGTCGTGCATCCACAACCTTCCGCGTTATTGTACCAAACACTTTCGCGAGCGTTGCGGCCTTGCGCCTCGATCATCCTCGGGTACTACTTACCAAAGCCTTTCCCAGGCTCATCTTTCGCGGGGACGGCGCTCCTGGTTGTTCACACCGGGCAAAATCGGAAGATGCAGATTTTTGCATCTCGCCTGCACTCTCTCCGCTATCTGACCAGAGGAGGACCTCGTGGATTCCGCAGCGTCTCTTCCAACAGCCATTTTACGCCATCCGCCAGTCCGTCGTTTTTCAGCGCAGAGCAAGGCTGGAGACGAACTGCAGCCGTGCGTTCAGTTTCTGTATTGTAGAAGTTGTCAGTTTGTGTTTGTGCTGGCCACACAAAAACAAAAATGAGTACTTAGTACCAAATGGAAATTTTGATTTGAGGAGCTCCACCACCAGTGAGAAAATGTAAACAAGCTGATGGCACCAGTCAGCAATACCGAGCCGTTTCGTTTCGAGCTTCTGTCCAAGTTCCTGCAGACTCATGGCCCCTTGCAAATCTTGTTTGTTCGCCAAAATCAAGATCGGGATGTCGGATGATATCAATGGGTGCTTCAACACGGTGTCCAGCACCTCCTTGGCCTCCTCCAGCCGTTTTGTGTCCCCCGAATCGACGACGAACACGATCGCGTCGCACTCGGAAAAGTAGTTCTGCCACACGACCCGAAAGTTCTTGTGGCCGCCCAGATCCCAAAAAATCGCGTCCACGCCGGAAATGCAGATCTTCGCGACATTGAATCCGATCGTCGGAGGGAGCTTGCTCAAGTCCATGTGCTTTAACCCGAAACCCGCTTTCAGCTGCTCCATCACCGTGGTCTTCCCCGCGTAGTCCAAACCCAAAAACAGGCACCGCTTCTCCGGTCGGCTGACAACATACTCGTAAGCGCCGGCGAGAAGGGAAAACATCGGCTTTTCAAACGCTGTGGAAGCTCGATTTTTGTATTTTTGTGTGTCTCCTACGAGCGTTTCATTTTTGCATTATCCCCTACCACAGTAGCAGCCTGAGCCACAGTGCATGATGTGTTCGAGAGTGCTATGCCCTTCCAGAAAATCTTCAAAGGTCTGAGATCTTCTCAACGGAAAATCTAATTTGGTTCTTCAGTGTGGCTCTTCCAACTCCAAGAACGGACCGTGTCACATGGCCACGAGGATGAAACAAACCGAAGAACAACACCATGGTGAAGGAAAAAAAGCCCAGTATCTCACGGGCACAATAACGCATCTTTATTTCCGAACGAAATAGTAGTCGAAACCAACAAGCTGGGTGGTGACCTTTGCGTTCACCATGTGATTCAAATTCAGGTCTTGCGCAATCCATTCACGCAGAAATATGCAACTTTTGTTCAACTTTACGTAGAACCATGCTCGCCAAATTATTCTGAGACAGAGTGTCCACTTGCACTTGTCTTTTTCGAAAAACTTTAACAATTATGTTGAGATACTATATGCACTTTTAGTAGTTCTAGCACTCGAAACCGGACTCGTGGAACTTCTCGGATTTGTTCGCCTCCCGGTACTCCCGCATTGCAGCGTGCATGTGGAGCTTTGTTTGCGGCGAATCCGGCCCGACCTTGCTTGATCCGTACGAATTACTGTAGGGCTCGAGCTGAAACGATTGCCCGAAGTGCTCAAACGGGCTACCGAGGTGGTCCTCTTCCGGCTCTAGCATGACTGGCGCCCGTTTGCGAGCCGCAGTTTGTTCGATCGTGGATGAGATAGTAGATTTATGTTCTCCAGGAAGCACTGCTTCTTCTGTTCCTGTTTTCGGCGACACGGCCGATTTGATGCCCTGCGTGAACGGCTGCAGAAGTGGCTTGGCCGAACTTTTTTTGGCGTGGTCTGGGGACGAAGTAATGTCACCATTGGTGCTATCACTGCCGCTTTTCCCTGCTGGTTGCAACTTTCGACTTCCAAGTGCAGTAGAGGACGACAGTTCTGACCCCGCGGCCATCCCGGCACTGGTGGTGCTTGTTGCGTCTGTAGACCTAAGCTTGTCGGGCTGTCGGGCAGCTTGCTCCGTCACAATGCAACTCTGCAAGACGTCTGCGGGAAGTGTGGCCGCCTCTCCAAGCGACTGGTGCAGTCGCGGAACACTTTGCAGCTCCGCCGCGACCGCCTTTAAGTCTCGCAGGTGCTGCTCGCATTCGGCGCCCGCCAGGTGCAATCTGGCGAAATCTGCCGCGGCCGTTTCCAAGCGCGTCACCAGGCTCGTCACCGATGTTTGCAACGCTGCTTCCTGCAGTTTGCCGCACGCCTCCAGGTGGTGTGCGCGCCGGTTGAGCAGGTCTACCACGTCGGGCCAAGTGCACCACCTCCAGTGCTGGACTTTTCGCAATCTGTGCCGCTTCACTTCCGCAGTCTGCAGCGAGGCAAAGCTCGAGACGTGCGGACACAGGTGTTTCTGTTCGACGTTTACCATGTAAAGATGGTAGACCGTGAGCAACCCGGGAAAGCCGCGACTCTGCTCCACCTCGTAAGTCTTCCCTTGCAATTGCACATCGGTCACTTCGATTTTCTTGTTGCTTTTGGAAATATCATCTTCCCGTCCCCCGTCCGCAGCAGCTTCTACCGATGCATCGGATTGCTGCGCTTTCAGAAATTTCTTCTCACTTATTCCCTCACCGCCACGATGATCGGCTTCAAGGAGCGTAGGACCTGCCGGAGGGCCTAAGGAAGTAAATGTCGTATCTACTTCTTCGTCTTCTTCATCCACAATACCGTCCGCTTTCCTCACAGCAGCCAGTAAGTACGCGCCAGCGTGATCCGCCCCGCGCGCCGACTCGACAGTCTCCTCCGAGAGCAGCTTCTGCAACCGCTTCTCGAGCGCGAGTTCAACGTTCTCCCGTAGGTGCTCCGCCACGTCAACCGCGCCGCGCTTGCTCAGCTTCTCGGTAAGAAAATGGTTCTTAGGCACTTTCGATCCAAAAGTTGTAGCTGTTGGGCTTACTGTTCCCGGGGAAGTACATCTCGTTTCAACATAATTTTCAAAAAAGCTACTGTCAAACGTGTTGAAGAGAAAGAGGTCCCGGTTTTTCTCGTGCACAACTTTGGCTCGCAACACGTGCACGACCCGTACGATCAAAGCGACCCCGTTTCGTTTCGACCAGAGTTCCAGCGAGCACTCCCCAGCATTCACTTCCCGGTACAGGTCCTCCACGGATTTCGTCGCGTTTTGCTTTTTATTCCCATTCATCTCTCCACCGCGCGGCGGGTCCCACTCCGAGGCAATGGCGGCGCGCAGACCGCTGTCGCCGTGCTCTGTTTTGATAGAAGCAGAAGTTATTTTTGATGATCTAGTCTATTCTTTCCGCCGTCGTTTTCCCTTTCCGAACCCTGCCGTGCTCACGCCACATCGAAGAACCATTGTAAGCAATGAAGCGCTAAAGTGTTTATCATTTCGATCAAACACTTAAAGTAAGAATTTCGATCAAACACTCAAAGCAAGTACTCATCAGCCACGCCTTCATGGTGTCCACCGAGTCGAACTTCTCCGGACGTTCCCGACACGTGCTGCCCTCGAACAGGTGCAGCTTAAGCAGCTCCCACGACGTCCATTGCCAGGCGTGCACGTACTTGAGCTTTTGCTTTCCGTCATACTCAAGCGTGTTAAAGTCGTCCGCGGGAAGATTGTCGCACACCACATCCACGGTATACAGGTAGTACAGGGTAAGTAGACCTGATAAGGTAGGGATACGTACTTCCGCTATCCCCGTGAGGATAAGTACTCAGATTCGACAGATTTTTGTCTCCAAAAGAAAAGGAAACAAAACTGCGACCGCGTACGTTAGCGTCCCGAAAAAAACTGTCTTCTACGTAGGAAACGAAGTAGTTCTCGGACACACTTTAATTTTTCTCAAATCGTACCTGGAAAGCTCTTGCTTTCCTCCTGTTCCGTACACTGGTCCTGGAATACGACGTCGACAACCTTGAGCGGGCTTTTGGCGGCCGGATCGTACGGGTGTTGCGCGGCCGCTTCCTGCATGCGCGTCGACTTGTGCACGACCCGCGCCATCTCCTCCTGCGTGACCGCCCGTTCGCCGGCCTGAAACAAATGCTGCTCCAGCGGAAGTTCATCCGCCCCGAGCTTTTCCGATAACAGACCGTGCCGGAACCGGTACTCCCCCTTGCTGGTCTGCTGCCACGTATTCATCAGGAACCTCCCTCTTTCTCGACTCTCACGGGAGCAGACCTTCGCCCGAAGCACGTGGACACAGCGGACCGGGATCGTTTGTGGGTGAGATGAAACTGGTACCGCCGCGCCGGAATGATCTACAGACACCTGTCGGCAGGTTTCGCACTTGCATGTTTGCAAGGATGAGGACAACTACATACTCACTTCTTTCAACCTTCAATCATCGATCTCTCAGCGCCAACACGTCCAAAGCTCGTGCGGCTGGCCGCAAATACTTTCTTGTTGAAAATGTCGTACCTGCTTGTGGTTCCCGGCCTCTGAGGCAACATGCGAGGTTTCCCACAGTTCGATCGTGGTTTCGCCGAGGCGAATCTCTTCAGCGAGCTTGCACACCGGCTTCGTTCCGGGCGCCTGACCCCACGAGTCCAGATCCGCAAGATTGTGCTTTCTCAGCCACGCGCCCAAGTCGCCATTCTCTTTTTCCGCGTAGCCACCGACACGCGTGACGAGTTGCACCTGCGAAGCCCCCGCGCCCGGCATCTTGCTTCACTTGCTCGTTGAATGGATGCTAAGTTTCTTTCTATCTCCCGTAGCTGTAGTTTGTCGATATATCATTTGAGTTCTTGCCAGCACCACCGTGTTTCCATCCTACTAACATTCTTTGTACAACTCGGACTCCCTAAATACCGCTCTGACACATCTTTCTCTCTGGATAGTGCACCGGCACATGCAAGAAGCAATCTCCTCGTAGAGACCCGAGAGCAAGAACAGATCCGAATGGACGACACCGTATGTATGATATCAGGAACCACCATGCGCAGGCGAAAAACTGATCTCAAAGTAGCACGTGGTGCAATTGCAGCCTTGTTTCTTCCACCCGTACTAGAAAACTACTTTTACTTACTCAGCGCTTGTCCCACTTCCAACGTTTGGATTCCTGCTGAGAGGAATCTCGTAGTGCAGGGCCCGCGCGTTCTCATGCAGGGCGCCTTGCGTTTGCAAGGCCGCGCGATTGTAAAAGTTCAAGTAGTCAGACGGTCTAGCACGGCCCCCCTGCAGTGCAGTTTGGTGCGGTCCCCGTACAAGAACGGCGGCGCTCAGCGCGGACGGGTCTGCTGGCATTTCCCGGTAGCTGTCTGGCCTGCCGGTATCCGCGGCGTGGCGATCCTCTCCGAGAAAGCCGAGCAGCCCGGCCACATGCTCCATTACGCTGCCCACACCGAGCGTGGTCGCGACCACCAGGAAGATGGTGCACGGAACGAGCTGCGCGCGCGCGGCGGTTTCCGGTATGCGCAGAGAAAGCGCGAAGGATATGGCCCCGCGCAGACCGGCCACGACCAGAAGGACCTGGCCCTTCCACGAGATTGCTGACGACCGCCTGCTGCTGCTCCCGTTTGCGAAAGACGGGTCGGGCACGGCAAAGTCTTGGCTTATGAGATCTCGTCCTCGCGCTCCTCCACCCTCGAGATCCGAGTCCCCCCGGGCTCCGCCCGTCAAGCTGCTCCGCAGGTCGACGCCAAGGCCTCCACTGTGATTCCTTACGATTGAGGACGATGCAGAACTACTTGTACTGTTAGCGGTGGCCCCAGCGCTCCTCGAAGACGTACTAAAACTGGAAGATTCGGAGCTACCGCCTGCACTTCTGTCGCCGGAGCTGGCGGTCGTAGCTGCACCGGTAGAAGTTGAGGTACCGTCTCCCGTCGACGAAGACGCGCTAGAGCTGCCCCGTGGCAGCAGCTCTCCCTCCATAGAAGTGCTCGATGTTGTTGACGCAGTAGCTGCTCCACCAGTTGATGAAGCAGAAAAGGTTCGCGCGGACGAGAAGCCGTAGGGGTGCACGAAATTTTTGTGCGCAAACTCCGGCGCCTCCGCGGCTGCAGCCGGGCTGGGCAGTTGCAGCAGCTCCCGCTCGTCGGCCAGGGTAAGCACGCTCGGCCGGGCGAGCGCCAGGACTCGCAGCGCGGCGCGGCGGCAGGAACTCGCCTGCGCGCAGCAATTCAGCACCGCGCTCAGAATGGTTACCTGCACCGCGCGGGCGAAGAAAATCAGAAAGAAACACCAGAACAGCAGACTGATGTGCGGGAGAAAGTCTAGCGTGTACATCACGGTGACCAGTCCCAGATAGAAGAACACCAAGCACTCGGACACCAACGCGACGATGCTGAGCCCGATCTCCGCGGCCCGCTGCGTTTCCTCGGACAAGCCCTCGCCGAAGACCACCCCGGAGATGAACAAGGCGACGATCCCGGACAGGTCCAGGATCTGCGCCACCGCGTAGGCCAAATAGCAGCCCAGCAGCATGAGCCCGAGCTCGTAGGGCGGGTGCTTGGAGACCTCGTGCTTCTCGAAAAACAGCTTCAGTGTGTAGCTCGCCGCAACCCCGATGGCCAGCGAGCACAGAGACACAAACACGAACTCGACGAGGAGAGAGCCGTAGTAGTAACTCTCTTCTTCACCCACGGGAAGCTGCACCTGAGGTCCATTGTTCTCCGCCGCTGCTAGGCCTCGCCAGAAATTATGACCGTTAATATTACCAGTCGTTTGTTCGAGTTCTCCTTCACTTCTAACGCCAACTGTTGACGTTGCGCCAGCAGGATCTGAACTACTACTTCTACCCAGTAGTCGTTTGACAACGTTTCCGCCCACTGGTTCTTGTGTAGTGGTAGATGAACCACCTGTAGCCCGTAGAATCCGTTCGTACCGGGCGGTGACACTGTCAAATAGCACAATCGCCACGGCGTCGTTTAGAATTGCCTCGCCAAAGATGACGGACCGGAGCCGCGGCGGAAACTTGTGCTGGAACCGGTTCAGCAACGCGATGGTGGCGACCGGGTCGGTGGCGCTGATGAGGGCGCCGAACATGTCGCCCACGATGTGCGGGTGGCGCACCACGGTCCGGAGGTAGAGGTACAGACCCTTGCTGATGACAAACGCCGAAATGCAGGTTCCCACCACAGCAAACAGCAAAACCTCCTTCAGGTTCTGCCGAAACAGGCTGCGGTCCAGGGAAAACCCGGCTTCGAAGATGATGGGCGGGAGCAACAAGTAGAAAAACAGGTCCGGGTGAAACTGCAAATCGGCGGTGTTTGTCCAGTGGAAAATTTTCGGCTTGCGGGGTCAGAGGCAGGAATAAGAATACCACATGCGAGCAAAATTTGCGAGTGACCTGCAAAACAGTGAAAAAATGCACTGCTGAACAAGAAGAAAAAAATCGCATGAAAAACATCTGCAAATCTGGCAGCTCTTTCATCCCCGACCCTGCAAAAATCGACAATGTTTGCCATGCGTACTGGTCCAGCCATGGCGATATCGTGTGGGCACCAACGGAAATAGCAGGCCCACCAGAAAGCCGACCATCATGCACACTCCACTGAGTCCGGGAACCCATTTGGACAAACGGTTTTGGTTGATGCGCAGACCGACGACCAAAATCACGATCAGTAACACGCTAACCGCCACGGAGCCCCAAGCCAGCGCATCCGAAAACGGGTCGATGCGCACCTGCTGCAGGCTGGTACTGGAATGCTGAGCGTCAGGCGCCTGGTTTACAAGCGTTCCCGTGCTGTCACCCGCGGACATCTTGTGGATGACGATTCCGATTCCCCTCTAGAATAATTATTTGGCTTCTGAATCAGTACACATATTACCTGATCGCGCCGTGGTCTCCGTCTTCTCTGCAAGTTTTGTGGTCGTCAAATTGTCGAAATAACACTTGTTGCAATGCTCGTATCTACAACAACCACAGGGGAAATGAAAAGTGAACAAGAGCGATAACGAAACAGCACGGTAGTTTTGTTTTTTCTTTTGTAAATTATGCGAAAACCATGAAAGCTAGACGCTGACACTGATTCATCCGCATCTATGGGATCCGAGATCGTGAAACTGCAACCGAGCTCGTGATCAAAAAGACTCGCACACAAAAGCAAAAACTCAAAAAAGAACGCCATCGAGAGATGATGGCCGCCAAGCGAAGTCCACAACTGGGAATCACAAATCAAGTTCGAAAAGATACGGGCAGAACCCCTTTGTTCTTCTGCCTTCCGAACAATTTCAATTTCATCACAGACACAGACAGACTTGTTGGAACACCCGGAAATAAAACGAACCTCGCATAGTATAAATACGTCCTCTGGCCGTACGTGATTCGAAACCAAGAGGCAGCTTGCTTTCTATTACGTCGCCGCATCGATCTTCTGACAGCTTGCTGCAGGTCCGGGACCGAAAAAGATGGAAAATTCGAGTTCGATGTGAATGTGACACATGGAGAGGACCTAGGAAAATTCACTACGCTGCTGTAGGGCCAGCAATAGAATGACTGCTTGTGGGATTGATGATTGGCATTCTACTCCCCGTAGAATAGCTCTACTGGTTGTAGCCACCGTCGACGCACAAGCCCAAAAATTGAAATTAGAAGTAACGTTCGAAGTGCTACAACTGGGAAATGAATGCAAGCGCCTTCATTTTTGTAAAGCCCTTTGTAACTAGTATCGCTGTCGCTTGGAACTGTAAGTGTAGCTGTAGTCGTCATAATCATCGTCGTCGTCGTCCTCGTCATCGTCGCTGTACAGGTCCCCGCTGAACACCTCCATGTTCGTCACCCGCCAGGAGTCCAACACCATGAACGAGTCCCGACGGGGGGCGTTGACCTTCGCGCTCTGGATATCATAAGCGTCCATCTCATAACTGTCCACGCGATGCCCGTCGGCGAAAAACCCGGTCTCCCCGAGGTCGACCGTCGCGCTCAAGGTCACCTGGTCGTCGTCGTCGTATCGCCGCCGCTTTCGGGAAGCGGCCTCGCAGTTCATCGAAAAATATATTCCTGGGCCAAGCATCCCACCGGAACCGGGACTCATGTGCTGCTGGTTTATAATGCTCCGAGCGCTCTGCCTATCAGTGGCGTGGTACATAGTTACCTTGCCATTCCAGCGGGAGCCAAGCATTCTGCGCAGGTAGGTGAGAGAGTAGTAGGAAAAGGTATATCTAGACTAGGGAGCCTTACTATAGTAAAGTGGCATACGACTTTTTCTGATTTGCGACATCTCTATTGCATCATCATCATCATCTGTCTGGCATGATTAGAAAGGTTACTGGAACGGTGTTTATGGCGCTTTCCGTTGTCGGTCACAGCATATCTACAAGTAAATAAGGGCACTAGTACGTTGATTGCTATAGTCGTTAAAAAAATGCCCCACTTCCCTCGCAATTTGGCAGGATCTGGCAAAATCTGCGGTCTCATCATGCACACATAATTACGCTTGGTGATCTCGTTTTTTTGGAACAAAGGTTCCACACGATTACTGCGGACCATCTTTACCATCAACAATCCATCCTCTGTTCGCACAAAAGAAGCAACTGACATTTGATCGTGTTTCTCCGACCGTCGAACACCCATTTCTTTGCCACGTTTTAGCGCCCCATCTTTCATTTTTTCGTTCTTGCGTAGCGCGCCACGCAACAGAACAACGGCATCACACTCATTTTCATTTGTCTTTTCTCCACATACTCCGCGAGCCCCCGCGGGCGCTCCCAGCTCTATCATCATTATCTCCCATAGCAGCCGCACTGCCACTGCCTTTACTCTGTCCGTGGAAGTTACCGAAGCCTGAAGCAAAGGCGCCCGAGTTCTTGTTTTTGTCGCTTTTCTTGTTTCCCTTTTTGCCTTTTCCCTTAGCAGCTTCCTCCGGTAGCTCGTAGATTGTAACTTCCCACTTCTTTCCCGGGAGCTTTTGCTGCACTTCCCGCGCGAACTCTTCCAGCATCTGCTCGTACTTGTTCCAGTCGCCACCCGCCAGTCCGCAGCCGATGTTCTTCGGAAATGCAATGGTCACGATTTCTTGCGGCTCCTGGATCACCTCCACGTCTGCCTTTGACGAGGTCTCGGTGGAAAACATTTCATCTTCCCCGCTGGAATCTGTCGAAGGACGAGGCGGCGCTGCGGAGGATGCAGACTTTTCGGCCGCTACTTCTTCTTTAGATTTCAAAACGACGCTCCCGCTTCTCGATCGCGCTGCCTCGACGTCATTCTCCTGTTGCCCGTCTTCAGCGACTGTCTTCGGTCCAGGCTTCAAAACGACCGCACCGGTCGACGCCTCACTAGACATTTTGCGCATTTTCTCGTCTCTTGATAACATCTGTACTGGCTTTGACGCAGCGACCACTTTCGCCTCTTGCCGCCTCGGTGGTTCAGCTCCGGAACTTCCTGATCGTTGCTTTTCGCATTCGGGCAGCTGGCGCAGGAAATCTAGAAGACTTTTGCGAAAGTAGCCCTCCCTGACTTCTTTCGTTTCATCCCGACATTTTCCCTTTCCGGGCTGCCCCACATTGTCCTGACCAAATAAATTCACTATTATCGGGTTATTACTCTTGCCGGACTTGCCTTCTTGGCCTGGCTCCATGAGCCAGCATTCGCCGGGCGTGCGTTTGCCATATTCGCTCCAGTAAACGTTGCCGTATTCCCACTTTTCGTAGATGCCCGCCGCCACTCCTTTGGCTCGTCCATCCATTAGCCGACAGTTGGCTTGGTGCGCGATGTAGTGCGCCTTGCTCTGCAGGAGGTCTCCGACTGTTTCCCTTAGCTGTTTTGTCGTCATGATGATCCTTTTGCTCTTTTGAAATTTGTGTGGACGCCTCGCGAATTCTGCCTCGTCTGCCGAACCGCGCTTATTGCTGCTGCTTCCTCCAGTCATCGCAGATGGGGCACATGATAAGTTTTTCGTCGCAACAATTCTTGTTTGATTGCGGGCTAGAGCACCGAAGATGGTATTTCGACAAATTGCTATGTAAATAAATTATCGCTGTCCTTTACGAAGAGCCAGACCAGTCCTATAAAATCTGTATGTGACATAATGAAAGAAAAGCGGCTCGTGAAAAAGACCATCTCGATTTACGGCGATTTTCAATTTCTTCACTTCATTTACGAGACTGCACTACAAAAGATCTTCTGCATATCGTCTTCACAATTTGGTGGTGTTTGAGTATTTGCTTTCCCAGTGTCGTGCAGTTGCCGTATACATCACGGTGGAACACAACTCCACAGAGTAAAAGCGCGCCTGTCCACCATACAGTGTTTTTCTTTTATTTTCTGTATTTTACCATAAAATGAAAGTGGTCGCCATGAGGTATACTCAGTGTAGTTTGATTTTGTCGCTCATCAGTAAAGTTCATTCGCTCGCTAAGCCGATGAAAGAACGCGATTGAAACGAAACAGAATCGCTTCTTCTCCGTCGGCGTCTCTAAAGCGAACTTTTTCGGTAACAATCAAACCGTGGCCAGTGGCTTCTCATCTTCCGTACGACAATCCTGGTCGTTCGCGCAGAAGCTGTGCCGCCCGGATCAGCAGCTGGGGCCGCGCCATGGGGATCACGGTTTCCAAAGCTTCGTCAGCCCAGGCGATGATAGCGATGTCGTTGTCCACACAGAGGATGCACGTGCCAGTCAAGCCGTGCAGTCGCGATGAAACATCAGAGTTGGCATTTTCATCTTGTTCACGACACTCGGGGACCATGAAACTGCTCCGCATGATATCCGCACCCGAACTCGTCCAAACTTCCACTTCATCGAAGCTAAAGTGCACGCCCTTCCATCCGAACCTGTCGAACTTCGACAGAAATTTGCTTCCTCCGACGCGCAACAGCCTGTTCCCAAAGCACGACAACGCGTCTGGCTGGCTTACCAGCAGCGCACACGCCTCCTGACAGAATTGCACATTGAGCTTGGGGTAGTTCTTCTTCCGCTGCCCCTGCAAAGTGTAGCACCACGCGCCTTGGAGAGAGTCGAAAACCGCAAAGTCTCCTTCTCCCAAATCTGGTGCGCGCTCAGTGTACCACCAGGCGGGCACGCCGAAACCGACAATTTTCAACTTGCAATCATGATTCATCTGCGCCGCAGATTTCAGCCGCAGTAGCATGTCCCGTGCCGCAGCGGACACACAACTTACACAACTTGTGGAACTCTTTTCCCCAACCTGCGCCCGGACATAGACAGTGTTCTGAATTTTCCGCTGAAGAAATTTGTGCTCTGGTAACACAACAACCGTTTCAGGCCCCGTCGATGAATCAGCATTAATTACGTTTACGCAAGTACGTGCGCCGCAACTGGAAGCATCAAGCGCTTCCCCTCGCTTCGCCAAAACCGTGAGAAAAAAGCCCCCCGTTTGCCTACTTGGCCACAGACGAATTGGCGCCGAACTACCCTTACCCACCCGCTCGTATACAACTTTTTCTGATGTTGCTCTTGCACGATTTCTTTCCAGAACATTTCTAACCACCTCCTCGTTCTCCATCGTGTTCATGGCGCAGGTGGAGTAGACGATCCGCCCCCCGTTCCGTACATGCCGGCACCCATTCCGAAAAATTTCTTCTTGTAACTTGGTGTGTCGCGCCGCCTGCTGTGGGGACCATTTTTGCCGCTTGTTTTGGTTCTTCCGGACCGTCCCCTCCGAGCTGCAGGGCACGTCGCAGAGAACGAGGTCAAACTGGTCTGCCCCGAAGTTTGTCGTCGCCGCGTCGGCGCACGTGACCACCAAATGTTTGCACAGCTCCGGGTGGAGCTGCTTCGCGCGCTGCAACAGCTGCTCGCAACGATACGGGCAGACGTCGTTCGCCACCACGACAAAGTCCGTTGCGCACTTGGACGCCTCCTCGAGCAGTTGGCACGTTTTGCTGCCCGGGGCCGCGCACAGGTCGAGGATGCGCAGCTTCGCGTTGCTGTTCCTTTCCAGAAAGCCGTCCAACAGGTACTGTACCGGTGCCATGGACGCAATTTCTTGCTGACAGACTTCCCCGCAAATTTTTCGCAGATACAGCTCCGCGGGCGACAGGCTTGGCTGGACTTGAAATCGGAGGGACGATTTTTGGAAAAAGGAAAAAAGCTCGGGGTTGTCCAAGACAGGGGGGGTGTGAGCGGCTCCGGTGATGTTGCTGTTCTTGGTTTTTACTTTGCTATCAATGTCTTGCTTAGTGTCGAGGTGCATAGATGTTGCAAGAGCTTGTTTCGACGGTTCTTGTTTCCTTGAATTGCCTATGACAAAGTTGCATCCTGGTCCCGTCGTGTTCTCCCGTAGAGTCAAGGGTAAAGGCAAATCCAATGTCTGCTCACAGCTGGCTTTTCGCCATTGTGCGCGTAGCTCGAGGTCGGGGTGGCTTGCGTAATAGGCATCGAGGTTTGAGCAAGGTTCTCCGATTTCTACTCCTACATCATGTTCGTGAACAAGATGCTCTCCGTCTTTGTCGCTATTGCAACTGCTTCGTCCTCCGGTCCCGTCTTGCGCGGACTGCATCATTCGCCTCCGAAGCGGCGTCCGGGCGGCATTCGCATTTGTGGTGTCATCTGGATGCTTCAAGCCCGACCCTCGTCCATCGCCTATGCTCTTGTTGTGTTGGTCCACCAACAAATCGAAACACAGTAGACCCTCGTACTCGCGATAGTCACTGCCTTCATTATTCCCAAGAAACGCCGCTGCTGCGTCCATCACCGGCACACTGACCACATCTCCCGGTGACACAAAAAAATCGTTGGGCTGCGGCGCTCCGTTCACACAAACCAGCCTCTGTTCGCAGGCCTTGTGTGCTGCATGTGCCGCATTTGGAAATCCAAACGGGACGGCGTTTTCTGACACGCCGCACTCCAAGCGAAAATTGTAGGCCACAAAACGCACTAGCCGCTCCGCCCGGTGGGCAACCACGCACAGTCGGGTCTGGTTTCGATCACCATTACTGCCAGATGGAGGGCAAGCCGTCGCCGCGAGCACAGCCGGATCTTTGTGCTGTCGTTCTGCTACCTTCCAAAGCTTCGAAGCAGGCGAAACGAAATGAAACATGTTTTTTATGGGGAGGATTACTTAATAGATTTAAAATCTGAACCAAACGTCTCTCGCTCGTCTGTTGACGGACTCATGTTCTGATTTTTTTTCCCATACGGTAAGTTAGAATGCCTGGGCCCGATCGCCATTTTTATGGTCTCACATCTATCCTCTTGCCTATCTGCCGCCAGCTTGGGTGTGTCGCCTGTCTTTGTGAAAACCAAACAAACGAAAATTCCGGCCAGTATGAACCACGTTCAGAAAACTCGTGGGATCTTCAATTTGAAGATTTACCAAAAAGAACTGGATGCTGTTGACAGGGAACGTTTATTCCAACAACACTTCCAACCTCTGCCTCATGCTTCTACTTGTTCTGCACGATTATGTTATCATCCGTGATCATTAGATGTGAAAGAGAGATTCTGAAGATTTCAGTTTGCGCTTTGAGATTTTCTGATTACATTTACAATTTTAACAACAGCAAGCCAACATCAAACACGCACGTCTGTGAGACGAACGACCCACTCTTCTCACCCGCCTTGCTCCCTTTCCTGCTCCATGACAAAACGGTGGAGGTTATCCTGACCAAAAACGTCCCCACACCGGAGTCAAGATCTGCTAGACAAATCAACAAGCTCTGGCACTTTCACATGACAAGTTCTTTGCCCTCATAGTGTAATCCTGTTTGGGTAATTCAGCAGCATCACAGATCTAGCACATCATGCTGAGTCCAGCATCACAAACTCCAAAACACGACTACAAAAAGACTCTCATGGGGCTCTGCATGAGAAACATTTTAAGCATGCAGATTTGCATGACAAAGCTGGGGTGGGGACGTTTTTACTCAGCATAGAAGTCCTCTTTTTCGAACCGGTTCACCTGCCAGTCCAGCCCCCGCCATGGCTGCAGGTGCAGCAGTTTCGCGTCGAGCGACTCCCCGTCGCCGTCCTTCTGCGCGGGACACGTCTTGTTGTAGTTCCCCACGCCCACGGTAATGCACTCCCCGTCGGATCCGCCGCAGGTGCAGAATTCCTGGTGCAGGTAGGGCACGGTGGCGAGGGACACCTGCTCGTCGTCCAGAAACGTGCCCATGGCGAACGTGCGGAAGGGGTTGTTGCCCCACCGGTACAGGTAAAAGCCCCCCGTGGCGTCCATGTAGCGGAAGAACTTCTGGTACTCACCTTCCGGGTCGCGAAACCACGGCAGGTACAGGATCTCGATGTCGCTCATGAAGGTCTGCTGGTACCACTTCCAGTTCTTTTCCACCAACGACGCGAGGATCTTCGTCCGCCGCGGGTTGAGGTTGTGCATTTTGCAATACAGCAAGTAGTAGTACAGAAAGTTCACCGCGACGCTCGCCGCCTCCCGCCCCAGGTGCGGGAAGGCCGCCACCTTGTTGGTCCGCTTCAGCATCGCGAACGGGTCTTCGCGCCAGGGACCGGGGAAGTAACTATCGGTATCCAGCGTCATGCCGTAGTCGAACCGCTGCAGCACCGGCTCCAGGAACACCGGGCCGGACCGCCACCGGCACATGTGCCGGTAGCCGAGCGCGAACGGCATCTGGTGAATGGGGATCTGGTCCCGCCAAATCTCGGGTACGGCATCCAGAGACGCGAAGTTCCGCCCAAGGCTGGCGAACCTGGAGAAGGGATGGGGGGAAAGGAGATTTCATCGAGAAAATGTGTGTGTATGGGTGCGCCCGACCGATTGCAACAGAAAAGAAGTAAGTATGTCCACCAGAGATCATTGTTATTCACCTCGAAAACAAAGGTTCTTTTTGTCAAATAGTACACAGCATCTTCTACATCAAGTCAAGATTAAGATTTTACCAAACACGATTCTCGCTGCAGAGAACGATTCTACGCCGGGACGCTTCGGACATCCCCTCGTGGAAAATCACGACCGGGTAGTCGTAGTGCTTATTTAGGTTCTCCCAGATGCTCGGCAAGGCCCGCTCGATGTCGAGCAAGTCGCGCGGCGAGTCCGGCATGACGAAGTGCAACACCGCACTCAATTTTTCCGTTTCATTAATCCTGGCCCGATTCGGCTCCTCCATGTCGCACATGGTGCCGCGATACGGCGGAAAGCACTCGCACTCCCCGTCGAAGCAGCGCCCCCGCTGGTCCTTCTCAATGAACCACTTCAGCAAGGGCTGCTCGTGCAGCACGCGCGCCGCGAAGCTTTGCAGCAGCGTCATCTGTCGGACCTCCACGTCGCGCAGGAGCGCGGCGTCCTCAAAGTCGTTCAGAATTGCTTGGTGCGCCGCAGTTCCGGTAACCGTGTCGATAAATTGCTCCGGCTGCCGCTTCACCTGGTAGTGCTGCTCATCCGGCGCGGTGGGCAAACCGACCGTTACCGTGTCGGGCAGTTGCTGCTGACTCTTCGCGCTGCTACTCTGCTCAACATGATCTCCGCCTGGAAAATAAACACTACCCGTCGTATTCCGGTTTTTACACATGTCCGGGAGATTATGCGCGTGCACGGGGATCTTTTCCACTTGGAACTGGCGGTACAAGTTGCACACTGCGTCCTCCCGCTCCTCCTGCTTTTCCGCCTGACACGCGGTTACTGGGCTCAGGTCTACCTTCATGGAGAATTCCAGCTGGGCAGCCACGCGCGCATTCGGTGAGCAGTACCAGCCCTTGGCCCATTTCTGGTACAGCAGACTCGGACGCAAGCCCACCAGGCACCGGTCCGCCGGGTGCGCCTCCTCCTCCACGAGCGAGGGTGGGTTAATTTCGAACACCTCGAGCTTCCTCTGCGTGACGGGGATGACGGTTGCCTTCGCGAGACCACCCGCCGCGCCACCTGATGTCGTCGTGGCCCCCGCGTAGTTGTCTATTGGGTTCTTTTGCCCCTTCCGGTCGGCCGCGTGCTTTCGGTTTTCTCTACTTTTTTCCTCTCGCTTCACGGAATCCCGCTCCGCGGAGGCAATCCACGGGTCGTGCCCGAACGCCTTCTTCCACACGTACACGGCGAATACGTGCTCCACGTGGTCCAGCACGTAGCCGTGTTTGCGCATCACTTGCGTTTCCGCGTACTGCAGCGAGCACTGGAGCTTCCACACCGAGGCCGGCACGTCTTGGTAGAAGGGTAGCCGATGGCCGTGGTCGACCAGCTCCCAGTACTGGCGCATGTTGGGCGCCATCTCCAGGTATCAACTGCAAATATGTCTGGGTCTGGAAGAGTCGCGGTTTTTCATGCACATTTTGCATGACCCGTGAGGTCTGTGATGCAGGTCCTAGCAGCACAGATTTTTGGAGGGCTTCTTAATGCTTATCACGCATGATAAATGCCCTATCCGCGTGCCAAGCACTGAACTCCTCTTGCTTCTCATGCAACACTGATATTTTTAGAATCCGCCGACAGCATTACAAGTTCCACCCTTCCAGACCCAGACATATTTGCACTACATACCAGTGGCGGGGGCACCGTGGGGTTGATCGCGACAAACACAATCTTCGGCTTCACCGGCCCGGATTCCAGCAGTTTCTTCAGCAGCAGGCAGTTGCCCACCAGCGGGTGCACGAACAGCAGGTCGGGCGAGTAGTGGTTCACGCTCTTGTACAGGCTGATCATGCTGCTCCACTGCGCCAGCCGGCTCATCGTGTTCGTCGTGTGGATGTTGTTCTTCACCAACCGCGCCCCGGGCCCGAGCGGCCGGCCGCGGTAGCTCACCGACACGTTGTAGGGGTCGGCGGTAGACGCCTGAAAATGGTAGTGCGCCCACCCGGCTTCCGATGGCAGGCAGTCGGCGGCGTCAAAGTCCAAAAGCGTCCCGCGGCACGCGCCCGGCGGGTAGTGCGGGCTGTCCAGACTGTAGCTGATGACGAAGTACTATGAGAGTGCACAACTCGTCCCCCTTGCCCTCATGTGAAGGGAATAAGCAGCAACACAGGGAGAGGGCGGAAGAAAACGAAATCTGGCTCCCGCTCGATAAATCTGCACGCGGATTGTAGAACTGTCTCAGATTGGTACGCGGACAATGCTTAAAGACAGACACACAATGTGGATTTGGTCGTACTTATTTTGCACTACAAATGAGGGAGAGGGGGGGTTGTGCACTCTCATAAGTACGACAGCGACACTTCGCGGTCCACCATACGCAAGAGCTGCAGCGGACTCCGCTCGGCCCGTGGCGCGCCGACCGCGTCCGTGCTCACGGCGGTCTTTTGGCTGCGAGTCTGCTTCGCAAGCTTCTGGAACTCAGACAAGTACGTAATTTGAGACTTCGTCATGTGGTCCGCCGCCTCCGGCGGCAGCAGCGCCTGCTCTAGTTTTCGCCAGTGCTGCTCGAACTTCTGCGCGCTGCGACTTAGCGCAGTTGTGCTCTTGTCACTTCGCGGGTCCTGCTCGCCGCCCGCTGCGGATACCACAATATCCTCCTGAAGATGTGTATCCACGTAGTCTTCGATGTCGTACTCCTGAAACGCCCCAAACCCGCGCCCCCCGGTGCTCCGCATGAACAGGCAGATGCGCTCGAATTGGTTGCCGCTCGCCAGGAACTCACGCTTCGGGTTGTCCAGCGCCGTGAAGAATTCCCAGCTGAAGATCGCGTTCAGCTGGTTCTGCGACGTGTCTTTGTTTGCTAACGAGATGAAATTCGTGTCGTCGTTTGACACGTACAACCCGGTCGTGCTGCCCCCGAGGTCCATACTGAGCACGTTCCGGATCTTCGCCGGATCCAGACTCGCAACCAGCCCCGCGGATGTTGTTGATGAAACCAACGGCAAATACCCTATCGGCGCCACGCGGAACACGCTCGCGAACGAGGGAAAGAACAGCTTGAAGGCCGGGTGCTCGTGCCGGGGGATCAGTTCCTTCGGCAAGTGGTTGGGGACGCTGTAGTGCTCCGCGATGTCCCCGAGAATGGGCTCGAGGAAGTGCAGCACGTTCACGACGAGCTCGCGGTGGACGGACAGCACCTGCTTCAGCTGATCCTGGTATCCCTTGTTCCCAACGGCGCGGGCCACGGACTGGGCTAGGGGGTCCAGGCTCGCGGTGAGGTCGTGCAGCCGCCGACTGGCCGTCTCCACCCCGTGCTCCATCTCCAGCAGATAACGGATCTGCTGCTCGAACAGCGTGGCGTGAAACGATATCCTCGTGTCCACGTACAACGGGGAAAGCCGGACGGGGCAGAGCATCTATGCACTGCGAACATCGATCTGGGTCTGGAAGGTTGCGATTTCTGATGCGCCGTCCCGCAGATCATGCAAAAAGAAAAATTTGTCTTGCGCGAATACTAGCACATTATGCCCATTTCTGGCAATGCTGCAACGGTGTTTCTCATGCGGCATATCTATGCAACATTGCGAAGCCCTTATATGATCAAAACCCGTGATGCTAGGCACTGCATTCCAGCCCCCGTGGGGCTGGCATCCAACATCTGCATGGCACACTCCTGCACTCAACATCCAGATCCAGACATATTTGCAGTGGATAGCACCTGCATCAACCCCATGTAGGCCGACTCGAACAACCGCAACGCCGCGGTGATTAACTGGGAGGCCTGCGTGGTGGAGACCAGCTCCACGACTTCGAAATGCCGCAAGCCCACGTAGGTTCGGTGGAACTCGTTGGTGTACGCCAACGCAGCTTCATGCTGCTTCTGCAGCTGCACGGCGGCGGGCTCGAAACACAACAGATCCTCGCTCTGCCGCCGCTCGGCAACCAGCTTTTGCTCCTTCTTCAAACTTGCTGTATCCGCTTCGGTTGCCAAACGCTTTGCGTAGTTATGGTTTGTCCCGATCTGCTGTTGCGCAGCGACAACGGGAAGAAATGATCTGGTGTGCAGTACTTCTAAAGGTAAATCGTAATAGTGATCTTCCAGGTTGTAGAAGTCAATCAGCGAAGCGATCATTTCCCGACACAGAGGCCACTGCAGTACGGTGGCGAACGCCGCTGCGACCAGCAGAGCCCCGAGCGCCGTCCAGTGATTGGCGCGGAAGACACTGTAGCTGTCTTTTCTTCTTCTTCGTGTTGTCTTTCTGTGCTCGGAAGCCGCCACCCTGCCTGATATTCGAAATCTTTCCATCGCGAAAGACTGAGTCTTTGCATTCAGCATTCTCTCCCCTGCACCGACCTTCTACTGACGTATGTGATCGCTGGTTGATGTGTTAGCATTCCTTGAACAATTATTTTTCTTCGCTGAAGTTTATCACGGATGCGGATCGTACTCGTAACGGATCCAGAACAAAGGAACATGAAGCAAAAGAAACAGGACACGAACGAGCACGAAAAAAAAACAGGACCCTATGATGCAGAAGAGAACGACAGAAGTTTTCTTTCTTTCTATGCTTGCATGCCTCAGGGTTGCGTCAACCCTGTGTCAGTTCCAGATCTTCTGACTCTCTTTCTCTATCGATCTCATGGCATGATTGGATCGACTTTGATTTTCTTGGGAAAGATCGTCTACAAGAACGAGAACAAAGCGCGACAACACAGCTGTTAAAGCATCGAGCTTCTTTTCCAAACCATCTATCATTCTTTTTTTATTTCATATAATTCAAAAAACGAATACGAAGTTCCCACGAATAGAGTCAGCCGCTGCAACTCTACTAGTTTTCAAAATTTTCTATTTGATACCGTTCCAGCTGGGAGGGTCCAACGAAGGCATGGCCCCTGGATTCATTTTCTTTCTCCTGCAGTCCTCTTTGTCGCTCTTATCTTTTTCGCCTTGATGTTTTTCTTTTTTCTGATTTCCATTCCGTTCAGGTAGACATCTATGACTTTCATCTTTACGCGCCGTTCTTCCTTGGTAGCAAGGCCCGGGTCCATTTTTTCGGCGCGTAAGCCTTGCAGGTGTGCTCTTACTTACGCCGATAGATTTTCTCGAAAATCTACTTTGGCAACCGAGTGTAGCCCTGTCTTCATGTAGCGAACCAGTGTTGAGTCAATCAAAAACGAGGCCGCTGAAACAACTGCGAGGGTGCGATATGAAACGTCATCCTTGTTTGACTTAATTAGGTACGTGTCGGAAAACCACCGCAGGTGTTGTCGCAAATCGCTATCGCTGAGAAGCCGAGCCCGGTCCTGTGCAAATTGTGCCTCGCAGCTGAGTTGGCAGCTTACCCTGTAAAACCTCGGCACAGTATAGTACGCCCACTGGTCCTCGGGGGCCGAGGGCTCCACCTCGCTGCGCCACACGTTCTGCTGCCGTCGCTCGGAGAGCGGCTTCTGGACCAAAACGTCGACAAGGTCGTGCTGATTGCTCTTCGGCATGGGGTCGTACCACCGCAGTCCGACGCGGTCGCTGACCGGCGCCAGGTAGGGATCTACGAAGGAGTGATCGGGATCGGAGCTGTGCTCGTACCGCACGAAGGGATCATAGTCGTGTAGGTCTTGATGCGCATCGAGCGGCGTCAAGTCGTCGCGCACCGCATCATACTGTGCAGAATTGAGGCTGAAAACTCCCAGTGCCTCATAGTCACTGAGCGCCCTGTCAAAATGGTTTTGGTACCCGGGGAGGTGAAGCCATTCATGGACGCGATCCCACCACGAGCGCCTCTTTTCTGCATTGTGCATCATATCCTTCAGCTTGAAGGCCCGATACTCCGGACTCTTCTTCATATTCCATCGAAGCCAGTCAATGGATGTCCATGGTACGTAATAGCGCTCACCGTTATACCGTACGCGGTTCTCGACAAAGGCCAGATACCGCGAGAGTTTCTCCAACTCGGGCGTCGTCCAGGCACCAGTAAGGTTGTGATCCATCTGGTTGTTCTGCTCCACTTCAAGTAACGGCGATGGTAGGACATCTGATGATGTAGGGAGGGCACCGCTAGCGCTAGTGTTCCCGAAATGATCCTCCGTCGTAACATTCAGCAAGACACACTGACACGCGAGGAGGTCGTCGATACTTGGATACACCCGCAGGACGTCGTCCTCTAAAATGTCAAAGTGGTGCAGAGGCTGGGTCATGTCAAACTTCCCGGACCGGTGGTTGTAGAACATCCGTCGCAACGTCTCCCGCAAAGACGGTGACGCGGTCGCACCAGCGGAGTCCGCCGATGCGCCGGAGGACTTGTCGTAGAACATCCGTCCCAACCACTTCCACCACGACTGTGATGCACCAGCCGAACCCGAGGAAGCTGGGTCATCCGATGCGCCGGAAGAGTTCGGGGTGGAAGTAGAGGTCAAAGACGGGCCTCCCGAAGTGCTGAAGCTGCCACTGCCGCGGCGCGCCGTAATTGGGTCCGCTACTTCCTCTTCCAACTCGGCGGCTCTTCTTCAGGACGATTCTGCGCAAGTTCTTCGCGTCGTGCTTCTTCCTCGAAGGAGGTGGACATAACCGGCGGCTGGACTTCTTCCTCGGCACTGTCCGTTTCCACGCCCAGCGGCCTCACTTCTACCGCCGTGGCAAATGAGTCCGACCTAGCAAAAGACGATGGCTTAGAAGAACTACCCATGCCGCCAAGTTGAAGGTCGTTCCGATCACTGGCTGCGAGACGGGGCCCCCTTGCGTCTTCCGCTAGAAGTTCAGTCGTGCCGTCTTGTCCTAAACGTGGTCGTTCCTGTGTGACCACTTCGTCTGTCTCGTCTCCCCCCGTGGCTGCAAAATGATCCTCGGCCCCGTCCTCATGGGTCGATGATGGAGTTTTTGGCTTTTCTTCGTCTGTTGACCGGGGTAGGCCAGATGCACGGCTGGCGACGGGAGGGCCCTCCGGCCTTTCAAGGCTGGCCGCATCCCTCAGATGTTGGTCGGTTAGGCGGGCGTCCGCTCCTGCAAACAGAAACAGGCTCAGCTGTGCCAAAAGCGGCCACAAAGAAGACAAAAACATCTTCATAATCATATCGGAACCGACAGAAAGTTACTTAATGACAAAACGCGCACTCGTTCTTGATTGGCCCAAGGAAGGGCAACTAAAGCCTTCAGTCATTTGATCTGGAAGCAAATCGCTTTCCCCCTGATCGCAAAAACGAGAAGATCCGTCACGAACGAGCTCCGTTGATAAAGAATCTAGAGGTCTTCGACCGAAAGCAACACTCAAGGAACACCACGACCCTTGGGTAAAAGCATCTCCACACACTTCCGGATATCTGGAGCGACTTCAGCTTGTTGCACCAGTTTCTTGTTTTCACCACTAACTGGGCACCGGGACCGGTGTGCCAATCATATGTTGTAGCAAGAAAATGTAGCGAGCGCGTTTCTTGAGGCAGATTCGAGGCAGCCCTCCACGTTCATTCGATCCCGCTTCCACGAACATAGCTCACGACAGCGTATAGCGTTTAGATACAAATGGGAACATGTTCGCGAAGCGGAGTCGAAGGCTGCCCCGCTTTGCCCAAAAAGTGACTTCGATACGGACTTGATCAAAAGGAAGATCTTCGCAAAAGCTGGAGCAGTGCGACTCATGGGGAATGCTAGTGAACTAGAGAGAGAGTACTTCTTAGACTGCGTTAGCCGAAGCCCTGAGGCTCTACTAAACTGCTTGGTAAGAAAGAGATACTGTGGTGCGTGGTCGCGCGTAATCGAAAAAACTAAAAACGGTGTAATAGCGTAAGTGGCGAACTCAGCAGAACTCGCATAATGAAATGGATACTTATGTAAAGATGTAGTACTGACTTCGTGGTGGTAAAAACAAATACTTGACAGCGACGCAGACATGGTCTTGCGCGTTACGCTGGATGAAAAATGCTATGGTATGGGGTATTTTCAAAACTGCCAACCTGCTCTTCGAAAGAGTTCTTTCCCGTCTTGAAGGTTCAGCAAAAGAGAAAGTCGTCGCTATTCGGGGTATGTACTGTGCGTAGAGTTCTTTTCAAAGCCGCTGCTGCTTGTAGTTTACTGTTGTCACGCCTTTCGCGCGTGAAGTAAGCTTGCAAAAACGCATATCTATTCGGGACGTCTTGTTCGATTGTGCTATCGTTATGAATGCGTTCTTTTACTTCTATCTTATTAACCGAGCCCCAACGAAAATGCTGTATTTGCTTCTGCTTTCACCTCAAAGCTGTTCCATATTAATAGCGGAGTTCGATATAAAGGCTTTCACTTTCCAGCTAGGAGAGTAGAATTTTCCGCGAACGACGGGCAGTGGTTGGGATGACTATACCCTCCTGTTTCATGTCGTTTGAGCGACTTGATAAGATGAGTATGGAATAAAGACAGCCCCTATCGTACTCTGTAACTAAGATTTCCAACATGCATAGCAATATCCAATGCCGGAAAACCGCAGTTACAAGCGACCAAAAATTTTTTCAAAATGTTCTTCTGGAACAGATACTTTACTGAACCCTGGCTGTACATCCTCCCCTCCTCGTGGCGCAATCAGGCGCCACCGATAATTAGAATTATCTGCATTTCTGAACGAACGGACCTTCCAGAATGAACCCTACTGTGCGTGAAAAAGCTCCTGTCCCGAACATGATCCTCTAGAACTTGATTAGCGCAAGAACCTCCGTCATTGATACGCCGTCATGGTCTTTTTCAGCATCGCTGGGTCGATCGACGAGGAAAACCCGTTCGAGGCGGTGAACTGGGGCTGTTGCGTCAGCATCTGTGTGCGGGACTTGCGGAGTTGCCGGCTGATGTCGTTGACGACGCGGCGTGCTTGCTGTTGCCGGTGCTGGTTCGAGGGTGCGGCCGGCGAAGTCCGTGTGCGCGACAAACTCTCCTCCAGAGAGAGCGTACGTGGCTTGGTTTTGCTGCCACTGGACGCTTGTGATGCGGTGCGGTCTTCGCGTTCGATGCGACTCTGCGGTACTTGGGGCTGCTCCACGGGAGCGGCGTAACTGGCGGGAAACCCGCTGAAAGGCATGTGCGCTGTTTTTTGGGTGGTGAAAACATTGTTTTGAGGTCGAATTTGTGAAATTGCTCATCGAGGAGTATGATTTTCCTAAGATACTGTTTTCGGTGCGTTATGATCTACTGCAACTTCCCTCGTCCCCTATGGTTTTTTGTTTATGTATGGCTGCATCACGGCCGTGCGTGAGCAGTAAAACGCCGCCCTCTTGTTCCACCTCCTGGTGTAGCACAGATAAGCTGGCGTCGACTCTGTCTGTTGACTAGTAGCCTGCTTCGCCCTGAGGCATGTAGTTTCCATCGTCAGTCGCAGCTTGTAGCGCTAGTTTTTTTGCTCGCCAGTCCCTCTCATTCTTTTTCGCCGACATGCTGCATTCTAGACATCCCGCGTCGACTGCAGTAAAAAAATAACGCGACTTCAAAAATCAGTGCGGTCAGAAAAAAAATAGATGTTCCTCCTTCCCGAAAGCAAATACAAAAAGTCGAAGATTTAGAAAAATAAAAAAATGCAGCGCCGAACTAGCGATGTCAACGGCGTGCTGCATGCTTCGACGTTGGGGCATGTAGTAGTGGCAAAAATAGTTCGTCAAGTCTCGTGAGGGCCCTTGCAGCTGCGGGTGCGGATAAATGCAAGCGCACTTGACAGTACTTTTTTTTTCAACACAGAGAGCACTGCTCGTAAAGAGATTGATTGTGTCTCTTGGATGCATGATACAAATCAAATTTGTAGCTGCAGAAATTTTCTCGAAACGCCAAAATTCTCTGCATACGATTATAAACTCATTAGATATGCCCTAGGGAAAGGGTGCAAGCCTATCTTCGGCATTAGGAGTTTAGCGGGTCTGAAGAAGAGCGCTTGACGGTCAACCTCGTTAGATCTTATTGAAAACAAAGATATAGTACATGGATTTTGTGACTCGCTACCACAAAACGAACTTTTCCGGTCCCCACGGCGAACAATATTAACGCTAAAATTCGGTATTTCACGGTACATATTCAGTGCCCATTGCACTGGACGACATCGGAACGTAAAAAAAACTGACACCGAAACACTTCTTTCTGCTACTCTCCGCCCCCCGGACAAGCCACAGCAAAATGCTGCAAGCTCTTGCCGCGCATCGTCGGATCGCGCTTGTCGATTGTGCCTCCACTTTGGATCGTACCGCGCCAGATACCGCGTGCAGACGGAGGCGGCAGCGACATCGGAGAACGGAATATATGCTCGGTATGCGCAGCAGCAGCACCAGCAGCATTCCTGTTAGTCAAAACCAACGTCTTTCCTCCTTTTTCGTGCACTACAGCAGACAATGCTGCAGGGTTCTTGTTTTTGACCAATTTCGTCGCGAGTCTGGAAAATGTACTACTGCCGCACCGCTTAGAACAACGGGTTCAAAATAGACCAGCACCCGAGTGGTCTGAAATAGATGCGCAGCCGGAAAAAGCGCTGTAGTCGACTTTTCTACTACTACCCCGAGGTTCTTGCAGGAGCTCGCGTTCCTTGATTCCGTTTCCGACGACGGCTTCCGGTAGTAGAAAAACCGGTAGCGGCGACGTGCGGGACCGCTTTTCAGTGCCAAGTGTGCCTTTGTGCTTCAACGCAGTGCCGGTCTTTTTTCGGCCCAGAGCAGAAGTCGGAAAAAACCGCGGAGATCTTTTTCCTGTCGCGGTGTGCGGACCGGTCGAGCCCTCGTGCTCTTCCCCGTTGTGGGCGGAGAACAGTTGATTCGTCGTTCCGAGGTTCTGTGGCGTGCAACAGGCCACGTCACGAACCGCAGATCGACCATGTGGCTTGTTTCGGCCGCGTGCGGGGGCTTGTTCGTTTGCTGCGTTACTGGGTGAGTACAGCTTCAAGGAAAGCATCCCGGGTGGCGCCGCCTGTTCATCTCGGTCTTGGTGTACGTTCTCCACTGGGTGGCTTTCGACGTCTTCGAGACGCCCCTGGTCCTCCTCCGCATTGCGTTCTTCAACAAACGTCGCTCTCTCCTGCATCTGCGACTGTTCAAAAAGAAACAATTAGAACCAGTTTGTTCCATGCACTCCTCAGAAGATGGCACTTCCTTTTTGGCAAGAACGATCGCCCGGGTTATTAAGGTCGTATCTGTTCATGCTGCTCAACAGTTTCTATCACGACTTGGAGCAGCTACAACATGCATCCTCATCACATCATGATCTCCCCCGCTTTGGTCGGTTCTAATTGTAGTTCTTCACTGGGATACGACATGAGGTTATTCGTAAAAGCGGCGAGTTCCACATGCGCCGCTGCCAAGTCTGCGAAGGCGACCGGACATTCTTGTCCAAATTTTTGCAAGATTTCCTGCGTTTTCGCCAAGGCAGGCGCCGTACTCGTGCCCGAACTGGCTTTATTGTGGTCCAACTTGCTCCCGCACGACGTTGATGCAGCTTTTTCCTTTTTGCCCATCGTCTGCACCACGCGAAGATCTCTAGTACCATCATGCGCGAGGCATGACGCAGACGGTGAGGAGTGAACTTTGGACATAAACCGGCAAGCAGCTGCAGCACCACCCTTTTCGTTCGCGCAAGCTGGTTTGGTATCGTGCTCCGAACAAGCTTTTTGCTCTTCTGAAGTCTGTTCCTGCTCTGCATCCTTCGTTTTCTCCTCGTCGGCCCAACGTACGACTTTCCGCGGAGTTGTGCAAGCGCCGTCGGTGAACTGGTACCCTTTCATCGCGGAACGAGGTTGCATGGGACTCGGATCTTCTTTGTTTTCCCCGGCTGCTGAAACTGTTCGTTGCTTGCAAGACAGAGGAGTCGGAGCAACAGGAGGGGTGGCGATAATATACTTCATCGCGCGATCGAAGTCAGTTATTTTCGAGCTTTTCTCTACTCCTGCTGGTGTAAAGAACCCTTTCTTCTTTGGCAGTGCCGCACCAGAAACGGTCGGAGTAGAGGAGGTGCAGTGGTGATAATTTTTTCCCGCCGCAGCTACAGAAGTAAGTGCTTCGTTCGCATTCCCTTCCACACGATAATCATGCACTAAAACTTTCTGGGCACAAAGAGGAAGTTTTTTTTTCGCCCCGCCCGTTTTCCCGGTGGTTTCGGTTCCGGCAAAGGGCACGCTCAGGTCGGCGACGGCTGGGTCGTCGTTCTTACAGGGCGCCGGTTCTACTACCTCTTCGACGTAGCATCGAGCAGTAGGGAGATGTTGAGGGAAGTTGCAGTTGTAATTATTGTTGTGGTTGTAGTCGTACATACAAGTTGTTGTAGTAGAAGGAAACGAAGTAGCACAAGAGTAATTTTGCCCCGGAATAGTATGGTGTGTGTTATGATCCACGAAATAATCATATTCTCCCGTCGTAGAAGAAGCAGCGCAAGTTGTACCTGCTGCCATTTGTTGCTGCTGCTGCATGTAGAGCATGTTGTAGTTGGGATCTGCGAACATCGGCGGCGGCATCATCATGGCAGGATAGCCCGGCGTCGCTGCGTAGGCCATGGGCATCATCGCGCCGGCGGTGGACGCCGCGTGCATCTGGGCCAGCATCGCCTGCGTCTGCTGCATCTGGGCCATCATGGCCTGGGTTTGGGCCATCATGGCCGCCGCATCCGCGGTCGACATCGACGGCTCCGGCGTGTTCACGGGCAGGGTGAGGCCCGAAGGAGCGGCATTCTTGGTGTAGCCCGACGAAGGCTTCTTGTACCCGGCGGCGTTGTCCGCGAGTCCGGTAGCGTACCCCTGCTCCGCCGGAAACGACCTGCAGCAGGTGTGAAAAATTATCATCATGACCATGATGGTGATGAAAAGATCTTGTCCCCGGGGAGAGTTCTTTGAAAGGCTCTCCTCTGCACCAGGCGTGGTGCTCTATGATTTCCAAGAACAGTGAAGAACGACAAGAGCAACAAATACAACAAAGGCTTTCGTAGTAGCCAGACCAAAAAAAACGACGACTTCCGTCCACATGATACATACTGGAAAGATTCACACAATTATGGCCAAAAAAAGTTGGAGCTTACATGGTCCGCTGCATCGTGAAGGCTCGCTTCGGTTCGGCTTTCTTGCCTTTGCCCTTCTTCCCCCCGAAGCGGTCAGACTCGAGTGGCCCGACCGTATCCGCGGAGGCCGAAGGAAAACGCGAGCCGGACTGCGGCATGCCCGAGGACGGCGGTGAAGCGGCAAAATTGAAAGCCACACCGTTCTTGCCATTTTTGTTCCCCGCCTTCCCCTTGCCCTTCGGACTGGCGCCAAACTTGCCGCCCGGCGTCGTGGGCGTGCTGCCCGCGGGGGATTTTCCGCCCTTGGCAAACCCGGTGTTGGTGTCCACCACATTGATCGTCTGCACCGTTTGTGCCTCGTCCTTCAGCCGCCGGTTTTCCTCCTTGCGGGCCTCAATCAGCTTGATGCGACGCTGCCGCTTGTGCTCCTCGTGTTCCGCCAGCTGTTCGTCGGTCATCTTCTGTAAACGTTTGCCCGTCTCCGCCTCGATCTCCTTCATGAACATTTGCAGCGTCTGTGCGTTTCCCACCCGCATCGTTAGCTTGCATGGCCGCGACATTTCGATCTGATGTATTCATCAAGAAATTGTTTTCATCGGGTGCAACTCGTGGTACGTTTCTTGCTTCAGCGAACCATATAGCAGATGCAACTACCGCGATATGTTGTTCTTTTATCGTGGTCCTACCATGATGACTATAGACCATCACTCATCCTGCGATTTGCTGTATCGACAATCATCATGACTTGGCTTTGCATAAATTAAAATTATCCTTGCATCTAGTAGCCTGTATGAATATAAATTCCTCAATACGTCGTAGTAGTCCTTGATTTCCCGGGTCGAGTAGAACTGGTGCGTGGGCATGGATTTTTGCTCCCCGTTGATCTTGCACAGTTCGATCGATTCGATCGGGAAGTCTTCATCCACGTCCGGGGGCATGTCCACGTCGGCCACGGCTGCGCGGTCCCCCGCGCGTTTGCTCCAGTCGTAGTCGGCCAGGCGGCCCGTCTGGCACAAGGTGCGCATCAGCTCGCAGCTCGAAAAGGACCGGTCCCAGGTGAAGGTGCGCAAAGACTTGCGGTGCTTCACGAGCGTCATGTACAGTTGGAACTCCTCTGTTTGTCATTTTTTTTCGAGAAGAAGATAAAATTCTTTTATTGCAGAATTGCTTTTAGTACGACGTCGACAGTGTTTGGCGAAAATAAACTAATACTCGAAGGTAATGCTAGTAAGTTGCACTTACTTCTACCGGGTCGTGGGTTCTTGCTGTTTCAAGAACCCTGCGGCACGCAAGTCTGCTTCTTTGGTCATCGTCTGCAGTTCTATTGTAGACTGACTGCAACAGAAATAAATACAATGAAAGCAAGCGGGGACCACGACGAGTTCACATTCAAGCTTTGCATACATATTATCGCTGTGAAGATTAGCAGTGTAAGTACCCTGTCTTGGCGGGCCCTTGGCCACCACCCCGCAGGCCTCGATGTTTTTGATGATGAGGTTGATGGCCCGCTCCAGGCGGGTTGCGTCTTGTTCGCTGGTGGTCTGCATCGGGCAGCAGACCACGGGGCCCTGCGTGAGGGCGAGCTCCCCGATCTCCAGGTCCATCTCCCCGAACATCTCGACCCAGTCTTGCGCGCCCATCCACTTCTTCACCTTCTCCAGCTGCGCGTCCGTTTCGATGTGCATGGCGGCGATGGTGATGTGGAATTGTTCCTGCCGCATCACCTGGAGGCGGCGCTTCTCGTACCGGCGAAAGTCGATCAAGTAGTACAGACACATGTAGTACAGCTCCCGCAGCTCCTCCGGCAGCCGGATGCACAGCATGTGGGTGGGGATCTTGTCGTCAAAGTACAGTTTCGTGTTTTGGTCCGGATCCGGGATGCTCGACCGCTCCAGCAGTTTCGGCTGGTTCTTCTGGGTCCGGGGCGTGTTCTCGGCGGAGGAAGACAGCGGGAAGTCCTGCGGACTGTTACCCGCGTTCCCCGCCGGGGAGATCGGCAACGTGGTTGCGTTTTTGTTGCCGATCATCCGAAGTTTGCCGGCCCCCTTGCTCGATGCCGGACTGTCCCCCTTGGCAGTAGACCTAGAGGGTGGTCGTGCGATGTTTTGTTTTGTACTCAGAAGTTGCGTAGAATTTGTCCTGCAATATCTTCTTCAACCAAGAGCTTTCGCAAATTCCTTTATTGAGTTAAAAATTCCAAGATGCTGCTGATAATTTCCCTAAAATAACGAGGATGAAACAAAAATGCATAGAGACTACATCACAAAGCGTACTTTCCGGGTGAATTCGGCGCGTTGGTCGAGGCCCCGTCGTCCGGCAGGGCTCCCATGGTAAAGGCGCGGCGCTCAACAGACCGATTCGGCGCACCCGTGTTGAAGGACTGGGCCCTCTTGAACCGCTCCGGCACCGACTCCACCGACCGAGATTTCCCCAAGTTCGGGTCCGGAATCTCATCCTCCATCCCCGGGGGCGGCCGCGACACCGTGCGTCCCATACCCCCGCTGGAACTGGTGGACGTCGTCTTCGGGAGGTTCTGGCCGGACAGCTTCCGGTAGTCCACAGTGGGGTGCTGCGACTTCGCCTTCTGGATGCGGGGGTCACCGGAGTACATCCGCTCCAGCTGGAACTCCGGGGGAGCCTGCAAGTATTTACGTATACAACAAGTGAAGTCCGAACTGGAAATGACTATTATCCAGCAAAAGATCATGGGTCTGTTTCTTCTTTTGCAGACAACTCGACAACTCGCCATTAGCTTAGTAGACTGGTAGAAATCTTAATTTATTCACGGGGTGCAAACAATAAAACTAACTCGAGAGGAGGAGCAAACACACAACGGCGCCTCGACCCCCGTGTGCACTGACTGTAACCCCAAATCAACATAAAGACAAAATTTTTTTTCATCTTCCCGATTCCGCAAGAGATTTTATCTCTTAATAAATACCGTGAGCGCCGTGGTGAGTTGGACCATTGGACTGATATTGCTCGTCTCCGACCCTGGTTCGTTGTCCGCAACGGTCTGCAGCGCCCGAAACTTGGTTTCGTACGACGCCACTCGATCCCGTTTCGTCGGCTGCTTGGGCGACCCGACGACCTTTAGCTTCGGCGACGACATCCTCGGTTGCTCCGTGCGACGAGGGGGTTGACAAAGCAGGTCAAAGAAGTTTTATCCGCGCCGAGACGTCGTGTGTTTCGTACTTAAAATATTAAATATTGTGCCACAATTCTAATGCTTCTGGAGTTTTCAAAATTCAGAATTCGTAAAAGTCGTTGTAAACCACAGGTAAGCTCAAATGTTGTGTAAAAGTGTATGTGTCTTTTGTGTTGTTAAAACTTTTTGTAGTAGTTACTGAAAAGAATCCTCCAACACAAGTACTGAGTGAGACACTTGTGCCGTCGGAAATATACCGATCAGTGGTGTGTAAGTAAAAATTTTTGTTCGCCAAGAAGAGAAGCGCACGAGAGGAGGTACAGCTTCTGGCAGGTTGACGCTGTTCGGTATTAAGCGCGTAAATATATAATCGTACAAAGTTCTGTAAAGGTGGTTCAAGCGAATCAGTATCAGTTACGTCCAACTGTCTTTTCAGAAACAGTGTACATCAAAGAACCCAGGGTAGAGTAATAAATGCGGCAGTAATTCAGATGCTGAGAGAGTACCGCCGTTCTTTACTAAGCCCGGTTGTAAACGGTAGTTAGTTGATCGATGTTGTCAGAGAGTAATACAGGCGAAAAATAGCACTTACAGTACAAAAGAATCACAGCGGCGATGATGGAAGTGAAGCTCGATAGAAGATTCTGCTTTCTACATTAGCTGCAGCTGGAGAAAAGCGAATGACAAGAGGAGTTCTCAACAACTGCAATATTTGCATGGCAATGACAAAAAGAACTACTCCATGTAGTGCGAATCTACTGAGCGATCAATCTATGCGACTTTTTTCGTACTGGGAAGGTCTATAATCGGAGGACGCGTAGGTGCGAAGATGCTTCGACAGCAAGTGCGGTTCGCTTCGTCCTGGCTGTTACAGCGGAGGTGTGTAGTAGAGAAAGATAGTCTTTTACAATTTGGAGTACTAACGGTATCAGATAATTAATCGAGTTCGGCGGGAAAGCCTCTTTTCCTCGACTCTTCAAGACACTTGGCCTGTTGACAATGCAAAAGTAAAGTTTTTCGTTTGTGTGTTTCGGTTATCTTCGCGTGAGCAGTCAGGCTTTATATCAGTAATGTGAAGCCGAGAACGGATAAAAAAGTAAAATTTTGTGGATCGCAGAAAATTCAAAATGCTTCTCAAAGTTTGTCGGGATACTCTTGTGTGTTAGATCAGGAGGAGCGCAAGGAGTATTGAGCTGCAGATTTTTTGGATCACAAATGTCCGTCGCTGCTCGCTTTGGGATCAAGGCTTATCACTTTCGCGTTAAGCACCTGTGTGCAAAAATTTTCGCAGTCAACCGAAAAACATTTGCAATTAGCCGCTCGTTCGCATGGCTTAACAAAGACCGAAGCTGCCAGCGTATCACGCCTTCGTCAACAACACAGTGCACCACAGCACTACATAATATACCGATAATACAGTGAAGACCGATACATACCACTGTCGTAGTAGAGTGCTAAGTGTCGGATCCCTCCTTTGTCACGTAGCGCCACGAAAGGCAAAAAAAAACATACGACCGAAGACCACTTTTGTATAATGCAACAAACCGACGACCAGTGATTCTCTCTCTGCAGAAAACGTCGGAGGATGAGCACATAGATGAAGGGCCGAAAAGGCTTGGAGCTCAAGTACCACTATCTGGCGCGTCATCAAGAAGTCCTTCTGCACCGAGAGCGCCGGATGATGTTGATAAAAATACGGGTTTGGAGTGTGTGTAAAAGTCGTGAAGGCATGCCACCGAAGGCTGCAGGGGCACGCCCTGTGCGAGGCAGAAAGTTGCAAAACGAAATTTACGCTCTAAAGATGCAAGCTCTCTTGTTGTTGTGTGTTCTTTTGAGGTTCTGAGGAAACCGGTTACCAAGATAGGGAAAAAAATGGGTATGAAAAGCATACTTGCGGGGGTTCGCTGCGTAGGCCGGCGACAGACCCGCTCCGAGCGCACCGGCCAATGCCTGAGGGCAGTACGCCGCCCGGACGTATCCGCAGCGATGCGATCACGTCCGACCTTCTGGGCTACAGCCCGAGGCCAGGCGCACAAAAGGGTCCGCTTCGCGAAGCATTTTGTCGCGTTGCAAAGACGCGATGTGCAGTGCGTTGTCCGGAAAAGTACAAAGAGGACACGCGCGGAACGACGTTCCACCAGCCAGCGTCGCTTTCCGGGCCGTGGTTTCAATATTGTCGTAAGCGGTGAAAGTTGACACCGTTGATCTTCCCGAAGTGACCGCCCAAAAGCGGACGCAAAATCATCACTCGCCACGTGTAAAAGCCCCGCCGCTCCGCATCGGGCCGACATCCACCACCGGGCGGGCGCCGCATTCCTTCGGCGGCGCGGCCGGTAATGGCAGCTCGCCCCCCCCTTCCCCTCTCGCCCAGGCCGTTTCCGCGGCCGCCCCGAGCGCCGAGGGCGCTATGACCTCCCGAAACGAGCAACAAGGGGCGGAACACCATTAGAAGGGCGCCCTAGGGCGCGGCGAGTAGTGCCACCTCGGCCCTCCTTCCGCTCTCGCACGGACCGCTTCTGCGGGCACGGGTCGCTCCGCGGGCTTTATCACCTTACAAAGCGAGCTCTAAGGAGGCGGAACCCCCTGCGGAGGGCACTCAATGCTGGATCGCAGCTCCAGACTTCGGAGGTGAGCCATCACCTTAGTCAGGGGTGACTAAGGTGATGGCTAAGCTCCGGATTTTTTTTTCTGTACGAAGAAGGTAGAGACAACAGACCACAATAATGGGATTTAAGTTGCCCAGATAAGTCCAATGCTTCTTATAATATACAAGATACTTCATGATGAACGTTATTTATTATATTTTTGTAGTTGCCCACACAGCTTTCATTTTTTTTTCAAAATTTTGAAGATTTTAAAAAAGCCAAGAATTGAGACGACTAAGGCAATTGGATCTTGCAGATACATGAAAAGCAGATATTGTGCACATTTTGGGTTTATTGTTTGTGTCCTACATCACTTCCAAAGTGACTCGCTCCATTTTTGCAATTTTTGAGATTTTTTGAATTTTTTGGAAATGTCAAAAATGGTAGTGAAAGAAATGCACTTCGAGAGGATTAATGGCGTTCACATAGTCAAATCTCTGAAATGCACTGACTGTTGCTCTGTTTGGTCATATACAAAAGCACCTTGCAGAGCTCCACAATTTTTTAATTTTTTTGACTTTTTCTGATTATAGAAAAAATAATACACAAAACGCATATTGTGATACACAATAATGAAACTTTGAGCGTTGCAATGCTCTGGCCTTGTTTAGACCACCTCTTTTGCTGCTAAATCACATAACTTTGCGGGTCCAAAATTTTTCGGATTTTTTTGAATTTTAAAAAATCATGAAAAATACTTATAATATTTCTACTTGGTGAAATGTAGGCAAAGAAGTCACAGAATATCACTGAGAATTGGAGATAAATTCAATATATGAGAAATATTGTATTTGGTTTCTGGGTTTCTATTTTTTCTGAAAATTTTGCAATTTCTGGAAATGCTGTAAAAACTACTTGAAAAGAGGTTGCTTGACTCTTTAAGATGAGAAGACTGCACACAAAAACTACGATTTACCCCTACCGTCCTGGCTTGCCCTCGGTCGCCATGCCGGACAGCCCTGTCTTCACAAACGGCAAGAATGCACCTCATGCCCTTAATAAGAGACAAGCTAGAGCCTCAGTGCTGGGATACAATCGCCAGCCCTAACCCATGGCAAGTGGGCGGAAAAGCATAGGGAGCGCCCCCTATGCTGGCTGTTTACCGCACCTGATTGCCCGTGTGCCGTACGCGAGCAATTTGCCCGTCGGGGATCGCCAGCAATGCGCCCGATTTCCCAAGGGTGTGCCGAATGCGGGGGGGGGGGGGGGGGGGCCCCCCCCCCCCCCCCCCCCCCCCCCCCAGAAGCAATATGGGAAGAAGGACCGCGCCCCGCGGCGGAATTTCCGAGGCGGGCCAAGGCCGGCGCGCGCCTCCGATGCAAGTCGCCGGACCGCCGCCCGCCTCCGCAGCATTGGGCGGCAAAACTGCGCGACTACCGTTCCGGCTTGCCGTTCCGAGGGAGCAGGCGCGCCGCCAGTCGAAGCTCCGCTTGCACATTACCCCAACAACAACGGCAGGAGGCCCCATTCTTGGTCGAGGTAGCCTTTGGTGTTCCGACATGATTTCGAATGTGAGCGCGCTCAGCGACCGGGATTCTTTTATTAAAGCTACTTCTTCCCGCAAAAATAGCGACTCGAGTCGCGAGCGCGCATCGCTCCCGGCACTGGAAGACTCGCTTCTGCTCGTCGATGGCTGCCCGCGTGGCAGAGCGGCCCCGGAAACACCTTGAGGCGCGCGCGGAGTTGCTGCTGTCATAGCTTTACAAAATTGGCGCCTGGCGTTCCTACAGTCCGGGCTTGTAAGCGCGATCACTTCGCGAACTCCGCCCCCCGGCCGCGGGAGGCCGTCTCGTCGCGCCGCCATGCGCACCGGCGACCTGGCGTCGACGTTGTGGCCGGCGACGCCCGCCGCCTGCGAAAACGGGACCCGGCGTAGCACAAAGGCTGGCCCCCGGACAACTTCGTGGCTAGCGAAGGTCCACCGAGCGCCGCTCTCGGACCGCGCACCCGACACCGAGCCGCCTGTCGCCCCGCGACTCACAAGTCCGGGGTTTACCTCGTTTGCTGCGTTTGAGGCTCTTGTCAAGGCGGACCTCGTGCGTCTGGGAACGTACTTCTCGCCGCCGAAGGATCCAGGACTGGCGGCTGTGGCGCCCTGCGCAGCTCAACTGGTGGAGCACGCCGGTCCGTCACCCGTATTCGAGCTTGCCCGCCGTGTTGCCTACCTGGAACTGCTCCTCCTGCGTCTCGGGCAAGTGTTCGAGCGGAAGAGACCGGTCGCACGACCAGAAACTCAGAGCAGCACGAAGTCCAGAATTCAATGGGTCAACGCAGCGATCGGCGCTACTCCGCGACGTGAGCCACCGAGTCGGTCCGCGCTCACCGTCGCAGCCACCATAAATCCGAAAAGCGCCAGTTATGCGAATGCCGCCGTCCAAACCCTGGGCATCGCGGACCAACCGGGAGCCGCCTCGCGCACTCCCACCAGCCGAGACGAAAAAACGCCGAAAACGTTCGCGCGCGGTGTGCAAGCGAATGTTCTTCCCACGCGGGACGCAAGCGTAAACACCAATCCAGTTGTGTTCGGGGACGAAAGCAAAGCGCCACGGCCTGTTTTGTCCGTACGACCGATTTTTGCATCGTCTTTCGCAACCACAGGTGTACAAACGGAACCGCCAGTCGCCAAAGTTTCCGTGGCCGTTCAAAGCCGACCCGAAATGTCCACCGCCGAGGCACAAACTTCCATCGCTCTTGCCGACATCGAGGCGTGTTTTCCGTTCACAATTGACGATAGTGTAAGCAGCAGCCCGCGCAGCAGCGCGGAGAAACAAGACGACCCGCCGATGAAAAGTCTCGACGGTGCGACCCCCGCGCCAGGAACCAACGACCCTGGCGGTCGAACTTCGGTCGCAGTGGATGGCGTGCGAGTTCGCGCCGACAGTCCATTTTCTTGGTTGCGTTTGTTTCCCTCTAAAGCAGAGAGAAAGAAGCAAAGCACAGCGGGCGCAGAGCAGAAGAACAACACGAAAGCGACCACATCAACATCAGAAGCCAAAACTTCAGTGCCTGTTGTTCCCGCCGCGCCACCCTCGCCGGGCAAGCGAAGACGCGACGCCGCGGTCGAGCAAGAGCAGAAGATAGCGAAGTTGAAGCGCGCTCTGCAGCTCGAGAAGGATTTGGCACAGGGCGTGTGCGCGGAGAATAGCAAGTTGGAGGACGAAACCCGGAAGTGGAAGGCAAAGTACGAGGAGGAAGCAACACTGAGGAAAAAACTCGAGGGGACCGCGGCCGACTTGCAGAAGGAGGTGAAACGCATGCAAAATGCGCACTTTCGCCACCACAGCTGGTCGGTACCGGTGAAGAACAGGCTTGCGGGAAGCACGCGCGAGATCGGCGTTGGGACGGTGCGCGGACCAGAATTTCTTCCCGTAACCGTTGCGGTGCAAACGGTCACGGAAATGTCGCCCCGCGGGCCGCTGATGAATTCCGGAATGTTTGCCTTCGCAAATAGGTCGTGAGGCAAGCTTTTTTAGTTCTTCGTGCAATCGATATAGTTGCGGGGACTCTAGATGAAAACACAGTAAACACGTTTCTTCATATACATACGAAAGGAAAAAGGATAGCAAGCAAGAGGAAGTAGCATGTGACAAAGTGAGATCATGTTGAAGTAGCGATATCCATCATCAAGTTTTCAGTCTAGTTTTGCGAGGCCCGGTGGTGGATGGGATAGCAGTTTTGTTGGTTACTTGTATTCTGTGCTCTGTTCGTGCGTTGCCCGGTGACAAAGCGCACCGGAGGGAACCCGGTGACAAAGTGCGCCGGAGTGTCGTGGTGGGTGAGGTGAAGATGGATAGACCGAGGCTCCCCTGTAAACTCACAATTCAATGGAAATTCATTCTTGGGAGCATCACAGTGTAGAGTTCACGCGGAGCGATCACCTGCACCCGAGAGAGAGAGAGAGAAGGTTCTACTGCGTGTTCTGTCGCGGTGTTGTCATCACCGTGTAGTTGCTACTCATTTTCTCGATCCAGCGGACCCGAGGAGTATTAGTTGGCTGTAGCGACAGGAGCATATAACTGTGGCGAACAAAGCAAATCAAAAATGATTCCGGTGTTGCAGCTGCAGCCGGCGCCCCTCCCCGCTTCCACACCACCACCCGTTGCCCAAGCCGCGACCCACCCGCCGGCGGCGCACCCGAACTGTCGCCAGAATTTACGCGAACAGGCACTGCATGCGCTGGAGCACTCGTTACTGCCTTGGGTGCACGAGCGGGCCCGGCGCATCTGCGCGTTTGCCAACAAGAACTACCAGGAAAAAGGCCGGGGTTGCGTGGTGTTCATGTTCCAGACGGTGCAGGAGGTGTTCGAGGAGGGCTGGTCTGAGACCTCGCTCCGCTACCTATCCGAGACCCAGGTGCACGCGCTCGCGATGAAAACAAACCACATTCTCAGTGCGTTGGAACGGTGAGTCTTGTCTCTGATTCATCTTCATGCATTGTTGTGGGTTCCATGTTTGAAACACCTAACAGGAGAGATACCAGCTGTCGCTTCAGTTTCGCTCTCATGTAAATTTGTTCTTGCTTTCGAAAAAAATAAACAGGTACAATCCGTCTCGTCACTGCGTGGTCGTTGCGTTGATCGCGGAAATCGCTTTCGACCGGTTTTATTTCTTGCGCGCGGACGGGAAGTCGTCGCACAGTCGCAAGGCAGCACAGGTACTTGATTACGTAGCTATGTACGTTACTGATTATCTATGATGAAGATGACCGCGTTCATCTTTTTTGCTCGGGGTGCGTTCTGAGCTGTAGCTGTAGACGTAGAGGGGGTGGAAGAAGATGAACTACGTCGAGAGGATTTTGTCTTGTGCAAAAAATTGCACAATTTCCAAATACTAATACAGGCCGGGCTGGGGTTTCGGTACAAACAGATCGAAAACGAGAACGAGGCGGCGCAGGACTACACCTTTTCTGACCGGGACTGCTCCGAGAAAAACGAGAGTGAGATCAGTTCGACCGTGGCCGAGACGGAGCAGGGCCGACAAGGCTCCTCGTGCAACAAGGACCCACCCACGCCGCCGATCGCGATCCCGCCGAAGCACTTGCTCCCTCCGTGCGTGTCCGCGACCAGTCGGCCGTGGGGAGTGTCGGTAAACACTTCGATTGGCCGCGGGAAGGGGGAGAATCGTCCGTCTGCGGCAACGACCGGCTTTTTGGCGTCTCGGCAGAGTGCATCCAATAACTATGTCGCGGCGGCGCATCTTCACGGACAAAATCACCCCGTGGGTAGTACGAACGTGATTTGCAGTAGTTCCCGCTGCAGAGGTGGACTTCACAACAGCTCTCGCGGAGGTACAACAGGAGGACAATTACAAAAAGCATCACAGCAGAATAATATTCAAGTTACAACAGCGCACAGCAACGGCCGCCGCAGTGTGTGCAGTAACAACACCAGCAGCTCCAACGGGTTGCTTTACCCGTCCTCGAGTTCGCCGGCTCGACAACAGGAGAACTTCGACCACAAGCGATTGTCAACCACCACTTCCGGCTTGGAAGATGAGACGCTTTCTACTACGTGCGTAGTTACAACGCAGCAAAGCAGGCAAAGCCCCTCGCTTGAACTGCACGAGTACAACAACAATGTCGGTACGACGGTCGTGACCACGGCAACAACGGTGGGAGGCGTCACGGATTTCGTCCTGCCCTCGGCGAGCAGTGCTGGCACCATCGACTTTGATATTGCAGGCCCCGCGGCGGGGACCACAGCTGCAGCAGCGGGTGCTGTTGGGAACAACTTCAATCTCGCAGGAGTCCCGCCGCCGAGCAGTGTAGGACTCTGCGACCGAGGAGGACAGCTGCTCCACTCGCAGACGGAGTACGACGCCTATTTTTCGACACACAACCAGTACAACCAGCAAAACAACAAGAAACGATCCTGGGCCGGCATGCAGAACAACCACTACAACCGGGCCGCGGCGCTGGCCGCGGAGCAACAGAATTCGCGCATGTGCGCCAGCAACTACCTGAACTACTGCAACTACCTGAATTACACCAAACAAATGCAGCAGGCGCTTCATGGACTGAATCTTGCGCTGGCGTCTTCGTCCTGCGTCCCGACTGGTATACTGAACCTCGTTTCAATTTATGCTGTTGTCTGTTTGAGTACGGGCTTAGAGTTGGTACTTACTCGCTGCTTTTTCACATAATCATGAATGATCGAAGCGCAGCTGCGGAGGTCGTGCCAGAAACGAATGCATACAAGGGCAAAAAATGAAAACAGCTCGTCCACTGCTGGCTCCGGTGGTGCCGCTGGCCTCTGCGGTAGTCCCGCAGCCGGTCCCTGCCTGGTTGCCCCAAGCGGCCGTGAGCATGAACATGTTGGGTGCGCCGATCGGCCACGGAGGAAATCCCCAAGGGGGCATGCAGCCCTCTCCGTGCTGGGCGACTGGGGCTAGCACGAGCCATGGCGTTTTGATGCAGTAGGATTCTTAGAAATTCTTTCCTGTTTGTACTGTCATCTACGGGGAGATGTCTTGAGCCTCCTCCAGTTTACTGATATGAATTTTGGAGTCTTTATTTTATTTGGCTTTAGTGAAGTGAGGACAGAAAGAAAGTGATTTTTTTTTTCAGAATTGTGCATGAAAACTTCATGGTCGATGTCGAACAGGCCGTCTCAGGAATCTATGCATTCCGTTGTATGAATCTCTTTCTTTATCATTGAAGTCGTACATAGATTTACGTTTATCGTTATCCTGCTAGTGCTCTTTACAAGAAAGTAGGAAAGTGCCTTCATTCTTCACAAAAAAATTTGTGCGCTGCAAAAGCGGACATGTAAAAAACGTGCACAATTAGGGTAGTGTAGTTACCACAAGAGTAAATATGAAGAGTGCCACAATTGTGAACTTGAACGAAAATTGAGAATGCTACAGATGATTAGAGAGGCTTTTTTTGGGACAACAATACGGACTAGTAGAAAATTGAACGTGATTATCCGCCTTGATTATCGGTCCTCGCACCGCAATACGGCTTTCCTGGCAGTTCCTTCACGACGTGGAATGTCCTTTTGTTCCCTTACGTAAGTACCTTCTTCGCAGTCACAGTCTTGTGAGCACTAGCTTGGCAACATTCCGCACTCGCGTGTTTTTTTCCCATTAAGTACTCACTTGGAGGTTTCTCCGCGTGCTAGGTTCATTGTTGTCGAGCGTTTTACAACTCCTCGCCGAGCAGAAGGAAACAAAATGTTTCCGTGCTTGATGGACGTAGCTGCCGTGGATGCGATCCACGACCAGGCCAGAAAAGGTCAACAAGAACAGCGGTTCACAGTCTCTGCATCTCACCTGATCGGGTACACCAGCAATAACCTACGCGAGGTGGGCGGCACTTCGTTGCGGCTGGGCCTGGACGTGCCACCTTCGGCGGGCGCGGGGGTAAAAGAAAGACAGAATCATGACAGAAGGTTCCGACCGGGTATCTATATCGTGGTACTTCAGGCACAGCAGAATAAAATCTCCACCACGTCAACGTCAGCAGAAACACCGACCGGAGGGGTGGTGGGGCTGGGCGCAATACCACCGCCGGAGGATGTGGGAGAGAACCGCATTGAAGTCATACCCTTTCAAAGGCACAGCACGACGACGGCGAAAACAACGGGATTAGAGGACGAACGGTGCAGGTTCTGGACGGAGGAGGAGATTGGACATTGGCTCCCGGATCACGCGAAAACGCCCGGGGCTGTATTTGGTTCTCCGGCAGAAAAAGATGGACAAAAGGCGGGCGTCAGCGTTTATTTTCTGCGGCGGATAGCAGATTTCTCGCACCTAGGCGTTGGGCCGTGGCTGCGGGACCAAATCCTGCGACACCAAGATAATGTCAATGAGGCTTTTCTGAAGCAGGCACCCGGGGGTTCTGCAGCCTCCGTGGGAGTAGACCTCACACCGGGCGATGAACTACCTTTCTTTCTGGAAAAGATCGCGAGGAGTCGGCACAGCTGCTTGGCAACTGATGTGGTGGACCCGACGCGCGAGATGGAACCAAATCAGAAAGAGATGGCTGCCTACTGGACAAGACACGGAGGGGTGTGAGCCTTATTCGAGTGCTATGGCCTTGTTCCCCGGACCCTCTTCAACGCGGTCCTTATCCTATTAAAACCGTGTTCGCATTTGCCACTTTCGTTGCAGGTGTTTCTGCGACACAGATCAGCTTTCAGACGATGTTTTTTCTTGACTCTGATCCAGAATTGTGAGCGAGTGGAAGCTTACGCTTCGTCGGATCAAAAATATCCACCTTGCGACAAGCTTTTCGTCCAGGCATTTTAAATCGACATGAACGTGCAATTATGGCCACCGCAAGTTCTACGGCGCTCCTGCCGCCGCACCCCGCGGATCGCAGGGTCCTGCCAAAGCCGAAACATCCGGATCCTGCCGGCGAAACTTTCCTACGACAGCATGCAGGAGGCGGGACTGCTTACCGTGCCCAAAAGTGGACGACAACTGCAGAAGAGTAGGGACCAAAGCGCGGCGAAGATACCCCACACGGCGGCTGCCCGTGAGAAGGCGCGAAAAAGACTGCACTGGCAGATTTGGCACTGCATGGCGAGCACGAAAAACTGGAACCGGTGGCAGCAATTGTTCGGCGAATTTAAGGAGCGGAGGCTCGCGTATTGCGAAGTGACCTACACGCTGCTGCTGTGGGGGTACGTGCTGTCCCACCGCCACCGGTCGGAATCGGCTTTCCTGGTACTCGAGGCCATGAAGAACAGTGGGTTTGTGCACGGCGCCCTGATCCGGGCGAACGAGGGCATGCTGAACTCCTTTTTCGAGCTCCAGGAACTCCACCACCGCCCCGTCTGCGCGAATTCGTGGCAAAATATTTTCCGCCTGTTGCTGCACTGCGCCCAGCGATACCAGAAGCGAAGATGGAAGACAGCGAAGCAAGATTTGCTCGCACTGCCGCCGAACACCATGCTGGCCTTGGACCCCGCGGACGTGAAAAATGTCTTGTTGCAGGAGGTACAGGACAGTCAGTCGCCGCTGCTGGGTACAAGTAGTTGCGGCGAAGATGGAAGTGCGCTGTTACCTGCCCCCGCGGTGGGGAGCGGCAGCAGGGCGGATGAATTGCAAGAAACTACAACTCAACCGAACGGTAGTTTGTCGTACTCCTGCCCAACTACGCGGCACTACGAACAGCATATAACGATCCCGAGCTACGGTGATGTGACCGCCGTGGCCGACCGAGAATTGAAAAATTACTGCGGAGCGTACGAACGCAGTGACTACTTGCGTGCGCTTGAAGTTGAAGAAGCCATGGATACCGAACTGACGGAGCTGCTGACAGAAGATCACACTGTAGTTAACGATGAAAAGTGGAATGGTGAAGCAGGAGCGCCGGATAGTACAATGATACAGATGGATATGCCGCAACAAAAAAGCAATAGTGGTCTGCTATTTTCTTCGTCGGTCAATCCAAAGTCTCAAAAGTGGTCCTCTCGTCGTGGCGGTGGTGTTCGGTGCGGTGGTTAAGAAAATTATTTGTGAGCGGAAAGTAGTGGTCACCACAGATCGTTTTGCACTAGCTAAACGAGTGAGATAAAAAGCTCATCGCGAAGATTCTTCAGCGCTTGGAGTGAGTGTAGAAGTTTTTTGAAAGTGCATACAATGTTCATCTTGATGGACAGGTCGTAAAGACGAACAGAAATTATATGGCCACGGTCGCCACTCACGGCGTGCGCTAAGGAGGCGCTCTCCTTCGGCAAACAAGACGGCGTTGCAAAGCTTCGTCGAAAATGCCCGTCAATAACAGTCAAGAGGAGCAGCTTCGGCGGCTGCACGCTGAGATCGAGCAGACGACCCGGAAACTAGAGCTGGCGAAGCGGCGAAGCTTAAAACTGAAAGAGGATTTATCCAAAGCCAAGCGCGAGTATGAGGCGAGCTACCTCAGCCGCCGTCCGCCGGACCAAAAAGCGTTGTATGCGGCAAAGCAACTGCAGGAGAACAAACAGGCAAAAGCGCTGCTCAGGTTTTTTTTTTCTGTGCCCGCGAAGAAGATGTTGATAGATAGATAGATGATCTTTATTGAAGATGTCGCTGAGTACCATGATCGTGCGAGCCATCTGCATAATTTCTTCGTGTTGAGTATGTCCAACAACAGCCCACAACAGACTCGACGCGTTGAACCACGAGAACAATTCGCTTCGCCTGACAATCGAGGGCGTTCGCCGCGATCGGCTGCAGTGCAACGCGGTGATGAAGAAGGTGAAAGACGCGCTGCGCGAAAAGGAGCGGAATATTCAAGCGATCGACCAAGCGGCGCGCGATGCGCGAGGCATGCTGCAAGAGATCGTGCAGAGCCAGTCGAAAGCCAAAACCGACCGGGAAAAACAGCAGCGCGACTGGAAACTGAAGTTGAGAAAAGTGCAGGAGGATCTTCGTCTGGAGCGCGCGCGGGATCTGGGCTCCTTGGCGCGGGGCGGCAGTGGCGCTGGCGGAGGTGAGGAGAACCAGAACAGAGGCGGAGGAACAAATAATCCAGCGCCCCCACCTTCAAGGAGCGCAAACCCCCGTCCTCCGGTGCTCCCGTCAAGTCGCGGGGCCGCGGGAGATCAACATGGCACTTCCAACCATCACTCTTTGCATCCGCAGCAAGCGCGGGAGCTGAATGAAAATCGGTTACCGGCGCTAGAAAGCAATAACGAGCAAAGCTCGGGCAGTTCGTCGCGGCCGAACGCGGCGACAAGTTCAAAACCGAAGACTAAACAGCTGACCATCAGCACGGCGCCTCCCGAGGAAATGCGCGTGGCCGCATCTGGGTCCACAAGCAGCCCCTCGTCACCGAGGAAGCACCCGCTCGGGGGGTACGTCAATTGCACGCCAAAAAATCTACCGAAAACCCCCGCCTCCGTGGCAAACAAGGACGGAGCAGGTGCATCAACGTCGCCAACAAGCGCCGGAGGTGGACAGCTGCACACTGCGCAGAAGAATCGCGGGGAGCTGCTCTCGCGTGCCACGAAGCCGACGACCCCGCGGCCGCCCTCAAGTGACAAGGTGAAGACTAACGTGGAACACGCGAAAAACGCGATGCGAAGACAGATGGCGGGCGGGGCAAAGACCCCTTCTAAAACGAAAGAGGGCGAAGAGGGGAACAAGGGTTCAGATATTAACCACGCAAGCGGCGGACAAAGTCCTAGTGAAAAAGCGAAAAATGGCAAAGCCACACCGAAACCAAAAAGGGCATCTTCTGCGGGCGGTCGAGGGGGAAGACGACTCGTAACACCCGCAACAAACAAGGAGCCCGAGCCAAATCTTGAAGCAAACCAGTTTTCAGAGCATCGTTTCATGCGATTTATCTTCAAAGCGGCTTTCTGCAACGCGATTCAGCGGAGGCACATCAAGCAGCACCAAAAAAGCATTCAGGTAGGGAGTTGATATAGAGGTAGTTCTTTCAATATGCTTTTAATGCCAGGTCTGTAGACCACGGAGAACCAGTTTTGCTTTTTCTTCGTGTTCAAAGAAGCATTGAAGCAACGAAAGAACCACGCGTGAACATGAAAAATGCAATGCAGATCTACGAGCAGGCGTTTTCCACGATTCGCAGCAGCACCGGCATCAGTGACATCGAGGAGATTGTGAAGATCTTCACGAAATTGGAAGAGCGGAATTACAGTCTGCTGGTCTACGTGAATCTCCTGTCCCGTGACATTGAGTCCCTGTCACGGAAACGAGCCGAGTTGCTGCAAACCCGGCGGACCGAAATCGAGAAACGCCGCGAAGACGGCAAACTCCGGCGGCAGATGGTGCAGCAGGTGCAGCAGAAAATCGACCGGTTCCGCCGAATGACGGAAGAGAACAACGCGCAAATGAAGGCGGCTCACATCCCCACCGAGGTCGAGACGCTGATCAAAAACGTAGCGGCAATCTTGCGGGACGAGCACCGGAACCTCCTGCTCCACAACCGCAGCCTCGCCGGAAACCCCCTCAGCCCGGGGGTCGGCGATCACTTGCACAGTTTGAGTCTGGGTGCGGGTGGTCCTCTGTCGAGCGGATTTGCGAGTAGTGGTCCCAGCAGTGCTGGGATGAACAACGTCACCGGGGCCCTCGGAGGTTTCGGCACCCAACTGATCGGCGTGCCCGCGGCGTATCAGACAAATGACCAGGGATCCACAGCGGGGGTGATGCTGAACCAGAGTTACTTGGAGCAGGTCGCGCTGGATGAAGAAGACGTTTCCCTGGTCGACCACCTTACGTGGATCGAACGGTGCCTCACGCAGTGGCGCGAATTCCTCCCCGCAACCGTGTCGGAGTCGATTTCTTACCGAAACATGATGCCGAAGCCGTTCCCCTACACGGTTGCGCACGAGGTGAAAGCGGCCCTCAGTCCGAAGAAACAGCTCCCGACGTTGTTGAAGGCGGCAGACTTGCCGCATTCGGGCGCCGCAGTGCTGGCGCCACCGGGCGGAGTTGTTACGTCGGCGGCTGGAGGTATTTTTGTACCGTGGAAATCATCTATGTATGATGCGGTCTGGACGAGGTTTTTTATCCGAAAACATAATTAGATAAAGCATGGAACAACAATAAGCTCTTCCCGACCCGTTGTGCTGCGCGATTGCGAGTACGTTTCTGTTAATGTTTCAATTTTTGTTCTTCGTGCTATCTTCAATTCACAAGTGTTGAAAAAAAAATCGTCAGATCGCGACAAGGCACGCGGCAAAGAGGACGATGATTCGGACGAGGATGACGATCACGCACTGACCCGGGAGGAGCTCCAGAGCAAGGTGAATTCGCTGCTGGCAAAGCGAAAGAAGAAATTCGCGAACGTACGACTGACCACGCAAAGACGAGGTGAGTTCATTTTCAGCTTTTGGAATGTGCGCAGAGGCAGACGGAATCTAGAATTAAAATTCTATGTATAGTTTTTATTGACCTCATGTGAGGTGCTGTTGCGTGCAGAGCCCCATTTTCATGTTGCCACTCGCTTTTTGCTCTTTTCCAACCCAGGTTCGCAAGGCGAGGATGTCCTCGCCAAGATTACTGCGGGCGCTGGCGAACTCAAGCCAGATTCCGATGACAGTTCGTCGCTCTCCGACAGCGAGAGCAGTAGCAGCGGCTTCTCGAGCTCCAATGATTCAGCGAACCCCACGGACGAGCAAATCAACGAAATCTTTTTGAAACGGTAAATGAGGCAGGATCTGCTTCTTGGAATGAATATCTAGTCCAGACTCATTCTGCTCCACGACCTTTCGTCATATCAATCTCAAACAAGCTAGCATAATGGACGATAAAAGGGTACTAAAATTAGAACTCTGACTCACGCACGTGCTATTTCTGGTTTTCCTTACACGACTTTTGCTTCTAAGAAGCGAAAAAATCTGCTATCAATCAGGTACAAGATGTCCAAAGCGGAGCTGGTCGCGATGGCGGAGAAGATGGGAATTGCGCTGAGCAACTTGTGCTACCTGAAGCAGGAATTTGACATGTACGACGAGGACAGCAGCGGGTTCATCGATTTGGACGAACTCCGGGAGTTGCTGCAAAAGCTCGGGGAAGACCTCAGCGAGGAGGAGCTACACCAAGCGTTCAAGGAGCTGGATCAAGACTGCAGCGGGGAGATCGAATTCTTCGAGTTCGTGGAATGGTTCACGACGGAGGAGTAGAAATGTATGGCGGGCTGGGCATGATACGCGTAATTTGTATACCAGATAATTAGTGAAAAAAAGTTGAAGTTTTTGCAGCAAATTTGCACAGAAAAAAATCCAATGATAACGCAAAGTGAAGAGAGTTTAGAATAGAGGACCGATCGACGACGGTGACAAGAGTGCTTTCCATTTCAGTCAAAGATGCGAAGATAGTAGAGGTACTACAACGTTTTAGGTTTCTGTAATCGCGAGCTGCTAGTGGCCGCCGTGACAGTTGTTTTCCAGAAATGTTGAAATAAATGCGAAATATCTAGAAGAAGACAAAAATCGTCTGTCGTGAAAAACGACTCTCTTGAGCTTCTCCCTCCCCGGTTTCATTGTAATGAACGTTTCATCCCCTTGTGGTCATCTCTGCCGTGAGAACTGTACGATGTTGCTAGAAACAAGAACGGGATTTGGTGTGTCTGCAGATACGATCGCTGCAAAAGTGCTGCTGTGGCATTGTGAGCAGCGTTTTGTTGTTCGCTGGGTGTAGTCTCGATGTGCGAAGAAAGACAAAGCTGATGTCAAAAAACATGAAGGAGAGCGGCAACCGATTCTGTTCTAGAGGAGTTGATTTCCTTTCTTTCCCAAACCGGCGACTAGGTGGATTGACATCCGAAATTATAACGCAAAAGGGTAGTGCGGTCCTAGTAAAACAGCAAAATATAAATATTATTAGACACTCGAAGTTGACGGTCGCGAAGACAAAGATGATAAGTACTTCAGTAGCGTAGTTGCAGAGCCACCCTATCAGTTTTCATAGGCTGAGTAGGCGACCCATCCAAGATGGCGCAAGTTCAGGGAGGGCCAGCGCCGGCCGTCGGCCCGCTGCAGCAGCGGCTTAACGCCCATCGCAATCGGGTCCGCGACCTGCACCAACATTATCCCTACCACAAGGACTTGGTCATCGACTTTCTGCAGAACTTCGCGGACGAAAAAGTGCGGGACAACAAGTATTGTTTTGTTGACGATTGATGCATTTATTTGAACCTGAGAGAGAGCAAAGGTTTTCGATTCAATTGCGGAGAAATTTCCGTGCTGTATGGAGGCTCATAGAAACACAAAGGGACATGGGAATATTTTTGCGTCAGAAAGACATATTTAGAAGACTCAGCATCAAAACTATTTATGGTCAATCGCAACTGTCCCAGGTATGGATACAAAAAGTACATGAAGATGCTTCAGGATCTTGCGAACCACCAGCGAGATACGCTGACCATCGAGACGAATGACCTCGCCGCTTGGTGCGAGATGGTAGTGCGGAGCCCCGATCCGAAGGCAGCCTACGCGGGGACCCTCTTTACGGGTGTATCCAAGGAAAAAAAAAATTGCCGTAGGGGTGCACCGTTTTTACATTCGTTGACTCCTATAATGTCGCAGCACATTTTCAAGTGTGATTTGTATTATGCAGGAGCTACTTTTTTTCGCAACTTCGTGATGTGAAACAGCGTCAAGTTTTGCACTTCGCAATGCTTTCCTACAGCCATTTTTTTTTTTGATATCGGGTGATGACGAACACCAGGCGTTACGAGAAATTTTTCTTCGAGAAAATGACTAGTCTGCTTCCCCAGCCGGACCACAACGTTTCTTGCGATCCCCAGGTGCTTCGGCGCTATGCTTTGTCGAAGCAGTTCCTCGCGAGTAAAAAGAATGAGGATGAGGCTGCGGAGGCGGAACTAGGCGCGGAGCCGGACGCCAAAAAAAACAGCCCGCAGTACCGCATCCCGGAGAAGTTGATGTACCCGTTCGACGTGCGGTTTAAGGAGACACGGCCAAAGGAAAACATTGTTAACTGGGGGCTAAGGGACATCAAGGCAACGGCGATCGGAAAGCTGGTATGACGCGACTGGAGATTTTGAAATTTCACATCAACCCGGAGTGTTTAACGCTCTTCGCATTTTTCCGTGTGCCGAACTGATTTAGCTGGTGTTTCACTCTTGCTTCTGTATCTTTACATCAATCAATTGCTGAATATATTAGTGTCGTTTTTCCTCTTCGAGGTTTGCTTCAACGGGCAAATAACCCGCGTGTCCCCGGTGAAGCCGAAGATGGAGGTCGCGACCTACCAGTGCACGTACTGCCAGTCGCGGGTGTTCCAGCCGATCGAGGGGGACGAGTTCATGCCCATGCAGGACTGTCCCAGCACGTTCTGCAAGGACAACAAGACGACGGGCCTGCAGGAGGGGCCGCACCTGCCGCAGTGCAGGTTTGTGAAGTACCAAGAATTGAAGGTGCAGGAGCTCGCGCGCGAGGTCCCCGTGGGGAGTATTCCCCGAACGCTGACGGTGTTGGTGCAGGGCGACCTGTGCCGGACCTGCAACCCGGGTGAGGAGGTTACGCTCACCGGGGTGTTCATCCCCCACGTGCAGAACGTGCTGGGGAAGCAGATCACCATCATGTACGTGCACGCGCACGACATCGTCATGAAGAAACGCAGTGGCAAGGACGACGAGAACTCGCACGAGGCCAAGGCGCTGCTGAACCAGGTGGTGCAGGCGAGCAAGGACCCGCGGATCTACGAAAAATTGTCCCAGTCGATCTCGCCGCAGATTTTCGGCATGGAGGACGTGAAGAAAGCCCTTTTGACCCTGCTCGTGGGTGGTTGCACCAAGAAACTCGGGGATGGGATGAAGGTCCGCGGGGATATCCACGTCTTGCTGATGGGAGACCCCGGAGTGGCAAAATCGCAGTTGTTGCGACAGGTACCGAATATTTATTTTTGTGACAACTTCAACTGTTCGATAGTTCCTTTGTTTGTTGTGTTGCACAGCACGGGGTGAATATTTGTTTGGGTGGAATGAGGATGCCACGAATCTTCATCATCAAAAGCAGCCACCAATGAATAAGTACACACCTACAGGCGTCCAACATCGCGGAGCGGGCAACGTACACCACGGGCAAAGGTTCCTCCGGTGTGGGTCTGACGGCGGCGGTGATCCGCGACCAGCAAACGAACGAAGTGCATTTAGAGGGCGGCGCGCTAGTGTTGTCCGATGACGGGGTCTGCTGCATCGATGAATTCGATAAGATGGAAGAGTCTGACCGAACGGCTATCCACGAGGTCATGGAACAGCAGACGGTTAGCATCGCGAAAGCAGGTATCGCTCTGCGACCACGTTTTTTGCGTCTGTAAGAAAGCGTTTGCTTAATTTTATGTGTGCGCTCGGTGCAAAAGGAAACCAAAAAGCTGGGCGTTATTTTTCATTTCATGCGCTTATTTTCGGCAGCCGAGATGTGTCCTACTGAGATTGGAATGAAAAGAGCTCTAGTGTGAACGACAACTCTTTCCAGGCATCACCACGACGTTGAACGCTCGCACTTCGGTGCTCGCAGCGGCCAACCCGCAGTTCGGGCGGTACGACCTGAGCAAGTCCCCCGTGGAGAACATGAACTTGCCCGCGGCCTTGCTATCCCGGTTCGATCTGAAATTTCTGCTCCTGGATCACGTCAGCAAGGAAGGCGACATCAAGCTGGCCAAGCACGTGCTGGAAACGCACCGGCACGGCACCGCGGAGGGCGGGAAAAAGAAGGGGGACGGCGTATCCTGAGTAAAAACGTACCCACACCAGAGTCAGGATGGGGATTTTGCAACACAAACCTAGGAGTTTTGTGAGTCACGCATGACAAGTTGCACTCTGCAGTGTAGTGCAGGTTAGCAAGTGCAGCCGCGCCACAGATTCATCTGCTCATCCTGTTCACAGCATCACAAATTCCAAAACACGACTGGAAATGGCTCTCATGCGGATGCGCGTTACAAGTTTTCCTGTCTTTGCAAATCTGCATTACAACTCTGGCGCGGGTACGTTTTTACTCAGGATACGGCGGACCCGCGGGCGTGGGGTTGACCGAAGACGGCAAGTTCGACGTGAAATTTCTGCGCGCCTACATAAAACACGCCAAGAAGTTCGAGCCCCTGGTGCCGCGGAGCCTGGAAGAAAAAATCGTGCTGCGCTACGTGGAAATGCGCAAGGCGGAGCGCGACGAGAGCGCAGACCAGCGGAAGGACTACGTAACGCCGCGACAATTGCTGGGAATGATCCGCTTGTCGCAGGCGTTAGCCAGGCTCAAGTACTACATTTTGATAAGATAACAAGAAGGGACTTCAGGACTAGATTTGGGTCTATTTCAGTGTCGTCTTTGTTCTAGAGGTCCTAGGTTTCTTCAAACCAAGACTTGTAAGAGGCAGAGCGCAGAAGGAGACACAGTACCCGGTATGTATGCGAAGTAGATGTTGGAAACAACATCAAACATATAAACCAGGTTCAGCAACGTGGTGGACGAGCGTGACTGGGAGGAGGCCATCCGCTTAACGGATGAGAGCAAACGTTCCGTCCTCGTTGACGCCGACGAGGCCGATGCAGAGGATGACCGTGCGGCATTCCAGCGGGAGATGCGATTGGACGAAGAAGACAACGACGAAGACGGCGTCAATGAAGGAGCCATGAACGATCAGCTGGAAGGTTTTTTTTTTGTGAAATTTTCCAATGGAAATTATAAATAAGAGCGATGTGGCAGTGCTCCCTTCGTTTCGCACGACGGGGTTTTCGTTTTTTTTTTATTTCCTTAACGTAGAGCAGCACAACACAACAGCAGTTTCAGTTTTATACCGAATCGGAATTTTGAATCTTAACACAGCGATGCTTGGCGGCGGGTTAGACCACTTGACTGCGGAACAGCAAAACGAGCGGATTAACCAGCAACTGCATGAGGGGAACAACGAGGACTACATGGGTGGCATCTGGGACCTCATGCGGGCGGAGTTCATTAAGGTACTTTCAAAAATCTTCCGTGAAAAATTTCGATTTGTGCGACCTTTGGAATCAGATATCAGAACAGCTTCGCGGAGGTCGCACGTAGCATCATGATCGGATGCTGTTGTATCAGGTAGAAGTATAATTTTTAGGTTCGAAAAGCAAAAACCACATTAACAATTTGCTGTTTCAAAACTCCTCAACCAGGCCGGGAAGGGCGAGCCACTGTTCGTCAGCGAGCTGAAGAAGATGATTACGAAGCGGGGGTTCAATAACGCACAATTCGACGAGACGCTTGAATTTTATGAGGATATGGGCATTTTCGAGTACACCGACGGCACGAAGACCGCTATCCTCGAAAAAAGCTAATTGCTTTGCTCGCTCGAAAAAAAATGATGTCTTCAGTCTTTTTACAACAGAACTACTTATCCATTGGAAAGGATTTACTTTTTAGCAATTGCAACGCCCATGATGACGTGACGTTACTCGTGGCCTGTAGTGTTGCAGTCGAGTTTTAATATTGTCGCGTTTCATAATGCAAAGGACAAGCAGCTAAGCAACGGATCTAGTGATTTTTACACAGCGGTCGGCAATGCATTCTGTTGACCGAAGCGAGTCGAGATCAGATTCCGAGTTTATTTTTGTCAGATCCTCCGCGCGCGCAACTGATGCGCCATGCATTATGATAGTATTTTGTCAGATGTCGAATGATGTTTTTGTTAAAGCTGCGACTTTCCGTGACTATACTTCCTAACGGTCACAGTTTTTTGCGACTCCGCGCGACGTGTTGAATTCTTGAATTTAGAAACTCAGCAGCAGCACCAGGCACGCGAAGGTGAAAACAAGCGACATAAAGGTAGCATCACGACATTGAGACGCAGTGTTTCCTGTTCTTGTTGAAGTGGTCTTATTTAGTAGACAAGTAGGGTTCATCAGATTTCAGTACTCTCTGTTTGTGACACAGCCTCAGTCCACGTGATAGCATGTCGATAACGTTTTTATCGCAGCAAGATTACGCTAAGCAGAAAAGGAATTCCGCGCGCAGAATTCGCTTGCCGAATTTTTCATTTGGACAATTATGCTAGGACGTCGTCGTTTTTCTTTTTCCCGCTCTACTGCCTGTCAATCTCATTTGTAGCTAGAAATTTCACAAGTAGAGTACCGTTGTGTCTGCAGTGACTTTTTTTGATAAAAATTAGAGCAAGCTTTTCTTGTTTCGCACATTCAATAATATTGTGACACTTCTGAGGACTTCTATGAAGAGAGCAATTTTTCTACTCATCGAGGTTGCCTAAACCTCTTATTCTTGCACTATTATGGACTTGTACTATTCAAATGGTTTTGCCTTTCTCTATCAAATTTCCCCTGCCTGTATTATTCGCGTGCCGGTTTATCAATACCGTCAAACAACACAACTACATTCGTTGATGAAATACACTGAATACAAGAAGAAATAGAATGACTTTTGTGCTACAAGTGTGGAACAAAATCTTTGAAGAAGCGTCTTCTGAAAAATCTACATCAACCGCGAAATAAAAGTTTCAAAAGATCTGAACACCCAGCGAAACATAGAAAAATGTCTACGTCAAACCACAATCGGCCCTACGGAGGAGGAAGCTCCCCTCCCATTCGCCGGCAGCAGAACAACCACCGAAGCAAAAACAATGGCGTGATCAACGTAAAGTTTCAGAGGTCGGGAAAAACCACGGTTTGGGGAGCAGGTGGTCAACAGCAACACTACGCAGACGGGGCAGGAGGAGAGCATGGTGGCAACGATATCAACAATATGGAGCAGCAGCTGAGTCCATCCGGAAAAAATTCTAGTAGCAATAACGGAAGCACAAACAGTGTCAACAACATTGCGAACAGCAACCAAGGTGGAAGTACTTCCAATTCATCCGCTGCTGGTAATAATATCACAGTCTACAGGGGTCAGCAGGGAAAGGGACAGCAGGGCGGTAGCGGTATGGTTCACTATGGCAATGGAATCAATGTTTCATCTATCAAATGTAAAAATGTCTGGGTCTGGAAGATTCTGAGACTTGTCATGCATGTTTTGCATTGGCCATGATGTCTGTGATGCATGCCCTAGCATCACAGATTTTTTGAGGGCTTCGCGATGCCTATTCCGCATGACAAATTCCCTCTCCGCGTAGCAAAAATTGCATTCCCTTTGCTGCTCATGCAATACAGATTTTTTTGGAATCCAAATTCAGCATCACAAGTCGCAATCTTCCAGACCCAGACATTTTTACTTTTGATATCATCCACGACCTCGGGCGGCTACAACAACTCGCATGGACAGCAGCACGGCCCCTATCAAATGTAAAAATGTCTGGGTCTGGAAACTTGTAATGCTGGGTGGCGTCTCATGATGAGGCTACAAATGCTGGCTCAGCATGACAAGTTTCTGAGCTCCTAGGTGTTGCCTCTTCTGCATGACAAACTGCGCTCCTGCATCACAGAAACGCGTAGCTCTTGGGTAACGTGCATGACAGATTTAAGAGTCATGCCAGACAAGCATGACAAACATGAAGTCTTCCAGACCCAGACATTTTTACACTTGATAGCCCCCGCGGAGGTACAACGAATCTCGCTGCGCAGGGCCAGCAACAGGTGTCTTACAAAAGTAACAACTCCAACGCAGGTGGGCAGCAGCAGCACCAGCAGTACGGTGCCAGCACCAACACCTCTCGCGGAGGCGGAGTTCAGCACCAGAACATGACCCCGAGTGTGGGAAACGTGCCGCACATCCATCAACGGTCGAAAAACGGAACCAACATGCACGGCCAGCAACAGCACCAGCACGGCTCGTCGTATCATGCGACCGGTGGAAATAACGTCGCGACCGGCAATTATCGTGGTAACAACGACCACGAGAATTATCGTATGTCCAACGCGAGTAGCCGAGGAGGCGGCGGGAACAATCATGTACGCAACGCTGGTCCGCGGAACAACGGTGGAAATAGCAACAATCCGATGAACATGAACCACGCAGCCAATGGTGGGCAACACCAGAACGCCAGCGGCATATCAAACCAAAACGCCTTCGGAGGACAGCAACAGCATCAGAACCAGCAGCACCAGCCGTTCGTGAACCCCCTGGAGCAGATGTTCAATGCGAGCAATCTTTTTTCCCATGAACATATGATGAACCAGGTCAATATTCAGACCGGCGGGCCAAACAGTCAGACAGCTCCCGGCCAGCACCACCAACCCGGCACCCTGACCGCCAACAACGGGCTCGTCAGCTTCACGCCGGGGGCCCCGGTGGCGGCCGCCGGGGGTGGAGTGGGGAACTCGGCATCGAAATCCGGAATGAGTGGCGGGGGAACTACAAACCACAACAGCACGTCCGGCGTGACCAACGGAAATAACACTGGTGCAGCGAATGCGAACAGCAACAATCCGAAGACGATGCAGCAGATGTTGAGCCAGATGCAAAACCAGATGCAAAAGACGGGGTTTCAGTTTCCTTGCAACCTAATGACCCTGATGAACATGAACATTCAGCAGCCCAACTCGGGTCAGCAGCAGCCGCAGCAAGTGGGGCCCCAGATAGTAAGCAACAATGCCGCCAACAACAACGCCCACCAGATGACGGCGAATGCCATGCAGAGTCAGCAGTGGCACTTGCTGTTGAAGGGGATCGAAACGCACTTAGTGGAGCTGTCCTCGAAGTGCAGCATTTGCCCGGACCGCAAACGTATGATGGATCATTTGTTCCGGCATGCCGTGCGGGCCGAAGTTCAAAACCAACTGCGCTCGCAGCGAACCCAGGAGCCCGCGTTCGTCAGGTGACAAAAGTTGTTTTTGTTTTTTGATTCTATGTTTTTATTTTCGGGCATTAATTATTGTTTTATTCCCGGAACAGCATGTGCATGCGGGAGGTTCGAGAACCTCTACTTGCGTTCTTCAGTAGGGTCATCGCATGAGATGAACAACAAGTCGAATCATTGCAGGTTGTTTGGTAGTTGCGTGAATGGGTCCGCTACCAACGACAGCGACTACGATTGTGGGATTCGTCTCCCGATCGAGTTGCGGGAGGAGCTCGAGGACGCGGTGGAGCACAGCACTTTCCCCATGCGGGCGAAAACCCACAATTTTCCGTTGATCCTCGCGTTGCGCCGCTTGATTTCCGGCATGAAGCACCGGGGGTTCAGCTGCCAGTGCATCGAGGAGGCCCGGGTGCCAATCCTGCGCTGCAAGCTTGTGGATAGCACGGAGGACAAGGAAGGCGAGGACCCCAAGGACAAGGCGTTGCCGATCTGGACCACACTCCAGCCACCCCCGTTTTCCCCGCCGCCCCCCGCAAAGGTTGAGGAGGTGGAGGTGGAGGTGGAAGACGATGATAGAGTGGACGTCGACAGCTGCACCAGCAGCGCGTCCAAAGAACAAGGAGGGGCTACGGCATGCAGCGAACCTGCGGGAGGTGATGTAATGGAAGTTGAACATCAAAATAGCACGACCGTCACGGTCGCGGACGGGGCTTCTACGGTAGCTGCCCAAATTGGTGTCGCCCAGACCGCCGAAATCCAGTTAGATAAAAAGACGATTTCCATCCAACTGTGCCCGCCGGACCTGCTCCCGCCGCCCCCGAGGATGGACCCGCCCGGCATGCTGGAGCCGCCGGGCCTGGAGCCGCCCGGCATGGACCCGCCGCCGTCGCAGGCGGGCATGGAAATAAGCAGCAGCACTCTCGCCCCGCAGAATGTGATCCGCGGCAAAGAGCGTCCGCAATCACCGCCACCGCAGCCGCCGCCTGGACTGGAAGGGCTGGAAAACAAGCAGCCGCAGCATACGTTTAATAACGACCAGGTCGTAGTACACCGCACCAACCAGCAGCCACAGCCTTTTCAACAACAGCGGCCGCCGCCGGCGATTTTGCACACTTCGGCCGGTTTGCCAGTCCTGTCGATCGGGAATAAGAAAAAGCCCTTGCCACACACAATCCCGATCCCCAGCTCCCCGCCCCCGCCGATGCCCCCGCCACCGCCGGGGCTGCCCCAGCAGTTGCTCGCGCAACACCACCAGGAACAGCACCAGCAAACGGAGATCGAAATGGTGGTCGAGGAGCATAACGTCACTATCATCGATCCACCGGCCAAGACGGCTGCGTCGAACATGCCCCGTAGTACCAGCACCGCGGATCAACATCGCCGAGTCACGTCGGAGGACCTGTTTCTGTCCCTCCCGACGAGTCCCCCGCCGACCATGCCGCCCCCAAGTGTGCATCAGATGGCTTTGTTACCGCGCAGCACCAGCAGAACCTCGACTGCGGGGGGCGGGAAGTCGTGTAATGGGACGACCACTAGCAAGAACCAGAACGGCGGTTGTAACTCCTCCGCGACGAGCAACGTGACCGCTGGTGCGCAGCAAACGTCCACGACCTCGGTTGGCGTGACCACTACCACAACAACCGTGTCTTCGTCGTCCCAAAAAGAAAGTACAGCAGTAGTTGCAAACAACAGTCTGCTTCCCCCAACTGCGCCGCCGACCGGGCCTCCGGCGCTTCCGACGATTTTGCCTCCGCCCTCGCTGCCGTCGACCTTGCCGCCGATGCTGCCGCCGTCGCTGTCCCCACGGCGCAGTCTGTCGATCTGCACTAGCCAAACGGGGGATCTTCACGTGCGGTCGCGGAAGTGCACAGAAGCTGGCACTGTTGTTGGAGGCGGGTCCTCGTGTGGAGCTAGTAATGCGGGCGTTCAACCCGCCCTTGAACAGAAGCAGCAACCTGAGCCGCCGCCGTTGATGCCGCTGCTGAATATGAGCAGCTTGACTGACCAGACCGGCATGAACAACACGTCCCTGAACATCAGTTGCGATACGACTGTGGTTGAGAAAGAAAGCAGTTGTAACGAAGACAGTTCATCCGGTGTTGTTGACAAAGCCGCAGACCACATCGGTTCTGGGGCGACGAGCGCGCAAGTAGTCACCGAGGGCAGCGGTGGAGGTTCTTACCAGCAAAGCAAAACTACGGGTACCACTACCACGTCCGGTGCCGCCGCAACCCTGCCCGAGGACATCACGATTCGCGGAAACTACAATTTAGCTACGTTCGACATCAGTGTGGCCACGGAGGATTTTGTCTTTGAGAATTCCCGTTTGCTCCAGCTGTACACCGACCTGCAACACCCGTACTTCGGGCAGCTGACGATTCTGATCAAACGGTACTTCAAGCTCGCGGGCTTGTGCGACGCGCACAGCGGGTTCTTATCCTCTTACAGTCATCAGTTGCTGTTGATCCACTTCCTGCAGCGCCGGCGATTGTTGCCCTACTTGCAGGACCCGGATCTCGTTGCGAAGTGGGAGAATGAGCGCAAAGACGCCAGGGAGGAGCTGGAGCGGCTGGAAGAGGAGGCCGCGGCCGCTGAGGCGGGAGAAGACAACGACGACGAAGAAGAGGATAGCGATCATAGCATCGGGAATAACGGCGCTCCCCACTCGACCTGCGACTCTCCGAAAAAGAAGTCATCCTCCACGAACTTAGAAGTTGTAGTCCTTGGGCAACAGCAGGACAAATCCACCTCTGGTGCCGACGACCAACGTGGAATGACTAGTAAAAAGGACCACGACGACCAGAAGAGGATGAACACTTCCGCGAAAAAGAAGCAGGATACGACCCCGGACACCGCGTCGACGACGACGAGTCCGGATCAGGTGACTTTGAAGGAGAAAAAACATCACCTACTAGCGCCCTCCTCCCACCACACGACGACGACCGCCAGCGGCGCGATTATTTCCGGGGAGCGCGGAGACTGGATGCGGAAAGAGTGGGTGGAGGAGGCGAAATTTGTGGACTGGAAGCTGTTCTGTCCCTGCGAGGACCCGTTGGACTACTTCCCGGATGTGCAAAAACTGCCCTACGAGGCTGGCGCGGACAAAGGTGGAAACAAGTTCGTGATGCCGGTGTTATACCAGCTGTTCTGGGACTTTTTGTGCTACTGGGCGCATTTCAAGCCCTTCAAGTTCATGGTCAGCATTCGTCGTCGCATCATGTTCTCGGACTGTACGTATCAGAAAGAGGAGTGGCACTGCGTGGAGACGGGGAACGTAGTGGGACCAGAAGTACTTCTTGCGGAGAAGAAAAACGCGTTTACTGGGGGCGGGGAGCAGCACAACAATAATACCTCCATCTTCGACCAAATTGGCAACAGCACCCTGTACGGTGTGGGACTTTTTCTTTCTCCTGAATTTCAAAAGGTCAAATTTTGTGTTGAACGGAAATGTTGAACTTTGCATGGGTAATATTAAAGAGTAGGGAACAAACTCTTGTTCATTCATTTCGACGCATTTCCTTCTCAGCCTGCGACACTGGACTTGCAGCGAAGTTTTGTAAAGTCGTGCATATAATGCAAATGCGCATAGCTCTGTTGACCTGAATATCTCAGGAGGATTTATTCACTTTCTGCCAGCATACATGAAACGAGTCGTCGTCCTTTTTCGACAATGTCTGCGAGTCGAGCCAAGACGATGAGAATTGCAACTCCAGCGTATCCTCCAGTTCTTTTGGCTTGAAGGAGGAGCAGCAGGAGAACTTGCAAACCTTCGACATCGCAGGCACGAGTACCACAAGCGACCACACTAAAAACGTGCTGACTGCGTCGAAGCCTCCTGTTAACAAACCGGTGAAGAAAAAACTTGTCAAGGCCTTTCGGTGTCTCGTGTCCGAGGAAAAGTCGAAGTTCTACTTCAAGATTGAAGATCCCTGCGAGCCCGGGCGCATTCTGGGCATGGTGGACTACAAGTTCCAGCAATGGCACGCGCACATCAAGCGCGACCAGGAGCTACTCGCGATTCATCCGTCGTTCATTTTCCAGGTGCTCAAAATGGAGCCCAGTCCGGAATTCGCGCCGAGCTTGGGGAGTACCACAACGACCAACATGCTGGGGACGAGTACTGGTGCTGGTGCAGGATTACCTTCATCCGCAGCCGGGAATAATCTTCACCATCAAGCTTCTGCAGGAACTACGAGTAATAACACAAACACGAATTCGACTTATGACCAGACCGCGCCGACGCTATTCGTACCGTTCCCCGCAAACCTTCCTAACAGCACGACTGCGAACAACGGCAATACGACTGGCGCTGCGAATTTCTCGATGAACCCGATGCACTTGCAGCCCTTCGCGAGCAGTTTTGCACAGTTAGGAACAACTGCAACTGGCACCACGAACAACACCTCCACCGCCGGTTCTGCTGCAACTGGGGTCACTACTACATCTTCTGGTGGCGTCAACAATGCTGTCGATACCCAGAATGCTTTGCTTGGACGTACGATCTCGGCCACGTCGAACGGTTCCGTGGCGAGCTCGAATGCGACGGCGAATGCGACGAACCAGGCTGCGGCCAACGCCATGGCCGCGATGATGGGAATGCAACAACTGCAGCAGATGAACGGTTTCAACATGTTTGCCCCACAACCTCCCCAACAACAAGCTCCGGCAGCAACTAGCGGAACGTCGACCACGGGGGCTGCTGCGTCTACTGCTGCGAACGGAAATAACGGCAAAAATCAGCAGCAGCAAAGTGCCGGTGGTCAACAACAGGAGCAGAACAAAATGTCCTCGCAGCAGCAAATGCAGAACGCTTTCCACCAGCAATTCGCCCAGATGATGCAAAAGTCGTCGGTTTCCGCGCAGCAAACGGCGAACAGCAACAATTTCATGATGAGCCTGATGGCCCAACAGGCCAGCATGTTGATGAATAACTCGATGATGCTGAACCCGATGATGAACCCGTTGTTTAACCCCGCGGCTGCCCTCAGCGGTTTGAATAACCGGAATGGACCGATGAATTTCCCACTGCCCGCGGCGCCCATGCTGAACCCCTTTCTGGCCCCGGGCGCGATGCCGCCGTTCCCGCCAAACATGCCGCTCCCAAACATGGCCGCGCTGCCGAACCCCAATCTGGCTGCCATGATGGCGGCGGCGAACTACTTCGCCAACGGAGGTGCTGCAGGAGGTGCAAATAATAATCCGAGTGCTGCTGGTGGTGTTCCCACGCACACCACTGCAGTTGGTGGACCTGGTTCCGGGATGATGGGTGCTGCGGGCAGTGCTGCGCCGCAGGGAGGTGGAGCTGCGCAAACTTCGTTTGGAGGTCCGACCAGTTTAGGCGGACAGGTGGCAGGCAGCCAGGGTAGTTCGGCAGCGCAGGGAGGGGGCTTTGGTCCTAATACTCGCGGTATATCGTCGGCTGGGCCAAGCGCCATGGAAAGCGGCTACCATTCGACCAGCGGCGGTGGCAAGGCCAATGCCTGGTCGCCGCAGTACCAGTAGTGCGGTAATGCGGTTAATTTTTATCGGGGACAAAAAAGTTGTACAACAGGTCGTGGTGTTAGTGTTTCTTTTCTGAGAAGAATATTGAAAGAACAATATGTTGTACTGCCGAGCTTTATGCGAATACAGAAGAGAATCACAAGAGGAATGAAAAATTCGATGCAGTTTATCATTGATTGGTCCAATTTGAACTGCATTTGAGTTTGATCGAGATGTGCCTGGAGGTGCATTTCAGATTTATAAGTTTCTAGAAGATGTTGATATTTCTCTCCTCTACTGCAGGACGAACACATTTTACACTAGCAGCTGCAACCGCACTATAGGCTCAACTTGGGACGTCTTCGAAATAACGGGAACAAAGGGCTATATTCGTTTCGCTTCAGTGATTGAAGTGCTGTGGATAGAGCTTTTTTTCAACGGTAATTATACAGACTTTTTCGCTAGGTGGAGTTTGCAACGACTCTCCTGGTGCCTCCAATAATTGATTTTTTGGCCGCTGTCCGCCTCTTTGCTTGGACGTTCTTACTGAATCAAATTTGCCTAAATTTCTTATTCTGCCGCCGGCTGCTGGAGCGATGCTACGTAGCGATGAGGATGACTATGTGCCGATTTTTGTCCGATGGAGCAGTGGTCTGGTGGGGAGAAATATAGAGCTTTTCTTTTTTCGTTCTCCACGGATCATGGCTCTATTTTGACGATTATTTGGTAAGGGCAATTAGAACATGTAGGCCTAGGCCTCCTGTAGTTCCTAGCTGGCGACTCTAAAAAAATTGTCGACGTGATAAAATGATGATGAGGTTTTGTTCAAGATAGAATGTATTTACTGTGGTGTCGGATTTTTGATGTAAAAATATTATTTCTCTTGTATACAGTAAATTCATCAAAACGAATTTTGGAAACCCATCATTTAGAGTTTCTGATCAGCAACTCCATTGATCGGAATTCAAATTTATAAATTTTTTCTTGCTCGAATAATGGATTGAAAAAAGTAGAAAAGATATTCACAGAAACAGGCTGCATTGCGGTCCCAGTGGCCGCTTGTGCAGGCAGACACTCACTCACGATAGTGCCTGTGCTGGTGGCATGAAAATTTTCGCTCCACGCTTTTCTGAAGATTCGGTTCTGCAGATGCTAACAATTCGTAATCCTAATCGGTTCTATGTGTCATCATGCCATCTATTCATTCTGTGTATTTTCGCATGTGAATGATTTCGGTCGAAATAGAAAATATCTCTAATCGGTGCATCAGGACGGATGTCGCGCGAATGTTTGTTGTAGTCGGAGATTCGGTGCAAACAGTAGTTCTTGTTGATGTTTGTCGGTTCGTAGGCGTCTGTGAAGCGTCGGTCGAGAATAAAATTTCATTAATGCAGTTTTTTCGTGGAAAATGAAATCAGTTTATGTTTGTATGGATCATCTTCATCATGTCAATGTCTTCGAAAACTCGAACAGTGTCTCTGCTCGCATCCGTCGTGTATTCCTTTATTCGAGGTGAAACGGATGTAGACACGACTTGAAATCAAAGTTGCATTTGTTTCTTTTCACTCCTGGTTAATGTTGCATTTTCACCAGCATTTCCAAGTGAAGCCACCTATTGTCGTAGTGGTGTAATTCGTGCTTAGAACTACATAAGAATTATCCAAGATGTTGCAGCAGCTCTTCATAGGCGCTGCGAATTTTGTGGCGTCCGGAAAGCGAGGCGGCCGGGGAGATGACCTCTATGATTTCTACAACAGCGTGAATCTTCTGATGGGTATCATGCTTCTGCTCTACGGCCTGAAGGGCGCCATCCGGGCGTGGCGCGCATGTTTGAAGTGCCGGATTCTGATGCGCGCCTTCGGATTTTTCGCGCTGAAAGACCGGCAGTTGGAGTGGGATAAGAAATCGAAGGAAGAGAAAGCGGCCGCAACCAAAAATTCGGGGTCGTTTTCATCTTCTGCCGGCGATCTGAATAAAATGGCGGAAACCATCCGGCCGAGCGGCTACGGAGCAACCGGAACAACTACCACCGCGATGAACAGCAACAATTCTACGCGGCGCCGGGGTAGCACCACGCCGCCGGAGGACCAAATAACACAACAACAAAAAAGCGTAAACACGACCTCCGGCAGAGAAAGTTCCTTCCTGCGCCCCCGTTTGAGCCAAACGGGCCCGCCGACCGCTGAGGAGAAGGGGCAGTGCCTCCGGTCCATCTTGTCGTACGGCGAACTGCACGTGTCGGAGATGATGGCCGATTTGGAAGAGGCACCGAGCCACATCTGGCGCGGCTTTTGGCTGTCCGCCTGCGTGCTGTTTGTGTTAGTAAGGTGGCAGGACATGAACTATCTCTCCCGGGAGCTGCTGGACTTGTCTGCGGGGAGCGCTTTCGGCGCGGTGTTCCTGCCCAGCGTGGTCCTGTTTCGCTACCTGCTGGACGTGTTTCGCGGCTTTCTGCTCGTTTCCGGCCTCCTGTTTGCGGTGTTCATCCCGCGGGCCCGCAGGAAGGACTACTGGGTGTACGATCTGCCCGAAGACATCACCGACGAGGAGATCGATATTTTGCTGAAGTCCCGGAACGTGGGCTGGATTTCCGCGGACATCTGGCACGGGTGGGCGGCGGGCATCGCGGTGGCCAACGGCGGGATCAGCATCATCTGCTGGATCTTCGATCTGTGGGCTCGCGCGACGATCGGCCTGGAGCCGTACGGGTGGATCGAGAAAAGGCGGGAGGCGTTGAACCTGACCGGCGCACCAGTCACGACCGCGTCACTACCGGACGGGCAGATGATATGCAAGAAAAAAACAGTGTAAGTGTAAATTTGTGTTGCAGAACACGCAACAGAGTAGTTACACCTGTCATGCCAGACAGCCATGAAGCCCTCTTTTCATCTGTGTTGTGCTTTACATGACAGGTTTTCTCTGTCATGTGGGGCAAATGTGTGATGCTGTTCCTCAAAGAAAGTTACACCTACACACTTTTTTTTCTGGATAGATGACCCCGTTCCAGCAGTACAACCCGGCCACGCAGTGCGCGGGCAAGGTATCAACTGTAAAAATGTCTGGGTCTGGAAGATTCTGACACTTGTCATGCACGTTTTGCATGAGCCATGATGTCTGTGATGCATACCCTAGCAATACAGATTTTCTAAGGGCTTCGTGATGCCTATTCCGCATGACAAATGCCTTCTCAGCGTAGCAAAAATTGCATTCCCTTTGCTACTCATGCAATACAGATTTTTTTGGAATCCAAATGCAGCATCACAAGTTGCATTCTTCCAGACCCAGACACTTTTGCAATCCATACAAGGCCTGGAAAAGCGATTTCTCCCAGTTCATGAAGTGCGCGCCCTACATGCCGGGGGAGCGGTTGTACTATTTGTTTCTAGCGGTCCGCGGGGTTCTGTGCGGGATGTTCGTGTGGGCGGTGGTGACGACGAACGCGAAGTTTATGCGGGTGGAGATTGGCCAGACGCGGTTCTACCGCGGGCTGCGGGCCGAGGTGGCGATTATTAAGATTATCGCCTGGGAGTCCGCGTTCGTGGCGGTCGGGGCGTGGTACGTGCCCCAGGGGCTGTACGACTACCTGAACTGGGGCGGCATGGCGCCGCTGCAGATCTTACTCATCCTCTTCACCGCCTGGTACACGGTCTACATGGGGTACTTCTGCACGTGGTGCCTGCTCGACCTGTTTGTGGACTTCGAGTACATATCCTGTGCAAAAGTATCGTACTCGTAGTAATTGCTATCATGCATGACAAATATCCCTTTTTAGGTGAATCAGCATTACAAATTCCATTTTTCTTCCTGAAAAAATTTGTGATGCAATTTATACAACTAATACGATACTTTTGCAATGCATAGTACACCGACCGGCGGCTCGCCCAGAAGTTCGACCAGAGCTGGGTCCCCCACGAGAAGGAGTTGGCGGAGGCGCTGCGCTATCAAATGCAAAAATGTCTGGGTCTGGAAACTTGTAATGCTAAAAGTGAATGATAAACGTACTGCAATACGCAGCTATGCATAACAAATTTTTTTGGCTGCCATGTCTTACGTATTCCGCATGGTAAGCTGCGTTTTTGCATGACAGGTCAGAGGGCCTTTCCGTGCCTATGCAACACAGATTCTCGACTCATGCCAGACAAGCATGACAAACTTGCATCCTTCCAGACCCAGACACTTTTGCATTTGATATGCGCGCGGTGCACGAGACACGCACCGTGCACCCGGAGCGCGGGCAGGCGTTGACAGACTTGTTGGAGCTGCCGCCGGACGAACTGGAGGTGAACCAGGTGTTGCTGTACAAAAACCGACCGAGCACGATGCCGGCACACGTGTTTCGCACGTCGAACTATGCAAATCTCACGGCAGGTGGGTCGTCACCGAACGACACCATGCAACCACCTCTACCCGGGGACGGTACCACAGATGGTGCCGCCGTCGTCAGAGTCTCGTCGCACAAGGCTAATCGCAACAGATCTGTCGCCTCGACCGCGGCAGGCCCTCCGGGGTCGGTACCCTCGTTCGGCGGGATCGACAGCAGGACAAAGCGGCGGATGCACAAGGAAAATCCCTGGCTCGACGCTCCACTGATGCACGCGCTCACGCGGGGCGGCATCGATGGATACTCAGCAAGTGAGGAGGAAACGTAGTGCTTTTTGTAGAACGATTTTTTCGTAGTCGCTGAGCTCATCTTTTACTGTGTTTGTGTATGTAAGATCTTCTGATGTTCATGTTCCTGATTTCAATAATCAAATTGATGAACACGGCTTTTTAACATTGACTACTACATTCTTTTTCTTTCTGACATATGACAGGCTGTTCGATCAGCTTTTCTGAATATCACATATGCTACCTAGCAGGTAAGCCAGATCGTGGTGCTCTAGCGGAAACTGCGATGAATGTGCTGGTCCTTGCTCTTGGAAAATCTCTATAGAGGCACAGTACTAAGTTTACAACTCAGGAAGAGATCCACTAGTTACACGATTTTGTTAAAGTGTAGAATTTTTGCACGATTTTGCTGTATTGAGACAAAGAACAAGACACGGCGCAGGGACACGAATTCACAGCACTCCCAGGCTGGCTGTCCATTAAATTTGTCGTGTGGAAGTGGTACTTTTCGGAAAGGATGCAAATGCTTCACTCGGTCTCTTATTGAAATCAAATGAAGTGCTCCTTGACGCCTAAAAGAAAATCGGCATTTGTGGTGTAACTTCAGTCCTTAAGAAGAAAAATCACATGGTTCAAAATTCGGTGTGCAGAGGCTGTATCTGTATGATAAACTGAAGATGAGATCGCCTTCAAACAACCAGAAACCAGGTTGGTACCCGCCCCCGTAGTGTAAATGTTTGAGGATCGATTCCCGCAAATTGTCGCGACAACAAACTAGTTGCGATAAACAGTACAGAGCAAACAGACACTTCCGCACTTAGGAATTCACGGACAGTTGCCGTCCCGTAGAGAACAACTACAATGGCGCATCAGGTGATCGTCGACGTGGCGAATTTCGTCGAGACGCCGACGTTTCGGAATGCCGGCAATAGCCAAAAGCAGCTCCTCGCGCGGAACTTTTACCGGGCTGTGCAAGCCCGATGGGGCGAAAGCGCGCACGTTACGCTCGTGTGCGGCTCTCAGCGCCGGGAGGGGATCGAGAAGTTGTTTCTGAATGTCCCCAACTGCGGCCCCACTGCCCGGCAGACCAACGTGGTCCCGGTGCCCGTGGCGGTCGCGGGGCAGAGCCACCAGCACGGCGGCGAGCGAGTGGACGAGTTGGTTGTGAAGCGGGCGCTGAAGGCGATGATGCTGGACCCGGAAAACGCGCACAGGGTGGCGATCGTGAGCAATGACCAGTTCCGGGACATGTTTGCGCGCCCCGCCCTGTCGACCGACACGCGTCTGTACCACATTTTTCAGGAGGCGAAGAGCGAAGCCTCCGCCAGGCGCACCGCGCAGACGTGGCTGGCGACCAACGCAGAACTGGAGGTGCTGCTGTTCGACCTCCGGCACGAGTTTGAGATCGACCGGTTTGGGGAGGTCGAGTTTTCCCAAATCAATCCCAGCGGGAACAATTTGCTGAAGTTCTTCTGGAGCCAGAGACACGTGGAGCAGGTCAAAGTAGCCACGGATCGGAAGAAGTCGGACCGAATCCTCGAGCTGGAAACGCTGTTGAAGTACGCCAAGCAGGAAGAGGAGGCCGCGAAGATGGCTCGGCAGCGGATTGTATCAAATGTAAAAATGTCGGGGTCTGCAAGATTGCCAGGTTTGTCATGCATATTTTGAATGATCCATGATCATGATGTCTGTGATGCATGCCCTAGCATCACAGAATTTTAGAGGACTCTGTGATGCCTCTACCGCATGAGAAATACCCTTTCCGCGTAGCAAAAACTGGAGTCCTCTTGCTGGTCACGCAATACAATTTTTTTTAGAATCCAGAGACAGCATTACAAGTTTAGAATCTTCCAGACCCAGACATTTTTGCAATCCATAGATTGTGGACGTGTTGCGTCACGAAGTGCGCCGGTACGACAAGCAAAACGGAGGATCTTTGGCAGAAGAGGACGGGGGCATGCTGAGCGCCGGAAGTGCCGCCGCAGCGGCGCAGCCGAGGCAGGTCGTGATGTCGGCCTCTGTTGACGCAGACAGGAGAGAAAATGATAGCAGCGCCCGCCTAGGCAGTAAAGACACGACGTCGACGAAAAGCTTAGGCTTACAACTCCCGCCTTTTGTACCGACAACGCGGCTTCTGTCCCACGAGTCGGTATCGCCAGTCGTAGACGCCGGCTCCAACTCGCCTGGCCCACGAGCAGCGTCCTCCACTCATCAACCTGGTGGCCTTACGCCGCCAAACGGAGTTTTCATTCAGCCCCCCGCGCAAGGAAGCCGAAGCGCTTTCACGTTGTCTGCCGGTCCGGGTTCGGCAAAAGGCTCGTACGGCGCAAAGCTTTCAGCGCCGGCTAGTGTTGGGGTTGGAACATCATCGAGCGCCGTTGCTCAATCCGCAGCATCAAGTGCTACTTCCGCAAGGGCGCCAGTGGTAGTTCTTCCAGACGGCGCTGCTGCAAAGGGTAGTGCCAGTAGCTCAACATCTTCTACTGCGAAAGTGAATTACAATATTTTTTCCACTCCCGCCGGGCCAGGTGCTCCGCGCGTGCTTTCCACCACTTCCTCCCTGGTGCCGCTAAGTGCGGCCAGGCCCAAGAATTCCGCTACCTCCTCCCTGGTGCCGCTAAGTGCGGCCAGGCCCAAGAAGGGCGTCGGTAAACAGGAACTGGATGAGGAGGAGAGAAGAAGAGCTCAGGAGCTGGCTCCTGGCACCAACGGGGCAGGGCCTAGCGCTTCGTCCAGTTCCTCAGCTTCTGATAGTGATGACGACGATGATGTTCCTCGGCGACCCCGGCCAAAGAACGGGCTTTCCGATTTGCGGCCGGCTTCTCGCGGCCTGCACCCGCGGAGCAGTAGCTCCGGGAACTCGAGCATCAGCAGTCTCGGCGACGGGCCAGGCGATGACGACCCGAGGCCGCCCCGCGGCGGGGAACGAGCGAGAGTTTTGTCGAACCAAACCCCGGCCGAGGCAAATACGTGTCTGGTGGCGGGGGAGGTCATGACAGCAAAGCAAATGAAGAAAAAAATGAAAAAGCAAGGAACAGACGAAAGAGGGCGCAGGCTTGGTCCAGCAGGCGAAACGTGGGATGACGAAGTCTGTTGGGACTGGAAGCACACGGGACGGTGTAAGAGAGGCACGAAGTGTAAATATGCGCACCCTGATCTGCCGGGGCGGGCGTGAAGTGATAAGGGGTGTGTGTGGATTTTATGAATCTCAAAAAATCACTTGCTGATCTATCCCTTTCCCGCAGGAGGACCTCTCTGCGTCATCAGCGAATAGGTATCATCTTCACTGCACAGCGAATGAACGACTGTAACACGTTGAGACCACGTGGAGCAGGACGAAATTGGTAGCCGTGTTCAACTTCAACTGGTATCTCTGTCAACAGGTTCGCGTTTTTTCTATCGCGAGTCCAGGTAGTCGGTGAAGTGCTTCATGCTAAGGAAGAGCACAGAGCAGCACGAGAGCAGACGTCAGGTTCGCCACTGAAAGGCTGTGCCTGATCCAACCTGATCAAGACCTGCATAAATGTGAATCATGTTGACTCGTGCACTTGATCTGGTCCCCGCAGCTCAACCCCTCTCGTATCGTACTAAGGCACTAATAAGAACAAGTTGGATTTGATTGATCTTTCCCAGTTGCTGTACCATTTACTTCGAAGTTTCACAAAAAACATAGAAATTTTCCTTTTTGTTATGGCGTAACGATTAAGAGTACCTCCGTCTTCAATTTTTGCAACCACGATACCAAAATCATGTTCGCAGTTCGGCGGATGTTCCCTGCCGCAACGGCGCTTCTTATCAGCACAGCTTTCCTGTCGTGTGCGCGTGCCGGCGACGTGCAAATTTGTGCGGGGGAAGGTCCGCGGTACGGCGATTTCAAGTGCAACCACGACGGCACGCACCGCGTCTGTGCCACCCTGGTTGCGAACCACACGTCGAGTTGCGACGAGCTGAAATGGGGCAGCCACGGCACCTTTTGGCAAATCACCGGCCAGCAGGCATTCAACTGGAAGGACCGCGTATGCGCGGCGCCGAATCCGGGCACCAACTGGTGCATTTGCATGTGGGCCTTCGCCAGTCTGATCAAGAAGGTCGGCTGCGACAACACGCACGTGGATTGTGCGGGGACGGATCTGAAATTTGTATTGTCGCGGTACAACGACGGAGGGTACGATTTGAAGGAGGCGCATGCGTGCCTCCAAAGAAAATGCACGGACCCTTCCGCGAAACGCGTCCGGCCATCGGGGGTTGACGACGAGTTGTGATCGTGGATAGCTAAGCACCGCAGTAGAAGAATGAGTTTATTGATTGTAGTGTCTTACTTTACCCTATCAGTTGTACCACCAGGCAGTTTCAAAAACGTATACACGCTCAGAACAGAAGCAATGTTGAAAAGCACGTGCTGCGACTACTTTATGGCGTAGAGCACGGTCGTGATTGAAAAAACGGCCATAGGCTCGAGTGTGCAGAGTACAGACAATTTGTTTGTATGAAGAACAAAGCAAGTGCGGCGCGCAACGAACCGCAAGGAACCGTGACATAAGTTTTGCTAATCTCATTCTCGATAGATAAGATGCATCGACATCCTTTGACTTGCAAAGCGATCCTTGGTGTATAATGGCCTTGAATTGCAGTGCCAAATGGCAAATCGGTTTTATTTAGCCTGCACATCATCTTAGTCTCTCTCTCTCTCTGACTTCGGTAAAAAAAGCGATCGAAGAATGATTTGTCTGAGTCGGTTTTCGCTGCCAAGAAAAAGCACAATATCGGTTTTCTCGCAAATGCTTACTGAATTCTCGGTTCGTGCTGTCATGAAATAATTAGCTGGATCTTCGGTGCGTACAAAAACTCATCGTGCGACGGTTGTAGCTTTTTCGTCCTCTCGTCTGTGTCGTTCTTTTCGTTCCAGCAACGTCCTGTGTATCCAGATATGTAATTTTCCTTTATTCGACTAAACCAGGAACGCAACCTTTCCCCCTCTTTTTTGCTGGGGCCTTTACGGCCACCCAGTTTTATTTGCCCCCAAAATTAATCTCTATTTCTCTTTCTCAACGAATACCAATACATTTCATTCGTTTATTTTCCAACCCCAGATACATATACGAGTCATCTGAAGTCCAATTTTCCCGCACCGAAAATCCGTAATAGAACCCTGAAAACAAGTAGAAGCAATGGCACAGCCAATCGGCGGCGGCCCGGTGGAAGCCGAGGTCCGCGAGCAGAAGTCGGAGGGGTTTTGTTTCGGGCTGTGTTTTCAGGATTTCGAGACCATCACTCGGTCCTTTCAAGCTACGGACAAGGACACGTACATTGACGTGACGGCACTGTACCCCCCGGAGTACTGGGAAGCGAAGCGGCAGGGGCGGCAAATAGAGGCCGCCGAGGACCACGATGGGGACGAGTTCGACAAGCTGGGCGACAAGTACGCGCGCGGGAAGCAAGCCCGGACGGACGCGCGAAAACCGATAAAGCTGCACTCCGAAGAGGCCACAGAAAACTTGAACTTCCTGACCACGGCGCAGAAGCACTTGAAGGACAAGTTCTCCACCGAGGAAGAAGTGTTTGAAACCATGGTCCACATGGCCTCGGTCACGCAGGGCTACATGCTCAAGGAGAGGTTTCCCCAGAGCCACTTCCTCGCCATGTTCCAGGCGTTCGCGCCGCAGTTACGGTATTGTTATTTCTTGATTGATTGGATTATATATGATGAATATATATTCACGGCGCTCGTCAACTTTAGGTTTAGTGGCGTCGTTGTTTTCTTTTTGGAGTAGGAAGGTTCGAGAACTTGCAGCTCTATTTCTGTTTCTGTTTCTGTAACTGCTCAAGAAGAATCTTGATAGTAACTACGAACATTTTCCCAATGAAATTTTCCCCCTCCTCTGTGCAGGTATTTCGATGCGAACCGAAAGAAGGACGAGTGGGTTCTGGACTACTACATCGACAAGGAGTACCGGGAGGAGCTGCGCGCCACGCAGCAGTACACTGTGAACGACGACCGGGGCACGATTCTCTTCCGCCTGATCAAAAAGGTCTGGAAGGGACAGCACGACTACCGTCACCAGATCATGATCCTGTTTCACGAGTACGACCCGCGTACCAACGCGGCCAGGAACGAGAAGGACGTCAAGAAGATGGAGCTCACGTGCCAAGGCGAGCGCGACTGCGGGATCTGGTGCCGCATTTTGAAAATGTTTGTCACGGTGTCCAAACAGGAACACCTGGCCAACTCGAAGGCCGCCGCTGCGAGGAAAGCCCAGAACGACCGGGGGGCAGCGATGGGTACTACTTTTTGATAGTGTTCTTTGTTTTGGTACGACTTCGAACGATTTTAGCTCCTCGACACTTGTTTTCAAGTTGCTCTGTATGAGCGGGTCGTCCATCTCTATTGCCATTGTTTTGCAGTCGACATGTGCTTCCAGAAGAAAAAATATGATTTTCGGATCAGTCTAGATATACCGAAAGAAGAAGTCACAGCTGTTGGCTGCAAGACTTCTCGATCTGCGATTTATTGACAGTCCGTGCACAACATTTATTTTCTTTTCCTGCATGTTTTCAGATGGTGCGGACGCGATGGAAGCGGCAGCCGCCGCGGTGGAGGCGCCCCAACAGGCTGGAGACGAGATGGGGTTCTGGAACGACGACGGCGATTGGGTGGATGCAACGACCGGGGAAGTGACCAAGGCGGAGGACCTGAACGGAGAATGGGACGAGAACGGGCAATGGGTGCAGTACTGAGTTGGAGAAATATTTGAGGAAGACGAGGAGCTGCTCACAAAGGAGATGTCGCAGCTGGCCTTCCTTGTTCATGACACTCGTCAACTGCATATAAGAATCAATAAACAAATTAAATTTCGGGAAGTTGTTGTAGCTGTTTTGGCTCGCAGTTTGTTATTTCTTTTGTGTACACTTATGCTATCTATCCGACTGCGCATCTGATTACTTTGTGTCGGCGGAATTATGTGTATCTTGAACATTTTTTCACGCTCTGACCTGTGCTAGGCACAGAATTTCGAGAACTGCAATTTAGAGCCTTTATCTTCTGTTAAAGTTGAAATTTTTTAGCTTGCGTCACGTTTTTTTCTGGGCGTTCCGAGATAGCAACTTGCGATTTGGACTGCATAATTCTTGGTGCGTCTAGTATGTGCGAGCAATTTGTAAACTGCGTACTCGGAATAAATGCTTTTGCTGCGAAATTTTCGCGCTTTTTGGGGTAAGAAAAGAAACACTCGTTGTTCGTGGAGCAGCGGGAAAACGCAGTGAAATCTGAACATCGCTAGAAGGATCAAAAACAAATGTCGTAAGTGTCAAAACCGTCGTCCAGCCTTTCTCTTTGAAATTATAATCAATCGTGGCGGGGTACTATTCATCGTCTTCGTTAGTTTATTCGTGGCATTGTCGTGTACTCGTGTACTCACTTCACAGGCTACTTGAATACTTCGCCAATTGTGTGAAGCCCTTTATTGGGTGACATCATCATCTATCATGATCCAAGTAGTAAGGAAACAAGGTCGGAAAGTTCACGGCTGGTTATCGAAGTCCAGATGGGCAGACTGATCGTTTTACTTTTGCGTTGCTCGATGAACAGAGTATAATAAACACTGGCGCCAAGAAAACAAAGTTGACCATCTCATGGCCGATCCAGAGGTCGTGCAACAGCGTGTGTCTGCCGCGACCGCGGCCGATGAATTGGCGGAGGCAGAACTTGCAGCACAGCTGGGCACACTCTCCTCGCCCGCTCCGGCGCTGCCCGCGGAGGAGGAGATTATTGGGTTTGGCGTCGCCGCGATGCCCCCCCTGCCGGACGAGGAGGACAACGATAACACCGTGAATTTGCTCGAGTCTTCGTACGAATTTGAGTACGATTCGCAGAAGCAAACGCCCCAGGTTTCTCCGATAATACGCGACCACGATTTGATGTTACAACCCGAAGAGGACCGCATGATAGAACCTTCCGGCGCTGCGTGGGAGGATGAAATTTACGAAGCACAAGAACTCAGTGACGAGGGGGCAACCAATACAAAAAGGGTAACAGGTCTTGCGACCAAAGGGGACGAGCAAGCAAGTACTACACCAGGTCGTGGGACGACACGGGCGTCAAGGGCGGCTGGAGGTGCAAGTAGGAGAAGTCAGAACAATTTTGCTGCTGGTGCAAACAATGAAATATCAACGCGGAGTAGTAAAAATAGCGGGCGCAGGAGTACGAAAACTAGGTTGAAGTCCTACTACAGTGCGGGTACAGCAGCTACAGCCTCAGAGAGGGACTCCACGGAGAGTGGGATTGTAATGCTGCAACCGGAGAGGGCCTCCACCGCGATAGCGGAAGTGCTGCACAGCAGTGACGCGGAGAGCGACACTGTCCAGCGAATGACGGTCACGCAAGGAAAGGTGGTTCGCATCGCGGAGGCCTACGCTCCGAGCGAGCTCAGTAGCAGTCCCGCGCGGTCCTCGAATGCAGGAGAGCGGCTGCCGGTGCCGCAGTGGTCGCCGCAAGTGGTAGAGGACGATCAGCAGGAACCGGCAGAAGTTGTATCCCCCCCCTCCCGAAGATTTTCGTCGCGAAAAGAAACCAGCGTGGCGGTGCCCCTGCCCCTGCCCGCCCCGGTTCCGGATTACCGGGCTTACGAGAAAGCCCGTAAGAGCAGTTACTCATATCAGGTGGCGTCGCGCATGTCAGCGGAGGAAAAGGTGAGCGTGAGACTCGATAGAGAGGAACCTATGTTCCAGCAAGTGCCTGACGTGCAAACAGCGCACACTCTGGCCGACCGCGTGTCGCGCTTGTCGCAGAAGGTCCTGTCGCCCGTCGAGAAAAAGGTGCAGCGGCAACTGAAGTCGACGTACGAGGAGACTGTGAAAGCCGAGAAAGCCGTGCGGAAAAGCGAGGAACTGCGCAAAAGCGAAATGGACCAGCACTTATCAATTGCAAAAATGTCTGGGTCTGGAAGAGTTCATGTTTGTCATGCTTGTCTGGCATGACTCTTAAATCTGTCATGCACGGCGCCCAAGAGCTCCGTTTTTCTGTGATGCAGAAGCGCAGTTTGTCATGCAGAATAGGCAACACCCAGGAACTCAGAAACTTGTCATGCTGAGCCAGCATCTGTAGCCTCATCATGAGACGCCACCTAGCATCACAAGTTTCCAGACCCAGACACTTTTACTTTTGATAGCACTACCGGGATTACGACTCGCACGTCAGTGTGTACGACGATCGGGTGAGCGTCGTGGGAGTTTTTCCTGCAGGGAAGGATAACTTCACGCGCGAAAGCATTTCTCATCAAAATCAAAACGCGACAAGTTCATCCTGCTGCGACATGCTGGCCAGTTGCATCGGCGGCAATGCTGACCACCTTGCGGCAAGACATAGCCTCGGCGGGGCGAAGCCGAAGAGGCGCGTGTACGTGGATCTGCTTGGGAACGAATCGAAGAAGGAGCCAGGAACCTCGGATGTGTGGATGGACCTGACGATGCTGCAGCAAGATACCGGCACTTTTGCTAGTGAAGTGCACGATCTGGATATCGTGGGAAAAAAGTGTTACAGTTACACACTCTGATGGGAGACAAGCAAGACAGACAAGCTCTGTCATGCAGGAAATGCTTGCCAACCTGATTTCATTCGTGTTTTCCCTTATAGTCTGCGCATCACAGGTTTTCTTTGCCATGTCGAGCAACTTTGTGATGCAGAAACTCCAACAAATGTGTTACTGTAATACTTTTTTCTTGTGATACTGGACGAGCAGGCGAAGCTGCGGAAAGAGCAGAAGTTGAAAGCGGGGAAAGTGAAGCGGCTGGAGTACGAGCGGCGGGTGGACGAGACGGACATGATGCAGCAAAAGGCCTATCAACTGCAAGTATGTCTGGGTCTGGAAGGTTGCAACTTGTCATGCAAAATCTTAATCATGCAGAAATCTGTGTTGCATGAGTGCCAAAACCTGTCCACTTTCGAACCAGTCGGGAGGGAGTTTCTCATGCAGGATAGGCATGACAGGGACGTCGCAGAGTCTGTCATGCTACGTCCCGCATTCCAGGCCTCATGGGTCACGGAAAATCTGCATGAGAAGTTTACAGGCTTCCAGACACAGACATATTTGCGTTTGATAAGGCCATCCAGAGCCTGACCGGGATAACGGATACCAGCAGCCAGGAGGACGCCATGCACGCTCTGATGACCATCGCGACCAAAACCAAGGGCCTGCTGCAAAAACAATCCACGCACCACTACGAGGGCTTCGACTACTTCTTCAGGCTCGACCCGCCAGTGTTGAGGTACTTTTGTATAAAGAAATATACTTACTTGCGATGCTGTATCTGTACTACTTGTTTCATGGATCGAATTACTCAGATTCCACATGCCAACAAAGTTGTTTCTACATCATGATCCTACATCGTGTTCCCCGCCCCTCGCAGGTACTTCCACGTTTCCCGCAAGCGGGACGAGTGGGTTCTCGATTGGTACCGGGACAGAAACGCCGCCGAGGCAGAGCGTGCCGAGGTTTCCGCGACGTTGACGGACGACCGGGGGACGTTGCCATTCGCGATGATGAAGCGGATCAGGAAGGGGGTGGCGGACTACCCGAACCAGCTGCTGATCGTGTACCAGCGGCACATATGCATTGCAAACACGGCTGGGCGGTCTGGAAGAATGCAAATTTGTATTTTTGCACGACATTTCGGATCAAAACAAAATCTGTCAATGCATGGAGCGGATCACGACCAGCACCACTTATGTCTGTCATGCGGAGTCCTGATTCCTCATGCTACTATACGCGTCATGTATCCTGCAAAAAACTTGTGATGCGTGGTTGATTACTTCTGAAGGTCGTTTCTCATGGAGGGACCAGCAGTACAAGTTTCCAGATTCCGCCATATTTGCGACCCATAGCGCACCCGCGACGGCGCTATCGAGGCGGAACAACAGATGGAGCTCTACGCGCGCACCGCGAAGGACGCCGCGGTGTGGCACAAGGCGATGAAAATTTTTCTCCAAGCCTCGCAGCAAGAAGCCTACCGGAAGAGTGACGAGTATGCGGAAATGCTGGAGCGCGAACGACGGGAGATTCTGCAGCGGGACGTGGCCATTAACCGAAAAACAGACGAACAACAGCACGAATTGGAGGCCATGCTGCAGGAGAGAAAAGGAAATCCACAGCCATCGAAAACAAATACCGGTAGCACAGGTCGACGAGGGACAAGCTACGGACAGGTGCGGCAAGTATACGAACGAAATCGCTTTTTCTTTTGTTGTGTTATGCGACAGTTCTTCATGAAATATGAATCTACTGATGGTTGTTCAAGATTGTGAGGTATCATTGTCGCTGAAGCAGGTAGAGATGTATGATGCTGATCCCGCTGCGTGCGCTGTAATTGGGATAGTTTGTGGAAAATATTGAAACGGATTACGTAACACGCCACGACTCCTGTTCCCGTTGTCGGCTCTTGCAAGATGTTAACAGTGAGCTTGTAAAATGAGTAACGACATGCCCAGGTTTCTTCATCTGCAACTGCAAGTGCAGCTGCAGTGCGAAAGTCTCGTGGGAGCAAGGAGGACGATGTCGCGGACGGATTGACCTTTGGGAAAGTGATGAAAGGCGTGACCGCGAATGCGCCCCCTGGGCCAAACAGCAAGCCGCCAGTTGTGCGTCCAGATGAAGAGAGTCCCGCCGATGGCGGGACCAGCGACGATGTTGCGGTGACGTGAAAGCTTTTGGTTTTTTATTCAATAGTTGTCTTATGCAAATATGTTTTTCATCTTTCTGACATTGATTTCCTAGTAATCTCCCACATATGAATATGTTGGTGGTCGTGGTGCGCTTGTTGTACTAGGAGGCTCAAAGTATTTGCAATATTGTTTACAAGGTAGCGAAAATTAAAGGGCTAGTTCAGGAGTGCCTCCTTGTACTGATTCGCAGGATCATGATGTCGATCACATTCATTGTCCCCCAGCCTTCCTGGACAGCTACATAGTTTTGTAGTAGAACTCCGTAGTTCAGTAAACCGACCTACCTAGCACCAGTTGTGAAGTTTTGGAGCATATGACCATCATGACCACAGTAATGATTGTTTTGTACAAAAGTTTTTTGACAGAAAGTTACATACTCGATGATTGAAGTGCAGCGAACTAAAGACACAGTTTCTTGTAACGTTCCGGTTCGTAGTACAGCGGGTTTGCGTTTGTGTCGAGTGATTGATGTCCGAAATTAATGCATCAATGAGTGGTAGAGGAGGCTTTCACAGAGTCGTAACAGCACAGGCGCCGAGAGGTTGTGGCTGCTATCGGTCTCCCTTCCAACGCTCCGTAGTATAAAAGACCCACTCATGATTGCCAGGGCGGGAATGAAGGTGAAGTCTTCTGTTGAGGGATGAAGGTGCGGTAGGACGAGCGGTAGCCGTTTTCAAAATAAAGTGAACACTGATACAAGTAAAATATCCCGAGGACCGCAGCTGCCTCGATTGCAAAGGCGGCGAAGAGCGTATCTGTTGGTGGCTAGTAAAGGGCACACTATTTTTACTTAATGAGTTAAAGTGATTCCACCACCGGACATGATTTTGATATGAGAACTGCGCCGCGCATTATTTGGAGGACTGCAGTTGCCGGCCCAAGCCCAACAAGGCGCTACAGGCGGCGTATAATTTGCTTACGCGAGGAGTGTGCAAAAACGCTGCATAGCTCTTGAGCAAGGGATGGGCAGGAAGAAAAAGAAGAAAGCACCAGCAGGACGCCGACGTCGTCCTCGAGACGAGGAATCCTCGTCCGGGACCGCTCGGTCGAGGAGGCGCGGTTGCGGAGGGGGAGTAAGTGGAGAACAGTTTTAGAAGGAATAAGCTGTGCAAGGATAAGAATATCAACATGTCATTTGCTTCATCTTGTTCTCTTGCTGCTTCGACGCCGTCCCGGTCCAGCTAGGGGTTCTTCGTCGTGAAGAGGATGTTCGCGCAGCGCTATAGTGGCACACGACGCGAATCATGCCGCGGCAGCAGCCGGCGGGGGTCGTGTTGCCTGGTTTCGGCCGGCAAGAGCGGCAAAGAGTTTTCGCTGGTCAGATTTCTTGTTGTACTCCACCAGCTCCTTCTTTCACAACTTACCCCAATAGACGCAGGGTCTGCACCAGCGCCGCCTGGCGAGGTTTCCCCTCCTTCCTTCGAAGGTGCGGCCGCGGAGGCGAGTCCGAGCTTCGTCATGGAATGGAATCCACGGGGTCGGGATGCAGTGGCCAACGCCCCCTTATTATCCTCAGTAAAATGAACGTGGTCCCCTTCACATGCATAATCAAGATGTTGGGAATCAATTGTGCACACACAAACACAAACCCACTAGTTTTGGAACTTCCGCACGACAATGTAGTCGTGTCAGTTTAGCTAATGCAGCAGCCGCACCCTATCCTGATTACTTACATATACAGACAGCATGACAAGTTCATCTTTCCCGTGAGAATGAGAAAATGGCTTCCATGGGGAGCTGCAGCTGTGTGAGAGCTCGAGATCTTATGGGCGTTCTGATTTGCATGAAAAATGCGGGGTGGGACGTTTTTACTGAGGAGAATTGTACGAGCGGCTCCGGGGCGGCTACTACGCGGAGCTACCAAACATGGCCGGGATGCAAGTGCGAGTCTTACCCGGCCCGGTTCCCAATGTGGTCACAGACTCAATGCAAATGAGCTGCGATACCCGCGAACAGACGTTGCTGCATTCGCGCGTGGGTCTCCGCTACGCAGGCCGGTCGCAGACGGGCCCGGAGGGTGCTCGGGGGAGAGCCATACGCCTCGTTTGTCTGCTCATGCGGCTCCCGGTACGCATAGTGCAATCAAAAGTGTGGTCTTTGGCGTAGAGCGGAAGGGCATAGTAACAAGAAACTGCTTTTGATATACTTTGGAGCACAATATGTATGAGCGTCGCTCCGCTGTGCGACGCAAGGTGGTGGGTCGTGCATCAATCGATTCGAAAGAGAAATACTATTTCTATATGCTCCAGTACCAGTACTGCCGCGACAATAATCTCTACGGCACGCAGTCCGACGCTTGTTTTGCAGTGGATACCTGGGAGAGGACGAGGACGGCAGCGAATCCACTACCTGGGATGTGATTGAGTTTGAAATGGACCGCAAAGGCAGCACTTTGTACGACCAGGCGAGCAACGTCTACCTGGATCAGAAAGCCGCGGACCCGGAAAGGATGCGCAACGACGATTATGATAACGACGGCGCGAAAGCGTCAGGCTCAGGCAGTCAGGAGGACTTGGAGGAAGAAGATCCCCTTGCGCGGCCGCGGCCCCGGGGGCCCACGAGTACGACAACGGGCATTGTGGCGCCGACCGCTTACGGGTTCCGCGGACAGGAAGTGGGCGAGCAGCAGCAGAAGGAGGCTGTTGATCGCGTAATCGCGAAGAAGTGGTCCCTCGGCGAAAAGAATCCCTATTTCTGCTCCTTCGGCAACGCAGACCTGGTGCGGGCGAACCACGTGGACGACCTGTCGCGCATCAACATCCGGTATCAAACGCAGTTATTTCATCTGGGTGTGGAAGAAAGCGGGCGCTAGTCATGCAGTTTTTGCATGTGCCCGCCGACGCCGAGCATGTTGTTCAATGTCCAGCGCATTCAAGGTGAAAGCCTTGTACTCATATCCAAGGTGCAGTATTTGCATCTGCGCGAAAGTCTGGACTGCTCGCCGAGCGTGACAAAAAATTCTGCGGAGGCCTCTCCATGCCTAGTCTCCATGACAAATGTTGCCCTCTCGTCGTCCTGGAGACAAAAATCACACGGCCTTTGCTGACTAGGCGACACAGAATTTTGGACCTCTTCCAGAATCCGCATCAGAAGTTTGCATCCTTTCAGTAGACCTCCCAGAACTATAATTTGCAATGCATATGCGTTGGATCTGCATCGGGTCCGAGCGCCTGATCCGGAAGAACACGTTGGGCGAAATCAACACGCGAGAGCAGTGCCGGGTTCCTCACATGACCTGGTACTCTGGTCTGGCGCGGCTCCGGAACATGGCGCCCTTCACCGGGCTGCAGGTGCCCCCCGAGACGGGGTCGGAGCGCCAACGCGCCTATCCGGGCTTCGCTTTCACTGAGTCATTGCGGATTTCGATGCGGCCGGTGCGGATGACCACAACGGGGGGCGAAGTAATCGTCGATCCTAGGGAACAAGGTGTGGCGGATGTTGACACCTTCTTGAGCATGGAAGGCAAGAGTGGCACTAGCATATCGGCCACGAAAGAGCTCTACGATATCGTACCGACTAAACTAGAAGCGGAGGATTGCACCTACGTGATAAGGCCCGGCATGTGCATGCCGATCAAACCGTGGCCCGAGACCGGCGTCCCCGTGCGGTGCGTCGAGGTGCCGCCGGAGGGGCTTCGCGACGCCGGGATGGTGACCGTGAATGGAGCCGTGTGCACAAAGGTGTGCAACGCGAGCGACCGGTGCGTGGCCTTCGAAGTCCTGGAGCCCCGTCATTGCTGCCTCTTTCGGAACCCCGTCTACTCCCAAGACGATGCGGCCGGCGCGCGGGTGCCCGCGGGGTTTAAGGCAAAGGCAGCTGACGCCGGTGGTCTTTCTCCCTCCGCCACGTCGCAGCGTCGCTGTTATTTTCGGCGATGTGGCCTGGTTTCTGCCGGTTCGCTGCCCGGAGCGTACGCACTATATTACCACGAGCTGTCGGGGATGATGTTCGTCTGGATCTCGAACCTGCTGCAGCAGAGATACGGCTTGGGGCGGCGCAGCCGGTGGTACCCCCTCTTCAAGAGTCACGGGATAATCGGCGTCAAGGGCTACGAGAGGGAGCTCGTTTGGCTGCAGCGCATATCCATGGCAGATTTGCTCGGGTCTCGAGCAGATAAGTGAACAAGATGGCTGGAGGTGTTATTACGTTGTTTTTGCCTCCCACCGAGACTTTTGTCGACAAGGTTTCGCGACGACAAATCAGGGTGTCGTTAATTGAGTCACCCGCCTTGGTCGTGCTGAGTAGAGACACCAGAAGAAAAAAACGCGAATTTTCTGCGCATTTTGCTTGAGGAACACCTTAGAATGAAAGAAGGTCTCCACTTCTCTGCTAAACCTGATGCATTTGGAATGAATGATGGAACGGAGGCCTGTTTCGAATGGACTGGAATGACGCGGTGCGGAGAAAGACGTTACTGGGGAAGTGCGGCTATCCTGTGCAAACACTTCCACACTACAAAGCATCATAAAGTACTTAGTTTCATCTCGTAGTTTTTGGTTTTCGTAAGTGTACTTCTCGTGCGGAGGCACTGCTGAGCCTTGGATATAGTATATGTCTGTTGAAGCAGGGCCATCAACTCTCCTACGCAATAAAAAACTGCGACGCGCAATCAGAGTTTCAATTTCTTGACCTGCCCTTCAAAAGAAATTCTAATCCGTCGAATACATTGTCCTTCAAAAGAAATTCTAATCACCATGGGGGCGGGTCGTTTTTCTCAGGATGACCAGTCGAGCTTCTTCGCTCGCCACTGCTTTCGGACGCTTGCGCAGGAACGCGCGGGACGTGGTTTTGTGCCGATATCCACTGCTGCAAATACCTTGATATGGGCCGGACAGCGCAGTTTGTGATTGCTTGTTTGTATTTTCACGAAGGCCCCAGAGACCACGTCGGGAGCGAAGCTTGTGCATGATGAAGTTTTATTGAGATAGTAGGCAGCAGCGCCTGTTGCGCGCGACCGTTTTTTTTCCCGCTCAACAAACAGGTAGCACTACCTTCCAACAGGCATCTTCGCAGGGTGTGGACGGATGATGCGTCAACCCGAGAATGACAATGAAGTTTCCTTGCAATTTTGAGTTGAGATGACCGAAACTTAAGGGAGTATTTGCGATGGATGACTGGACGTGGTGAACAACGTTCCAGAGATCGGTAGATGTTGCCAACAGTACCTAGAGGCCAACGGCGGTCTCCTGCTCACTCGCGCCACGGATATCCCAGTACACACCGCCCTAGATGAGCAGGGACTTTCTTCGTCGGCGAACAGCGGAGGCAGTTCGAGCTCCGGGGCCAGCGCAGCTGCTGCTGCTTCGCAGGAGTCCAACTTGCTTGGCGGCTCGGAGCTGGAGCGAGCGTCCGCCCCGGGGGGTGTCACGTGCGAGTCGGTGTTGCAACGCGTCGGACCTTTGTGGAGGGAGATGCAGGAGGGGGTCCCGCTCCACTTGTTGAAGGCCTTATTTCTCTCGATCACGGAAGACGCTGTGACCGTCCTCGGAGCCTATCTTTACATGACTCAGCCGCAGAATATGAATAACTCCCCCGTTGGTGGTAGTGCAGTTGTTCCACCTGCTGAGACCACCACGACCGGAGGTGGCGCCTCCTTCGGAGCCCCTGCTATCGCGGCCGCCACACGAGAATGGAAGGGGCCCCTCGATTACGGTTTCTTCGAGCACGCACGACGGCTAATGCTTTCCATGAAAGCGTACGTGGTCTCCGACAAACCGGCTTCGTCCTCGGAAGGCTCCAGAGACGCGCAGGCTTTCGGGGATGACTCTCTGACGCTGCGCCGGATGGCGGCGACCCGCGTCTGGCCCCTGCTGCAGCAGCTGCTGCGCGGGTATCTAGTGCTGATCATCTTGCGCGCCCCGGCCATCTGGTCTCCAAGTGAGCAAGACCATTGGGCGTTCACGCAGAGGGTCGAGCTGGTGCGGTGCAAGGGCTCGGGACGCTTCGCGGCGGCCGACGGGATTTATGGGAGGCTGAAGGAACACCATGTGGACGAGGAGGTACACCGGTGAAAATTTACGCCCCCACGCCTGCTGTCCTCTTGCAAAGCCTCTGCGTCGTGTCGAACCAGCGTTCTTACCGGCGCTGGCCTTCCGTGGGCAGGTAGAATGTCCTGCATGAGGATCTTTCTTCTAGCAGTGCTGGCGCTTCTGCTATGATTTTGCCACGGGCTCCATGAATATGCTGCCAGATGAGTAGTGCTAAGTATGTAATCATGATTAATATGCGGCGGACCTGCCAGAGCATTTCTGCCACTGCCGGAACTGCCAGAAATAACGTTTGCGCAGAAGTTGCATCTTGTTTTGCAACACAAGGCGACTACAATTTTGTCCCCTCCAGCATTCAAAAGAAAGCTCTACGTACATTGCGTCTTGTTCTGTGCTGAGGGGTGGGGACGTTTATTTTGCACCGGATAGGATGGTGCGCCGCACTACCCGTCCTACGACGATCTGCCCTGGGCCGCCGCGCTGCTGCAGAAAATGAAGCAGGATAAGCGGCCGGGGAATCCGGCGGAGGCCTACTATCGCATGGACGTTGAGCGTCTGTCCGCGGAGGATCTCGATGCGGCCGCTTTGATGACAGACGAAGAGGCAGGTGCGGCGTCGGCGCCCGGTGACGGACGCAATAGGCCGCCTAGTCACTCGTCTTCTTCATTCGTGGAGCCTGATTTCGGCCAGCGCAGAGGAAGACGGGGACGGGAGAGGGACTCCACTCGGCCTGCTCGCGTGCTGTTCACGCCGGGGCAGCGTTGGGAGATTCAGATGGAGAAAATGACTTTGCGGGAGAACACCGGGGCAGCGTCCACTTCGAGACTGGAAGACATTTGGAACTGGCGGGACATCAAGTGTACCACCACGAGCGATGGCGGCGCGAGCAGCGCTGCGAGAACGGAATGTCGGGAGGAGGAGGGTGGGGAAGCTGAATCTACGAAGCCTGTACACTCTTCCACTTTCCTGCACCAACTCAACACAAGGACGACGCAGGTGCGGTGCCACCCTCTTACTGGACGAGGCCGAGTAGACGCGGAGCAAGGGGCGCGGTTGGACCTCTTGCGCGAGCGGTCGGACCTTCTGCGGCACGTGATGGCAGTGTTGAAGGCCGGTCGGTGGTACATCGGACGCATCCTACGAAACAGCGCGTCTTCAAAACGGAGTACTTCTAGGCCGAAGGCGAGCCGCGTCGACGCGGCGGGGGCTGGCGGAAACCAACCGGTGTCCTCCGTGCAGGGCAAGGGGGTAGCAGCAGACATCGATTTGAACAATCTAGCACAAGGCAGCGCGCTCCGGGCGGATATGGAACAGGAAGCGGCGCGCAGACGGTACCTCGAGCCTCTTCTGCACGAGGAGCAGACTGCCGTCGAGGAAAAGGAGCGGAGACTGGGGTAAAGTCATTTTATTTTTCAATCATATGAGATTTTTGTTTGTTGCCTGCGAAGGAACACACATGCTGTTTTTTGCCTGCGCCGTTGCTCAGCTCGTCTCCGTTGCTGAGACAGAAGTAGCTCAGGAGAGCAAGAAAGGTAGTAAGCGAAATGCCTTTTGTTCAAAATAATCTCGATGCACTACATCTACAACTACACCAGGGAATTACTGGGGTCCGAGTTCGCGCGCAGCTTCTTTGGTTTCGATGCGCCGAGTGTGCGGGAACTTTCTGCCGTTGCGGTGCGGCGATATTTGACGTTCGTGGACTGCATGCAAAGGGAGTTGGTGGCTAGCTGCCAAATTGAAGAAGAAAGTCCGCCTAGCGTTGAGTACCTATGCAATGCAGAAAGTGTTGTAGCGGAAATATTCTTTACTAGACGCAAGTAACCACAGCACCGGTCGGTGCATGACGCGTCTGTCTGCGTTTGTGATTTCTTTGCGCAAAGATCAGATGGTTTCAGTAGATCTCGTACCACCAATGTCTAATAGACAAGGTGCACGAATAAACTTCGTTTCGGAAAAATAAACATCAAGGGTGGAGGAAGAATCGATGCACTCAAAAACTTTTGCAGGGCATAGATTTCTTCTTACAGCCGGAATCCGGGTGCTAGAGGGCAGCCGCGGGCCCGGCCCCTGTTGGTGCAAGACGCGATCGCTCCGACCGGCGCGGCTAAGGGAGATCCGGCGTCAGGCTGGCTAGAGAGCGAGGCACACGATCGCGTGCAATACGCGTCGCTTGATCCGTTTCAAGCGCGGGCGGACTTCGAGCGTCTCGTGGCGGCGGAATGGGCGTCTCTGGGCGACGCCGGCGACTTGCTGAAGCATCTTCCCGCGCAGTGCTATGTCGAGCCGGGTCTCTCTGCCTCGCCGGACGATCTACGTGAGAATTTTTTGAAGGTGAGGAGAAAGACGTCCTACGGATTAGTCAACCGGGCCGACCGTGTCAACGAGGTATCCACTGCAAAAGTATCGTACTCGTATAAATGCAAGTCTTGCAACATTACAAATCTTGTTCCCAAGGCAAATCAGTATGACAAATTCGTTTTCTCATGCTGAGAAAATGCGATTTATACTAGTGCGTTGCTTTTGCAGTTCATACGAGGCACAGGAGACGAATTTCGTACTGATCCGGGTTCGGATGCAGTTCCAAATCTGCCCGTCGTGGTTGGCGCAGGACCCGGTGCGACGATTCTGGTGGTTTGGGTCCGTTCCCCTGCTGCCCGAGGTGCAGGGCGTACTTTCACTGGCGTTGCTGGGTCGCGAGATGGTGCCCAATGGGCTGGTCTTGCTTGCGCGCTACTTCCGATACCTGCCCCTCTCGGAGATGTATCACCGGGTGGCAAAGTTGGTACAGAGGGACCGAAAGATGTACCCCAAGTATGGGCTTCCGGCCGTGACCGGCCGAGAGGAGTGGGTACAGGAAGCCGGTGCGGTGGCGGTGCGCCTTGCGCGGCTGGGAAAGCGTCTCGAGGATAAGGGGGGCCTTTTTTTGGCCGACGAGCTGGCGCTGCAGTCGGCAATCACTCTGGTGGACTACAATAAAGTGTGTACCGAGGCGGGGGCCGCCGGTTTTCCTGTCACCGATGAGTCAGGAAACAATTATGCGGCTGCGGACCCTACTGCGACCTCAGGCAGGACCAGGTACAGCAGCGACACTAATGTGAGAGACGATGCGATGAACAGTGCCGCGGCTTCTTCCCCGTCACAGGAGCGTCGTGTGCCAGTAGAGGAAGGAGATGCGGACGACCTTCTGGCCAAGTGTTCGACAGTGTACTCCGAATGGATCCGGACCATTTTCTATGAGAGTGCAAAACTCGTTCTCCCCGTCATCAGCGCTGTTTGCCTGACCACAGTCTGAGGGCCGCCCGCCCAAATAGCACTTCTTCACTCCGCGGGTGGATATGCCATGCAGAAGCAGCACAGTCTGTTTATGTCATGCGGAAGCTGTGTGATTCAATCGTTTTTGTTGCTGCTGCTTTTGTTGCTGTAGCAGATAGAACCTACCATGCAATTATAAATGAAAGGCAGGGGTGGAAATTGTGATCTCTCATACTTTATCAACTGCAAATATGTCTGGGTCTGGAGACTTGTGATGATGAATTGTGGAGGACTGAAATACTTCCCAATGCAGCCAAGCATGACGAGTTTGCCGCACACTTTCTCATGCGCAGTCGGCATGAGAAACTGCGCTTTTGTCTAATGACATCAAAAGATAAAGAGGGCGTCTTTTTGCTAGTCATGCAACACAGATTTTACAAGAATGCAGGACTACTAGCATTACAAGTTCCATGCTTCTAGACGTATTTGCAATGCATATATTTTGGGCAAGAACTTTCCGCGGATTCACAACGCAAACCTGGTTCCCATCCCAGGCACCATGGACCTCCAGATCGTCCTGCAAGTGCAGACGCGAACGCAGGCCATGGTCACCACCATGGGCTGGAAAGAGGCGTTCGTACGGTTTGCAGATGTGCTGGTTTCCCAACCGGATGCGGATTTTCAGCGGGGTACGGTTTTATCCGTGGAGCCATCGGGAGAGCGGCTAGCGGTCAGCGGCTCCTGCGACGATGGTGAGGAGGGCGGAGTCCTGCTTGTTGCTCTGCCGTCATTATCGCACAGAGAATTTTTTTGATTCTTGGACCGCAATACCTACCCCTTTCCGGGACACAGTCTGTTCCCCAGATTTTGTTCTTTTGTACGGAAATTATAGAAGATCGGGTAGCTCTTTGCACGTACATTCTGTTTTACTACAAAAACGTGCATTCCGGTGCTGGAATTGAAAGTATGTTCTGATTAGCATTAATAAAAATTCTCTGTGTGACATTGCTTCGTTGCGCAAGGCGGTCGGCAGGAAGCGTCCAAAAGGATTGTGCGGATGCGATCGCCCTGCGTGCGGTCACTGCATTGGGAGGCTACCGGTCTGTTGGTGGAGGATCTCTCAGGCGGGCTTCGAAGTCTGACCCCTCCGGCCGAGAATCCCACGTGCGGGGCGGCAAGTGGCGACCCGTCGGGCGACAGTCCGCTTTCTGGAAGGCTGGACCAAACAGGGATTTGTTCTGCAGAGCCTGTGCGGTTTCCGGGGGTAGGTCGCCCGCTAGCGGAAGAGGAGGCAGAGGTGAATCCGGGCTTGCGGCCCTACCACCGCATTTGGGAGCAGACAGCGACCGCTACGTTTCGCTGCGCTCGTGATTCTAAGTTTACCTGCATCTCCGCCGGAGCTCGGGTTGCGCAGTTGTATTATCGCATCACGCACTTGAATGACGTTTCCTTTCCCAGCTGGGGCACGGTGCGGATACGGGTGCAAGTTAACGACTGGGCCGAGATGCAGTGCAACGTTGAGAAACGCGTTTACTGCGATCGCAGTGGGGATGCCAAGAACTTATGCACACGTGTAGAAGAGAGGGCGGAAATGTCGTTTGGGGACGTGTACGAAACCGGCGTTGGTACTATTACTTCAAATACGAACTCTGATATGTTGAATTTTGTTTAAGTATCGCCCGGAGCTACGCTCAGCAGCTACTTTCTGAAACTGAGTCACTCGCACTTGCGTCTGCGCGAGTGGAAAAACCGGGCACGAGCACTGATGTTGGGCAGCACAGGATGAGGTGAATTATATTCCGACCCGAGCCAGTCATTTTGCTGGCCATCCATTTCCGTTTGACCGTGCTGCCAGGGCAAGATCGATTGTTTGAGTACTCACAGATTACGAACTATCTCAACTTCAGATCTCGACTCGAAAGGCCGATCGTTCGCGTGGCGCGGTCTTCGCGGGGGCTTGATGAGTCGGGTCGACGGGCGGCCGTCCATGCGGCAGCTGAAGGTGTTCTGGCAGGTGTTTTCGATGCTGGACGCGTGTGGCATGAGGGAGGTGTGCACGGGCGGGTTTGGGCCCGAATGCCCTATGTGGATGTCCCGAGCGTTGACGGAAACGACGGCGCATCCGCAAGAGCGCGACACGGTGTTCGTCGAGTCGCCGGTGCAGCAGTGCGCCCACCTCGCGGACGTTCGCTCCACGAAGGTGGTGGATCAACTGGTTGTTGTACCCGGGGACCTCCTGCATATCAGCTGCTACCCCCGTGTATCCACGGCAGATATGTCTGGGTGGGGAATAAGGTTGCGAAGCAAAAAAATTGCGAATGGTGTGCGCACTGCGATACGCAGCCAAGCGTGACAAGTTTTTGAGCTGCTATGTCTTTTAGTATCGGCATGGAACTACAAATTAATAAATTGCGGCTTTGCATGACGGACAAGAGGCGCCTTTCCTGCTCATGCGTCACAGAGTTAAGTAGAGAAAGAGTCTCCTGATGACAGACAAGTAGGATGACAAACTTTCACTCTTCCAGACGCAGACAGATTTGCAATGCATACCGTGGCGGCTCCCCGGACGAGAGCAGCGGCAGCACCATAGTGGAGATTCCCGAAGTCGACTTCGTTCCCGTCGCGGGCGCCGGCGAGGACAGCAAACTCGCCTTCATGTACGAGTATCAAACTTCTACCACAGATAAGCGCACGACCTCGTTGAAGTCTTCCGCCACGCTGACACTGCAAGGAAAGACGACGACGTTCGCAAAGGCCGCGTCGGACCCGAATGGACTTGGCTTTTGCGAAGAGCAGCCTCCGGCGTTTGGGGCGCGGGGGCAAGGAAACTACAATCGCGGGACGTCCCGAGAAGGTGCAAGCACCTTCGTACCGCGGCCACGGTGGTCGTCGTACCAGCCCCGCGATTCCGCGGCCACGGAAATTTCGAACACCGGCGCAGTTCTCGCACAGAAGGAACTTTCACCGGCGTCGGGCGGTGGATTTTCCGCCAGGACAAAGGACGACGGGGGCAGCGTATCCTCGTCTTCGTCCCAGGGCCAGAGCCGGCCATCGCGCCTGGTTTTTTTGCGCCCCAGCGAGCAGCCCGCGTGGCGCGAGAAGCAGCGACCACAAGACCGCATGCACCTGCGAGTGCAGTGCAGCGTACTGGACACCAGCGAGCAGCGCGCGCCACTGCGGCGCATGCTCTCCCAGTCACTGCTCACCTTTCTCACCATGAAAGACCGCTGCATTCGTCGCCCACCTGCAGAGGAACCTCCCGACCTGCATCGCGGACCCGCTATTCGTATCCCACGCAAAAGCGTTCTCAGTTGCAGTCGTTTTTTGATGTAAGAGTAGGCAGGGCGAAGGACTTAGCAATCCGAATATAGTACATTCATCGAGACAATAAGAGCCGCAAAGTGCCAATTTTTGCCATGCATTCGGGCCGTCGTTAGTAGTACATCATGCCTGCGACTGCAGAACTTTTGCAATGTACAAGGTCCTACGTGCAGGCAGCAGATACCGGGGAGTACGTGCCCCTTTCTGAGCTGCTGACGGGACAGGGATTGGGGCTAAAGGTCGCCGAGGACCTGATTCGTGCGGACTCCACGCTACTGGATTCGAGCGGGGGCAGTCGGGAACGACCCGAGGGAGGACTACTGGATTCCGCCGGCGACGACTCCGGGCTTCCCCCGTTCGGGGGCGGGTTGAAAAGCGTGTCGCTGTTGCGGCACTACCGACAACAGAAAACCGCGGCGGTGCGCAAGTCGACGTTGCACGGGGTCTTTTCCTTCGCGTTCGAGCAACCGCTGCACGAGCAGCTGGAGCCCGGGCAGCGGTACACGCTTTCCTGCGAACTCGGTACCCTGCTCCGCAGCACCTTTTCCACAAGGAGCGCGCCGTCGAGCGAGAACGAGGACCTGCGAGACACCGCTTCAGACGCTTACTTCTTCGCGTTTCGCCGGGCGCAGAAGGACTTTCTGATGCCGACGCCGTTCTTCGCGAAGCGGCCTGAGTTCCAAGTGAGCAAGAGTAGCAGACGCACGGGGCCCGCGGTCGCGGTGCTGCGCGCGAAGAGCGCACTCAGCGAGGACAGCGACACCTTCGTGAACTCGGTTGCCGGGGGGAAGTGCTTGCTGAGGGGCGTGAGCCACATGCACTGGCTGCGAGTGCTTAGTTTGCTGCCCGAGCCCACCGCGTGGAAGGATCACGACGAGATTCTGCACGAGGAGACCTTCCGCGGCGAGGACGGCGTGACCTACTTGGCGGACTGCTACCCGGTGGCGCCGAACGGGGTGACGGGATCTTCCGTCTCCGTGGAAGTCACGTTCCCAGCGGACTTCGGGCCGCTGGTGTGCGCCGCGCCGCCTCCGTTCTTTCTGTACGCAGTGCTTGTCTCGTTGTTCTTTTGGCTGACTGTGAGAGACACCGTGAAAGTGTTCGGTAAGGAGCAGCTACACTTCCTGCGATCGCGCGTCGTGGCCGGTCTGAAGCTGGCGGTCGCCGCGAGCGCCATGGGTGCGTTTATTTTTTTGGTCTTTGCGGTGTTTCTGGCCGCCGAGTGTACCGGGGTCGGGGTGATCCTCTCCCTGATCTTGCTAGTGGTCGGCCCGGGGTGCACCCAGGTGGTGTTTCCAGAGCTGTACCGTTGGTTCGTGCTGGGGCGTGCCGTGAAACGGCTCGCCGCCCTGCGTGACTCGATCGACAACGTGGTACAGCGCAAAGCGATCGCCGAGCTCCACGCCAGCCTGGTGCAGCGGTACTTTGTGTTGTGCAGCACAAACACCTTGCCTATGTCCGTGGACGCCGACGGAAACTTCCAGGCGCGCCTGCCCGCCCCCCGGCTCAGCGCGGCGGTCGTCGGGAGCAACAGCAAAAATAAAGCCGGGGGTGGTCAAGGTCAACAACAAGAGCAACGGCCGCTGGAGCGCGAGGGGATGCTGCAGCTGCTCGAGGAGCTGGAGAGCGGGTTTTCGCTGCTGAAGCAGGCGGCGGCCGCCGAGTCCGACCGGCTGAAGCGGTTGCTGCAGGTGGCGTACGACAACTACAGCCAGCAGGTCGGGTGGGAGTCCCTGGTGCGGATTCCCAACTACACGTGGCCGGGGAACCCAACGGCCGCGCAGCCGGACGGGCCGGTGTGGTGGCAGCAGGACGCCGAGTGGATCCAGATGTTCCACGACCGCACCAACGGCGCGAAGACCGGGTTCGCGGCCCGCTTGTCGTGGTACAAAGCGCAGGCGGCCTGGGCGCGCGCCTACTTCGTCACGAAACTGTCCGAGGCCGTCACGAACTTCTCGCTCGCCAACACCCCCGGCAAGCTGCAGATGAGCGCCAGCTTCTGCCAGTCCTCCTGGAACGCGCGGTTCGCGCGGGAGGGTGGCGACGTGCTCGAGCGGGAGCCCTTCAACAACGACCGCAGCTGGACGCAAACGGAGCTCTCCGACAACGTGAAAATGATCAGCGACACGCTGTTCACCAGTGTCGCGGCCCTGGGCGTGGGCCCGCCGAAGGACGCCGCGCGCGCGGGGGCCAAGATCGAGGAGATTTTGTCCGAAAAGGACGCGGAAAAGTTCCCGGACCGCGACTGGTGCCCGGAGCGGTACATGAGCGACTACCTGCGCGCGCGGGTGGTGTTTGCCACACCCGCGGCGGTCACGGGGTTCTTCTGGTACCTGCTGCTGTACTTCCCCGGGCTGGACGTGATTCGGGTGAAAAACAAAATGAAAAAGCGCGACATGGTCACGGCGGCGGACATCCACCTCAACCTGAGGATCCCGGTCCCACCCTTCACGGGCGAGAAGCTGTACCACATTGCCGAGCTGCAGCTCCTCCTAGAAAACTTCGTGCTGGTGCGGGACCTCGAACACAGGTATTACGAGATCAAGCGCGCGAACAAGTTCGTGGAGCTGCTGGCGCCCGTCTTTCCGGAGGAACGTGAATCTGCGTCGGAAGGACCAGGGTGAGGTGCTGAAACCAGATGGAGAAGAATTAGAATTAGAATTAGAAAGAAGAAGTGCTTTTTACTAAACCAAACGCAAACAAATAAGCGAAAAAATGTTCAGAAATGTTTTGGCTGCTCCTGTCAGGCCGTCAGAGCAGTGAGAGATGTAAGTAACTGTAACTAACCTAGGTTGGCAAGAAAAGCAAGGCTCCCTCTTTCGCTCTGCCTAAGCCTGTCGATGGCGGAGTGAAGATGTATGTGGTCTCGGAAATAAGACAGGGAGGGTGAAAAAAAGCACCCGTAGCTATACTGATTCCTTCTGATGTGTTGAAGTGGTATGGAAAAGAGAAAATGAATGCGTGTCGCGCAGTGTGGCTGGCGCCTTCTAGAGTCTCTCAATCGAAAGGTGAGATGTGCTTGCTGCGTTCTTGATGTTCGCTATTCGAGGATTGTCAGATATTCAAAAGATCCGGGAGACCGCGCACCGATCTATCACCGTTCCCCGATCATTTTTGCCATAGGTTTTGTGTTATTCGATCTCATTTCGGCAGATCGAGTTCTGTACAGTAGTGTATGATGTTCAACTTGAACCACGATCTGTGCTGCTTTCCAGGCTTTTTCTGTCTTTAGTGATGGGTGAAGCAAGCGCTAATTTTATCTCGATGAATGAAGCAAACGATCTCAGGCTCGGGTCCGGCACATTTCTTTTTCTCGGACATTGCGCAAAGTTCTGTAGAATTTTTGCATCGAGAATTTTGAAGATCTTTCCGATCGTCTTGATTTTACCAAGCCTCGTACTTCCATTGCACAAGATCTTCTGGAACAAAAAAAGACGCGTATATACAAGTCTGCGACGATGTCATCTCGTGGACGAAAGGTATCTCCCTGCGCACTTCCGCTGCTGCTGTTCGTTCTCACTCAGACCCGAAACTTCATCGTCGAGGGGTCTTACTCCAGTTCATTTTTTCACCGCCTCGGGAGTCTCGGGAGGCGGCTACGGGTGACGGAAGACACACGCGAGCCCTTGGTGCTGGGGGAGAGCACGCCGAGCAACCAGCGCCTGTCCTTGTTTCTGGCTCGTCGCGCACCGGATTCTACTTCGGCTGTTCTCCCCGAAACGGAGGGCGGGGAGGACGATGCGAGAGTTGGCAGTAGCGGGGACCTTCAGCAGCAGCAGGCTCGTGCCGTACAGGGGACTACACGCAGAGAAGATGTCGAAATGGGACGAGACAACCAGTACTCCTACACCGCGCCGGTAGAGTGGGAAGGTTACAGCTACTACGCTCCTCCCGAGGTCGTGGTTGCCAGCGGGCCACGACCTGCCGTGCCGGCGGAGCTCCAGGTGAACGCCCCTCCCGGCCTTGAAGAAAATGAACGTCACGAGGCGTTTCTGCCAAGGCACGACGGAGGCCCGGCACCCCAGCTGGGCATGCGACCGATAATACAGCCGGGGCAGGAGGACCAAGACCAACGGCTGCTTCTCCCTGATAACGCGGCACAAGAACCCGCCCTTGAAAGCGGCGAAGCAGTACCGCGGCAAGAACTAGGACAACAATTTCCCGTGCTTTTGGGTTCGACGAAGGTTCTGCGCGAAAGTGGTTCGCCCGGGGAAGAAAGTGAGGATAGTCTGTTTTTGGAGCAACTTTTCCGTGTCCGTGGCAGTGCTTCCAAAGTGACCGCAAGATGTGCGGCGCTACTAACGGTGCTGGCGTGTGTGAGCGCGGGGGCGTGCGGCAGCGCAGTCGTGCTGTCTGCAACAACGGCTCTGCGACGCCCGGCTTCCTCTCCCACGGCACGGCCCGACGACTCAACTGCCGCGGTCTGGGACTTCGATTTCAGCAGCGGCGACGGCCAGCAACAACACGAGGATTCCAGCCACCGGTTCGCGTCGTTCGATCAGGAAGATCACGACGCGCATTGTGCGGCTTTTGCTCGGCATGGCCGGTTTCAGTATGACAGTACCAGCCGCGACGCAGTCGAGGATCAGTTCGACCAATATGCGTTTTGGTTGGACATCGGGGAGCGGCTCTCGCAGTGTTTGCAACGGGAGCAAAGATCGGCTGTAGAGCAAGTGACTATGCGCCGAGAAGAAGACCATGCCCACCTTCCGTCGTCCTCGTTAACACGACCAACAAAGGAACAAGATAACGGCGAGGGAAGTGCAGTCTCTCGTGCAAGTAATCGGACAAATGTTTCGGACGCAGACCTCGACTTGCGGCAGACTCTTCTTGGCAGACCGCATGCAGCCAAGCATGCGGTGCGCGATGAGTCACCGCCCCCCTTCGGATATGCGCGCGGAGAATTAAGACGAAAGCAGGATGAGAAGGAGACCAACCACAGTACCATTCCAAAAGGAACACGGACTCTGTCCGAAGCAGCGGTCACCGTCGTTCCCAACCCTTTTCTCTTCCGCACACAGACCGCAAGTAGCTGTCTCAGCGTGCCGCTTCACAATACCGACGCGCATGTTCACTTTGGGCCGCGGTGCGCCGTGTGCGTCACGGATTTACACGAGTGTGTCGCCAGGACCAGCAGGAGAGCAGTCTGCGACGCCGCGTGCATGGGTCTTGGTTTCGGACTTCCCGTGCGCGATCTGAGATTGCAGAAATTCAGGCCCTGTCTAGAATGCAGCACGCAAAGCACGGCATGTTGGGACAGGTTTCAGCAGTGCCTGCTCTTTGTTCGATAAGTAAAAACGAACCGATCGATGAACATTTTTGAAATTTGGTGTAAATTCCTCCAGGGGCAGCTGCCACGCAAGCAAAACGTTCGACGGTCCTGGACTATGGCGAATTGCAATTTCCGTAGGTACATCGGCGGCATCATGAATGTAGTGGCCCAATGGCTGTCGGAAGGAAGAATGTGTCGGGCACGATGAGTATGACTTTTTTACTTGTTGTTCGCTCGAATTCCACAGATTCATTCGAAAGTGCGTTTTTTCCCCGTTTGAAACACTCGCGGCAACTGCGCCTGAGAGCTTTGAGAGGATTTTTTTGAAGCTGTTGTGGTTTACAGATTTATGAGGAGCGACAGCGACAGCACAGCTGCAATTATGCCACTGCAAGAGTCCTGATACAACGTGTCGCATGATGTACTGACTTGCTCAACATGCAGACTTGCAGGCCCCTTCCCCGCCGGCGGCCTTGTGCGTCGGCGCCCCTTTTTTTTCTCTGTACCCAAAGAGTGACTTTGGGTGAAGCTCCCCACCCTAGCGATTAGCGGCATGGGTTGTGGCGCTTCCATACATCGGTCTTCGGGTTTCGACCCCTCGTTTCACGGCGGTCCGTGGGAACGCTTTGTGGACCAGAAGCTCTGCTCTTTTCCCGCGAACACCGGTCCGGACAAGCAGGTGGAAACGTTCCACTTTCGCCGCGTGCCGCAGGGTTACGCGACGTGTGGTTCGCGCTCGGGGCGGAACGATTATTCCTTTCACAAAGAAACAAACGCGCTGGTGCACCGGAGGGACCCGAATGTGGTGTGCACCGTGGGTGCTTCCATTAATATAGGAGGCTTTGGCGATTTCCACTGGAGCCACGGGTACGCGAGCCGGGCCGTAGCAGATTTTTCCGCGAAAGGGAGCCATCTGATGGGCCGCCCTGGCGGCACGTGGAGTGAGCACCTAAACATCGACATGTGCTTTCAGGGGGACGTGGAAATGGTGAAAGACTGGACCAAGACGCACACCATCGACGATCTCCGGAAAATTGTCGAACAAAAGGGCTACTCCGCCTTCACGGTGAGCAACGGACAGCCGGCAGCCTTCTCTCACGCCGCGCTGAAGAAGTTTCCTTTCCAGCTGACGCCGGAGCACTGCAAGCCCACCACTTACGGGTGCGCGCTGCACATTTACACGCCCCCAATGGAAGATCAGGAGAACGGGGGTTTCTTGACGAAAGAAGGCGCAAAATCAACATCTCCGCCGGTGACCGAGTTTCCGGAATCGCCGCTGATCTTGGTGTCCCCGGCAGTTTACGCGAACAAGCGGATCGTGGGGAAGCAGGCGTCCCCGCAGCGGTTCCAGAAGTGGCGGTACGTGAATTTGGAAATCGGGGACGCGCACCAGCCGGCCGTGCGGGTCCGCTTCGACGGCACTTTTCTCGAGCAACCGAATCTGCAGGGAAAAGAGGGTCCGTTTGTCTTCGACGTCACGTTTTGGAAGTACCACGTGAACAACACGGTTGCATTGGTGCAGGAGGAGAGCGCGAATGTCGCCGAGTCCACCAGGAAACGGCACGGTGGCCGAGATTTCCAGGTCAACGCCGACGGGACGGTATCGCCCAAGCTGGCGCCCCATCTGGTGCTAGGCGCGGTCGCTGGCCAGGTGAGGTTGGTGGAGAAGGGAGACGCTATGCAGTGCGTTTTTGAGGGACTAAGTTCCGTGGACTCGTTCGGTGCTCAAGGGCAGCTGGACCCTGCTGCTATGCCGTTCCACATGGTTGAGTGAGGTAAAGTAAGAAGTGTGGAGGACGCCAAAACTTACTGAGTCGGCCTGAAGTGAGAAAATAAAAGACAAGCACAAGGTAGAAGCGAAGTGAGACGTTCTTTTTGGATAAAAAAATTTAAACTTGAACAATTTGCACTACAAGTAGGAGTTTTCTTTCATCAAGCGCGCCCTATAGACACGCCACAGAAACTTCGTATTCGTGCTCGAGTAACGTTCTTGTGTAAAAAATCGTACAGTGCGGACTCGTGCTTTTGGGAAAATCGTACAGTAACTTTCTTTTGTAAAAAATCAACGTGCAGAGTCGTGCTCGTCGCAACTATCGTGTGTTCGAAACTAAAGAACCTTAGAAGATTAAGTGACTCGAGGGATAATTTCTGACATTGACTGATCATCGAGGTAATGGATGCTGGGGTAGTTTGTAAGGCTGAGGAGCATGCAGTAAAACGGTACAAAAGCTGCAAAACAGAATAAACTCAGACGTCGGTGGGTTCTTTTCCTTATAGCCGTGCACGTGGCGGAAACATGATCTCTGGTCCTCTAAGGGATCCCATTCCATTCGTTCAAAACAATCCAACAGGTCTCCAACAGAACCTTCTACTTCCAAGAAGCAAGTAGCAATTTGTTTCTTTAGAATAGACAAGCATCCAAGCCTCCTTTCCTGGCGAAATCGGAGGTTTTGGTCCACAGCAGTAGCGTTTTTTTGATTCGTGCGGATTTTTTTGGCTAGAAAGTCCTATTAAATATTGTTGGCTTTTTCGACGCCTCCGTCGCTTATTCAAGCCATTTCTTTGCACGCGAATCCGAATTCATCTTGATCCACTTTGCGTGCACGACGGAAATAAAAGCTTGACTGCTACAACATTTGCATTGCTTTATACGTATATTATCGGCATCAACTTTATATCAATCATCGCATATCGCCTCCTGTTACTCAGCTCGATCTTTTTTTCAAAAGATCATCTTGTAAAATGATAAACACGTGGGAGGCGATCCACGGGAAGGCGACGAAGAAGATCCCGAAGTCTCATTCCGTCCAGTTCCTAAAGCTCAGCAATGGTGGACAGGGACCCACGGTCGGCCTCACGCGCATGTCGCGGGGTAGGCAGAAGGAGACGATTTTCAGCCCCGCGCAGACCGAAACTGGGTTCCGAAAATCCCGACACCGTAGCCCGAGCCCGCCCGGCTCTCCCACTGCGAAGAAGCACAAGAAGCCCGAGTTTTACCTGCAAGAGTGCGAGGTGCCGCACAAGAAAAAGCAATCGCTTTTCCAGATAGTCGGAAACGAGATTGGGGTAGAACGGATCGCAAAAGTCTGTCTAAAGGTGTCAGAGGAAGACCCGCTCCTGCAGCCTCTCAAAAAGGAAATCAACATGCCGCTCGCAAAAACGTATTTTGGTTTTTTAAGTAGTACCTCTGTGCAGTTTTATTTGTGCTCGCAATATATAAGAAAACTGATGAGTGAATTCAGAACTTAGCCCAGTGCAATACAACCTTGGATGATTATTTTCGGCGGGAGGACTGCGGGCTAAACCTAAAAGAGATGATTTTTTTGACACACGACACGAACTACTAAACAGGTTAATGGCCTATCTGCTTGGCCAGAACCTGCCGGAGTTCGCGTCCAATCTTCCGGAGTTCAAGCGGGAACTGATACGCGCGCGGGACCACTACAAGCTGACAGGGGAGCACTTCGACAAGATGCAAGCGATGTTCCAGAAGGCGGTGCACGGCCTGTGCCACAATAACGCCACCCGGCTCGAGTGGGACACGGTCTCGGCGTGTTTTCGCCGCGAAATCGAGCACGGCGACCTCCACGCGGTTACCGATAAAAGGATATGCGCCTTCGAGATAGTGCTCCGAGGACTTAAGTTCGTGCCACACGACGGCGACGCGAAGAAAATTATTGTGGACATAATCATGATAGCAAAGCAGCTGCCGGATCCGGATATCAAGAGTATCTAATGTTGTAGTGGATTATTTCTCTTTTGGTGCATACTGACAAATGAAAATTGCATTGATTTCTTTTGCAAGTAAACAATAACCACGATGTAGCAAGCACGGACAGTAGATTCCTTGAGCAATTTCCATAGTCCAACTCATCCCTAAAAATTAACCACAGGAGCTGTGATGCGGAGTTTCTATCCGGAGGCTTTGACACTAACGGAGTGTGCGGTAAAGGGAAACGGGTTGCTGATAAGATTCCAGCTCCTTCCGGAGCTCTACGACGACAGAATCACCCTGAAGCAGACTGATTTCGGCCACACCAAGCAGTTTCTGGACCAACTGCACCGACAGTTCGATCCGGACGCAGACCTGGAGGCGGCAGCAGAGATGGTGGATGTTAGCGAGGAGGAGCAAGATCCCAGGATATTAGCGTACTTTTTTGAAAACTTTTGATTTGACTTTTTTCAGAATGAATTGGAAATCAGAGCAGAAAAAATAGGCGCAGGCACTATAATTTCACTATAGGGCCACAATGTGGCGCCACGGCCGCCATAATCGTTTATCATGCATATGCATAACCTACGACCGCGAAAAGATTTTACCGAAAAGCATACACGCACGACAAACGAACAGCGCCAAGCAAGAGTGGCAAGACAAGGCCGCGGCGATAACACAGCCAATGGATAGCCTGATTCCAGTGGAGGAACCGGATTACGATGGGATGCAGCTCGAAACCCAGCTTGCCGAGACGCTGCACCCAGGACCGAGCATTTTGGAGCTTTACCCGAGTCTCCCAAGCTTCGAAGGGGACCAAAAGTACTATAACAGATTTGAATCTGCTTTTCTTTTGAATTCAAAAAAAAAAGAATCAACTCAAAAGTTGCAAAACAGGGACGATTTCCGAACATTCTTTTCATCTTTTGAAAAATTTTCTGACCTACCACAGGATCGTATTCGAAGAGCAGAACCGTAGAATACAACTTTTGGAGCAGCAGCTGCACAAACTCTCGCAAGTCCACGCGAAGGAGCTCACGCGAACGAGAAAAATGCTGATGCTGGCACAGGTACTGACAATAAATTCTTCGGTTGTGGTGCTGAAAATGTTGGATTACGTTTCGTTGCGGACGATAGATGTCAGGAATGCCATACATGCAGTCAACCCCGACTTGCGTCTAGAGACTCAATTGAAAAATTCGATGTTAAGAAGATTATGATTTGAGACTCTCCTTTCTACCAATTTCCCAGGATCGCATTGGTGAATTGGAGGAAATGACCACGCTACTGCCGACGGAGGCGGCGCAGGCCCAGAATCTCGTCTTTCGCATCACGCAGGATAGCATCCGGCGCAGTTTGCGACAAGGCGACGACGACTTGGACAGCGAGGCAGCGTCTCTTCAGATGCTGGAGTCCTGCCCGACACCGTCGCTACTCCCAACTACCTCCGCGGCCGGGTTTCACCAGGCGGCGGCGCGGACGGATAGCGGCAGCGCCAACACCACGCAGTCACGCCTGATGCCGGGCGAGAGCATCGACACCAAGCTGAAGGAGTGGATCGAGGTGTCGAACCGGTTTGCGGACGCGCAGAAGTCGCCCAGAGCCTTTGACCGGCCGAGCAGCGGCGGGAAATCACCCGGCAGATCGCCCAAATCAGGCTCGAAGAGGATGCTGGGTTGAGAGAATTGGCAGCGGATTTTGCTTGTGATACCTAGCAAACCACCATGCGAATCTTTTTGAAAAGTAGAACCACTTCTATACTACTACTGGTACAAAAGAAACGAGAAATCATGTTTGTAACACTCGTCTTGTAGCTGGTATGATGATGTGTTTGTACAATTTTTTCTGTACAAATGAGTAGAGTACCAGGCACAAAGCTACAACTGGTCGTTTCCAAATTTCCATTTATCAAACAAGAATGTTTTTGTGTTGAGGCGCGGCCTGTCTTTCGCGCTGACCGCGCCCTCGTCACAGAAATACTGGAAGTACTCACTTTCGTTTTCGCGTGTTGTCATATGCACAAAATGCTTTAAAAGGTTTCGCGGACGAGCTTGTAATTCATTGTACGATCACATGTATCCTATTGATGTTTTCGCAAACGCCCTGTATAGTGGTTTTGTTTCGATAACTCGTATGCCTGCTCCATAGTGCTGTTGTAAGGGCTTCCGCTCCTTGCATGATTTGATGTGGACACTGATGTTGTGTTCTTCATGCGGACTGGAGAAGAGAGAAGATGAAAGTTTGAGCGAAGAGATTAGCAAGCAACGTCGGAGGGCGGTTGTGAAATTGAAATTGAAACGAGAAATTTTTTTTCAGCCACTTGTACTCTGAATGCACGTACTCAGTTTAATGCTGCACCAATGTCATTCACCCAAAATGAATCTTCGCACTGCAGGGCCCCATTAAAGTCTCCGTTATAGTCGGTCGCATTCCATATCATCTCGTATTCCAATTGAAGAAGCCGCAAGGTTCTTCTTATTTGTACTGAAAATTGAATATTATTTGTGAACTACAGGTTCTTCTTCCACTTCCATTTCCTTTCGCTACTTCTATTTAACTCTTTTCGCTCATGTCGTGCTTGGACGGTAATAACTGGTGCGCCTGGTGCCTGGAAGACGACCGCCGCCGGCGTCTTGGGCGTAACAAGCAGAACGTGAGGTACCGCAACATGCTGATTGCCGCCACCGGCACCTACTTGTTTATTTGCATCTTGCTGACGACGGTCCTGTATGCAGCCCGCCGATCCATGACCGTGCTGCTCTTTAACGGCATCCAGGGATTTTTCGTGGGCTTGGCCGGCGTAACGACATGTCGGGCGTGGTTCGTCGGTATGCTCGCCGCGTTTGGCGGGTACGCGAGTGTAACCGGGATAATATTGCTCTACGCACTGCTGATCACAGCCTTGCAAGGGGACGGCGCGTTTCTGCTTCTTCACGGCTCGATGATTGTTGCTATGGACGGTCCATACCTGCTGATCTACTCGAAAACCGTCTACGTTTTGTACAAAGAGTACTACAAGCAGCCAGCCGTCGGCCCGCACCAGATCGCGGACAACAGCAACGTCGTGATTGTGTATCTGGATAGCCCAAGTGCTGGGAACCACCGGACCAGTAATTATAACTCGCAAGGACAGCAGCAGCAGGAGATAGCATCCTCGGGAACAGCACCTTCTGCTCCGATCGGGACGGGGAATAATCCTGCGACCCTACAGAACACCGTAGTTGGACAGCCAGCAGGGAATTTTCATGACCCCGCGGTGGCAGGGGCGGTCGCCGCCATCGGTCCAAGGAGCACCAGTCCGCAAGGCGGTGGAAATCAGGTCGCCGTTTTAAGACAGCAAAACAGCAACAGCAGCCCCGTGGTGATACCGGAGGGGGAGTATCCGTGTCCAATTTGTTTGATCAACAGGCGAAACGTGGCCATGGTGCCCTGCGGTCACCTGTGTTGTAGTTCCTGCCAACCACAAATTCACAGTGCACCAAGGGTCGAATGTCCGCTGTGCCGGACGCCCATACGAGGCTTTCAGAAGCTGTTTCTTTGATACGTGTTTCCCTTATTTCTTCTTCTCGCTTTTCGTTTACCCACTGACCCTACCCGAGTCTCTCGAATTGTAAATGAAGTATGAAGATTTTAGAAGATTCTTTCTCTTTTGGAAAGATGTACATGCTTACCCAACTCCCTTGTACGATTCTGACCTCGCCGTTTCCGTGAAGTTTTCAGAGAGTTTTGGATGAGCCCTTGACCGCACGATGGTTCCTCGAGTAATTTGCACTTTAGTGCTACGGATTATGTTCTTCCAGAAATCGTGTCACCTTCGCCTTTGCAAATTTCTATTGAGGGGAGAGCGCACGCGAGAGACAATCGTCGCTGAGTGCCTGTCGACAACGACAACTAGTGTTGCTAGTCAGTGTCGCCTCGTTATTTTTTGGAACACTCGTGAAGCGCTGACGGCATAAGGCTCGTGAGATCCTTATCGTCGTTTGATTTTCCGTCGGGCAAAATGACAATGATTTTTTAGTAAGAGAGAAACCCGTCTGTTTTGAATCAATAAACGCGAGTAAACTATGGCAGACGCGGAGGAGCAGCCTCCGGAGGCTGCCGCTGCTGAGGAGGCTGCGCCTGCCCCGGAAGGCGGTGATGCCCCGCCAGCAGAAGGGGAGGCACCGCCGGCTGAAGGAGAGGCCGCTCCGGCGGCTGAAGGTGAGACCGCTCCGGCGGCTCCGGCCGAAGGCGATGCGGATGCCGCACCCGCAGAGGGCGCTGCACCGCCGGAGGAAGGAGCTGCCGCACCCGCGGAGGGCGAGGCCGGTCCCCCAGCTGAGGAAGGTGCAGCCGTTCCGGCAGAGCCGCCAGCAGAAGAAACCGCACCCGCTCCGGCGGCCGAAGCGGTCCCACCACCCGTGGTTGAGGAGACCGCGGCACCCGCCGAAGCTGCGCCGGAGCCAGCAGAGGGGGAATCACCCGTGGCGGACGCACAGCTCGCGGTGCCAGAGGAGGAGGAATATGTGGAGCCAGAAATCGATCTCACACCAGATCTCGAAGCGGCGCTTGCAGACTACCAGGAGCGAATTGAGGGTGAGTGTATCCGCAGTGCCGTAAAGTTTCGCTCCGGATTTCGCCTTTCAAGAGTTTTCACGATGATTGATCAGGATCATAGTTTGATGTTAGCAGAGAGGACTCTGTGACTTCCCTCTCCCTCAATGGAGGAGAAGTATGATATGACTGTCTGCATACACGTGTTTCGTACTTCACAGGACTCCACCAGGATAACCTTGCGTTGCAGAAGCGCGTGATCCAATTCAAACACGCAACCCAGAAGGGCACGCAGAACGCCGCCGATTTGGAGACGCAGCAGCGAGTTACCGAACACAAATATTTGAACGTCTTGAGTCACGTGCATCAGGTAAGTTATTTGGAGGAGTCATTCTGCTATTCATTGCTTTCCATTGATTCACAAGAAATAAACAGATGAAGTGCCTCTTCACTCGGAACAGAGTTCTTACACCGCTCCCCCTACTCCATACCAGATCCGCGTGAAGCTGCGTACGCAGCAAGTGCGCGCCGCCCGGATTTCCGAGGAGCTGCGAGGGCAGCTGGAGGACAAGCGAGCGAAGGCGATCGAGTGCCGAGAGAGTTTTCGCGACTTCAAGCGACATATCAAATGTAAAAATGTCTGGGTCTGGAAACTTGTGATGCTGTGTGGCGTATCATGAGGAGGCGACAATTGCTGGCTCAGCATGACAAGTTTCTGAGCTTCTAGGTGTTGCCTATTCTGCATGACAAACTACGTTTCTGCATGACAGAAAAGTGGGGCTCTTTGGTAATGTGCATGACAGATTTAAGAGCCATGCCAGACAAGCATGACAAACTTGCATTCTTCCAGACCCAGACATTTTTACATTTGATACGACAAGTGGCGAAGAACGCGGAGTATTCCAGGACGGGGAAAAACATACCCGGGAAAATCATAACGGAAATCGAGAAGTTTGAACAAGAGAAGGAGGGGGAGGTCGAGGAGGTCCGCGGCGCCAACATTAGTCTGAAGAACCGACTGGCGAAACTCGAGCTGCAGCTGAGGAAAAAGGACGAGCTCGCCGAAAATCTCCACGTCATCGACTTTGAACAGCTCAAAATCGAGAATCAGACGCTCAACGAGAAAATCGAGGTGGAGTTTTTTTCGCAATTTTTTTGTCAGATTTGTATACTTATGCATGGACGCAACAATGACGGAGACTGACTTCTCATACATTCTCTGTTCACAAGTGCAAATTTTCACCGACCCACTCACCACAGGAGCGCAACGAGGAGCTGCACAAACTACGAAAGAAAACCATTACGGTGGTGCAGATTTTGACGCACATGCGGGAGAAGTTAGAGTTCATCCAGGAAGAGAATCACGTGCTGAAAGAAGATCTCAGCGTTTTGGAGGGCGAGTTGCAGCAAAAGCGCGATCTGCTGACGCAGCTGAAGGTCGCAAAGACGGAGAGCAAGGTAGAAAACGGTAAGTTGAAGCAGCAGGCGGGGATCAGTAGCAGTGAGAGTATGGCGACCGACTACGGCACGCGGCGGACGCGCTGCGAGAACATGAAGGCCGAAATCGCGAACATGACCGAGGAAATCAAGCGAAAGACGAACTACGCGAAAACCGTCTTCAAACTCGTACCGCAGGCACAGTAATGGATTTCGCGGAAGATTTGGGGGAGAAAAGAAAGGAAAATTTACGTTGAGTGTAGACATCGACACTCGACGCTTCCTCGTTAAAACTGTTAACTTTGACTTGACATTACCAATCTAAAGGCAAATTCCAAATTGCGCAAATTGCAGGCTTAGTCCAAAAGTACAACTTTGAACCTATAGTAACTCGATGGAATGATGTTTGAATCCAGATTGTTGTGACCAGCAAAAATTGACTCTCATGTAAAAACGCTGATGCTAGGACCGAAGCAAGATCAGAATCAAAAAGCCGGGCTTCAGGACCGAGAGATTGATCAGTCTTAACCGGGGAAGCGTGGTTGGAGTTCGCGTTCGGAGGAAAACCTTTTGTTTGCTTCCTCAGCAAAATTGAAAATTCTGGATCACTGTCATTTTGATTTACGTGTGTCGAAGTCGAAATGCAGAGTTGTTTTTTCGCCTGAGCGTAGTTTCATCTTCTCGATTTCAAATTCGCAGGTCGTGCTGCCGAGTGCAACTTTCAGTTATGGTCCAAATCGAAATCGATATCAAATTTTTGCTTCCGATCAGTGGTTCGTTCGGTTTGATCAGTGAAATTTTTTTTGAAGAAGTGGAGGATGTGGTTTGGTTTTTTTCTGCAAAAAATGCCGATGCTTTCGCTTTTGTCGTTGAACAACCCTCACGTCTTGCAGCACCAAACCCTCTTGAAAGTAGCAGTGTGATCGGCGAAGAAATTGAAACGCTGGATTATACCTGAGAAAATGTTCTTGCAAAATATACTTGTCGTGACTTCTGTCAACATGGTTGAGCTCAAACGTCTTACAATCTTGAACTAGGGTCTGTCTCCATTATGGCGGCCGCTTCGAGCTCTTCTAACAACGCCCCCGGGGCGGGCGTCCTGGCGCTTCTTGGCGACGGCGGGGACTTTGGGGAAAATGACCGACCCAAGGAGAATGAGAACAAAAAAGCAGGCGACGACTTGTTCGACGGTCTGCAATTCGAAGAGGATGAAGATGACGAGGACGACGAGGACTTGAAGCTGTTCCGCGATGAAGGTGAGCAAGTGCCTGCGCACGCCGCTTTCAATTCGCTGTTTCTCCCGGTTGCCGTGCCCAACTGTGCAGAGGAGAATCAAACGGGATCGAAATTCATCATTCATCTGCACAATTTTCTCAGAAGCCAGTATCCGCTGGACATGGTGAAGATGCGACTGAACAACAGGGGTATGCAAAAATTGTTTCAGAAGCAAAGAAGCGCAGCAGAGGAAGACTACGAGTTCAAAGAAACGCAAGCTGCATTTTTTCTGTACAAGTTTGTTTCCCACAACAGGAGAAGCAAAATGAATGTCCAGCAGGTCAGCTCAGAACTAGAAAAGCTAAGTACCGGAAAACGTTGCGTCAAAGACCCCGCGGTTGCTTTTTGGATCAAAAGTCAAAACGCAGTACTCTTTATTGAGCGCCCGCACGCACAGCATGCTCTCGTCAGCTCCTGGGGATTGCAGTGCCATCATTCGGAGGTCATGAATGCGGAGCGGTGCTTCATGACCTTACCAGAAGTGCGGGCTGCTGCCGCTCCTGCTACTCTGGGGCAGGCCTTTGCAGAGCAGATTGTGGAGTTGGCGAACAACGATGAGCCTTTAGCGTACCCGAAGCAGGGAAAGGCGCTGCGCACCGTCAGGGAGGACGACGCTGGCGCGACGCGTGTGGGACGTGGTGAAAGTACCACTGTCCCTCAGCCTGTGTTCGTGACGCAGTTTCTGCCTGCCGTTATGGGAATGCAGACCCAGCGAATTCGGCGAATGGGTGGCCTTGTGGGCAGCGCGGATAACTCGGCGGATGATGACATGATGGAAATCGACGGGGACCCTCCGCAGCAGTCCGCAGCGTCCTCATCCTCCAGCTCAAAACAGGCAAACCAGAAGCCGCCTGGGAATGCACCTGAGTCACAGAAGAAGAACCCCTCGAGTGCGGCAGCATCCTCTTCGAAAGCAATCGAAGTCCTTGCAGCGGGGGGCGGTGTCGGGACGCAGACGAATAAAGACTACGTACCACTGCGGAAAAAAGTTCGAGACCAAGTACAGGGAAGTTTCAATGCGCGACCGTGGCGGCGATCCGCAGGTATGGTCGCAACAAAGACCGCCTTGCACTTTTTCGCGCACCAAGTTCTGAAGGATCCCACCGTCTTCAAGCGCATTTGGTTGCAGTTTCTCGCTTTCACATTGCGTTCAGTAGTTGATTGTGGCCGCAACCAACTCCTTCGAATCCGCGTCTCGAGCATACTGGAAGCAGCGCGCAAGATTCAGCATCGGGAAGCGAAGCTTGGCGCTGATGTCGTGACCCTATTGACTGACCGAGGTATACTATCTATGTTTGTTGTTCGGTGCCCGGACTTCTGCATCTCCATTGCATGCGCCATGTAATTTAGGTGTTTTGGAATAGCAAAAACACATCAACAACAACATTTTTATTGAAAATTGGAAAACTCACACAGAGCGGCGCAAGATCCGCGATGCTGTTACCAAAGCGGTGATACTAGTGCAGGAGGACGACATGCGACTAACCAAATCCCCATCCACGTGTGCGGTGCATTTGTCTGCTGCAGAAGTCGCTCGCGATCAGACCCACGAGCTACGAAACAGCAAGGCCGAGCTTGGGCTGCTTTGTGTGGAGTGCGACGCGACAGAGGCGTACAGTCGCGGAAGCGCCGCTTCTGACCAGATTGAGGACGAAGACGAAGTGGAAACGCCGGGGACAGCAACAAGCCGGCATTATCGAAACTATTCGTACAAGACGAAGATCTCCAGTATGCCCAACGCATCTACCCTCGCTCTACACTTTCGCCACATGCAAGTGCTCGTAGCAAAATGCAAAGAGGCCCGCGGGATCGCTATGACCGATACTACACTTACGCCGATGGATCGATACAACCTGCTGGATGAAGTGGATGAGACCGTCCGACTTGCTGTCAAGGAAGTGTTTACGAATCCTGAGTCCTTGAAGCAACTGAGTGCAGGCTGGATCGGGGACTGCGTTGTGGCTCTTCACCGAGAGTACCTACCCGTTGCGCGCGAATTCTACGCCGAAGGTTGCCGGGGGCCTAACCGCGCGAAAGTCTTTATCGAGTTTCGTGGAATGAGTGCTGCAATTCTCACGGCGGTATCGCTGCTCATGATTACTGACAAGGCGGCGTGTCTCGCACATCCGCTGTATGAAGAACATCCCATGGCCTTCGACGCGTCGCAGCTGGAGCACCTTTTTCTCTCATCCCTGCATCAAAAGACGCAGCTTCGTCGTCTCGAAATCTACATCCAGCAGCGGAAAAACAAGGCGGTCAGGGGCCTTCCGCCAGCAGGGTGTCAGGAAAAATTTACGCTAAACAGCTTCGCCGTCCGCTTCGCGCAACAAAGCGACGACATTGTCAAGGTGCATGACGCGATCCAATCGGCGTGCGACATCAAGGCAGAAGCCAAGCGTGCAGAATTCGATCGGTTGTGGGCAGAGTGGACCATCGCGACTGACAAGCTGGAAGCGCACAGAGTCTGCAGCTGCCAGAAAGACACAGTGTATGATCGCCGCAAAGGGCGCAACGTGGTAAAGGTGGTGCAGCAATGTGAGAAGCACAAGGCCCAGAATAAGCGAAACGGGCTGCGAATGTCACCCTACGTCCGCATCCTGCCGAAGGAAGTTCCGGCTCAGTGGGCTGTCTTGTTCGAGCTGATGAAGCCAGACATATTGCACTACGCCGACACAATGTGGCTCGACTTCGCGCTCGCCTTGTTACCGGACCTGAAGTCGAATTCCATCATCGCAGATTTCGATGGCAAGGTAGTGCCGTGGGCTGAGGAGAGTCGGGTTGTGAACGCAATCGAGCTCGCCGGCGGTGACCTCTCCATCATCGCTCACGACGAAAACACGACATACGATTTTGTTGGGCACTCGCGGCCAGCGGAAAAGCAGCAGCGTGTTGACAATTTTGAAAACAGCAAGGGCGTCAAGCACAACTCTATGGGCATGCACTACATCAACCGAAACGAGGCTTCCCAAGAGGAGGCGTTCGAGTGGCTTGAGCGCGGATCCTGGATCTGGGTGTTTAAACACTACTGCGAGCCACGCATGATTACTGCGCGGTACAAGTCAATGCAGGGTTTCGTCGGGTTCTCGCATACGGAAAACCAAGTCTTGGCGTTGCAGTCAGACGCCTATGCCAGCAATCGGTTGGGCGGTGCGGGGAGTATTTCGCTTCGAGAGTTCCAAGACCTCGGCAAGATGACTGCAGTTGCAGGGCTGCGTTTGGAGAAGCTCGCAGCGGCGTACCAGCAGGGTTGGTTGCAGTTTAACAGCCCCGACGTCGCGTCCTTCATCATGTCAGTGCTCTGGCAAGCGGGTCCGGTCCTTGCTGAAAACGATGCTGCCGGTGTGGACCAACTCCCTGCTGTCCCTGGTGGTGACGCTGCCCAAAACCAAGCTCGTGCGCAGGCCGCGAGTTGGCGTCGCCTGAGTGGTCACCGGCTCGGAATTGCCGGGGCATCGCTCGCAGAGGATCTCATTCGTCATGCGCAGGTGTCTCTCGCTGGCATTCGCGAGAACTGGGACAAAAGTGTCGCGCTGTTGTCTCTCTCCCTGGTTTGCAATCTCTTGGTGGAGCACCTAGCGAAGCCCGAGCACCGCGATCGTGCTTGGTTTGTGAGTGTCGTCAAATCGTCCACTGCAGCTGATGGATCGTCCTCCTCCGCCCCTGCGCCGGCAATTCTCCAGGACCCGACGCTAGCAGCAGCTGTGGATTTGCTCCGGGAGATACGCAATGTGGCTGAGAAGTGGTTGGAGAAGTTGCGTGATGTTGCGGCAGACGTGACGAGCGAAGAGCACATTCAAAACATGCGGCGCAGAATTGTCGATGTTGCAACAATCGGATCGCTCTGTTTTGCTGCCGCGCCCTGTCTCACTTTGAAGGACGACAAGGACGTGCAACAATGGCTGCTTTTCCGTGCGTCTTTGCAAGACCACCTGAGCATCACCGACTGCACTCCTGCCGCCGGCTGGCGGCGAGTGCCGTTGCTGCTCGCGGAAAGTCACGCGCACCAGCTCCTTATCTTCCTCGTCTTACGATTCAAACTCACCGGGATGGCCCGTCCGCTTGGCGACTTCCTTCGCTCCTACTGGACGGGCGACCAGTCAAACTGTGTGCAAGAGTGGGAAGAGCTCACGGCATCGAAACCTACGGGAGCCTGGTACCGTGCGAAGTTTGGACCGTGCTGGATCGACTTGAACGTGATCGACGGTACGTTTCTGGTGAACGGGGCGCCGTGCAAACGCTTGCCGCGGGCGATCGTGGATCACCAGGTTTACCAGCGGCTCTTTGGCAATGCGATTTTTGCAGTCCAAAGTGTTGGTCGCGGGGTGTACAGTACCGCTGTGCAAATCAATGGCGCATACTTTATCTTCAAAGAAAACAAGGCGTCTGGAGTCCCCATCATACTGGAAAAACGAGAAAACTCCCCCTCGATGATCGACTTCGACGCCATGGAGGACAGCCAGCGCAGTGGCCTTGCCATCCTAGTGCCCCACCAAGTTTTTTTGCACAGCGCGGCCGGGCCAAACAAAGATGGTCCAAGCCCGCTTCCGGGTGGTGCCAGTGGCAAAAAAGACAAGGGCCCTCTGAACGTTGCGGCCGGTTTAGATTTGGGCCTCGACGATAAAAGTCCGGGATCCGACCGCATGGATGTAGATTATGAAGCTGTCGACGACTTCATGCGTGTTGACAACGACGTTGGTGGAGCAAAGGGCGGAGGCGGTAAGGGTGCGCAAATCAAGGCGGAAGCCGATGACACTGGTTCCGACATTCCTTTGCAGAATAGCGATGGCGATGCGGAGGATAATGAGGATGTGGGTAATGCGAATGGCAACGGGGCGGGCCTGAACCAGCACGATGACCTTCCGCACGCTCTGATACACGAATACTCTCACTGGCTGAAAAAGGACAATGACGGCCATTGGGAAGTAGAGTTCCGGCCAATTCGCTACAACGATCCCAAGTTCGGCATCGCCGCGCCCGAGTTTGTACTTCGATACGCCGACCGTGTTGTGGTGGATCCCCGCACCAACATGTTTCTCCTCGATCTCGGTTCCGCTGTGGTGTCTCACCTGGATGCCGCACTCACGGGTCGACTGGAGCTGCGAAAGTTCGCTCATGTGTTCAGCAGTTTGGGTGGGGCGCAGAAGGAAGGCGAGCCAGGCTGCATAGCGGAAATCCGTTTGCCGCGGCGGCAGAACCTTCGCTTTCATGTGCTGGAGCGCGACGAAGCTGGTTCACCAAATGTTATCACTGCGCCGGACTTGGGTGGCATGGTGGTCGCGAAGAACCAGTGCATCGGTTACAACGGCGAAGATACGCTTCGTGGATTGCAGCACGGTTTGGTGCTATCGAAGCAGATCGCAGGGGCTGCACCAGAGCAGGACGAGCAGTCAGCTGACCTTGGAGACAACGCTGCTGCCGGGTCCAGCGACGCAGTGTTGCGAAAAGGACAGCAGGCAAAGCAGCCATTGCAACTATTGCCGAGCGTAAACCTTTTGCCGGGTGGAAAGCACAAAATGGAGCAGAATCTTCAGGGTGGCCCAGACGCTCAGCCACCGGCGCTGGAGATGCGGACTTTGCTGGTCCCGCACGGCAGTGTGAGACGGCTGAAGAAGGGCGGCGTCGTCATCGATCTGAACGCCGTAAAGCGGCCTGCGTTCTTCCAGTACCCCATTCGGGAGCATCTCCGTGACTTGCATCCCCAGCCGACCCGCATGGCTTCGCTGTTTCTGGCGCTGTTGCACGCGTGCTGCGGGCGGCTGCTTCCCGACTCCTTCACACAAGTGACAGGAACGGATCGCGCCATGGAAATTTATCGATCGGGCCGTGCTGGCGGGAACATCACCAGCCGACTGGACGACGCCGACCTGCCGGATCTTCTGACGGAGCTCGAGCTTCAGTTTGCCTTCCTGCTTCTGTCACCCGAGCGGCGCTGGGAACCCCAGGGTCAGCTGATCGAGTACACGAACGCGTTTTCGTGGTCGCTGGAGCCGCTGTGTGCGCACCCCGGACTCGCTTGCTTGGCTAAGCGGCACGCGCTTGCAATGCTGAGGGCGCTCTTTCTGGCCGGCAAGCTGGATAAGTTCCTCGATGCCCTGCGCCTGGCGGATCGCGACATGGTGGAATTGTGGCGGGACCAGGTGCGAAAGCGCTTCGGGATCTTGAACCTCCGCGGAGCACTAATGTCCCTCGAGTCACAGTCGACAATCGCGCAGCTGACAAGAGGTGAGATTGTCGAGGGATTCAGCTCGGAAACGTCTGAGAGCCTGGCGGCGTACCTCGCCGGCGACGTCTTGGATGCACAGACCACGGGGAAGAAAGATCCGAACAAAAAAGACAGTAAGAAACAGGAGGACGACGATCAGGATCTCCCTGGCAGCGACGACGAGGACGAGGAAGATGAACTACTTGGTTCCCCTGATGCAGCAGACGCTCTTATCGTACGTCCGCAAGCTGCTGGTAAGCGTCGAATGAAGATGAAAAACAAGATGCAAGGAAAGCGCCAGAAGGGTGGGCGACCGCCTGCGGTTGCGGTGCTGGTGCACCAAGACTTCGATGCGAAAGAGCTGACAATACAGTGGCTCGCCGGTGAAATGGTACATGTCTTTGACGATGCCGAAGAGCTGTTTTCGTCGGACACGCTGGATGGGTTGCGATTAATGGGCGAGCTTGGACTCCATCGCTCTCCAGCCTGGAGAAACGCTGAAACCAAAGCGCGGCTGCAAACCTCTCTTGTGGATGAGCTGACACGAGTTGGAACCGCAGTCGATTATCTAAAGGGAAAGTCCAACTTCACACTCACCCTGCAAAAAGACGCCTGCAATCTTGCGAGTACAGTCCGTGACATGCTGAAGGCACCGGATGGCACGCAACTCAACTTCTTGGACCACTTCTGCGATTTGTACAAGCATTGCTCCCTCGGCTACGCTCACACCCAGACCCCGTGGTTGCGGACAACGTTTTTCCTGTCGCGGCTATTTTTGGTGTATCCAGATGCCTTACCCTTTCTTTTGCAATTGCAGTTCGTGCAGCGCGAGAAGGCCGTTTTTGACAGGATACCAGTTCCGGGGCACACGCAGTACATTCACCCGCACGAGCATGGCTTCACATTGCAGCGAGTGCGCGAGGTCTTCGACGATAGTGCGTGCGTATTTGACCACCAGCTCGGCAACTATGTCGACGAATTTCAGGAAGCAGAGCAGCGGGAGCGGCATGACAAAAAGAAAAAGGAGGCTTGGGAATGGATCAGTACGTATTGCGCGCAGCAGTACAGCGAGTCGAAGAACTTCGAGGCAGTCTCAGTTCCAAACGAGGTCGCTGCGGCATTGACCAGCGTGGTTGCCTTCGAGAATCGCGTGAATGCCTTGTTTCGAGACTGGAGGAAAAGCGACCAGCTTCACAAGTGGCTCAGCAATATTGTGACTCTTGTGAAGTCAGTTATCGCCACGTATTCGCAAGGGAACGACGCTGGCTTGACAGCATTAGCAGAGCGGCGGAAAGACGAGATGCAGACCGCGCTCAGGGTGCACTCTTCGGCTGCTTCTGCTGGGGGAGATTCTCAAGTTCCCAGGCCGCCATTTGTTTTTCAAGAGTGGCTGCGCGAAAAGCTCTTAGCGCAAGCGGGAAGGGAAGTCAAGAGGGGCGGGAAATCGGGACCGGTAAGGGTTGACAAAAAGGGTGCATCTGCCCAAGCTGCGTTGCTTTTGGAGCCAGAAACTGTCGATGCAAACACTGCCGCTGCAAATATGTGGCGTGTGAAATCCACGAGGGAAAGCTTTCGCGAGTTCTGCCGCCAATACGAGGCGGCGAAACCAGAGCCGGCTGCAAAGCGCAATCGGACGGCAAAGGGTGCGGATGAAGAAACCGCTCGCGACACCACAAAGCCAAATAGGTTGCTTGAGGCGACTCCGGACATGAGTCTGCCTAATATCGTCGATGGCAGGGAGTACACAGAAGTTGCCGAGCGGCTGCGCAGCGAGCTGGCGGAAAGTTGGCAGCTCGCGTGCAACGAGAAAGTCATAACGGCGCACAACGCAAAACTGAGCGCCACGCAGCTTCTTGAGACCAAACTTTGGCTGAAAGAACAGCGCCGGCTAGTGGGAAAGGAGATGCGAGCCGCGTGGAACAAGATGCAAGCCTACTGTGGATTTTCTGCCGACCCGAATGTGATATTGCTAGAGGACGCTGATCTTGGACACCTCTACGACACCGGTTTCGCGACAATCCTGACCCCAACTTCCGTGCTGAAGCAGTGGTGCCGGCAGAGTGCTGGATTCGACACTGCTAGCAACATGGCGTGCCACCTACCGCAGGTGCTGGCCAATCTGGTTTTGGCGTTCGCCCTGGAGCTCCGGAACATCCAGCGCGTGGACCGCTTGATCAGATTCGTCGACGCCGCAGACTGGCGCAAACTTAAGCAGGAGCTTGGCACGTGGGGCTGCGAAGGGTGGTCGCCTTTGGAATACCCCGAATTCCTGGCCTTCGAACTCGATTCGGACCTCCTGATCTGGCGATCGCAGGCCGAGGTCGCGCAGGAATTTTTGACCGCGACGTCCAATAGGCTGCTCCAGCAGAACATGGGGGAAGGCAAAACGGCAGTCACGTTGCCCTTGGTTCTCGCCGCATCAGCTCGCGGAACCAAATTAGTCCGAGCAACTGTCCTCACCCATCTGTTTGTCACCAACCTCGCGGACTGGCAGTGGAAACTGGGCGGAATATTGGACAGGAAAATACAGCCCCAGTTGTGCCGTCGGGATTTGGTGATTACCCAGAGAGAAGCGCAGATGCGGCTGGATGACTTGCAGGAGTCGCAAAAGTTGGGCGACATTATCGTGACCGGGCCGGAGCACCGTTTGTCGCTTGAGAACAAGGCAATCGAGCTCGCAGCGTCAGAATCGCAAAAGCGGGACGTGGGCGCCAGCCGGGTTCTGTTTTCGTTGCTCCAGTACCATCGCGACGTCGGCTTTGAGTGTTTGGACGAGTGCGACGAACTTCTGAACCCGAAGCATCAGTTAATTTACACCTTGGGCGAAGCCGAAGACATGGCTGGCGGGCGGTTTCGCTGGGTCGCTGCGAGCACAGTGCTGCGGGCCGCTTCGAAAGTTGCGGGCAAGCTGTTGGCGGAGTTCGGTCCCGACGTAGTGGACTTCAAACCACACGCGAACACCTGCGAGTACTCTCCGCTTGGTCTGCTCGATCACCCGAAGCAGCGGGCAGCGTTCGAAAAGTTGAAGCTGCTTGTCCTGTTTGAAGTAGCGAAGAACTACGAAGCGCAGATGACCTCGGACCAAAGCAAATGGTTTAGAAATGCATCGCTCGCGGAAGACGGGGATCAATACCTGGCGAACTTGTCGGATTCGCACAAAGACACGGCCTTGATCCTACGGGGCTTGTTGACATACGAAGTGCTCCTCGCAGTCCTCGGCAAAAGATACAGAGTCAACTTTGGCGCCCACCCGACGAGAAAGTATAAAAGCTTGTTGGTGTTTAGACATCTGCAGGCTGTCTTAGTTTTCTGTTTTTACCTTTGGCTCGTCCTGCCGCAGCCTCCAGGTACAAGGGGAATGGCACGTTAGAAGTGACAATCGATCTAGAGGCAGTTGCACTATTCTTTCTACTAACTTTCATGTTCCTCAATTTTAATCAGGGGTCTGCAAATGGCAGTGCCATATTTGGCGAAGGACGTCGCCAACGAGAGAACCGAGTTTGCACATCCAGATATCGCGCTCATGTTGACTTACTCGACCTATTACCAGTCTGGGCTGTCGCCGATGCAGTTGAAGGACGCTCTGACAAAGTTGCAGACGCTTTCCGACAGCCAAGCCCGCAGCATTTACCAGGACTGGACGAGAGACGCGGAAACTGTCGGCGAAGGCCTGAAATCGTATGACTCGCTAAACCTGGACGACCAGCATTGGTTCATGAAAGAACTCTACCCAGCTTTGCAGCGCCATGTCAAGGTGATTGATTTCTGGCTCACAAGTCTCGTCTACCCTTCGCAGGCTCGCCAATACGGTTTGAAATTGGTAGCAACTGCGTGGGACCTGGCTCGGGGTCCGGACACAGGTTGCGACGCTGTCACGGTTGGCTTCTCAGGTATAAACATAATAAATTGGATTTGGATTCATTGAGGGCTGCTGTTTCTTCTTTGTGTGGTCCTGGTTTTTCATCGGTACTTGTTGTTTTTCGTTGTTGCGAGCCGGCGCCATAGTGCATAGTGCGGCGTTGCGTCAAATTCTAAATTTTGCGGAAAATCAAAATAAGTAAAAACTTTCTTTTCCAGGCACCGACGATTTAAAGCCAGTGCTGCCGGCTACGGTGCAACAAAAAAACTTGCCATCGTTGAGCTCGACGAACGGGCACCAGTTGCGGAGGCTGCTGCGTCCGGAGAACGACGAATACCTAGCTCTGCGGGACGAGAACACCGCGGCCGAGATCGTGCAGATTCTCAGCGAGCGCCAAGACATCTCAGTGGTTTTGGATCCGGGCGCGCTCGTGTTGCAGCTCTCCAACCGTGAATTTTGCCGGAGGTGGCTGCAGAAAAGGCCGGACGCCCTGGCTGCGGTTTTTTTCGACGAGGGCAACGCGATCCAGGTCATTCTGCAGGGAGCTAAGCCGGACGAGGAGGCAATTCCCTTTGCGCTCTCCAGCTTCAGCAAAGACATGACAAACTGCTTGCTGTACTTGGACGACAACCACACGAGAGGCAGCGACTTCCCCCTCGGGCCAACCTGTCGGGGTTTGCTTACATTAGGCAAAGGGCTCTGCAAGGACAAATTTTTGCAGGCCTGCAACAGGTTGCGACAGATCGGCATGGGGCAGTCTTTAACGTTCGTGGCCAGCCCAGAAGTCCATCGGCGACTGCAACAAATCCGCACGGAGGGGCTAACAAGCTTCGCCCCGAAGGCCGAGGCAGAAGAGAAAGCGCCGTCTCCAAAGTCATCCGGTAGTGCGACGCCAAAGGCGAAGGCAAAAGCCAAGGCCAAGGCAGCCGCGGCAAAAGCTAAGGCGAAAGCTAAAGCCGCGGCGCCAAAGGCAAAAGCAGCCACTACCGTCATGAAGAAGGCCCCCCAGCCTGCAGCGAAGAAGGGCGGCAAGCAGGCGGCTTCGAAGGAGGACGACGATGCAGAGGCGAAGCTCAGAAAGGAAATCGCTGCGCTGGAACAACTGCGGGATATGGGCATAGCGCTGAGTGCGCACCAAGAGCATCAGCTGCTGGAGAAGAAGGAAGATCTCGCATGCCTGCTTCGCGGGGAGTCTGGGGATGTAGTAAGTCCGATCGGCAAGAGTCCCTCTGCGGCGGCTGCAGCATTTAAAAAGCCTGAAGAGATGAATGACGCAGCAGCAGGGGCGCAGAACCAGCAGCAGTCCTCTTCGTCATCCACTTCTAACAACGCAATTAATGGCCTGCACAACATTCCGGTCATCCTGAGCTGGACGCTTCGCAACACGGCTGCGCGCATCTGTGACTTGCTGCCGTACTTCGCTTCGCAAGCGCGCAACTGCTTGCAGAAGACTGAGGCTGCAACGAAGTACAAGATTGCGGACGAAGTAATAAAGATTCGCGACTTCGCTGGCGACGGATTCGAGGACGCAAAGGCTGAAAAAGCGTTGCTACACGAGACATTGACGGATTTTGCGAACGCATGCGTTGAGGACGAGACTCTCGCGCTGCAGGATTTGTACGGGCATGCGAGGAAACAGCAGACTTTGCCGGCGATCGTGCGTCAAAAGCTAAACATCTTTTTGAAGAAAAAGGGCAAAGCCAGCAGCGGCGCCTTCGCGCGAAAAATCGCCGAGGAAGTCGACAGCTTGGTTCCCAGCGTTACGCGCTTTGCTTCGATGTTTGACGAGGAGCAAGAAAAGGAACTGGAAGCAGAACTTGAGGAAGAATGCCAGGTGCAGCGCCCCCCCGCCGCGGAAGCGGCCGCGACCTTCATTTCCGACAACTTGAAGCGCGTTGCGACGTACGTCAAACAAGACAAGATTTGCCCCTTCTTCGACGGGTTGTTCAAGCCGTTGGAGAAAATTTTGAGCGACACTGGTCTCGCCCTGACCTTTCCCGGGTTGCAGGACACGGTCTTCGTCACGCAGGCCTGGTTGCAGACCATTACCGCCAACAAGGAGAGTAAGAAGGTGCTCGCGGCCTACCTGAAAATGCCGGATTTTCTGATTCGCGTGCGGGTTCCGTCGCAGGGTACGCGGAACGGCAAGCAGGTGTACCTCGTGATCTCTAACTTCGAGGCGGACGAACTGTTCGCGACTAGTGACAAGCTGATTCTGTTCAGCCCTCTGGTGAGGCAAGACCAAAGTCCTGTTCTCGTGCGGGACCGCGCAATACCGGGGACCGAAGAGGGGTCAACCACCGACAACGAGCCGCAAAGCAACCCGTTTCAGCTGGTGATGATAAAGAACGTAGCTCCGGCTCGGTCCACCGTGGACGACTTTGTGTTCGCAGCGTTGCATGTGCTGGCGGGATCTGTGTATGCGGATGGTGCGTTGATGGAAAAAATCGGAAAATATTTCGCATTGATCAGTCGGCAACACTCACAATTTCGGGCAATGCTGAAGGACCAGAACATCGACCAAGATGGGTTTGTGCTACCGGCCGGCAGCGCCCGGGATTCTCTCGGAGTTTCCGCTTCGCCGTTTGAAAAATCGATGGTGAAGCCGCTGCGGAACTTCTTGGCCCAGGCCCGCCACTTGCAAGCGGAAATGGCGACAAGTCCGCTCGGAAGGTTGCTGGGCTGCGACAGTCTGAATACCGATACTGTAGTTTAGTGGTACGAAGCAGGTTTGTTATTCCGAATAATCGATCGGTCAGTGTGAGAGCTACTAAAGACGAACTTTTGAAGAAAAAGAAAAAACGGTCCTGGTACAAGTAAGAAAACTGGATAGGAAAAGGAGTAGAACTCTGGGATAAAATAAGTACTCAGGTAGCTACTGAGCGAAATGATATGACGCGAACTTTTTTTGTTTTACTTTTACCTTACGATAAGTGCTAGCAGTGCCAGTTATATGTGTGATTTACAAAAGAGATGATGCGTGTGCCAGCGTTTTATAAACTAAGTTTTTTTACGCAGAAACAAATTCCGAATTTCCGAGAACTATGGTTTGACTATCGATCGCTGCGAAATGCAAATGGAAGAATCACAGATGAATTATATGACGAGGCGACGAAATACTTTTGGCGACAGTGAAAATCAAACCTATGAGTACGAGAACCTAGCAGATTGGTCAGAATTTTTCAGCGATAAAGCACCACATTCGAACAAGCGAAAAATAACTGGATTGAAGGCGGCACGTGTTATCCTCGAACCTTTGCGTGTGAAAGTATTGATCGAATTTTTGCTTCATGCGGCGGCAGCGCAAAAGGAAAGCCAGGCGCGCGCTCTTTGTTGTGTTTCTCACACAAAACGCAATTTTCGGTGGCGACTTCGAAAGCAAGGATCCACTTGCCGTTCTGGGCTGATAGATTCGGATTCCGGTTTACCATCATCTCTGCTCGGATGGAGGAGTCAATTTCGAATCAGCATTGACGCAGACTTGCTTTTCAAATTTTCCTGCTTGCAGCCTAACCGGTCTTTGATCACATGCAAGAATTCATTCTGTGGCTTTTTCTGCTATTTTTTTTCGTTTTCCTGTACTTAGCTTATCAGGAAACACTTCTCGTGCCCGTTTCTATTTGACTTTTTGCCCCGAGTTTCTTTCAAACGTAATAAATTCATTGCATTTCATTTTCATATGTAAGTGGCTGAGCGCCGCTGGTGAGGTCGTTTTTTACAAAAGAGAAAATCACAAGAATCGTCAGAAGATTGATAGAAAATGTCGACGCTGCGAACGATGCTTCTCGCAGGAATTCTAACACTGCACCTGTGCTCGATTCCAACGGTAAGTTCCAGCCTCGCGGCGAAATTCAAAACACCTGCGACTGCCCAGGAAAAAGATTCATCCATGACAGGCGGCGATCCAGATAGCGAGCAACCTACGCAAGGAATGAAAATCAACGAAACCCAAGTCCTCCTGCAGCAGCACTACGAGGCCGCTGCCTCTGCTCCGCCAGTGGCCGTCGTCGTGGTGAAGTATCTGATAAGTGGCACGATTTTTGCGCAAATCCCGATTCCCGGACGGAACGGCGATTTTCTGCAGCAAAGCAAACCCTATACCGTGCGACAACTTCTGAACGCCGACCAGTTTCGCTTGGAGATTGAAAACAACAGCAAGCCGTCTAAGTCTGATTCCAAGATTCGCCGCGCCTTCCGCCTGTTCGACGAGACCGGAAGCCGGAAACTCGGGCTAGACTCGGAGATTGATTTCAAGGAAAGGGAAACGGCAACGGACACTTTCCCTGCGACCGGCGGGATGCAAGATGTTGTTGTTCCCAGCGCGACCAGGTGGTATGCCACCATCGGGATCGTGGACGTGAGTCTCGACGTTCTGGATCCGGAGAGCTGGTGGGCGCATGGGACGGAGAACATGCCGTTTTCGAACCACCTGGCCGCGATCAAATCCAATCTGCACTTGTACCTCAATAACGATGGAACGATCAGGCAAAAGGGCACGCTTCCCGACGGATCGTTTCCTTTTGGAAGCTTTTTCGCACAAGTGCACGACTGGGTGCAGCACGCGCGCGCGAACAACAAAGGCTTCTTCTACGGATACCAGTTCTACAATGCGGCGGAGGGGCCGGGGCTGCCGGGGCACCGCATGCTGTTTTCCGCAGACGCGGCGGCGCTGCTGCAGTTTCAGGCCGAGGCGGCGAACGCGCGCGGCCTGCAGACGCCGCACCAACAGGGTCGGAGTGCGTGGAGCATTGACGTTGGAGACCCCTACTTCTGGACGCGGTCTCCGGAGCGCTACTTTTACGACACACTTTGGGTTTCGTATAAAGACGAGGAGAAACAGAAAACGGAGAGAGGAGAAATAGAACCTGATCACATAGAGCAAGCTGACAAAAGGACATCCAGCTACTGGATTAGGAGCGCCTCGGCAGCCCCGGTGCTGCACGACGTGCCCTTTGGTCAGGTGCAATACCCGATGAGGAAAATGCCGGACTTTAGCAAAGATCGCGTCAAAGACGACTTGCACCTCGAATTTTTCGTGCCGAGCGCGACGGCAGAGGCTGAGTGGAAGACGGTCTCCGTGCTGTCGAAAGGAGTCAACATAGCCACCTACACGTTCCAAAGAAGTCCACGGCCGCGGGGAGCGTTTCAGTTGCGCAACGCCGCGCTGCGTGGTGCTAATGTAGACGACTCGACGTTTGCGTGGAAGTGCACACGCATCAGCATCAATTTAAGCAACGGCGGGCGGTATACACATGTTTTCTCAGTGTCCCAGCCACTGGGGGGCTCGTGATATGTGGCAAGCAAAAGGGTGGTGCGATGTGAACAATAGGTTTCGACATAGATTTCAAAAATGTATTTATTCCCGTGAAAGAGCAGCTCCCTTGTTGTTCTTCATGGAGATGAAAATTGCTTTTGCTGCACTAAAGATACTTAGATCAATGCATCATGCCCGTGCTTTGTTGGCTTGCTCTTACTTCCGTATAATGTCATGTTTGCGAAAACGAACAAAAGTTGTAGCCGACAATAGAATAGACCGATGTTGGCATGTGAAACCAAGTTGTCATTCGAAAATTCGTAGGATGAGAACGCCGTTTCTGCGCACAACTGGTTTCAGGCGGTAAACTTGTACAGTAATCGAAGCAAGATGAAGATCAAAAAGCTACGTCAATGATAAGGCAAAAGCAGTGGTATAAAAAGAGTTACTTGTTATGGTTGTTCTTCTGCTTGGACATGCGCTTGCGTGCCCCGATCTACGTTGCAGTTTACTTATCGTAGTCCTCCCTGTCATCTCATCGTTAGTATCGCTCGTCTGTGAAAGTGTCGCACTTACTTCGTCGTCGCAAAGGAGAAGGCATGAAGAAAGGCACTGTAGTCGAATAGACCTGATCGTGTTCTTGGCTCGTCGTCGTTACTGTGATTCGTTAAACTGGTGCTGTGATTCGATCGGTCTAGCCTCTTAAGTACTATGTCTCTTTCTGCTGTTGCTGCAAAAATATCATAACACTAGGCAGAGGCACCGCGAAAAAGAAAATGGAAGACGCAGAAGCAATCACGATGGCGCTTCAGGGTGCCATCCCCCTGGCGCTCCGAGACACGCTGGAAAACATTTGTGAAAAGTACGTCACTAGCGCGGCAGAGTTGAAGCAAATGGTCCTAGAGCTCGGCACCACGGACCGCCCGCAGGTCAAAATCGAGGACGAGAGCGAGGGGACGTCGGCGCAGAGCGGAAAAGGCAGCTCGCTCGTTGACGATGGGGAGAACGAGGGGGACTCTGCCGCTGAGGCGAAAGACGTGAGTGACGACGATGCAGCAAATCCGGATCACGGTGCTAACGAAGATAATATGACGGAGGAATCATCTGGTCCTGGCGACGAAAGTGGAAGCGGTGATTCGGAAGCGAAGAACACTGGTGATGACGTTGCAGCACAATCCGACGACCATGGTGCTCAGGAGGATAATGCTACGGTTGAAGAAGAAAGTGGAAGTCCTGATGAAGAAAGTGGAAGCGGTTCTTCGGACGAACAAGCGAACACTTCTGAAGAAGGTCCTGCTGAAGCCGAAGCCGTTTCAAACTTTCCGCCGTACCCCGCCATCGCTGCCCGGGCCGAGGCCCGTCTTTCCGCCGGGGTTCTGCCCGGCGCCACTTCGGGCATGGCGGCCCCGGACAGCCAAGTTCCCCCGCACTTGGATTTTTTGCCGCAGTCTTTTCTAAAAGAGACACTGGCGCGCGGTAACTACTGGATTGACGGACCCATCGGCTACAAAAAGTACCACTACGACGGACACAAACTTTGTCCGGTGGCCGCTGAAGAACCTGCGGAGGAGCCGGAACAAGTGGAGAAGAAACCCGAGACTGGTTGGGGCTCTTCTTGGGGCTCCTTGGGCGCAGATGCGAAAGATGCTGCCAGCAGTAGCACATCGGAAGAATCGTCCAAAGCGAGCAAGACGCCGGGGCCGCCGGAGCTGTGCATTGTCGGGGGTAAGCTGTACAACGCCGATAACAATTGGTACTGGGCACAGATGCCGCAGCGCCGGTATTTCCGTCTCAACCCTGACGAGGACACGGCAAAAATCATCGCGGAGCAGCGGACTGCGACATCCGAGAGCGATGCCCATCCGCACAAAGGGGAGCACTGGCACGTTTCGCCGGCCGGGGCGAAGTTGCAGGAGGATAAGGTTCTTGCTGCGGGGGAAGAATCGCCCGCGGACGCGGAAGATAAACCCGACGAAAAAAATGAAAGTGGAGATGGCGATGAAGCGGGAAAAGCAGGAACGGGTGCTGACACTGACGAAGGCAAAGATGACGGAGGTGTTGAAGAGGCAGATGCAGGTGCAGCTGCGCCTGAAACAGAAACTGATAAAAGCGGGGATCATGGTGAAGCGGCAAATGAAGCAGGACCGGGTGCGCAGACTGACGGGACAGACGAAAATGAAGGAAGTAAAGAGGCAGATGCAGCGCCAGAAGCGGATGATGGTTTTTCAGCTCTTGAAAGGAAAAGAGAACGAATCCAAACTTCAGTTTTTGCCGAGCAAGCAGATGAGGCCTCCGAAACTGCAAAGCAAGAGGAGGGTGTTGCTGCTGCAGCCGCAGATGGAGAAGCAAAGATGGACGTCGACCCGGCACCTGAGGGTGACGACCAGAGCGGTGCAGCTGTTGATTCTGAGAAACAAGATGAAGGCGACAGCGGGGATGGGGAGATGCATATGGACAGCGATTCGCCCGCGGATGGAGACGGAAGTAGCGAAAAGAACCCAGAAGATCACGATGATGTTGAAGACCACACTACTGACGACGCAGCTGCAGAGCAGGAGTCGAAACAAAGCCCACACCACCACACGCCCGACAGTGGACGAAAAGCGAAAAATCATGACGCGGAAGATCCCGCTGCACGTCCGGGCCTGACCGTGACGGAGAGCGCGAACCCCGGGTCCAAGGTTTTGAAGAAACTGAACGCGCAGTACCCGGCGGTGGTTCTCGAGGAACCGACGCAGCAGTTTCCGCACCGTGCCAAATTCTTCTTTCCGGGTAAAAGCGTCGCTGGGTGGGCGACCTGGACCGGGAACGTGCACGATATCGGAGACCATCCACAAACGGAGTTCATGGTCAAGAACCAGTTCCGGCCCAAGAATTTCGTCGACTATGTCCGACTGGCACGGTTTGATACCGTCGCGGAGGAAAAGAAGCTGCAGCAACAATGGAGGGGCTTGTACGAAAACCTGATGCCAAATAAATTGGAGGGACTCTACGAGGATGAAAAATTGAAGAAACAGGAAGAAATGGCGAATGCGCACAAGCCGAATCCGGAGGAACTGTCTAAGAAGAAGAGAAAAATCACCGACGAGCTTCGACACGCACACTGCCTCGACGTGAGGTATGGCCGGAGCGAGACGAAGCAGGCGAGTTTGCGGTGTGCCGCCGGGGAGGTGGTCGACAAGTTGCTTGGGCGGCTGCGCATCACTTCGGAGATCATCCGCAATCCGGATGCCGTCATTCCCTACAAGGAACCTGTTACAATTCGTGGCGCTGAGGCGGTCAGCACTTCGGCATCGTCGGCCACAGAAGAGGATCCAGTCGGCGGCACGGCCGAAGACGTTTTGCGGGCGAGCGAGAAGCCAACGAAAATTTCCTACTTCACCGATTTCAACTTATCGGACGCGATGAAGACCGAGGGCGAACGGACGAGAGTGGCGAGTTTCCTCAACGATTTCCTGTTTTTTCCCAAGGATAAACGGAAAAGTTACAAGCTGCAAGTCATCGGCCCCGATGCGCCGCTGAACTACCCGAGTTACGTCAAGAAGGAATTGGAGCACCCGCGGGCCTGGGATCGTAAGTTTCACGAAAAGCCTGCTACTGACGACGTGACAGTCGAATCTTCTTCCAAAGATTCTGACGTTCCGTCTTTTGCAAGTAAGTTCAACGCGGGTGAAGGCTACGGGACCCCCGAAGCACCGATGCTTGATAAGCCGAAGGACCTGGACTTTCAGACACGCGCGGACGACGCGATGTCGATTGGCGTACCGAAACTGGTAACGAAACCGCTGACAAATCTCCACTCAGCAGACGATGCGTCCAACACTGCGGCCTTTTTTTCCGTCAGGAAAAGACCGCCAAGTGAGAAAAGCAAGCAGCACAAGCCCGTGTTGGCGTTCCTGTTCGAAAGCGACGACGCCGTTCAAGGGAGAAAAGCGCGCAAGGAGGTGCTGCAGCCCAGCATGAGCGATGATGGTGCCTCGCGCATGCTGTACTTGGGGGAGGACGCGGAAAGCCCGTTGGTGTCTGCGCCGTGTCACGAGGGGGAACCCTTCTCGTGCATGCCTGAGCTGCGGAAGTATCTGGGTCTGCCAGAACGGCGGCCCGCACAGAACCTGGAAAATAGTCTGCAGGAATGGTGGTCCAGCTACATGCAACACAAACGAATCCTTGCGTAGGTTTCGTCCCAATGCATAGGATTTACCAGCAGGTTACTGTAAAAGCAATGCCATCAACATGATCTGTAGAAGAAAAAAGGATGTGCCTGTAAAATAGGTGGACCCTGAAAAATGATCAAAGTGCTGCTTTTTGTTCTTTTCGCAACTTAGTCTTTTTCTAGAAGCCGTGCGTTCCCGTTTAGTTCATTCGTTTCTCGTTCCTGGCTGGTGAGTTAGACGCACATCGAAATCGACATCGACACCGAGATCGTGACATCGATTTTACTTGAGCTGTCGTCATCGCCAAGACTATTCTGCCATACTCGACCTCCTTTCGCAGACATAAAAAAGAGCCCCTTCATCGTATTTTTGCTGAAAAAACAGCATCTAACAAATCCAATGCTTCCTTCGCTTTTTCACTTGGTAATTGCCGTTGCGTATTATTGCGAGGAGGCCTAAATTGCTTCACTGCAAACGAGCGGATTAATAGCGGCGTTGTCCAGCATATTGGCAGCCAGCATACAGGCTTGCTTTGCTAGACTAGAGTTTGGCATGAAATGACATCAAAACCTCGCATATTCGTGCATAGACTTCAATTGTGGCCCAAAGGAAATACGCACACGCCAATTGTCGAAGCGAATGCAAGTATGGAGTTTCTTCGATAGTCATATGATCATGGATATGCTATCGTCACAGTGAAGCAGTTTTTCTTGCGATGCTGCTACAACCTCGTTTCTCTTTCTTCTTCTGAAATGTCAACAAACAAGTGCCTGAAACTGAATTAGCGCACGATCTCGGCAGTTTATTTATTTTTTTGAATTCACAAAACAAAACTCGACACGGTTTTTGTAACAATTTCAATTACAAGAAAAAATTAAGAAAAAACTTTTCGTCTTCTATCAGATTCAGACTCTAACACTTTTTCTAAACTTTTCTATCTATCTAAGACTCTACAACTTTTCGTCTATCAGATTCAGATTGATTATGTATCAACATTAAAGAAATCGTTTCACATCCGGTCTACGTCTATCTCCACAACTCTTGTATCACTTTTATACCCCCAAGCATCTGAAAACTTGTAAAAATTAAAACTCTTGTAATAGAAAGAAATTTTCGATTTAGTTTTAGCATCGAATGGAGGACGTGGCAGTGTGGACCGGGCTTGCGTGCGCTAGCCTGCTTGCGAGTGTTGCACTTAAGGGGGCTTCGCTGGTGCAGCGACATTTCAGGAGCGGCCGGGGTGCGGTGATGTCGACTGTTCGTCGCAGGGGTGAGCAAGTTGCTATCTTTGAGGTAGTAGACGGCGATCCCTCTCCGCTATTCGTTGCAGACGAAATTGCCCACCCGAGCAGCTACCCCGTAGTGGCGATTTCTGCAGCTGCGCCAGTGGCTACGGGAGAAGAAGAAGAAGAAGAAGAAGAAGAAGAAGAAGAAGAGGAGTCTACTTCAGATGGGTCCGGCTTGTGCCGGCAGTCGCAGCCAGAAAAAGAAGGGAAGCCAGCTACCACAAGGAAAGACCCCCCCTCCCCATATATATTGAAAAGCTACCTCTCCGGAAATTTGCGTTGCTGATAGATTTGAGGCCACAAATCACACGCGTCTTGCAAGAAGACAAGGGCAGAAGCTTTCGCCCCATTATGGAGGCGATTTGTCATGCTGTTGGGCTTCAAGGGGAGCTGTTTGCCATGCTGAACAACTAGACCCATACGAGCCTACCTAGCCTGGGGATCTGGCCGCAGTGCCTTCCTGCAATACGCAGCTGACTCGTTTACACAAATCCAGCGCCAGAAGTTTCGTTTTGATAGAAGGAGGGGGGATTTTTCCTTGCAATACCAGCTTTGTCTTCTTCCCCGGTGCAAGTCCACACCGTAGACTTCGAAGAAATCGCAGATGGGCTGGAGCTGGCGACAGCTGCTCCGTCGCACGTTGCGCGTGCGGTGGGCGAATGGGGACTCCTGGCGTTTCTAGTTTTCTACGTGTGGAGGGTGCGCGGTCAGTCAATGCCTCGCGGGCCAGCTGCAAAGATGAGGACTAGACGGCGTGTGCCGCTAGTACTGAGCTGCAGCCGTCAGTGTTCCAACATGGCAGTCGCACCTGCTGAACCGGCTGACGAGATGGCGCAAAGCGATGGATGCGGACCGCCATCTGCACCAGACGGGACAGCAGCTGATGCCACTGAACGGGCGCCGGAAACGGTGCAAGCCGATGAATGTGCACCGCGATCTGGACCGGGCGGGGGGTCGTCTTCCTCACGCCTGAATCCCCTAGCAGTTCAGCAACCGTCCAGGTCGGCCTCATCGAAATCCTCTGACGAGGGAGATGTCGCTGGTGCCTCGTCGAAAAAGGCTAGTGACGCCGCGGTGAACATGGGCAAGGTCATGTCCGACATCATCCTGAAGTTTCCCCCTCTCGATCCTGTAAAAGTGGAAAAGTTTGACGGAAAGCAGACTCGGCGCGTCCTGGAAGCAACGTTTACCTGCCAGATGGCTGAGGCATTTCTGAAGATGCGTTTCCAGGTGCCCCGCGAAACCGAGGGTGCAGCTGTTCTCCAACAAGTAGTTGACTGCTTTATCATGTGCAAGAACGACCTTGCCGCGGGTCGAGTGTCACTGCAAACGTTGCAATTCCTGGAAAAGAACAAGGAAAGTTTCTCTGCTTTTTACCACGTTTGCGTGGAAAAACCCAAAGAAGAGGAGCGCGCCCCGGGCACGCGAAACGAGAACGACGAGGATGATCCTATGGATGTTGACGCTGCGGACGCTGTCATGGAAGGCGGAGAGCAAGCAGCTGCAGATGCGGACCCGCTTGATCTTGTGGTCGCATCACCAACAGGACAGGCTGCGGCACGTGGTCGCTCTGCAACGGCCGACAGCTTCGGGTGTGCCACTTCGCCGCGCAAACAAAATGAAAGAGAAATCACATCGACGTTGGAGCATTGGCGTGACAAGGTAACCGGGTTCGAGTCCGATCTGGAACTGCTCCGAGCCGCTAGCGCGCTGCCGCAAGTTTCCGCGGACGCCAAAGCGGTTAAGATGAATTTTGACGCCATTCTGGCGCGCGCCCTGATTCTGGACCAGGAGGAACAGACGCCGGACCTGGCAGCCTTTTTCAAGGCGTTCGATGAGGACTTGGAGATTGACAATAGAGATACGAACAACCGTGACAGTCTCCATTCCGGCCCGCCGCTGGATCACGTGGTTGAGCGGGCACGGTCGCAGCTCCACGCCTTCATCGGAGAATTTCAGACCGGCGATCTTTCTCTCGAACTAATTGGCCACTTGAGTTGGCCGCTGCCAGAGGCACTGACAAGCGCCATTCGGAAGGAAATGACGGGTGCGGGGACGTTTACGTCGACAAAAACCGCTGATAATGCACTTGTGCTTGCGCCCGCGCCAGTGAAAAGCATGTTTGCGCAAACGCAGCTAGAGTACGACGAAGTGGATGTCGTTTTAGCAGAGGAAAACAAGAATGCTACCGCTGAGGACGCGGGAGAACCAGCCTCCTCCCAGCTGGTGATCTTCGATGTTGAGAATGCAGCCTCGCACCGGCCGCACAAAAACAGTGATGACGGGGCGATCCTATACCGCGATAGAATGGACCAAATCCAAACGTTTCTCGACATCGCGAATGTGCAGCCAAACAGCATTCGCGAGGTCATTCACTTCGTGCATTTCATGTTCCCGCGCGGCAGCAATGCTGACGACGCAACAGCGGAAACAAGTGCTCCTGGTGCAGGAGGAGCTCTCGGAGCAGGAGCTACGAACGCTGCTTTGGCATCGTCATCCAGTAGCAGTGCCGCTGGTGACAACAATATCGCGGACACCGTTGTCGATGGGGATCCGAAGCTGCAGTTTTTCCAGAAGCTGCAGCACCGGAGCGAGGCCTTTCTGCAGCAAAACACGTTGAACGACATCTCCAAGGAGATCAAGGATTGGTACAAAGTTCTCCGAGAGGTGCAGGAAGACCAGATCAAGTTGATGAAGGCCATCCAAGCGTCCGGCGAGGTGTTCCAGTGGTGGCGGCGGAACATCGCAAACCCTCAGGAATTCAAAAACTTCGTCGATCTGGCGCACATCGACGCGGGCGAGTCGGACATTGACGTCGACCGCATTTCGACACTCGACTTGCTGGGCAACTGCTTGGGACCGCTGGTCTACACGAAACTGGAAAGTATTCTTGTGCAGAAGGACGCGCCGAGCAGTGGTCAAGATGACGAAGCGGACTTGGATCCGTACGGTGCCTCCCAACTCGTGCCTTTCTCGCAGGATCTCGATCTAGTTCTGTCACAACCAGCAGACGGCGGCAGGAACAACGCGAAGAGTACTAAACGGAATAACAAATCGGCTAACAAAAGAGACGTGAAGAGGGAGAACGAGAAGGCCAAGCCCGGTGCAGCACGAGGGCGACAGCGTCGCAACGCCATCGCTGGCGGAGCGAATGTTCTTGCCACCACGACTCCCAGTGAGTCAACCATCATTGACGCCCAGGCATTGTGGAAAGTGTTGCGGCCCGCGTTCACGGAGTTGAAGAAAGACGCCAAGGGGTTGCTTGCGAAGATTGAGGACCTCTGGCGCAACCGGTCTTGGCTCGCCAACATCCAGGCCTCGCACGGGTCGGTGGAAGCGAGTGCCGTGAAGCGCGCCGAGGCCTTGATCAAACACGGCGTTTTCACGCTCAGCTGTGGCGGCGAACTGAAGAGCATTGTCTTCAATGTGAAACATCACAAAAACAACGCTATGCTACAGAGGATGGACCGTCTGCAGATCGCATTAATGAACGACATCGAGCGCGATACGTTCCTGCAAGCCTACAAAGCGCCGAGTCCGCAGACAGCCGGAGCCGTAGGGTCGTCTTCCTCACGCCTGAATCCCCTAGCAGTACAGCAACCGTCGAACGACGACGGCGAGGAATTCCAGGAACTGTGCCAGCCCCACTCGAAGATGCAGCAACTGAAAGATCCGAACGACAAGCTGATGCTGATTTCAACGGAGCGCAAGACCTCTGAAATCGACCGTCTCTGTGCGAGCTTTGCCCAGCTCGTCGAGCTGAGCCAGTGCTTGGAACAGATCCCCGTCAAGAAGCTTCCGCTCTTCTCGCGGTTGCAGGGTGCAATCGAGCCGAACACCCTGGAAATTCGTCCGCGCTTGGACCTTTTGGAGCACGAGCTGCGGTTTCAGACCGCGCAGGAGGAGCAGTCTTCGGTCTGTCTGGGCTCCTTCCCTACCGCACTGTACGAAAAAGTGGTGCAGAGCTATGAGACCAAGGTAGAGTCGATTCGCCGAGAGTTTCCGATCTTGGACGAATTTACCAATGTACAGTTAGTGAATCTGCAGAAGGATTTGACGCTGGTGATGCTGCTGGACCAGTGCAAAGACACCGACTTCTTGGTGCAGTTTGGCATTGGATTGTTTCGCGGTTCGATGGCGGATGAGTTGCTCGAAATCGGCGACGATGTTGGTGCCCTGAACAACAGAAGAGGGTCAGCGAATAATCGCGGTTCGCTGCCCAGCACACGAGCCCAGGTTGCACGACTGGCGGCGGCGCCGCGAGCCCAGCCGCAAGCGGATGTGATTTTACTCGACAGCGATTCCGAGAACAGCGACGTGGTCGAAGTTGAGCAAATAAACAACAGCGCAGTGCTTCAACACCAGCTGCACGAAACGCGGGACCAGGCTTGGGAAAATCGCCTGCAGGCCCGTCGGGCGAAGGCGATTTTACAAAAGGTTGGCATGTCGCATGACAAGCTGAAGCGCATTGTCTCTTACTTTGTGGGGACAACTTGCGAGAACCGTGCAAGTGGCAGAGACCCTACGTCTAGCGCAGCGGCGCCGGAAAATCCTGGATTGGAGAAGTGCTTCACCCTCTTCGCTGGCGAAACGCAGTCTATGAATGAAATCGAGATGATCGGTGAGAAGGTTGCGAAGCTTTCTGAAATTGAGATCCTCGGTGGTGGACGAAACGTTGATCCTGAGGTGGCGCGGGAACGACTGGCGAAGTTTCGAAGCGACTTTGCGGGCCAGCTCGGGTTCGCTCCGCGGGAAGTGGAAAACCAGAAGGGCAATCTTGTCGCGCTGCTGCATCAAGGCGCGGACTCCTACCGCGCACTTTTGGAGAACGCCGGGAAGAAGACGGAAGCCAGCACAAACCACTACGCATTCCGAAACTTTCTGTCGCTACCACTGGTATCCGAAGCAGGGAATGATGCCGGTCAAGACTCGAAGGTGAACCAGCTTAGCACTACGGCAGATGTAGCTCCGCGTGTGCATGCGATCTTTGAGCAGCTGATGGCAGCGTTCGACGAGACGCGGCAAGGTGAACAGGTTTTGTTCACTGGCGGCGGCATCTCGCAACTGACACAGATCGACCGGATTGGGGGCGGGCTGCACCTCCGTTTTCTCGGCGAGCGTCTCACGGCGCGCGAAACACGCACGGCGCAGTTGGACCAGAAGAGGGCCTGTGGGTCGCTCAGGTTGCAATCGGTCAAGCTCAGTGGGCAGCTCGAGTCCGAGAGGGAACTCGACGCGAATTCTCTGCTGTACTTGCAAGCCTGCGAACACAACAACAGTACCGGCGCAGTTGGACTTGCGGGATCTGCCGAAGGAGCTGCCCCAGTGATTCCGACGCCCAAAGCATTGAAAGACGCCGAGACGCCAAAGAGTAGTTTACAGCTCATGGACGAAGATGCTACCCCTGAGAGCACAGGCAGCCATCAAACAGCGGTCTCTCCTTTTTGTCCGCACAAGCACACTTTTGCGTCAGTGCTCACACATGCACAGCTCGACTACGTCCTGTCGATCGCGAACTGCATCCAGGTGCTCGCGAGGCGCGAAGATGTGCTGTTTTGCTCCGAAACCACAACCATCGAGGAAATTCGTTTGTTCTTCCGCAGCTTTCTGTGTCGCCCACGGGGTGTGTGGGAGAAGGCACAAGCAGAGCTCGAACAGTTAGAGAGCAGCGGCAGCGTGTCGGCAGGGGCATCTTTTCCGCTAACAGGTCTTCACTCAGCCGCAGCGGAACGCGAACACAAGCGAGACCAGAGGAACACCAGTTCGCTGTCTTTTCGCCCTGACGACCGCACGACAGGGCTGGATCGGACAAAGGGAATTCGCGGCGCAACATCAATGGCGAAGACGAATGCAAAAGCCAGCAGTGCGACGTCCAGTTCCGGGGGCGGCGGCCTCTTCGGAAAGATGAACTTGACGCTTGCGGACGTTGCCTCTTCGACCACGGCTCCTGAGAGAAGGAAGAAAAAGGGCGAAACAAACGGAAACGCCTCGGCGTCCGCATCGCAACTTCTTGACCATCCGCGAACAAATGTGAAAGACGAGGAGCAAGAGCCTGATGAAGCGGATGAGAGGCACTTGCAGAGATTGCAGTGGGTCCAGGACGGCGAGGCCAGCGCAGCGGAGGCTGTAATATCCTCGACATCTCAGAACAACGCTATTCGGAGCGACTTGTTCGAAGCGTACAAATACAAAAGCGATAGCGATAACGATGAAACGGCCGCCGACGCCACTGAGCCACACGCGGACAAGAAGAGGCATGACGCGGGAGATGCCTCTGCCACTCCAGCTGCGCGGACCGCTACGCCTGCCCCCAGCAGCGGAGGAATCTTCGCCGCATTGCGAAGATTTCTCTTTCTCCCGGAGGACGAGGCCAGACGCGCAGCGCTGCGCCGGTCCGTCCATACAGAAGGCCTTGACGGTTGGCATTTTTATTTGTGAGACCTTGGCATCAATTCAATCGGTATCGTATCCCGGTCACTGTTGGTGTGCCTTGAGGAAACAAGTTGATGCTGACATCGATATTTATTTCGATATATCCTTCTTTGCCGTATCCCGGGCAAGGGATATATGTCGTGGAGCGGAAGCTGTATCGTTGAACAGCCTGACTCTTTTCGTGACTGTAACCCAGTAGAATTTATTTGTTCGTTATAGATGCAACGTATGCCGTTGTATCCCGAAAAGAACCAAGAGAAGACATCAGGGTTGAGGGAGCGTATCCCGCTTCTACCAGACGAAAGAAATATACAACGGACAAGCGCAAGCTGATGTCGAAATATGAATTTCAACAACTTTGGTTCTATATACATTTTTCATCGATAGATTCATTGCAAATTTGGCGGTGCCTCCCACAAAAATGAAAAATACGAACTTAGATGAGAAAGAGACCTGGTTCCGCTTCTCGACCTCCCCATTCATTGTGGTGTTTATTACGTCCGGTGGGCCGCTATTGGCAGTGTTCTGCTCTTTCTTGTTTCCGTGTTACATATTTGTCCAGCATCTTGTTGGTAATACGTGAAGATGGAAACGACAGAGCAAAAGAAGTGTGGACTTGGCACGGCTTTTAATTTTTCGCTACGCCTAACTATTGACGCACCAGAAAAAAAGCGAAGAGGAGATTGACAGAATCGAATACCGGGCCTTGTTTTACTTCTGGAAACAGGTTCAGGTCGAAAAAACTTGGTTTCTCCGCTACGAGATTGATTGCGGGTTGCAACCGACAGGAAACAGAAACACTACAAAATAGAAATAATGCTACTTTCACCACTCTGATGCACTAGCTGTAGCTCGACAGAAAGACAAAATGTATGTTTTTCTCTTGATAAGGCACTACTGCTGGCCCAGCTAACGACGTTTCGGTATCGGATTTGCTCAAAGTGGAGTATACTCTTTCGTCGGCAGGGACGGATAGACTATACGGCTGTCCTCCTGGATTGGTCGGTAATCACTCTTATCAACACAGCGGCATGTCTATGAGACAGCCACAGAAGTTCTCAGGGGGGTGTTGTTGCAAAACTACTTACATCGATTATCTGGCTAAGATTATGTTTTCAAAAAAAAAAAATATCTGCGCAATTTGCTGAGGACTCGTCTTCGTCATCGGGGTCTCGTATTCGTTGTAAGTTTTGGAAGTTTTTTGCATGTCGATCCACCTGTAGTAAGTAACCAATTTCAACATTTGTGGTTATGATCCGGTGCTGTTGGTCGACTCGGGAGCGGGTGCGGGAGATGAGGGAAGAATGCCACCACCCATACCTCGAGAGATACACGAAGCCAAGGTAGTTAATGCCTCTGACTAAGTCCGAATTACTGTTGTGTTGTACGCTTTGTCGTTTCTATTTCTGTTTGGATTTCGCTGCTCTTTTTGGCTTGTATCATTCCTATAATTGGGGCGAGCGCGAGGGACGACTGAGAGTTGCGGTTCACAAAATAGCGCACGATCATCGGCACATGAAAGTCAACTCAGATTCGGATTTGCTCTCACCCTAATTGATGCTGATTCTATGGCTTTATTACTTACCTGCGCAGGCATCGTCTTTGTCTGCAACGAAGAGAGGTGGAAACAGAACGAAGTGGCAGCTGCTTGGACAAGACTACCCCTTCATCATCATAATGATTATTAGGAGGTCTACAATATTATTATGTCAAACTTGACTAGTATTTCCATTGTTATTCACGCCTCTATCATGCCGAAACGTCCACAGTCATAGATCTCCTGTCGCGAAGTTCGCAACGTGCGTTAGTTGCCTGGATAAACTGCATGGTGTACTAGAAGTAAAGGCAACACCAGGACCAGAGAGGAACAAGGTAACAAGATGGGGAGCGATCTCCAGCAGCTCGACTACGAAGGTGACGGCGGCGAGTCACTCTATAGTCAGTTGGCGTATCTCTTCTTTGCGGTATCGCTAATGTGTATTTGCCAAAGGCTTGTATCACATACAAAAGCAAACGCAAAAAGAATTTCGTGCATCGCGACGTGTTGATTTATAAACCGCGACTCCAACTAGAACTAACAATCGCAATTGATCAATTTCGCTCATTTGCATTTGGATTTGAGTTTTCCTCGGCAAGTTATAGGTCGGTTTGTGTGATGTGGACCTTTTTTTGTTCATGGTCTGGTATTGGTTGGACCCACTTGCACATCACAAAGCCATGATGTAGTGGACAAATACGACAAACATAAATGCGGAACTATGATCGCGATGCACGGAGTAGAGTATATTGCATATTCATAGTAGAATCTGCAAGATCTGTGGAACAAAAAGCAAGATCTGTGGAACAACAGAGCGGACTCGAAGATGGATTCGATTATGGCCCGCTCAGGAATGGAATCCGTCCTAAACTCAATATTTTTCGGAACGTAGTAGTTCCGGCATGTTACTGAATATGCTTGCAAGAGAAATCGACATGAAGATGATGTAGAAGACAGGGTGCATGAAAGAGGAGAAAGTGAACAGAAAGCCACACACTCCAACATCAATGCGAGCCGTTAGAGTCCAATGTGGCCGGCCGGCAGGCCGGAGATCGACATCAAGCAACGACAAATTTCCGGCCAGTTCGACAGTTCAGACCTCAAGTCCGAGGCGGACCTCCGATCACGCCTGACCGGCCGCCGGACGTAGCCCACATTGATTAAGTGAGGATTACTTAGCTAATCTTCCGATTTCGCACTCCCAAGATCAAATAAAATATTCTCTGGTCTTTTATCATATTGATGGTATGTTCAGAAAACTCACAAAGAGGCACATAATATATGTGCTCTTTGTGATCGGGAGAAGTTTTTGTTGTTGATCTTTGATGCTCTTGCTAGTTTGTTTTTGTTACCTGAGCTTCAGATTGCTGCACCTGAGCGGTCCATAAGCAATCGCACCGTCGCTGACGCAGCCCTGAACCAAGCTACACATGCCACTGGAGAAGCGACACGTGCAGTGCAAACGGCTGTCGGCGCACAGGGAGCTGCACAAGCTGCACAGGATACTGCAAATGCCGCTCGCAATCAAGCAGGTCTCGCACAGGCGTCGGCTACTGCCGCCCAGGCACGAGCAGACGCAGCGCATGCTCAAGCCGATGACGCTACGGCGCAAGCGGGTTTGGCACGCGATGAGGCAGGCGCAGCTAAACGAGCTGTCAATCGTTTACGAGCCGAGGTACTCGACATCAACTCGTTATGATTTACAAGCCTTGCATATGATTTCAGTACCACTTATCCGGTGTTTATTTGGCTTGCGCTCGTCCCTGGACTGCCGTCCACGCTGGTCTGCTAACCAAAAAATGTGCGCGCGCGGGACTTAGGCTTGGTAGCCAAATGCCCACATATAGTTGGCATTCGCGGGCCTGGGGCAGTTGCAGTTCGGCGGAGGTCTCTGCCTGTCGATCGAGCCACATACGCAATGGCCAACGCTGACCAACGTCCAGAGCCGGCCAGCCCGTGAAACTGTATCGCTGACGATAGCTATATGCTAAACGCAATTTATTTATACAAAGACAAACACAAAGTGATGCCATGTCAACAAATCACATAAGTGGTCGACACCGCGTTAGAATCTAGCGACACCGAGAAGTCTGCATTTTTTTAGAGAAAGGCTAATTAGTTTGCTTTTCATAGCAAGCCGCATCAAGTTCGTGGTCAAAATTTGAATTCATTTGAGTTACGCGAAAATAAAACCAAAAAACTTGAGGTTGAGTTGCGTTCCTGTTTCGCAAGTAATTGGCTGAGCGTGAAGGCTAAAGATCTTGCACGAAATGTGGTGACGTTGGCCAATTTTCTTACATCAGGTGCGAGTGTTAAAGCGGCGAATCATGCACACGGAATTGGCGGCGGCAACGTGGAGAGCGACGTGGGATAAAATCAATGTGAGGGTGCGCAACCACCTGTACGATGAGCTGGACGTGCGGAGGCACTACGAAAAGCAGACAGTTTCCGTATGCTTCTGACATCACAGAGTATCATACAACGGGATGCAGACTGCTATGTAAGGATAGCGAAAATAAAAGTATGACCAGACGTAATTATGAGTCGTAGTTTTCTTTGTTCACTGAAGCAGTTTCTTTTGTTTTGTTACCCTGATGCACCTGTCTGTGCTTTTTTCTTATGAAGAGTGTTACTTTCTATTGCATAGTCGAGCCTGAGAAGAAAGAAATGCATTTGATTGGTTCTCGGAGCCATAGTTGCACGCGCCCTCCCAGAACCAGGCGCTGCTTTTTGTCTGTTTTCTTTGTAATGGCCCGCCCGTAGCTGCTCCTGTTCGTCATGAGCAAGGGCCGTCTTCATCAGGGTTGGGCTCTGCGTTCTGGAACAGGAGAAAAGGAGGAAGCTTTGACTTGAGTCTGAATGTCAATGCTTCATCGAGAAAACAAGTATGCTTCAATGCCACGAATTACGTGTGCATCGATGCTTTCCTTATTGCAGTTTGCGCCGTGGTTTGGGTATGTTTTTCGAAGCATGCGCGGATCTACTGGAATCGACTGTCGACAATGACCTCCGAGACCTATACAAGCTTCTGGCTCCGTTACTCCAAGGAAAACCCTTTTTATTTGAGCCAGCATTCATCCTATTAATTTTTGGGCATATACGCATAGCCTCCTCTTGTTGTTGTTAACTCATTCATACGAAAAAAAAGTAAGTGGAACGCGAAGGCGCGATTGGAAGCGCAGCTTTGCCTGGTGGTGCAAACAAAGCAAGAAACACAAAAGGCCGAGGGCGACAAGGCTCTGCATGCGAAACTCGCAAGCCACATCGGCAGTCCTTAACAGTTGCAAACACGAAAGAAAGATAAAGCCCACGCCCTTATGCGATGAATGAGGTTGACGTTCAGGCGCCAAGATGAAATCGGTTTTTCTTTTTAAATTTCATACCTCGTTAAAGACCGCACAGTGCTGGAGGAGGAGCGCAGCCGCGCAGAGCGTTGCGTACGCATTTGCAGCTGCTTGGGCTTGCCAGTTCCGACAGATCTGCAGGACCGGTACAAAATCCAAGAGTAGCTGCTTACTCTTGCTACTAGCAGCTACTAGCAGCTACTAGCTGCTAGTAGTAGACGCGCATGCGCCAGAATTCCGAGCGCTAATGATTGGCTGTAGTACTACTACCTTGCGGGTGGAAACTCTGACTATCTAAGAATGTAGGATCTGTGCCTACCATTGCCGTGGATGGTGACTTTTTGAGGATTAGTGAAACCTAAACCATTTAGATTCATAACTGCTCCAGGCAGCTGGGGAGACTTTAGCTTTACCCAAACGAACACCAAAATGCAGAGACAATCACCAGCCAGCGGATAAAACTCTCTGTACCTGGGACAACCCTTTATTTTGTGACTCAGTTCGCCTCACTACAGTGCTCTACTTAATCCTCCCTTTGGGATTTTACTTTTCTTCCAAGTGCCACAACCCCTGGTGTGCAGAAGCGACTGAGTGGTCGCCTCTCCGTGATACTAGCTTTAACAGCGGGTCGTGCCGATGCATGAAGCCTGAATCAAGCACCGATCGCCGACATGAATAATTGAATGAAGGCTCAACATCGATTTATAAATAAATCCGCTTAGATGAGGACTTCTGCCCCAGGGGATTCACGAACGACAACGCAGACTACGCGGAAACGAGTGCAGATTTCTACTCGTTGATTTGTGGATTTTTATATGTGCTAAATGTTGACTCGAAAATAAATGAAAATTTGGGCTATCTTCCTTGTGAAGCGTGCTAATCGCTAATATAGATATAATTTGGATTGACGTGGATGAGGATGTGTAACAATCTAACACCCTGACTGCAAAGGGCTGCAAAATTTGACTGAGCAAACATATCATAAGTTACAGAGTCAATGTGTTGAGGATGAAGCAAACAAGCCGACCTAACTATGCAAATGGATTGGTTTGGTTGCAAGCACATACTTCTCTAATTGCGGCTGTCGAGGTGTTGTGGTCAGCGTTGTAGTGCAAGTGCCCTCGTGTTCGGATCATGGAAATCTCGAAGCTCGGCTCAGCAGATTGCAAGAAGGATCTCGCGACCATGAAAAGGACAATGCTGATTTTCCGGCGAAGGCGAACAGGATTAGGTCTCACCCCAGAATGACCGCATCTATTTCCTCGCACTTCGGTCACGATCAGCGTCGCGCGCAAACACTGTTTGTTAATATCGAGCATTATTTTAAGATTTTATATTATTCGTCTCCGAGCACCAGTTCCAGTTGTATTAATTTCCTCTCCCATCATGTTCATAGCGTCAAGTTTGCCTTTTCCTCCTGTTGCTTCCGCGTATTAATTTTGCATAAACTGATACGATTTTTCGACGACAATTTGCGAGAAGATAGAAGCGATAGCTGTAGGCTGGGACAGTACGTAGCACGACTGCTGTGTTGCTATTTTCTGCGATGTTGGCGCTCACGTATATGACGAAAACTTGAATCTTTTTTCTTTTGAAACAAATCGATACGCCTGTTCCTCAAAGAGTATGAAATGCATGTGATTACTTCAAGTTTGCATGGTTCAGTAACTCGAGGCCATGAAGATAGAATACACTGACTTTTTTAATATTTTCTGGGATTTTAACGCTCGCGCATACAACGAGAACGAGAAAGAGAAACTGTTTGAATCCACACAGTTCCCTGATGGGTCGCAAGAAGAGGAGCATGCTGCATCATTTGCAATCCGCATGGTGCGATAGTGTCAGGCTGGGACAGGAGCGCTGCCTTTTGGCTACTTTGTGTGCTTTTGGCGCTCACGTATACAACGAGAAACTGAGTCTTTTTGAGTAGAAACGCTTTTTCCTTTAGTTACTAAAAGATTATCCAATTACTTTCCAGTCCGCGTGGCATAGTAACTCCAAAGCGTGAAAATAAGGAATATACTTTGGGCATTTTTCGATATTTTGACGCTCACGAACAGGACGAGAAATTGACTTTTTTTGAATATTACACGTAGTTTGCTTACAACTCTCAAGAAAAGCATTTTGTTCTTTTGCAATCCGCATGGTGCGGGAGGCTTTGGGCTGGCACAGTTGCGCTATTTTTTTCGTATTTTCTGGGATTTTGACTGTCACGTACACGACGAGAAATTGACTTTTTTTGAATGGGCGTAGTTTGCTCACAACTCTCAAGGAAAACGGCATGCCTTTTTGCAATCCGCATGGCGCGATGGTTTTGGGCTGGCAAAGTTATGCCATTTTTTTGCTATTTTCTGTGGTTTTGACTGTCACGTACACGAAGGGAAATTGACTTTTTTTGAAAACGCGCAATTTGATCACAACTCTGAAGTAAAACGTCGCGCCTTTTTGCAATCCGCATGGCGCGATGGTTTTGGGCTGGCAAAGTTATGCTATTTTTTTGCTATTTTCTGTGGTTTTGACTGTCACGTACACGAAGGGAAATTGAGTTTTTTTGAATACGCGCAATTTGCTCACAACTCTCAAGTAAAACGTCATGCCTTTTTGCAATCCGCATGGTACGATGGTTCTGGGCTGGCAGGCTTATGCTATTTTTTTGCTATTTTCTGTGGTTTTGACTGTCACGTACACGAAGGGAAATTGACTTTTTTTGAATACGCGCAATTTGCTCACAACTCTCAAGTAAAACGGCGCGCCTTTTTGCAATCCGCATGGCGCGATGGTTTTGGGCTGGCAAAGTCATGCTATTTTTTTGCTCTTTTCTGTGGTTTTGACTGTCACGTACACGAAGGGAAATTGACTTTTTTTGAATACGCGCATTTTGCCCACAACTCTCAAGTAAAACGTCATGCCTTTTTGCAATCCGCATGGTGCGATGGTTCTGGGCTGGCAAAGTCATGGTATTTTTTTGCTATTTTCTGTGGTTTTGACTGTCACGTACAGGAAGGGAAATTGACTTTTTTTGAATATGCGCAATTTGCTCACAACTCTCAAGTAAAACGTCACGCCTTTTTGCAATCCGCATGGCGCGATGGTTTTGGGCTGGCAAAGTCATGCTATTTTTTTGCTATTTTCTGTGGTTTTGACTGTCACGTACAGGAAGGGAAATTGACTTTTTTTGAATATGCGCAATTTGCTCACAACTCTCAAGTAAAACGTCACGCCTTTTTGCAATCCGCATGGCGCGATGGTTTTGGGCTGGCAAAGTCATGCTATTTTTTTGCTATTTTCTGTGGTTTTGACTGTCACGTACAGGAAGGGAAATTGACTTTTTTTGAATATGCGCAATTTGCTCACAACTCTCAAGTAAAACGTCACGCCTTTTTGCAATCCGCATGGCGCGATGGTTTTGGGCTGGCAAAGTCATGCTATTTTTTTGCTATTTTCTGTGGTTTTGACTGTCACGTACAGGAAGGGAAATTGACTTTTTTTGAATATGCGCAATTTGCTCACAACTCTCAAGTAAAACGTCACGCCTTTTTGCAATCCGCATGGCGCGATGGTTTTGGGCTGGCAAAGTCATGCTATTTTTTTGCTATTTTCTGTGGTTTTGACTGTCACGTACAGGAAGGGAAATTGACTTTTTTTGAATATGCGCAATTTGCACACAACTCTCAAGTAAAACGTCACGCCTTTTTGCAATCCGCGTGCTGCGATGGTTTTGGGCTGGCAAAGTTATGCTATTTTTTTGCTATTTTCTGTGGTTTTGACTGTCACGCACACGACGGGAAATCGACTTTTTTTGAATAGGCGTAGTTTGCTGCCAATAGTTGTCTCGTCGTCTCTGATTGTCGTCGCAAATAGTCGGATCGATATCGTGAGTGTCTCGGAGAATTAAAATCGTGACTCGTTTATTCGTCTTGTCTTTTTATCGCAGCCAATCGTTATAATGCCAGCGTGTTTGTTAAAGAATCACAATGAATGATGTTCATGATGAAATGGAATTGCTTCTTGGTGGGAAGATGTCTTCTCATTGGATGCAGTAGACTGAAGTCGTCTAAGCAATACGATAGCGTCTCCAACCACGACGCATAGCTGTCAAAAATCAAGTATTTGTGTTACCTTACGCCCATCTGAAAACTCTTGTAAATCTAAAACTGGTGAAAGTGAAAAATCCTGTGGAAATTGTTTGAATCGAGATGATGGATTCTACCAAACTTTCACCGCTGCGCGTTGGCCCGGACGCGGACGCCGCAGCGTCCCCAAAAACTCCCCGCCCCGGAAAAAAGCAGCAGTCCTGTGGCCGTCGTTGGTGTGATGTGGTCTCGGTGTTGCTCATCGTGCTACTCACCATGGCCTTGGTTGCCTGGTTTGCCCTTCCGGCTGACGCCGGCCTCTATTCGAGGTTTGAGTTTCTTCCCGACCACGTCTCGCCGCCGACCTGGATCGCGTCGCAGAGTTTCGTGCGCACCTTCCTGAGCGACACAGGAGACGCGGTGGATGAGGCGGATGATGAGGATGCGACGGGCGATTTCGCATTCGCAAGCAGCTTTTCTCCCGCTCCTGAAGGTGAAAACGAGGCGAATTCTTCTACGACTGGAACTATCATCAGCGGAGCAGATGAAAAACAAAAAGACGAAGATACTTCATTTACTCCACCGTCTCTCAGTGCAGCAACTTCACCTCCGACCCTTCTGACGCGGTCGGAGGTGTTTGCGGCCAGGAGGAAGAAACTGCGAGATCGCCGAGCTAGCAGACGGGAGCAGGCAGGACGGAAAGGACGAAGAAGAACTACTTCTAGGAGAAAACCTGGCACACTCACACCAGCAACTTCCCCGGAAGACGAAACTGATGGAACCAACGAAGTTTCTACAACTGGAGAAGTTGCTAATGCTGCTGTACCTACTGCAACGGCGAAACACAAACATCAAGCTGAAAATCAAATGCAAAACACTAAGACATCACTCGTGCCTGCAAAAGTGAAACGGAACCTGCGAGGGCTAGCGTCAGGCGCTACAACTCCTCCAAGCGCTATCCCTACCGAAAATGCCTTTTCCGCAGTGGACATGGCTCCGAACGGAAAGCTTCTCGAGACTGAGCCAAGCAGTTTCCTGGATCTGGAACCGGAGCCGAAAGCAAAAGCAGCCGGAAATGCGGCCCAACAAGCCGTGCCCGCAGGAGGTGGCCAAGAACAAGATCCATCAGAGCGCTGGAAACCGCTGATGACAAAGAAGGGCACCTACAGGCTCACGGAACAGGCGTTAGACCACGCTCAATTTCACGGGGTCGAGGGCGACGTGACCACGATCAGCGTCACCGCGGAGGCGAATGTGGACCGAACCGAGTTGAAGCCGGGGGGTGACTTGTTCCACATCCTGTGCAAAAAGCAAATCGGCGGCAAGTGGACGCCGCAGAACTACAACCTCCAGGAGTACAAAGGCGAGCGCGCAGCGCTGTTTGAGCAGTGGCAGAGGGAGAATAAGTATAGCGACGTGTACTTCTGCAATGCGCAACTGACCTGGCTGTACGTCACGGAAGACGCGGGCGGCAAGATCCAGTACGAGTTCGTGAACGCCAATCTCGGGCGGCACGTGCTCGGCGACAAGCAGCCGGGCGCGGAGAATCTGCGGCTCGTGACGGAGCTGCCCCGGGACATCGAGGCCAACATCAAGGACTACGCCCAAGGTCTCCCGAAAAAGCCCGAGGACCAGCTCGTGGCGCTGGTACAGAATTACCAGAAAGAAACGAATGGGGAGACGGACGACGGCGAGTACGCGATCCCGCAGGCGGACCAGGTGTGGTCTTTCGTTGTGCCAACGGTGACACAGGACAAGATTGTGTTCGCCGAGGACCCGAAACGGAAATCCATACGGGTGGAAACAGAATCGAATGCCTCGTATGAGACGGTACAGGAAGCGGTTTTGTTGTTTCGGTGTTGCTGGTTCAACTTCTAGATCTAGAAACTCATTTCTGTTTTCCCGGATGGTGTCTGTGTGAGTGACACTCTATCCATCGCTGCTGTGGTAACTAGAAGAGGCAACATATCATGAAAATCAATCCGGAACATACAATATGTATACAATTCTGAGGTTTGGGCGGACAACGCATGGATACAGGGGGAGTACGCGGACGCTTGCGGGCAGCTGAGTAAACTCGGCACGCTGGCCTCCTCTCCGGAAGCGGGCATCAAGGCATTTAGTCCCGCACTCGCGACGGTGGCCAAAGTTTCTGACCACTTCTGTAAGCAGGGGGGGATCGACGGCATTTACATCAATCAGAAAACGGACAACCCCTACGCGGACGGGTACGGAACCATCCTGCTGGAAGTCTCCGGAAATGGGAAACGAATGCTGTTCTCCTACCAAGACACGGAGTCGACGGAGGGCGACGAGGTCGGATTGCTCCTCTTCGCGGAGCAACCAGAGACGAAAGTACAAATGTTGTGACTCGTTCTTGCTCCGTGTAAAATCAATGTTTCACCAGTAGAGATCTTCCACTTCTCCGCAGTCTTTATGTACTTCGTCGTAATGTATGAGACCACAACTTTGATGAAGATAATGATCTTCACTAAACACAACACAGATGTACAGCCTTGCTATGCTGTACAACGGAGAGCCGGACGTTGACGAGGACGAAGCTGCGCACAACGCCCACATCGGGGTCGGAAAGTTGTCGGAAATGACGAGGAAAGAGAAAATTAACAAGTACTCGGTGGTATCAAATGCAAAAATGTCTGGGTCTGGAAGAATGCATGTTTGTCATGCTTGTCTGGCATGACTCTTAAATCTGCCATGCATGTTACCCAAGAGGTCCGTTTTTCTGTGATGCAGAGACGCAGTTTGTCATGCAGAATAGGCAACACCTAGAAGCTCAGAAACTTGCCATGCTGAGCCAGCACTTGTGGCCTCATCATGAGACGCCACCCAGCATCACAAGTTTACAGACCCAGACATTTTTGCATTTGATAGGTGGTCTTCGAGCAGGTGAACGACGCGGAAATCGACGCGGACGACGAGGCGTTCAGCAGTTCTTCCTTTCTGGAACTGCAACAAACCTCTGCGGGAGCGACCCCATCATCGTCTACCGCGGCATCCAGTTCCAGCAGCGCGCGGGCCCTTGCGGGCGCGGCGGGCTCAGCCTTCGGCTCAGCGGCGTCGAAGGCGTGGGAAAACGCGCCGGATCGGAACCAGGTGGCGAGCGGCTTAAGCACAGCCGTGAGCACGGTCTCCGACAAGGCGGGCGAGGTGGCGCAATTTGTCGGTGCGGGCGACGCCTGGGACAAGTACGGCGGTCGCGTCATGAGGATGCTGCTGTTCGGCGGAATCGGATTGCTCGTACTGTTAAGCGCGTGGCTCGTTGTGGTTCACGTCCTGGTGCCGATCTTACTGTCCCCCGTTTTCATCCTCTCCGTGCTCCAGCTCGTCTTTCCACCTTTGGCGCCCCTGCTCGAACCGGTCAAGCCGCTGCTGCGGTGAGGAAAAAGGAAATGTGTGCGTTGTAACACTTCTATTACTTACTTGTTTGCAGGAGACGAGGAGGTCTACGCAAACTCAAAAAAATGTACAAACGAATTCTAGCGAGTTTCAAAGAACAAATGTCTGTAAATGTACCCTGTTATCACGTCTCTAAGCTCCTGTTTACCTTTATCTGTAAGCTTCGTTCAAAGCTTCAAACCTGATTGCGGTATATAATGAACCAAAAAAACGAAACCCACCCCGAAGTTGCAAAGTTGTCTATGTACAAGTGCCTAGAAGTAACTAATTGAATTTGAAATGGATAAAGATTTGTGGCCCAATTTGCGACTCCAATGAAGTGTACCGAAAGGGAAAAGTCAATCCTGGAAATTCCTTAAGAAGCCGCGGTTTTGCTTTTGCGCCCTTCGCCTGACTTGTGCGCGGTGCATTTAAGCAGTGGGTGGACGTTTGTTTCCATTCTTCGTTGGTTTCTTTTTCTTACACGCCTTTTTTGTGAGTGAGCCACAGCCGATTACGGAGCGCAAAAAATCAATGTGGTGTGGGTGCGGCACATCAAGCAAATTTTTCCTACCGATGGGATCGCCTGCCAAATGTTTTGATCATTATAAAGACGTTTATTTCCAAGAACTCTCTTCTCAAACTGGAAACCGACTTGTTGCGTGAAGAAGGACCATATCGCAATCAACAGTCAGCACGCAGCTGAAAACAAGCTTGTAGGATTTACCAAGGTGCAAGCCTTATCCAGAAAGATGCAGGAAGTCGTCGTTGTCGTTGACCCGTATTCCAGCGGGAAATACCTGGTCCAGGAACTGAAGGACCAGAGCTGGCCGATGGTGGCCATCCAGAGCTCCATGGAACTGGCTCCCTTCTGGCTGCAGCAGCTGGAGTCGCAGTACTTCGTCGAGTGCATCGTGCACGAAAGTCTCGAGAAGACCCTGGAACAGCTCGCGAAGTACAAAGTCAAGGCAGTCACGCCGGGAAGTATAATACTGTTCTTTGCACATAAAAATTTTTGGCAAAGTTTTTCCGGATTCATTTTCGCGTGTCGCGGTAGAAGTTGCACGTGAGAAAGAGTCTCGAAAAGATCACAAAAAACAATCCAAAAACGTAAAATGCGCAGGTGAACCCGGCGTTTTTCTTTCCGAAGACCTGCAGGAAGGACTTGGCTTGACGGAAGTTAACGGTTCTGAGACCAAGATGTGGCGGCGACACAAATTCAACATGCAGGAGCGGCTGCGCGAGGTGGGCGTGCGAGCCATCCGTCAGATCTACGCGAAAGACGCAGAGGAGGCGCTCGAATGGCAAGTGGACAAAAACAAAGGGTTGTGGCCGATTATCGTGAAGCCAGGTACAATTAGGAAGTTTTTGCGTTGTCGTGTAGTGACGAAGCAAATAAAATCTTGATGAAAAGTGGAGCAGTGATTTAGTAGAGTTCTCGATCGATAGTGTTGAAAAACAGCCATGTCTGGCGGAACCGATGGCGTGTACTGGTGCCACTGTCCCGAGGACGTGAAGGCGGCCTTCGAAGCCGAGTGCGGCAAGGTCAACGTGAACGGCGAACTGAACGACTGCCTCTTGGCGCAGGAGTTTTTGGACGGGACGGAATACATTGTTGACTGCGTCTCCCACGACTCGAAGCACGTGCTCTGCGGTATCTGGCAATACAAGAAGGTGCACGACACGAAGACGAAGTCCATTTCCTACCACCACGGACGCATGATTGCCTCCACGGGGGAGGTGCAGGATCAGCTTGTTGAGTACTACAAAGCTTGAATTTGGACGACGAGAGTTTATTTTACAGCAGAGAACAAAAATTTTGTTGTTGTTCACTGCTGTTTGCGGGGGCATTTCATCGGCTAAAATAAAGTGCTCTTGGCTCATGTCATGATACATGTATGTTGGTTGATCTACTTGATGTTGATTTGCAAAGAACATTCCCATCCCCGAAATAAAGGTACATGTTCCAGTGCCTGGACGCGCTGGACATCAAGTACGGGGCGTCCCACGGTGAGGTTATCATGACCGTCGATGGACCGTGCCTCGTCGAGGTCGGTGCGCGCATGCAGGGGCTGAAAGGCCCGATGCTGACGGGCATGGCAACCGGGGTGTCGGTGCAGGAGCTTGTGGCAGACGTCCTGGTGAACGGCGCGCGCTTGCATTCCGTGCTGCACTCCCAGAACTTCCGCTACGTGCAGAAGAAGTTCTGCGCCCAGTGCATGTTCCACAACCCGCGGACGGAAGGTATTTTTTAGGGGTCGTGCTGTTGTTCTTTGTGATATGTTGCCTGTTGTCCTCGTCCGCTTCAGTGCTTTTTTTTTATGACAGAAGTACGAATGTCTGTGTCAATCGTTGCCGGCATTATTTGCATGAATGATGTAGTTCTGCGAACTGTTACTCTGTACAGGTACCCTTTCGCGCCCAATCGACGCGGAGGGGTGGGTCCGTGACTTGCGCAGCTGCATCGGCGTTTTTCCCACGATCAAGGTGGGCGAGCAGTTGGTGCCAACGCGGGACCTCGCGTCCTCCCCGGGGGCGTTTCTCCTTATCCATGCCAACGAACAAGTGGTCACCGACGACGAGGCCGCCGTGCGGAAAATGGAATGTATGGAAATGATGTGTTTCAGCTTTTTTTCGATTTTTACCTGGTGTAGCAACATTCATATCTGCTCGTCTGCCGCGTGTGTGTGGTACTTGCCTACGACGTTTTAATATCAAAAGGCTGATGCATGATCATGGCGCCTTCGAAAATTTCAACAATTTCAGCAAAAAATAACAGCGGAGGACCTGTTCGTGGTGAACGCCCCAGAGACCCCCGTGGACCAAATGATCCCGAGTCCGGGCAGGAAATTGTCGCACCACGTCTCGCCCTACGTGGTCAGCCCACGGCAGGAGTTCTGCCGCGACACCGCGGACGACGCATTCGACGCCAACCTGCACGAATTGGAGCTCAACTTCGAGTATCAAACGTAAAAATGTCTGGGTCTGGAAGAGTCATGCTGTTTTTGCATGACACAGAAGGTCTCGCATGGAAGCTCTAGCATCACAGGTTTCGAGAAGCTTCCGCAATGCCTAATCCGCATGACAAATGCCCCACTTTGGTGACAGAAAGTGGGCAGCTTTTGCTACCTATGCATGAGAGATTTTTTTTGTGTTCTGAAATGCGCATCACAAGTCTGTATTCTTCCAGACCCAGACATATTTGCAATGCATATCGAGGACGCTGCGGACCCGCTGAACGACACGAAGGTGGATATCCTGAGTAAAAACGTCCCCACCCCAGAGTTGTGATGCAGATCTGCAAGCACAAGAGCGTTTGTAATGCGCGCTCCCATGAGGGGCATTCACAATCGTGTTGTGGAACTTGTAATGCTGCAAACAGCATAAGGAGATCGATTTGTTATGCGGCTTCCCTTGCTACACTGCACTACACTACAGCCTGCAATTTGTCATGCGTGGTTCCCAAAACTGCAAGGGTTGTGTTGCAAAATCCCCATCCTGACTCTGGGGTGGGGACGTTTTTACACAGGATAGTGGAGGCCCGGATTTCCCGCCACTCCAACGTGTCCGGCCGGGACTCGCGGGGGCCGTCGGTGGTCTCCGGCCGGGTCAGCGGGGGGTTGCTGGCCAGTCCCGAGAAACAAGCCAAAATCTCCGTCACCAGCAACAGCTTCGCGGACTCCCCCGCCCTGGTCGGTGCATAATAGCAGAAACTGCACTAAGTAAATTCTCTACGTACAGCTGGGAGCTGCATAGAGAAAGTCGTGAGTACCAACGATGAAGATCATGATTATTGTACATTGATTTATGTTTGTCTTTGTTCACGATGACAGCGCGAGACTACCCACAAACCTCACAAGCGAAAGGAGTGCTAAAATTAATTTTTCAACCTTGGCCTAAGTCATCTCGTCGTTTCAAAATGCTACTTTCTTTTGTTTCGTGATGAAGACATCACAAAAAATGGTGCGCATTGAGTGTAAAACACATGACGAATGTTTGGTATGTAAATTAAATTTCGCAAGAGCATGCTGATTTGCATCGCCGTATTTTGTACAATAAAAGAGCCTGCTGCAAGGAGCTGCGTGCTACTGTCTGAAGCTATTGGTGATCTTCCTGTGAAAGATAGAACGTACAGTAATGTGCCCATGATTCGACAAGGAAAAGCACCATGTGTGTGCGTGCCAAGTGGCTACACGAGATCTCCTTTTTCTGCAAAGTGAAAAGGCATTTACGCGGTTGCGCCATGGTGTTCCAACCAGCGAAGAGCCACAAAGTAGGGAAGAGAAATAACGGCCCGCCCAAAACAAAAGGAAAGCCTCGCATTTCTCTTGAGTAATTTTTCCGAATCACCAACCAGGCCTTTTTCACGTTGAACTACAGGCGAATCGTTTAATCCAACTCAGGGTCTGCATAGGTTTGAGTTAATCGCACGGCTCATGAGCATATGTGGAAACAACAAATGGCATGCGCTTTTTGAAAGCTTGCGCTTCTCCCGTCGAAGACATTCATCTGGACGAGCACTGCAGAAGCAGGTTTGTGGCACAGGTGAAGGGAGGACTTTTCCTGTGAGCACCCACAGTCAACTACGACTGTGCCGCTGCAAGACAAGCAGTGCAGCGTCCTTGGTGAGGGAGCCCTCCGACGACCCAGGTGGTCGTGAAAAGAAGTTGCGCCTCGTCACCGGGAGCGGAAGCGTTTCCGTGGATTCCTCGGCTTCTGGTGCGACACATCGTCATCGAGCCGACATTCAAAAGCAATCCACCGCCAGAATTGGCCCAAACCCAATTTGCGAACGAGAGCGGCAAGAGCTACCAAAAATGGATTTGATACAACAAGTGTCAGGCGGCCAGTCGAGCTCCTCTGCCAGTGGGCTTCTCCGCCCCGAGGCAGTGCCGCCCGTGACGGGATTCGGCGATGTGCAGTTCTCCAAGGAAACGTCGCCGCGCGCTGTCCGGTACCACCGCGGCGTGTCCGAATACGCGCCCCCCGTTCCCTTTCCGACGTACGAGGCGTTTTGCGACCGCCTCTACAAGCAGAACATGTTTACGATGAAGTTGGGCCTGAACAACGTTGAGCAGGCGTTACTTTTGGAAGGCAACCCGCACCTGCAGCACCAGCGCGTCTTCGTGGCGGGCACAAATGGCAAAGGCACGGTTTGTTCGTCGCTGAGCAACATTCTCACGGCTGGCGGCTACAAGGTCGGCTTTTTCAGCTCCCCCCACTTGATCGACTTTCGGGAGCGTTTCCGCGTGAACGGCGTTCCTGTGTCGACGGAAATGGTGCACCAAATCGGCGTCGAGATCGTCGCGAAGTACGGCGGGAGCGGGTCCGAGTTCAGCACCGCCAACCTGTCGCCGATCCGGAAGCGGCTCAGCAGCGCAAACTCCTCGGGCAGCACAACCATAACGTCCTCGCCGAGCTCATCAACACTCGCAGACCAGCAGCAGCAGCAGCAGCAAAACGGTGGTAGTTACTTACTGCGATGCTGCTTCGTAACCTTTTCCCCTGGCTCTGACACGCTCGAAGATTTGAGAGTTTGAGACCACTTTTGAGTACAATAGCGATTGATGAAAAACACATCAGGTGTGCAACCGCTGCACGCCACTCCGCTTCCTGACGAGGTGACGGCTGCGCTGGAGAACGGCAACCGGCCGGTGCTCACGTTTTTCGAGCTTGCCACCCTCATTGCGGTCCGGGTTTTTGCGGAGGCGAAAGTCGACGTTGCCATCTACGAAATCGGGTTGGGGGGCAGGTTAGACGCTGTGAACGGTTTGAGACCGCCGGATCTGAGCCTGTTCGCCACGATGGGGTTCGACCACATGACGTACCTCGGCGACACGATCGGCAAGATCGCGTACGAAAAATTCAGCGTGATGCCGAGGTTTGGCCAGGCAGTCCTGGGCGAGCAGGAATACGAGGAAGAGACGCTGCAAGTTTGGCAGGAGTTCGTGCAGAACCGCGAGATGCAAACCGTCGTCGACATGGCGAGAGACGTAGGAGGTCCTCGTGGTGGTGCAACATCAAAGCTCGATGAAGTCGCCGAATTCATTGTCTCCAAGTCCGACGAAGAGCTCTCAGCGTACCTGTCCAAACCCACACTCGACAGACACATTTGCCGACACCTGCGTACCGCGGTTGCCGGGTCGCGCATTCTCGCCCCGGAAATTCCCGAGACCGCGATTCGCCAGGGGTTGACCAACCTCTACTGGCCGGGGCGGATGGAGACGGTGGTATATAAAGGGCAAAAATTCTTGATCGATGCCGCCCACAACATCGACGGGGTCCGGTCTCTCTTGCGGGCGCTGGTGGCACGGAAACGGGTGAGGATAAGAAGCGTCGTCTTCGGTGCGATGCGAGACAAGGACTTCGGGGCGATGCTCAGTGAGTTGAGGCAGCTCAACGCGCCCTTTTACGGTGTGGAAATCCAGAACCCGCGGGCGGCGCGCCAATCCGACTACGACCGGATCGCGGGGGTTGGGGAAAATGGTTTCAAGGCCGTCGGTCCATTGCCGCAAGTTCTGGAAGAAGTGTTGTCTATGAAGACTGCACCTTCTGTGCAGGAAGAGAATGGAGACTTGGAAGACACGATACTAGTTTGTGGTTCGATCTATCTGATCGGCGAATTATATTCCACGATGGGAATCGACGCAGGAAGCATTTGGCGCGCTGCACAAAATTCATGAATTCGCTTTTGCAGTACAAGTCCCGGTTATAAATTTTGGCGCACATCATGTTCATAAGCACATTTGTTATGACTCTCGAAGTTTTGATTAGTGAAGCGCGGTGTATCGGCGCGATCAAGACGCTGGCTGTAGCTGTATTGGAAAGGAGCATAAGAGCTCCCCGAATCAGGAGTTTTTCTCGTGTTCACTGCACTGTGTCAGCTCAGCTGAGAGATATGTTGTGACCGTGAGCCAATCAAACGTGGCAAGCCCAAGATTAGGTCAGGCTTGTGCTGCATTAGATAGTTGTATGTTATTCGTGAAAAAAACATTCACAGGAACATTCCCGATAGCAGGAGACCCGAGTGTTTATCAGAGCCTAACGTAGTAGTTTCAGAGACAGTTTTGTCTGACTGAATGTGAGAATAGCGAATCAAGTTGTAGATGTAGTCTGTATGGTTGCAGTTCCCGCTGTTTAGCCTCCAAGAGAGTTTAATACCTAACAATGGCGATCGCTCGTTCCACTTTACTCGGTTGAAAACCCTGCTGCGCAGGTGCTTCGCCACTCTCTCTTTGCTGGAAAAGCGAACGAACACCTGAACGGTATCCGGTTCCGGAGCCGGACTCAAGATTACGCCGAAACCGGGCACATCTGCCACCATGGGCGAACTTTGGGATGGCCAAAGTTTAATCCTCGGCCAGTACAAGGGGGTGCCCGTGGGCTTGCATTTTACGCTGCTGATCCTCGCGCTGGTATGGGAAATATACTGGATAAGCGAACAAGGAGGATGGGGGTTCTTCAAGGGCATTTTCCTAGTACCAATTAACCTTGATTCATGTTTCCGTTCCTCTTGCTGCAGTTTTATCCTCATGAGCATTGGTGCGTGTTTTCGGCAATGTTAGAATTAGATAGGCCTGCTTTTCAATTACAGCGCATGCATCATCGATCAGTCTGGGAAAGACATTAATTTCTATCACCGTTCAGACTCTCACCCTGTGGTTCACCGTCTTTATGCACGAGTTGGGTCACGTTTGGATGTGCAGAAGACTGGGCGGGGAACCCGACCGAATTATTCTTTGGCCATTTGGCGGTCTGGCCTACATGAAGCACAGTGGGGACGAAAGCGACCGAACTAAAATTCTGCTCGCGGGACCGGCAATGCATATACCGCTCGCATGTACGCTTGATTACTTATTAAAATTTGCGCTGTGAGACTTTGAAGAATTGGAGGCTGCAATGCATTCTTAGATTCGAATTCCTGTCTACTGAAATTGAATTCGAATTCCTGACTACTGACCCCAGGTATCGCGGGCATCTTCATTGCGATGTTCACGGGAGGGCCCTTTTTGTGGTACGTGGACTGGTGCTTCCACCTCAACCTGCAGCTTTTTCTGTATTACAATGAAAAACTACGCCCCCACCCCCGAACCTGGGAGCATTTGTATTGCAAACCTTTCCAAATGAAACATGCGCCCTCCTGCATCTATCAGCATCACAGGTTTCCAGTCGTGAATAGAAAAAATTTGTATTGCAGAAGATCCGAGGAAGCGCGGCGCTTGTCATGCAAGCGATGCTACAAACGTCTAGACTCTGCATCAGAAAGATTCATAGTCTCTTCATGCATGATGACAAAAAGTTTTCATTTGGAAACTTTGCATCACAAATTGTTCCAAGTCTGGGTGTGGGGGCTTTTTTCACTTTGATATTGTGATGAACCTCTTCATGCCGGCACATCCGCTCGACGGCTGTTCACTCCTCTCCACCACGCTGCTGCAGAGTTATTCCACAGACACCGTGGCGAAAATCTACGTAATGATTCAAGCCTTTTAATTTTATTCCATCTAGAAGTAGTACATGCAGGCAAAGGTATATTATTGGTTCACGTGAAAGGAAGGTTGTGACTTCATCTCAACCTACTCTTTACCAAAAATTCGCACAGATCTGCCTCGCTTTTCCCTACCTGATTTTCCTGTGGTGGTGGGGCATTGCAGAAGTAAACTTCCTGGGCATCCTCCTCGGGCTTTGGCTTCTCGCCCAAACCGCCGACCTGATCATCAGAATACGACAGGGACCCGCTGGACTCGGTATACTTGAGTAGATCATAAGTAAGTTGTTTGCAAGTGAGTCAGTCAGCATGTCGTTGTGTACGAGTCCGCTTTTGGTGTCCTCAATCACAGCACACGACAAAAAGAAGGCGAAAAATTCACCGTTGAATCACTGAACGATCGACCTTACTATCACAGCAAAGCACCCGATGTTTACAATAGAGGAGCAGATGAAGCCAAAAAAGCAGAACCAGCAGCGCGGCGTCGACATCAGCAGTTGGGACGGGACGGCCCAGAGTTTCTCCGCCACCATGCCCACCGCGCCGGTCCACACCAACTGGGGCTCCGGCGCCGTTGGCGGCGTGCCGGTGGTTGGCGTCCCCACAAACAACACGCAGCCGGTACCCATGGAGCAGGTTGAACCGGGGGAAGTGGTTACCTCACCGTACGTTGGGGGCGTAGATAAGAAACCGGAGTTTGACCCACAGCAAGCACCACCACCTATGCAGCAGCAGTACGCACCGCAGGGGGGCGGGTCACCGCCAAGGAACACCGGACAGGTATGAAAATTGCAACTTTAGTATTCGTGTGGAGTAGTTGACGTGCGAGTCTTTTTTGAGGGACGCGGCACTATTCAGTTGATTTTTCTTGCGTACTTAGTTGTCACTCGGAGCTGCTGCCTCTGTCGTAGCAAGAAGTGCGTCGCAAATTTTCCTACTCTCTCCATAGGAAGTATACGCTTCCGCATACACAGGTGACCGTTGAGATGACGGAGCTCCGGGCGCCGGGTGGTGGCAGCCCGCAGATGTTCTCCATCGCGGATGGGGAAGGCTCACATACGCAGCAAATCGCAGCGCCCGGAGTAGAGCCTTCGCCTCGCGAAGGCGTGTGAAGCGAGGCAAAATGATGACAAAGGAAAAACTACACTATCCTGACGAATATAAGGCGCATCGCGTTCCCGAGGTTTGAACAACCTTTATGTAGAAAAACGTGACAAGAAGCTAAGAAAAAAGTTTTTCTATCCAGTGCATCGTCGACCGATCAGCCGAGTTGCTGCTCTCGGCACCTGCGTCGAACGATTGTTCGTGGGACAAACTGGCCGCTCCTCGTTGTTGTTTGACCAGAAGGACACTGAGCGTGCATACCACCTCAAGTTCTAAAGATGAAAAAATGCGGCGTGAACGCGATTAAGATCCACCATGTGATTCACTCGTTTGTGTATATGAATAAAGAAATGTCAGCTGATGCGCTGAGCCCGCCAAGCGTTACGATGACTCATGTTGGGCGACGTCCTCAGTACTAACTACACTGCCATCGCGTATTAGTGTATCAAAAATCGCGTATGAACTTGAACACAATAGCGCAACAAGATGGGCAGTGGTGCCTCCGCAGTCGCTTCTCCATGCCTTTCTCCGAAGCAGGAGAAGAAGCCAGTTTCCCTGCGGAAGGCAGCGGAGTCGACAGCGGCGAGCTACTCCAATCGGGCAGACAAGTTCGCAGATTGGGCGGAATCGAAGGAAAACGCGGACGCTGCGCGCGCAGCGAGGGGCATCCTTTTGGAGGAGTTGGCGAAGATTTACCCCATTGCTGAGTCCGCCTTCCTGGCACCCAGTGCCACCTCGCCCGGGTCCGCCCACCGCGCCGGCAGCTTCGGGCTTGCCGGCGACTTCGTTTCGAAAAGAATCGTGTCCGGCGCTGGGAAGAATGACGGCCGGTTCGAGCGCAAACCCAACGCGGAATTTTTACCGGGAAACGTGGACTTTCACCATCGCAGTGGAAAAATCAAAGCGGGATCAGGCGGGTTGACATTGGGCGGTCAGCAGGATCGGCTAGGGGAAATAAACCAGGATTCAAATGAGGACCCTTCCTCCGAAACGGAGCGCGAGCCGCTGGAAGCCGGTGTTTTGGCAGTGAGAAAGACCAGTCTGAGTCCCTCCGGAGGTTCCTCGTCGTCCAAAAGAAATAAGAAGAAGACCAGAGCGCAACAAGAGGCGGAGGCGGAGGCCAAAAAGAATGAACCCACGGACACGCGCGGCCGCCCGTTGGTCAAGACCAGCCGCCTTGCGCAGATGTACTTCAAGTTCCAGAAACGGAAGCTTCGGGTCCGCGCGCGCGGGACCAGCGCCGCCGCACTCGCGAACCTGGATTTGGTGCAGTGGAAAGAGAAAAAGGCCGACTACGCGGAAGTGCTCCGCATCCTGGACGTCGGCTGCGGTAGTGGGCGGGACTTGGTCGCCTTCAACAAAATTCCCTTCGTCCATTGCGACGGGGCGGATCCGTGTGCGGAGCTGGTGCAGAAGGCCCGGTGGAATCTCGAGAGGAACGTGTTTAACCACCCCAGCCACTACCACGATTATGCGGAGGGGAAGAATACCTATGGGAAGAGAACTTTGCTCATCCAGAAGCCGCGGGTTTTGATCGCCGACGCGGCCAGCCTCGTTGGACTGAATCGGGATGATGATGCGGACGAGGACGAGCAGACCGACGAGGAGGATGGAACTAGAAGTAGAATCGAGGAAAAAACAAGCAAACCATATGAGCCCGCCGGGCCGACGATCACGCGGGTTTCGGACCAGGCGAAGCTCCCCCGGAACAGCTACCACGCAATCTTCGCGCTCTCCAGCCTGTTTCACGTGCCGAACGAGCATCTCGCGGCCGTGTTGCGGAAGCTGATCCTCACCTACTTGACGGACGTATCTGAAGACCGCGCGGACGCGGAGTACGCGGGGGACATGCGGCGGACCATGACCAGTCACGACGACTATCGCGACGACGACAGCAACCCGAACCGGAGCATCGGCGGGTACCGCCGGAAGGTCGGGTTCGAATCCATGAAAATCGAGCCGAACAAAGAGCTCGACTGGCACAGCGAAGAGGTGAACGGCATGATGTACACGGTGCAGCTCCGGCTGCCCCAGGGCTACGGCTTGCAGTACAACGCGCCGCGCGTGCCCGCGAGCGTCCGCTACGGGACGACGGAGCAGGACAAGCGGGAGTTTCACATGGAGCCGCCCCTGGAATCGGAGTACAGCGGTTTGAAACGAAGACCACTGATTTTGCTCACCTACCCCACCGGCAAAGTGAAGAAGTCGCTGAAGAAGCGGTGTTTGGAATTTTTGCACTTGAAGAAAAAACGGGTGCATTTCAACCATTTCAGTCACGACGGGCGGTGGCTGAGCGGCATGAGCAAGGAGAAGTTTGTAAAAATGGTGGAGGCGATCAGCCTGAACGAAACGGAAGACGACCATACCGGGAATACCAGTAGCGATGACGATGACATGTACATCTATCGGGAGGATAAGGAGGCTCTTCTCGGGCCCGAAACCGAGCAGGAGAAGTACCTAGCGCAGTTTGCATCGAAGGAAACCTTGAAACGTAAAAGATGGCTCAAAGTGATTCGCGTCGAAGAAAATTTCAGGATCTACAACGGCTCTTGGAATCTGTATGTCATCCGCCTGCAGTCTGCTTTCCGATATCGGTGTGCTTTTGACATCTGTCTCATCTGTCTGGCTTGTTTTGTTAATTTTGTTCCGCTGAAATGAAATTTTTGTTCGGGATGATTATATATTTTCATTTTCGTCGGTTTTCGATAAAAGATTTTCCACCTGAATGCCTGCCTGGAAATCAGCAAAGCATTAAACAAGGTGTAGATATCAGCAAAGAAGGCAGGTGCATTCAAATGAGGTGCAGGATCTGTCGTTCGGAATCAAGAAGCGCGCAAGTTGCAATGAAAGCTCCTTTTTCATCTTCTTCAAATAGGCGATCCTCAAAATGCCGACGAATCGAAGGAAACAAGAAATGGAGGTTTGTTTCAAAGCAGCAATTTTTCGGTGAAATCTTTTTTGCGCTGAGCAAGGGCTTCGGATTTGTTTTGCCGCGGTGAACAAACGAGACGTGTTGAAGTGACAAATTTGAAAATTAAATTGTTTGCTGGATTTCAAATGCTCGCTCTTCATGTCGTCGCATCAAATCTCACTCAGGTCCTCCACACAAAAATTCGCCCTTGATAGCAAGTGAACCAATTCATTTCGAAAATAGATCAAAGTTACCCATTTCAATTTGTTGATAGAAAACCCAAAACCAGAACGATGGTTTGTCTACTCCAAAATAGATCTCTATCGAGCTGCTCGACAACAAGTATCGCGCTCTAAGTAGGCACATCCACTTTAGTATTTTCGCCATGTATTTGATATAGCTCTTTGACGTAAAATATCCGCATCGGCATCCCTCCGTCTCCCCACACCTCCGACCCGGGGACCACTCGCTTTCGAGCGACGAAATCGAGCGCTGACCACTGTCAACTTTTTTTAACGTCGCCGAGGTGTGGTCAACGACCTGAATGTTGTTGACGGACAAAAGTTCCTCAGAACATCAACACAAGGTGGACCAGAACATCAAGGAGCAGCACAGGTCGCGACGGGCAGACTCGATCGGATCTTCGGGCAGCCTTAGCAGTAGCAAGAAAGCGGCGCGACGGAGCTCGCTAGGGGGACCCGTTGGTGTGGATGAGTACATCCGATGCACGATGCGGGAGGAGATAAAGGAAGAGGTCGAGGACCAGATGGACGAAAAGATGGAGAGTCTCATGTCCAGCTTCACAGCTGCCATGAACCAAAATAACGCCGTGGGTCGTGCGGCTTCAAGTATAACTGGCGTAGTTGCGGCTCCTGACAACTCGGGCTCTGTTGATCAGTTTCAACAACATGCAAGAGGACTCGCGCTGAACAACGCAAGTAGGACCACCGCTCGTGTGCAACAACAGCTTCATCACAATAACTTTGTCACGCTCGAACGGTTCGAAACCGTGACGCAGGAAATGGAAACGAAGCTGGAAAACCTGGAAAACAAACTGATGAAGCGCACGGAGAGCGAGTTGCGCACCTTCCGGAATGATGCGCAGAAGCAGAAGCAGGAGATCTTGGAGGTGATTCGTTCGGAGCTGGTGCCGAAGCAAAAGCGCGACTTTCTCGACCAGGCTCGCAGCGAAATGAACGAGCAGAAGAACCAAATTCTGGATCTAGTGCGCGAAGAGCTGCAGGACCAGAAGAAGCAGCAGAGCAACGCTTTCCGCGAGGAGAGCGCGCACCAGCGATTGAACATTGCTGCGATTCGAAATGAGATGGCCGATTTGAAAGCAGACCTGGCTGGGATAAAGTCCGTTTTGTCGAAGGAAGTGGCGACCATTTTCCAACTGATCAGGAAGGATCACGAGAACAAGCGGACAAGAGCCGAAGAGCAAGCAGCAATTTTGTCTCAGGAAAAAGGCTACGTCACCCGCGACCAGCTCAGTGATTTTTTGCGCGAGATGACGGACCGCTGGGCCACGTCGAGCAGCAGTGATGGCGAGCAAGAAGGGAACAAAGACTCTACTGGCCGAACCTCTAGTACCTCCTCCAAGCGGCGCAGGAAAGAGGAGGAGAGTCATGTTTTTGCAGCCGGCGAAGTAGGGGACCAAATAAGAGGAGTGCGTGAGGAACATAACTTCTTGCGGCAGGACGAACGCGGGGCAACCACTTCTCTTTCCAAGCCACGTGCAGGACAACAGTCCCAGCCACCTCCCTCATCATCGACAGGCGCAGCTCGTGCACAATTCCAAACCCAGCCTGAAGATCATCTCCCAAAAGACCCGCCTGCCTTGGGTGCGCAAGAGGTGGCGGCACAGAAACCACATGCTGATAATCTCGAAGTACGCGCTGATCATGCTGACAGAGCAGCAGCAGACCAGCCGAATGACATACAGGACCAGCAGCAAGAGACGGACGTTCTGCCTACCGGGTTCGAGGAGGAAGGACTTTCTGCGGAAGATATTTTCGACGCGGACATCGTCTCCGCGGAAGATGATCGCATCGACGAGGCTATCTTCGATGATATTGACATACCACCTTTCGAAGATGCAGTTGACAAGTTACCAGCTGGAGCGGAGCAGCAGGATGAACAAGGAGAGGCCAAAAATCTTCCTGGCGCGGTAGTTGAAGAAAAGCGGTCACGATCTGGATCAGCCAGAAGGACCAGCGGGGAGAATTTTAGGCCGAATGCGGCTGACGTTCCAATTCCTGCTGTGAACAATCTGGCAAATAAGGCTCAGGCAGAAGAGGTGTTGCAAACGAGTCAGCAGAAAAAATCTACTGCACCAGCAGAAGCCGGGGGTGTTCTGGATAAGAAAGCGCAGTCGCGGCCCGCATCATCCGCCGCGTCACATCAACGTGGGGCGGGACGGGCAAACGTGTTGAGTTTCTACAGTCGGTACGAAGGCGCCGACTGGTCGCGACAGGACGATGTAGATGGCCCGCCCGGATATCAGAATGATCCTGAAGGAGCACAAGCACGGGCTGCGGGGGTGGGTGTTGGCTCATCATCCTCTCGTCCAAAAGCGAATAGTAATCAGCAGGCGCCACTCGTAGAGAAGCGCACCCGGACACCGTCTCCGAAACGCGGTGCGAAACGGACCTCCCATGCTACTCCGGAGAAGAAGGCACCGGGTAGCGCTTCCAAAGTTATTCCCGGGAAGGCTCTTGAAAAAAAGGACGGGAAAGCCGTTCTGATCGGCAGCTCGGGCCGGGAGCACAGGCTGGACATGTTTGCGGCACCGCCAGAGAAAAGACCCGGCAAGACCGACATCACCGTGATGCTCTCCGGGCCCATCAAACAGGATCCCTTTTCAAAGCCCTTACACGCAACTTTGTTCGGACAGCATCCCCACGAAGCTGCGCCGCCCCAGAGTAAAAATGGAAGTAGCAACAAGGCGAGGTCAACTTCGCCGAGCAGCAAGGACAAGGTGCGAGGAGGCAGAAGTCCTAGAGGAAATGACACGTCTGCGAACCACCAGGAGAAAAATGCGCTGCCTGTTACACCTGAACGAAAGTTCCCCCTCCCGTCTAACCTCCCATCCTCGAATTTCCTCTCGGGGGTATCCCCGAGGTTGGCGGGGAGGAAGAGCGATTCCTCGCTGGAGGGCGCATTAGCCGATTTAGACCAACTTGCGGATGCAGGCACCACGCCCGGGGCTAGTAGCAAGCAGAGTTCGCCGCCCGCGACCGCGCGCACCCCGGCAGGTGTGCCGCTCCTTGACCCAATCAGCAGGACACCGAAAAGTATTCCAACAGATCATGTGGCTTCATCTCCCAAGGTGGCGCAACCGCGGGCGAAGTCGTTCTCCTTTGTGCGCAGCGCCAGTGCGCGTCGCGCTCCGAAATTAATGGAGGGTCTCAACGTGCCGACCTTCGGTACAGCACACCAGAACGGCGTCCCTGTGATGGTGCTGCAAGGCGAGAACGGGCAGAAGAGCGTGAGTGGCCGCGTTGATGGCGACGCAGGGCGAGAGGCAAGAGAAACCACCACTAAGGGGCAGTCTAAGATGAGGAATAGAAGTGATGCAGTCGAAGATCACGAACCACAGCGAGGCCGGTCGAAGGAGCCGCGACGAGAGGAGCAACCTACGACTTCACGATCGTGCTCTCCCCCACCCGGCCGAGCCGGCGCAGTGGCTTCCTCGCCCAAGGTAAAAGCTGTGCCCCGAGCAAGGCCAGCGAGCGCGAGCTCGGCTTCCGCCGCGCCCGCTACAACTGAACAGAGCAACAATAAAGCGGCTACGACTTCTACTGCAGTTGTATCTCAGCAGAATGATGCGGAAATGCGCAGGAAGAAGCAGGAGAAGGAGCGTATGCTCGCAGCGATGCGCGCCCTCGAACAGCAGGAAGAGGAGCCGGACCATGCGGATCATTCGCTGGACGATGCAGACCAGCATGTTGACGCCCGCCTTGATGACGCGGACATGCAGGTGGATGACGACGACGACTTCGGCGCATGGCTGATGCAGGACAAGAAGCCGCCTGCCGCGAAGCAGGGAAGAAAACAAAGCAGCAATCCTGCGCCGAAACGCAAGCAGAATGCAAAAGCCAAAGCGTCGCCGATGAAAAACAACGTCAAGAAGGACGAGAAAGGATCTGCGGGCGGTAATAGTAAGCCCGGGGGTGCTGGAACAAGAAGGTGAGAAGTCGTAATTTGTACGGTGCCGTTTTCTTGAAACCAAAACTTTTTAAGTATCTCGTCCATGCTAGTACTGTTTTTTTTGTGGTTGAATGACATGTAGCATGTTCTGCGGCGCACCGCATGATGTACGAGAACACTAGTTTTGCTACGCTTTTTTCAGACGCAATGAACTTTCTCACGGAAGAACTTCAGACGAACACACATGCTCCATAGAAAATCCCGGCGATTTTTTTGAACCAATAGTACGAGCGCATGCTGCTTCTCTGCGACGAAGACACAAATTCAGCAAAGACGCATGTTTTGTGGAATGATTTTTGGAAGCTGCCGAGCTTTCGCCAAAACCCGTGTGTTCTGCTGTCATTCTTTTTTTGCTGTTGTTGGATATGCGGATTACTGTAAAAAATGCAGTTGTGTGCGGGAATATCAGTCTCAAAAAACTTGGGCTGTTCGTAGAAAAATAAGGATGCCTCTCCTTGTCAATGCATCCCAACAGTGCTACTAGGGATGATCCGCCGGCAATCAGCATCCAAAGGCAAAACCTTCTCGCAAGGGGACCTTCAACTGGCGAGGATGCTGGACAGGAGGCAGGAACGCTTGAGGGCCGCGCAAGGAGCCACGGCTCGCGCATCGCCACAGGGTTTCGTAAAACGGCACAGTGTCTGCGCCGTGCGGCGCGGTGCGTGTGCCAAAACATTCCCACGCTCTACCGTGTCTATGGTGCCGCGCAGCACGGCGGTCTCGCCACGTTCTTCACCTTCATTTGCCTCTTCGTGATCAATGACGTGACCTTTTCCGAAGTGTTTGCCGTATATTACGCGATGGCGTTCTTTTTCCTTGGCCTCGGATGCTGCGCCGCGGACATGCGCGGCCTCTTGGGCTGGCGTGGACAGCTGTTGAAAGCCCCTGTCTTGCAGCAACTCTGCATCTTCCTCCTCCTCGGGTGCGGCGCCATTTGTCTGGGAATCCAACAAGCCGCGGACTCCGCGTTTACCCTAGCCGAGAAGGATGAGAAGCAGTACACTTTTCTGTTTTTCCCGGTCCTGTTACTCCTCTACGCACTGCTCGGGAGTGGCTTGTCGCTGGTGCTAGTGCTCACTTTCTTCCTCGTCTCTCGCGTCACCTGCTACGTTGTCATGCGTTTCTGCACTCGCGGACGTGACCGTGATTGGCTACGGGGGAGATCGCGGCTAAAACGGGTTTTGGGACTCTGTTTTACCCCCTTGACGAAACGACAGTTGGAATTTGTGCTCTGCGGGTACCAAGTTCTCGGGGTCCTCATCGGAGCTTGGATCGCCTGGAATCTCACTAGTGACCGTTTCTTCCGAGCTTTGCGGCATCCGCTGGCGGAGCCACTGCCGGAGGGGCAACCGCTTGCGTATCTGCTGCCGTTCAACGTCATTTTCGGCCAGTTTCTAGGCTTTCACTTGGAGGACATGCGGAAATCCATCCGCGGACGAGTGTCGTTTTACCCGAGTCGCCTCTACCTGTTTCGTGATGGGGCAAACCAGATAGGCTCAGATTCAGAGGACTATGCGGCTGTCGAATGACATTTCGAGGGTAGGAAAAGCTAGGTCATAGGCATATCCACGCATACGGATTCATTTTCATGAAAAATCAAATTCATTGGATCATATTCATAACTTCAAAGTGCGTTGTTCTGTGTTTTTAACGTTTCATTCTTGACCGTTCTGTCGAGTCCAGCCAGGATAGGAGACGAGAGAAACTCCAGATCATGAGAGATGTCGAACGAGCGTGAAAGCAATTGCATAAACACGCTTTTCTCTGCGACTACTTAGGTTATTTCACGCGAAGCTGCGCTGTGCTAGGAATAAAATTTGAATGTTCATGTAGCACCATCAGAGCGCTTTTTACCCGCTCGTGGCAAAAGAAAATGAAGTTGCCGGTAACTCTGTACGAGTGCGTGATGCACTTCGGGCCGATCCGTGCAACGCTGTACACCGGATTGTTTATCTATGCTTTGGACCGCGCTTGGTACAACGCAAAGGAATTCAGGGATCTACTGTCGAGGTCATGTCGCCCGCCAGGGTTTGCGCCATTGAAATAGAAACTACGTTTCTCGCGATGAGGACGCTACAAGTTTATCTTTACCACAGATTTAATTCACTACTGTGCATGATCAGCTGCAACATCAGCAGTCGTGCAGAACGAAAGCACACATAAGCTAGTGGTTGCTCAGACACTCACGCTGTTCGTACACGAAAATCACTTGAAACCTGCTGAATCGGTTTGCCAAACTTATCAGGACCCTTCTGCTGTGATGACCTAGTCAACGAGACAAGAGATCGGTGTGCCCTCGAGAAGTGTGTTTGCAGCACGTCCGCTCGTGTCCGTATCTGTACCCGACAAATGAAACATCGGCTTCGTGAACAGTATCGTACAACATAGTCGTGCAACATCGTACTACGTGCACCGACTTGTAAGTAAGTAGTGATCTTAACCCGGTGAAGATTGTTGCTTGCGCAGATGTTGCTTTTTTCTAAATTTGCCTTGCAGGATTTCGACGTAGCGACCCCCCTATATAGAAAAAGTGCGTAGATTCGGCCAGATTGCATCGAAGTAGGGTGAAGTATCACCGCATGCAACTGCACTAGTATACAAGATAGAAGCCGATTGGTGTCTACATTTGCTGTATCAGTCTTTTCACCATGTATCAGTGGGTGCTTCTTACTTTCTATATTAGCTTTCGAAGCGTATCATGTGCCCGGTTGGCGGGTACTGGAGTAGATCTATTTGGCAGGGCGTGCTAAATTCTGACGCTACGCTCTGACATGCATCCTAAATATCACGGTGTAAACATACAGTTTTGCTAGAAGTGTACCCACTGACTATATCAGTTTTGACTCTTCTGAACCAGGATCAACGTTTGAGAGCCACGCCCGCCGCAGCCATGTTGTCTTCACGTCCTGGCGCCCCCGTTGCTGTGGTTCAGCTCACGGAAGAGGACGAGCCACCGGGGACATCACGACCCCCATTTTCCGTGCCGAAACCCGTGCAGATTTCGAAGCGATCTTGGACTTACCCACTCCTTTTCGAGGACATTGCGGCTTTTACTGCCACCACAGACCTCCACCATCAAGGCCTCACCGCGGGAGCAGGTGGCTCCTCTCCCCTTTCCGGCCCCGCCAGCCCGTCGGGCGATTTCAGGAGCGCGCAGCCGCATGGGATTTTGACCAGTGAAGACTTCTGTTGGGAGGATCGGTTCGTGGACCTTGCTCCGTTGGCGCGGGGGGGCTTCGGTCGCGTGTACTCAGCGGTTGACACTTTAAACCGGAACCGAAAAGTCGCGCTGAAAATGGAGAGCATAGGCAGCCGCCACGCGGTGTTACTGGAGGAGGCCAAGGTGTTGCAGAAACTGCAGGGGCTGATTGGCGTGCCGAGGTTGTTTGGATACGGAGTGCAGGGGATCCAGAATGTCATGGTGATGGAGATGGTGGGGCCCAGCATGGCCCAGATGCTGGCCCGCCACGGCTCGAACGAGTTCGATGTGAAAACCTGGGTCCTGATTGCGCTGCAGATGCTCCGGATCCTGGAGGGGATTCACAAGGCGGGCTACGTGCACCGCGACGTGAAGCCCAGAAATTTCGCGTTGACGATGCCGGCCAGCAGCGAGCCAGGTGGATACAGTGGGGAGGCTGGAGCAGGTAAATATGGAGGCGGAGCGGACGACTACACCGTGACGGGACTTTTGTCGCATAACACGAGTACGGATGCGCAACAGGGCAGCAGCGAAGGTGACAGCCACACTTTGTCATTCTTCAGTGGGAGCGGGAGGGAGCTCGGACTGGGAGCGAAAAAAGAAGAGGAAACGGCTACAACGACGGCGTCGTCCCGACGGTTCGGTTTTACTTCACAGCGCACGGCATCGGGCTTTCGCGTCGGAGCCAAGGGCTGGGGCTTTCGGTACGGAAAGTGCATCATTTTGCTCGATTACGGGCTCGCCAAGCCGATCGAGCGACGAACCACGGGAAGTAATAGTGCGGGCGGTTCTGCGCTTCCCGGCTTGCCGGGCGACCTAGACGGGACGGCGCGAACCAAGACTGCCGGCGCAGTCCTAGTCACGAAGCAGTCCAATGCTTACAAGTCTCGGTCGCAGCAGTTTTCTCCCTCCCGAGGATCAAATACTCCGATGATCGCCGGGCCTCTTTCTAATTCTAACCGTGGTAATTATGTTGGCCGCCCGGCCTCGCGAGAGTTTGCGCCGCCTGCCCGGGGCGGGAGCAACTCGCCACTTCAAGGCGGCGGCAGCCCGGTGCTGGCCCGGCAACGCGGCAGAAGCAACGATCTTCCCTCCCCGCCCCTTGGTGGCGCAGGCCCGGTGCTTGCTCGGCAGCGCGGAAAACAGGATCAAAATCCAGCGTACGGAAGCCCGCTGAAGAAAGTGGTGTCGGGGCAAGAGTTTCTGGATCTCGACGGTGGCGATAATGTAATCGCACAGCTCTCTGGCGGAAGGAGAATAGCAAACATAGGCGGGAGCTCCGGCAGCACTCCATCTCCCGTTCCGGCCGCAAGATCGAAGAACAAGAATTCGGATTATGCGGTACAACAGCAACTTCCGGGGACGCGTCAGAATCTGCTTCTGCAACCAGCCAATAACCAACCTCCGCAGCTCGAGCAATGCGCGATTGACATGCTGTGTGGAATGACGCACGAGATGGTTGTGGAGTTGCTAAAGCGCGGGGATTTGTTGGAAGATTTTGTACGGCAGGGAGTCAAGGAGGGTCTCGCCGTGGGCGTCGTGAATCTGAACTTCAACAATCCTGCCCCACCGCGACCGCAACTCGCGGTCTCGTCTTTTCCCACCGAGGCGAGCGAAACCGCAGAGATGTGGCCGGGCGGAGGCAAGGACCGCACGTCGACCTTCAGCCTGCTCCGGGAGGACTTCGACCTGCAATTCCCGCCGCAGAAGCGGGTGGATAGGGCGGTGATGCAGCGCAAACCGAGCATCAACCACGTATCGTCCCGGCGGGACCAGTTTTTGGCTGCCCTCACCGCGGACGGAGCGGTACCGGGGTCCATCCGCGGGGACTGGTTCCGGCAGGTGGGCACGCGTGAGGTGATCCAGGAGTTCGCGCTCTCCGCCGGCCGCTGGTACTTGGACAGCATGGGCTCCTCCTTTCTGACCGGCAGCGCAATGGTAACTGACGAGCAAGCAATGCAACTCGCCAACAAGGACATACTACAGAACGAAGTGATCCCTGGGAGCATTCTCGACGTCCCCGGTGCGACAGGTAGTAGTCTTAAACTTTCGCGAAAAACGAGCAAGGACAGAGAGAAAAAGAAAAAAGCGACCATTGCCGCAGGGCCCCCGGTGGTCCGCAAGCAGTTCTCGCGGGAGGACTACCACGGCGTGGGTGCAGCAGGGCACTACCATGCACTAGACAACAATGCGTTCGTGGGTACGGTTGACTTCGCCTCACCCGGTGCGCACGATCGGGACAGCGTGCGCTACCTGGACGAAGTGGATGATCTTTACGGACTAGGATACACGCTCGTCGCCCTGATGAACAAGGGCAAGCTGCCGTGGTCCCGCCCCGATTCCATGGAACTCGAGGAACAGGTGGGCGTCGAAAAGCGCAACATTTCCGCACAGGCACTCTGTGCAAACTGCCCCCACAAGTTCCTCGATTTCTTCGACTACTTGCGGGAACTGCGCCCAGAGTACTGCGAATCTTCGGGAACTGGTGGAGGTTCTTACGGGAATAAAACGAAATCTTCCACGATCAAAGGTGTTCAGCCGGGTGTGAGGGACAGCCTTTCGACGACGATGTCCCGGGAAAGTTCTTCGTCGACCCCCGAGTTGAACATTGACTACCAGCGCATCTCGAAACTGTTCTTGGAAATCGCAGACGAGGAGGAAATCAATATCCAGGATGTGGGCTACTTCTGGGACCGCACCAAATCAACCTGGGGTGACCATCTATACGGAAAAAACTGCTATCCCCGATTGCTTGGGCAACTCGAGCAGAGGCGCCGGTTTGCGTCGTAGCGCGCAAAATGTAAACTGCGTTGCTCGTTCGAACGAGGGAACTCTGCTGTTGATTTTGCGGAGTTGGTGGACTTCGAATTTGATGGGCAAGAAAACGCGCCAATTGTAAAGTAACCTGTGTATAGAAATGTACCAATCAATCAAAAAAAGGAATGTCTCGTTCTCGACCGTGGTCTTGCGTGGCGCTTCACGACCGGTTCCGGTAGGAAAGTAGTGTTCTCGCCGAGCAAAGGCGTGTGGCAGATGATAGATAGAGTTCTGGTTAAAGTCGTCGCAGTTGCAATCTAGTAGTAGCGATCCTCTTTCGGTGGTTTCGCTTTCAGTCATGAGTTCGGTCGATGACACTGCTGTCGAGCAGTCTAGACGGTTTCTCGGTACTTCGGTAGATGCCCCCAAGTGGATGTTCGGTAAACATTTATGTTGGTGGCTGCCAAGTACTTAGACGCTTCATGATTTCGGTACGTATGTAAATCGTCCAAGTCTATGACCGTCTGCAGTTATACCCGCCCTGGGCGGGGGGAGATTCGGTATGTGGAGCGCTGGCTCGAGTTTTCCATCTTTAGGTTTAGGATCCGCATCCGATCCTGACGGATTTGTCTACTTACGTTTACCACAGGACCCCATTCTTGTTCTCTTGCGTGCGGCAAGAGCTTCCCCTTCAGGGTCGACAACCAAGCAATAAAGCATATGCCTTTGTACATTTTTTTGTTTTTTGACCTCTCTGAGGACTTTTTCTTTTACCATGGGATGCGTATAGTTTCACTGCTGCAGCTGCAGCCATGATTCGGGCGCCGCTCGAAAGAGAACCCGGCAGTCCGAACAGGAACACCCAGATTGGATGTTGTCCCAACTCGCCAAGTTCCATCACCCGGAAAGCGAGCTCTTTGTCGGCAAACTTGAGTGGTCGGAAGAAAACCAGGATTACGTCCCGAGAAGGCTCATGGCAGCGCACGACCACGAGAGCGAGCTCCGCGACGACTATCTGCGAAACCGCGTACGCCACACGAGCGACGTGGACGAGGTCGACCGGCAGGTGCGGCGGCTCGTCGGGCGCTACGATTCGCTGGAACACCTCGATCTGGTGGAAGCAGCAGTAGACCCGGGAAGTGAAGAAGGGAAGGCGGGGCTCGCACTCATTGGCAAGGCTCCGGATAAAAACGCCCCCGCGCGGCCCCTCTCTGGGGCCAAGCGGGTTTTGCTCCACGAAGATTGGGTGGACGCAAGAGAGGCAGCGGACGAACAGGCGGCGTCTTCATCAAAAAGCCGGCACTTGCTAGAAGAGGTTCATCGCGAGAGCGACCAGATCTTGCGCGAACTGCTAAGCGATGACGCGGTGCAGCATGTGATCTTCGGCGGAGTAAGTGACGACGTGAACAGACGGCTTGCTCTTGCAACGCCGTCCAGTGGTGCCGTGGGAGGGAATCAACAGCCACAGCACGACGATTTCGATGTCGAAGAATTCGTCGAGTTCGAGTTTCGTCGGCAGACGAAAGACGCGAATGGGAACCGCGCCCGCCCTCTGCTAGGCAACTGGGAGGAAATCGAGCAGTTCATGCAGCTCGGCCGGCAGTACAATTTCGCGCGGGCGCGCAACAGCCTGCATCGCTTTGTTCGAACACTGCTGGAGCACACGATACTTCTGCACGAAGGCGAAGTAGATGATGTGGTATCAGGACCGCATGATGTTGTTGAACAGCCAGCAGTGGTTCCGAATTATCGCGCAACTTCGGTTGTACAAGAACTACCGCAGACCGCGGAACTATCTTCCACCCACCACATTTCCCGTCGCGGCAAGTACTGGACCTTTGCGAGCCGGTCCTTCGATGCGTTGGATGCGGCGGCGGAAGTGTCGTTTGGATTCGAGAGCGAGAGACGGCGCCAACTCGAAGAACTTTCCGAAGAGGAGGCCGAGGCACTGGTTGCGGCCGAGACCGGCGGGACGGCAGCCAAAGACGGACCACCGATCACACTGTCGATTACGGTCGGTTTGGTCACGATGGAGCCGTCGAAGTTGCAGCAATTCTTCGGGGCCACGCCGGACGAGGTCGCCAGTGCGCTACTGACCGCGTTCGGCGGGACTGACACAAATGCCCGGCGGCGGTTGGCGGTGGACCCCGCAAGCGTCAATCTTGGCGTCACCGAAGTTGGCTTTCAGGACCCCTCCATGACAACGGGCCTCTTAAACGCGACGCTGTACCCCATACCGGTACTGGCGCAGCCAGGCGGCACTGACGCGCCGGTGGTCGACCTGCCGACCGCCACGACAACAACGACGAGCACCAGCACCAGCACGTCGTCCACCACGACTGTCACTTCTACGACGACCACAACAACAACCAGCTCGACGACATCCACCACGACGACAACCACAACGACTGTTGCGCTGGTAGAGGTCGAGGTGGAGGTGGTGGAAGTGACGGTCAGCGTGCCAACGGCAGTTCCCCTGGTTGTGACACCGGAACAGGAGGTCGCGATGGCTTCTTCACCGTCCGTGCAGGCGGGGCTGGAGGATGCCTGCTTGGAAAAGTACGCAAGCGCCAGTTCGGATGTGACCGCCTGCGAAGTTAGTGACATAGCCTTTCAAGACGCGAGGGTTTTGATTGCTGAAGATGAAGAAGAACCACAGCATGTGGCGGTCTTGTCTTATCCTGTCGTTCAAGGGGGACATCATCTTCAAAGCCCAGCACCGGCGCGCATGCTGAAGGTCGAAGCAGCGGGGCTGGGAGCAGAAAACGTTTTCGGCATCGATGAGATCCGAGGCAACATTGCGCGCTTGAAAAACGTTGAACCGACTGAAGACACGCCACGTCTGCTGCAGCTGTGGGAGCGGCGGCTATCCGCGTACGAAAAAGCCAGCGCCGAATCGCGCAAGCACCACCGTCGTTTCCCCTTGCTCACGGCGACGGACGCCAAAATCCTGACGCATTTGCACCGCGCACAGGCAGAGGATGCCGCGCGCAAGGGAAGAAGTCTTGGATACGGCACTTCTAGCGAGCACGCATTAAAAGTAGCGGAATGGGCGACCAGTACTAGCCAGCTTGCACACGACTCTACAACTCGGAGGAGGACTCAAGCCGTGTCAAAAGTGATGACGTCGAACAGCAACCTGATCCTCCAGTCCTCCTCGGCCACCGCGGCAAATTCGGTCACAAGTGCGGTGACGGCGGCAGCGACTAACGCTGATCCCGCGGCTTTATCGGCGTTCACCGCAGCCGTAAAGTCCTCAATCGCCCAGAAAGTCGCGCAGGCCGCGGCGGCGGGCACTCCAGACCCGGTCACCGCGTTGCCGGCGAGTCAGCAGCTGTCCTCGGCGAACATCAATAACATGGTGCAACCGATCACACCGAACCTCCTACCCAATCCCGCCACCATCTCCGCCTCCGCGCCGGTGACAAAAACGGTGACGAAGGAGGTAGCTGTGACGGACACGACGACCACGGACGCGCCGACGAATTTTTTCAGCAGCATGACGGAGGAGGATGCGACGCTGATAACCGTGGTGATCGTGCTGCTGTCACTCGTTGGGGTCGGAGCGGGTTTTGCCTATTACCACCAACTGCAGCACCGGAAGGAGCTGAAGGGCGACATGCAGCACTTGAAGAACGTGCACGTGGAGCTCGCGGAGTCGCACAAAGAGCTGCACAAGCGGCACTCCGAGTTGCACGAGGTGCATTTGGACTTACAAAAAAGCCATAAGGAACTCTGCGAAAGCCACAAAGAGTTGCACGAGAAGCACAACGACCTGCACGACAAACACGACGAATTGCTCATGCTGTCAATCCGGAACTCGGGCGGGCTGCCGGGCGGGCCGGAGGATGTTGACCATGTCCCCGAGGGGAGTAAGAACAAAGTACTCGCAATTGAAGATGTGAACGTAGCAGGGGGCGGTCTTGACGTAGCGGACCGCCCCGCGGGCTCTCTAGCAGAGCCACCAACCGGGGAAGATCGAACGAGGCCGATCGAAAAACCGGGCAGGCATTCTGTCGAGTTAGCGCACCCTGCGAAGCTTGCGAGCCTGAAAAATGCTGTAGTACCAGATCCGGCGGAAAAATCGAAGGACGTGGCGCAACCGCACACACCGCGGAGGCAGGAGGCAGCAGCACACGTCGGAAAAACAAAAGGGCTGATGACGCATGGAAGTAAGCCCATGAAGGACTTTGAGAGTGACGTTGTCAAGGAAGTAGTAGAAGAGGGGAATAATCCGAATGCCTCGAGAGCAACCATTGCGCCCGACGAAGTTGCTGACCCAGCAGCGTCGAGGGCGACCATTGCGCCCGACGAAATCAAGCCTGCCGCTCCGAAAGCGACGGAGAAGAGAGCATCGCTAGAAAAAGCAGCAGTGGCTGCAGTGCCGCCGATTGCGATGGACAATGTTGCACGGGCTCCGATGGAAAAGCCGGCAGAGTTGAAGGGGCCGATTTCTCCGAGGGATAATTCTCCGATGTTGAAGGCGACAACCGCACAAGGAAGCGACATTTCGTCGCATTCTCCCGCGATGAAACAGGTGGAGAAACCTCCTTCGAAGCCAGCGGAAAGACCTCCTGCGAAGGCCGCACAAAATCCTCCTGCGGTTGTTCCGCTTGAACAAGCTAAGGCTACGCCTTCCCGCCCCCACAGCCCGCGCCACGTGAGCCCACGACACGCCCCCCCCTACAGCGGTATACAAGGACGTGCATAAGCCGGACATCAAGCCGCAAGCGGAACCAGTTCGGAAACCAGATATCAAGCCGGAAGCGAAGGAGGGACGCAGGCTGGGCACCCGAAACTTCACCAGTGAAGAACTTTGATAGAAAAAGGAATATTTCATACGAGTTGAAACTTTAAAACCTCACTCGCTCTACTGCATTGAGGGGCGCCACGCGCCAGATGAAGAAAAAAAACGGAATGATCGGGCGGTAAATTTCCATCAATTTTTTTTTTGTCGAGATGTATTCACGTACACTAAATGGGTCGGCGAAGTAGGCCTACTTATAACTTTTTTTTGTTTTATCCTGTACCATGCATTCAAGAGCTATACTCATATGTCATATGATTTATCTTCAGACGGTGTTATTTCCTTCTCCCTCGAGGTATTTCAACCTATCGGTCTCATATATTCAAGATATTTTTCATTTTCGACTTTGAATGAGGGCATTGGCCTGCATTTATCGGAGCAACCTTTCCGGTCGTGTTTCTTCATCCTGTTTCCGGATTAAAGTCCCCGTACATGATACGATACAATAAAATATTCAAAGCCTGAAATTGTAGAATGACAGTGCCGGTTACGGTTTGCTTGTTCAATCACGAAGGAAAAGAAGAGCAGAAAAGAAAATCCGAATAAAGAGAAATGCCGCAAGGTGCCGTGAAGACCAAGGTTCACTTGTGTGAAAAGCAGGGCTTCAACTGGCATGATAATGATCAACAAGAATCGTGATCATTGTTGGATTCGGATCAATCGTTTCGAAGATCCAGCCGGAGGGTGTGACAAGGAAGCGCAAAACCCAGGATCTGACAGTCGTATCCAGTAGCGAACGTACCGGTACCGCTCTGATAGTGAGGTACTGTTTTGCTACAGATGCAATCTACGTCTTTTTACCTGCTTCTCGTGATCTCGCCTTGACATCGTCGTTCTTGTCCCATCACAGCGACAAAAAAATTGGGGTTTTACCGAATTTATATACGAATAATCTTTTAGATCGTTCTTTATCGTTTCGGTTTTGTTTACTTCACAAATCGACTTCGTACGTTAACCGAAACAAACGACCTTTTTTTTCTCCCATCTCGACTTACCAAAACCCGAAAACTAAGCGACAGAGAATAAAATGCAAGTCGACGAGCAGGCAGCGTCGAGCTCTACTTTTCCGCAGCCTCCGACCTTGCGGCAGCTGTATGGAGGCGCATGCACCTGCGAGGTTTTCGGAGACTTTGATGACGTCAGCGCAGTGCGCCAGGTTCCAGACGAGCAGGAGGTTTTCTGCAGTCGGAATTTCGGTGCGGATTCACTGATCATCGAGCTGCTTGCGGATGACGCGTTCAGCAAGTCGGACCCGCGCGACGCGGTGCGGTTCCACTTCGCCGACCTTGCAAAGGCAAACCAGGCCGCAGCCTCCGAGGTCCTGCAATGCCAAAGCCTCCCGCCGGTCAATTTTGCTGGCAAGCAGGACGAGCGCACCTTTTGCAGCGTCGCAGCCGGATGGCAGCAGTGCAGCAATCGCACCGGCCAGGTGGAAGACAAGGTTTTCGTTTTGGTCGGTTGCGTCCGGTACGAAAAGTACAAAACGGATGTGCTGATAACTCTGAATTGTGGACCTCTCGGGGAGGATCATCAGAGGCGGGCGGACGACAGCAGTGCGGCGGAACAGCAAACGGGAACCGAAGCGGACAAAGACACGGTCGCTTTCTGGGGCGATGCGGTGGTTTCTTTCCTCAAGCAGGAGAAGCAAGCGCACGCTGTTTCCTATCTCAGAACATTTGCACAAATTCTTAACTCATTCCGCGTCGTGGACGACAACCTCTTTGTCATGTAGGTCGTAGCAGCGAATACAGTGGTGACCATGATGATCCATTAAGCATGTCAGCCACGACCCTGTTGTAGCGTCGGGAAAGAGGCGCGAGGCTGCTTCAGTGCTTTGTTCCAACGAGGGCATTGCCGCTGGGACGAGGCCTGGCGCCGCATTCGTGGCTATTTTCTGTTCTCCGTACTTGACGACTTTCCTTCGGCCGGCACTCCACACGGCAGAGAGCAATTCATATTCAGGCGAAGCGGCAAACCCTCTTGATGGTTTGATTTCGTTTCTGACTGCTCTACGCGATGCCTGGAATTTTTGAGCTGTGAGGTATTTTTGAGAGAATTGGTTGCAGCGTGGGGGCAAAGAAATGCAGGAAAGAAAGGGCCTCGATGTCTTCTATGTGCCCGTTTCTTTCATCGTTGTCCGTCGAGTCATTTTTGCAGTGAGTAACTCGAGCCCCTGTCGCCTATGTTTGACTCAAATTGTCAATTGGATGCGAAGATAGATTATTTACCAGCTGCAGCAGTTGCGTCATGCTTGTGAGTCGTTACACTTGGGCAGTAGAGGGGCGGCGCCTGGCTACCGTTGGTTGCGTTCTTGTTCGTGGGCCGTCAGCAAGAAAAGTCACCGTGCAAAGACGACGACTGGGCAGCATACGGATAGACGCAAACACCTACCAGATACCTTACTCGGGCTGCACAATCGGTGCGATTTGTGAACAGAACCACGTGCCGGGCGTGCGGTTCGATTGCCGCCGGGGTTCCTGCAAAAGTTGCCGCGTCATGGTTCGCATGGGGGAAGACGTTGAGGGGGAACCCGAACCAACCAAAGGAGCAAGCGATAGCGAGGCATCGGTGGAGACTGACGCAATGGGAGAAAATGAGTTGGAAATAGAAGTACTGGCCTGCCAGGAGGAAGCTGTGGAAGGTATGTGGGTCATTACACTCCAAGACTCTACTCCGAGCGCGTCGCCAGAGGGGCACGCGTCACAAGCGAGCCAGGGACAGGCACCAGCAGCCGGGCCAGCTGCGACGTCGCAGCTCCACCCTGAAAAGAAAAAGCAACGAAAAACCCGAAAAGTGAAAAGGTCCATGCCAGAGCTGAAGCAACTGCGCAGGAGGCTAGAAATACTGATCACGGAAGCGGAGCTGGCGCAGGCCATTGGCGACGCCCCGGGGTTGCTTGAAATTCTGCGCAAGGTGAGTGCCCTTTTCCAGGATGTGGATGCAGACGAGGTGCGCGAAGTGACCGCAATGCACGGAAATCGTGCCAACCTTGTCTCGGATTTCCTCATGCAGCTTTCCTTTTCTTCATGCAAGGACATTCAGCACTGGGCGGCTGCGCATCGCGCGGCCTGGTTTGATGTGAAAAAGGGCGATGGATGTTGAATTTTCTCAGAAGTAGGCCGAAAGAAAAACCTAAGTAACCCCCAAAACATCAAGCAACGTCGAGAGAAAAAGATAAAGAGCGTTTTGCGAGCTATAAAGCCCCTCGAGCTGCCTCCGTTCTATTGATGGACGCGAGACGCCAAGAGTACGCCTGAAATTGATTCGCTGCAGGAACGAACGAACAAAATTGAGTGGGTCTTTTCGCCCTGAGCCTGATGCGCACTGAGGTGCGGGCGCGGTCTGCGTGATTGAAAATTTTTTGAATAGACAATAGCCCAAGGATCTTTTCTGTACCCTGGTCCAGAGGGACGTGGATGATGTTCTGGAAAAAATGAGTTCACTTCACAAAATGATCGCTCAGTCGGTGCTAGCTTGGTTGTGCAAAAAGTGTGTGGCCGCGCTGGTACTAGTGGTTGAAATTTTTGGTTGGAATACTGAGCGGTTTGGCTTTGGATCTGCACTGGTGCAACTACACGGATCCTCAAATCGATTCGCACATGGATCAGAATTTTGTCGTGGAGGGAGCGCAAAAAACGATTCCGAATAAATGGAAGGACCGATTACGTCTTTTTCGTGGCTCGGGTGGTGGTGTTTTGCGCAGCAACATGTTCCTGGATATCTTCAAAAACATCGTACATGCAACAGGCAGTTTTTTCTGGCGTGCGCCGGCTGATTCCTTGACATAATTACACCACGACTGTCCCTGTCTTAGCTTTTTCTGTCGCCACACGATCCATTTAGTTGTAATTGCCTGCTCGGTCGCTTACTTTACATCGGTGGGACCACGACGTTGCGACGTCTGTACGAATTGAGACCTGGTATGTACGTTTACACTCACAATTAGACCACCAGTAGCACAAGTATGACCTCACTTCTTTCCTGTTTGGCTTTTCGGGTTCTGCTTGAAGATCGGCGAGTTTCGTAAAATTATTTTTGAGTAAGAAAAAAAAAGCTGTAATTCTGCTGCTGCTGTTGATCGTTTAGAAAGTTTAGAAAATACCAAGACCATGGCAAGTAGCGGCGTGCCGCCGGCCGTGGGTGGTGGCGTTGGGAATGGCCTCGCCCCACCCGCCGGAAATGGACAAGCACCGAGGGCAGGAGCAGCCCCTCTCCCACAACTTCCACCCCGGCCTCCAGTAGCGCCCGCACCAGCCGCCGCTGCACTACCCGCCGCCGCACCAGCGCCGCCGCCGCGACCAGTTGCCGCGGCGCCTGCAGCTGGATCCGCGGCCCCAAGGGCGTTGAAGCCGGGGCAGGGAACCATGCCGACCGAGGCACAAGTGCGGGAGGCAGTGGGGAAGTGCAATCCCGCAACAAAGGCCAAGAACGAGGCGGCATCGATACTGACGCTGGAAATGATTATTCTCGAATTCGCTGCGCATCTGCAGCCGGTTCCGAAAAATGAAGCCGATTGCAAACAATTCTCCGACAAGCTTCGGACCCTTTGTCGTGACGACGAGGCTGCGGGTGTCATACCGTCGAGGGCGGACGGCAAGCAGGGAGGTACTTACTTACTTTTTTTAATAGAATACGGCTGAGCTGTTGCTGTTCAGGTCTTTGACTTCCGTCTCGGGTGGGTGAGGGGTGATGGCCTAGTAGGTGCGCTTTAGCAGAAAGTTTGCGCACATCGTTTTTCGTTTCCATCTTTGCACCAACACGGGCGCCGTCTTCAACCGCTGCAACTATGGGTAGCAGCGAGGCACCTGTTCGCGGCCCACGCCGGTTGCCGCATCTGACCTCTTGCTTGTGGCGTTCCTCGAGGTGGGCCGCTTTCTGGGTTGGCTGTGGAATGCTGTTTTTGGCTCTCCGAGAAGCTTGCGGACTCTCTGAAATACCACGCCAGGTCTCTGCGTGTCCGCTTTTTATCAGTCAACCAGACAAATAAGTGGGAGCTGCCTGAGAGTCGCGCCCTTTATTGTAGCTTTTTGGACACAGAAATCGAAGAAGTTTCATGGAGTTCCGAAAATTTTTTTTGTTATCCATCTCCTGACGTGTGCGATCAGAAAACTGCACGGCTACACGCGATCTGTGAGCTAACACCGAAAGAATTTTTTTCCGCTAGAACCGCACGAGATCCCCGAAAAAGTACAATACCGCTCGCGCGCAAGAAAGCCAGGCCGCGAAATTGATCAAGTCAGCATGATGATGCCCAACAAAGGCGTTGCCGATTTTTCAACTTTTTTTTTTCGCTATTGGCTCTACGTTTTGACATTCCCGACGCGCACAGGCCTAGAAAGAAAAGAAAAATAAAATGTAAAGTAAAAAAAAAATGGGTAAAACCGCTGTTGGCGGAGATAAGGATAAGGGAAAAACTGCTCGGTCTCAGAGTCAGACAGCACCCACAGCCATGGAGATGAGCAGCAATGCGCCGAGTGGCTCCGGTCGTGACCGTGAGGACACGGCTGGCAGCGCTTCAGGAATTGGCAGCGATGCCACGAAGCCAACGCCCGCGCAAGTGCAGGAAGCGATCGACAAGGGGGCGGCACTCACGCGGGAAGAAAACGAGCAGAGGGAGATTATAACGCTCGACGATCTCTGCCGGGAGTACTCCATCCAGAAGGACGAAGAGCATGGGCCGGGACTTCTTTCGACAAAAGGCGGACAGCAGTCCGTTTACGCCGATAGAATTCGCACATTCCACGGCTGGCTCCGGGACGACGAAAAAGTTGGGGTCATTCCCAAAAGGAACACGGACTTAAGTAAGTGGCTCCGTTTCGTCCGTTTTCAGCTTTCTGGCTCCGGCGCCCGCGGCGCGCTCTCCTCGCTATTTCCTCGCCTTATTTTCTTTTCGTCGCGCAGGCAGGCCCCGGCTAGGCTCTTCCGCCCGCCGTCTTCGTTTTCCTAGGCCAAATACCCCTCGCCCCACCCGATTTTCGTCTCATAGTTGCCCAGAGACGAGGCGACATGGAGATGATTTCAAATAGAACAAAAATACTTTTCAACCCAATAAAGCACGACTCTCACTACAGGTAAAAAGTGGCAATGGAAACGCGGCACGGACGTGAACAACGTGCGCCAACTGATCTACCAGAAGTTTATAAGTAAGCGGCCCCGTGGAAAGATACCCAAGGACCTGAAGCATGTGCGTTATGGCGAGCCCCGAGCGACAAAGCGTACCAACCCGGATGGATCGGCAAGAGAGCCAGCTGCGAAAAAGCCGAAACGGGAGGGGGCCAAAAGTAAAAAGCCCATGAAGAAGAAGCCCGCCAGACGGGCTGGAAGCTCCAGCTCCTCCGGCAGTAGCAGCAGCGACGTCTCGGTACTAACTTTCTGTTTTGAGCTTATCCATGAGTTGTATGAGTTTCCTTGGAGGATGCGATGTGGTGTACTTATTTATTAGACCGAGAACTAAGTAGCGCTAGCGCACCACTCATGGATGAGATTTCTGCAGCAAAAATACTAGCCTAAGATGCTTGGTGATAGTTCGATAGAGAAGAAGCTGAAGATAGCTCCAGACGAGCCTCTTGGAAATAAATCAAACTATCAACTTTTCCAGTTATCTTCGTCGGAAAGCAAAGGGAAGAAAGAGAAGAAGAAACTGGAACACGAGAGAAAAGTCGCAGCACAGGCACGGGAAAAGGAGGAGCGCAGGCGAAAAGTAGAAGCAGAGAACCACGCCAGAAGAATGTACTTTTTTTGATTTTTATTCCGAAAAATTGCGAGGCACTGACGCAGCGGCTATTGACATGCACGATGAGACGTTTTCTTTGTCATTGTCTTACCAACCTAAACTCAACGACTCCTCATTTCTTGCAGGCGCGAAAACCGCAAGAGACTGATCGATCAGGCGAATGACAAACTCACGAGGGACAAGCAGAACGCGCATGTGATGCATACGACGAAGGAGAACAAGGAGGCACCATTCTACCACGCAAAAGAGGAGTTTTTTTGGAGACAGAACGTGGAGTACAAGTACAAGGAGTGGATTCTACCCGGTAGAGGCAACAATCGCGCTAGCAATGTCGCCAGTGTGACGCCGGGCGCGGAAACGTCGCATGCCACGCCCGGACAGGCGGCCACGACCGCGAATCTTCTTTCCGGGTCCGCTGCCAGTGCCGAGAACAATACCTCACGTGCGGTCAACGCAGATCTATCCGCGACCCCGGCTAACGACCTACAGGAACAGAAGCGCGGCCCCGGGGACGAAGAAGAACAATACCGCGTCATACCGCCCACTGAAGAAATTACCAAGAAGGCGAAGATCGCCTACAAGTTCATCAGCGACCCCTTCACTTGCAAGGAGGGATCCAGCATATACAGGGTTCCAATTTTGGGGAAGGGCCAGTTTGGCACTGTGTACAAAGCCTGGAGGTGCGAGTACAATGATCAAGAGGAGCTTCTGACAGAGAAGGAGAGATGGTCCCAAGTGGCCCTGAAGGTGTCACGAAAAATGTGGGATAAGGGAACCTGGAAGCTCTCGCAGAAGATCAAGAAGGAGAAGCACTACCTCGAAACCCTGGATGCGGAGAAGAGAGAGCACATGGTGCGGTTTGTCATGTGGATGCGGAGGGCTCTCGATAGGCTGCAAAAGAAATTGAAAGGGTACATAAAACTTGAAACTTGAACAGCAACCCCATTCTTGTTCCTGTCATGTGTGTACTTAATCTCTAAATTGATAATTTCATGAGGTGGACCGACGTCGAAAGATGATACATACTTAGCCATGACGAAAACAACTAAGACCGCTCAGGCCGGGAACAATGATGTCCCCATAAAGTACTGGCGCAGATCTTCATCTTCTCTTTCACGTTTCCTCTTGAGTTTTTCTGTCCGTATCTTGTGCACCATGACTCAACCGTATAACCATAACAACTCAACCTCTACCTCTACTCATTTCAGGGAATTGGATGGGCAGCGATACCACGACATGCAACAGAAAATCTTATCTATGCGGAGTATGGCGCCAGATACTACCTGCTTGCTTTTGATGTACGGCGGGCTAGAATCCTTCACGTTTGACGAGCATTATTTCCAGGTTTTCGAACTGGCACAGGGAAACCTGCTCGCGCTGCAGACAAAATACTCGCAGCTTATAGCCGAGGACGCCCTGAAAGTCTTCAACAAAAATCCCACGCAGACGGAATTTGCGGTATAAACGCATTTGATACAACTACAGGAGACAAAATTAAGTAGTCGAACTGCGGCGCTACTGGTCGTGTTTTTTTTGGGTTTAGCTGAGTCTTGTGCTAGTACTATCAGGTTCTATAATTGCCGTAGTCGTAGAAAAGGTAGGACATCACAAGCGAAGAACTGGGAGGTATTTACAAGGGAACTATCAATGTGACATTTCTGATTGCTTAAAACCCTGTTACGCGACATCACCACAGGTCGACATCGGCTCGGGTGTCACCGAATGGTACCAGCAGAGCCTGAACACAGTGAAACACAGCGGCCACCACAGCCAGTACAAGATATCAAAAGGAAAAATCCCCCCTCCCCATATCGAAATGGAAATCTGTGATGCGGGATTTGTGTACACAAACCAGCTTTGCCTTGCAGTGGAGGACTGCAGACAGATACAAAGCCGGATTAGGGCTGTTTCGGCGTAGGCGCCTAGCAAGGTAGGGACATTCTCTGTAGGCCAGACAGCATTACAAATTGCCTGCAGAACGCGGCGGGGTTTTTTTGTTTGTCTTCCTGCAATACAGTGACGATTTGTGACCTCAAATCAGCATCGCAAATTTTGAGAAGTATCCCGGTCTGGTATGGGGAGGGGGGATTTTTCCTTTTGATACAAGAAGCTGGGACTTCCTGTGCACCTTGCGGGACGCTTGGCTTTTCATGTGCTCCAAGCAATGCGATTTCTGAAGCACATCGGGTACATCCATACGGACTTGAAGCCAGAAAACATCTGCTTGCATTTGGACACCAATGGATTCAAGAGACGCAACCCGGACAACCTTCACCTTTTTCCCCCGACCTGGCACGACGACGCGGTGCATGGCAATCTGACGCCAGAAAAGAAAGCAGCGTTACAAAAACTTCCGCCTGGCGTGCTAAATACATTGAAGGCCAGAGAAACCGACATCCGCAACAACACGCATTTTACCGCTTCTCATGGCCTGAAATTGGGCGACCTGGAGTCGTATCAATTGCAAATATGTCTGAGTCTGGATTTTTTGTCATTGAGGCTTTGAAGGACGACGAGCACGAGATGAGGATCTGTGATGCATGGAAGGATAAGAGTAAGCAGTTTTGTTCTACTTTGGCTGGACATGAGTTTGTCACAGAAAATAAGGTGGGATAGACTTCGCAACAATACCCGAGAAAATTGTTTTAACGGGTCCGTGCAGTATAAACAGCTGCCTTGATCATGTCATGTACATGTTTCACGACTCAGCATGACAAGTGGCATGCTTTTAATATGCAGAAGCAGACTCAGACATTTTTTCATTTGACAAGTTTTACTTCGCGAACTGCACCGCAAAATTAGCAGATTTGGGAGAGATTCAAAAGGCTCCTATCAACGTGCCGTCGCAAAAGGATTCTATTCAGCCTCCGTGGTATAGAGCGCCCGAAGTGTACTTCGGCGATTGGCCGCTAACTCCGGCGATGGACATGTGGTCGATGGCGGTAACCATGCACAGTCTATGCACGGGCGGCGACATGCTGTTCCCCAGCCATACAAAGGACCACGGCCAGCCGCCGCACGGATGTTGCACGTAATAGTGTGATTTTTACGCATTGTGTTGACACTTCTATTCTATCCCTATGTTCTGGATTTACTCGGATAAAGTGCGTGTTTTCCATCGGGCTTCGAGTGTATGAGCATTATGACCAAGTAGAAGATGACCTCCAAAACGGCAACGACAGCGATCTTGCGGCGCGGATCGTTTGGAGAAGATCTGCAGGTCTCGCTGGAGTTGTAGAGCATCATCAAAGATGGACACGGTGTCACAATCACAATGATTATTTTGTTAAAACAAAAAACAAACAGGAAACGCTGGCACATGCAACGCATATTTGAGATAACCGGGCCATGTCCCAGATACCTCGTCGATCGGGCCGTGGAAGCGCACCACAAAGCTTATTTCCAGCATGACGAGCACGGTCAGCGAATTTTCGGCGAGAATGATATGCCAGTGCCGAAGGAGGGCGCTGCCGACAATCCAATGCGACCCAAGGCTTTGAAGGTACTTCCTTATCTGGTGCGACGTAAGGATAAGCTTAAGCACGCTACATGACTCATGTAGCTTGCTTACGATGAGCTCTAACTCTATTTCTACCGTGGACAGAGAATTTGCAGAGTCATATTAAGGGGCTCTAGTGGCAATATTATCAAGAGGAACGACTCGTGGCGATTTCGGCTTGTGCGAAAGCGACTTCTAGATTTATATCATGCAGGATGTTGTAACCAAAATGGGACACGTGAAGATCGTGAGGGTCATTGTCATTCCATGAAATGAACATAACGCAGGCAAACGAGGGCCCCCTAATCCAGGATTTCTTCAGTATGACAACGGACTTCACCAAAAACGAGTTACATCTCGCGAAGTGCTACGACTACCTGAAAAACCCGCGCGACGCGGGACCGGCGATTTGGGACCAAAAGAAAGTTTTCAAGCGGCAGCACAATCTGATGAGCATGTTTCAGTTGACTCGCATGCAATACCGACAGCTGGCAGTTCCGCTATCGCTGGCAAAAATCATGTTTGTGGAACCGGTTCGTGGAAAAACCGAGGTTGATGTACGGAAGTCGGACGAAATGCGGCACTTCATTTTCTCGCAGGGTGCGGTCACCACGAAACTGGAACACGCAGGGCTCCGGCAGTCGTTTAACTTCGACCCGGCTACCCTGATGGGTGTCTCTGAATTCACTACGAACGTGGAGCAAGACTTCGAGGCAGAGATGGACGAAAATAAGTTCTACGAGTCCGAGACGATTCGGAAAACGGAGGAGGACATCAAGAAAGCCAGTCCCAGCCCCGACGATGACGAGGACGAGGGTCCGGCGTTCGAGCCGATGCAGGATGACGGTGCGGCGCAGCCGGAGGAGCAGGCAAACAAGGAGCCGAACAGCCCGGAAGAGGCGCGCTCAGGCAAAGAAGACGACGACAACGACGATTCAAGCGATAGTGATAGTGGTTCCAGTGGCAGCAGCTCTGGTGAAGACGAGGACAGCGACAAAGATGAAGCTGCTGCCAGCCCGGCGGAAGGAGACTCGAATGTTGACGCAGCTGCCGATAAAGTTGCGGCCGGCCCGGATGGCGTGCCGGACCCGGAGCAGGCAGAGAAGGAAGCGGCTGATGCGGAGATGCCAGATGCAAACGGTGGCGTCGATGCGGCCAATGTTGCCGTCCCGGCAAAGGCCGCGGCGAGTTCGAGTAGCGCAAGCGCCAACTCGGGCGACGGCAATGCTGCAAAAGGATCAGCGGCTCAGCCAGACGAGTCCGATCGCACTCCGGCGGGTGCTGATGTCACGCCGGGTGGAGTGGCTGCACCGAAGAGAAGGCAGCCGCCAGCTCTCCCTCCGCAACCTGCTGCCCGGAGACCCACCGGCATGGACCTTAAGAGTGTGCAAGATCAGCTTCGCGCAAAGTTGGAGATTGAGTACTGCGACCTGATTTGGCAAATGATCACCCTCGACAAGGAATTGAGGATAACTCCCGAAAAGGCAATCAAGCATGAGTTTTTCCGCACCCTCCAGCGACTGAAGCCGGAGGCTTTCAAGACGGTCCATGATGCCTGAACATGAGCAGCACCATCTCCATGTCAACCGGCGGTATAAGGGACTGCAGTCCGGCTCCCCTCCGGGCGACGCGTCATTTTCGACCTTTCTGCAGCATATGACTGCAATTTTCGAAATCAAAATCATGGCATTTTTCTAGAACGACTTGGCGTTAGCGCCCGCCATAAATGGAGAAGAACGATTCCCATTTTCGTATCTCTAAACTTTTTGAATATTCTCAGATAAGTAGAAAGATACATCGCGAGTAAAGTAGAATATGTAGCAAACAGCAAGCGACTGCGACACCGATAGCATACGCACCTATCTCTGATCATATCAGCATTATGTCTGAGAATCATCGAGGAGAAGTTATGATAATTGATGATCCTGCCCCTGATTTTTCCTCATCAACGCTTTGATGACTGTTCCGTCGCACAATATGCCCATTCCTTCTGTGTGTTTTTGTTTGGGTTTTGCATAAGTACTTCTGATGAGGTTCTTCAGCAGTGACTAAAGCATCATCCACTTCGTGTGGTGTCATGTTCGTTACACGAATGCAGCAGCAGTTGCAGCATCGTTGGAGGTTTTGCCATTGCTCACGTTTTCGTCCGAGAGAAATAAGTCGGCACGTCAAAGTGAAGATAGAGGTGTGCATGGTTATTTCGTCGTCCACGTTCCATTCTGTTTGTCTTTGCCGGAAACCCGAGTTGTTCCACCTGTCTTCCTGAGAGTGCGGTCGCGAGATGCAGCCTTCGACGAGAGTACTTCTTTGGTGGGACGAGAGGCAGATGATTGTACAACTTCCGGCAAAGAAATTTCTACTAGTATACTTTGCTGCAGCTCTTCTCTAGTTCAGTCGCAAGTTGTGACGTCGTCGCAAAGTAGTGCTTGTCCCTTATGCAGCAACAGAAATAGATGCATATCAGCTGATGGAGCAAAGCATTTTTATCACACTCACTAGTTGTTCACTTTTGATTAAATCATGCGACACAAAATGATGTTGATGCGGAGATAACAAGCTCCTCTGCTTGTCTCTGGTAGTATTATTCCTCACGGTAGCTAGAGCAAGATGGCTTTCCGTGCCGACGCTATCGCAAACCTGCCGCAAACAGAGCAGGAGGATGATCTGAATGTGTACAACCAGAGCCAACGGAATGGCCCGTCGCAGATTGGAACCTCGACCGAGTACAAATGGGACAAGGAGTATTGGGCCGAGAGTCGGGTGCATCCGGGAGACCGCAACGTGTGGTACGCGTTGAACCCACGGTTTTCGGACCTAGCGAAGTACTATGCGCGGCACGCACAGTGGGCGGAACGGCTGGTCCGCCGGCTGCTAGGGGAGGTGGAGAAGGAGGAGCGAAAAACGGCGGAGGTCGTAGACAATATGTACCAGTCCATGGCGGAGCGGATGGCACGTCGCTCGGCCGAGCTCGAGAATCAAATTTTCGTGCGGAACCCGTTCATGGAGGACCCCACCAGCCCGGCCACGTTCGCGAAACGCCTGCAGGAAACGCTAGACCAGCGCGGCGCCATCTTGCGTTCTCGAGCAATGGCCGCGAGTCGCAAGTATGCAAGCTTTTTCATTTATCGTGCGTTCGAGTACTTGTTGGAAGTTGATGAACCCCAGACAGTAATTATTAACGTCTGCGTGTTGACAAGTGATTTCCAAAAGATGTTGGTTTTTTTCATATAGTACTTTTTTTGCAATTTTGACGAGCCGCAACAGCCTTCTTCTACGCCATAAAATAGGGGCGGCGCAGTCGCTGGGCAAACGGGTGCAAAGCTGGGTGCGGATGCGCTGACCCTGCTCGCACGGTGGTTTGAGTTTCACGTAAAGGAGCCCGGGGGCAACCACGACAGCAAGGCGCGGATCCACCCCTTCACATGGCGGACGCCGTTCTTGACCGAGAACGAAATCAGCCAGGCCGACGTGTTGAAGATTCTCGGGGGTCTCTTCGGGGACAAGCTTGTCACGGCGGGCGTCGGCCATGCGATGTTGGGCGGTACTGCAGCCTCGGCGGTCATGGACGTGATGCCGGGAAAGAACAACTCGGAGCTGCCGAAAAACGCGATGTGGTATGCGGAGGACGAGTCCCCCGTGAAGCCGTGCAACCAGATCAAAGATTTCGAGGAGTGCACGGCTGCGTGGAAGGACGACGACAAACGGTGCAAGTTTCTCAACACGGCAAAACCTGTATGAGAATGCACAACTCGACGTTTCCCTTTTTTCCCTCATTTGTTGAACAAGGGCACAAGCAACAACAGAAGGATCAGCGACGAACACGGAGCCCTGGCATAGAAGGCCACATGTTGCTGCGCCGAATTAGGTCGTATTGATTGAGTGTTTCCAGAATTATTTGTGATGCAACCAGTAGGTACCAAAATAAATGCAGCAACTAGATTTGGCATTTTGTATGGCAAGCGAGGCCATCAAGGGGAAGTACTAGTTGTGCACTCCCATAACTCGGGGAGAAGCTCGACGGGGACGCGTACCTACAAAAGATCGACAAAGCCGGCGCCATGTCCGACGAAGCGAAGGCGGATGCGTTGAAAAAGTACAACATGCACGGGCGGTGCCAGAAGGTGATGTGCCGCGACCACCTGAACGCCACGAGCTGCACGTCGGACGAGCATAACGAGTGCGTGTGGCAGGAGGGGGACCTGCGGAGCGTGCGGTCCAAACCGGAGAAGTATCGGGACTGGTTCGTGCAGACGCAGAGCAGCGAGGAAAACCTGAAAGAACTGGCGAAGCCGGAGAACGGGGTGGAGCGCCGGACGATACGGAACTTGCTCGGGGGAATGGAACTACCGCCCGACGCGGAAACGGACGACCCGCAGGCAGTCCGGCCCTGCCAGGAGCTGCGGCGCATGCTGGCGCTGAAACGGGTCTCGGAGAAGAAGCGCATGAAGCGGTGGGAACACTTACTCAACGCGGGCGTTTTAACCAAGGACGAGGTCACGTTGCAGCGGCGCGAGGGCGAGAAGGTGCTGATCGCGGGAGAAAACATCGTGAAGGAGTACTGCCCGAACGAACACTGCGAGGCCCGGCACGCCACGGTGCGGGCGTTGGACGACGAGCGGCAGTACAAGGAGTGGATGGAGCTGCGGAACGTGAAATTGCTCGGGGACGCGGAGAAGGCCAAGGAGGAGACGAAGACCAAAGTGATTGAAGGCGGGCACGACGACCCGGAGGGCACCTACCTGGACGAGGAGTCGGGCCTGGATCTGCGGAAACACTTCAAAAGCGGGCTGGAATTCCACGATTTGGGGTACGAACCCGGAAAAGTGAACGTGATGGACGGGTATTCGAAGATGCTCGGAGTTCTGGACGGCAACTACGCCATGGACGACTTCAACGCAAAATTCGCGGAGGAAAAAAAGAAACTGGCCGGGCTGCAGGCCACGGACGAGGAGAAGGCGATGGAAGAGAAAAAGATGTTCGAGAAACTGCTGCACAAAGACCCCAGGTTTCGCCAGGACGGGGTCTTCAGCACGCGCCTGTTTCAGGAGGGCGCGGAGCCCGAGAAGTCGGACTTCGAAGAGCAGGAGGCCATGAGTACCAACCAAAACAGCGATACGGTCGCGATGGGGGCAGAGGCGGAACAAGCAAAAGCAGACCGGGAGCAGGCGGAGAAAGAAGCCGCGAATAAACCGCAGACGGAAAAATCGGAAACTGGCGAACAAACGCTGACCACGAAAGAGACTGGCAGCACAAGCAGCAGTACAACAAGTCAACTCGAGGTGAACCGGGAGAAGGAGGCTGGTACGAGGAAAAGCGGTTCCAAGCTGTTGAGAGGAATTGACAACGAAAGTAAAACAAAAAACTCGCCATCAAGAAGTTCCAAGACTGCTTACGACAAGTCGCACTCTCAGGAAAGGCATTCGTCCAAGCGAAACAAGATTGAGGACTGGCACGATCATGTGAACGAGGGCCAAAAAAGGGCGCGCGCCGGGCTTGCAACTGTCACACGTGGGAACCACCATGCGCCTGCTGCAGTGAACAGTTTCCGGAACTTTTCCCCTCCCCACGGACACGGACATCGCACAATAGCTGCGGCACGAAAGACGCAACATGCGGCCAAGAAAATGATCAGAGGCCTACCAATGGACGCAAGATACTTTCCACCGAAGGAACGATTACAAAGGAGTAAGCAGCCATCCAGGATTATTACGGAAATTGAGGGGGATGCGCTTTTCGCAAATCCAAATACCATTACTCCCAGTGCCAATAGAAAGTGGAGAAACAACCCGACGCATGTGACGGAGTTTTTGTCCGTCTCAGCCGATGATTCCGTTTCGGGAACGAGCGATCAAACACACCAGCAGCATCACGCCCGGCATCGCATTTCCAAGAAAGCATCCTCCACGACGTCAAGGCATAACCCCACCGCGTTTGTCCTGTACCGAGACCGGGATCCCTCGTACCTGGAAGAAGGCAGCGACAAGGAAGGTTTCATCAGTCGTGTGCGGGAGGGGGAGATGCACGATGAGGACAAGACCGGAGCCTTTGAGTGCGCCGGTCCGAAAAAGCTGGAGCAACTGCACGAGGTGTACGACGCCGCGCTGCAGAACATCAAGAAGCACGCGTTTTCCCACCTCCCCGTCCGGTTTTGGGTGGACACGATGAAGAAGCTGAACGGGATCCCGAAGAGCTCCAAAGTCCGCACGACCGAGATGACCGACCAGCAGCACTTCACGCTCGTGCGCGAGTCCCTTTCGTTGTACGACCGGGTGGTCGGGTTCGTGGGGAAGCTGCAGCGCAAAATCGGCATGGAACTGGTGGAACACGAAATCAACCCCGGGCTGTACAGCGAAATGCTCCACGACTCGAACACGCTGCGGGACGTCGCGAAGGAGCTGTTCGTCGAGCGGTACAAGTGCAAAGACGCACAAAAAATGAACCGGTTTGCGCGCTTCAGCGACGAAAGCAGGACCAGCATGTTTCTCGACATTGGCAGGAGTGGCGGGAGTTCAGTTTCTGCCTTTGGTCGTGATGAAGCCAAAAATGTTGCCACGCGTCACCTTGTCGGAAGGAAGCGACATCGAACGAGTTTCGGAAATACCGCCGTCCACGTCCACTACAGATCCGAGCCAGCGAGCGCACAGGATCCGGGCCGCAAGGTTCTGAAACCTTATGTCACGACGACTACCCAGTTCACCGGCACTCAGCAAAGCGATGCAGCATCTGGCTCTCTTAGTTTGAACAGACCAGAGGTGAAGCTGAAAATTATGGTCGAGGACGCGCCGCCGCTGCGAGCACGGGGATTCGGGTGGCATTTTTCTGCAAAAATGGCTGCCGCGATGGACCTCCACCAGAATCCTCGAAGCCAACCTCTACTAGGAGCCTCTGGCGTGGACGGGCTGCTAGACTTGTCCCGAGTCGAAAGGGAGACGCACTTGTTTCCGCACGGCGTCACATCCTTCGTCGCAGACAGCGACTACGATCCGTTCACGAAAACAGGCGGAGTAGACACGGGAGCTACAACTTGTGGCCCTGAGGTAGAGGCTGGCGCGCCGTGCAGTTTCCGCGTCCCATTCGGGGGCTAGCGCGAAGACAGCCCGATCTACGAAGAAAGAGTTGTATAAGTATGCGAACTCCGCCTGTAAAGGTGAAGCCATTTCTGGTTACCACTTTATCCTGCAATCCCATGCTGAACTCTTTTTGTGTTGCATAGTACGTACTAATAAATGCTGCACAGCAGCACGACTTTCAATGTACAATTCAAAATTCCATCTGTTTCGACGGTTTTTTGGAGGAACGGAAAACAAACGTACAATGAATTTCACCTTGCTTATTTTGCATTATCTAAGCATGCAGCCACTTCTTTTCGATCAAGTGAGTCAGGTGCGTTCGCCGCCTGACTGGACCTGCGACAGGAAAGTTCGTCGTCTGCTACAGCAAATAGAAAACTGTTCTCAAACGGATCGCTGCAGGTACGGCGGGCGCTCACTCAATTTATACTTCGAGAGACCAAACTGCAACAAGGGGAGACGAAGAGTGAGCTTCTCGGCGTGGGAGGGTGTATTGCTCACTGTCGATTACTTATTCGTTTTTGCACAGCACTCTCACAGTTCCTGGCTCACCGGATAGCATACCTCCACCATCATAGAAGCTTTCTTGGCATTGCCTTTCTGTTTGTAAATTCTTTTTTAGCTTGCTTACGATTTTTTTAACATCATCTCTGGAAATTCATAGAGCGTATGTTCGTGAGCCGGCACCATGTCAGTTACAAGCACGTGGTCGATGAAGAAGTGAATTTTGTCAGCCTGCTGCCGCGACCGACATTACTTGATCGGATCCGTCGACATTCTCTATGGCAGAGGTTGAAGAAGGCCCCCCTGCTGTCGACTACACGCAACGGCCGAGCGAGCCCGTGCGCATCCAGTCGTTTCTTCAACTTGCTTCGTTCCATGTCGGGAAAGACCCGGGCGACGAGTCGGAGCTCGTGGGCGGGCGCGTCCGTCTCTGGCTGTACTGGATCGACCCCCGTATGGCGAATTGGCCGGAGGGCACGCCCCTGCCCACGACACTTTGGCGCCCGGAGTGCGGCATCATGTGGCGCCTGAAGCGGATCCTCGATGACGACGAAAAGAAGAAAACGACCGCCTCCACCACGGTGGTCCTTACGGAGAAGGAGCACACCGCCGCGGCAGGTTTCCAGCACATGCCACAACCGCAGATCTGGAACGGCCAGGACGCCAGGAAGCGGGGTCTGGTGTTCATAAAGGTCTTGCTGGAAGTCACGGACGTGGACATGCTGGAGGATGAGTACCGTTTGAAAGTTTTCCCCTTCGACGTGCTGAGGATAGACTGCGCGATCTGGATGAGCGGGCAGCAGCGTATGGAAAGCACGGACAAAGTGGACGTGGAATTTTTTCCGATGCAACTCGGCGGGCCGAATGGTATCAAAGAGGATGGAATAAAGAAGGACCACTTGGAAAACGACCATGAAGATGTGAAAAACCAGTTTTACCCGCTTCTGATCAGCACGGGAAAGCCGTCAGAAACTAGTATCGACAATGCTGCCGGCGCGGCCGAATCGGTTGCTCTGGAGCTCGATCCACAAAAGGGAAACCGCATAGCGGTCGGCTGTCGAACGAAGGCGGGGGAGCTGGAGCTGAGCGGCATCACCTTTGCTGGCAACACGCACACCTCCATGATGACGGGAGTGCAATACTCCGATGTGATCTTCTCGTTCCACTTGAAACGCCGCCCGCAGCTCTATCTGTGGAAGGGCGTTGTCCCGTTGTCCCTCTGCTTTCTGTACGGCCTTCTCACTACGTTTTTGCACCCACAGGAGCTTGGCGGGAGGTTGCAGACGCACACGGCGTTGTTCCTCACCGTCTTCGCGATTCAATGGGTGCTCGCGGAGCGGGTGCCCAAAATCTGCTACCTGACTTTGCTTGACCATTTAGTGTTCGCCGTAGTTGCGGCCCTGACGATACTAGTTTTCGGTAGCTGCGCAGCGTACGCTTTTGGCCTCGGCGCGGCAGGGATTATCGGGACAGATGACAATAGCGAGTCATTCGACCTGAAAGGGGCAAGGATGGTGGATTTCGTGACGTTGTTGGTTGTTCTGATGACCTTTGCCGCACATTTCACGTACGTGGCTAGGACACGATCGCTGCGAAGCGTGATCTGGGGCGGTGGGCGCAGCGGACCGTTGAGTGGTATCAAAGTGGGACCGAGCAGTGGCGCCGCACAGGCATCGGCCACGCCTGAAAGCGATATAACGGTGTTCGGCACGCGATCATGGAAGAAAGGGACGCATATTATCAATGGTGTGTGCGTGCCAAAACCTGGTAATACCTTCGTCTTAGACGCTGAAAACTTTGGAACGTCGAAACAGAAGCGGCTAGGCGTTTCCGGGCGCGGCTTACGGGTTGGAGAGGCCTTTTGAGGAAGCGACGTGCAGGGGTGTTGCCTTACTTTGCAAGTTGTGTGAACAAATGTGCTGGGTCCTTGCATAATTGCGCTCTACTTTGCGGGTACGTAGCCCTAAGTACATTCGCACCGACATTTTGATCGCCTTCATTTCGACCAGCGATTGGTCACAACTACTGTCGCTGTGAAGTGTTAGTCTGTCGTGTCTCGTCAGTTTCCTTTGTTTCTTTCGCTCGGAGAGCGAGGCCAAACTGGAACTGCAAAAGGGAAAGAGACTTTTCAAAAGTGCTTAGCGACGTGAGGCCGCGAGTGTCATCGATTTTTCGGATCCCCCTTCGTTTCGGATCGGATTCCCTTTTTGCTTCATCAATCTGACAGAATCAAACTCAAAACTACGCTCGAAGTGGTGGAAATATAAAGTGGATGAATCGGTAGGATTCATGGACTCTCAACAAATGTGAAGAGATCTTTGTCATGTTGTGGATTTGATCTTCTTCGCGTTTTGCCACAGCGACTGTACCAGCCTGGTCCATTACAAGGAAAAAGTTTCTTTCTGTTGTTCGTCGTTTCTGCTCTGGTGGAGGATCCTGAAAAGCCACAACTTGAGTCCTTTCAACCTGTCGTCCCCGCCACGATGGTGTTAACGTCTGACCTGTTGAACACCAATCAGCAGGCCGAGCTGCGGCTTCACCTGGATGAGCCGAGTTTTTTTCTGCCGACGATGCACCGCGTGCAGATTCCGAACAGTGGCGTGCCTCTTCCTTTACCGGCGAAAGCCGCCGTCTTTGCCAAGCTGGCGGAGCGAACGCGGGACGACATGGCGGTGTTGGTAAAGCAAATGGACCGCGACCTAGACCACATGCGCGCGAACGCCGTGGAAGCCAACGTGCTGTACGCTACAGCGAAAGCAGCGGCGAAAGCCGGGGAGCAGGCGCACCTGGCCAGCTTGCCGCTGAAGGAATTCAACGAGCTAAAACAGCTCGTGGACCAATTGGAATTAAAAGGCGCAGGGGAGCCGGAGGAAGGTGCGGTGGCGGCTGAAATAAGTCCAACGAATGCAGAAGGAGATCAGCAGCAAGGAACTAGTACACATCCGTCTTCCACAAACGCTTCTTTCCTTTCCAACTCCTTGCTGGAGCACAACAAGGAGGTGAGAGACCTGGAGCGAGCGAGAGAGGCGGCGCGCACGCTGCTGGAGAAGGGAAAAGTGGACGCAGGATTTGAGGAAAAGGTCCTGAAGCCGCTGGAGGAGGAGCTGCAGGAGCTGAAAAACCTGTACGAGGACCTGGACCAGCAACGCGTGCTCGACGCGTTGCCGCCCAGCCTCGGACAAGCGCACGCCACCGCAATTTTCGAAAGCGGGGGCGATCGCCAAGTTCTCAAGGAGAAGCTCGCGGAGCTGAGCGACTCCCTCTGGCCCTTCGACCTGGTGCCCAAAGAGTCCATGGTGCCTTTGAAGGCGGTTTCGAGGGACGCGTTTGGGAATTTCGATACCGTCAGGCTGCCAGGCCTGCCACTGCAGAAAACGGTCGCGGTGGATTCGAATCAGCCGGCCGCGTTTTCCGCGCGAAGACCGACGTACGGTGTGGAGAGGGTGGAAGACTTCGAAAACTTGTTGCAAAAAGACAAAGCGAGAAAAGAACCCTCTCCGGAGCAGCAGAAGGAGCAGGCGGAGCAGTGGAATCCGTTTGTCATGGCGAATAAGGAACGGGAGAAAGAGGACAAGTATCTGCAGGAGAAAAGCGATTCGATGCGCGAGCATTTGAATATGAGCCCGGAGGAACTGGCGAAAGCCGATCCTCTCATGCGGAACGCACTGCAGGTCGCCTCACCGGCAGACAGTTTCAGAAACGAGTTCGACACTGCAAAACACTTGCTCGTAGAAAAGTTTCTGTAAGATAGGAGTGTAGTTTCGATATCTGTTGGTGCTGCTAGCTGTGCCACCAGCTGTTTCCGTAGCTGCGAAAGGCGTTTCTGACTCGATCACGGAGGTGTTCTGTGAATACGAAAGTACGAAATGGAAATAAGTACCTAAGTAGTTACAGTTCCCTTTTATCTTCTGATACGATTCAATGATACGCTCCGCTTCGCAAAGAGCGAATTTTTTGTTCTGCTGGGAGACTTCTACGGCTAGTCCTCCTCCCGGAGGGGCAGGAGTTTCTGAAGCCATGACAGCGCTCTTGTCCGTGATCGTGTTTTCGTTGCTTTCTGCAGCGCGCGCTGCCGTGACGATCCAGTTAGGCGACAGCCCGCTGCCAGAATGGCTGTTCCACTGCGATCCGCGGAATTACGTGCGGTCGATCCTGACGCCGGACTTCCACCACCGCGATATGATTTTCCAGCCGGACCGAGACTGCCTGCACAAGGAAGCCCGAGCGGTCTTCCACCTCTGCGCAGAGCGAATGAATTCGGTAAAACAGGAGAACATCGCGCATCTGTATTCTGCTTTCGCAGCCCAAAGGCAATCAATGTTGTTCTTGATCGAGGGGCTTTGAGTATTTCTTTTTCTACTTTTTTACAATCCCCGACTTTCAGGTCCGCGCTCTGGCAGTGCAGCAGGCGGAGAAAAGTGAATGCCGGACACCGCGGGCGCTAGAGGCTTTGGACGACGAAGAGGCAGAGTTCATAGGAGAAGGCCCGGGCAGGAGCAGAGCAGCACCAGCAGCTGGAAAGAACGAAGAGCCGACGTCGGACTCGACTACGACAACGCGGGCTTCTTCCTGTCAAATGCGCACGTTTTTCACTTCCACGGCCACGACCGGGGGGAGTAGCTACGCCTTCGGCCTGCAGGCGGAGGACCAGATTAATCCTACAAGAAGCAGTGGAAAAAATAACCAACTTTCCACTTCGAGGACCGAGCTTGCGATTAACACGGAATTTTTCCGGCGTCAGCAGGCGCTAGCGACGAGAAGGGCATCGCCTGGAGGTGCAGCGGCACCGCGCGGTCGGAATTCGTTCTACGACAGTAGCTCTGGAAAAAAGAATGAGACGAGTTGTTTTTTTTCCGTGTACGATTTCCACCGCGATTTTCTTTTGCACGGGGGCACGTCGCACTTCGTTGAAAAGAATCTCTTTCGCCTGTCTGTCGAGCCTGACATCGAGAAACACCTCCCCTACATGCCGACGTTGTGGCGAGACACGTTTTCCGAGGTCAGCGGGAAGCTGATGCTTCTGCACGACATCCGCTGGGACGTGATGCACTTTTTCACGAGAACCAAACTGGACAAGTGGACCAACGAAGAGGTGCACTTGCCCTTCCGTCGCGGGGACAGGGAGGTGTTGGTCCAAAACCTATTCCGCCTGCCGCCAGACTGGTCCCTGCACCCGCGCACGCGGCGGTGGCACGTGGTGTGCGCGTTGTGCCGGAAGGTGGCGACCGAGAACCCGGACCTGGAGGTCTTGCGGATTGCGGAAATCGGGGTCTTCGCGGGCGAGACGACGCTGCACATGCTGGAAAACTGCACGAATGCCGATGGTATGATCGAACCCTTTCCGGAGGGACGCGTGAGCCCGCCGGAAGATAGCAGCGGGGGCCTGAATCAGGAGTACGACTTGCCGTTGGGGAGTCAGTACGAACTAGAGAAAACCACTGGTAGTTTTTCATCGTCGAGAAGTAGTACAAAAGGACGACAAAAAGGAGCAGCAGCAGCGTCCGAGGGAGCAGGAGAAAACGGCGTCGACGAAGAAGAGGACAAATCGGCCCCACTTCGTGACTTTTTCGCGAAGCAGAGAAAAGATTTGGAGCGGGACAACAGTATGTTGGGGCGAACAGTACGGTCAAATTCAAAAGCAGCGACGCGCAAGTTACGCACGAAACCTGTGAAGATCCAGTACAATCTGATAGACCCCTGGGAGCTGCCCGCCGCGGGCTTCCAGATCATGGTGGACTGGTACAAGGAGCACGAGTCGTGGAAAATAAATGATGGCAACGACGGGAACGACGTGTACAAAAACCTGCTGAGGAGGATAAAAGAGGTGGAAAGGCAAAAGAACAATCAACCCTTCCCGATCACCGAGATGCGGCTGGACGAGGTCGTGCCAAGCCACCAGCCGGGGATTTTCACGCACAAGCGAACCTCCGACCTAGCCGCGCGGTCCGTGACCGAAATCGACTTTTTGTTCGTGGACGGCGACCACTCGTACCAAGGCTGCCATGACGACATGCGGTTTTTCTACCCGAAGACGAAAATCCTGGCGGCAGGGCATGATTTCCGGTACTGGGACTTCCACGGCATCGTCCTCGCCGTGTTGAACATGCGCAGGCCCGGAACGCCAGCACATGCGGACTACGGGCACCGGTGCGAGGGACCTGTCTACCTAGACTCCGAAAACATCCACTGGAGCTACATAAAACAGGAATGATGTAGTTCGCAATTGTAATGCAGCAGAAGCTGCTGCGGCTGCGCACTTGGAATTGGATCCGTTTGAAATAAAGAAGAACGAGAAATACATCCTGTGCAGTCGCATGGAACGGAATACAAGGGAGATGACTGTGCTTGCGGCCAGTCCCTTGTTCACGTTCGCCTGTTGTTGTTTCTGGTTGTGCCTAGGATCCGCGTTGTTCGCAGAATCGCTGATCACTGGCTAAAATCTCGGAGTTGATGAAACTCGATGGCAGCAGATCTTTTTCTCTACTTTTGGTGGACATCAAGACTGCATCAGGTTCTTGATATCATGAAAGACACATTTGCATGCGTTTTCACTTCTAATCTTTACTTTGTGCGAAAATCAAAGTCGCGAGCTAATGTTTAAGTGAGTACGTTATTGGCATTCTTTTCATGCCGCTAGTAGTGCAAGTGCTAAGTTTTGTTTCAAAATGTCGGGCGCATCACCGGAAATAGTGGTCACGCGTGCAATGAAGGCTTTGCAGACTGGGGTGCAGCGGCTCCAGGCGCCAGTGGCGAAGGGATTTCAGCGGGGTTCGAAGATGCTCGGTTTTCCGACGGCAAACATGGAAATTATGTGGGACCTCGAGGGCCAACCGGGCCAGCTTACGCCCGCGCAAAAAACGCTGCTCGACTTCATGAACACACACCCGTGCGGAATATACTACGGGTGGTGCCAAGTGCCTGACGTAGACGAGACAGTACACAAGGCCGCAGTTTCGATTGGTTGGAATCCGACGTTTAAGGACGTGAAACAGAAGGTAATCGAGCCTTGGATTTTGCACGAGTTTGACCGCGACTTTTACGGGGCGGAATTGCGCCTGTTGCTGTGCGGGTATGTGCGGGAGGAAATCGATTTTCAAGGCAACTTTGAACTTTTGGTTAAAGCAATCAAAGAAGACGGCGAGTTCTGTGCACAGGCATTGGATTCGTGTCTGGAAGCGAAAAACGACGCTTTTTTTCTTAACAGTGGAAATAGCTGACACTGCAACCGCAGGCTTTTTACTGTATGGGCAACATATCAACAGGAGCATGGGAATTCAGTTCTTCTTGTTTATCTCTCTTGGTTCGCCATTTCGATGGATTTTTCCTCATGTTCAAATCGAATACCGTTCTACCTCGGCGGCGTTGGTTCGCGTCGTCGGTCGACTTTTTGCGAATGATCGCTTAGTAGACACCAGTGCAGACTTCCTTCTCCTTTGGCGTCCGGAATGAATGCTTCGCCATTCGTCCAAAAGTGTTGAAATGAGGATCGCTTTCTGTTTTGGAAGGCTAAGCCAACGGATCAGAGGTTCCCGCTTCAGTTTATCGCTACGGACATAGAAGATCCATGTTCACATTAGAGACAGAAAAATCGAAAGAAATCTACTAACTTTTTGTTTGGTGAAGGTTCTGGTACGTCCACTACTCAGAGGTCCTTTGTCTTGACGTTTGGGATTTGTGATGTAGCTCTGTTTCTGATTCAGATCCACTTGTGCTGTCATTTTTGACGTCGTTGAGCAAGGCTAGGCAGCTGCAGCAACGGAACCGGCACGATGTTGAGCTCGGGAGGGAAAAGAGAGGGACAGGCGGAGGACTGTAGCGAAGCGGCGTCCCCGGACCACAAATTGCGGAAGACCTGCTCAGACGCGGGAGAAGGGGTGAGTAGTTCTTGTCACCTTTTGTCTGTGTGTTTTTTGTGAGCGGATTCATTGGAAGTGGTAGTTGGCATAGGAACAAAACATAATGTAACACAGGGCCGATCGTCTTCATTCTGCGGCGCTGACAACAAGATTCCTGTGGATCCTTCTAAGTTTGGCATAGCGTCTGCTTCCGCGTCGTCCTCTTCTTGCTTCTCCGACCAAAACAAAATTTTGTTGAATGGGACAAATGGTAATGGCAGTTGCAGTGCCGGCGCTGCCTCTCGGGATTCGCCACCGGCAGTTCCCAATCCCATTGAAGGGTCTAGGGACTTCGAGGAGAAGAGAGCAAGAGTTGTACTTTCTTGTTGCCGACGATCGATGTTCACTTCCGTGTATTGCCCTACATACTAGAATGACAAGTAGATGCATCGCAGGAAGCACAAGCGGGACATTGCAAAATGGAAAATGTATTCTTCTAAATAACATTGTGTACTATCAATCTCGAACAGGATTCAGCGGGTCCGTCTGAGTTTTCGGAATCGGAATTTTTTCTCGACCCGTATGCGTTTTCTCATGCGCCGCGGGGATTTTTCCCTGCTCCGGGTGGCTTAGGGCAGCAACAGCAAGAACAGCATGAACTCAACGACCTCAACGAGCAGCAAGCGCCGTGTCCCAACAAAACGTACGAGAAGGGGGCATTGTCGATGTTCTACGACCGGGCTGCGCTGGAGGTCGACGGAGCGCTGAACACGTGGAAAAAAGGCAGCGTGCGGCTGATCCGGATCTCGCACGCGTTGCCTGGCATCGAAGAGATTTTTCCGTACCTGAAAAAGGATGAACGGTTTTTCGCAGAAAACGGCCAGCCCCGCCGCAAGGTCGACGGAACCGCCTTGGCCGAAGCTATGTGGGAGCACGCGGGAGACACTACGAAGGAGGGCATGCGGAAAGACGAGTTTTGGTCGGGAAAAAGCAAAGAGAAAAACGTCAGAGAGTGCTGTAGTAAAATTCCGCGGGGCAGTGTGAACTGGCGGGACTCGGCCGAGTTCAAAAAGCTCGCGGAGTACCAGCGCAGCTTCTGGCGCGAGTTCTCGCAACCCGTGGGCAGTTACGTGCTGGTCAAAGTGCCCAAGGACGTCGGGGAAAGCCCCGCGTGGCTGTGCCGCGTAGCCGTGGCCGAGCCGGTCTACAAGTTTTTGCCGCACTTTAAAGCTAACAAAGATCGGAATAAGAACGTAAGCAAAAAAGTGTATTCTCGGGCGTTTCGGGTGGTCAAGGTGGTCGCAGAAGTCGATGTGGCGTTTTCCCGGGACCTTGTGACCCACCTACAGACCAACTGGAACCTGGACGACGCTAGGCTGGCCAAGCTGCTCGACCACTGTGGAATTACCGGGGGAAAAATGGAAGGAGGAAGCGCAATTGGCGATGGCGATTTAACGAGTTCTTCGTCGTCTTTGGAAGAAGTGCAGGCTGAGGAATCGCCCGAGGATTATGAGAAGGATGTTGAAACGGGCACAAGCGACAATGAGCAGGAAAAACGCGGCCCTCACAGCATCCTTGATGATGTAGACGAGGATCTTTTTCTGTAAATGCGGATGTCACTTATAGATACGTAGCGGTTTGGTTTGTGATTGAGATTTCAAGAAAATGAATCTAAAACGTAGAGTGATAAAAAAATACCTGTACTACACTGCTACGATGTAGACCGAGGCGATCCATTCTTCTTTGTTTTTCCGAAACCAATGTCAGAGCCAACGCCATGGAAAAGTTTGGCGACATCAAAACAGGTCTACGATCTGCCATCCTTTTCCTTGTTCGCAAAAATGCCTGCAAATCCACATACTTTATCTCCTTAGGCTCGGCGCGCCGGGTCGAAGACGAACTGAGGGAGAAAACCCCATGGGGCAGGCAGGCGCAGGAAGATCTCGATTTTTTCGGGATCCCGTTCCAAGTACTAAAGGACACCAAGCCTACGGGCATAGCAATTCGAGCAACACTAGAGAAGAGCAAAACTGTCCAGCCCGTGCGGAAAAAGCGCGGGGCGCCAGCAGGCAGACCCAAGACAGCGAAGCGGACCGCGATGGAGGAAGAAAGACGACAGCGACTAGACAAGCAGCGGGAAGAAAACGCGGAGCGGGAAAAGACGATACTAGTGCAAATAAACGGCAAGGCGTGGCACAGGAGGCCGCGGTCCACATACAATTACTCAGTGGAAACAGATGGCGGCGAAGCAATAACCTTCCGCATAAGCAATTTTTACTTTTGTGAGAACAGCGGCATGGAAGAGGCGACGGTCTACGGCAGGGTTTTCCGGCAAGACCAACAGGACAAAACCTGGACCGCTGTCGACCCCATTGCCTGAGGAAGAGGAGGAAGAAGAATGAGGAAACGAGAGGAGCAATCCTCTGGCACCTAGATAACAGAACGCTGCACATCTGAAAGAGTTTCTTGAAAAATTTCGAAGAACAAAAACGTAGTCAGATTTAAAGCAGAAGTTCAGTCAGTTCAGTCAATGACGATGGCAAAGGGGACATCGTGGGATCCAGGTGATGCAAAGACTAATGGCAAACTGAAACTCCAACGCCAACCCAATCGAAAAGTGCGTAATGCTCAGAAAGCACAAGTCTGAAACGCGGTCGGGCTCCCACATCTTTCTCTCTTTTCAAAGTCAACGACTCATGTTTTTTGATTCTACACAGTGCCAGATAAAAGTAACATATTCACAAATACATAGAAGTCGTCAACAACACCATGTTCTCGTCAATTAAGACCCTAAGAATTTTCCTCCCCCACCCCTCGCTTTTTCGGTGACCACTGTAGCCCCAAAAAACTTGTTATCCACATAGTTGGCACATCAATCTCAATTAGCACTAGCACCACCACCATGGCAACCGGGCGTCAGCAGCAGGCCGGTATCGGTCTGGGGATTGTCGGGGACGGCAAGGGCTGGTCCGGCGCGGCGACGCGATCGGATGGTCTCGCGAACCGGTCGGACAAGATCAACAGACTCCGGCCGCAAGTCTACCTGGACATCACCGTGAACGGGGACAAACTCGGGCGGGTCACCTTCGAACTCTTCGCCGACGTGACGCCAAGAACTGCAGAAAACTTCCGGCAGCTGTGTCTCGGGGTCACCGGGCGCGTGACCAAGAAGAAATCCCGGCCCTTGGGCTACAAGGGCACGAAGTTTCACCGCATGATTCCGGATTTCTGCCTGCAGGGAGGGGATTTAGACCACCTCTCCGGGCGCGGCGGGGAATCCATCTACGGCGAGAAGTTCGACGACGAGAACTTCCAGATGAAGCACGACAAGTCCTTCCTGCTCTCCATGGCAAACAGCGGGCGGAACACGAACGGGTCGCAGTTCTTCATCACCAGTAAAGCGTTACCCTCGTTGGACGGCAAGCACGTGGTGTTCGGCGAGGCGATCGCGGGGATGGACCTGCTGCTCAAAATGGAGGGGTACGGGTCGCGGAGCGGCGCGCCATCCCGAGAGGTGGTCATCGCGGACTGCGGCGAAGTGTCGGGCACGGCGGCCTGGCAGTTCCGGGAGCGAAATCGGGCGGTCACGAAGGACGAGAAGCTGGTGGATGCGCAGGGAAATCCTTTGCCGCCAAATTGGATCAAGTTGGAGTCGCGCTCGAAGCCCGGATTGTTTTACTACCAGCACGTAAGGAACGGAAACACGCAGTTCGAGATCCCTCTAGCAAGTACGAGCACCGGTAGGGTGGAAAGCTTGAAGCGCGCAATCGCAGACCGGGACGGCGGGGCGGAAAATGACAAGCAGCTGGCCGGCACGGATCTGAAAAAGCCGAAAACGGGAGATTCAAACCGCGCCTGTCGGAAAGACGAGATCAGGATTCTGGTTTTCGAAAAGAGACACAGGAACTTTTTCGGCAAGCCCTCGAAATCCTGGCGGGACAAAAACATCACGTTGTCACAGGAGGAGGCGAAGCAGAAGCTGGAGTTTTTGCGGGAGAAAATGAAGAACGCCCGAATCGGGGGCGGCGACACAGCGCTCCGGACAAAGTGGCTCAATTTCTCCTCGCTGGAAAACGACTGCGACAAAGCCAACTGGACCATTGGGCCGGTCAAGCGGGGAGGGTTGATAAGTCTGGGTTACGACAAAAAGATCGAGGAACTCGCCTTCTCGCTGAAGAAGGGCGATCTCAGCGAGTGCACCGACATGTTTAACGCACAGATTATGATGTTTAGGATCGAATAGGTTGCAGCTTCTGCGCTCATTTTAACGTCCATCGCGTATAACGGCGAGGCAGGCTGTGTCCTGCGTTCTTTCTCAACGACAACAAAAAGAAAAACAGCAAACAGATAAGACAGAAGCAGGCGCGGCGCTGACTCGTGTTCGTGGATTTGGTTTAGTTGTTGCACTCCGGGTAAAGTCTTAGGTGAGAGAGAAGAATTCCTTTCCTGATTTATGAGACAGTTACCGGAACGAAGCCGATTCTCGTATGGCAATGGCGATCGCGGAAGTCGCCGAAGAGAGATTGATCAGCATCTTTGCGGACGCTCTTGCGCCGAAATCAAAGACTTGCTTCCGTCTGGTCCGTTGTTTCAGTTTAACTCAGTTTACTTTGCTCTTTGTGCTTGGTTTTTGTGTAGCAGAGTTTCGTGTAATTCGAGCGCATACTACAATATCAACTTCGCAAGCATTTTTTGTTCTCGACAGGATGCTGTTTATTCCGCGCGGTCGGGGCTGGCAGCAGCCCGAGCAGAACGACCAAGTGGACCCGCAGCGGCGGCGCTACAGCGGTGTGATCTCCTTCTTGTTGATGATGATGTTCCTGTCGCTGCTCTTCAACCGCGACAAGCGCGGCCCCGACGGGAGGAACGGCAGCAGTAACGACCGGGAGGGGTGGGCCCGGAATCCGCCACCGGAGGAGATGAAGAACCTGGTTTACCCCTGGGACGCAGCGGGTTTGCCGGCCGAGGCACGGCTGCTGTACGTCGGGCCCGCGAGCACGACGGAGCCATTGATCGCGGAACACGATCGAGTTCTTGCGCCGCAGAATGCACGAAGACTCGTATGTAGTCCCGCAGTGGCGAAAAAGGACGCTTCGTCAAAGTCTGCCGGTGCGAACTCAGGAAAGGATAACAAGGAGGAACGAGAAAGTAATACTCGGCCAAGCGAGCCTGGGTGCGGCGAAAGCAGTAAGACCTGCCGACAACGTATGCTACAGGCCAACGACAAGTGGGCGTGTGAGACTCTGGTTCCGAAGTGGGGGAGGAACCTGCTCGTAACGGCAATAACACCGCCGAAAACTGTGCCGGAGGAAAGTAAAGGCGATGCGAAAAAAAGCGCACCAAACAAGCCGACGATATTACTGAACAGCACAAGCGCGCCGGACACCACGGGCCAGGCGGCACAGCGCGACTTTGAATTTCTTCTGGGCACGTTTTCCGCGTCGCGTCCAAAGTTACAAGAAATGAACAAGAAGTTGATGCAAAGTAGCTCTAAGGCAAGAACAGAGAAAATTACGCGCCGTCTGCCGACTAGTAGTGCCGGGGGCACTAGCACTCCTATCGCGATACCAAATACTAATAAAACCACTATCGTGTGGTCGCCGCGTTTAAAAATGCTCCTGAAAACGTCTCACGTGCTGGTAGAGCCACCGGGAAACGCGGTCTCTGCGGACGAAGATGACTACGTCGCCGACTATGAGCCGAAACTTCTCCCCGTCCGGGTTGATGGAGGTGCAGCTTCCGAAGCTGCCGACTCAGCACCAATCTTCGGCGACTTTTTTAGGAAAAGGCACGATTCAACATCCACTTCAGGAGAAGACGCCACAGGGAGTAGCTCGTCGAAAGTACAACCAGGTCACGACGACGCAGAGCTGACTTTGAAGGTCAACAAGCGGAGCTATTTCACGGATGGTACGTTGCTGGGGACCGTGCTATCCACGATTTTCAGTCCGGACGTTCGCGGGGCCGCGCTCGTGGGAGCAAAGTGGCTCGACGTCGGAGCAAGCTTGCTGCAGCAGCAGTTGAGACTGGGAGGTTCGTCGGAGGCAGGAGCTGATGATTCGGAGGACACTTCGTCAAAAAGCACGAGTGTAGTGCAGGAAGTAGTGCGGAAGTCAGAAGACGGCGCCGACACCACGCTGCCCGAATTTCGAGCTCTTGACCAGCAGACTCGCTCCCCAAGAAATACCGATCTTGTTCGACCTCCCACTGGGAACGAAATAAGCATTGCTCGCGAGGATGCCGTCGTTCCCGGGCCGCAGCTTGGTGCTGGAAGAAGCATGCTCGAAAAAACCGAGGAACTTCGGCCGAAGGAGAGCTTTCTGTGCTTTGTGGACCTTGCGAAGAAGAGATTGCGAGGGCAGATTTCCCAAAGTGTGGTCGGAACGCTTGTGCACGCTTTTTTTGATGCAGACACGCGAAAACTAGTCTTGGTCTTCCGAAACGCCGACCGCATCGAGGTTCTCACCATAGACGCAGAGAAGATGAACAGAGCGACCGGGAAGGCGTTCACTAGTAAAATAACCAGGAGCAGAAGCTTATTACCAGTGGCGCTCACCGCAAAAACAGATAGGAAAAACGACGATGATGCCAACGCAATAGCTGCGCTTGATGAAGAACCCTCAAGGCAAGTAGCGGACGATCAATCGCAAGAATCTCATATGTCATCTTCGCCTACAGCAGCAGTCGCTTCTGGAAGAAAATTGGCACAACCAGAGGACGAGAATTCCCCCGTTCGCCGGTTTTTCTTCCGGTCCACACAGAGTCTGTATCTGGTGCAGGCGCCGGTAACTTCTGGATACGTGGTTTTTGTGTCCGGGCAGCGCGTGGCAATGGTGCTTTCCCTTCGCGAGAATAAGCTCATCGAAGAGCGGTATCTGCCCTGGAGCTTTCTGAGCCAGGACCTGGCTCGGGTGCGGCGAAGAATACCGGACCGCTACGTGCAGAGTTCGGTAGCAACTGAAGAAGTTCTGAAACCCTGCCCGAAGTGCTGCGGAATGGAGTAGGGGTCCTGTTCAGGGCGGGCATTTCTATTGTGTACGCTTGTTAATGTTAAAGTTAATCTTCTCTCATGCATTGTTGTGGAAGTTAGTATAGTGCGAAGGCGAAGGGACAGGGAGTGCATTTTGCAGTGAGTGCAAAAATTCGTTGATGCACAGAAGTAGAAGTAGTAAAGAGTCTTGGAATACAACAATCCCGAGCACGCTGTGGGTACGCATTCGCATTGTTCTTTCAAAGATTTGGTATTGGTTCTCGTGCCTGTCGTCTTTCGTGTTTATTCTTATTGTGTCGTCTTTCGTGTTTATTCTTATATATGGCGTCAATCTTTTCACGAAAATGCGTCCATTTCATTGAATTCGTCGTCCTGAAATCGTCGTTCTTGAATCGTGTGTTTTGTCGTCCATCAAACAATCTTTATGGGTAGAAATATCCACGATCCTCATGATCATTTCCTCGTGCTGGGAGTATCGTGCCGACAGAAGTCGTCCACCTTATTAATATGCGTGATTCTGCGTGTAGGTTTACAGGAGATGCGTAAGAACTTTCAACCCAGCCGCTGCAATAAGGAGCGTCTTCACTACTCTTCCCAGAGTTGCACCCTCTGTTTCTACTGCTTACATCACCCCCAGAGCGACGTTTCTTCGAATTGCGTTTTCATCATGCAATTGTAAAACGAAATCGAAATCGAATGGATATGGAAAACCATACATGATCTATCTTCATCTCTAGAAGCATGGTTTATTGCTAGACTCCTTTCATAAATTCATTCTCGATGATCTTGTTGCGCCCGCGACCAGGCCGTCGCAAGGACGGCAGTGCGTCTACCTTTTCCGGCTTCGTGCACACGTTTTCTGAGGAAACACTTAGATTTATGTACGTGGCGACTGTCTTCCTGCACTTTTGTGATTGGGGGCTGCTGCGCACAGCCACAGCGTCTTCGTTGATCAATGACAAGAGAACCGCCGACTCGCAAACGAGTATTTTGCGGGGCAGGAAGAGGAACAGCCGGGAGAGCAGCAGCCGTGATGGAAGTATGGCATCACGTAGATCAGGTGGTTATGCTCGACCTCTGCGAGATCGAGATGAGGAAAATAAAAGTGCCTTACTAGGCTCTCCCCGAGCGCGAAATCGTTCTCGGGGCCAGGAGTTGCTGGTTCCGTCACAAGAGACATCGACCGAGGAAGAGACCACACGGGCTTCCCCTGGTGGAAAGGGCAATCAGACTGATGGTGATGATACCGCAAAAGTTTGCAAGCTCAGCAGCACTGGTGTGGTAACAAAAAAAATGCGGAAACCCACGAAGAAGGTCTTGCGTGCTTCCGACGACGCGCAAGAGAGACTAAGGCACATGTTTGGAGAGCATTCCTGGCGCAGTTGCAAGTGCTACGATCGTATGAATTGCAAATATCGTCGTGCCCGGGTCCTGAAACTGGTGATGCGGAATTGTGGATGGTTGGATAGGAACAGTTCTAAGTGCATCCAAGCATGATAAATTTTTCAAACGACCCTTTCGCCGGCGCAGCGCTCACAAAGAAGGTGCGCTATTGTGGGTTGTGCAACACTTTCATCTGGTCCTTTGAAAGGAATCATGCAAGTTAAGCTGTGTATTTGCAAGCTCAACTTTTCCGGAGACGGAGATATTTGCATTGCATAGGCCGACCACGCAGCGATGAGGCAGAGCAGCGCAGACTCAACAACGAAAGCTCGTTGACTTCTTCCTTTTCAATTGACGGCACCGCGGACTGCGGCACTTCGACAGCAGTGCGGCAGGCATGTAGTGTTTGCAAGGAGTGGTCTGCAAGCAGTGACAGCACAGGCTGTGGAGGTTTCGCGCTGAAACAAGAAAACGGAAAGTGTGTAGGACGAGTGTATCCGCAACCGCGGCAGCTTCTGACTGCATCATCCTCGGCAGCCGGTCATACGAAGGGCAGTTTTCTGGAAATGTTTCAACGTAAATCTAAATATTTGGCGTCCGCGACCACTTCTGGAAACGAAAAGGCAAAGTCGAACCTCGGCGCCGCCAAAAGGCACCAGCAGGATACCACTGCAGACAAGGAGGCGGACGGTATCCATAGCTCCGGGACGTGCGCGGTTAATCGGCGGGGTCTGACTGCCGCCATGTCGAAAACTTTTTCCGTTCTGGACACAAAGATCTCCAAGGAAGACCAGGAGCGGATGAACGACGCTGAACTGAGTTCGAATGCCGAAAACGATGTTGAGAGTCTTGGAAATAGAATCCAAACTGCCGCACTGCCGAACAAGAATGCGGGTACCGGTGTCGTGTACGACACAGTGAAGTGGGTTCTGGAGCGATCGGCACTCGCAAGTTCGAGCGAGAGCGCTGCCGCGATTCCGGACCTCGCGCATTCGGTTGTTAACGCGACGTTCCAGGAAGCGACGAACGGTGCGATCGATGAGCCGCCCGCTCGTCTGCAGAGTGCCATCGTCCTAATCGAACTCGAAGTCGCTGTAGTCACGTCAGTCCCGACGGGCGCCTATGTTGGTCGTGACCCCGCAGACACCGCAATGAGAGCAGCGAAGGAAGTGCTCGTAAGACGTGACGTCGAAGCGACGGAGGCCGGCTGGCTGGCGAAACGCTATGTCGAGAGCTACTTCAAGCTTGGCGCTGCGGATGAACTGATAAAAGCAAATATTTTGGGGGCTTTGGGGCTTCCTGTACTGACACCTCTTCCCAAAAACGCGCTCAGGGACGCGGCGTTCGCGCGGCTGCAGAGGGTTGTGAAGAGCAATGTCGGCGATGAAGACAGAGGTGCCGTGGTGGCAGCCTTGACGCGGACGATACTTGGGATCGTTGACGGAGCGAGCATTGATGAAGCGACGGTCACCACGGACGCTGAAGCGATTGCGGACGCGGCTATCGTGTGGCATTCGGATCGGAATGACACAACCCTTGCAGCCGTCCACCACGCCATCAAAACCGCTCTCCTCGCCGCCGGGTTTACGTGGCCAGATCAAATGGAGCATAACACGGAAAACACCGCTGCGGCAGACACGATTGCGGACGGTAATTCTACTGCGCTACCCAGCGCCGCTTCTGCAGAAGCACGGATTCGCGCATACGTGCGAGATAACGAAGGGACGCATCACCGAGACTTTGTGCGCAACCTAAGACCGATTCTACAGACTGCAGGTCTGCCGCAAACCGGCTCACCACCACGGGATCTTTTTCACGCGACTACCATCGCTGACGCCGTTTGCGGCGTAGATTCATCATGGGTTCTTCCAAAAGAGGATATCAACGTGGACGGTCTTTCCGCTGCGATCACGGCGGCGCTCACCGAGGCTCAGACCTTTGCAGACACAGATGAAACCTCCACCGTGGTCTCGTCCTTTCTATTGAAGCTTGACGCACCAGAACACCAAGACAGGGCGTCGCTCGAAAAGCTCGAAGATGTGGTACTCGAGGTCTACGGCGGTTTGGAATCGACAGAGAAAGAAACCGTACGCGTAGCAGAGCTCTACGAAGCGGTCGAGCAAAAACGCTGGTGCGAACACGGCACCCATGAGGACGAGTGTACGCCTTTTGTGTGCACTTTCACGCCAAGAAGCGAGCTCACCACGACTGAGCAACCAGTAGAACGACCCGACCGGCACAACGACGCGGACGCGTGGAGATGGCTCGCAACCGTAGACGGCGACATTGATCTAAATTTGCGTGTTCCGTATCTTACGAATGCACAAATTGAGCTCGCAGGACTTGCGAATGGCACGGAAATAGTCGCGCAACAGATCTTATACCACTGGTATTGCACGACCAGCACCAGTGAAGAGGTTGAGGGGGAGGACGCAGGGTTGCAATCTCGAGCGCATCAAGAAGGGAAGCCAGATACCGATGAGCAGTGGACGTTCTGGGTGCGAAGACAGTTCGACACCGCATTGGATTGCGGAGAAGTTCCGGGTTCACGACCCGCAACGGCTAGCGCCTCCAGCGAAAACGGCACAGCGGATTCACTGGCAATCCCGTCAGATGAGAGCAATAAAGGTACCGATCCGGCGAACGGAACTATTTCAGCGGCCCTGTCCTCCAGCAGGACTGCGCTGACGCCGGACGGCGCTTCGGGGCCGGCCCTGTTTCTCGCGTTGTGCGGCGGCTTCCTCGGGATGTCAGCGCTTGTGTCGGTAATTTACGTGTGTTGCTGCATGGGCGGCGGGCGCAATGCAGCTGGTAATCTGTCCGATCCCTACTCCGCGGGCGGGCACTACTCACATTTGGATCGGAATTTCGTTGACCTAGCGCTGAACCGAACGTCTGAGGCAGACGACTTCGCGCGTGTCTCCGACGAGGAATTTCCCACGGGTGAGTACACGGGTCCAAGGATAATTTCCTCTCCAAAGAAACACCAAGAGGGTAGTACTGGCGCTTCTGCCATGTTGGACGACACGGTAGATAAGAAAGCACGCAAGGTCAAGAAAGCCCAATCTAAGGTCACTTTCCTGGAGCAAGGATATGTGGCTATAACAACTAAAGCATCAGGATCGACGCAGGCCAAAAAGCAGCGTTCGGGCAAAAGCAGCGAGGATCGAGCTCTAGTAGTTGAAGCGGCAATGGATTTACTGACGCCGCGCGGCCCCTCGGAGGATTACAATGCGGCCGATTTGGCGCAACGGGGCAGATCTGAATCCGCGGGCTACGACGGATCAACATTCCTAAATCCCGCGGTTGACTACGACAACGTTGGAGCCCAGAGCACCGATGGCTTCAAGGGAGGCCGAATGTCGACCGGGTCTGGACTGGAGGCAGTGGCTTCGGGACTCGAGCGAGCTGCGAAAACGCCCGAGCAGGTCATTCAAGAGAAGTTCGCCACCAAGCAAATTCCCGGACCACCTCCCGCTCCGCGCATCAGGACCGACGCGGCTTTGCAGAAGGCGCCCATTCCAAGGTGAAGCAGCTTACGCGTGCTGCGTCGATGCGTTAGCTCGATACGCACGACCTGTAGTTAGATGAAATTAAGACAGAAGTAGAAACTGTCCCCGTAATAGCTACCTAGCAGGTAGAATTTTTGACAACGACAAGAAATCTACCCCATTCATCATCCCATAGGATAGATACCCATTCTTTCAGATAAAAAAGAACGCACGATGACAAAAAGAGGAGGAAACACCGATGCTTCCACCTTTGATGCATATGCAAGTACAGTCTCACTTCTTTGCTGCTGGTAGATGGGCATCACCAGGTGCCGCTGTTCGATGTCTAGCCAACGCTGATCCAGAACATTGAGTAGGTAAGTCGGTACAAAGATCACCAAACGTCGCCTTTCGGTAAAACGAAAAGACCACATACTAAGTTCTAGATCGTGAATTTTTGTTCGACCACAAGTGGCCTTCCTCTGTCCCAAGACGCATGCGCAATTAAGTAGTTTCACCCCTTTGTGTCTTCATGATTGAGCAGGAGCAGCGATCCCGAAGATAAGATGAAAATCAGTTATGCAGAAAGGATCATCTAAACGAGTACAGGTTTGTGTATGATGAAATCATAACCCGGACTACGACCCGCTCACCTCTCGAATTCTGTTGTTTTGCAGTGCTGCTGTTGGCAGAAGTTCTTCACGATGCCGTTCATCAGCCTTCGAAGTTGCCTTTTCCCCCAGCACCTACTTCTTGGGGCCCTAGTACAGCTCAACAGTCTCTTCGCGGCCGGCGAGCGACCGGATTTCCGGTGCACCGCCGACTGCCGCGTCGAGAAGGACACCATGGGGGAAATCCAAGTGCCGGCCGCCGCGTTGTGGGGGGCGCAGACGCAGCGCAGCTTGGAAAATTTCGTTATCGGGGACGACGAAATGCCCACCGAATTGATCCGGGCGTTCGGGGTACAGAAGAAGGCGTGCGCGCTGGCGAATCGCAAAGCGTTGGGCGACAAAATTTCTGACGCGATCCAGCAGGCGGCGGACCAGGTTTTGGCCGGCAAGTACGCGGACCAGTTTCCGCTTGTCGTGTACCAGACCGGGAGTGGCACGCAGACCAATATGAACGTGAACGAGGTGTTGGCCAACCTCGCAAACGAATACCTCGGGGAGACCGATCGCAGCAAGAAGGCGCCAGTGCACCCGAACGACCACGTGAACCGCGGGCAGTCGACCAACGACGCGTTCCCGACCGCGATGCACATCGCCGCGGTTCTGTCCGTCCAGCGCAAGTTGCTCCCCGCCCTGGAGAAATTGCACATGGCGCTGAACAAAAAAGCGAAGGAGTTCGCCGACGTGGTGAAGATTGGGCGCACCCACATGCAGGACGCGACGCCGCTGACCCTGGGCCAGGAGTTCGGCGCCTGGGCGGAGCAGGTGAAGCTGTCCAAGAACCGGCTGCAAGCCGCGCTCCCGCGGCTCTACGCGCTGCCCCAGGGCGGCACCGCGGTCGGAACGGGGCTGAATCAGGTCGAGGGCTTCGACAAGAAATTTGCGGAGTACGTCGGCAGCATCGTCGAAATTCCCGGGTTCCGGACGAACGAGAACAAGTTCGAAGGCATCGCGGCGCACGACGCTTTATGGATTGTAAAAATGTCTGGGTCTGGAAGAATGCAAGATTTGTCATGCTTGTCTGGCATGACTCTTAAATCTGTCATGCACATGGCCCAAGAGACGTTTTTTTCTGTCATGCGGAGACGCAGCTTGTCATGCAGAATAGGCAACACCTACAAGCTCAGAAATTTGTCATGCTGAGCCAGCACTTGTGGCCTCCTCATGCTACGCCACTCAGCATCACAAGTTTCCAGACCCAGACATTTTTACATTTGATACGCGTTCGTGGAGCTCGCCGGTGTGCAGAATACCATCGCGGGCACCTTCATGAAGCTGGCCAACGATCTGCGGCTGCTGTCCTCGGGCCCGACGGGGGGCTTGGCGGAACTTTGGTTGCCCGCCAACGAACCGGGGTCCTCCATCATGCCGGGGAAAGTCAACCCGACGCAGGCCGAGGCCATGAGCATGGTGGCAGCCCAGGTAATGGGCAACGCGGTGGCGGTCAGCGTCGCGAACTCCCACGGCCACCTGGATCTGCAGGCGTTTAAACCTGTCATCATTTTCAACATTTTGAAATCGAACAACCTACTCGCGGACGTCGCCGTGTCTTTCGCAGACAAGTGCGTGTCTGGCATTCAGCCCAACTTGCCCAAAATTCAGGAACACCTGGACAAAAACCTCATGCTGGTCACGGCCCTGAACCCAACGATAGGTACATAGTAGTAGTACTTTTTGTTCTGACAATGAATCGAGCGACCGGTAAGGTTAGTCGAGGCAAGTGACAAATCATGATCATCTTCGTTCTTCAAGATCCAATGCTACACACGATCCAAGCGAAAATTTGTAAACGGATCATGGAGGTAGAGGAGCTATGTATGGAACGAACGACCATGAAAAATGATGACAATTACCTAAACCTAATTCTCCACGGAGCCGCTCATGCGGCTTTGATGAGACCTTTAATAAATCGTATTCGTACTGTCTGAAAAATGTGAAGACGTCATTAGATCACAAGAATGAAAAACCTGATGAGAAACTTCAACCATAGAATCACTCCACGCCGAGGCGAAATGCTTTGCTGGTGACGATTCCTGCGAAACACATGCACTACCATCTGACAAAGAGCAAGTAAACGATCAACTTCGTAAAAGATTAGAGAATGATCGCGCCAAAAGGCTTCGATGAAACAAATTTCAATCATGATCCTACAGGTTACGAAAAGGCCGCAGATGTAGCGAAGACTGCTTTGAAGGAGGGGAAAACGTTGAAGCAGGTCGCTGTGTTTGAAAAGAAATACTTGACTGCAGCGCAATTTGACGCCGCCGTCGTACCTGCAAAGATGGTTCGGCCCGCACCTGCCAGCGGCGCAAAATCCGAATTATGATGAAAAAATGTTGACGGTAAGGCATACCTGGTTGGCAAGGAGCCACTGACGTTGTATTCGTTTCACTTACTTAAATAAACAGTACCTAACGCTAACACTAGAATTCTCTTTGGATGACGCAGGACGAAAGAGTCAGTGCCATTTCAGTCTCACAACTAACCCCTTTGCTCTTTGCGCTAAAAGTAAAGGCGGATGAATTCAGGGAAACGGAAACGAAATCATGCGGGGCGTTCCAACAGGAACCTAGTAAGACCGCAGCTCAAAGCTTCCTGTGGTGTTCCAAACTTTTTCACAATTGTTCAAATCAAAGTTTGCCGTACGATCCCGCTCGAGCCAGTTCGTTGGATGTAAGTTTGATGACGATCATGCTTTTGTGATGCCGACGCGTAGAGGTGACAGTTCTTCCCAGTAAGCCGAAGGATCGTTGCATTTTGACCGCGTATACCGTGTCTTTTTTGACTGGCAAAATGGAAAAAAAGAGTGGTACATAGGGTCGTGTTTGCAAAACAACAGAGCCGATGTAAAGGTCGTCCCGCAGCTCTTCTGTGTTTTGAGTTGCATGTTGACCAAGTAAGTTCAAGTTCTACTTAACCGTAACTGCAACTAAGTCAAAGACACACCCTGCGTATCTGCAGAAGTGACAGGCTACATAAACACGATGTCGGCAGGGGCAGCGAGAAAGCAGGAGCAGCCCGATGAGAAGGAGACACTCCTTCCTAGGGACGACGAAGATGCGAGGAACGCGAGCTTCAGTGGAGGTAAAGACGAAAAATCGAAATGCTCTAGCATGGGTATTTTGGAAGGTTCCACGATCTTGGAGGACGATAGTGAGAAGGGGTCCGCTAACTCCTCGGGCCTTGGAAATAGTTTCGTCTTGTCGGCGGGAGCTGATGCCGACACTGGGAGCAACAAGCGAAGAAAATCAAGTAAAAAGACAGGCAAAACAACAACCAGTAGTCACAGGAACGGAACTGCGACTGTCGCTGCTTCAGACGGAAGGAAATTGAAAAGAGCCCGGACCTCCGTAGCAGACAGACCCCCTTTCGACGTTTTGCTTGCAAGCCTGGCGGCTGAGGGATGCACTCCGGTAGTGCCGATACAGAAGCAGCCACCCGAGGGCCGTTGGGAGTACCGCGGAAAGAGGTCAGAACAGGTGGACAAGTGTAATTGGCCTTACGAGTACTGCTCCTGTGCGTCCAAGCTGTGGTTTGTCAAAAGTGCTGCGCCGGAAAGGGAACGCCGGTCCAAGGGAGTTTTTGATGGCACGAAATGGCGATGATGTGGCACTGCGCTCTCTGTCGAAGGAGACGGATAGTTGTAAGTATGTCTACAATCTTTTCCCGTAAAGCAGGAGAAACCGGAGGCGGAGTCCTTGTAATTCCATAAGTAACGCTGTTGCTGCTCTGTGTGTTGCTATTAGATACAAAATCACAACGAAAAGTTTTCTTCATTTTCGACAACGTACACGCAGTAAGTCAAAGTCTCGTCGTATGTAGGTATGCAAGTCAAGAAGACCTATATCCAAGAATTTCAGCCAGCTGCTTTGTTTGCATTTCAGCAACTTTTCTTCTCTGTTTTGCCTGCTTCCTCCGTTAGGTCGTCTGCTTCTTAGAGTCGTCATTTTCACCAGGGCCACATGCATCTGCGCACTAGGATTTCCATTTCCGAATGCCCTTCGTACAACGTAGGCACCGCTTCTGTTGTGATATACTATCGTGAACAACATTTCGCTGTCGTCGGAAAATCATGTGAAGAAAAACAAATAGGGACGTCGTATTGGCTTGTTGCTTTTTTTTGAAGGATCCACGGCACTTTTTTTCCATTTTTTCCTTTTTCATGATTCACCCGTATTCTTTTCCTGTCGTAGTCGTTGCTCTGTCGTCAAACAATGTACTCAAAAATCGTCAACGCTGTTGATAAACGATTTACTTCCGATGCAAAGCGTGCCTTTCCTCTATGAACTCAGCTGATTTTTTTTCGTGCTCGGCGTGCTCTATGGCACGTGGGTGGCATGCGCAGGCCATTGTAGCAGAGCGACCGTACATAGATGAATCTGCCAATTCTGTGGACGCTTGGTTTGCGCCTACATAATTTCTCGGCAGTAGTATGTAGTTCTGGTTGTGCGGTTTGATCCACGAAAGAAAACGAAACCATGAGTGAGGATCTTCGCGTAGCAGGTTCCCAGGCAACTGAGCTGGAGGACATGCACCCACACAGACCCCCACCGGGTCTGAAGAAGCTTCCCGCAAGCATGTTGCAAAGGATAACCTCGCCCACGCACCGGCAGAAAGTCAACAATCAGACACAGCAGCTGGCCACAACGACATCACCGTCCCGCGGCGCAGCGCAACTGCCTGCGAGCTGTCGGTCCTCGCCACAGAAGCTCATGGGAAAGTCCTTTATTCCCGATCTGGCGACCAGCTTTCGACGTTCTTTATCACCCTCAGCGCAGCAGGCTGCGTCATCGTCCCTGGCGATTATCACTTCTACAATGCCGCAATCTAAAGACGGATCGGAAGCAGTGGAGCCGACCTACAGTGCTGTGGCTGCTGCGCACACGGGCTTGTTTAAAATTGGGTGTGGAGGCGCTGCTCCGTCATCAGCTTCATCCGCCCTGTCGGGAAACAAAATCCTCCGCAAGCCTCTGCATGTGTATCGAAATCTGGGCAAGGTAACCGGGGGGACCCCTTTTGCTTTTTCTGATGATTTGAAATAAAAACGACCCGCACCAGTGTAGTTTAACGTTGCGGCATATGCTTGCGGCCGATGGCGTGGTGTTCTTGTCTCTCGTATGATGAACGTGATTAAGTAGCATGATACAATTCAGAACTTCTTTTTTCGACAGGGCCCCCCTTCTACCGTGAGCCTGACACATTCGGTGCTGACCAGCAGTGAGGCCTCACCGAGCAAAGAAGCACAAGACATTATGCAGCGGGACGCCCCTGAATCTCAAAGAGAGAAAATTAGTGATGCTCTCGCCGAAGAGCTGGGGCCGAAAACCAAAGCGCAGACCAGTCTCCCCAGCTCGGTTCGCACGCGATCACGAGCAGGCTCGAGTCCGCGAGATCATGAAGATCTTGCTCCAGACGATTGGAGAAAAAGCAACACGGACTCGACTACAAGAAAAGCTGACGCAGAACCAATCCACCTGTTTTACGAGGAGCGCTCGGTAGTTGGACGGCGGCCACAAGGGTCGCAGTCAAGCTTTGCCGCCAGCAGGAGCAGCCCAGTAGCTTTCGCAAAGACAAAGAGCAGGAGCAAAAAGTCAGAAAGTACGCAGAGGCCCTTCGACCGCGTTTTTTCCCCTGGTGATGCCAGCTACGCGAATCGCAAAAGTCTGGAATACGAACCCATGCCACGAAATCAAGGTGCTGACACTGCCACAGCAGCGGCCGACCGGACCTACAATCCGACCACTAGTACAGAGACAACTAAGGCTAAGGAAGGCGATGAGCAGGTTGAAAAGCAAGGCCTCGACAAGAACCGGCTAACAACCGACTATGGGACAATTCGCGGCAGCACGCCCACCGACGCAGTGCTTCTCGGCGCGGTTCCAGCACCGCCACAGCGGAAAAGCAGGTTGGCGCCCTTGAGATCGTCCACTCTCGACATGACCAAACACCACGAGGAGCTGCATGTACCGGTGTTGCAGCTGATACCGCCTGACGGTCCTCCAGGAAGTGGAGCTCCGGAGCCGATGTTAAACATCAAGACGCATTCCTGGTCGTCTTTCGGCGCAGCAAGTAGTATACCGGACGAGAACAATCACAATTCCACACCTTCGAAGAACAAAAAAACCTTTCATGTTGACCAACACCAGCATATGAATAACTCCCGCACGAGTCCTGCAGGTGCGAACAGTTTGTTCGCCGGCTCTTCGTCCGGTTCCTCCGAATTCTATCGCATGACGCCCGAGGTGCGGTTCGCGAGCCAGATGAGCGAGCACGATCAGGCGCACTACTACGACGCGTATTTTGAGGACGGGCGGCCCATTCCCCACGTCGACACCACGGAGAGGATCGAGAAACTAGCAATGCGGCAAAGCGTGCTGACGCAGGAGCAAGCGGACGCCCGGGCGCGGGATTTGATTATCGAGGAGTTGGTATCGGGCGAGGGCTTTGTTGACCACATGGAAATGAAAAATGGAAACATAAAAAGTTTGCTCCACAATCCGATCAGCGCGTCGTCTGGGAGCGATGTCTCTGCGATTTACCGCGACTCGGACAAAGAATTACATATGGAAATAGCTGACTGGAAGAAACAACTGAAGGACAAAAACACGAGAAACAAATCGCCGTCCCTGCGGAGTGCGTCCGCGTCGCCAATCGCCAGTAGCGGTGGTGGCAAGGGGAGAAAAAACGAGGCACAGAGTAACATCCTTTCTGCGTCCAAAAAGTCTTCTTCAAAGAACAGCGCGACTGTATCCGTTCGATTCACCGGTACCGCCACGACGAAAGTTGCGAGCAAAACGACCGCCGGCGCGGCTGCTGTAACCGGTGCGACAGTCAAGAAAGTAGCGAACGCAGATCCATCTCGAAACAAGGATGTTAAAACCAGTACACGAGACTTTGAAAATAGAAACCGAAACACCCAGGCTCTCATTGAGGAGGCTGAGACGGTGCTCGCGAACGTGAAAGGCGTGTTGCGTATCAGGGAAGAGGAAAGTCGAAGCAAGGAAGCGAAAAGCCCTAGCACGGGAACAACTGTGGTAGCTTCCAAATACGATCTCTCCGCAATGGTCCGGCCTCCTGTTGTGGTGCAGCCAATTGCTTCTTCGGGAAAACAAGCGAGGGAGAAAAATATGCAGAAACAGCAGACGTGGAGCCCCGGACAGCACGAGAAAGCGAGCGCCCGGGAGTTGCAGAGGCGCCTTTTTTCCCCCGATGGCCGAACCTCGAAGAGCCCTTCGGCGAGTCCAAATCGGGCTGCGACAATCGGAGGGGCAACAAATGCAGTTCCACCATCAAAGAAGCCCGCCACAAGTGGTAAGGCGAAAAAAATGGAAGAGATTCGGGAACTGCTGGCCATTCAAGAGCAGGAGCTCCAGACTTTTTTGCGAACAGACGACGAATCTGGAAGGACCTTGCAGGAGTTTGAACAACAAGTGACTGAGTTGCAACAGCGGTTGGCTGGTTACACCAACACGACCGGCTTCCGACGGCAGCCACGTGCGCAGCGAGCGGCAGCTTCGTTTCGAGACACACGCGTGGAGCCAGGCTCGATACCGGACACGCTTCTGAAGGACAAAATGCGTGCGGCATCTAAGGACGAAAAAGCAAATCAAAATAAGCCAGCGGCGTCGGTGCCGAAAAGTTCAGGTTCATCTTCTCGCCGGACTATAATTGATGTGGATCAGGAGGACGTGAGGAGCGACATGAACAACGATCTCGAGAACGACAACGAGAGCAAGAGACCCGTGAAGCACTACGCCATGCCACTGGACCGTACGGCGCGACAATCTGCCCGCGGTCGCGAAGAGCAGAGCATATCGAAAGGGACAGCGACGTCCACATCGCAACCCCCAATCAGCATCCCAGTTGCGTCCCCCTTTGTCGACAACGGCAACCGTATCTCCGCGCTGGAGAAGGAACTTTTTCAGACCAAATCGAAACTGCGGCTGCAGGAGATGAGCGAGCGAGAGTCCACGAAACGCAACAGGCTCCAAGTGTTGAACTTGAAAAAGGAACTGCAGAAGGTTAGCATCCGGCCACCTCGTACTTGGAAATTTGTTCAAAAGGAGTTCAAAGATGAGTTCAAAGCGAGTTCAGAACGAGTTCAAAGCGAGTTCAATAATTTGGACCAAGTCAATTGACCTATCGCAAAAATCGCAATGAGCCAGCTACCTTTTGTCGAAAGTCAATTGCCTTTGCGTGGAGTTTGCGATAAGTCAATTGTCTTTGTTCGGAATTTGCATAAAGTCAAGTGCCTTCATCCAAATTTCAAGAAAAGTCAACTGACTTCTCCTGAAGTCGGCTCATTTCACAAACGGGCAGCAAAGCTTTGAAGTATGTGCGCGCTTTTTTTTGCTAGGGCTCCGAAACGACCAGAGGCGCGCGCCGTTGGTTTGCGTTTTCCCGTGCCGCCCTGCGATTTCGAGAACGGCCCGAAGACACGGGGACGACAAGACGCAAAAAGGGGCGCAAAGCCGCACAACAGAGGCTCCCGTCTGCCTTCTCCACCCTCAGATCTGTTCCCGGCGACTTCGCGACGGGATTCAAGGGTGGGGAAACGGGGCGGGCGCCACTGCATCTGCAGGAGAAGCAGAAACTGAGCGGCTGGGGCCCAACAAGTCGGACAGGCATAGTAGTCCGTTGGCTTCCCCGCGATTGAGTAGGTGCAGGGGCGTTGCTTGCAAAAAAGTCAATTGTCTTTTTCAAAAATTCGCAAAGAGTCAATTGTCTTTTTCAAAAATTCCCAATAAGTCAAGTGCCTTCTTGCGGAATTGGAGGGTCTTCTTGGTTGACTTTTATTGCGAAAGACAGAAGTCAGTTGACTTTTCTGGAAAAGGCTTGCAGAAGTCAATTGACTTCTCATTGACTTTGCTCAGAAACGAGAACGCCACTGACGTCGCTCGGAATCACGCGAACGCGAGGGGTCATTTGACCTTGCTCGGAAGTCGCCAAAAGTCTTTTGACGATTGCAATTTTTTTAGGTCAACTGATAATGGGCAAATTATTGAACTCGTAATGAACTCGGAATGAACTCGCTTTTGAACTCGTGTTCCAGTCTTTTTGAAAACTATGAAAGTACGAGGTGGTCCCGTGCTAAAGAAGGTCCAAACCGCATTGACGGGCACTGGGCAAACTCGCGCGACAAAAAATTCTGCAGCGATGGGCGATACTGTTAATACCAACGAAAGTGATCAAATGGAAAGAAAAACAGCCGGGCCCACCACGCTGGAAGATAGTCCTGCTAAATTTTCGGAGGCCAACATGCGAAGAACGTCGACCACTTCTGCGTCGCCAGGCGCGCTTGCTGCACAGCAGGTGGCTCTCACGATGGATGAGGAGTTGAAAGATTTGACTTCTACTATTGCAGCACTCGAGGACCAGGCAAAGGATTTGGAAAAGGCTGCGACGCAAGTCAACTACGTCATTCAGCAAAAGCCATTTGCAAAGCGAGCATTTTCCGCCATCGATCCCGTGGCGCGTCGCGATCGAGGGCGTCGGACGACGCAAAGATCGCCGTCGAGTAGTCCGCCTCGCACGAGCGGTAAACAAGGAGTGCGAAGCAAATCAGGGGGGCGGTCCACTTCTCCCGCCTCCCCCACAGGAGGACGGGGACGCAGATACGCTGAGCCAAGAGGCCGGAGCCGGGCAACGAAGTCTCAAAGCAGAGCAGCTTCGTCGAAAGGGGAACGACGTGGCAGCGAGGGGAAAATAAACAAAGAAAAGAACAGCACGTCGATTCATGACATCTTCAACAAGAACGATCAGAAGGCGAAGGCAAAGGAAGATCCGTCCCAGCACTCACCAAACTTGCTCATGCCGGTCAGCAACCAGCCGTTTTCGCTCGAGGCCGCGATTGAGGCACTGCGGCGCTCCACGTCGCCCCTGTCCGAGAGCAAGAACGTGAAGTTTCTGCAGCAGGTCCGCCTCACGTCGCCGAGCGATGAGCTGTTCCTGTACCGTCAGCGGGAAGCGGCCCGGGAAGCTTTGAAGCGGGTGCGGGATGCCATCGAGGAGAAGAAGGCCCGGATTCGATTTCTGAAATCCGATGCGTATCGCCGAAAGTCTGAGGAGGACTTGGCGCGGCTGGAAGCGGTGTCCTCCATGATGTTTGCGAACCAGGAGCGTGCCAGGCCCAGCTACGCGCGGGCTACCGAGTCGTCCCGATCGCGGAGCGTCTCCCCGCGGCAGCGACAGCAGGACGTGAGTCCAACGGATTCGAACGCAGTTTGGCGAGGTTCCTTGCGCCACGAAGTTGCGGCCTCCCCTGCATCACCAACTGCAGAGAAGCGGAAAGAGGTGCGCACTTCTTCCACTAGCAGACCACTTCTGACGACAGCCACAACCTCTGAAAATGATCAGCAGCAGCCTAGTACCTTTACCCGAAATAACGAGTTTTCACTGGCTATCAGCAGCAGCGCTGACCAGCAAAGTAGGTCGGAACATGCTCGTGCGCCGTCCGGGCCGCCTCTGGGACAGGGGCTTGACCCTGCAACTGTGGATCAGGACGAGGAAACCAGTCGCCTGACTGCGCAGTCCAGACAAAACATCCGTTCCCCTCCGGTAAAGAAAAACATTGTGTACAAGGATACAGCTACAACAAGTTCTGCGAGTAAACCAAGTCCGTCGCGGGCACGAAGTTTTCCAGCGGCGACGCCGTCCGGCGCGCATGCGGACACTGTACTAAAGATGAAGACGGGGAATGACACGTCGACTTCGGCAGGCGCGCCTTCCGCGGCTTCGGAACCAGATAAGGATGTCGCTTTTCTCTTTGAGCAGAAGTTGCAGACGCAGAAGAAACTGATCGAGCAGAAAAGTGCCTGGTTCCAGCGGCAAATTGAGGAGACGGAAACCGAGCGCGCTCGGCTGGAGATGGAGAAAGATAAACTTGCAGTCGAATTGATCGAGGTACTTCTAATTTCTTGTGTCTCAGTTGCTGTGACTGGCTCATCGTTGAAAGTCATGATTTGCCATTATTTGGCGTTTGCCGGCAGTGCATAGCGCGATGAAGAAGTTTTGACATTGTTTGCATTCTGTACCTTTCGTGCAATTTACTAAAGAGCTGGGTAGATATTCTTTCGACGCACGGTTCGAAGCTCCAAGCAGAGCCATTTCCTAGGACGTTTCTGCGCTTCTCGGCAGTACGTAGCACAACGAAGTTTTGATATTTCCACGATTTCCAGGTAAAGCGGCGCGCACTGTTAGCAGCCGAGCGGGAGCTGGAGGATTTCAAGCGCCGTGTCACCGCTGAACAAGACGAGATGAAAGCTCTGCATGCAGAGCAGGTCGCCGACGTGCAGCGCCAGGTCGACGTAGTTCAGCAGGCAGCGGATTTGTACGGAAAACTTTGTGAGCACGTCGTGGAAACGCTTACTGCAAAGGGTGCTGCAGCCGCAGCAGGGATGGATAACAGCACAACGGCAGCCGGCGCCGACTTGGAGACGTTGCTCGCCTACACGCAGAAAAACGACCTATTCACCGTTACAGAGGAACGAGGTTCAACATCCGCGCAGTCTCGCGCGACGCTTGATAGCCCCGCACTGAAGCAAAAATTTTCCGGTATAGTTGACTCGAACAGAGTAGACTCAGCCCGGTTATTTCGCGATTTGGCGAAGCTGAGCCAGAGCGCGCGTTACTCTGACGCCGTGCAGCGCGTGAATTTGACCGCACCGGACTCCACTGCGCAAGAGCGGTTTGTCGCTTTCGAGAAGACCGTGGAGAGCTTTCAGCAGTTTTTTCAGGCGGACATCAGCGCCATGGAGTTGGCCGACCGTGTCCGGACCAAACTCGCGGTGGCGGTGAACGAGTACCAAAAGGTAAACAAGAATGCAGATCTTCTAGGGAGCAATGTCGCAATGACCAATCAGAAGCAGGTCCGGCTCGAATTGCCAGGAGAGGCCTTCCAGTTGCTTCTGTCCGCGGATTCTGCCATTGAAGTAGCTGCGTTCTACGAGTTCAAGCTATTCCGCTTGAAAAAGTACATGGAGTATTGCGGCATGCTGCAAACGGATCTGGACACCACAAATCTGCGCGCGGAAGCCGCAGCGAAGGAACGCGACGACGAATTTCGTGGGCTCGAGGATTTGATGTGGGATCTAAAGGTCAAGCATGAAAAATCAATGCGTGATCTGGAACAGAAGCACCAATTGGAACTCACCCAGCTAAATACCTCCTGGGAACAAGAGTTTTACGCAATGTCAAGTCAAGTTCAGGAGCTTCAGCAACAGGCCGCAGCGGCGGTATACAATGCAGCGTATCAAGCTGCGCAACCCGCGGAGGAGGAGGTCAACGAACAGATGGAAGACGACACTGCGGAACAGGAAACTGCGCTCCTGGACGAAGATGCGCCAGAAGACGAGCAGTTGCTGGGACAAACAGACGTCAAACCTCGACACTTGGAACTTGAGCAGCAGTTGACTTCCTTGCAAGCGCAATTGGCGGATGGTCCGTTTCGCGCACTAGTTGAAGATGCGAATCAGCGCGGCTCACTAGCAATTTTTCTTCAGCAGGTTTTGGACGGCGACGTGGAGCTTCCGGGAGCTAGTCCCGGGCCTTTCGTGGAGCCAGGTGAGCAGATGTTGGACATGACTGACGGTCAAACGAGCAACAAGGTCGTAGTTGTCACGAGCAATATTGCGCCGCAGCAGCGGGAGGCGCAAGCTCAAGAAGTCGCGAGATTTCTCGCCGCACAGGACGCTGTGGCAGCCCCTGCGGAGGATGTTGAGCAACGCGCACCTTCCAAGAGCCGAACGTCGACCAGTCCCGCAACAGAGCTGAAGCTGCAGGAGAAGGAGAGACTGCGGTTGGAAAAACAGCAGCTGGAAGAGGAACTAGCTGCAGTGAAAGAGGAGCGGTCGGAAATCGAAGAGCAGCGCGCATCGCAAATGCGCAGTCGGTTGACAAAGCGGGACCCGCGCGTGGGCTTCAGTCGCAGCACGTCCTTCTCGCCCGCCTCGAGGAGCCTGGTGGACGGGAACGCCCCTCCGGGGACAGCTGGCGCAAAGAAATTTGACGCTCCCGCCCCAAGTACGGCGGAGCTGGCGAAGGAGCGCGCCGAGCTGGAGCGCACAAAAGTCGAGATTCAGAAGCAGCGCGTCAGTGTGGAGAGAATGCGTCGTTTGTACGAACGCAGTAAGGAAGACGCGAACAATCAGAGGTGTGCTCCTGCACCGGCTGCGAACTACAAGCTGGAACAAAAATCCCAGGGGCAAAGTTTCATTCGTAATTCCGCGGAACAAGTTGATGGCGACCTGGAGTCGCAGCTACTGCAGAGCTACAACGAGCGTACCGCGAAAGACGGGCTGCTGGACGAAAGTAGATCGAAAAAGGTCAGCGGAACCGTGCCGAATAGCTGGACTGCACAAAAATCGCCCGGAGAAGTGCCGGTGAATATCAAGGTTTCTCAACAAGAACAACCGACGCAAATAACTCCACTGAAGCAAACCGAGCGGTTCCAAGGTAGCACCCAGCAGATGCTTTACGAGGAGGAGGGAAATCAACAAGCAGAGTCTCCGGAAGTAGAGAAATCCCTGCACAGTTCGACGACCAAGGCGTGGCGAGCTCGTCGAGGTTTGCTAAGCCAGGATGAGATCGAGGAAACCCGGAACAAAACAAAGTTTTCAACCACCTCTGTCGAAAGCAGAAGCACGAAGCCGCCCAGGACGCCAGTAGTAGAAAACCCGAACACGACTACACTCATCAGAAGCCCGTTGGACAACACGAACAAGGAGAAGCTCGCGGCTGATGCCACGAAAAACCGAGGCATCCCGATGTGGGGCTCCGCGGACCGGCGGATGGCCGCTTTGAAGGAACGGGCGCGTCAGTACGCCTCGGAAGTGGTGAAGCGGAATAAGGAGGAATTCATTCAGCAGCGTTCCGCGGTGTCTTCACCCGGCGACATGTTTTACTACGCAGACTACAAGTCGTCCGCAACGTCGACGCAAGCGATACCCACTCCTGCAGCCGTGTCAGCGCGGGTAAACGAGACTACTGCCGGTGGAAAAGCAGATGCTGAATCTAGTAATTCCGCGGAGGACGGCGCACCAGCACAGGCAGAGATACAATTGTCGGACGCTCCTGCAGAAGCGACACATCAGGTCCCACTTACGGACGATGCAGATGAGCGAATCACAGAAGCTGTTGCTGTGGACCAGATCGAAAAGTCAGAGCAGGAGGCCTCAGGAGAAAATGAATTTGCGCAACAAGAAGATGTTGAAGGTCTCGACTCATATGCAGCAGAACCAGGAGCGAATGCGTACCAGCAGGGAAGAACGAGTGTTGCTGGGACCGGGGAGCAAGTGCCGTTGAATTCAAAGTCCTCCGTCGCTGCGTCCTCGACCGCCGCCGCTGCCCCGACTACAACAGCAGCCGCGAAGGCCCCCGCACCGCTGCAGCTTCGGTCGCCGGTGCGCGCTGCTCGCACGCAGGCACAACTGTCCGCACTGGAGCAGGAGGCCGGGGCTTTGCGACGCGGGCTCACGCGATTAAGCGTCACGGGGCTGGAGCAGCAAACCGAGACGCTACGGGAGAACGTACACCGGCTTTCAATGATGGATCCGCTTACACACGCGCTGACCGATGCACTGCACAAGGCGTACCTGGCCCAAAGTTCTTCCTCAAACAACGTGGCTCAGCAGGACGAAATCGTGATAGAAGCGACCGCAGGCAACGCTGGCAGCATCGATGTCACAATTGACACGTCCCCTACGGATAAGAAGTAAGTGAGGATACCATAACATAATTCGAACTTGAACCGTTCCTGTGGGAGCGGTCCTTTCCTCATTGACCATTTTAGTGCTACTTTTTTTACCAGTTTTCTACAAAAAAGTTTGATTCAGATTCTAGTACGACTGATGTTTTGGCATTTAAGTAATATTACTTCTTTTTCTGCAAATGTACAGGCCCACTTTTGCTGATAGTTTGCACACGAGCAACTTTCATCTGTGTCAGGCTTCATTTTGATTTAGTATTCACTGTTATTTCACAAGTTTGAGTTTCAAGTTTTCCAAGTATCGCCTGAAGATTTTTGTGTACACCACTTTTGTAATGATCACGACTGTAGTTTCCAGTATTGGTTTCAAATTTATAATGTCCAAAACCGCAGATTGGTATGATTGCTACGCCACACTCACAAGATACGTAATCTAAAGCGTTGCTGCTCTCTTGGAGATGGAGTATCACTCTTGTTGTGCCGCAAAGTTGTTCCGAGAAGATAGGCGGTTTCTAGGAAGCAAGTCTTCAAGCAGCTTACCAGTATACGGCAAAAGCTCCGTACACGGTTTTCCCATCCTGCGCTTGTCGAGCAAAGGACCCAAAAAGTTACTTACTTAAAAGGGCAAACATGGGAGTCGTCTCGTATTTTGGTCAACGCACCGTCCTGCTTGCTTTTGCTGTCGCAAACACAGCCCTCGCTGTCCAGCTCCAGTTTCAGACCGGAGAAACGGCGAAGAAAACCGCTGCGAGCACGCTTGCCGACACGTCTTTCCAAGACATTATGCGCAACGCGATGAAGGACGCAGACGATATTGACATGGACTCGGCCGAATACCAGGAGTCCGCGGCAGCGCTGTCGGCTTCCCTGGGCTCAGATTGGAACGGCGCGGAAATCGAACGTCGTGCGGATCAAGCAAATCACGCGTTGCTGGACGGAATCGCGAATCCGAGACAGGTCCTTTGATAGCGTTGTTTGGTTGCTTAGCCTTGTTTCTTCTGTTACGGGAGCAGTTTCTTGCTACTCTCGTTTGCATTGATGATTGTGTTTGTGATATCACAATCTGTAAAACATCATTTCGCAGGTGTCCGCCTTGACGCAGATGTTGGGTGCACTTGCCGGCGGCCTGGGGCACTAGAACTAGACGGCAGCTGGGCGCGGAGCCACTGCAGCTTGCCGAAACAAATGACTTCTTCCACAGCTGCAAACAAATTTGTTTTCCTGACTGGTGATTCTGATTAGCAAAAAATGCAGAGTGTAAATATCTTGTCGCATGCAAAACGACAAGAATAAGAAAAGCAGTGCAGAATTTTGCGACAGCTCGAAAGCCAGGAGGCTTTGATCATTTGTGGTGTGTGGAAAGTTGGTTGACGAGGTGTCTTCGCTTAGGCTCTGACAGAGCATCAGTCCTGGAAGATCTATCAAGGTCATTCTGCTAAGCAAGTAGAGCAAGAAGATCCTCTGCTATCTAGTGATCATGCACGACATGGTGGTCCTGATCCTGCTCGTGTCCAAGTTGAATCCCTTGCTTCGAAGCTTGTGACCTCTGTACGCAGTGCAGCGTTCGTGCAATTGTCGTGTCACCGTAGTTCCTGTATAGTACATCCACATCTTTCGTTTTCCAGGGCGATATGTTGATAATCTTTCAACACGAGGAGGATTCTTTATCCGCTCGAAAATCTTGATTTAGATTTATTCTTTGAAATGAACTTGCGATTGAATTTCATTTAGAAAGCGACATTCTCTCCCATCGCCAACTAGCTTTTCGTGAAGCTGCTCTACCCAACGACAAAAAGAAAGTATGTTTGAGTTAGAAAGAAAAGTAAAAGATTCGACGCCCCAAGATTAATGTACTAGTACATCGCAAATGTACTACAACAAGAGAACTGAGCTAGAGCTTTTCACGTTGACTACCGATCGGCAAGTTCCGTTTGCTTGCTTTAGAATTGTGCAGCTGAATAGAAATACGACTAAAGTACTTGAGCAAGAGAAATAGGAACTAGAAAGTCACTTAGCGACACCAGATTTCACTCAAGAAAGTTGCCAATAATTTTTTCCAACAATAGAAGTTGAAGTTTACGTTTAGTACAAATCTTTTTGTGGCAGTATGGCGCCAAAACGGAAGGATGGAACCAAGGCACCCCAAGCAAGGGGTGCCAACAAGGCGAAAGCAGACCCAGCAGAGAAGGCTGGCGAAGCGCTTTTGCCAAACGGGAAAAAGCGGAAGCAGTCGGTGAATGTGGAGGCTGTAGTTGGGGTGATGAAGAAAAAAGGCCGGGGTAAAGGGAAGGCCAAGCCAGAGCCTCAACCGTCAGCGTCATCTTCATCTTCCTCGTCGTCGTCCCATGATCAGACGGGTAAGAATGAAAAGCAAGGCGTTCTCGCAGCGGCTATGAAGAAGCGGAAGGCGGTATCCGAGAAGAAAACCCGCGGCCGGCCGAAGGCTTCAGCAAAGGACGCTAAGTCTTCGAAAACCACAGGCAAATCCCGCAAAGTAATGAAGCAGGACGTTAAGCCTAAGCCGCGCAAGGTCAAGGAAAAGGCCGCGAAAGAGTCCAAGGACGCGGATAATCGAAAGGAGAAACGTGACACGAGCGTGAAAGGCGAAAAAGTAAAAAGCGCTCGGAACAAGGCCGGGCAGGAGCGCCAGGACCCCAAGCCTAAAGAGGATACAGGCTCGGACACGTCCAACTCCAAGCTCCCCGAGACACCGAATTTAAATGAGAAAGTAGACACAAGCACAACAGGAGTAATATCTTCACCGGAGGCCGGCGACGTGTTGAAGTGCGAGAAGCTGCAGAAAAATGCTGCCGAGTCGTGGTTGGGCTCTCCTAGTAGCAACGTTGGGTTGGCGGGAAAGGTCGTCGACCGACTCGGAGACGCGGGCTCATCCACAACAGTGCCTATTTTTCAACAAGCTCCGAAGGTGGAACCGGCGTCGCTTGTTGCTACTAGTAGCCCAGGAACTATAACAGCCGTTGTCAGCAGCAAACTTTTTTCTGAAGAAGTAGAGGCAGCGAGAAATAAAACGCAGCTTTTTCTGGGCGACAAACATCAGATCGCTAAGCAGGAACAGGTCGAGCAACTGAAGAACCAGGCTGCGGACGAAAAACTGGAAGTTCATCCAGTCCTCTCAACGAGTTCAGTTGTGCAAATGGAACAAGAGCAGCTGCAGCAGCAGACGAAAGTCGAAACTGCGTCCGACGTCGCAGCAGCTTCATCGAAAGCGAGTGTCGAGAATGTTGTGCCTGCTGCGGAGAAGGGCGTCGAGCTACTGGATCCGGAGGCCGAATCTCAGCATCTCCATGCCTGTGATGAAAGTAAATCAGTGCGACTTGCGCCAGCACCAGCTATTGGGCATGTACAAGTTGTTGCTCCTACACCTCCCATTCCTTCGACCTCCTCCCCAGGAACTGCGGAACAGGACCAGGATTCTGCGGAAAAGCAACCGCATTCTCGCCACAGCAGCCAGCTTGTGAGGAGCACTACAAAGGTGCTTTCTTTTAAGGACGAGTCGGGCGCAGAACTTGCGCAGAAAGTGCACGACATGAAGCTCGAGTTTAGCTGGGTAGGTCGCGAGTGTCGAGAGCGGGCGGACCAGCTGGCGCACGACCACGGAAAAAGGCATGATGAGCATGATGAAAAATTCGCGGAACAAGCGAGGCTGCAGGCGGAGGATTCCAAAAGGTTGGACGCGGTGGAAAAGCGCGAGCGAGAGCGGGAGTTGGCACTCGCGGCTCAGAGCGCAGATGAGATGAAGCGGCAGAAAAAACAGCTTGACGAATACGGCCAGAAATTCTACGAGTACACCGACCGAAAGAGCGACGATACGTACCAGAGATTCAACGGAATCGAACAAGACGTGCAGAAAATCCGCGCTGAGGTGAACCAAGTGAAGCAGGAACAGGCTGCGATGAAGAAGCAAAGTGCAGAAACCCGCAGTCTGGCCGTGTCGGCAAAGGCGCAAGGCGAAAATATCATTGGGTGCAACGTAGAGCACACTGAGTTGCTGAAGAAACTCGTGAATTGCATGGCACAGGTGCTCAAAAATCAAGCCCAAGGGGACTCTAAGATGGACGATGTAAGCTCTAAGATGGACGATGCGTTACATCTGATGATGAGGGAGGAAGGTCCGGGCATTGGCAAGGAACAGCCGCAGGCACCGGCAGCGCTTCGAATTTCGGGAAACACACACAACAAGCAGCTCTGCGTGAAAAACAGCGACCCGCCGCCGGCAGTCTTAGACTGTGCCCCGGAGCAGGCATCAGCTTGGCGCAAAAGAGAACGCCGCAGCGCTACTGCCCTGCGTAGATGCTGCAGCTGCGGAGAGGTTCTGCATGGGCCCGAAAATGAGCAGGCAGTTCACTGCGATCGCTGCGGCACTCTTGAGTGCGAGTCTTGTCGCAAGAGATGCGCTACCCTGAGATCCAGTGTATTTCCAACAACTCGAGAAAAGCTTTCTCGTGCCGGCATCGAGCCAGGGATGCACATTTGCTATCATTGTTGTCGTGATGAACTGAAAGTCCGCAGTGGTGACAGTTTTGAGCAGAGGAAGGCACAGTGTGCATTAGAATTAAAGAACACTCCTCAGCAACTGGCCATTACTCAGGGCTCGAAAGTGATAGCGACGAACAACACCGATGGAAACAAGGGCAGTTCTTCCCGCCTGGCACTGACAGATCGAGATCCATCTGGAAATCAAGAAATTGTTGAACTACGTCGGGATGCCAAAAGACTTGCAAGTGGTGGCGCTGCCGGGTATTCCTCCAGTGAAGATGATGTCGACCATGATTTCTTTCCACCGACGAGCAGTGATGACGAAAGCGTAAGCGACACAGAGCGGAACAAAAAACGCAAGAAATCTCTGAAGAGTTCTCCCATACGGCGCGCAGGTCCCCTTGAACTTGGTGAAAATGGTAAAGCTAAAGCCGATCCCCCGTCGAAAAAGCAGAAGCGTTCGCTTGATGCGGAATGTCTCGAGCGAGCATTCCAAAATGATCCTGACCAGTTTCTTGCCCCCGTCCACCTACGAGACGAAGATATTGAGGAAGGCAAGGAGATCGATCTTTTTGTTAGCAGTATCTTGTACAGCCAAAACACTATCCGAGATACCTTCACTGACGGGACGCCGATTTATCCGTTGATCCATCAGCTGCAGGACGGGAGCAAGCGACCCGAGGATATTCGCATGATCCGGGTCACCATTGCAAAGATCGAGGACCGGTTTTTTTATGTCACGCAGGACAACCGCCGGCTTTATTGTTTTTGGAAGGGGGGCGTGAAGGAGATTCGCGTCCTGGTCGTAGCCGCCAAACAGGACTTCGTTCGTGAGAAACTCACCCGAAACGAAGGGCCTTTCAAACCAAAGGACGTTATATGGGGCGATGGATTCGTTCGCCCGTCTCACCCGGAAAGAAAGCAGATGCCTTGGGCAATGGTGAGTGGGCACGTTCCGGGGCATGTTTTCCGCAAGGAGTGGCAGTGCAGCTGCTACTGGTGTTACTGGTATCGTACAGCACGTTCTTTTTCTGACGAAATATTGGAAGCTGAGGCTACCAAAAATGCCAACCTGGAGCGGCTAGAGCGGTTATCGAAAGCTTCGAAGCGGAACACCGGGCCGGATGGCGGACGCAAGAAAGCACCGCTCGGAGACGGATGGGGATCTGTTATCGACACTACGAAGTCTGCCGTTCCGCCGAACAAGCAGCCACAGAGCGAGGGCGAGATTGATCTGAGTTCTGACGGCAAGAAAGACCATGGCGTGGTGGGGCCTCTTTATCACGAAGGGGGAAAAACTCCATTCGCTTTCGATCAAGAACCCGACCAGGATCACAAATACCACAAAGGTGGCCAAAAATTGCAGGACCGCGCCGGAGCTTCCGACAGTTCGGGCGATCCGACTCGCACCGGCAGTCGAACGTTGGCAATTCGAGATATTGAGCCACCAACTTCCAGTCGGCTGGAAAGACCCAGCAAAGTGCGTCGTGATGAAGGTGACTATGGGGCAAGGAAGACGTGGCGATCGGGGGACGATTGCGGCCCTGGGTACGGTAAACTCATCACTACCGTGCAGAACAAGAAGTCGCCACTTGATGACACCAAGGGGCAGCCCATCCCAAAGTCTTCCGCCCCCGCCCCTTGCACGAATTCGAGCAGTTCCGGTTCTTCTTCACGGGAGCAGAAAAATACCTTCGATCATCGCGACACTTTGCGCGACAAGGATCCTTCAGCCCGCGGCAAGGATCCTTCAGATTGCACGCGCACGCACAAAGTTGACAAGACTCTGAAAACTGATACAGAGCATGACGAGGAAAACAAGCAGCCTGAGTTTGATGGTGGAGAGCACAACATGAATGATCCCGATAACGATGTAATTGATGAAAGTGAAAGCAAGCCTGACAACGGAAGCAATGGCGAACTCTTTGCCAAATTTTTGAAAGACCGTCAAGAGAAGAAGGATAAGAAAGCCGAAAAGTGTACTTGTAAAGATGCACCTGACAAAGTCAAAGCGAAAGTTCCCGACAAAGGTAAAGCAACGGTGGCGGATGGTGACCGTCGCGGACGCGCCGTGGCGGGAGCAAGCAGTTTGCATCTCAAAAGGGACTTCAATGATCGCGACAAATCACGGAAGGAGGCGCAGCGACAGGCTCAACGTGTCGCAATTGAGTCTGTCACTCCAGCATTAATGGACATTTCTGGGACCACCCCTGCGGGTATCATTCTCGGAGACGACTTTACGCAAACACCGGCCATGACGGTCTGCAACGGCGGGTCCGTGACTCCTTCAGTCATAGCACCGGCTGTTGACGAGCCGAGTACGACCATGGCAAGGAACTCGCGGAATCCGTTTCTATCGGGACCGGTGACGTATGAGGATCTCGATCTATCGCGCACGCCGGTACTGAACTGAGCAGTTTTGAGGCTTTTCGATGAGACGCAGTGTAGATAGAAGAGATGATGGACGGAGAAAAAACGGAGACTTAGGAAGGTTTGTTTGCAGCAAAAAAAACCTCCGTCATGATCGAAGTGCAGCGATGGTTTTCGTTTTTTTTTTTGAATAAAAGAATGGCTGCACTCATTCGATGCTTTTTACCCTTGTAAGTAGATCTCTGTTTGTTCATTCCGAAGCGGAATAAACTATGTAAAGCGAGAGTAAGGTAAAGAGCGAAAGCAAGTAGAAGTACTTCATCAAGACGTTTTCTCATTCTGCCTCTATTTCGCGCTGATAGAAGGTTTTTTGAATTTCTCTACGAGATTCCCTCAAGCACTACTTAGGTACTCGTTCAGACCCATTCCCAATCGGTCCGAAATCAAAAAGATACGAAAAACAAGAAAAAAAGCAAAAAATAACGGAAGAAAAAAATATAACTTTTGATGGTGGGAGCGCCATCGCTCATGATGCGACCTCCTTGTGTCCGCCAAGGATACGACCGAAGTCGTATATTTGTGCTGCTTGCCAGCCACGGCCCTTGCCTTCGCCGTCCAGTTCCGCATTATCCGTATTCCTTCGGAAAGAGATAGAGAAAGACGAGAAGGCTTTCGCTTTATCGATAGGTTCTGGCGCACTGCTTGAGGAAAGGGCTAAACCATTTTTGTGTATGGAAACTTGATCTACTTGGGCTGGCACTTACTTGCCAGAGTCACTCTTTCTTTGACGGAGGTTCAGTGCTATGGAGGTTCAGTGTTAGGAGATCCATCAGGTTCATTCTGTTCCACGAGACGAAGATCCCGGTGTCGTTTTCTGATCATGCACGCGGTCATGGTCGAGGTGGTTGCTGACGTGATCCTGATCCGCAATAGATGTATCATCTCCTGGTCCAGTTTTTAATGCAAGCACAAGCTCCGAGCTCGTGGTGGTGGTTGTGATCATCTCTGTAGCAATACAGTAACTGTCCTGTGGTCGTTCTCGTGTGATTGTAGCTTCTGATGTGTGCATCTCGATTGCGACCTTGATCTTTCGTTTTCCAGGACGACGATTTGATGATCCTTCATGACAAGGAGCATCTTTCATCCGTTCGGAACGAACCAGATTTGTTAGAAATTGTCTAGCGATGGATTTTAAGTAGCCACGTAGAATAGACCGACCACCACATCCCCAAATAAACGTAGACAAGGTCCAGGTCCACCCGGACAATAAGTTTGTTCTGATCATACAAACATAGAAAGGGAAAGATTTTTGACACTCGAGCTTCACCTTCACGAGCTAAAGCCTCCTTATGTTGACCACCGATAGAAAAGACCACGACTGCCTGGAGCATTTAGCTTCGAATACTAACACCTAGAAATAGTAATAGAATAGGTTGCACGCGCATTTCTAGTGTGTACTTGTGTGCAGTTTTCAAGTCAAAGGAAACCAGATTTTACTACAAGAAAGTCATAAATGTAAAGAAGGTCAATTTTTATCCCGCATAGAAACTAACTATACAAAACTTCTGATTTTTGCGGGAGCGAGGATGGAGGCGCCCGCCGAAACGAAGAACGGAGTCAAAGTGGCTCCTGCAGTGAAGACTAACGAAGGCCCCGCAAAGAAATCTGATGAAGCGCTTCTACCCGAAGGGAAACAGTCGGCGAAAGTGAATTTGGACATTGTGGCGAGGAAAGGAAAACAAAGCAAGAGCAGTGGAAATTCCGGCGCAGAACCTTACCCTGTGGCTTCTGCTGCCGCTTCATCGTCGCATCAACGGTGTCGGAGTAAAAAGCGAGACTTCGTCCGCGTGGCTAGGGAAAGGCGTAGGTGGGTATCAGACAAGAAAACTGCCAGGGCAGAAGATTCACCTTCAGTAAGGGAGGCTAAATCTACGATGAAAAGGCTCAATAATACAACAGTGATGGAGCAGGACGAGAAAAGGGACAAGATGATGAAGAAGCAGAAGCGTGAAGAAAAGGATCCTAGGAAGTCGAAGCATGATCATGACAAAGTAGGAAAAGAAAATCGTGGAAAAACGTCAGCTGCTCTGATGCAGGATGCGAAAAATCAAGTTGCCAATCCTCAGCAAGAAACGCTTCTACAGCACGGCGCCAATCCAAAGGCGATCTTGAGGCTGGAGCTACAGCATGTGATGACTCCGGACAAGAAAACTGGCAGCAAGAACTTTACCGCGACAGGGAATACGAAAGCGGCGTGTCTTCCTCTCGAGGAAACGGTACCAGCAGGGCCGACTGGGTCCTCGACCACCGTGCCTGTTCCGGTTCATCTTGGGAACACTGAGTCGCCATCGAATGGCGCAGTTGCGGCACCAAAGTCGAAGAGCCTAAGCCTTCGCAAGGGCGAGAATCCGTTGCCCCGGAGAGAGGAGAAGCTGCAGGGTGACGCGGAAGTCACACCCCTTGTGATTTCGCAGAGTTCTACGAGCAATGTGCTGCCGTCGTTGCTGAATGATCATGGGATTCACTGGCACAACAACCTCCCCGCTCCGGGTAGCAGTAGTACCGACGGCTTTGCTTCGAAGAGCGCCGCAGTTGCAGACCAGGTTGAGAAAGTGCAGGACTTGAGCATCAACCACAGCTGGTTCTTTACCCCGCACGTGCAGGAAACATTGAAGCATCAAAGTAAAGAGATTGCTGCGCATAGCGACAAGTTCGAGCGCTACGATGAAAAGTTTGACGAGATTGAGAATCGGAAGGGCGTTAAACAGGTGGAGCAATTGAGCAGTATTGAGAGAGCGGTGAACGATCTGACGAAAAGACTTGACGTCATGGAAAAACGGATAGTGCAGCAGTGTGAACAGAAAATCAACGAAAGCGAAAAGCGGACGATGCAGCACTTGGACGAAAAACTTGCGGGGCGTGAGGACGAGAAATACAACCTTGCTAAAATGAATGCAGTGATGCAGCGCTCGGGGCAAAACTTTGCTGCGCAGTGCCAAAAGATGAACGACGACAACAACAAGAAATTCGACCATATCGTGCAAAACCTTCGTGGACTCGCAAATAATCTGGGCGACGTGAAGCACGGTCAAGTTGAGCTGATGAAGCAAGCCCAGATGAAACAGAAACACGAACGGCAAGGGCGAGTCGACGACTCATTCCATGCCGACGTCGTGCAGAGAAAAATACTTGATGGTCTCGGTGATCTTCTGCAACCGGTGGTACAGGCCAGCGTAGCAAAGGGGTTGCAGTCCATTCGTGCAAGCGGCGATAAGGGCAGCGTGAAGGACAGAGAACCGCCGCGAAAACAAAAAGTCCGGTACTCATCTACCAACCACACATCTGCTCGGCGCGAAGGGGAATGTCGAAGCGATCGTCGCCCTATATGTAGATGCAACACGTGTACCATGGTTCTGCAGTGGCCCGAAAACGAAAGAACAATGCAGTGTGGTCGGTGTGGTGCTCGGGAGTGCGAGTCTTGCCGGAAAAAGTATACCGCTCTGAAAATCAAGGCCTTTCAAACCGAAGAAGATTTCGCTGGCGCTGGCGTTGATGCCGGGATACACGTTTGCCATCACTGCTCTCGAGACGTCATCGAATCAAAAAACACGATGGAGCCCAGGTGCGCGTCCATTCCTCAGTCCCCCAGGTCGAAAATGGTCGACAACGGCAACACTGCTCCTGGGAGCGAGCCGAAGACTTTCCGTATGACACCCGCAGACCAAAGCTCATCGAGTGCTCTTCAGCGATCAGGAGTACAGCGTGTCCCTGACAGACAACCGCAAGGGCATGACCCCGGGGATTGGTCTTCCAGTGAAAGTGCTGGTCTGGAATTTTTTCCACCAAGCTCCAGCAACGAGAGCGAGAGTCAGGACGAGCGTCAAGATGAAGTCATTCTGAAGCGCCAGCGAAGCAGTACTATCGATAGGAGTAACTAACTTCGTGCAGTCGTGTGTGAAGAAAACTCTGTTGTAGAAGAATTTTTTCTAAGTAGCAGAATTCAGTGATGAAAAGAATCAGCGCTTTGACAAAAATATACTTAGTCAAGCCAATTCCAACACACATCCCCTCTCAGGCCAACCCCATCGTCCGACGAAAAACGTTACACGCAGCGATCGCGATCCGCGCCCTCCGAGTTCCGATCGCGTGGCTGAGGAGGCGCTCCGTAAAGTGGAAGATAAGCCGGAACTGAATGCCACGGTTTTCAGAGAATCGTCGTCGTGTGTGTCGACGAAGGAGGAGCATGGGAATACGAAAAGGACGGAATGGGTTCTGACGAGAAGTCTCGCGCATTGTCAGCACACAATAAGCGACAGGTTTTCATCCGGTGTCAACGGAGGACCTGGACGTCCCCTGGTCGACGTTATTCATGAATTGATAGATGGCACCCAGAAGGCAACAGACTTCCCGCGCCTGCAAGTCGTCGAATTTGTGCCAAAAGACCCAATATCTGCCTCGGATTCGCATTCGCCGACGGTTTTGGTTACTCTCGACAACAGGCGGACGCATTGCTTCAAAATGGCCGGGATTGAGTGGATCGAAGTCGATATAGTTTCGACTTCGAGCAGCGAGTTCTGGAAGAATGGATTCGACAAGTTCACTAGGAACAAAGAATTCCGCTACGAAGGCAAGGAAGCGAAGTGGGGCCGCGGCCAGTTGTGGCATGACATAGCTGTTCTGCCATCGTATCCACATGAAGGTGCCGATACGTGTCCGTGGGCAACGTCAAATCAAACCTCCTATCCAAAGCCCGAAGGAGAGTGTAGATGCTACTACTGCTGCGATGGACGAGCACGTGGAAAGCCGTATACGCACTGGCCCGGAGCAGAGGGCGGCACCAACTACCCCGATAATAACTGCTGCAGTGCAGTAGACTCTTGTTGTCAGAAGTCGGCTCAGCAGGGGGGACAGAATTACCCGGATCTCGTTGAGCAAATGGAAAGTCGTGATCGTGCCTCGAAGTGGTACGACCAGAATGACGAAGCAAATAAATCGGAATGAAAAGTTTTTGTCTTGAAAACTTTGCCACATGTCAAAGAAAATGAAGTAAGTCCTTACCTATTCCGTTGTCGTTTCCTATTCTAATTCTACTTCGCGCTGATACAAAGTTCTTTAGTTCTTGCGAGATTTCAAGTTAGGTACTACTCGTTCAAGCACATTCCCATTCTATATCAACACTGAAGAAAAGATGAAAAAGAAAAACAAAAAGCAAAAAATGAAACACCTCTACCAAGTCGTCTTGGCACGACAGCTACTAGTGCTGAGGATGCGACTTGCGTCCGCCAGCACCATATTCACAACTTGTGTTTCTAGAAATCGGCTTAGCTGCGTTCATCAATTCGGTAGGAACTTCACTAGTGCTCATCGATCGGTGTGCCTCATTCAGCTCCAAGTTCTGAGATTTCGTGTCGGCGTTGAGGTGGAAAGGAAGTTGGTCGGACGATACCTTCGATAGTAAAATTCGCAAGCTACACTTCGGTCAGAGTGACGCACAGTCGATCGGAGAGATTTACTTATTTGTTTAAGTCGTTCGCTGCAATTGGAATTGAGATTCAATTCAATTTTTCGTTTTTCCGGCTCTGAAACAGTTGCCCCTAGCCTGTCTTAGCACCAGCGTTTGCTACGCTTCTTTTATTGCATTTTCGCTTTCTGCGTAATCGTTCTCGTCGTTTCCTAAGCAAAAATGACGTTGACACAAGCGAGCCGAACGCCGTATGACCATCTGCGGTTTGCATACCCAGAGACCTGGAAAAACCTGATCCGAATTTTCGAGGAGAAAGGCGCTGTGACGAACTTGGCGGGAATTCGAAGACCAGAAGGGTATGATCTTTTCAATTGACTCGACATTTGTTTTGATTGCGTTTGTGACACGTGAAGAGGAACCTGAGGCATTTCGTCTCTTCTTCTATCTTCTAGCTACGTAGTGCTCACTATTGATAATTCTGGAGTGCTGGTTTAAAATGCTATCTCAATCGTAAAACAGGTTGAAGCTCGAGGGTCCTCATGAAGCGCCGGTGGAGGTCGCCAAGTCTTCCTTGGTGGAGCTGTCTCCCGAGGAGGTGAAGGCATTGCGTGAGAAGGAGGCCCGGGAAAAAGAAGCCATCCACCAGCAGCGTCTGTTGAAAAACACCAGGAGAAACCCGACGGGAGGATGGTACTATAATTTGTGCTTCGTCTGTTGATTTCACTATCATGCAACAGTCAGCCTTACTATTACTTCGCGGCTGGGCTTGAATTTGGGATCTGAATTTTTATACCTTTTTTCTTTGTCAAAATCGATGTCACGACCACCAGGTACGAGGGTTTGCCCACGAACCACAAGATTGCGTGCGTGTACAACGAAAAGAAGGATAGCATGGCCATCAAGCAGCAGGAAGGCGTTGAGGCTTGGGAAAAGGAGCGCAACGGTGGAAAATGAGAAATGCACTATTCCGAAGATCTGTTTTGGTTTTGTGAAAATCAAAATTAAGATATCGCTTGCGGCATGCAATCGAGTGTCATGATGTTCATGAGCACCAGCCCTCCAGTGTCAGACATCTGCAAGAGAACTAACCTGTGTTTGATACGCATACTGTTGGAGAATATTTTCGTTTTGATGGAAAATGTAAATGAGAATCTGCCTGAAAATATAATGTCAGTGGCTGTACTTTGGATAAGCATAAGTGCGCGATGTCGAACAACTTTCACGACCTACACTACTCTGTACAAAACTTTTACATCCATCAACGCATGATAAATATAATCATTCTTGCCTCGTCGCTTCGGGCGTGCCTTGGCTGCTCATCAGGAAACAAAAGACTAGCCGAAAGTAGCACGGTGCCTGTGTACCAGTTGTTCTAAAAAAATTCTGCGTCAGCGGCGCTGCGTAGTTCGTACAGAATAACAAGTTTTAAGTCAACCCAGTTGCAACGGATCACGACGTTCTTCTACAAAGGATCAGAGGGTTGCGCTGATTGCAGCGATTCATGCAAGAAAGCCGAAGTCGTTTATCTTTATCCTTTAATGGGTGGTTCTTGATGATCTCAGCATTGTGATTGTTCCTTCCGAAGGACCAGAGCCAGGTCAATTTTTTAATTGCACTCTCTATTCCCGAACTCGATTCTGAATTTTTTCATGACCATGAGCATGACCTTGAAAACACTGAAAGCGAACAACCTACATCAATCTTGGTTGTGTAGGCACGTGGTCCCCCCTCACGTTTTGTCGTCTCTGAAAATACTAATATTCACATTCACATTTACAGTCAGGACATCCGAACTTTTTAGAAGCGCCATACCCAAAGGATCATCCCGCTGCAGAAGTCTTGTCCCGTTTGCGGCCTCGTTGTTCCCCGAAACCCGCGCCCCAGTGGATTTTTTTCGAGAGACGACCTGATCCAGAAGCGGTCCTCGTCTACTGCCGTGATGGCTTCCGCAATATCTTCTACGTCTACAAGCCCACCAGCCTCCTTGCACGAATGCACCCTGCTGGAGCTGCTGGGCTGTTGCGCGCACCGAGATTTAGGGCGCGTCCGAGAATGCTGGCTTACATTGTTTTCGGCGGGAGCGGAACCGTTTGTGCCGTCGCCCTTGCTGTTGTCTGCGCTCACCACCTCGGCAGAAGCTTTGACCGAGGTCATCAGCACCGGTTTTCCCGCTTTGGAGAATTCCGCCCAGGCCAGTGCGGCAGACCTGGAACTTATGCAGCTATGGCTCGCCGAGATCTATCGCCTCGTTGTGCGTGCGGCGTGTGACTCCATCACGACTGGGAGTTCTACGACTCCCACACTAGCATCCGCGCAGCAAAATAAATTCGACCACTCGTTCGTGGACTTCGAGTTCATTCCGCACCTCACCGCCGCCCTGCACGCCTTGCGGACGGAAATTTTTGCGACTAAGACGACCGTTGTCGCTGGCGAATCCGTCGACGACGAGCGGTTTCTGCTTCTTTTTTGCGCAACCGCGTGTCGTCGCCACCGAGTCGCGAGAGCGGCCCAGGGCCTGAATCCCGGCCGCTTTTTTTACGGCCACGCCAACCGCGCCTGGACGCAATCTCATGGCGTGGCGACCACGTTGTCGGGAAAGAATTCACTTTCTGGGCCCACAGGCGGGAAAAGAACCACACCTCTAAACAAGCACACCGGTACAAGCGGACTGATTTACGTGCCCACAATCCACCGACCGGGCGGAATCCTTGCGGCACCCATGAACCTGCACGAGCAGTTGGAGTTTCACGTTCGCGACATCCTGGCCTGTGTGATGTACCAAACCTCGAGTCTCTGGTGGTCCACATACTTTTTGACGCATGTGCAGAACGCGATGGCGATCAGTCCGCTGGACTTCCTGTTCTTCGTTCTAGACAGCCCACCGAAAAAGATGACTCCTTCTCACCATCCCTCAACCAGCGTCGCTGGAGTTGCTGCGTCGAGAAGCGATTCTTCGGCAACAAGCGCGCAGAAAGTAAACACCATCTTCACGAAGAAGATCCTCCAGCGAGTGATGCAGCTAGTAATGCTGTTTGAGCAGACGATGACGGGAGGCACTACTCCGTACGAGATCGATCGAGATTTGTACGAAATCACCCTGAACCATGCAAGCCGAAACTGTTTCCAGTTTCCGATTTCTCGTCCCGTCTGCCTCCCGATCGCCGCATATCTTGCCTCGAGACTGCTGGATCGGCAGAACATGCTGACGTTAATGCCGGCCGGCCTCGGGGCCGAAGGACCAACGGAAGATGAGGCCAGGATGCAGCGTTTACACGGACAATCACAACAGCATGCCTGGAACAAAAGCGACGAGGCGGGGCGCGACTACATTTACAACAGCCTGTTGACGCTTGGCGAGACGGCCTGCGCCACTCTGTTTAACGAGACGGACGAATCGCAAAACTCCGCCGAAGCAACCGTGCTGTACCGCGGGTTGGTGTTTGGGCTCCTTGGCGGCCCCGCAACGCTGCAGATTCTCGGACGACACCCGTGGCAAATGCTGGTCGAGGCGGGGTTTTGCGTCTGGGGCGTTTTGTGGCCAGACTACGCCGAGTCGATGCGGCAGGTGGGGTTCGCCCGACAGGCGAAACAGGAGGAAAGCTTTCAGTTCTTCCACCCGGAGCTCGCGGAGACTTTCGCGCACCTGCTGGTGCAGTGCGGCCCGAACGTGGAGGCTTTGGGGCTCTCGCTGCGGGACTACGCAGAGCGGTCGCCGCAGGCAGAGGATCCGTGGCAACGCAAGAGCGGATTTCTGTTGGTCACCACGGTGGCGCGGACGGCGTTGAGCCTGGTGCAGAGGCAGACGCACACAGACTTCGGGGGCGTACACCTACGCGCGTTGCTAGCAGACTGTCTTTGCTTTGTCCACCAGGTCGCCGGGGAAAGCGCGCTGTTGCAGGACTACGTGGTGCTTTTGAGCAACGTTTTTCACCATCCGATTATCACGGAAAAATCCTTCGAACTCCGTGCCATCGCCGAAAAAATGTTGCTCGACCTTTTCGCCTCTATCGCCGCACCGAACGAGAATTTCGGTCTGGCCCCTAAGCGGCGCAGCTTTGCGCTCCGTCGGTTGGACTGTTTTCTCCAGATCCTCACGATGAACACCAACCCAGATGTGATAGTCGTCGACTCTTTACCGTTGTCGCACAAAAATAAATTCGTGATGTTCACGGAGGCGATGGGGCACGTTTTCCTTCAAATAATTCAGAACTCGAAACCGGAAACCGACATGCAGCCCGTTGCGTTTCGCGTGCACTGTCTCGTCGGGGCCGCCTGCCGTCAGAACAACCTGATGTTGCCCGCCCAGGAGTTGCCACTGCCGCACGCGTTTGCAGAGGCTTACATCGAAACGAGCATTCGCTGCCTGCATTCTTTCTGGGAGGATGTGTTTGAGGCAAACGTGGTTTTCCTCGTGCAGAACCATTCCAAACTCTACCTGGACCTCGCGGTTCTCACCGCCCGGCAGCTGGGCCACGCCAAGTTTCTGACAAAAATTGTGCGGCACTGGCCGCCGATGGACGGACACCTGTGGGAGATACTATCGAGGCACGGCTTCGCTGATCCAAAGAACAGGACGAGAAAAAATGGTTTTGAGGGTGAACACACAAAAAATACTCTGCCTGGGGGCGGGATTTTTTACGGAGTCGGAGAAGCAGTGCGATTGCAGCACGTCCCCTACGTCATGCAGAACTACTCGGAGGCAACGAAGTTTCAACTCTTTCGGGATCATTTGGATCATGGGAATTAAGGGAAATGAGGTACGGCCCAGCAAATAAATGTATGACACTGTGATCCTATTCCTAAACAGAAAATGAAAATCGACAGAAATGCGAATAAATGCATGAAGGAGCTAGTTTTCATCATTTTGTTTCATTCTCATTCTAAAAGGGAACCTCAACCTGCTTTATTTGGTCGATTTCAACTCGGGTGTGGTCTGGTGTTTGAAGAAAACACAAACACAAAAGCAAATCTTGAAACCGAGACTCTAAGTAGTAGTGTCTGCAAACGGACAACATGCACCATACTAGATCATTGGCTCGACAACGTTTCAGGTCCAATCGTAAAATGAAAGAGAGCATGGAAAACAAAACTTTCAGAAGATCACGATCCAAAGTGAATCACAATCATGTGACCGGATTTATGATAATGATCCTCATATTGATCTTGTGCCGATCAGAACAACAAAATCAAGGATCATCTCGATCAGCCGATCGCTTGAGCGTCTGTCCTTGCTCCGCCGAATAAAGCGCAACACATGATCTCCTGCACCAGGACGTTACACATGATGAAGACTTGTACCTACATACTTCGAACAATATAATTGGTTGAGTTTCAGTTTGTAAGTGTAACCAAAAGAATCAGATTCAGAGCCTTTCACTGTTGTATTCGAATTAGCAGCACCATCTCAAAAATGGGCGGCTTTAAGCGCAAAGTGCACCCGCAGGTGAAGAAGTTCGCGGAACGATCTGCGAACTCGAGCACCACCGCGGCGGCCGGCAAAAATCCCTTCGACACGCTGCAGAACAAATCCCGCAACCGGCAGGTGCTTGGCGAGAAGCGACGGGGGGAGTTGCGCGACGCGCAGAAGGTGAACCAAGTGCGGAATCAGGAGCGTGCTTCGAAGCTGCTCGATGAGTACCGACGGAAGAACAAGAAGAGCGTGATCGACGATAAACGGATCGACCGGGAACACGACGACGAGTACGACGACAAAAGGCTGGTGAAGCTGTTAAATGCGAAGGCGAAAAAGAGCAAATTCCAGCTCGGCGAGGAGCAGGCGCTGACCCACGGCGGCCGGAGTCTCTCCGGCATCGCCGATGACGAGCTGGAGCGGGACCTGCCAGTCGGCCGCACCGAGATCGAACGCATGACCCGCGAGGAGGAAATCGCGATGGCAGAAGCCAATTTCGGTGGTGGCGCTACCGGCGCGAACGCAATCAAGATTCCGGGGCAGGACCGACAAGAAGGAAGAAGCACTAGCGAAGGTGTTGACGAAAGAGCAAGAAACGCGACAAGTTCATCATCTCCCGATCAGCCGAAGACCCGCGCGGAAATATTCGCGGAGATTGTGGAGAAGAGCAAGATCGCGAAGGCGCAAGAGATGAAGGAGCAGCGGGAGCAGGAAATGAAGCTCTCGGAATTCGACGCGGCGTTTGGGGATTTGTTGCCGATGCTGCAGATGTATCAAATGCAAAAATGTCTGGGTCTGGAAAGTTGTGATGCAGGTCACTGAATAATAAGGACGCTGTAATGCGCCGCCAAGCATGACAAGTTTTTTCATGCTTCTGTGTTGCGTATTCCGCATGAGAAACTGCGTGTTTGCATGACAGGCTAGAGGAGCCCTTGGTTGCCACGCAATACAGATCCCAGAGTCATGCCAGACTAGCATGAGAAATCTCGCAATCTCCCAGACCCAGACATTTTTACAATCCATAAGATGCGAGGGCCGGCGGATAAGTACCTGAACCACACGCGCCCCGACGACTACGACCGGCAGATGAAGCAGCTTTCGCATGAGAAGGTGGCCAGAGCGCAGGAGCGACTGAAGACGGAGGAGGAGATGAAGGTGGACCGGGCGAAGAAGCTACAGGAACTGGAACAGCAGCGGTTGCAGCGAGCTGTCGAGGATAAAAGTCTGGTCGCGAAAAAGAAAAAATCGAGGGGAAGTGGTGACAACGGGGACAAGGAAAATCAAAATAACGGCTCCGGATTACAGTCGGGCGAAGATGATTCCGAAAATGATGAAGGCGATGATGACTCGTCTGACGAGGAAGGTCTGATCCCGTTGGACGCGCAAACCGACAGCGAAAACGAGGACGACGCCGCTGCTGTCGAAGATGGAGATAGAACTACAAGGAAAACCACCTCAAACGCAAATGAGGACGATGACGAAGAACTTGTTGAAAACGAGAATGAAGACGCGTCCGGCTCAGACGAGGATTCTACCGACGAAAACTTCGACTTTCTTACTGAGCAGTTCAAGCAAGAGACTACTGGTGCGGAAGGTGAGTCCGAGTGGATTACCGAGGGCGGAAATATTAACGCAAGCGAAGAAGACGAAGAACATCTTCTGGCGAGTGACTTGGAGGAGCTTGATGGTGCAGAACAGGATTTTTCCAACACCGATGCTGAAGAAGAGGACCGCCAGGCATCAAATGGCAACAAGAAGAACAAAATCAGCAGCCTGTTCTACCCGCGCGCCCCCTCAAGCGTCGACCCGATGGTAAACAACAACACGACGGAGAAAAACCTGCCGTTTCAGGTCTTGCAGGACCAAATCATTCCATTGCTTCAGAAGTACAAGTCACAGCCGACAATTGTCGTGAAGCTCGCCAAACGAGCTGTTTTGTCGTCCACCAAACAGCCGGACGAGGACTGGGCGGCGAGCGAGGTGATTTTGTTTCTGCTGGACGCCATCTGGCTCGACCTGACGGAGGCCGGGTCCTTTGCCCTGCTGTATGCCCTGGAACCCTTTCTGATCGAGCTGATTTCCGGATTAACAGCGACAAACAGTGTCTCGAACATCCGTACGCAAAAGGTGGTGTACGGGTATTTCTCCGAGAAAATGGAAGAACTGGTCGGAAAATTTGAGTTCCACGGGAAGACGGAACTCCGGGATGCCTACAAGCAGGATAAACGCCAGTTTTTCCAATCTTTACATTTTGCGAAAATGCTCCTGCACTTTTTCCCCACGACCGACGTGCGCCACCCGCTTGTCTCCCCGATGTTGCTGCACTTGGACCGCCTGGTAGCGGTGGTGAGAAAGTTGTTTGCAGGCGACCAAGAGACACTGCGAACAGCGTTGCTGTACTTGAGAAACGTTCTGTTTGAGTACTCAAACTTGGCGAACACGTCGGACGTGAGCCTGCAAGCGAGTGGCCTTCTGCCCTCAAAATACAACTCCGAGGCACTGGGCAACACGTTTGGGGGAGCGAGCAAAAACGACAACGGAAGTTGTACCACGCCGGACCGATATCTGCCGGCCTTTTTCGCGGTGGAGCGGGAGCTGTGCAAACTCAACAAACAGACCGACGCGAACAAAGTCACCTCGCTTCAGGATCTCGTTTCAACAGGAGATGAAGATGTTTATCTTCAAGATGGCACAACTACAACTTCTTCGAGAAAAAGCACCAAAACAGCTGTTCATCTTCCAGACTGGGTGCGGCACGTCGGGGGGTACGAAGAAACCGCGGCCCACCGCCTCTTTCCGCTCCAGTACTTGAAACGCCCCGTGGTGCAGATCCCGATGCTCGATCCGGTCTTCCACGACCCGCGGGACGGTGCGCTGCCGAAGGGGGACCCGAATAGGACTCTGAACCGTAAGTTGATATGAAATGCAAAAATGTCTGGGACTGGAAACTTGTGATGCGAAGTGGCGATGATTGAGTGTACTCCTGAGAGCAGCCAAGCATGACAAATTTTCAGGACGCTTCCTCATGTGTAATGCGCATGAGAAGCAGCGTTTTTGCATGACAAAGAGTTCGCGCTTTTGTCGGTCACGCAATACAGGTTCTACAGGAGTGCAAGACAAGCAATACAGATTTCAATTTTTCCAGACCCAGACATATTTGCAATGCATAGTTGAAGCAGGAGTACAACAAGGAGCGACGGAACGCGGCCAAGGAGCTGCGCAAGGACGCGGAATTCCTGCGGCACGTGAAGGCCAAGGAGGACGAGCGGTTCGTGAAGAAGCAGGAGGTGCAGAAGAAGCGCGTCCGGGCCATGATGGGCGTCGAGGCGCAGGACATTGCGCAGATGCGAACCTCGCACGCCACCAGCATGGACACCTCCTTGGGGTCCTACAAAAGAAGGAAAAAAGAGAAGAAGCAAAACGCGCGGCTGGCCGGAAACAAGACGAACAAGGATGTGGGACGAGATTAGTGGGGAAAATAGGTGGTCGTCCCGGTTTGTCGACGTGTAGTTTTCTCAATTGAACATTGCATTCGCACAATTTTTCGAAACCGCAAGAAGATCACTCAGAGAATGTATGCTTACTTTCCTCCGCTTTACGTAAAGCTAAAGTTTAGTGTTCTAAAGAAGAATGAGATCTTTACCTTTCCCGCGTTACAAACTGGAAGACGCAATCCAATGAATCAGTATCGAGCGAGCGAGCGTGAGAGCCAACGTGGATGAGACGAGAGCGAGGGTGCCTATTACGAAAAGGTCGCCAGTGCGCTGGTAGACGCTGCGGTAGTTCTTAGGTTTCTTTTCTTCCTCCATGTTACAACTTTTCCGGACACAGAAAACTCTTTCGCCATGTCATCTCCGCCGTATCTGTTCTCGTTGCTGGGGAGTTCGAAATCCCTGTCCGCTGCGGGCGTCGTCGGTTGGTCGCAGTCCGCCACAGACGAAGCGGTGCTCAATGACGACAGCCTGGACGCGCTGAAAAAGTTTCGGCAACTGTTCGGCATTTCCCTGGACTGGACCAAGTTTCCCGTCGTCCGGGTGGCCGAGTGTGACCCAGAGCACAAGTATGTCAAGCGGGCCGGGTGCCGACCGGGCGATGTGCTGCTCGCGTTGTGCAGCACGGTGGACCGCGTCACGTTGGTCACGCAGTGGTACATCTCCGGCAGTACCTCCCCGGAACACGTCATCATGGAGAGGGTGTAATTTTTTTCTCGATTGGTTTCAAGCCAAGAAAAGAGCATCATGATAAAGTAAGACCGGCTGCAGATAGAAGTGACAGTGAGAATATCTGTGGTGATCCACCTGGTCTTGTTCTTTTTGTGTGAACAATGAATAATTTTCGTAACAAGGTTGACTTGAATACGCGTGATCATAACTTCAATGCTTTGTCCACAGGTCAAGCAACGCATCAAAGAAAAGAAACCGCAAGTGGTGTCCTTCATCTTTTTGTCGCATAAAAACGCGCACGAGTACTTGCAGCTGCAGATACCGGACTTGCAGACCGGCAAAAAGCCGGGGCTGTCTTTCGCGCGAGGCACGGGGAAGGTGACCGCAGTGACAGCATGGGCCGCCGAGATGGGGCTGCAGGCTGGGGACGAAATTTCCGCCGCGAACGAACTCTTTTTCGATGGCCAGCCAGAAAGCGACCCGTGTTGGGCCACGCTGGAAAAGTATTTGGAGCAAAGCCGTCCTCTGTATATCCTCTTTCGACGGAAAGGGGCGGGGTTCGACCCGGGGAAACAGCCAAAGTTGGACCGTCCCCTGCCCGAGCGGTGGATGGATCGAGTCAAGAACAAGGGGCCGTTTTACGCGACCCCAAATGCTGCTACTGCCAGCACAGCGAGCAACTCCCCTGCAGCGAGTGCTGCACTGCTTCGCGCCAGCCCAGCCGGGAGTGTGGCCGAGGGGGCACAGGACCAAGCGGGCAGCAGTATGGCACTGTCTCAGTCGGGAGCCGGTTCAACATCTTCCCCTGGAGCTGCACCACGAAGCAACAAGCAGAAACCGCCGGCCGGCTCGCCGTACTTGGTTTCGATGTTGTTCGCGCTGACAAAAGTGGACAAACAAAAGGCCGCGGGCGTGCACGGGTGGGGGCAGAGTCGACTGGACGATCCAGCAGTGATAGACGATGCGTCTCTCTCGGGCCCCGCAAAGTTTCGGTCGCTGTTCGGATTCTGTCTCGACTGGACGCTTTTTCCGCGGGTGGTCGTAACGCAAGTCGATCCCTTCCGCCCGGATGGGGTGACGCCCTCCCGAGCAAAGCGCGGCGGCCTTGAGGTCGGCGATTTTCTTCTCTTCGTCGCGTCACAGTCAGACCGCATCACTATGGTCGCGACGTGGAAGGGCGACAGTCCGGAAGACGCGATCCTGAACCGGATCAAGGAGCGCATCGCGGCGAAGAAACCGCAGGTCTCGTCTTTTGGGTTCCTGCGCTCGAACTTTGCGGAACGGTATGTTCAAATCTTCATTCCGAAGAACACGCCCGCATTGATAACGGTCGACGGCAAATCGGGGAGCATCACGCAGCCGCCCGACTCGGAGCTGACTCGGCGTGGAGTGGTCGTCGGAGACGTGGTGGCTGCCGTCAACGACGTGCTCACCGTAGAGAGCGACGACCCGTCTCGCATCGGACGCCGACTCGGCGACTCTTCCGCTGACCGCCACGTGTTGGTGTTTCGGCCGGACGGGAGCTCCGCAGCGAGTAAGACCTTCACCAAAGCGTCACGCGACGAGGATTTCGTTGTGCGCGACTTGCCGAAGGCATGGCGAGAGAAGTCGAGCCAGGGTTACGCGGATAGCGAAAAGCTGTACGCGAAACAAACACAGGAGAGCGGCGCTGGCGCAACTACATCTACACCGCAGAAGTCCCTTGAAGGATCAACAACATCTCCAGCCATTGTGACTGCACCACCAGCACCAGGAGGACCTCCAGCTCCTGCGGAGGATAAGCAGAAGACGCCGGGACCGTACCTGCGGTCGATGCTGGCGATGGTGAAAGACCCGAAACAGGCCGGTATCACCGGATGGTCGCAGGGAACGATTGACACTGCAGTTCTGGACAACAGCCAAATGAGCAGCGTCGAGCGCTTTCACAAACTTTTCGGTTTCGACCTCGACTGGGCGGAATTCCCGCTTGTGCGGTGCAGTTCCATCTCCTCCGATCCTGCCTCGCGCGCGCAGCGGGCGAAAATTGCCGTCGGCGACTTACTCCTCGTCTGCGGCGGATCTACAGACCGCGTTACGCTCTCCGCCACGTGGGGCGGCACGACCAATGATCTCGAGTCCGCGATTCTGGCCCGCATTCAGGAGCGGATCAAAGAGAAGAAACCACAGGTGGCAACCTTCATTTTTCTCACGGCTGCGAGCCTCGGTAATTACGTCCAATTGACTTTGCCGGTGAAGAAAAGCAGCGTCGAGGATGATATCGGCGTGGAAGCTTGGGACCACGATGCGACGAGAGTGCGAATCGGAAAATTGACGGCCAGCTCCTCCACATGGGCGAGACGCCACGACCTCGCGGTCGGGGACGAGATAATCGTCAGCAACGACCTGGTTGTGGAAACGGATACTGCTGCTTTCATCCGCCGCGTCGGCCGACGGGACCAGGAACAAAGACTTTTGGTGCGCAGGCCCAGCGGTCCGTTCTCGTCGGTGACCCGCGCATCGGAAGATTTCTTGACCCGCCCGCTACCAGACAAGTGGAAAGTCGCACTTGCTACGCGTCCGCAAGTCGCCCGCGCGTCCTCTTCATCGCCCCCGGTTGTTGTACCCGAGAAAAGAGTCGTTGTCGCAACGCCGACTATCAAAGAATCGCAGGCACCAGCGGGACGACAAGCTGCAGAGCCAAGAGCAGAAACTCCAGCACCATCACCACCGCACCAACCAAAGCCGGAAATAGTCTCGGCTCCTGTGACTATAACAGCCACAAGTCCGCAGCCTGGAGCTGCACCAACGCCGCAGATGGAACAAGATAGCACGGTGGCGGGAAAGAAAAAGAAAAAAGGTATAAAAACCAAATCCGAGGAAGTAACCGAGGGCATGCCTAGTCTCTACACAAAACGCCAGGAACAGGGAAGGTTTTTATGGCATCTTCTTGCGGATAGCAAGCGCCTTCAAGAGTTGGGCTTTTACACGTTTTCCATCCCGACACTCCCTGAAGTGTTGAATGCAACGGTCGCTTCGCCGAGTAAAAGCGATGGCCGTCTGCGATTTGTCCGGACATTTGGGTTCGACCTGGATTGGTTAAATTTCCCCGTGGTCCGGGTGTCTTCGGTCCAACTTCGCACTCCCCGAAGCCGGGATCCGAGCTTCGCCACCAAACACAAAGTGAAAGTTGGCGACTACCTGATTTGCTGTGTCACGCTCCGAGACCGCGTCACGCTGCTTGCCACCTGGCGAGGAAAAGATCCGTTCGATGCAATTCTCGGCCGCGTCGCGGCCCGGCAGAAGGAACGGAAGGACCCCGTTTGCAGCTTCTTGTTCCTGTCTGGCGAAATGCGCAAAAACTTTTTGCAGTTGGTGGCGACCAGCGTCGGCGACTTTCGTGGTGACCTCGGGTTTCAGGTGGTGGACGGAACGGGTGCGGTCGGGGGACTAGCCGGCGTTTCGACCGTTGAGCACACCACTCGCACTGGCGTGGGAACCGTGATAAAGACGGAATCGATGCAAACCGTCTCGTTTTCGTCGACGTTTCAGTTGCAGCAGAAGGACGAGGTCTTTGTCGCGGTGGGCGGCACAACGGAGCTTTTGGTCGAAAAGGACTGGCGCAAGATGAAGACCTTGCTCTCGAAAGACGGCCCGCGGCCGTTGTACCTTCTGCTTCGGAGGAAGGCGGGGTTTCCGGAAGAGGAACTTGTCGCCGTCGATGCTGACATCAGCCGGGCACTGCCGCAGCAGTGGGCTGTAGCGCTTAGCGCACAGCCTCCGCATCTCGTGCAGCGCGACTACAAGATTCTTGCAGATGGGGATCCCTCGATGAATAAAGCACCGGCTGAAAAAAACGCTTCTGGTGCAGACGATGGGCAGAAGAAGGCGCGCCTAGCGCTGGCTCCTGCGCGGCCGCCGTTTCTGCTTCATCTCCTCGACAAGACCGCGTTGGACGATCGGCGCGCACAAATGCAGCTCGGTCTTCTCACCCTCCGCCTCGACACTCCCCTCCGCGAACTGGCCCAGATCACCGGCGGCAACTTGTCGGGCCGCGACAAACTCCTCAAAACTTTCGGGCTCGAGTTGGACTGGGCCGCGTTTCCGCGCGTAACGATCGACCGTGTGGAGCCGGCATCGGCGGCCGAGCGCGCAGGAACGAAGCCGGGCGACGTGCTCGTCGCGCTTTGCGGAGCTGCGGTGCCGACCATGGCCAGCTGGCCCGGCGAGGACCCAGACGACGCGGTGTATCACAAACTGATCGCGACGAACACGGTCCGGCGCGCGTTGTCCTTCGTGCAGGAAAACTACGTTACCTCCTACTGGGCCGTGCAAATCCTCGGACACGGTGCGCTGGCCTGCGAGAACGACGTGCGTGCGGTGCTCGACACGCGGGGCGTCATCCGCGCAGTGCCGGCCGCGAGTTGGGCGGAGCGAGAGGGTCTGCAGGTCGACGACAAGATTATCGTCATCGCGGATCAGCTGATCGAAACCGGACCAACGGTGCAAAACACCGACGCAGTGAGTGTTTTCATCGACAAGTGCATGTTTCGGGATGTCGTGGGGAAGCAGGCCAGTAGCGAAGTAGTAGTAGCTTCTGGAGGAGGTGCAAGTAATACGCAAATGGAAATGCACGCGCCCGCGGTTGCATTGCTGATTCGCAGGAAGTCTGCGGTCGGGACAGTAGAGTTGACGAAAACGTTGTTTCCCCCGACGACGTTGCCATTAGTGTGGATGGACAAACTAGCTGCGCGCAAAGCCACAAAGAGTGACAGCCCGGCCCGGCTGGAGGTGCTACAGGCGGCGTACTCGGCAGCAGGCGACAGACAGAAAGCGACCAAACAAGATGAAACGGAAGTGGGCTTGTCAGCCGACGAAGTGCCGGAGGTCGTGACATTTTCATCGGCAGACGGTGGAGACGGTGAGAGGGTAGCACAGCGGTGGGAGCAGCAAGTCGACAGAGAGGAGATGGAAAAGATGAACCGACTAGTGCTCGGCACTCAGCTGCGACCAAGAAACGAAGATGCTGTGGCTGTCACGCGGGCGCGCGGCGACGGCGGCGCGAGCGGGCTGAAGGCCAGCGCTTCATCACCCGCAGCATCGCCGAAACGCGCTGCACGGTTGCTGGGAAGCAGCTCGGCCGCGAAGAAGGAAAGCGACAAGCGGGTGCTGGATCAGGCACAGCACGCTTTTGAGCTACAACCTGTTGGCTCTCGTATTGCGATGGAGCAGTTTGGCGTCGCAAGCGGCGAACGGACTTCGGGAAAGCGCGGCTTTCCGTCAGACCCCGAAGCGGACACCCTGTCCCGTGTGCAGCTGGACCGACTGGCCAAAGAAGCTGCGGTTTTCGCGACGGACTCCTTGCACGACAAACATGCCAAGATCGCGCCGCATCAGGGGCGTGCGCGACGCGACGAAGCGTTGTTTTCCCCGGGGAAAAGAGCGCGGAGATCTGGTCCGCCAGTGCAGCTCCGGCTCTTCCAGGAACGCAACAAAGCCGGACGCACGTGGAACCAAGAGGCAGCCCGGTGTCCCACACTGCTAAAGGAAATGTGGAAGAGAACTTACATTTCTGCCAAAACGGGTAGAAGCGATCGCATGTTGCGGCCGGTGGTCAATTGAAGCTGAAATACAAAGAGCAATGCAGTAGCCACCGAAGACAGAGAAGTCGTCTGTGGATGATTTTTGCCATAAGGATAAGTTAATTCACATGATGTTCAGCAGCTTCAGGAGGACGAGGACTAGGACAGGGAGAAAGACTTGAACTTGAATCAATACGAACCGCAACCCGTTGGGATTATGTATCCGAATCACACGAGCGCGCTGCTGCTATGGTAAAAATACAGCGCCGCACAAGCGTCGTCAGTGCTCTCGTGTTGTTCATCATCATCTTCATTTCTCAGTAGCGTCTGAGGTCCGCAACGAGGTTGCTAAGGAAAAAAGTTGTCGACTGAGCGATCATGTCTATCACACAGCCTTTCGCGGCTCTTCAGTTATTCTGTGTTGCGGGTCTAAAGCCGAAATGCTGTGGGTGAACTACTTACTCACATGTTCTTTATTCAACGATTCACTCTACTTACTTAAGTTAATTCCTCTACATGGGTCGTAGTTTTTTCACATGATGGTGCCGCCTCCTGGAAAAGTTTCCTGAAATTGGTGTAGCAACGACAACGAGCTTGGGGCGGCATGCCGACCATCCGGCGGCTGAAGATGAAGTGCGTTTCGTTCTTTATTTTTTGTGTAGCCGAAAACACTGCATCGTCGGGTCTGGCTGCCCGTCTGCGCGTCGGAAAGAGTGCCGATGGCACCGAAAATGAGGAGGACCTGGTGGAGCAGGAGCGGGGGCTGGACCAAGATGATCACACAGATGCCCAGAATCGCATGGCGGAAGATGGAATGACACACGTATCTATACTCACGCATGATTCTTCTAATATATAAGCTTACGTGTACAACGAAGTCGTAGATGTAAAACATCTGCTCACAAACACAATAAAAGTCGCGGCGACCACCGCGTCAGGCTCAGGTGCAAAACCATACCAATTGAAACCTGATAGTTTGACTTTCATTTCATCACTCTGACCACAGGCAATCATGCGCACCGTGTTGGAGAATTTCCACAAGACCGTTATGCAGCCACTGGTGGAGGAGTCGAAAGCTCGAATTGACGTCGCGCTCAAAGATGCGGATGCAAAATTGGAGAGCGACCAGGAGCAAATCAACCAGGAAATCAGTTTGGCGGAAACCAAGATCGCGGAGATGCAGTCCTCGTTGGACGAAAACCTGCGCCGGAAGCAGACACAGGTCGCCGAGCTTAAAAACCTACTGCAGCAGCAACTGCAAAACTACACGGAGACCATGTCTCGTGTCAAGGAAATGCTGGGGACGAGCGTGCAGGAAAGCAAAACGGAGCTACAATCCGTGCACCAGTACCTCGCCGAGCAGCGCGAGGCGGTGCTGGCCGAGATCGGGGAGGTCGGCGATGGCGAAGAAGATGAAAACGCTACAAATTTCACCAACATCACCACCGAAGCCAACATGACAGCCGCCGATCCGAGCGTGAGTGCCAACGTCACCGCAGGAGGATCAGAAAGCGAGGCGAATTTGACGGCCGGTGGCGCGGGGTCTGCCAATGTTACGATGAATAACATCACAGGAGACAACAGCACCGGCCTCGAGACCCTTGAACTCGGAGGTGACGAAAACGAGGAAGGGGACACTCCCGCTCAGGTTTTTCTCGAGACAGCAAACAGTGACATCAGCAGTTTCGGCAAGTCGGGCGCAGAGTTCTTGCAAGTTGCTGACGGTGCACTCGAGAACGCCGACCACACGTTGTCCGAGAACTATGCAACAGAAAATCCCTCGTCCCTGATTCCGGATTCGACGTCCCTCCTGCGAACAAAGGTCGCACGGATTCTGGAGGGCGGCAAGAAGAAAATCGTGCGGACCGCTCAGCAAAAAGTGCTAAGTGTGAAGAACATGATGAAACTGAGGACGAATAAAGCAAGCGGTAGAACGACTGCAAGGCTGCATGGCGGCAATGAAAAACTGCACACGACGAAGATGAAGTCGAAATCCATCAAAGCCGCGATGAGCAGTCCGGTGATTGATCCAGATACTCAGGAGGAAGCGAAAAGCTTCGCCGAAAAAGCGGGAGATGCTATTAACGCCCACATTCTAGCCGAAGTCGACGAGTACACGAAAGGACTCAGAGACGAGGTGCTGTCCATGGTCCAAGAGGTGGGGGAGCAGCTGCACCAGCGCACGCTGGCCATTCACGACACCGTCGAGAGCGCCCGCGACAACTTCGAAGACGCTGGAATGGCTGCCAACGCCGAGGTCAGCGCGGATCTTCAGGTAAGTTTTTACTGGGACGAATGTTGGTAAACGCAGAGCTAACAGGACTGAGGTCCTTGCTTTTCATCAAACGCCACCAATGTAAAGTGATAGTCGACGCAAGTCGACTGCTGCAACATTAAGCACATCAAAATGGAAAGACCAGGACTACAGCCTCAATTTTTTGCATCATATCATCATAACTCCACATGCAAACAAATCCATCACAGAGCGAAACCGAGACGGCACAGAATTTGGGGGACTCGCAAAGCAATCTGCAGACGGCTGTGGCAGAGAGCACGCTCTCGAACCAGAACGACTTCGGTATTTACAGCACGAGTACCAGCACGCCACAGCCCGTCCTCTTTCTCCAATTAGACACTGCGAACAAGAAAGAAATTGAAAACAGAAAAAGCAACAAAGAGAAGGAGGACGAATTTTTTGAGGCCGAGCGGAGCGAAAGTCAAAGTAGTACAACTGTTGACCTCCAGTCGACCGACGCATCTGCGGAGGATCATGGCACCAGGGTAAATATGCGAGGTAACGGCGAGCAGCAATTTCAAAGCGACCTGGAGGACCAGCTGGACCTGGTAAAGAGTGCTTCAGACGCGGTGTCCAAAGCAGCGAAGGAAGCCGCAGAGGTGGCGGGAGAAGAGTACACGGGCGCGATAGGCGAAGGCGCGACCAATTCGACTGCGGGTTCTTCAAGTCCAGATGAAGAGGAGACAAGCCCAAGCGAAGAGGAGGACACCGACGAGGCGGAGCAGGAATAAGCTTGGGAAGGTGCTAGCGATGGAGGTTTGTTCGAGGCGGTGCTAGTAGTGAACAAGCTGCAGCGAAGCAGTATCATATCGTGAATCGATTTTTTTTCTTCGGTTTCTTCTTGACGTTTTATTACGGCAAAGCAATCTATGTCTTACTTTGTCTATCAGAAAACAAGATCGATGGAGATTGATAGGATGCCTATCAATCCTACTAGCGCCACATTTTTCGAGAATATAGTCGCCAGCGGTCAACAGCCGGCCGCAAGCTTTTTTTAGAAGATGAACGAATTCATCGGCTTGTATTCAATGTAAACTCTAACCTAGTAAACTTTGCTGGCAGCCACCACAGATCACAACTGTATAATCGAAAAGACTTTGTCTATGGGGGGCGGAGGATTTCCCAAAGGGAAGGAGAAAGTAGACTCGAATAGTTTTACAAATGCACACTGTAGTTTCATCGTCATTTCAGTACCCTCAGCCGATCGAAGAAGCATAACATATCATGGACTGCATCTTCGCAGCACCCATGTGCTTTTGGGTTACTCTTACTTACCACAGAGACGGACATACGGAGTGTGTAAAGTATTGTTCCTTTCATCGAGAGAAAGACTGTTCGCTATCGATCCGAAATTTTCCGTGTCGTTTGGCCCTAAAGGAAGAGGGCAGATCGTGTACTTATTCGCAAACGAAAGTGACCTGCCATCGGAGAGTGAGAGGGAGAGCCACAGAGCAGTGCAATGACAGATCACGAGCGAATATGTTCGAATTGTCAGCGGACGAACACGATGATTCAAATTTGTCGATCATTTAAAGCTATGATCATAAAGCAAAGCGCAATCGTGGCACATTCGCGTAGTTCTTCTAGGTGTCGCGTGTCGTGAAGATTCGGTTGGTCCTTGCACTGCCGAATGAGTTTTCTTGAATTGGCGTGAATACCTATCAACGAACCTGGTCACTGAGGATCATGGACGCTGCTGCAGATCCAGACCCGGGGGTAGCTGCACCTTCCGGGCCCTCCACGACATCGGCTCGCCCAAAAAGCAGCGTGCGCCGGACGCGCGCAGTTATATCACCCTATGATATCTTCGAGGACGAAGATGAGGCGGAGCACGAGTTGGATACTTTTTTTCTCGCGGCAGAGCAGCAGAATGAGCCCATTTCGCCCCGCAGTCCAGCTAACCGGCCTTCCACGTCGTGTTCGCACACCGCGCAAACGAAATTCGACGCCGCAGCGCGCACGGCAAGGAGGGCAGAGCGCGCGATCGCGGAGCAAGAATTCACCAGGATGCGGAACCAATCCGCCGGCGGAGGGGGGCCAGGTGCCGGAGGCGTTGTGGACCATGCGGCATTCATGCAGGAGAGCGGCAAGGTCACAGGCCAAATTAGCCAGATCGAGCAGGGCGTAGAGCAGGTGCTCACGCGGCACAAAGAATTTGCGCAAGGCCAGGCAAACAAACTGAATCGGGCCCAGACCGCAACGCTCAGCAGTCGGAAGGGAAGCATGGCAAATTTGGGTGCTAGGGAAACGGCAGGTACGGATAAAATAAGTACTTATGTGCTAGCTCTGACTTAGTGTAGAAGTAGATCTAGATCTAGATGATACGTACTTGTTTAGTACTGAAAATAAAACTACCAGTCGGAATAGGTTTGAAAATTAGTATGTACTATGAAGTATACAGAAAAAAGAATGTTGACGAAACAGAAAATGGAATGCGAATGGTAACCGGCATAGTATACGCTAAAACACTCACAAGGTGGCGCGACGGGCTCGGGTGCGGGAGCTGATAGCGCACGCGATAGCGACGACGAGAACCGAGGACTGCAACTGGTTGCGCGTGACCTTTGTCCACCCGAATGGGTGCGGAACGCGATGAAGTCGCAGAAAGGTGCGCGCGACATGATCAGTGCCAATATACAGGCGGTGCCGGAGTTCGCGCCCTCTACCGCAAGTTCCCGACGAAGACTCCGCAGTGCGGAGCGACACCGACAACAAATGAAGTTCCAGGAGAACGCAAGACAACAGAACTACGAGTAATATCAACGATGTAATTATCAATAAATTTCATCTGCACCATGATGTATGAGCTGCGTATCTTTTTGGACCGTGAAGGTGAAATTGTGTTGAAGGGTTTTTGTTCGTCTCCGAAATAAAACGAAAAGCTTTTTGATTGCGCCTGTTGACATTGATGCCCACTTCTTTTCGCATCAGGTTTACGCGAAAGACGCAGCACAGCTACGCGGTAAAGCGTGTCTGAGGCTAACAAAAGCGTCACCGCCCAGGGCTATCCAAAGCCTTCGCCGCGCATCATCCAGAGGGTCGCGCTTTCGTGCTTAGCGCAGCCCCAGCTCATGCGCCAGGGAGCGCTCTGCACACTGACAGAATAACCGCCGGCCACTGCGTCCAAGTTCGCGCGCCCGGGCGCGAGCTGATGCCCCACCCAAAGAGCCCCCCCAAGCCGGGGCTACGCCGGCGGTCGCACCGGGCCGCGGCAGTGTGCGCGCCCACTCGTCTCTCTTTGTGTCAGGCAGCAGATGATGGCCCCTCCGGTGTTGTCTTTGGTGCCTGCGCCGTGCCGTCGGTCCTAAATTAGGACCGGTGGGGCGCTGGCTCCATAAAATGATATGCATATGGCTATGGGACCACGTCCACGAAGCAAAGACGGCGCTTCAGCTGCGCACGTTCCCGCTCGTGCATAGATAAGAACACTACTGCAGCGACCTGCTGTCGTGTTTTGGGATGAAGCAGAGTTGTAGCTTCGGCTCCAAATGTTCCCGCTCTCGTTTTCTGTTGTTCTTATCCTCCAACTCCGTGCATAGATAAAGAAGTTTTCATCTATGCACGGAGATGATTGGACGATCAGAGTTGAAGCTTCTCCTCCAGATGTTCCCGCTCTCTCAAAAATGGTGTTCTTATCCCTCCTGTTCGTGCATAGAGAAGAACACCATTTTTAGGTCGTTACAAACATGTTCTTATCTATGCACCATTTGGAACAGCATTTTTGCGAGAGCGGGAACCTCTGGCGCAGAAGATGTCACTCTGCTTCGTGCCAGCCACCAACTTCAGGTCGTTGCAAGCGTGTTCTTATCTATGCACGACGTGGAGGATAAGAGCAGCAGTGTTCGAGAGCGGGAACATTTGGCGCAGAAGCTCCAACTCTGCTTCACGCCAAAACATCAATGCCAGGGCGTTGCAGTAGGTGTTCTTATCTATCTCTCCGAAGCGTTCAAACGAGTACCAGGCGGGAAGCTTTCAAGGTCTTCTGCCAGTGCGTCCACCATCGCCGCGAAAGCGGTGCCAACGGTGAGTGAGTGGGGCGGTGGGTGGGAGATTGGGTTGCGCTTGAAGAGTTCCAAGGGGTCACGAGGGGCCTGCGCACCAAGTCCGCACGAGCCGGCTTGCGGCCTTTTTTGGGTTGCGAGTACGTAGGGCCCGGGGCCGCGGAAAAGATGCGCGCCTGCGCCGGATGGCTGTGTTGTGAGTGCCCGTTGGGCGCGTCGATCTGCGCAGTGGGGGGGCCTCATTAGTCTAGGTCTAGGCTCGCCGGGGTGCTGAAATGCCTGCTGGTTCCTCTAGAACGACGCCTGGGCCGCGTGCAAAAACCCACCAGGGGAGGCAACAGCACTTCTACGCAGGCGCGCCCATAAAAACTGCAGCGCCTGCCTTGGCGCAAAAAAAAAGGCAAATCCCGACGGTATGCTGCGAATTTCTTTAAGGATAAGAACAGTGCTGCAGATCACCTATTTCGTCTCTATACATCAGGTTTACGCGAAAGACGCAGCACAGCTACGCGGTAAAGCAGCGGAAAGCCGAGCTTGCGGAGTGGCGGAAGAAGAACATGAAACCTACAGAGCTCTACGACCTAGTTAGGCCGCCGAGTGCGAGTGCCCGGTCAGGTACCAGCTCCCGACCAGCCAGCAGACCTGGCACCGCCTCGGAAGCCCACAGAGGGTATTGATTGTAGGTCTTTCTTGATCTTGTGTACTAGATCTAGATGCTTGTGCTTTCATGTGGGCGAAATCAATCTCTCGTTGTAGGCATGCGAATCTCGACCTTTGTATCTATTCTCTGATTCTTTACCCATTCCATGGATCGTGCACTCGAAAAAAAACACAGCGCCTTTCCACCCCCCGAGGAGGAGGAGGACGGGCGAACGCTACTCCAAAAAATGTGGGATACTCTAATCCCGCCACGAGACCCCGCAGAACTGCTGCCGCCACCACCGCGAAATATGCAGGACGACGACGACGACTTGCCAGACGGCCCGCCCTGCGGGGTGTTTTGGTTGCAGCTCGTCACGGTTTTTGACTTTCTGCAAGCGGTCGAGGACAAACTGAAACCGCCAGTACTCGAACCCGCAGTAGAAAAGAGGCTGAAGCGACAATGTATGATGATTTTTTCCAAATATACGTGCACTTGTGTCTTTGCCGGTCACGGTCAGGTTGCCTTGCTTGGTGCATCGACGCAAAAAATCATACATAGATCATACTCTGCCTCTGGAGAACTAAAGTTGTCTCATCGTCTACAACTCTTAATTGTTTATCACAGGCAACTTCGTTGTCGCCGGCATGCGGCTGCGCAAGGCTTTACGGGTGAGGAGGAAAATGGCCGGAATAATCCACCACGCGTTAGAAGGTTGGGTACCAATGCGGACCACATGGTTCTGCATGTCCTACTTTAATCGCGCCGTCACCATTCAACGCTGGTGGAGAGGCTGTAAGGCAGAAATACGGACGGAATACCTCCGGATACGAGAAAAGTAAAATTCGGACATGGTTCTCGTCCTTGTTCTTTTCGTGCTCGTTCAAAATTCGTGCATCGGTTTGTCACGCTCGGCGCCGTAAATCTGACTTTCAAGCTCACGATACTCATACGGTCGGCTTTTTCGCTTGACCACGTCTAGGCTGAAAAGATAGAAGTAGAACGAATTTTTTGCATTTCGAAACTACTTAAATCAAAACAGGTTCTGCGAGATCGAGAAGAAGGTTATGTACAAGAAGGCCAAAGAGATGGACGAAGTGCAAGCCAAGGAGAAGGCCAAGTTTGAGGCCACACAGAAGAACAAGGCGCGGCAGCGGCTTAGCAAGAAGAAGGAGCCCACAGCGGCGGAGTGGGAGGAGCGGATTCGGTTTATGATGGTGCCAGAGGAAATCCGAGTGCGCGTGGTCAAGGACTACCTCCGCTACACTCGCTTCCTCCGAGTACAGGAGATCACCAAGCACCAGCAACACTGGTTCAAGGAGCGCGCGGACTGGCTGCTCGGCCGGACCGCGACGACCTTCTTGGGTCTGAAACTCGGGAAAACGGGGAAGAAAGCGCCCCCGATGCCGCTGTGCCCGCCCATGATGCCGTCGCTCGACGCGTTTCTGGATCTCATCAAGCAGGCACACGCGCTGAAGGACGGGTATCCGGCAGACTTCTACGTGCCACTGGAAACGCGAGTCAGAAAATTCGTCGAGGCCGAAGAGGAGAAGCAGTTAAAAGAGGGCGTCAAGAAGAAAAAACCAAAACTATCCGGAAAGGAAATCATCCAGCAGACATTTCTGGCACAGGATCCAGACGCAGGATCAGCGGTATCTACTATGTCCATTTTGATGTTATTCCTGATGATGTCTTGTGTGACCCCAGCGATAGGAAAAACAGGTGGCAATTCATCATTCGTTGCCGTTGGTCTTTTGAAAAGCAAAACAAGTGTGAAACTCAAAAAAAATCTTCCCTGCTCAGACTGAAGACGCGCCAGACGACCTTGCGGATTCCAAGACTACGGCCCAGGTGATGGCCGGACTGAAGGACCGCTTTCAGGCTCAGCAGAAAAAGATCCTCGCGGAGCCCGTGGAGCGCGATTCAGACGTCGATGAAACGTTTCAGGAACTACCACGAATTCTACCGCCGAAGGCGTGAAGTAGATGAAGGCGAGACAGTAGATCTTGCAGCTGTAATTTTCTTGTAAAATTTGAACTTAAAGATAAAGAACCATCCATATCCAACAAAGTTTCAAAACATCCAACAATTCCAATCCATCAATATGATTCAAAATACAGCAATGTCTAATATGCAAGCAAAGTCGATAGTCGGTCGACGAACCAGTACAATTTCCAAGAATGCTACTGCTTGAGAGAACTTTCTTTTACAATGATTCTTTGTTTACTGTAGAAGTGCTAATCTTCGAAAAAGAAAAACCTTTATATTGACCTCTATAGGATGCACAATGCTTCAAATGGATAATCTCATTTTGGTGGTCTTCCTTCTGCTGCAACAAGAATCGCTCGTCCCGAGGAGGAGGAGGGTCCACTGAAGTGGAAGCACCGAAATAGGGCAGTGTTGCACCACCCCCGCGCTGCGCTCTTCTAACGGATCATTTGGAGCCTGGCAGAGCTTCCGGTAGGAATGAACTTTTTTGGAAAAAAATCAATGCAACAGAAGTGACAGGTGAAGCAAAGAAAGACCAATGAGTGGAGTAGTCTAGGAGTAGGACGACTAATACAGAACTATACGTGGCCGCAACTGTGGCACAGAGAGTCAACAATGACTTGCAGTTCTTTCCTGATACGCACAGATGCGCGTGCTGCAGCTTCAATGCATTTTCTACACTGCTCGATGAAGTTGGTGGGGCAATGTGATGTCTTCCATATTCAGGTAAGAAGCTTGTGCTTGTGCGGTTTTGAGCGCTTCGGTTCGTCAACGTAGTTTATCAGTTTATCGGGAGCGTGGAAGTTTGAAATTCACACGCCGGCGTTTTTTGTCTTGCCGTGGAATGTAGAACTGCTTGTGCCGATGCTGGAGCGCCGCTGAGAGTTCGTTGAACTTCAAGTTTGCGTTTTTTACAGTTCGCAGAGAGATAGCTTTGAATTACTGACGAGTTTGCGGGTTCGTTTGAAGGCACGGCGACACAGACAGTGCCTTCAATAAGAATAAATGCTAGCAGTGAAGTAAAAAGGGGCAGCCCACTCAGCAGGCTTGCGTTTTCGATGTCGAAGGTAGAGATATAAGCGGATATTTTTGTATTGGAGTCGTGCCTAATCCACATTCACTGATCATGGGCCCGGAGCGTTCTTGAGTGCTCAAAGTGTATGGGAACATGAAATGGGCTGCAGTCAGGGCAAACAACCGTCTCCGGCAACCAGCGCCAAGGTGCGCAGTTTCCCCGAGGAGGGCGACGAGTCGGCGAGAAGCGCAGCGGCACATCATGGCGGCAACGGCAGAACACAGCACGCGGATAGCGCCGGCGCTGGCGGCGACAAGAAAGAGGAAGAACCGAATGAGATAATCGACGTGACCAAGGAGCTCGGAGCGACGACGGGCTCCACGTCGTCGGCGCACCAGAGCAACGCTGCCAACGCGGACCAAGCCACGAAAAAACCCCGGAGTTCGTATCGCACTCCGAAAAAGGCCGGCGGCGCAAAGGGGGCGGCGGCGGGGAACAACAAGGACCAGAGCAACAATCTGAACGCGTCCAGTGCCAGCAACGCGCTCGGTGCCTCCGGGACTTCCGTGCAGTCGCAGCCGAGCAGTGCGCCGCCACTGAGCAGAACGGACACGGGGGACTTGCCGTCCGGCCGACGGCAGCAAAGCCGCGATGAACCACCACAGCCACATCAGCAGCAGTTCTCGTCCACGGCTCCGCTGCCAAAAGCCGCGCCTTTTCGCGGGCCGCCACAGGGCGGGATCGACCCCGCATCGCCTGCGTCGGCTCGGGGAACAGGGGACCATACCGCGCCGACCACGCCCATTCACAACTCGGTGACGCCGACCTACCGGGCGAACCAGAAGCTGATTCGCCACGCGACCGCCGAGGAATTGAGGACGGGGGCCAGCCTCGGAATCACACAGCCGTATGAAGATCCCGAGGAGCTTTTTCTCGAAAAAGATCCGAAGGCGAAATGACCTGCTTGCTGTCTTACCGGCACCACTTCCCTCTTGATGATTAGCTGTATCTTCAACCTGCGTTCATGATTATAACCACATCATTTTTACGGGACCACGCACATACAGAGCTTCACCTTGCTCTTCTAATCCGGAAGAAGCTTGTTGCTTTCACGAGGAACACATTTTAGTACGACATTCCGCGAATTATGATTTTATCAGCATGATGGAAAGGGGCACGGCCACGGGTAGCCTTTACGAACAGGCTACACGATACTGCACTGATTGCGTTCGAACTCGGTTTTTCAAGGAGAATCGGTTTTTTTTCTTCACGAGCCGGATTCCTCAGCGTAAAGATTCAGATTGCAATACACTTCGTCGCAAAAGGTATTTACTGCGTGCATGCATCTTGCTTCTTCGGGTACCTAGTTTGGCCTTGATTCAAAATACTTTAACACAGTGGTGCTTCATTATCATTTTTATGATATGGCTGAGGCTGCCGCTGCCCGACGCCGACCGAGGATCCCTCATTATCCCGAGAGTTTACTTGTTTCCGAATCGAAACGCTATCAAGAAATGTCTAGCGTCAACACCTGTTCGAGAAAATGAAATTCATAGAGAATTCGGACCATATCTTTGTTCATCACAGCGATTTCGATCTTAGCACCCACCGGAAAAATGGCAACATGCGGCGCAGCAGAAGGTAAAAACAAGACCTCGCCGAAGATGCAGCATCACGAAGATGCGTATGACCACAGCCACGGAGTATTAAATCAGCACATGGTGATCAAGGTTGCGCCGGAGAAATCCGAGGACTTCTTGTTGTTTGGCGATGAACTGCGTTGAATCAGCACATGGTGATCAAGGTTGCGCCGGAGAAATCCGAGGACTTCTTGTTGTTTGGCGATGAACTGCGTTGTCGCATTGGGCGAGACATGATGTACAGGGCCCCACCTTCCGATGGAGTCACGGGGAAGAAGAAAGGCCTTCTTTCGCAGGCAGTGTCTCGTGCAAGACTGTTTCTAAAAGCGCCGCTAGTCTTCACCGGTGTCCTATTGTACAGCGCGCTCGCCTTCATACCGTTCCTCGGGCGCTGGATCGTGAACCGCGTGGTATCAAACCTGCTTCCAAAAGTGATGGGCCAAACGGACAAACTGACACGCAGCATCCGTGCGGAGCTGCTGAAGACCATTTCGGGAAAAGTTTTAGACTTCGGCGCGGGCTCGGGTATCTACATGAAGTACTGCTTTCCGCCCTACACGAAAACGGCTACGGAAGTAACCAAATATGTAGCGCTCGAGCCAAATAGGCGACTACATTCGCACATTCAAAAAACGTTCGATGATATCAGAGAAAATAAAGCGGTTCTTGTGGGGGACGCTGACGGAAGGACAGCACCTGATGCTGCGGTTGACAATAAACAGTGGAATGATCATGTTGACATCTCAAACAAGGCGAACGACGTTCTTGAAATCGCAGGCGAATTTCTCTCGGATCTAAAGGTGCGGTTACATGCCCAGCCGACCTTTGATTGGATCATCCTGGGTAACGTCCTCTGCGAGGTGCCGGACCCGCCGAGTATCCTTCGCGACCTCGATTCTTTGCTGAAGCCAGGCGGATTCGTATTTTTCAGCGAGCACGTGGGCTACAGGCCTGCGAACAGCTGGCGCAGATGGCGCCAGAATTTGGTGGCGCCCTGGTGGCGGCGCGTTTCTGACGGTTGCCAATGCAACCGCGATACGATGCACACAATCAGTAGGGCGGTCCCGAATTGGGCGGTGCACAGTTTCGAGTTCGACTCTTGTGGCGTTATGCCGTGGAATGCGCTCTTCCAAATCGGACTTGCCAAGAAAATTGCCTGATGGCACGTAGACGGTCTAGGAGTTTATATATTGACCTCTGAGATTGAGACAGTGTTTAGCCTGAGAACAAGATTCACAGAAAGGCTGTGTTCATCACGATGGATCTGTTTTGTTTGGCCGGTCACTTGTTCTTGATGTACATCGATTCGAAGAACAACTACCGATGATCATAGTGATTCTAAAATAAGAGCGGAACCTGACGGGGATCTGATTCTGAAGGACAAATGTATGTGACGGATCGAAAGAAGGATCAGGATTCAAAGCGAGATTGCTCCTCAGAGGCGCCGACGAGATACTTAAGCCCAGAACCTCATGTTCCTACCTGGTTCTTGCTGCAAAAATATCACCCAAGTGAGTCCATTAGCCCGCCGTCTTGTAAGAACGCAATTATAAGTATTGCACATGATCATGTGCCAGATCCAGAGGGAAATTCTGCTTGCGAATGTTTGCTGAGTGACACTGTCTTTCTAGGTCGCCCCGGCGTCGAGTGAAAGCCGGCACGACAGTATGAGTGGTTGCAATAGTTGTATCTGAATCTTGTTCAAGTTCAACTCACTTAACCTTTTTGCGAGAGAAAATACGTACCATTTATCCCTGTATCCGTACATCGAGTTCTTCATACGGAATCACAATCATGTCTAAGATTAAGAAGACGACGGGTCTGCTGATCGCTGCAGCGCATTTGGCACTGTGGATTTCTCCCTGTGTTCTTTGTCGCGCAAGCACACGACAAGCCGGAGTTGAGGGCAACGAAGCTTTATCGACATCAGGGCAGGCGAGCATCGTAGAAACCTCTGCAGTTCCCGAGGAGAGCCGCGCACCAGCCGGAGTTGAGGGCAATGATAATGAAGCGTCGTCGACACCACAGCAGGCGAGCACCGTAGAAACTCAAAGTTCTGCAGTTTCCGAGGAGAGCCTCCCATCTACAGGACCACTAGATAGTACAACAGCGCCGGTGTCACAATCCGCAATAGCGTCCCGGGGCACGACAACGACCTCCACAAGAAGAAGAACCACTTTAAAAGACTTAGACGACGGAGAAGTCGTGATGCGCCGTTGTTGCCAGCGCAAGAAAAAGACACAATGGAGGAGCCCGCTACCCGCAATCCCGGAGGATCCGGCAGAAGATGAAGATGTAATTGTGAGACCAAATAAGCGGATGCGTATTCGGATTCGAAAAACATTTAATAGAGATGGACGGATTGAGACAACCACAACCGTGATTCCGGACCGGCTTTCGGAGCACGGGGTTTCGGACGATGTGGAGAAAGCGAAATGCATCACGTGGCCAGAGTTGTGGCACCGACACGAGGAGGTGCGCACTGCTGAGATGGAGGTCGACCTGTTCAAAAACGCGCCTTTGAGACCCTGGGTCGCGGTGCCGGCGAAGCAGCAGTTGGACCACTTCTACCAAGACGTCGGACCCTTCGCAGGCCCTCCGGTTTGGCCCGCGTGGTTGCCGGAAGATGATGTCACATATTACGGGCCAAACAACCTAGATGTCCACTGGTTTTTCGGGACGCCCGTGCCTTACATTACCTTTCGCGAATATAGTTCTATCTTCGACCCTGTGATGAATAACGCAAGAGAGAGACAAGGGCCCTACCAAAATCGGCCGTCAGACAGATTGGCAGCACCGAAATTTGGAGCCGCGACGCAGCAGCACTTGTCGAGGGCTGCGCAGGGTTTGCTACGCGAGATTGCCTTAAGCGAAAGCCTCGTCCTGGACGAGGTGTTGCGTCGCATGCCGATGGAACGCGCAAAGGCCCGCGGCATGCCGTACGATGTTCATCAGATTGACGCGCAAACGGCGTGTGCCCTGTTGGTACAAGCGGCAGGAGAGCAGCGGAAACGAGTTGATAGGGGAGCACGAACTGTCTGGCGACAGTGGTGGATCGATTACCTTGCCTGGTTTACCCAAGAATACTACCTCTTCCATGCGCGGCGGCTCCGTTTGCACAGAATGCCCATCACGGAAGCAGTTTTGAACACGACGCGCGGAAAGCTTGACAAGAGAGCCAAGACAGCGGACCACATCCGCTTTGGGACAGCACTCTCAACAAAGATGAGCCCGCTCGCGCCTCGAGCAAGGCCACTTTCTACCAACATGAAGAAGCGTGGCCCAGGACGAGCAGAGCGTTTGGCGCAGCCACTGCTCAACAAGGTCAAAAAAAAGGAGAAAGCGGGATTGGAACGAAAGAAGAGCCAGGCCGCGGAGGCAGCGACGCAGCGGCGCCGCTGGAGGTCGCAAGTGAGGCAGGAGGAACAGGAACTCCAACTTATCGCCCGGGAGCAAAAAGCTCTGGCGCAGAAGGCCATCCGCGATTTGGCAGATGCGTGGAGCAAGGCGCCGGACTTCATCCCGGATGCTTTCCCGCAGCTGGTTCGCGCTTTGGAGAGTATGCGAGAACGCGCGAGGTCGTGTCCGAGCATGGCAAGCAAGTACTTTCACCAGTTCCTTCACGACATCAACCTAACTCTCAAGATTCCCCTGGGATGTCGCCCAGTTACGTGAATCTGAAAACGTTCCGCGTTGCTACAACTCGTTTGCAACCGGCGCATGTTCAAAAAGCAATAATGGGAAGACGCCGCGCTCGGATTTTCCCTACAAAAGAGACCACAGCCACTTGCCGCACTTAGACATAGATGAAATCGCAGTGGATGGTGCCGCTGAAGAAGACCAGGAATTATGCGACTTCGCCGAATGTTCGTCGAACTCCCAATCCCAGGAGCAGATGAACCACATCTCTGAAGACCTAGCTCCTGTCTCTTCCTCTTTTTCCGGCGTCCCAGCAACATCATAACCCGATCGAGAAGCCCGATGACCTGAAAGCCTGGTTCTACGACTCAAACAAGATGGTCTGCAGCTGGAGGTGAAGGCACACGACCTTCCGCAAGGCCACCCTCTTGTTCACTCATCGCCCTTTCATCTGTCACTGGGCGACGATTCACATTATAGTCCAGAGACTTTAGCTGTATCTCAGTATTCTGTCGCGAATGACGGCCCTTTTCGATTTTTCACTTTTATCGAGCCGTTTTAATACGACAGCAGCAACCAGCGACAACATGCAACAGTTACGCGGATGAGAAAATCGCGCACGAATTGTGCCCGATAGGTCGCAGCCAGCGCATTGTTGTACAATCAACGTACTTGCCTCCGAAAAAATAGAATTTTCTGTAAGATTAAGAAAGTAGGAGCAACTTCAGTTTCACTTCGTTGACATCTATGTGTATGATCCATCTTTGTAAGTCTCGAGTGGCTATGATTTTGCCTGATGTGACACTAGACATTTTGTGCTGACAAACTTGAATCAGAATCGTGATCGAAATTATAGCGGATCTGTATCTGCAGTTTGATCTTGACATGATTGGTATTTCTCATCAAGGTTTCTTTTGCTTGCAGGTTGAGTGGAAACAACTGAACATAAAGGCGCAAAATACGCCGATCGACACGCAATTGGCTTTCCAACACTTTTTCGACATGTGTTCACTCCGTGTTCGGATTTTCTTTTTCGTTTTTCGGACGATTTTTCGAGAAGATGGCGATCACAAGTCTACAGCAATTTTTCTTCAGGCGGCGAAGCAGACCGTGTTTTTATACATAGGGGAAGAATTATGCACTAGCTTCAGTTGAGCTAAAGACAAAGACTTCAGCTCGAAGAGTATACAGTAGTGTGTTACGAGCAGACGACATATCTCTATTGTTGCAAAAAAATCGAAAAGGATAAAACAATCCAATCGATCCAATTATCGAAGGAACAGTGCGAACATGTTTCGTAAACTCCGTATTTTGTGTCTTCACGGGTATGGCCAGTCGGGTAGCCACCTGAAGCAGAAGATCGAGACGTCCGTGTTTACTACCGCGAGCGACTTTTTGCGGGACAGCATTGAGTTTGTTTTTCTCGACGCCCCGCATGCCGCGGAGGGTGAGTTCGGCCTTGTGCTCCAACGAGATCCGAAGATCCCCAATCCGCCCGCTCCGGCGCGGCGCAAAGCAGACAGCTTTAAATGGGCGGAACCCGCTGCGCTGCTGCGCACGCCGGAACCGAAGCGGTTTGCCGGAATCTACGAAGGTTTGCCGGATACGCTGCGCTACATCGGGCGGAAGTTCGCCGAACTCGGAAACTTCGACGGCCTGCTCGGGTTCTCCCAGGGTGGCATCATTTGTCACTACATCGTGAATTTTGTGGTTGGGCGCTACGGCGGAGACTTCGAGCTGGCAGCCGCAGCGTTGGAAAGAGGCTTCAATCTGCAGACGAAAAACTACCTCGCGGAACACTTCGGTTTGCGCGAGAACATGCTCGCGGGAGGACGAGGGAGTGGCAAAGCCTTGGGAGGACCACCGGCAGTTGGGGAGGAAACGGAAACATCAAGACGTGGTTCATCTGAAGCACCCGCTCTACCGCACATCGAAGGGGTCACGTACGACGCGCTCCCGGGTAACCCTTCGCTCTCTGTGCAAAAGTCCTACATTAACAGCAGCCTTGTATCAAGCGCGGGGCACAACTACCGAGCGAATATAGTACAGAAAAAGGTGCAAGCAGAACACGAAGAGACAGAGCCTCCCGCTACGACAAGAAGTATGCGAACAACTAGTAGCAACACCAATGCCGCCGTGCTGAGCCTTCAGTTTCTCGTGGTGATCAGCAGTCCGGTGCCGCGCGACGGCAGCTTCCCCACGGAAGGCCGGCTGCAAGCAATGAAGCCACGGTTCCCGGAAATGTCGTGCCTCTCGATTCTGCAGGAGGACGATACCGTGGTTGATCCTTCGTTGAGTCTGACGGGGCTGGTTGGCAACTATGACCCCGTCGTGGTTGTGAAGAACAAAGTCGGCGGCCACAGAGTTCCGAAGGCAGAAAATGTGAGTGCGGAGGACATCGAAAAAATCGTGAACTTCTTCCAGCACGAGCTTGACCGGGCACTGATTCTGAGGGGAACAGCAGGAGCAGAAGAGGCGTCATCCACGACCCAGAGCACCTGCACCGAGGAAGGAGGTCCAGCGCCAGCTGCAAGAATGCCAGCTCCAAGGTTTTTGGCGAAGTTATGAATCGGAGGCTATCGCTAGTGTAGTCAAGGCCTTCTTCCACTTTGAGAATACTGAACAGATTTACCATTTCGCTCGGAGGTATACAGAAAGAGAAGCCTGCGCAGTTGTATCACCGCGCGCCGATTAGACTCTGCCTTCAAGGAAGAATATCGCTGTACGAATGCACCGAGTTCTACACTTTTCGCTGAAACTGATTCTGTAAGAAGTGATCATAGAGTAGATGCAACCGTGATTGAATATTGATACCTGTTGTTCGTCCACATTTTGCTGTATTGATCAAGCGAGAGGCAGGCGGTCCTGTCGAAAGTTTCTTCTATCTCACGATCGAACTCCGCCGGCAATGATGTAACTGCCGCGCCGCGATCACACTCCTGAAGATTCGCACGACGGTCGCGGCTTCTATTTGCCGAATTCGCATATACAAGTTCTTTGTTCTGCGGAACTTATGTTTGATCTTCGCTTCGATGATCGTCGAATCAGAACGCAGCTCGATTTCTGTAAGGAAGCCAGGGGCGGAACGATCTACATCGCGGGGGAGCCGGAAAAGCTATTCTTGCCTTGGAGCACGTGGTGGAGTGCGGCGAGTTGTACTTAGCAGGTTCTCGTTCTTCCAAAGTCGGGTCGTGTCGGGTTCAATTTGAATTCCCTGAGGTGGTGGTTGCTATGAGAATGACAGCGACTTCGGCTTACTTAAATCAGATTCGATTGCGACCCTCTTTTTTCGTGATAAATAGTATGTAGCGCTCCGCAAGATTCTTATTCTACGCACGTAGATTGATAAGTGTAAGTTAGTATAGTCACAGTATTACTTCTTTTGGCCAATCACACTAAGATCAACAAACTTCAGCAAGTAATGTCGCAGCCCGTGAACGGCAGTGGCCCGACTGGCGCAGGACAGTTCCAGCAGCATTACAACCTAAGCAACACAAACTCGGCAAGTGGTACATACGCGAGCACGACAAACAGCGCGTCGGTACCTCCATTTCATCAAAGCCACTCCGTCGCGAATCCACCACAGCAATTCAGCACGTCTGCTCACGTTATACAAGGACCTGGCCAGATAACCACAGGGCAATTTAACCGACCACAAAGACAGACGCAGTTCAGCCAGTCACAATTTATTTCCCAACCTCCGCTTGTGCCCGCGACGACGGCGGGTGGCGTAGCAAACTTTTCGAATATTGGAGCAACCTCGGAGGGATTCGGATGCGGGTTCGGTCAACCAAACAACCGTTCCCAGTTCGGCACGGCAAACGTTTCTCAGAGCAATTTCGGCACCGCAATTGGGTTTGGTTCATCTGGCTTCGCTTTCGGTGCAAGCGAAAACGCTTGTGCCACCAGCAGTAGCGCGGCAGCGCGTGCATGTGGGGTCCCGAATAACACTCAGCAGCAGCAGCAATTGCTGCAGCATTCAACATCGCATGTAATTACCTCAGCACATGGAAATTTGATGCAGCAAGCAGCGGCCGGCTTTGGTACTACGTACCTGCCGCAAGCCACGCAGCCCCAGCTGCCTCATCAGTCCCAGTTTTCCTCGAGTAGCGCTTTCAATGGTGGGGCTGGCGCTACGCGACTAGTGTCACAACCTGTGCCCGCCTCGCAGGCGTCGAGCACGTTCACGACTGGGGGTGGGGTCCGAACCCCACAGCAGCAGGGAATGCCGTATTTTGGTGGAGCATCGATCGCCCAACCAGGGCACCAGGCCGCAGCATCCACGCCCTCCCAGTCACAGTTCCTCAACGCTACTTTATCGCAGCCGGCCTGTAGTAACTCGCAACCACCTGGACCTGGTACAAGCCAGCAGAGTGTTCACAGCTTTGCCAGTCAGCAGATGCTGCAAACCCCGACGTCACAACATAGTAACTTCTCCGCACAAGCGCAACGTCAAACTTCCCAGTTACAGCAATACTCCCAGCCACAGTATGGAAACACGCCCGGAAGTGGTTCGGTGCCAGGATTTGGATTCCAATCCCAGAATAGTAGGCCACTGGCGACTCACAACCACGCCCCCACCAGTCAACTTTCGCAAGGCAGCCACGTGTCGATGTCTTCCTTTGCCAGCAATTTTAATAACCCGGCGACTCGCCGCAATGTGGATGTCGCGGCTGCTAGTGCCTCGCTCTTCAGCCAGCATTCGCAGCCTTTCGCCAGCCAACAGAGCAACCCGCCGAGGTCGGTCGTTGATACGCCCGGATCGGCGGCCGGTGCCGGAGGACCGATTGCGCGACCTGCTGGGACTGCAAGCTTCAGCTCCGCTTCTGGCAATCTTCTTGGAAATTTTCTGCACACGAGTGGCCAGCCAGACACTCCCGCGCCAGCTGTTGGAGTTGCAGTACAAGCTCCTGCTTCAGCACCAGCACTACCGCCTGTACCGGGCGGCGCTTCTGTGCCTGCGCAACAGCGCCGAGCAGTGTCTTCTCAACCAGCACCGGCTGTTGCGTCACTTGTACCGCCTCGCGCACCGCCTGTGGTAATTGACTTAGATTTTCCCCCTAGTGACCCTGCCGCCCGAAAATCGCCCATCTTTGGGTGTAGTGAGGCTGAAGCGGATTGGGCATTGTCGAAGCGATACGTAGACAGCTGGGAGCGCGGCCAGTTTATGACGAGCAACTTCGACCGCAGCGCCAGTCGGCTGACCGACAAGCAGCGGCCCATCGCCGACAGGATCAAAGGAAAGATCGACCGGGCGCTGGCTGAGATAAACAAACGGCGAGCCGCCGCCGCAGCTGCAGCCGCTCCGCCTGCTCCTGCTGATGAGGCCTCGCAGACGAGCGCCCACGGGCAAAACCTCACCAATCAGTCTCAAATACCGGCTGCGAATCCTGACTCCGCTGGTGCACTCGATCCCGCTACTACAGCAGCACCGGGCCCGCAACAATCTGCTGCCGCTCCGCAGGTGCCAGCTCCCGCTTTTGCCTTGACTGCTCCTTTCACGACCGATACTGACGAGGACCAAGATGAAGAGTGCTGGTTCGCGCAGATCTACACGCAGCTAACCGGGGCGAAAAGGGAGAGAGAGAAAACGGGCCGCAATGACCTCGCGAGGGATGGCGACCCGATCCTTCTGCGGGAAAAGGAAGGCGAAAACAGTGCAGGCGAAAAGGTCGGAAATTTCCCCAAGGAAATCAACACAGAGCTGCAGATATGCAACGCAAACGCAGTGTCTGGGTCTGGAAGCGGAAGGGCGGAGCTTGTGCCGCCTGTCTTGAGTGCGGTTGTTATAAAATCAAAATCTGTATTGTGTGGCCAGCATTAGCGCAGCCGCTCCTTCCTTTTTCATGCAGTTGCAGAAATGCAGTCTGGTGTATTTCATTTGTATTTGTAATGTTCGAGAACAAGACCGTCCTCACCTCTTGCTCTAGAAACTTGTCATGTTTGGCTGCGTGCAGTCGTCGAAATGTGTCAAGTGTGTCAATCATTCCGAGCCCAGTGCCTCAAGTTTCGGGGCCCAGACATGTTAGTTTGCATGTGCATAACAGAAGCTCAGCGAAATCGAAGGCGTTCGCTTGGCGGGTGTCGTGCGAAAACGATACCCATCAGACGACGTCCTGAAGACGGCCAATCTTCCCGTGTTGATTCAAGTTTTCTACTCCTCAGAGTACGACCTCGCCACGGCTGACGGGCGTCGGGAGAACCGAAAAGCGGTGAAGAAAATCCGAAAACTAACGGAAAAAATTGCCGTCGCGAAGTGCGAGTTCGCCGACTTGGCCTGTGTTTGTCCAACAGAGCTCGAGTGCATTCGGCGATCGGAGCTCGGCATGAGGGCGTGGAGAAAGTATTGCGGTGAGAGAAGCGCCAGGAAACCTATTCCGGAATTTGTGTTGCAAAACGGGGAGGAGCCGGTAAGAGAACAATCCCTCCGCCAAGAGACCGCGCAGGAGTCGCGCGACGACGAAGACCATGACGCGGGGAGCAGAAGTAGCGACCACGAAATGCACGACGCAGAACCTGCGGGCGCGCTTCTTCAAAGCGGCAACAGTCTACAGTCTCGCTCGGCGTTCGGAGTCGGAGGGACCGGCTTCGTTCCGGTCCGCGATGACTTCTGCACTGACGACGAGCCCCTCGACAGCATTTTGAAGCGCATCGCCATGCAGGAATCAACGCAACATGGCGCGCGGTCTACACCTGCAGCAAATCAGGGGGCCTCAGCCTCATCATCTTCCTCTTCTTCGGCCGCCATAGTTCAGCCGCAGTCAGGCGGCCTCACGCGCAGATTTGACTACGCCGGAGGAGCCGATGCACACGCCGGCGGCGGCGTCGCGGGCGAGCCCCGTCGAGCAAGACCTGCGCAGCAACCAGCGGCGCGAGTGCAAATTGACGACACAACTGGCAACAAGCGAAGCATGGCAGATCTCATGGACCAGTTCTTTCGGCCTAGCGAATCCTACGAAAGCATGCCTTTTGAAGATATCCCGGAGGACATCCTGCCCGGTATTAAGCTCCTTGAGCACCAACGCAAAGGGGTGCACTGGATGCGAGCGAAGGAAAACGGGGACGCGGGGGGAGATGACGGCGACCAAGCGAAGTGGGTCAAGATTTTGGCTGGACTCAACCACCGCCATCTCGCAGAGCTACCAAGGGGCGGCATTCTCGCGGACGATATGGGGCTGGGAAAAACTATGACGGTGTTGGCGTTGGTCGCGCTGCAGGATCAGGACAAAGCTGGCCGGCTGACGGTCCTCGTGGTGCCAAAAAGCATGCTATGGACATGGCGGAAGGAGGTGGAGGATAAGCTGTGCGCAAAAGCTGGGAAGTTTGAGCTATTCCTCGAGCATGAAAAGGACAAAGCGCCCCGCGACGGACGGAGATACCCGAAGAGCAAAAACAGCGTGCTTCTGACCACTTACGAAACATTCGCCGAGCGCACCGACCTGCAGGAGTTTCTGAATCGTCCAGAGCGCAGACCCCATCGCGTGATTGCCGACGAGGCGCACAAGCTCGGGAACCACAAATCGCGACTCTCCACGAAAGTGGGCGCCATTCCCTCGACTTGTGTGTGGGCAGTTAGCGGCACGCCAATGCTGAACAAGATTCCGGAAATTTTCGGGATTTTCCGCTTTATCAAGCTGAAGCCGCTCCACGAGTACTTGTGGTTCCAGGAGTTGTTGACGGGCAAACTCTCTGCGCAGAAGGAACGCGGCAAGGCCGTCGACGCCTTGGCCAAGCTGCTGGGCATGATCATGCTACGACGAAAAAAAGGCCAGGAGGTCCTACGGAACGGGCGAAAGGAGAAGCTACTGGAGATCGAGCAAGCTGCTGCGGAGGTGCGCGTCCCGATGGATCCTGAACAGGCAGCGGCCTACGCGAAGCTTTATCGCCTGGCCTGTGACGCTGAAGAACGAGCGGAAGCGGAGAAGCAGACGAAAAAAACGTATCCGTTTTCATTTCTTTTTCTTGCGAAATAGCTGAACACGAACAGCAGGTCATCGTTGTCAAGACGTCAATATCGATATCCATATACCGTCGCAATGTGGACTGGATCTAGGTCGTGCGATGGGATGCAACTCTTAAGAAGTTACCTATTTGCCTTATTTCCACCTTCAAGAAGAATGTCATGCTCGCGGTCACGCTACCATGCAACAGCAAATTATGCTTATGCTACGAGAAAAATTTTGAAGCGGCTCACATTTCCCACAGGTCTTCTTCGACGGCAGAAGGGCAGCAGAAGTCGTCGCATCTGGGCAACCCCATGACCATGATTACGCGTCTACGCCAACTTTGCCAGAGCCAAGCCATGCTGCCACCGGAACTTCTTGACTACCTGCAGAAGACAAGCGCGGAAAGTATTGATCTGCAACGGGTGGAAGAGATCTTCGTGAAGTTCGGGCAACGGGAGAAATTTTGGCTGGAGACCTTCACCGAGCGCGACGAATGCCCAATCTGCTTCGAGGACTTCGACGAAATCCAGGGCGATCGGTCAGTCACCGTCCGCTGCCCGGTAATGCTCGAATGTGGTCATGTCCTTTGTGTCGACTGCATACACAAGTGGAAACACACCTGCCCCGAGTGCCGCCAGCCGTTTGATAAAAAGAAGGCAAAAAAACGGCCCGAAGACTACCTCGAGCAGATGAAAGCGTACCAAGAGAAAGAGGAGAAAAGGAAGAAGACAAAACACGCAGACGCTGCCGTGGACGTGGTTGCCGCGAGCGCCTCGTCCGCTCATGTGCAAGTAGATGCGGATCCGAAAACCCGGACTGTTGCGCAATTGTTGCGTGCAAAATTTGGCGGTCGCATAAAACTCCGCCTGCCAGCGCATGCGCAAGAGGACCGCTCTGTGACTCATCTGCCGAGCCAAGCACAGGCGCAGCGACGCGATGAAGGAATGTTGGCGGAGATGGATAACGCGTTGGTCAATGAGTACGAAGGGAGATGCGGTGCCGCAGACGGGAAAGTCGTGATCTTTTCCGAATTTCGCGAACAGCTGCAGTTGCTGCAGACCGCACTTTTTTCCGATGAGCATAGCGAGCTGTACACTGTCCTAGATGGCACAATGACGGTCAAGGAACAGAGATCAGCGATCGAGGCATTTCAAGAGCAGAACGCGAAGCCGTTGGTGATGTTTGCCACGAAGACGGTCGCGGCATTTGGACTAACCTTGACGGCCGCGGATTGCGTTGTGCTCCTTCATCCATTCTGGAACGAGGCGGCCGAGTCGCAGGCCTTGGACCGCGTCCGGCGTCTCGGGTCGCGTTTCGACCGGGTCTGCTCCTTTAAGCTTATCGCGACAGCCGCCCCGCCTGATACAGACCCCGGCGGGGCGGTGATGTCTCCAAGAAGACAACAGGAAGAAGCGGAAACCACCGTCATCGAAGAGTGGCTCTGCGAGTGGCAGGTTGAGAAGAAGAACGCCATTGCGGAAGGTCTGGGCGACAAAAACAAAAAAAAGCAGGAACCCAATGACACCAAGAAAAAGGCCGCGGACTTCTTCAAGAAGGCACGAGCGCGGCGTGACGCAGCAGCGGCACCTTCGCCGGCGTCCCTGAAAAGACCGTCGTCCACCGATCATGGCGCCACAGGGGATCTACTGGACGACGGCACTAGGCCCAAAAAACGCAGACGCGTTGCGCAGGAGTAAACATCGAGGAAGGTCTTCTTACGGGGAGCTGGCTAGCAACTCCTGTAGCAGGCTAGAGCGAACCATCTGTCTCGATGAGCACCGTTTTCATCTGTCAACACTTGACCACAAAACAATGCCCCACATAATTCCCATGTGATCGGAAAACCACATTATTTCTTCTTTATTTTCATTCCCGACAATGATACCTCGGTCCATTTTTGATAAACTCAAAATCGATTCTCAACATGGTCAAAGAAACATCGTCCTTGAAGATTCCGTAAAACCATCTAGACGTGAGAAACCGATTCTCGAATAAGGAAATCCTCTGCGATGGGTGTTGTGGTGAAAACCATGACAAAAGCTACATTTATTATGTGAAACATGTTTACCGCGTAAAAAGCCTGGTCTAATATGAGAGTGTTCCGGTTGTTGTGCTTCATACCGAGACCGAAAATTTGATGATGATCCCCGCTCGCTCCTGGATCCGATCAAGTTGCTCTACGTTCATGTTGGACAGTTCCTTTGCAAACCGTGCGTTCGTGCCTGCATCAAACAACTCCGCAAAATAAAAGGGTCCGGATAAGAATTTTATGTCATTGCTGCGCTCTAGTCACGCTTGGCAGAATGGATGGAGCGGAAGATCAGTTGTTGTTGTGAATTCCAAGTCACAAGCTTATCTAGGATGCTAAGGTGGGGCAACTACTCGTCCTCGTCGACGTGGATCTGGCTGACCTCTCGAGTATAGGACGCTGTCGTCTTGATTTCGTGAGAAGTCCTCCAAGTTGCAGGAGCAGGAGCCGAGTCACATCGTAAACGTGAACCAGGAAATAACATTCATTGCGTATCACCATCGCTTTGAGGAGTTTGTAAGTAGTTTCTCCATAGCAATTTTGGCTGCTCCAGGAGTTCATCGATGTTTTTCATTTTCGGATTCAAAGACGCACACGCCCTGCCCACTAACTTAAACTGGCAGTAATTGTAATACTTTTACTTATCTATCAATCTATTTCACCTGCGTCGAGATTTTTGATGCCAACCATGACGGAGCAGGGCAAGATGCAGGACATTCTTGGGAAAGTGCTGAGTTCTCTATCTCTAGGAGCTCTACGCGATCGTCGAGCAGAGCAACCGGCCTCCGGTTCAACGGAGTTAGGATTTTTACCGCGGGCGCCTGATGGTGGACAAGCATCATCGTCCGGTGCGGGCGCGACCAGTGGCGTCAACAATACATCTGCGCAGGAGCAGTCCAGCAAATTTTGCTACGCCGAGCTGGAAATTGTCAACGCGTACCAACACCGTCGTCAGTTTCGCTTAGCTTTTGCAGGTATTGCCTACAACGGAAAGGAAGGTGAGGAGTTACGCTCGCGGACGGGGTTAACACCAGAAGATGTGGTTTTGCACGAGGATTGGGTTTGTTTCCGCTCCCGCAGTCCGATGCTGCTTCTCCAGATTTTTGAAGCGGTGATGAAAATGTGTGGTCGGACCGGATTCCGAATTCGGCTGAAGACTCAAAAGATGTGCGTGACGGAGGATAAAGTTGAGCACTTTTTCAAGGGTACAACTGCCGCGGAGATCCGTAGCGAGATGGTCGGAGAACAGGAAGAGGAGGAGCGCAGGGCTACACGGGGCGCGGAGAATCTTTCGCGACAGGAGATGGAGAAAATGTGCGAGGGGACCCCTGCCGGTAGCGGCGTAAAATACTCGCTAGCGGACATGGACACGATGGACGACCTCATTGCCATTAACATTCCCTGGTCCGGAACATACACAGAAAAACTGGAGCGCATGAAGGGTGCGAGAGACCACATGCCGCCCAATGAGCGCCGGTAAGTACTTCCACTTTATTTCGTTCCTTTCGTCGTTCCTACGCTAAAACCTACTAGATTAATAGAATAGTAAAAGCAAAGGATTCTCTCACTCTTGGTACTCGATGATCGCTATGTAGAGTCGCTCGTTACTTGACGGTAGTGTTTTGCAATCATTCACTTCCAGTCAAACATGATGAGATGATTATGACGCTGCCGCAACAGGTACATTCGTCTTGCCGCTGGGTTGCGGAGCCACACACGAAAATCGCTTTGCGACTTGGTGACAATGGAGACTTTGATTTGGTTCAATGAGGAAGAACAGGTGGCGCAATCGGGTTACCTTTATGCTGACTGCGCGGTCGTCGATATCGATGCGGAGCCTGCTCACCTTCTGCCGCACTCGGGTCACGGATACATTACCGACACGTTCGTGCGTCATGGCGAAAAAGCAATGTCTACTGCGCAGAACGTGATAGGAAACTCGCTGAAGCACCCGCCTGGCTATCGGATACACATGGACTGGGACGGCGGCAAGCTCGCGGGCGTTTTCGATCGCAGAAAGCACGCACTGCAGTTCTACCCACGAAAACGAATCCCGCTGATGGCGCAGATGTCGTATCAGTTGCTGCAAGACCCGCGAATCTTCATGACGGGGGGACTCAGCATCGAGATCGACGCAGACGGAGTGGTGCAAATGCCTGCGCTGGAGAATGCCAAAGCAACAGAACCCGGCGCCCCGTTTCCAGAAGATGGGGCCGCAGCAAGCAGGGCGGAAATGCGTGTAGCTTTACGAGCGAAGAGGAAGCCAGCACCAGCAGGGGCTCGCAAACTTCAAGCGGCAGGCCCTCACCGTCGTCCGGCCCTAACAGCAACAGCAGCAACAGCAGCGACAGCGACGCCAGCGGCAGACTCCGGTCGAGAGGATGGGCCTGCTGGACGCGCAGAATTCGTTCTTGTGCGGCCGAGTGCTCCAAGCCTGGCCGTCGAGCACATGTGCACAGTTACCCACGCCGGTGGACAACATTCTGACCACGATCAAGAAGCAGCCGGGAAGCCCGGAAACAGCGCCGCCAGTTCCCGCGTTCTGAACTCGCCGACAATGCAGGAGCAGCGGGTGAGTACATTTTTGAGCCGATCACGAGAAGCCATGGAGCGGACGGATGTCGATGCCGCCGAGCGAATGCTTGACTTTGGCAGCACATCTCTTTTATCCATTACGCATGGAAAACCACGCAAGCGCCTGTCTGAAGCGACAAAGCGCTTGGCCAAGTGGCTGGAGGAGCAGCGGAAAAATGACTCGGCTAGTGACAGCAAGCCGGCACCGGCAGACTCAGTAGGTGATGAGGAAAAACTACGTGAGAAGGATACCGCCACTGCTATTGAGCAGGAGCAGGCGCGCCTCGTTCTAGACTTTGTGGGGCTTTTGGACAACCAACAGGCATCAGCCGGACAAAGCGACGACAAGAACAAGAAAACAACACGCAAAAGCAAGCTGCCCGCGAAGGACAGAACAAAAACAGCCACTGCCCAGACAACGAAACCTCCCGCGGTCGAGGCACACCCGCAGAGTGCCTACATCCTACTTCGGAACTGGTTACAAGATGAGCAGAAAAGTATCGCCTTGCGGAACCTGGGGAGAACGGTCGGGCCGGTCATGTCTGTCGACAATTTCCTCAAGACGCTGGATCGCGTCGCCGCCGGCAAGCGCAATTGGCATCTTCCGCAGCCGGGCGAAAAGCCGGACGCTAGCGGCAAGAACTACCACGCGGGTCTCATGCATTTGGCGCTGCTTCTTAACTTGTTTGAGAACGGGCTTTTGTTTGATATCGCGAGCACTCCGAAAGCCGCACAACCACACTTGGCATGGCCAGAGGCAGTCCGGATGTTTGCTGTTCGCGCCATGACCCAAGGCTCGTGTTCGACTCCCGGTCACCGCGCAAGCCGATCTCCGTGACTTCCGGCCTTCCCGTGAGCCCCAGTGCAGACCACGAGCAGTTCGTTCTGTGCTGCTTTCGGGACCAGAGCTTCGAGCACGTTGACGGAAATCGGAATCAAGAAAAGAACGCTGACGGCAGCGAGGACGTTGCAGCCGTGGACAGAGCTTTCGCCGCTTTGATGGACCCATACTCTTTACAGGACCTCCGCGTCGTGTCCTTGATCGATTGCGACGTACAGAAACGCACTGTCTCCACACCTACCACTGGGCAATCTGAGCGCGTGTTTTGGCTCTCCATGCACGACCACAATTCGTGGGATGTCGAGGTGAATCGCGAGGCCTTCCTTCACTACGAGGTCATCGACTGCGCCGAAAACGTAGCCTTCCATCGCCGCGGACAGCGCGCTGCTGTATTGGCGAAAAACAGACGAGGGTTGCGCGAAGAGGATATTCCTGATTTTGACACACAATGCGTGATGGAATGGCTTCAGCGTGAGGATTCGGAGGTCCACGGGCCTCGTCTTGGTTTTCTTGCAGGGCTGTCGGAGGCGCAGATCTATCGAAAAAGCGCGGAGTTCGTACAGCGTGCACGACGGGGAGAGAAGATGTTGCAGGCAGTGGTCGGGTTTGGCGACGCTAACTTCCCGGCTGCGCACGCCTCGAACACCTCGTTATCTCACGAGCTGACACCTTCGGCGTCTCCCGCCCAACCGGGCCGATTCCATGTACCACTTGCGAGTCTCGGCGCGCGCCTTCGTGGAATCGAGGAGACGACGGCAGCCTTTGACCCGGCTGCTGCTGTGAAGACGTGCTTCACACCGGCGCTGAATAAGTTTGAGTGCGTCAACCAGGAAATGATCGAAGCCCTGTTGGACCGCACAGGTGGCACCGACAGCATGGTCTTGCCTTTTTTGCCAGGCGCGCCGCAGTCGGCCACCGACTACGCATTGGAAGACTTCTTCTGGGAAAAGTATGGCGCACTAGCGAATTGTGATGCTAATGACGCTGAGGCTCACACTTCCGATGATGAAGAGCTTCCTGGCGTTGCGACCGCACTTCTAACAATGTGCGCGGAAGAAGGCCTCGACGTCGACACCGTTATCGAAGAAGCGGCCCAGCATGCAACTCTGATCAGCAACGGCTCTGACGAGGTCGACTCGTCCGTTGTGCGTGCGTGTACATGGCTGCACGACCCGGCCATTCGACTGCAGCAGGAGAAGCGGGCAACTCAGGTTCAGCGAGACTGGTACGAATTTCGCCACGGAAAGCCGAGACCTTCGACCCGGGCACTCAGCAGCGACGCGCCAACTGCACGCGCTGGCGAAGATTCTACAGCACCCGCTGGAGCCTCTACGTCAACAGCGCGCTCTTCATCTTCGGTGTATGAACAAGGAACGCTGCCCCTGCCGCGGAAGACTCCGACTACCTGTCGTCAGAAGATCAGCGACGCGCTTCGCGATATCGGCAAGAAGGTTCTGACGTACAGGAAAACGGTGAAGCATTTGCGGACTTTGACGAAGCTCGGTCTGCTCAACTTGGAGTCCGAGCTCGTGCGCAGAAATGTCCGGGGGTCGCACATTACGTACCACGGACCCGGTGGCGCCGCTACAATCGTCCGCAACCACCGAGCGACTGCGCCGATGACTTCGAAGCAGTTTGTCGAAAAAGCACAGCAGCTCGGTGAAGTGGGCGGGGAACGTGGTGGAGGATAGTTCGAGGACGCATCATAGTTTCATTTTGACTGGGTGTGGCTGTCGAAGGGAAGTCGAAGAGGGACAAGGAAACAATTTGAAAGCGGAACAAGAAAGTCGAAAGTGGGGGCATCAAGATAGTCATAATTTATTGCCCACGTAGTATTTTTACTGCAGAAGAGAAGCAATGGCAATCAATGCGGATAGCTGCGTCCATTGAATGGCGATGGCATTTGGTGGAGGCTTGTGCTCTGTGCCTCCGAGCCTTACTATGTTCCGCGTAAGAGCTGCATGATCATCAAAAGGAGTCGTCAAGTTGTAGAATGTGGAGTCGGAGAAAGAACGCCGAGGTGTTTCTGTTTCGATGTCGACATGAAATTTCGACACATGGATCATCCCAATAATCAATGATAACACAATCTATCATTCACAGGATTAAAGGAATATTCGACCAAGAGGATTTTTTAGGGCCGACTGAAAAGTGGACCAAGAGGATTTTTTAGGGCCTTGAACCTTTGACGCCATGCCCTGGCACGAACAGAAAGAAAGAAAGAAAGAAAAAGGAATATTCGATCTTTCTTTCTTTCTTTCCATGCCCGGGCATGGCGTCAAATGTTCAAGGCCCTAAATTTGATTTCAAGAATATTGATTTCGATCTTTGATATACAGGCCCTAAATCCGATATTTGATTTCAAGAATATTGATTTCGATCTGGTTTTCGATCGATCAATAATTCTTCCTTTTATGACATCGATCTCGATGGATGTGAATACTCTTGTTATTTGGATCGGATTGAATTATTTTCTGTTTTATTTATTTTGTTTTATTTATTTTGTTTCCAGGTTTTTTTTTGGTCAATGAATCTTCATCAATTTTTTGAGGTATATGATTTGTGAATGAAAAAATCATCGAGATTGTGGAAATTTCTTTCTTTTTTCTTTCTTTCTTTTTCATTATTCCTCATCAAAAAATATTTCATTGATCAGGAAAAAATTAAGAAGATATGTATTTTTCGTGATATTTTCCATTGTAAATAATTTGGATTCTAGAAAAAATCTCAAAATGAATATTGAGAAGTTGGAGAATCCAGATTCTGGATTGATGTCGGAATGCAAATATTTTTGAAAATATCGGACACAGAAATATATTTGTTGAAAATAGGGAATTCTGGATATTTCTTGAAAGGGAAAAATTTGAAAAAAGAATTTATGAATTTTCTTGGCAATGAATTAACAATCTGAATGCAATTTTTTAGGAATTTATGGAAATTTATTTTCGCAGATTCGAGGTCAGACCATCAGACCATTATTCACTAAATTTTCTCACTAAATTTCTTTCCCCTCTTTTTTGTACATTTTTTCAATCATTAATAACAGAAAACACAAACATATAATCCATTACAGAAAACATATCGACCAAATTTTTTTCCAAAAAAATACATGTTCATATCATCTTTGAAAATCCCATGAGATTTTTAGAAAATGTATCACATTTTTGCAATTTTCCTAATTTTCGAATCATCCGACAATCCGGGGTTCCAAAGGATGGATGGAATGAAGGATCTTCTTTGATAGAGAATTCATTTTCCCGATCATTCCAAACATACCACATATGCACCCACCTTCTCAAAATTAAAAATAAGAAAAAAAAAAAAAAAACATCTAACCCTAATCCAAAATCCATTCATCAAAAAAATTTTCCATATCTTTTGCATTTCTTTTCATTTTAGATTTTCAAAATTTTTCTCATAATGATCGAATGAAAGAATTTTACCGAGAGATCATCGGATGAGAAGAAGAATCAACATAGGCATTACCATATCAGAGATTTGAACTATTTATCCGAATTTTTTTGAGAAGTCCATCGATGATAAAAATGATTGGCATGGATGAATGATTTCGTCTGATGATCATGAAATAGAAATGGGTCTTGAACATTTGACGCTATGCCCGGGCATGGAAAGAAAGAAAGAAATGGGTCACATTGTCAGGTTCGACATATTGCAGTCGAATATTCAATATTCGAGAGTATTTGATCCGAAATTATTTCGGATGAACCCTGCTCAATCTCGGGTTATTGCCATTGTATTTCGTTCGTGCCATATCTTTGTGGTTTCACCGAGTGGCAAAGTTGTACATGTGTATTATTTTCTGACGTCAACATTCATTGGGTCTCATGAAGGTCATTTTGATTTTCTGAAATGTTTGCTCCTTTAGGATCCATAACATTTCCGTAAACAATGATCATGTTTGTGGTGCCAGTGTTGCATTACCAACACGATGAAATATGATGGCTTATTGTCCCCTGCCTCTCGTCGTCCTCGCACCTGCAGGTGGAGGCACAACTGTGCGCTCGCCACCCTCGATCATATGGAATCTAAAAATCTGTATTCTCTAGAAACAAAAAAGTTGAAGATTATCAAAAAGTTAAAGTTGTTTGGAAGTTGAAGTTAGAGTGAAAAAAATAGATCCTCTCAGCTCGTTTATTTCGTTAGATTTGGTAAAGTGTATTTGGATTCTTCTTGATCCTTTGTTTGGTGTTAGTTTCTCTTTTTTGCCAGAAACCACAAAAGTTGTGGCCACGGCAGTACGTTCTTGCAGCCGCCTGTTCGTTCTCCTCCGTCCTTGCATCCTTCGGTTCCAAAATCCCACCGCGGATCTGTCGTCAAACACTCCCCGCGGCAGAGGATTTTTTTACGCCGGTCTTCCCCTCCGTCGCACACAGATCATATCGTAAGGAAAAATCCCCCCTCCCCATATCGATATTAAGGCAGATCTCAGAAAATTTCTCATGCTGATTTGTGACCACAAATCGCATCTGTGATGCAAGAAAGCGACGCCACAGGCTCGGCCCCATTATGCCGGCGGTGTGTAATGTTGTTGGGCCTACGCCTACGGCATAGACGTTCCTCATGCTAAGAAGTGCCTAGGCCAAAACCTCTCGACTCCGGCACGATATGGGCCTGCAGTCCTCTACTGCAAGGCAAATCTGATTTGTGTACGCAAATCCAGCATCAGAAATTTCGTTTCCATGTGGGGAGGGGGGATTTTTCCTTCTGATAGATCAGAGTTTTGCCCTTCGTCCCGGATCCACACGGACTGGTTCAGCTCGACGTGGTTGCGACAGTCGCTATGAACTGCAAATATATCTGGGTCTGGAAGATTGCTGAGGTTTGTGATGCTGTTTCTGCTTGACGCGGAAGGTGTGCCATGCAAGGCCTAGCATCACAGGTTTGCAGACGGTTTCCCAATGCTTAATCCGCATGGTAAACACCTTCGTTCGGCGACAGGAAAAGGAGCTGCTTTTGCTGTCTAAGCATGACAGATTTTTGTGTGATCCAAGTATGCATCACAACTTCGCATCCTTGCAGGCCCAGACATTTTTGCATTTCATAGTCGCTAGCACAGCACGATTTGTAGGTCGTGTACATGTATTTCCCTGCATCCCCATCGCTGTTAATTTTTTTTGTTGGATTCATAAACTCTACTTTTTTCCACAGCATTTCCAATGCTGAACTCAAAAAGCAACACCGAAAGAGAAACAATAGCCCTCGACGACGAGGTGGGAAATCAGTATCAGAAACAGATGGTTCATTTTGTACATTTGGAAGCCCATGCACTGGTTTCTGCTGTAGGTGATTCCACACTCGCGGGAACCATGGTACTCCGCTTCAGCTTCTGTCTTGTAAAAATGATCGGTACTAAGAATTACACTGGAGCAGCACTTTGCCGCTCGCTTCACGGTGAACCAAAGCTTGGCGTCGAAATTCCCCTCGGAGGTGGCTTCCGCCCCGTGGCTCCCAACGGCGGGTTATCAGATGCAAGTATGTCTGAGTTTCACGTGGATAACGAAAACATTTTCAAATCAGATGACAATAGGCGGGCAAGCACGAAAACTTGTTCTTGATGAGCTATGCGAAGTGCATTTTTCCGCATGTGAGAGTCATTCTTGCAACACGAACAAACGATGCGACTGCCACGTGACACTCTTCCGCATCATGCATGACAAACTCTACACGACAGCCATGTCACGCGAATTACACAAGTTTTGCAACCTTTCAAACCCAGACATATTTGGGCAATGCGTACAGCTCGACGTTTTCCGAGATTTTCCTTTGCCGCAGTTTCTTTCGCTTGGACGTGACTCAAGTGGGTCTCCTTCTTCACCTGGTGCTTTTTTGCTGCAGCACCCACTGTGGCGGTTTCCTTTCTGATCTTTGCTTGTTCTTTTGTACTAGAAGATGATGCAGCTGCCTTCGTCTTCGATTTCGATTTCCTCTTTGTCTTGGTTTTTGATTTGGATGCGGAAGCTGAAGTTTTTGCTTTTGACGTCTTCTTGAGGCGGGTCTTGAGAAAAGATTTTTTCTTCGACGTTGTAGTTGTCTTTTTCACTACTTTTGAGGAGGTGCTCGCTCCGCTTTTCCTGCCTTTTGTTGCTGTGGACGCGAATTTTTGTGCAGCGCTTGATGTTCCGGTCTGACTCTGCTCTACGACCCCAGTTTTACTGTGCCCAGCACTACTAGCAGCGCCCAGCGTCAAGCTCTTTGTCGTGAGTTGCCTCTGCTTCGACTTTGCTTTTCCTACAAGAAGTAGGCTATGCTTCTTGTTTCCGTGGTCTTTGTCCCCAACATCTTTCGCGGGCGGTTCTTGCTTTTCCATACCTTCGTCTGTGCTTTCGGCATCCTCATCCGTGCTATCTTGCGCTCGCTGCTCATCGTCAGAAGACTCGGAAGCCTGTTTTGGTTTTATTTTAAATTTCATCAGGATGAATTTACGTTGCGACTTTTTCCCAGTCGTGGTCCTGATCTGCATTTATGAGTCCTTGCCTTCCACATACATTGCAAACTGATATCCTTGCGATAAAAAAAAATAAAGCGAGCGCAATTTCAAGCACCTTATCTTTTTTTGCATCCTCTTGTCCGTGCGTCGCTGCAGCCTTTTTTCTATTCTTCTCATTGGCTTCGACCTTTTTCTCACCGCTTGTTTTGGCAATCACCACCGGCTTCTTGTGATTGATGTCTTTTCCATCAGCATCAGTCTTTGCAGCATTTGCGGCGGTCTTAGCTGCCGGAGCTTTTTTCTTGACGGGGAGATGGACCTTCTCGCTTTTCGCGTCCTTCTTGTTGACGCCAGTAGCTTCTGGTTTTTTCACGACTTTTGTTACAGGTTTGCTTTCCGGTGTCTCCTCCGCGTCAACGTCACCTTTCGCCGGACTGCTTTTGTCAGCATCCTTTTCTGCGTCGTCTTTTCCGAATAGCCAGTCGGTGAAGGGGTTCTTTTTACCGTGATAATATCGCGCTTTGACGCGTACCAGGGACACATCTTCATCGTCCTCTGTCACTTTCGGAATAGAGGCTTTACCTGTCTCGGAGTAGGAGATGAAAGCTGCTGCTGGCTGCGGTGGAGATGCAGATGCAGCATCTTTCTGTTTTTTGTTAGAAGCGGCAGGCGTTGGTCCTCTTCTGTTTAGCTTTTGCTGCACTACTCCCCGGGTCTCTTGGCCACGTATGCGAAGTTCGTCCAGATCGATGAAGTTTCTCGGGCGGAACACTTGTACAGTGTTAGGTTCGTACGGATTTTTCGGATTGTGCACCATGCCGCGCGGCATCGGCCATGGAGCGCTTTCCCCGAGGCAACATCTCGCAAAAACGAGAGCGTGGACGAGGAAAGAGACGAGTGTCCTCCGCGCGTGCGTTCGCTGGTGCGCGAGGGTGACGTCTAATTCACGGTTCCCGGAGAAGATGAAAGTCACCGACCTGGGGCGACGCATCGTCGTTTCGGGCGGACCGACGACCCGCGCCGACTAGGGCTGCCCGCCACTCCTGCGCTGGGACCGTGGTGCTTTTGAATGGAGCCGTCTTTCTTCAGTCCACTACCATGACCGCCCCCGGTGCGCGGTGCTGTTCATCTTCTTTCATCCGTTGGACATCAGATAATGAAACATCATTGCGCGGCTAGAGCGACAGCGAGAATGAAGATTTGATCAGACACAACGGGCGTGCGGTGAAACTCTCGAAGCGTGGTGTGTGATGAAACACAAATCGCCCCAAAACCCAACCTCATGCACACCCGCGGCGCTCCGTCAGTGGCCCTGGAGCAAGTGCAGCTTTGATTGACGGTTTGAAACTAAGAACACCGCTCTAGCTCCACTATGCAGCTGCTGTCATATTCCCAAGGAATTCGGGGCGCTCTTGACTTGCTCTAGTAGTTCACTCAAGCTCAACAGCATCTCTCGTCGCGCTCACTCAGTCGTATAACATTATTTTGTCGTCAGTCACCACCAGATAGATTCAGAATCAGAAGAACATCAACATTACATTCTCATTGCATCTGCGACGACGAAAATGAATGAAGTAGCACATCCAGCAGCTTTTGCTTTTCAACCTGTAAACTCAGAGCGTGCTACTTCAACATTTGTTTACACCCTAAAGTTCCTCAATCGCCTCGAGCGTTCCTTCTAGTGGCAACGGTCCCTCTGCTGTTCTTTGAAACGACCCGCTCACGCTGGTTCCGTCTTCGCTAAACTGTAACGTGAACTTTTCGCTGGTCCACACCTGGACCCGGTCCGACTCGGCGTCCCCCGCTCGGATTTGCCACTCGGAGGCCCTCTGCTTCGTGTACGCTTCCAGATAAATCTCGTTCAAATCTTTAACGCGGGCCTCAATCTTAAATTGCTTGTCGTCCTCCACGGCTCGGAGATTCTTCCCCGTCAACGGGTAGGAGTAGCCCTTGAAAACTACGCAAAGTGGCTGCTTCGGCTGGCTGTCGCCCATGGGTTCCACGATGTCGATAAAAGTTGCGTTGTTCCACTGAATATCGACCTTGTAGGTCCGCTTCTTGCCGAGGGTTTCGAAGGAAAAGCACGGCTTCAAGGCAAGCAGCATTTCCAAATACAAAAACGCGTTGCCTCTTGCAGCTTCGTCGGTTATATTTTCCTTTTGTGCACCAGCCGCATCTGATGGCTCTGGCACTGGCTCATCTTCTGGTGCTTCCTCATCAGCGCCCGAAGCTGATGATATAATCGGGCAGAGTACGAACGGCGACTTTGGTCCGAGAAACGCGGTCACGTCATCCTCCCCGATCTTGTAGACAGCCTCGATATTTCTCACTTCCACAGGCTCCGTTGGCACATTCCCCACGGCTTTCTCGTTCTTCTCGAACAATTGCGCAACTTCATCCCCTGAACAGCCGCTGAGACAGCGCTGCTCGCGCATTTCCTGCAGGGAAATGCGGTCAAGTTCCTCGGTGGGCACGGCGTCCGCATCGTGGTCATTCACAAGGTAAAGCAGCGTAAGAGGCGAGGGCAGATCATCGTTGTAAAGGTAGGTGGCGAGGGTTTTGAGCGCTGCCACCGCGATTTTCTCCGGAGGGGCGGACTCGTCGGCGAACTGCAGGCTCAGAATGTGAGAGATATCACCACCCAAGTTCGTACACGCAACCACCAGGTCCGGAGCGCCCTCGCTGGTCTGGATCTGGACTTTGGGAGGCGGAGCACGCCGCATCGCCATTGTTTGTTATAGCAACTTTGGGGAATAAACTATCATGCTGGTGTAACTGGAACACTAAACGCCAATGGGGGGGAGCGCCGCACGTCGTTCCTGTCTACGATTGCTACGCTTGTTCGGAGGGATGTAGTACTTGACACGGATCAAGCTGTGGAAGTCGAATCTCTCCTTGTTGAGTAAACCACGTGAAAAGGTATAGCTTCAAAATTTGTTTCAAAACTAGAACAATTCAGATCGTAGCACTGCGACATGCCCGAACCTGTTCAGCTGCACGCAGCAATGCATCGTGGCGTTGTGTTCCTAGTAACATGTATTCTTCGACGCACTGGTAGCTCGTGCGCCGGTCGAGCAAGCACATTATTTACCCTTGAAATTAATATTGCTCGAGCTGGTGCAGCTAGATCACATTCAGATCTTGATCTATCTTGATGATGATTTATCATGATTTCAGTATCAGTAGCAGCATGTGCTCAGCGACCCGGAATCCTGGTCGAAGAAGTGCAATGGTCGGATTTCAAGAGTCGACGAAGAAGTGCAACGGGCATCATCAACACAAAGCGAACAATTTCTATCCTCACCCGCGCAACGGCGGGGGCGGTGGGTTGGCCGCGCGGAGCAGTGGTGTCTCGCTTGCTTGCACGATTTGCAGAGCCTCGCCGAGGTATTGGAAGCCATTCATCGCAATAGTTGCGTCGGTCGCGGAATTCACGTTTCGGTAGCTGAGGTCGCAGGCACCGTCACCACGAAGCGTCGTAGATTCGATGTCGCCGAAAGGTTGAAACAGTTTGTACATCTGTATATTTGATAGCATTCAGCATATCGACGATGCCGCGCGACCGAGGTAAATAGTCGTATTAAAAGTTATGCCCAATGCATTGGTCATGAAGATGAAGATACATCATCATCTTCTACTTGTAATGCGTCGAATTTAACCGTCGAAAAAACAAGTACATCAGACGTCGTCGCTCGCACGTGAACATTGGTGATCCGAATTTTGCGGCTGTGCCGTGGGTGCTCGTTTTGTTTCGTGGTGGGAAATTCCTGCATCACCTGCCTCCGCGGCTTGTTCTGCAATTCTTCCCGTACCTCCAGACTCGGGCGCACTCGGACTGGGACGCCTAAGATCTCGGGGTTGGCCAGACCTAGATATTTTTGGAAATGCAGTTGCAGATCCGGTACAATGATAAGTAAGTCAGGCAGCCCTTAGAGCAACAGCATTTTCACTTTCCGCCATTGCATCCCGCACAGGTCGAGATTGAAAACATCAGAGAAAAAAACCTGCATTCATACTATTGCACGACTCATACCAGAGACAGCCTTGTTCATCGCGCGCATCTCTTCGAATTGCACACAGACGAGACTGTTGTTTCCCGGCACGAATTTGACGTCGATCACCTTCCCGCACTTCTGCTCGAAGTAGTTCTTTACGTCGTCGTACGTTGCCACGCGCGGAACGCCGTGCACCACCACCGTCACCTCGAACCTGGCGTGCACTTGCGCTTGCTGTGCGGCCGTAGCGGCCGCCTGGGCGGCGGACGACGAGGAGGGTCCGGCACTGGACGGGCCGTAGCTGCCAGTGGCGCCGCCCTGCTGGAGGTTCGGGGCTAGGGGCGGTGCCGTCGCACGGGCGGAAGTGTAGGGCCCGTGCACCATGTGGCTGCTGCTGCTGCTCGTGTGTTGTTGAACCTTGCGTCTCTTCTGGTTGTGCCCGACCTTCTTCGTCCCACCTTCAAACATGATCTTCTCGAGATCGAGAAACGAAATATCACCGCCGTTCAGAAACTTCATATTGGGGTCGGCAAGGGCAACGAAAACGAAAAAAAATGCAAAGAAGAGAATCTGGCTTAAAGCTTTTTGATTGTTACTGCAAAGGCAAAGCAACAAACAGCTACTAAACGGCAGCTGTCGCTCTGTATTTTAATATGAATATGTCCAAATCTTCTGTGTATTAGATTAATTCAACTTCTTCCTTCAAAAAATTCTGGTGGCGTGCTGCTGAGGTTGATTTTGACACAGAAAAAACAGAAGGCTTGCAGCATGCCATGGATCCGTGGCGTAGTTGGCCGGCGACCTTTCTAAAGTGTCTGCTTGAGGCATAGTAGTAAGGTTAGACAAAAACTATAGAGCACGAAACGAGAGAAAAAAGATGATCTTGTGCATTGACGCCGCAGAGGACAAACATTCTCGCGTGATGAACATAAATCCTGGATCTCCTGGATCTTTTCTCTTCTTCGCTGACAACTGACCGCTGTGGGGAGGTAGAACCCGGACAACTGAAAATCACAAAAGACGAAGGAATCGTGTCCATTAGGAAATCCAAACGGCTGCTCCCGTAAGAACGTACCGGATAGGAAAAGGACAAATGAAATTTTTTTCTTGCGAAACAAAGGGCGCATCTACACATTGATGGCGTTGAAACAAGTATCCCAAGAGCTCTAGTAGTTCTAAAACAGGTACGAGCAGCAACATCATTTCTGGTTGTTCACAGTTTCAGGAAACCATCACCGTCCCGCGTCTGTCCGGCATGTGATCGAAAGTAAGGCGCCGCAACAAAAAGGAAAAGCGAAGTTCTCGTTCTCTAAGTCGTTTTTAGAAAAAGTCATCCCACGACGTCCACTGCTCAAGGCAGAGTACGGAAATCATTTTTTTCTGTCTCGCTCTCGAGCAGCCGTAACGCAAACTACAACTAGTAAAATAAAAAATTCAATGTCGACATCGATCGAAGCAAGAAGAGATCCGCATTCAAAGGTAGAAACATACTGAGGAAGCAATGCACTTCCAGTTTTACTCACCGTCGTGGCGCGCACAAACCGTATTTCGCTTCCGAGGAGGTTTGCGCAAAAATGTCTTGGTAAATGAAATCCCACAGGAAGTCCATCCAACCGACATAAACGCTCCACTTTCCGTCCCAACAAGCCTCGATATTGTGGTGGTTCCGATGGTGCGGTCCGGAGAGAAAGATATTGTAGTCCTGATATTTTTTTTCGATTTCGATTTCGATTTCAGTGGTATCACCGATTGGGCATCAATTGGAATTGCAACAGCTGAAACGGGAGTGGCATTACTAATGCCAAAGAACCACACAGGTTTTGCTTTTGCATCCAAATGAAAATGAATCCGTTGCTATACCTGCATGACTTTCCACCACTCCGGCACATAGAGGTCGTGGGTGCGTCGGTGCGCAAAGTGGTGCGTGAGTGTACTTACATTACACTGCACCATCGCGAAAAGGAAGAAGACACAGAGGAACCCGCGTTGCTTGTAATTTTTCTGCAGCTGCTTGTGCTTTGCCGTCTTCGTGCTTGTTGTAGCCTTCTTTTGCTGCGCGATCGAATTCGTCGTCTCCTCTACTTCCGTGCGCTGTTCTTTGCCCGCCGCCGTTAGCAGCCACCAGTAGGACAGCTCGAAGAGCACAGCCAGGACCCACAGTGGCGGGTTGGTGTACGCCAGGAGCTCGTAATTCGTGAACTCATTGAAGATCTGCACGTCGACGTGATGGTCCTCGGTGAAAGTGCGGCGGCCGCCGTTGAGAAACGTGCCCATGTTTTGATCCAAGGCACAGTGCCAGATGGCACTGAAGAAATCGAAGAACAGGTAGGATGCAAGCAGGACCGCGAGGAGCTCGAGGGTGAAGCGCAGCTTTTTGCTTATCTTGAAAAACAGTATCGGCGCAGCTGCTGGAGCCTTTATTTGTGTTTTCTCCCTTTTGCTCGCTTTATTACGCTGCTTCTCGGCCGCAGCCGCAGGTGTACCCCCGGAACCAAATGACAAGGGGTCAATTGGTACTGGTAGCAGGCTACTTTCATGTGTTGGATGGGGCTGCTCGTTCAAAGTTACAGAGCAACTTGTATCCACATGGCGCCGCCGCCTGAGCTCAAGAGAAGGCTCCACAGATGAGGAGGATCGTACAAGCCCAAGTTCTGTGGCACAAGAGTCATGCGTTCTGGGAGATGCCTTCATTTCCGCTTCGCTTTTGCGAGATGAATTCGTCTGCTCGCCCGAAGACTTATCTCGCAGCGGTCCTTTTTCTTGTGAGCTCTTTTCACACCTGGACGCACTGCTTGTCCTCTCGCTCTTGTGCTTCTTCTCGAGGGCCTTCGAAATGTACCAAATGCAAAGTCCCAAGAGGATGCAGTAATCCGTAATCCAGAGAAGACCCGTTATCACGCTGCAACACCAGAAGTCGTGCTATTGAGAGGAAAGATCCCCCCTCCCCATATTGAAAAGGTACGTTTCCGAATATTTGCGTTGCTGATTTGTGACCACAAATCAGGTTTGTCTTGCAAGAAGACAAGTGCAGAGGCATCCGCCCAATTGTGAAGCGATTTGGCATGCTGTTGGTCCTAGAGGGTAGCCGTTTGCAATGCTGAACAACTAGACCTGAGCGCTCCCACCCAGGCTGCGGATCTGGCAGGAGTGCTGTACTGCAAGACAAATCGGATTTGTGTACACAAATCAGCATCAGAAATTTCCATTTTGATTTTTGATATGGGGAGGGGGGATTTTTCATTTTGATACGTGCCAGAAAATCACTTCTCGACTCGAGTCGGTGCGCGCCAGCCCGCCGTTCTATCAAATGTAAAAATGTCTGGGTCTGGAAGATTCTGACACTTGTCACGCACGTTTTGCATGAGCCATGATGTCTGTGATGCATACCCTAGCAATACGGATTTTTTAAGGTCTTGTTGATGCGTATTCCGCATGACAAATTCCCTCTCCGCGTAGCCAAAATTGCATTCCCTTTGTTGGTCATGCAATACAGATTTTTTCATGACTTGCAAAAGCCCCCCCCTTTTCGCCGGAAAATTTCTCCGGACGCCTTCGTGAAACAGAATTCGCGCCAAGTCGATCAGTTTGGCGCGCTAGCGTAAGTTAGTAGCTCTTTGTTTTGAAGCTTCGCAAACCTCTGCAGCAGCACGAAGATCGACGGCACAAAACAAATCCCCCTAGGGGGGCAATCAAAGCCGGCTGACTTTGCGAGCGCGCTGACAACAAAAGCGAAAGCGCGCTGGCTTTGCACTTCGGGCTCGCCCAGAGGTCCCCTCAGGAAGGGAGTAAAAAGTCCGCTCCTTTTCGCTCCGTTTTACGAATAGGCTGGAGAAGTGGGGGAGTGAAATTCCATGAACTTTTCGCACGCAGCGAGCTTTCGCGCTGCCTCCTGAAGACATTCAAAAAACCAAGTGAAAGCTCACTGGCTTTTTCACTCGGAGTGAGAAGTCGCCTACACATCCCGAAAGGCTTAGAGAAAAGAAGTGAGAAATCAGTGATTTCTCACTCTCGCGAAATCTTGACGGCTGGAAACCTTTTTGGAGTCCGACTCCAGAGTGAGAATTTTTCAAAAGTGAGAAATCAGTGATTTCTCACTACTTTTCTCGAAGGTACCCGGGCCCCGAAGAAATTTGGCGCTCGGGTACCTTCGAGAAAAGTAGTGAGAAATCACTGATTTCTCACTTTTGAAAAATTCTCACTCTGGGAAGAGTCAACGCGACTCCGACCAGAGTGAGAGTCTTGCAAAGTGAGAAGTCACATTTTTCCCACTCCGTTTCTCGGATTGTTCGAGAAGCCGAGTGAGAAATCAGTGATTTCTCACTTTTCCCAAATGAAAACTTTTCAGAAGTCAGCGGAGCGACTTCTCGCTTTTCAACATGAAAACTTTTCAGAAGTGACAAATCACTGATTTCTCACTTTTCCAGAAAGAAAATGCTTCAGAAACGAGAAGTCGCTGACTTTTCACTCCTTTTCTAGAAGACCAGTGGAAACACAGTGAGAAGTCCGTAGCTTCTCACTTTTCAACGATGAAAATTTGTCGGAAGTCAGAAAGCACGGGCCTCGCGCCCTGTTGTTGGACGGAATGTTGGCGGGTTGTTTCTCAAAAAGAAACTGCCCCAGACGGAAGGCGGGCCCCTTGTGGCCCACGCGTCCACGCGCGGCCCGTTTGCGAAATTCTCGCACTGCCACCCCTCGAAAGCCTTCAGGGAGGTTTTCCGGTTATCAATTCTATCAGAGGGTTGCAAGTCATGGATTTTTTTAGAATCCAAATGCAGCATCACAAGTTCGGATTCTTCCAGACCCAGACATTTTTACATTTGATACGTTCCACTCCTGGTAGATTGCGAGCCACAGCAAGTGTCGCGCTGTGAGCCAGGTGCGGACAGACTCGTCCTGATAGTGATGGTACTGTTGTGAAGAGCGGGTGCGGGGGCATGAAGATGCTGAGTCTGTGGACAACTTTTCGCCACTGTGCAAACAAGTGCGTTCGTGTTCGTAACCGCACAGGAGAATTCTCGCGAGTCGCCGGAGCCGCAACGTGATGCGACTTGTGGAGAGCGCAGATCCAGAGAGCTCACAGAGCTCCATTTTGTTCATTTTCTGTGTTGGTCTACGCTGCTATACCTCAAACTAAGACAGACACAGGAAAGCCTTGGTCAACTAACGAGCACTCATATACCAATAACATCGATCGACACAGAAAGACCAGCACTGTCTCATGACTCGAAACCATCGCCATCTTTTCGACGAATCAAAATCAATCGCAATCGAGAAACACAGCGACAACGACGCTTACGATGCAACGACACTAGGACTAGCCGCATAGGATTACGACTTGAAGCGAGTACTTATATTGCACGACCACTACGATCAATATCAGAAAAATGTCCGACTGAACCTTCAATGCGGACGAGAAGGAAGCTCGCCAGCTGGCTCGTCATGGGACAAGAAAGAGAGTCAGAGAGGCAAGAGCATCGTCGTCTTGATCTTTTTCGGAATGGGGATGCCTGTTCATCTCACCACGTCAAATACATGATAACGTCGCACGATGAACCGACAATGCAGCGCTGCCGCTGGGTTCACAAATTAATCACACACGACACACTAACTCCATCGCATTGGCACCTGCAGTGCGCGCGGCTCTCTCATCTGGTTGACATGGACCGTCGTATGGGCGCCTGGCGGAAAGCCATGCGTCTTACGTGCCGAGGCAACACCCGAGTGCATGTTGTGTGTGGAAAGCATGGAAAGCCAGAGACCATCTATCTTGCAATGAAAAATCAATATGAAGTGACGCGACACTGCGGCAACACGTCTGCCCTTGTTCGACTGTGCAACTCACGATAGGGAATTGACTTTCATTGTGACTTTTTCACGCGATTTTTCTACTCAGATTTCGTGCCTTCTCTTTCGGAACCTGGTCCCAGGACATTGTCATCAGTCTCCTGCAGCTACTCAGTTTAGCGATTGCGGCCAGCGGCGCGCCTTACTTGCGCCGGCTCCAAGACGAATGCTTCGTCAGCTTTTCGCTGCCAAGGAGGTTGCGATCTGCGTTGCGCTGATCAGCGGGTACACGGTTACTCCGCCTGCGGCGCGACTGATGTCGCCTTCTGGAGCTACAGCTACTCGAACTTGACCACGATGTACTGGGTTCCTTGGCCCGCGCCTTCGCCCGAGAGTCTCGACGATGGTTGCGCCGTCGGCCATATTGCCGTCTGGAACGCCGACTAGAGGAAGAAGCCGATCGTCTTCGGGATCGCGCATCTCGAGAGCGCTCGCGCTCTTTACCGTCTCTCCTGGAACTTCGTGGCACGGCAGACGCTCCGGCGAGTCTGCTGTTTGGTCGATGGATTTCGGATTCTGGCTCGGACGTTCCCTCCGCGGGCCGCTTTGCCGCGTTATTGCAACTCCACGACGTTGTAGGCGTAGTATTGTCCCAAGAAGCGCCGCGAGTTCTCTTCCGGGGAGGCTTGGCGGCCATTTCGTCCCACGACCACGACCGCGGAGTGCCGGCGCTAGACTCTGACCGCTTTCCGTTTCTCCAGGGAGTGGCGCCATGCCCCTGCGGCTTTGTTTCATCCCCATACTGCTTGCCAGATTGAAACTGTTTCAAGAAGTTCTGGATATCTGCGTCGTGGCAACTTTGGCAAACATACTTGATTTCCACTTGCAGGGGCGCAGAGGCCTTATTCCCTGCGAGCACTTCTTGATCCGTTTCTTGTTCTCCATATAGAAGGCTGCAGTAGGGACCGGGCTCGTTTGCGCTGCTTGTGTCCGGAGTTTTATTTCGGGGGGAGCCTTCCTTTCCACTGCGTCCGTTCTCAGGATCTTCTTCTTCGGCTTTCTCCTGCTCTTCGAGATCGAGTAGGTCAAGATCTGACGGCGAAGCGATAACGGACTGAATAACGCTTTCCTCAAAATCACAGCTCTCTGGCTCGTCTCATTATCCTGGGTTAACACGTGCCCTCCATCCCAGGAGTCTACATCTACAGCGCACTTTGCCTCCTTCTGTGCACCGTGGCTGCCATCACAACTCACTTTTTCGCCCCAAGTTATCATGCGAATCTGCAAACCTACACATACACTGTGAGTATTTCATGCGCATCCTCGTGAGGAGCGTTTTCCAATGGCAACATCAATACCTAGTGGGGGCTCATCAGGACAAGCTGACTAATCTGCAATGCGGTTATACCAACTGTAACTCTAGATAGTTTCACGGCGAACCCAAAGAAACTTGTGTTGTCATGCAAATGCAAGTAGCAAAGTGAAAGATCTACAGCAATCTTGTTCTTGACTTGGGGGTGGGGACGCTTTTATTGTACGATACTCCTCCGGCTCCGGCAGAGTTCTCCTTCTCGTGAGCCTCTGTGTCGGCGAGTCCTTTCTCATTGTCGGCGGCGCCAACGACGTCCATTGAAGCAGCCTTGCCATTGTCTGGCGTGTCCTGATCTACTCCATGTTGACTACCATTCCCGCACACCGCCTCCCTCGCCCGCCGTTTCTGCTCCATCTGGTGGAACTCGTAGCGCAACCGCGCGCCCTTCGCCTTTTTGACAGAGATGTCGAACCGCTCCAGATTCCTCTCCAGCAAAGCCTGATCAGGTGTCTCCTCCCCCGGGAAGAGAACGTCGAAGCTCGCGATGGCCGCGATGTGGCGGCGGACACACTCGAGGACAGTCTCCGGTCTTTTCACCATGCAACCCGTTGCTTCGCAGAAAAATCTCGGCACTAACTTTCTAGTGGCGTCACATGGTCGGTGTGCAAATCGGTCTTCAGCCGTCGCGGCCAAATGGCCGTCGGAGGTGGTCGGTGTAGTGCTCGAAACAGCGACGGCCGGGTTGGCGGTCCACTTCAATACTTCGATTTCTGCTAACTCCTCACCGGTCGCTTTCTTCAGGAGTCCGACCCATGCTGCGAGCACATCTGCGACTTCTTGCGGGCTCTCCGTCGAGAGAGCTGTTGGCACATGCAGGAAAACTGCTGCCACCGCGGCCCCATCAGTTCCGGCATCTTTCTCGTCCGCAACCGCATGCCGCTCGGGGATAACGCGCCAACTTCGCGAAAACTCAATCTCCAGCAGGTCCACCGCATCCGGTGTCTCGTCAGAGAACCTCTTTGCCGCCAATTTGATCACCTTGGCTCGGCAATCCGTCAAGGCAACTACTTCGCTAGCCGCGGCAGTCTCGAACCCGGTCAGTTTGTGAAAATAGACCAGCGGCGGAGCGAACTGCCGGTCTTGCTGCGCGTCTGCAACACGAATCGCACACGACATTTTGCAATCCCATTCGCAGTCTGCCTCCTCCTGCTGCTGCTCGAGGGTTGTTGGCAAGCCCGCGCGGCGCCGCGCCTCATAGATCTTCCATGCCAGGAGGGTCGTGGCCTCGAGGACCTCGCCTGGCGAATAGCAGGGAAGTGCGCCATCGGCGAAATTCTGCGGCATATCCAGCCATTCGTTCCGCAGGTCATCCCGAACCCGCGCGCGGGCCGGGGCTTCGTCGGTCAAAATTGCACTCTCGTTGGGTGCGTAGAGGGAAAAGCCCGGAGGCAGCTGGTCCTTTGCAGTGCCCTCCTTGAGTGAGGTCAGCAGGGTAGCGCGCTTCTCCTCTATGGAAGAGTCCATCTTGCAGGTGGGCGACAAGCAGGCCAGGCTCAGGACGCGACCGCAAGCCCAGACAATTACGAATAGGAAAATGGGATACAGACGAGTAAAATGCTTTTTCCGTTACTGCATTGAAAATGGGCAGAATCGACTGTCTCACTCTATTGCCGTCATCATAGCGACACACTGGTTGATATATCTTGCTTTACTGTATTACGTAGCCGCGTCGTACATGCCTACTTCTATAATTTCTAGTAGAAAACGAAAAACAGATATGGTGAATATCTTCAATATCTCAACCCAAATACGACCTACCTGCCGAGCGCGATACATATGTGAAATTTCGAGACTTCTACTTACCATTTTCCTTGCTTTGTTACCGATGGATGCCTTCTCCTGTCTGGCGTGATGCCTGTGTGACCATCTGGATCTGCAGAAGCAAGTTCCATGCTCTACTAGTGAAAAGAAAACACAAAGGCAAGAGATAAAAAGTCAGCCGCTCCTTGCATGTACTTAAGTATGTTCAGACAACGTCACCGTCCTACCTTGTCCCTTACGATTATCCGGAAGATCTTTCACACTAGATCTTGAGGTATGGGCTGTCAACCGAAGACCACGATCGCCCTGAAGGTGAAGCTGCAGGTGCAGGTCACGGATCTGCATGCGCATGAGCAGAATGAAGATACACGCACGACGTTAGGAAGATCTCTTGGAACTCTTCGTCAATAGGTGGATCGCTGAAACTCCGCGTGGTGACAACATAGCGACCTACTAGACCACAAGATCTCTGATATTTATGTACAAGATCAGACACGTGAACGTCATCGTCAGCGGAGCCTTTTTTATTGCCTCAAAACAGCAGACATAGCTGCACCACATTGAAACTCATATCGATTCGCCGGGACGAGCAACAAGGTCCTCTTGACTAAACAATCATGCTGCAGCCATCATCTATTACCGGTAAGCTGCAGCTGCGCACGGCAGAGATGAAATAAAACTAGACAGTAGAGTGCCGCGAAAGAAAATAGATTCACATGAGCGCGCGCGTGATGTTTTCAGTTCAGGCTTTGGACCCGGAGCAAAGAATGCTTTGTCTGTGCGATGAGAATAAGCCAGCCGATCTTCGAAAATAGCAACCGCTTTGGCGTTTCTACTTCCGATGCAAATGGAGATGGATAAAGCTTAGCAACGCTCAAGATTTTCACTCAAGTACCTACGGAAATTGATTATGATACGAATGGGAGACGGAGCGCAAGAAGGGGACTCGCGTTTTGTTCAAGTTTCAAAGTAGCCGAGTATTAAGCTAAAGCGAGTAAACGTGACGACTTTATTGCTCAAAGATTCCAGTGTGCAATTGGCGACGGACTGCGGAAAACACTTATACATAAACGGACAAATCATAGACGAATGAACAATACTACAGTGCGCGCAACTCAGGAGTGGCGAATCATTCTCAACCACTTTGCCACGTTGAAGGCCACGAGCCGCTGTTTTTCCACGTACTACCCCCGCTTCCAGACCACGCAGCGTCTTTATCGCCTCCGGACTGCTGATATCTATTTGAAGGAGCCGCTGACGATGAGCTCTCTGGTAAGATGTGTGTATTCTGCATCAGAGAAGTAGAAGACGATGATGAAGAGGTCGGCGTGGGTAAGTGCTGCGGGACTTCTGCAGAGATCGCCCCTGGAGCGTCGACGCTGCATTGGGTATCGATTTCCATGGCCGTGCTGCTGGACCCCGCTGGTCTTGCGCGCTTATTGGAAGTGGGGTTGTCAATGTCACCGAGTAAGCAGGAGGAGCGCGGCGCCGCACTTGAGGTTGAGCTGCCTTCGTATCGACGTTCCCCTGAGTTGACGTTCCTTCGGCTCCTGCTAGTAGAGTCTTCTTTTGCAGCCCTCTTCTCGAAGTCGGCGCGGCACCGGTTGACAGCTTCAGGGATTGCTGGATGGATAGCTGCATCGCTACTGTCGACGCGCGTAATCAACTGCTCAAGCGTGCAGAGCTGGTGCTTGTTCACCCGTATCTGTCCCGAGGACATGCACACCGGGACCAGGGTGATAGCCTCACCTTCAAACTTTCGGCCCGTGCGACCCGAGCGGTTGTCGTAATCATCGATGGACAGTGGCACGTCAAAATGAATGACGACTCTCAGTTTTGGCAAGTGCAGCCCATAGGCACAGACGTTGGAAGCGATTGTGAGCGTGCGGGCTTCTGTCCTGACGGTGTTCACCTTTTTTCTGCGCTTTGCTGTGCTTTCACCGTCGCCGCCGCCACTATATTTTTCAATCGAGAAGAAAGCGTCCTTGATCTCTTTGGATTTCTTCAGTTCATCGAAAACGGCCTCCATGGTGTCCTTCTTGTTCACACAAACGAGAACACTGGCGCCTCCGGCCGGAACGGGAAGCCTGTGGGTTTATGAAGTTGAGGTTTGAAATTTTCTTTGAAAATGCAGAAGGTGAAAACGTGCACACTTTGGGGGTGAAGATCATGAAACTTGTTTCCCACTTTCTCTTGCGACCGAGAGACCTGTCACAGTTGAAGTGGTGACGTGCATCGCTCATATCGGATAGGTAATTAGCAGTCAGCTTCCCGGCTTTTCAAAAAAACATAGCGGAGCACTTAGCGTGGAAAAGATAAGCATTGGCATAAGGCCCTAGAAGAAACATAATCCAACTCGCGCATCGGGCAGGCGGATAAGAGATGAACAACTTCTAAAGTGAACCACTGCCGCATTGCCGAGAAAAATAGCACGAGGACGAAGATGCATGCATAGCACAATCAGGACGGGCAAGTATAAGTAATGCTTGCCTGGCCCCACTCTCCAAATATATAGCGCGCGCCAAATCATACCTGGGGGACAGAAATTGGAGCAGTTCTCTCCTTAGCGCTGCCAATTTTGCCTCCTGGCACCGTTTCCAGAGTTCGTCAGGTGGCGCGCTGTCGTCGGGCTGGATAAACGTTGCTGGCTTGATCGCGTCCTTCACGCGATGATTTACAGCGGGCTGGTCGGCGATTGGGCCAGCGTGAACCAGCACCGTTTTCGAAAGCTCGAACTCGTTGCAGCACTCGTCGACAAACTTCCTCGTGAGATTGCTGCCAGTGCAGTACAGCGCTGGCGCACGCGGAGCGCTTTTTGTGGCGTTCTCGTAGAGCCACCGGGCGGCTCGCACTTGTTTCTGCTCCGACTCCCGCCCGGCGGTCTGCTCGAAGAGACCCTTCATGTCATCGCAGACGAGACACTGGAGTTTGTGAAGACTTAGCACACCTGGAGCAATTGGTTGGGCATAAATATCCTGAGCGCTGCAATAGCGCGACTTACTGTTGCTACGCTCAAGCGCATCAATGATTTTCCTCAATCCAACCGCACAAAATACGATGGGCAAATGGCAAAAACAACGACCGACACACTCGAAAAGTAAAATAAACGCTAACCCTGAGGGCTAGTCCTAAAAAATCTAGCGTGCTAAGCATGGTCGCGCAGGGCGCTCTTACCGGCTTCGATGAGACCGAAGGCTCGGCCTGTTGTTGCAATGAGCAAATCGGCGCCCCTTGCGAGACTTGCAAGCTCCGGGGTCTTCGTTTCCGCCCCGTCTCTCCCGTGCCCACCCACCGCTCGTGCCGTTAGAATTCCGGTTTTCGCGAAGAACATTCTGGCGGCGAGGTAGTTCTGTTCGACCGCGTCACGTGTGGGCGCGAGCATGAGGACGCTGGGGGCAATGCGCTTGTCACCGTAACGCCCCAAGATATAGTTCTTGTATGCCCCCAGTGGCCGCAATGCCTGCCTTCCGTCTTTGGCTTCGGCATCATTGTACGTGGTGCAACAAAACGCCGCGGCGATGGGAAGAATGGCCAGCGTTTTGCCAGATGCCTTCGGGGCACTCAAGCAGATTGCATGCGGTGGCGGTGTTCTCCCCATGTTCTTCACCTCCTCAAAGAATGCGGTCTGGCTTGCAAGAAAGTTTTCGATTTCTATATTTCCGATATTGTGCAACAGAGTATCGGCAATCTGTAACCGTTCTGCTGCGAAGAGTGCCGTCTTCAAGCCGGCCATTGCGTGCGTGACTGGAACGGCCTCGGGCTTTCTACTTTTCCCAGTAGTTTCATGCTCGTCGCACTCCCAAGCGTCCTGCTCTCTTGTCTTTCGGTACACCAACCTGAGTGGCCGTTGTGGAGTTAAAGTCTGAGTTTGATCTCATACAGATGGATGTAAAGCGAACTGAGGGTGGTTCGTGCACTTATGAGAAAGGAAACTTCTCCAAGAAGGAAAGCCATGCTGAAAGGCCATAGTCATCGAGAGGCTAGCCGTAGGTTGGCGAGCCGACAGCCTCGTGCACGCCGGGCCGAAGCCTCGTTTGGCGAGCAATTCCAAAAAAAACTACGCAGTGGTAGAGAAAAATTTGAGGGAGCTGGTACACAGGTAGCTTGGCTATCTCCTTTGGGACGGGTTTGTAGTCTTCCACATTGAAAAAACGCCCCTCGTCGGCAGCAACCTCGGCGTCGGTAATTTCCGATGTTTTGTTTTGCCGTATGAGCAAGTCCTGGGCGGCAACGAACTCTTTGTACAGTTTGTCTGATTGTACCATGCTGGCTTAAGCTTATCTCTTTAAACTTTAGGATTAAGAAACGAAAGCGACAAAAATGAAAAAATGATCGAAATCGTACTGGGCTTGAAATTAGCGCACTAGAATTCACAGCAAAGTGCTTGAAATTGATCGTGTATAGCTGTAACAACTCAAGAAGAAGTGTGAATCTCAGTCAGTGTCAGTGTGGGCGTTGTTACAAAATCAGACTGCGCTCCTTGTTTTCTGACTACAGTGGGCATCCTTGCATGTTCATCGCATTTTTGCGCCAGAACATAAAACCAAATGCACCACAGGTCCTTGTACAAACGTTAACGTTGATGAAGGACTTATGCTCTAGGCAACTACAAGTAGTGAACTACGATCTACATGATTCACGTGAAATATGATCCATGCTGGCCTGCGTCGCCATCTTGCGAGCTACTCACTGATCATGCTAACCACGGAAAGTAAGACAACCATGCGAAGCAACAGAGCGGCAGACTGTTCGTCAACTGGTGAACTCAACACCAATTCCTACACTTGCGTGCGTGTGATGTATGAGCGAGATCGACAGGACATGGATAAATATGGCTTGGGCGCGATGGTATCGGACTAATTGTTGATCCCTCATCGAAGAAAAGTGCGCCACTCGATGAAGTATTTGCAACACAGTGAGGAAGATTACCACGAGCAGTTAAGGTTTGCTCGGGCCCGCGTAAGCGACCCACATCGACATCGGCGCCATGCTTTTTTCTTTTTTGGCCTTTCAACATGTCGGTGCATGTCTTCTGCTCAATAAAGGAATAGGTTGGCGCACTGCGCGGCTGTGTTCAGACATCGCAACACTCTGCGTCACTGCCTAGACTAGTTTTCTTCAGTTCAAGACTGCAAGCTTTGCTGCGCGTTTTTGTTTTTCTTGTTTTCTTTATTAATCAAACGTAGAATAGGAAATTGATACTACCGAGGCGACTTTCGTAACGCATAAAAGTAAAACGCTATCTATGTACAGTTTGGAACAGGAATACTAACAGGAAAGTTGGCGCTGTTTTGGCGCTTCGATGAGCGCACGAATTTTTAAATTTCATCGTCGTCCCGTGCGGCTTTTGCCTTTGCAATTGCCTGGCGAAGTTCGCGCGCGTTCATGATGTCGGTGTCCTCGCATAGTGTCAGCCGGTGGCCGCTGCGGACATGCAGCACATTGATTTTGTTCGTGCCGGCCTTTCCTTGCCACTCGACAGTGTCATACTGCTGCACCGTGACGGGCTGCCTCGGTAGATCTCGCTTCACCAAGCGCAGCATGAAATTCTTTTCCGACTCCCGCGCGAACTTCGCAAGAACGTCAGATACCGACATCTCACCAGCATCGCCAGTCACTACGTCAAGCTTCAAGGCTTTCGCGGAGAGAAAAGTGCCAGCGTCCCGGTTCGGCTTGCGTTCCATCTTCCTCGTGAGGCCATCAGCTGTCCGTGGAGGAGAAGCCGGCGCGGAACTGGTATCATTGTACACCTGCGGCCGTGGCAGCGGCTGCTGATGCGGCTTCAGGCGGCAAACTCCAGCAGAGCCAACCTCCCAGCCACGAACTTGCACGACGTCGTGGAAACGTGGGCCATGTTGCTGGAGCGTGTCAATGCTGTCGTTGCTAATCACGTGAATTTCAGCGTGGTGCCCGCTCGTTTCAGCCCCACAAACTAAGTTAGCTGCCCTGGTCAATTCGCTACTTTCGCTCGTCCACTGCACGGATGGCGGAACCTGACAGACACAGAGGTTGAAGATTGAGAACAGAGCGAAAGAGTAGTGCATCCATAATTTTATAGATTGATAAATTACATAAGCGTATACCTTGTTCAACGTCATCTTCATTCGAGGATGAAAAGCACAAAGAAACAAACAAACGATCAAAAAACTAGCCTGGTGTTAATTGTTTTAGTACATGCGGCACTCCTTCTCTATCCGCCGATATCCGCAAGAGGAAGAGCTCCCGCCACTCTTCATTTCTTTGAAGCTTACTGGGGAGCCATACTTCCACGCGATGGAATTTACGATCTTCAGCGGCATCTGCCTGGAGTGCAGATAGCACAAGCCCCATGTTTCTCACGCACAAACTTTGATGCGCGACGCCTTGCGCTTCGGAGCTTGGGCAACAACTTTGAAGCACACTGGATCCGTCAACCATGTAAATCCGATGAACCTGGGGCAGCATCGGGCGGCAAGTTCTGCTCGTTATCTCTGTTGATCTTGATCGGGACTGCGTCTCTGTTGATACGGACTGCCGGCTGCTGTCCAGATGTCTACGCAGGTCCGCGGCCTTCCATACAGCGCTATATTTTTCGTGCTCTGCTATCCAATGCCTCCAAACCTCCGCTCCCTTCCCCTCCGTGGGCCGGATTGTTCGTGCCGAGTCTTCGACAACCGCGCGGCTGACGAAGCCGACCAGGCCGCGCACTGCCCTGGTCGCAGCAACGTTGAATCGGGAATGCTCATCAACGAATCCAAGGCGGAGCTCTGTCCGCACCGTGTCCAGCAGAATCAAATCTCTCTGCTGCCCCTGGAACTCGTCCACCGTTCCGATGAAAACGTCCACAGCAGACGACTGCAGATCGTTGTAATTGCGGTTGCCGCCCTCGCCCTCGAACAAGCGGCGCAGTTTCTGCTCCTGTGCCCGGTACATCGTGATGATGCCGATCCGTAAAGTTTCGCGCTTGCGCTCCCCAGACACATCAGACGCAACGTGCGCACGCGCGAACAGATCGGCCGTATCGAGAACCAGGCGAGCCAGCTTGGGATTACAGGTAGACCCCTCGCCGTCTTTTTCCTCCGGGTAATCCTCTTTCCCCACGTCGATCACAGCCACGCGGTGGAAGTCGGCCGGTGACTCGGACTCGCTTTCGTACCTCACCCAGGGAAGCCCGGGAACTTTCGGCAGCTGCGGTGCGCCATCCGCGATGACTTGATCGTAAAAGCGCGTCAAAGGCACGCGAGCAATACTCGGATGCATGCGGTACTGGATGTTGAGCTGGATTAATGGGAAGTGGTGATCTCTAAGCCGCTCAAACAGCGTTTTCGCGAGCCCTCTTTCTCGTGCGGACTCCGCTTTCACGACCGGGCTGTTCTGCTTTGGGTCTCCGCTGAGCACTAATCTGGATATCTGTGGGTGGGCATTCATCAGGGCATTGGTATCAACTTCACTTGCTTGCGCTGCTTCGTCTACCAGTGCGGCGGTAAAGTCATTGCCGAAACTGGAAAGCTGCTCGACGCGCGCTAATGTCGTAAGCACCGGAACGCGGAGACTGATGAGGAAGGCAAGCACGCCCTTAGCTTTCCCGCGAAACAAATCGCTGCCCGGCTTGATCAGCTCGAAAAGTTGCTTCCCTCGCGCCTGACGATCAGGCGCCTTTTCGAGGCGCCTACATAATTGCTCATATTCATGGAGGGTCGCTGCCATGTCAAAGTCCTCCTGTAGGTTCTGTCTGGGGTTGCTCGTTTGCTTTGCATGTTCTGCCTCTATCTGGCTGCGCTGTGCAACCAGGCATTTTATCGCGGTCAGCTGATCTTCTGGATTGCGAGACCCGCGAAAGTGTATGTGTAGACGTCTCTGGTGCGTTAGCCGCTCACTGATCTCTTCCACTGCCTTTTTGCTGTGTGCAGTTACCAGCGTCCGTAGCCCCGCTACCGCAAAGCGATGGATAATTTCGCAGGCTGCGGTTGTTTTACCGGTTCCAGGCGGGCCGAGAATCAAAGTAATCTTGGATCTGCACGCGGTCGCAACTGCGTCGTGCTGGCTTCCCGGAAGCAAGCACACGCCTCCAGTTCCACACGTTGGCGGATGCTTGACGGCTTCGCTCGGTTTTTTCATCTCGAATACATTGCTGATCTGCAGTTTCCCCTCTCCGTTGTCTTTGAGGGAAAGCGCGCCAGTTATGAACATGTGCAACGGATGAAAGTTCGTCTCCGAGACCCTATTGGCATGCTGCTGTGCCGGTCTGGATGATGTGTTCGCAAGTTCAGCGTCGGCCACATTAGCCAAGCAGCGTCGGGTCTGTTGCGTCAGTGGTTCCGCCGTGCCAGCTATGCAGTGTAGATATGTCTGGGTCTGAAAGGATGCGAGACTCTATCTGGGGCGGATTCTTGAAAGGCAAAAAGCTGCGCTGAATGCTCAGCAAAAGATGTCCGATTCTTGTCTCGCCCGGCGGGAGAGGGCATTTCTATAGCGGGCTAGGAATCCACAAGCCACCGCCCAAGACTTTGCCATGCTCTGTGTGCATTCCAAATCGAGGAGACCTTGCCTATTTAATATTTGCATGAAAGGCCTCTGCCCGCTTCGAGTCCCAGACACATTCGCAATTGATACCAGCCGGAGGGCTCGTGTAGAGTGCGAGGGTCGCACGCATCCGCATTTCGGTCCCACCCCACTGCACAACCTGAGAAACATTCTCGCGCAATACTGAGCAGTGGAGCTTGCCGCCGATCTGAAATGCCCCACCGAAATCTTCGTGCAGAATCGGCCGGAATTTCAAGCGTCGCTGCAGTGCGTCCCTGCTTTCGTCGCTGTTTGCTTCTTCACCAGTATCGAACAGGACCGCAAAACACTGGGCCCGCTCGTATCGCTTGATGTCTTCCGCTCGCAGAAACACAACTACAGCGCGCTTCGTCAGGAGCTCCTTCACGTTAGCGCGGCAATCCTTAGGGTACTCGAACTGCGCCTCGATCGCCTCGATGAACTGCCGATGCGTGACTGCGCTGTGCGGAGTTGTTTTCTTCGTTACGAGAGAGCAAGGCGCCGGCGCGTTGTCTTTGTTACAAGAATGCAGGTCCTTCGCGTTTGTAGCCTGGGCTTGCCAGAGGTTCTCACTAAACTCGACTGCCACAGCATCGAGCAGGCTCCGCGTGCGGCTTATGTCGGCCTGCTGCGGGCGACTGCGAACGTCTGCGCAGCCGCCTTGCTCCTTGTAGCCAACAAGCCAATATCTGTACGGAATAGGCGTCAGCCCTCCGAGTTTGTCCAAAGACCTCGGGTTGAGAATTCCCTGGCAGTCGTCCATCGGACACGCAAAAACAGCGACCTCCAGAATGCATTTCGTGTACGCTTCCAAAGAAATCGACCGCAAGTCGGTCCTCTCCTGCTCACGCCGAAGCACCTCGATAACATTGGCAAAAATGTTAGGAGTGGTCGCGGAGTTCAGTGCTCTTCGAAGCAGAGATCCCCAGAAAATCCGAGGCAAGGTGCGCAGCTGGTATTCCACTGCGGGATCGCGTTTCGAAGTGTCCACCAAGAACAGGTCTGCCACGCCTGTTCCTGCTTGTGCTGCCGAAGCTGCTTCTACAAGCGTCGCCCATTCGTCGGGGGTGCTGAGAAGCTTGGCCTTTGCCAAGCAAACCGCCTCGGCGACCGAACGGCCATACGCCTCTACGACTCGGTCGTGAACTCGCTGCTGAAGCGCGACGCGGTAAACAACACCTGGCACGTCCTCAGGGTACTCTGTCCCATCTGTGGTCGTTGCGGTTTGGGTTTCCCAGACACTGTGATCAAGATAATTTCCTACTCGGAGGACGTCCTGTGTCGCCTCGAGCCAGACCTCGGAAATGTCGCCTATAAAAGGAATCGCGTCGCTGCGCGCGTCACACGTTGCATTGCCGGACCCATACGCCTGCTGCTGGTCCACCAGATGGCGGAAAGGTTCGTCTGCTTTCCACTGATCGAAGGCAAAGTGTTTACCATCAGGCTTGGCTTGCTTCTCGCTGATGGAACAACCACCGTTGTCTTTCGGGATGATAAAAACTTCGCGTTCACCGACACCGCTATTAATCGGGTTCGCCTTCCTTCGCAGACTCTCGCGCTCTCGGTCTTTCGCTGCTTCTACCGCAGCTTGGTCCCGTGCATGCTGCTCCGCCTGCCTGTCGGCTGCTTCCTGCTCCGCTATCGCTCGGCACTTCTCGCACGTCGTATACCGTGTGCGATTCGTTCGAAATTGCGAACTATCCTCATAGACGGTAAAACACCTGTCGCAGGTGTTGTCTTTCTTGTATGCTTCCCGAGCTTCCTCCTCGCGACACTCCTTGCACGTATCCAGCGTCTTTCCCTTACGGTTTTTGAAATCTTTCAATGGTTTAATCCTTCCGCACTTGCCTTTGCACTTCTTTTCCCACCAGTTCAGCTCTTTTTGTTGCGCGATTTCTGGCACAGCCGAATCAGCATCAGCTGCCTCCGGTACTAGGCAGCGACCAAGGTCTTTAGAAGCGCCGTCCCGATCTGCTGCCGAGCGCTTCAGCGACGTCCACCCCGAATGCCACTCTACTTCTGACACTGGCTCCCGCTGCAATGCCGAGCCGCCCGAACCTCCGGCGATGTGCGCTGAATGCCCAGAAACATGGCTGCTCGGATCGACGCGGCCCTTGCTCGTGTGGTCAGCGAGCTCGGGAAAAAAACGCGCTCGGTCTGGTTCTACTAGTTCCGCAGCTGCGACTTTGCAGATCTCGACCTCATGCCGAAACGCTGGGGGCGGGTGGCTTTGCAGGTTCCCGGCCGTATGCTGTGGGCTGGAAGGTCTTGTGTCATCTGCTGCACTGCCGATGAATGCGCGCGTTCCCCGGTCCTCCTGTTGCCCGGAACGCTCGATGGCTCCGCGCAGGCATGGGTTGGCGTGATGGTGCTCCGAGACCCGCGCTAGCGTTTTGACCTCGTAATTCTCCATGGCCCGGTGCGCCTCAATCCAAGCCAGCATTTCCTGTGTGCTGTAGATGCACTCGTTCGTGTGCTCGTTGTGAAAGAAGGGAGCGAAAACAGTGCCCAAGGTATCTTTATTATTGCCTTTGACCCAGCCTGGCTTTGCCTTCCATTTGCAGTCGCGAATAACGTGGGCCAACTTGTCACGCGCGATTCCGCCAACGCCGTAGTCCTGAAGCAAAGAGTGAAACAAATTGCGCCACATTTCAAAGACTTGCTTCAGCTCTTCCTGTCCGACATCCAGTCCGGTCGCGTTGTGCCTAAACCGGAGCGACTGTGCGCCGGAGACCGGTGCGAAGCGCCACTCGAAAGCAAACTCTTCGCCAAAGACCACCTCCTGCAGCACGTCGGCGTCATTCTCCTCGTCCAAAACGAAGCGCAGATCCTCTACTGCTCGGGCATTCTTGACCTCATCAGGATTCCGAGTCACGACGCCCGAAGGCTTGTGGAAATACTGGGTGGTAATAGCGTCCGCTTCGTCTGCCCCGTCACGTCCCACAGAAGATCCGACTGCGACTGTGCTGACGCCCCACTCGCAGTTTAAGTCGGGGTCTTCATCGCGTGTGACCGGAAGCTCTGCGGCTCGACGAGCATGATAGATCTTCTCGGCAAGCTTTAATTCTTCATCAAGTTTGAAGTGAAATTCCGCGCCCAGGGCGTCGTAATCCAAATCAAGTCGCGGGAGAAGCCACTCTCCGGTAATATCGTCTCGAACGCGAGATCTGCTGCGGCGCTCCTCCCCATTTTCATCTCTGTCCTTCTTCAACCGATACAGCGAAAAGCCCGGCGGTGGCAGACCTTTGCTGGCCAAACTGCTCATCGTTAAGAGCAACGCATCAATCGGTTATCAAGACGGGATAAAGCCTAGATTTCTTATCCATCAAGGCCTCCGCAGCACCAACACGTCCGCTCGTGCTATCATGATATCCAGATTCATCGTCGGAATCCCCGCGGACCCGGCCATCCTTGCAAATAAGTTTGTAGTCGATACGCCATATAATTTCGGTTTCATTCAAAGGTGAAATCTTAATTGATTGATGCTGTTTCACAGCAAGAATAGCTTCAGGTGACCGAGCAGGAATCTTCGCTGTGCGAGCGTTTCCATTTGCAAGGTAACGAGACTCAAGACAATAAAAACCCAGCAGAAAACTACCACGAAACAATCAGTGGACCGTGAATGGGATCGATCCTGTGATCTGATCGTTCTTGTGATCGTGTCTGTGGACGTGCTCTTGAATAATCTAGTAAATGATGGGGCTCGCGATGGGAGTTCTATGACTGCCACGGGTGAAGGAGCAAGAGCAAATTGATACACGTAGATATTGATAGTGACGATGAACAGGATCAAACTCTCTGTTGAAACAGCGCACAGCACACGAGTAACAATGTTGTGGTATGTTACGCGTGCAGTATTGCAGCGCAAGAGCACCAGGTGTGCTTCTCAGTTCGTTGTGTTCGTCAGACAAGTCCGAGGGCAAGAGCTGCACTTTCTGAGTGACGGCATGCGCTACAACGGACAAAGCGACGTCTTTTTTCCATGGTGGAATTTCGCACTTTCTTTGGATAGACTGGGACCAGCAGATTAGCACATCGAGGTTTAGAAAATTCCCGCGTTTTTCAGACTTGGCACGAGCACCGCGACTTCTCCCCCGTCTTTGCCCTTGACCACCCATTGGTGTTTTCCCGCGAAGAAGGCTTTGCTGCTGTTGTCGATGGAGAATAAAGGCTGTGCCTTCGCCCATTGCTTGGAGATGTTTTTCAAACTGGTAGTAGCCGCCTCGGCACCTACTTCTTCCAGGCAGCCCTTCAGCGTGATCTTCGTGCCCACCGCGCAGGCGTCCGGGTTCTCGAGCTGCAACAGTTCACACTGCTCGTTCGGGCCCTTGTTGTCGATGGCCCCGGCGAGAATCATGCCCTCCGACGCTTCCCCGGCCAGCTTTGCGGGCTTGATGTTGAAATACGTGATTACCTTCCTGTTCAAAAGATCTTTCTCCCCGTCCGGGTAAAATTTGACGATACCCGAGCAAATCTGCCTCGTGATGCCCTCGCCCATGTCCACCTGGAGCTTGTACAAGGCCTCGGAGTTTGGAATCCGGTCGACCTGCACAATCTGGCCGACGCGAAGATCCAGTTTCTGCAGCGCAGAAACGGCCTCGCCGACGTCGCCCTCGCCGGCCGGGGCTGCTGCGGCCGCGGGTGCTTTCGCCTTCGCGGGGGCTGCTTTTGCGGGCTGTTCCGCGGCCTTTTGTCCGCCTTTGCCGGCGTTCTTTGGTGCTGCTGCGGGTGCAGGAGCCTTTGGTTGTTCTTTCACCGCAGCCTTGACGCTAGTAGCCGGAGCAGGCGCAGCACTCGAGGAACTCGAGGAGGTACCGGTGCCGTGGAAAAAGGAATAGCTGTGGATGATGTTGTGTAGTACGTGTGGTGAAAAATGACTCGCATTTCGTCGGACACTGCTACATCATTCGCAAACACGAAGAAAATTTACTGAGATGAATGGCTAGAATAGTTTAAAAATCTTGAGAGAACGTTGAATCCTCGTTCACTCATACTTGAATTTGTTTCATTTATACGTCGTATGTCCCTGCGGCACGTTTCCGTCCACGGCGGCCCACACGCGGCCGAAAGACGCTTTGTCCACCACTTCCTGCTGGCAGGGCCCGCTGAGCGACTTGGCGCGAAAGGAGTACTCGGTTTGTCCCTGCGGAATGCCTCGACCAGACCACACAATGTCGAACTTCTTGCACGGGATCTCCGGGGTCAAGCTGTCCTCACCGCTGTCGGCGGTGGTCGAACCGCCCTCTTCGTTTTGGTGGCTGAGGACGTACCGGTAGTACAAAGCCGAGCCGAGCTCGTCGGTGCGCAATTTTTGCAACTCACCATCCTTCGGAGGGCACCCTGCCGGACCATCGCACTTCGGCTTCTTTGCCGCGGGCGCACCGGTGTCCTTCGGCGAAGCCGCAGCCTTTTTGTTCGGGGCAGGCGCCTGTCCAATTCACAGAAATTTGGGTACAGTGATGTTGCGGCGACACGCGAAAGCATAAGCGCCTGGGGGTGAATACGAAAATACGCAGACATTTACATTTTCTAAAAAAATATCCTTCCAGTCGCAGTCGACACAATCAAAAAATACCGCAGCCGGAGCCGCCTCCTTTTTCGCCGGAGCAGCGGTTTGCTCCTTCTTTGCGGGCGCCGCCTTTTCCTTCTTTTCCGCGGGAGCAGTTTTCGGCTCGGCCTTGCCGCCCTTCTTCTTTTGCTCTTTGAAGACGGGAATGATCAGCGGCTGGGCGCAGTAGATTTCGCATGTTTTCTCTGCGTTCATCATGATCTTGTCCACGGAATCGAACCCACCTGGCACCAAACTCAGAGCGGTGCGCTCCGGAATGGCGTTCAGCAAGACACGCCGCGCCAGCTGGCCGCGAAGCGCTTTCTTCGCTTGTTCACTGGTCGTCTTGGCAAAACGCGCCTTTTCGAAAGGCAAGGACTCTTCGTACTCCAGGTAGGCTGGGAGGTTCGTCAGCACATGCATGTCGCGGCAGATCCCCTTCGCGCAGGCGGAGTATTTCAACGGGTCGGCCTCTTCGAGAACCTGCAAATGCAATGAGGAAAATAAAGCTCAACAAATGCAATCATTCGATTATGCGCGCATATGATCCACAAAGACAAAGGACCTGACCTTTGTCACTTATGACCAAGACCACTTAAGTACTTTCCTTTCTATGTTGTACAAAGTACGATGAAGCTTTACAATGAAGTCCCAACTTTTCTGCATTAAGATACCTTGCAGATCGCGGTCCTTTCTTGCGCGAGCGGAAACACTGGAAAGGTGGAGATTTCCGGAACGTTCATGGTAGAAGCCACCGTGGACCAGACCCAGTAGTCTTTCGGCGCGAACTTGCCCCCGTCCGTTTCCGGCGTGACCTCGCCCGCGAGGGTGAGCAGCTCGGTGACCTGGTGCAGCAAGGACGTGCGGACGAACGGAAGAATCTCGGCCTTGTTCTATCCTATGTAAAAACGTCCCCCCCCCATAGTCAAGATGGGGAATCGGCTAGACAAATACACAAGGTTTGACTGTTTTGCGTGACAAATTTGGACTCGTAGTGTAGTGCTGTTTGAACCAGCGCAGCAGCATCACAGATCTAGTATATCATGCTGCTTGGAGCATGACAAATTCCAAAACACGACTAGAAAATGCTTCTCATAGGGCTCCGCATGAGAAACATTTTCAGCATGCAGATTTGCATTACCTCTGGTGTGGGGACATTTTTAAATACGATATGTTCACGACTGCACGGGTTTTGCGATCCACGAACTTCTTGATCACTTGTACCATCGTGGTCTTGCAGTGGATCAACCGCATAGTGGGCGTGATCACGGCGGCGAGCTGGTCAGGGTCGTTTACGGTTGTGGTCGGCGAGCAACACAACCAGAGGAAAGCAAAAGCAAGAACAGGTAGGAATCCAGAAAAAGCAGCCAGATTTGATTTCGAATGGAAATTGGTATGACAAAGTGCTAGTACACACGACACATGAATACGTTTATGCTTCTTACCTTTTCCTTTGCGAGTTCCCACAAATCTTCCTCAAGCGGAAAATCGCTTTCATTGTCCGCGTTACCGGCGATCAGGCTCAACGCTTCCCCAAACACTTTCAACTCGTCCGGAGCGAAAAGCAACAAATCCAAGCATTTTGCAACCTGATAGGAGAATGAGGGATAAGGACGATAAAGCTCAACTGCATGTTAGGCAAGTTGCTTTTATTACCTTACGGGGCAACAATGACCCGAACTAGTGGTTTCATTCAGTTTCCAGATTCCAATGAGTGAAAGTGAATTCGAGAAAGCAACACTCGTAGTAGTACGCCGATAGATTCCGCCATGTTGTAGGATCCCAGGCTGGAGGCTTCGGAGCCTTCCATAGCGGTTGGCACGTTCTCCTCGCCCTCCGCTGCGGGAGATCGCGTCAGTTCCTCGACGCGCGTCGTGGCTCCGGGCACTACACCTGCGCGCGGGGCAGGCGATCTCTGGTTGGACAACTCAGACGCTCGGCTGCTGGCCCGTTCCGAAGATTTTTCCGCTGGTTTAGAAAGACCACTGTCGCTCGTTTGCTCGTCCGTCGGAGTTTTACTGTTCTTTGCGCCCATGGAGGTCAAAAATCGGTGTGCGAGGACCACAGAAAACGTGATCGTCGCTAGGCTACAGGTATCAAAAAGCGTAAGCGCTGTGGTAAGTGGTCGTGGTAGTTCGACAAAATGAAATTGAACAGTAGAGAACTTTGGAAGTCGCTAGAAAGTGAAACTTGAAAATCCTGCTCACAAAATTCGTAAAGAGACGCTTTCGCCGCCGCCGCAAGCACAAATAAGATCTTCAATGAATGGGTAATGTGCTAGTGTCGCGAGAGAGTTGCCAAACATGATCTAGATCTTTAAGCATGATCCAGGTGGATATTCAGTTCTTTGCACGACAAGTTCGGATTTCTTTTTCTTGTAGTTGGCAAAAAGAAGCAGGAAAATCAAAATTGTTGGTGTAGTATTGTTTCTCCAGGAGGTGGGCAGGCCCTTGCCTTTTCTAGAAGATGATAGATCATGATCATCGAAGTCGGTAAAAAAACATGACTCCTCGGACTCGGTCGTGCGTCAGACACACCCGCAAGATCTGATGCGACAGCGATGAAACTGAAAGACATTGGAACTACAGTATAGTTGCACTTCAAAAATTGATCTCCAGTCTTCTAGAGCTGAGAGAACACATCATGAGCACGAATCTCCTGAGAGCAAGTTCTCATCCAAACTTGTTCCAGTCAAAGTCAATGCGACCTCTGGCCGCTGATTTTGGTTCGTGATTTTCATGTTGATAAATACCACATTCGGAGTTCTGATTTATGCAAATTCTTCGAGTGCCTTGTCCCAGTTAAGCATCGAGGCTTTTTCCGGCGACTTCTGCATCAGGCCAGAATTTGCCGCCTTTTTCATGCTTTTCTTGCCTTTGGTAATACTTTTCTTGTCCCCGCTCTCGGCTTTTACTTCTTCAACAGCTTCATCGTCGCTCTGCTCGGTCCCTCTGGTGCTACTCGCTGTTCTCCTACTTGCCGCTGCACTAGCCTTCGACTGTTTCTTTTTTCTTCGCTTCGCGTCTTTCCGAGCCTGGTAGTACTCTTCGGGATCGACATCCGAGTCGTCGCTGTTCATTGCCAGCGCCTTCTCGATTTCCCTTTTCTGCTTCCGCTTCTGAATGGTCTTTCTCTTTTGCTTTTTCGAACCATTTATTTCGCCCTGCTGCAAATCCTCGTCGTCGAAAGGCATGCTGCAGTTGAGACCGGAAAAGTCGTTCGTCGCTGAGGCCTGGATGTCCTTCACATCTTTGATTTCGTTTCCGTCTCCTGCATCGGAGTCTTCGTTCTCTGAATCGTCAGCAGCATCGCTGTTTCCGTTGTCTTCGTCATCTTCAGCGGCGGTGGGAACGGCGTCTTCCGCGGTAGTTTTTCCGGCGTCCTCGGTAGAAGTTTTATTTTCTGCGGGACTTGTTCTTGGGTTTGCGTTTTTTTGTTCCTCTTCTCCTGTCCTCGTCGCGTCGGTTGATTTCTTTGCGGCTTCTTGGTCTTCACCAGCTTCAGTACTTCTAGCGTCAGCTTGACTTGTTTTGTCGTCAGAGGATTTTCTATTCGAATTTATGTTCTTGTCCGCGTCTACTTCAGCTGCGACTTTGCTCTCGTCAGTTTTCGCAATCCCCGCGTCCTCCGCGATTTTTTCCTGTACGCTTCGCAAGGCGGCCGCGACCTCGGCGTCGACCTTTTCGTCCTCGTCCGCGTCCACGGGCGGAGCGCTGCCGTCCTTCATCGGCGGCGCGACGAAATAGGGAATTCGCCCCCGTTGCCAGTCGTACAGGACGATCCGCGCGGTGATTTCCAAATCCGGCTCACCTCCCTTCCGCAGTTTTCCCATCTTCATCGCGAGCTTCTGCAAAAAGTCTTCGCCGTCCGTCCACGTCAACGTGTCGGGGAGGTTGTACTTGGCGCGCAGGTACTTTGCTTTCACCCGGGAAACCACCTCGTCGATGTACGCGCTCGGGGCCTCCAGCTTCTCAGCACGAACCTGTGGGCGAGGTGGGGTCAGGATATTTTTGTACATGGGATATTTCTTTTACTGGACAAGAAAGATGATAGAAGTACTCATCACGTGGACGTGGTCTTTGCAGGTGAAACAAAAGGAGGTGATGTTGATATTACTTTCTTTCACTGCAGAAGAATCGCAAAAATCACGAACCGAAGCAAAAGGTAACCAACTGATACCACGCCTTTGAGCACTTTCGCGGTGTCCTCCGCGAAATCGACGGAGGTCAGCGGCACGATACCCGGACAGTCGATGGCGTAAATCTTTTTCGTCAGCGCAATGTACTGCCACACCTTGGTTTCACCGGGAACCGGGGCGGATTTGCACACCTCTTTCTTCTTCAACGTGTTGATTACGGATGATTTTCCCACGTTCGGGTAGCCAATCAGGCCCACCTGGGTTGATGATTTGCAAAATTCGTTTATGTCAAAATGAAAATTTTTCACAAGATCGAGGCTTGAAAAACAAAAATGCCAGGCCGCCTGATCGCATCTACGGCGGATAAGAAAAAGCGTAACGCTAAAACACTGCGTTGTACAACGATGTGTCCACCATCAAGTACCTGTATTTGCTTTTTGTCCTTGATCAGTTTCGCGAATTGCCGCAAGAGCTGGATCAGTGCGGATTTTCCGAACGGATTTGTCACTGAGGCGTGGAAAGCCAAGGTCGGTTTTTCTTTTCGCAGAATTTCGCACCACCTGCGCGTGGCCCAGTTTGGAATCAGGTCGCACTTGTTCAGGAGAAGCACCACGTGCTTGTGCGGGTGGTTCTTCGCAATGTTGCGCTCCAAATGGCGGCACCGAGTGCCCTCCGGGTCGCGAGCGTCCAGCACTTGAATCAACACGTCAGACGAGTCGACCACCTTGTACAGTTCGCGCCAAATGCGTCTACTGGTTCCCTTCAGGAAAATTTCCTCCTGGTCGTGCCCCTCAAAGAACTTCTGGTCCTCGAACCCGGACTTCAGGTTGAATTTCAGCTGTTTGTCGTTCCCTGCACACTCTTCGTACCGTGTGTGCTCTTCGCCGACCTGAATATATTTGGGAAAATGGTTGAAGTCTGAAACGTTGACACGCTTCGTGGAGCCAAGCAAAAAAGTGGACAAGGTTCGCCCTGGCAGGCAGGGGACCCGAGATAAAAATGTAGCGCTTTTTCGCTGACCACTTTAATACCTTGCTGACTAGCTGTTCCAGAGTGTCGGACACGAGCTTTGGTCGCTTTCGCTGTTTCTTTGCGCCGAAGGTGTCGGCGAAGGACTCCACCCGCAACAGGTCCATTTTGTCGTTCTTCAGGCTGTCGGTGAGGAGGGAAAGGGGAAGTTTGGAGCTCTTCAAAACGACCCGGTAGGGATCGTTCACCTCTTTCGCCATCTCCTCGCGAAAGTCCTGCATCTTGGTTTGCGTGATAACGCGCGTGTTACCGAACCACCGACGATCCGGCTCAATGCGCTGCGGCTTCAGCAGTTGCTTGTGCAAGTCCCTGTAGTTTGTAGATCACGATAAAGCATTTCTATGATGAAGATGAATCTGCATGTGGTTTGCGCACGTACGAACTAGTAGTGTCTCATATCCAAGACCTTCAGCTCATAGTCATAGCATCCGGCCCGAAAAGAGCTGCACATCACCCTGTAACCAGTAAACACATCCCTATTTTTATGTACCTTTTGTTCGGCGCCTTCTGCCTGTACATCTCAAGCCTCTTCAGTGTGTTCTTCGACCGCTGCTTATCGTAAGGAAAAATTCCCCCTCCCCATATCGAAAAGGAACGCCGCAGAGAATTTGTGATGCTGATTTTTTTTTTTTTTAACATGGCGGCAGTTTGTTTTGGCTACTGAACTTACGATGAATCTCATTCCTAGTTTTCATTTTGACCTTAATGCTGCCGCGGTGCTCACGTCGACCGATATGCAAACAGGTGCCGAGGCCTGTTTGCATGCGATCTAGTGAAGGTTTATTGGGCGTTCCCGTCTGCCTTACCACGTCGCCCGGGCTTGCAGGGGTTGGGATTTTCCTGCCGGATGTTCAACGACATCTACGTGGCTAGTCATGATCCCTCTCCCTGTTGCGACCTGCTTTTTTGTTTGGCTGAAAAAATCCAAGAAATGAAAGGTTGAAAAAAAAAAGCCGTGGTCTGTATTTGTTGAAAGACAGGAGCGAAACCCACCACGTAAGCAGGAGAAAATTTGGGCACGAGAGAAACAGAGCATGTACTAGGGCAGGGATTATGAAGCGGAAGCCATTAGACTACGAGGGCAAATATGTAAAGGGCCAGACGATGAGAAAAGCGAAAAACTTACTTAGGGGCTCACTAGCTACCAAGGGCGCGAGGGGCTATCAATCGCAAGTAAAGCGGCCTAGGGAGAAAATGCTTAAGACTCGACAAAAGCCAAGGGGATCATCAAAGATGAGAAAAAAGCGAAAAAACAACAGAGAAACAGAGGCGCAGGCTAGAGGAAGAAAAAACGCTTAACGGTCTCTCAGGAACAAGAAGAAAATCGTACGCAAAAAACCAGAAGAGATTCTTTCAGTCAAGGGGGAAAAAAAAGAGGATAGGACGCAGGAAAAAACACGCTCAGCATGTTATTGGAAAAAAAAGACGAACACTGGACCGAGTTGTCATGCAGAATTTGTGATGCTGATTTGTGACCACAAGTCGTGTTTGTCTTGCAAGAAAGCAACGACATGGGCCCCTTTCCATTATGCAGCCGGTTTGTAATGCTGTTGGTCCTACAGCATAGACGTTCCTCATGCCAAGTGCCTAGGCCAAAACCTCTCTGCATTGGCATGATATGGGCCTGCAGTGCTACGCAGCAAGAGAGCTCTGATTTGTGTACACAAATCCAGCATCAGAAGTTTCGTTTTGATATGGGGAGGGGGCATTTTTCCTCTCAATACTGCTGTCCGCCGGCCTTGACGGAATCCTTCGAAGGGTCGCTGCTTCGCCCGACTTTCGTACTGGCGTTACTATTTTTGAAGGCCGAGCCGGACTTGAGATTCCCTTTGACCACCTTGTGGTTGCCCCGACCCATACCCGGAAGGGCCACATGGCTGAATTTCCGCTGCGTCGTTCCGCGGCCCATTTTCGTTGTTCTATCTTTAGATTCAGATTAGGAATTAGAAAAAGGACGATTGGAGTATTAATAAATGCGAGCAAAATAGATCCCACTGCCCTCAATATCGTGAAGATTTGTTTTGACAATTTTCCGAATGGGCTCGCACAGAAGGAACAATAAAATCAGCACATTCTTTCTCTGTGGAAGCAAATATTCGGAAAGACTATCGAAACTACCTTTGCCTGACTCCAATGGTGACGCTGAAGAGAGAATATCACGATTTAGATGTGATAGATGAATGATCAATACACTATCTGGGTTCTGATCAGCTCTCTGAAACTTCGGGATCGTGGTTAGATCTTGATTCTCGAGGAGATCAACTTCTTTTCGTTTTCTGATCTCAGCACCAACAGCTACAGGTCCCAACAGAAGATGAAAAGATTTTGCGTTCGATCAATGCAGTAGTTCACTGATCAACGTGCCTGTGTTTCTTCTTTCAGAAGTGAGACACAGTTTGAAAACGCTGTAACCTTGGACTTGTAGCTAATCATAGTTTTGAGCAATGAATCCTGTTCACAAGTGCGGGGATCTTTAAGTGGCTGGTCATAGTCTAGATGCAGACATACATTCTACTTCTGTAATACCTCGGATCTGGGTTGAGATCTTGGTGTTGGATGCAGTAGGCTAACGAACGCTTCAGGCAAAAATTGTCATACGCTAGTAAGCTCATCTCGGTTGGTGCATCATCCATGAAGATGCTCCAATCCGCCAAAGAACCAGTCATACAAACATAAAAATGCAAGTCCAACTGTTCTGTGGCATTAGTGAAGCCTAGCTGCGCGGCTTCGTGGAGCATTTTCGTATGGTGTCATTTGTTTCACCAACCACAGCGCAAAAACGATATCGGAGGCGGTTCATTTGTTGACATTTGCATTTCACGCGAGGTCGTCCCCCTCGAGGCTTGAGTTGATCAACATCAAGCGTCCAGTTCATTTCAAAATACAAAAAGGCCAAGGAGCAAGCAACGCCTAAATAGAGACGGAATCAAAATTGTTGGATATGGGGGCAGCACCCGTATCTCGATCCCATTACACTAACAAGCCATGCCTGTCACAAAGGGAAAAGCATTGTATTTTTTCGTAAGCCTGGAAAGTGGTTTCCGTTCCTTTGTCATGATGCTTTGTTCTCAGTCAGACTCAGACTCAATAAACGTTCATTTGATTTTGCACATTGCTGCTGGTCGAAACGTACTGGTGCGTGGGGTATAAAAATTCAGTCGTGCCTCGCATATTCGCAAAGAAGGTCCAAAGCTCAACGCTGGTGGTTCTACATCACCCTGCATGGAGGCACTGGGGCTGTGGAGCAGTATCAGGCAGAGCCAGCTTCGTCCATTTTCGTACTGCCTTCCTTCATCAAAGACAGACTCTCATCCGTACTGGAGGTGGGCGGCGCGACAAAAAACGTTTCCGCTCGCTCGATCATCAGCTCGTCTGCGGATGAGGACGGGCCAAAGGTTACTCGCTTTGATAACCCTCCAGAAAAACAGTTCCCATGTGCGGCGCCATTGTCAACTGTGGCACTTGTGGTGTCGCCATGGTTGGTCTCAGGTTCATTTTCTTTTGCAGAATTAGGCACCGGCCCGGGTACGGCGAGTTCAAGAAGACTGACGTTGCTACAAGTCAACTGGTGGTGTTCGTCGGTAGCGCCAGCACCACTCTCAACGATAGTAGGTTCCTGCTTGATGTCTTCTCCTTCACTTGGCACATTATCCTGCAGAGGCTTCGCCGCTTCTACCTGCTCGTCCCGAGCGGTTATTTCTTCCTCAGCGGGTGCAGCGCCCTCTTCCTCTTTCGTACCGACATCTGCACCCACCCCTATGAATGGCTGACTTCTATTGAACAGCGAGAGCAGCGGCGCTGGGGTCGAGAAGTTTGGGAACAAAGCCGATACCTTGCTCTGTACGACGGAAAATCCAGATCCTGCTGCTCCGTCGCCCGACGCATGCTCTGCCTCTGCCGCGTGTTGTAGTTGTTCGGGGGCTATGCTAGTTCCCGATTCGTTTTCCTCAACATGTTGATCTCCTCCTATGCCTCCTTCTTCTAAGAGGCTTTCGTCTTTCAGTCCCGAGTCCGCCATGGTGAGGCACTGCAGACGTAAAGCCTGCATGCAGAGGCGGTAGGAACTGATCAGGTGGGAAGTGGCGGCGTGATGCGACGAATAGCAGTAGGACATCTCTCTCTCCGGGTCTACCCAGACGACTTTGAACGAATATTGCGAGAGATCCAGCTCCTGCTTTCCGTCACGGAGAATAATCTGCGGAGGTGCACCTGCACTTGCTCGGAGATTATCCGCGAAGTCTCCAACGTTCGATGCGTGTGCTTCTTCTGGCAAGCGGGACTCTTGCGACGGCGTTGGGCTACTTTGCAGCAAAATTGCCGCAGATTTGCTCTCGCTAGCATTTGTTTTATTTTGGTCATGTGTGTCTACTGAGAACAAGCATGGCGACGCAACGGGCTGCCCGTGCACTACGAGAAGATCCACATCCTTTCGCGACATGGCGGATGATAGCTGTCCCTTCGCGCCGGCATCTTTTGAACGAGACATGTTCGTGTACGGAACCAGCTCCAGTTCTTGACTTTTTGTGACTTGTCCGCTTGTAGTTAAACTACCAGCAACATCTTCCGTAGGTGAAGACAGCGTTTTGTACTTCTTTTCGCTTCTCCGATGTTGACCACGGAACTGGGTGGATATAGGCGTTCTTCCATCCATAGTCTCTTGGAGATTCTGATCCTTCGTCTCTCGGCCTTTCGAGGATGCGGAGTTCGCGAAGCTGCGACGATTATAGTTATACTTTGAGTTGTGGCGTCTTTCAACATCCCCACCGCTCTCTCCTGTACGACCTTTCTCCGTGACCCTTCTGCTTGCAGCTGGATTTGAAGCACACGACCCACTGCTTGAACTGACGCCACGTGTAGAGCGCGCCGAAGCTGCAGTAACTTTTCTGGATGCTGCTGTTGCTGTATTGCGACTATCGCGGCTCGTACGTCCTGCCTGCTCCTCTGCTGGTTGTATCACCGGAGATCCACTGATTTTCGTGTACCGGGTCAAAAAGTGCGCAACAGGGTCTTCGCTGTATTTGTCGAAAAACATCTGTCCCAGGATCGCGTCGGCAATGTTGCGACTCTCCGCAGTTTCGTCGCTGTTCACGGCTGCTTCTACTGGTACGTGGCTCGTCGCGTGATCACGGCCCACAGTTTGATACTGGACTGGCTGGTGCGCATTGGAGTGGTCACGCTGGTAAAGAGAAGTAGGCGGAGGTCCTGTGTTTTTTATTCCGCTGTACATAGTCTTGCTCATCCCATTGTCGGACGTGTAATTGTCGGACCTGTTCCCACCTCCTCCGCCGCCGAACAGGGAAACCTCCCGCCCGCTGCGGTGGGCACTTTGCAAACGCCGAATCCGCTTTTGCGCTAGCTCGCCGAGCGCAATCTTCTTCTTGCGATACACAACAGCACCAGCCAGCGGCGGCTCGGTTTCGATCCGGATGCGAAAGCGCTTCGGCTTTTTGCTGGCAGTTGTGGCGGAGGAATTTGTCTTCACCAGAACACCTGCGGACGTCCCACTTTTCAAACTGGTAGAGCTGGTCGTGGCACTCGTACAACTTGTAGCAGCAGCAGCAACCTCCTTACTTCGTGTGCGGCCAGATTGATCGTCCTGCTTTGTCTGCCGCGCGCTTGCCGACAAGCTGCTACTGACCGAGTTTATCACGTTTGCGCAGCTGCTATCGCTAAACATAGCGTGTCCGCCGAAGGCCACGTCGAAGGGAAGGGAAAACATCTCCTTTCCCTTGCGTGTGGTTCTGACCGCGCGGCGCAGCGTATACCGCTTATTTCGCCGGTTTCGCCAACTCGGGGGCATGTGCGCAGTGGACCCCCGCGCACTCATCTGCAAGTGATTCCCACGATACGTGGTCTTGCGTCCCTTCGTGCTACTCAGGCTGGCACCACCACCGTGCTGCTGGGAAGATGAAAATGGGTGTTCCCTAGTACGGCCCCTGCTGCCGGTCCGCGAGCGGCCGCCGGAACTGGAAGACGTCTGTCGACCAGAGGTGGACGAGCAAGTTGGTCTCTCGGGCTGCAACTCGATTTCCGAAGCAAAAGCAGAAGCGCGCCGCAGGTTGCCGCGCAGCTCCTGGAAAAGTCTGCTCTCTTCGCTCTGCAACGGATACCTGTCATGGTCGCTGCGCGCGAATACTCCCTCTTTCAACGTCTGACTCGAGGCCCAGGAATCCAGCTGGTCTGCGCGCTTCGTTAGCCGCAACTGTAAAACCCTTCCCGGCGTTGCAAGGGGCAAGAAGATGTCCCGGTAGTTTCCATCGTACAAATGCCGCGGGTAGTTGATCAGGCCTTTTCCGTCGTCGGAAAACAACGACCCCCGCATGCGGATTAGTTTCCGGTAGTGAAACCCCGGCTCGTCTTTTCGTACGTACACGCTCCCATTGCGATCGCCGAAGGAGGACAGTTGCTGTGCGGAATGGTGCGAGCAGCTGAGATCGTGGTCAGTGGTCGCGTTGTGGGCGGCGGGAAGCAGCACGCGATGGCGCTGTGCTTCATCTGTGCCTGCGTTGTTGTATTCCTCATAGTGATCGACAGGACAGGGGGTCACAGGCGGGAAGGAGAACGCATCTAAGACAGGTGTGGAGGTACTTACAGACTCGTGCAACCTACTGGGCCGATGACAAGTGAAATCACCGAGCGGAGTGGGGCACGTTCGCCTCCTGGCGGTCGTGCCGCCAAGAACCACATCGCTCTTCTCACCGTCAACAAGATTTTTGGGGAAGTAGCCCTCGTTTTCTGTCGTCACCGCAGCGCCTTTCATTTCTGCTACGCAGTTCTTGCCCGGCCGTACTTTCCGCATCACCGCTGGTGCGGGGCGGTTGTACGGACTGCGCTTGATCAAGGAGCAGAGCTCCTGCACTTGGGGCTCGTAGCGACGCCGGCAGCAACGGTAGCGGTTGATCAGAAATATCTTCCACTTGCTCAAGCGCACCCGCTCCAAAAGGTAGCACATGTGCTCGCGAAAGCGAATCAGCGTTTCCGGTCGCGCGCGCGGAATATTGTCGTAGCTGGCCACCACCGTGACGGCGTATTGCCGTGTCTCCGCAGCGAGTTTCGGTGACATGGTCCAGCCCGGGGGACATATCAGCAGCGCAGACATCTCAATGCGCTCTCTCCGTGCGTGCTGAAGGGTCTCGAGCTGCCCGTAAGAACTGCTGTCAAGTCGATCTTCATCAAACATCCGCTCGTCCTTGCTTCTACTACGCGGAATGTTTCCAGCAGCACGGGAGTTGTTGTGAAGAGGAGAGCAGGGCGGACCAGCACGACCCCGCGTTGTTGTGTCTACACCCGCGGCAACTTCAAGCTCCGCGTCGTTGCAAGACCAGCTGCGGCGCTGAATCCGCCCGAGGGGGTCGTACGGGGCTGAGCATTGGGGACCGTCGAGCGGCGAGGCAGGCGCGTCTGGTTCATTTTCCTTCGTGGCGGTAGACAAAGCACTGGCAGCAACATCGTGCGCTGGGGATAAACTTTTCGCTGCCGTAATATCTCCCCCCTTGCTTTCGATGCTACCTACCACGGCGTCGAAGTGTGTAGCCGTCTCCGCAAAATCCGCGTCGGGATTTCTCGTTGCGAACGACGCACGGACGCGGTTGCCGAACCGACGGCGAAAAAGAAGCGAGCAAATACTAGCCACCCCCGCACCCATGCTGTGTCCCGTGAAAACTAAGCGGTAGCTGTCTGGAATGCGGTCGAGAAAGCCCTCCCGCACGAAAGTGTCTGCGATTTGTTCCGCACAACCGAGCATGCCAACGTGGACGTACTCCTCCGATTGTCGCTGTTGCTCAACATCGCGCACAGAAGGATCGTTCTGAGGCGTTGCGTCTGCGGCAGGAGTTAGCGGCGCGCACTCCAGCACAAAATTTGTGGCCACCTCCGCCATGTAGTTCGTTCCGGAAATTGCGACGACGACCGCTTTCGCCAGATGATCGCAGATCACAATCCAGAAACTGCTCTTTCCCGGTATGCGTGCGAAGTTTCCGTACCAGAGCTGGATCTTTCGCTCCTCTTCCGGAGCCGGGGCCTCGAAGTCCGCCTCTATGGCTTGTTGGTTTTGGTCATCCGCTACAGCTGCCTCTTTTGGTGTGTAGTCGTCTCCGACTTGTCCACCCCCCGCCGCACCGACGTCCGACGGGCTTGCGGCCGCCGGTTTTGGTATTTCTTGCGCAGATATGAGTGCGCCTCCTGATCCTGGACCGTCGCTCGAGTCGAAATTTAGAGCCGCAGGAGGAACGCCTTCCGCGGTCGCGCCAACAAGTTCGCCTTGTTCAGAACCCTTTTCCGTCGCGAAATTCGGCGTGCACAAAAGCCCTCGGGAGAGCTGCGTCCTGGCCGTTGCGGTATCAGCGGCCAGTGTTGAGCTTCCTTGTTCTTCGACTTCCATGGCGAAATGCACCGAGCCTTCCTCCGACGTTGTGTAGTGCGGAACGTTGAAAGAGTTTGGAAAGGATCCCCGCGAGTCGCGGTCGGCGTCAGACGAAGGCCGGGAAACGTCGCCACTACCGAGTGGCGTCGTTTGGCCTGTAGCCACGCGGGGCCCGGGGTCTGAACACGCAAGATTCATACCCACGAAGCCCCCTTCAGATGCAGAACGCGCTCCCCGGGTCAGGCGCTCCTCGTGCGTACTGCTTGTTCTGGAGAAGGCAGTGTCCCGCCTGCCGGCGGACACCAGTGTTGCCGTGCTTCTGCCTTGGGCAATGTCACTCTCGTAGTGGGGGAGAACGTCAGCGGATGAGCGACTTCTCAACCTGCTGCATTCCACCGGCGAGGTAACCGCTGGAAGCTCCATGGATATCTGCCGAGTCTGCGTGGAGTTGGATGCTTCAACAGCCCCTCCGGCGACGCCCTGCGGTCTTTGCCTTTCTCTTGGAGGTGGTACAACCGGACAAGGTGGAGACGAGGAGGGCACAAACGGAATTTGGGACAGCGGTTGCTTACCATGATACCGCTTCCGCCCCTGCAGAGAGCCTGTAGCTACTGTTCCAGCCCCAAATCTTGTACCCGCATAAGGCGGATAACAAGAATCATGGTGCAGCGTCATACTGTGCCGATGTCCGCCGCCTCGGGGCTGTGAGAGATCGCGAAACCTCGTGAAGCTTGGGCGACGCTGGCTCACGCCTCCGGAGGTAGAGAGAAAGTTAGAGTTTGCGATGTGACTTGCGCGACGCAGCGAATTCTTCGCATCACGACAGTCCGTTACCGTCATGCGAGTACAATCCACGAAGACATCTGCTAGGACGCTCAATTGCATTCGGTCGGGTTTGAGTTTTGGCTTAGAAGCGCTTGCGCAACGGGGGACGCTTCGGCTGCGACTTTTTGCTGTGGTGCTGCCTGACAGTGACGCAGCCGATCCGCTGGAAATCGTATTTCGCGATACACCGGTAGACATTTTTGTAAAGTCGTTCGGAGCAGGCGCGAGCCTGTGAGTCCCCGTTTGTCGGCTGCTGACTGCTGGGTGCATGAAAACGGAGGTGTCGCGCAGCTCACCTTCCCCATAGTTTAGTCGCTGCTGTGGCGTAGAGGCAATTTCTTCTCCTTTGCTATGGCCCGCCCCAGCGAGTGCAGCAAAGCAAGCTCCTGGTCTATTGCCCTCGTTTTTACCGGCACTCGCTACCAAAGGTTCTGTCAACATTGTGGCGCCCTGTGCCATTTCTACTTGGTGGTCATCTGCATCATCAGCAACTTCCTGTTCTAAACCCAACACCGGGTCTTTGCCCCCGCTACCTGAATCTCTTGGCTGCAGCCCTGTGACAGCGGCTCCTGTGCCGCTCGTCGTTCCATAATCGCTCACTTTTTTCGAAACCACGACGGAAAACTTCTCTTTCTGCATGTACTGTCGTTCCCTGTGGTAGAGCATGAGCAGGATCGCCCGCTCGTTCAATTGCAAATAGTTGTCGCCGACGCAGACGGACTTGTTCCCGACCTCCACCTGCGTGACCAAATTCCAGATCTTCCGACTGTCGCCGATCGCCATGCTGCAAAACTGGGGCCAGCCGTACACGATCTCGCTGTAGTTCAGGAATTCGAACATCAACCGGAGCGAGGCGTCGTCTTTGTGAAAATCCACGTCCACACCCTCCTCCACGTAGGGAAGGGGCACGCGACCGCCGAAATTTGGGGAGATGGCCAAGTCGGTGGCAGCCTGGAAATCCGACCAGCAGAGATTGGCATGGCCGCCAACCAGGGTCGCGACGTAAGTCAGAAGCACGTCCTTTACTTCGTCGGGGGTGCCTGAAGATTTAGATATTGAAATCAGTATTAAGGGAGCAGGACAGACATGGGTCAGTAGCCTCTACCGAGAAGAAAGAACCGCTTTGCCACTTTTCTCAAGAAAACATCCAGGTACAACTCTACCAAGAATCCGCAAGGCTCGCTGAATCAAGTTCCGGGTCCACCGGCCCAGTAGGAAAGATGTTTCCTCCGTGCCTTCGGGCTTCTTCAACCGCACATCCAGTATGAGCTTCCGAATCAGTAAGTCGGACCGCGTGCTTCCTCCTCGTTTGCTGTCCGATAGAACGAAAAATAAGCCAAAGAGGGCGATGGAAGAAAAGATTGTGTGCAGTGTCAGAGTGAGCAGGGCGAAGTTCTCCACAAACCTACTCATAAATTCTTTCTCCTCTGTCCACGACGTGCTGTAGTGCCTCTGCGGTGGAGCAGATCTGGAGGCGGATGGTTTGGAGGTTGATGGGGGTGGCAAGCGATCATCCGATCCGTCCTGTCGAGAGGCAGCTGAAGGCTCGCGGTGTTCCCACGAGCTGAGGACCCTCCTCCGGATAGCAATCTCTTCCCGGAAAGAGTCCCACTCGGCACCACCTTCCTCTCCGGGGGAAGTGACGGCTTCGGTCTGCTGGTGCTCTTGATGTGCGAAATCCGGTGAACTCGTCGCAACAGGACCGTCCGTCGCCGATACTGTCTCACCAGAGTCAAATGCAGTGCCGGCACTATCGGCCTGCGAAAGCGTTTTGAGTTCGGCAGCAAGAGCAACCGCTCTTCCGTTATGCTTTTCAGGTTTCTTCGCAGTCGGATTTCTTTCGAGAGGGACGCCTCGAGCAGAGGGGGCTCCGATAGGTTTCGAAAGGCCCCCATCTTGATCTTTACTGCCATGTCCAAACGTTTGCTCCTCGTTACGTACCGTCCGTGCCCTCGGGGGATCGACCCGGTAGTTGACTTTCCACAATGACAGCGGGGAAAACAGCAACTTGTACACGAGCAGAATGTTCAACCCACACGCTAACAGAAACCGGTACCCTAAAAACGTATCCAAAAATCGGCGGCGGTTTTTGTGATCGTAAATTGCTCCGCGTGTAGACCAGAAGCCCAGGAGCGGGTCCGCGAAAAGAAGAAGCAGAAATAGCACACGAACTAGCTTGAACAAGTCGAGAATGTCCGGGTCTTCTTGCTCGTGTACAAAGAGCAACGATAGGTAGCAGACTAGACTGGAAATTACAAAGAAGGGAACAAAGCGAAAAAAGTCATCGTTTGCAAACCGCCACCTGCGGTGTAGACAGCGGGCTGGGGGCATAATTTCATTTGTGCACACTCGTCGATAGCCTAGGATCGATAATAAAATCGCTTGGACTACGTTTTGGCAAGCCGCGCTTTGGCAATGCGTCGCTGCTTCTATTTGTCGCTGTACAAAAAAAAATTACAAAAAAAGGTTGCAGCGCCACAAACAATTACAGCTTGGCTGCAAAAACGGCTGCAATATTTTGCGGAATACAACAAATCTATCAATGTAACTGTAAGTACCAAGTAGAACTGGCCGGGAGAGTGCGAGTCCATGGGAGACCTGTTTCCAAAGGGGTACCTTCTTGCTGGCAGGGGAACACGGACAACAACACGGGGACTAGATTGCTTGACATACTTGCTCTCACAGACAGAGAAAGTGGGCATATTTTGGCAGAACTGACAGACATAGGACGACACGAGCCTGATGAATTTGCCAAAGAGGTCGGTCTGTGCGTAGCCTTGCTGCGCCAGCGGGGGAGGAAGACGTCGCCCTCGCCACAAAACGCGCCATGAGGAGCCGCTGGGGGAGAAAGAATGACCACTGCCCGCGCGCTACCAGGCGCGAGCACCGCCGAAGCGGCACCGGGCTGGCGCGCACACATCAGCCCGATCGGCGACGACCACGGTCACAAACTAACGCACGCCCGACCGTCGGGAAACCGGGGGGGGGCGCGCTCTGCGAGTACAGGAGGGCCCCGATCCCGATGAACCCCAACGCCACCGACTGGGGTGCCATTCCCGGGATCCGGGGCGATGGGCCGCAAGGCCGCCACTTAAGGCCTGCACCGCGCAGCGCCACCACCAAGGCCACCACCGCGCCAATGCTTGCGCCGGCGCAAGGATTGGCCCACCGAACGGGCACACCGGCCCGCCTCCGGAAAGAACGGGGCGACACACTTCAGCGCAGGGGGTTGGCCGGACACTTAAGCGCAAGGAAGGCAGACTGACAGGCACTCTCCCGCAGGGGAGGTGCCCGGGAGTGCCTCCGAGGGCGCCCGGGTGCCTGCCGGCTTCCCTTGCCACCCTATAGAGGAGGCAGGGCGAGGGGCGCCCGCTTTCGTTCCGGAGGCCGCCGGCCTTGCTTCGTTCTGCGGCACTGGCCTCGCCGCGGCCCCCGGCCAATATCAACGCCGGGCCCCAAAGCAGTGCCGGGATCATGTTGGACACACACGGGAGATGGGCCGCGGGCATTTGTCCACTGCCCTCGAAGTTCTCTCCGATTACTCGCGACCAATAGCCGAGGATGGTCCCGATGTTGACCTGCTCGGCGTCGCTCTGGGGGGCGTTCATGGAGCCCCGCTCGGGTTTTTCGACTGCGGGGCCACGCGCCTCGCTGCTTCGATCGCAACCGAGACGGCCCCGGCCCGGGCCGCCTCGGTCGCTCGCCGCCCTCATAAGCGGCCGGGCTGTTCGCGCGCGCGCCCTTCCACGGCCGACCAACCTTGCTGGCTTTCCGTACCCAGGTCCCCGGGCCGTCCCGATGGTCCCACTTCTTGCACTGCAGCGGAGGCGCCCCCCATCTGTCGGCTCCGGCCGCAGCTGAATTGCCCGGCCGCAGCTAGGGACGGCGGGCCGGCCGGCCCCCCCCCCCCCTGCAGGAGCGGGCCGCACTCGCGCGCACAAGGGCCCGCGGCGCTGCGGCGCTTCGGGGCCTCTAGAATTCGCAGCGCTCTTGCACTTGGGCGACAGCGGCGGCAGCCGAGACACGGCCCGGAGCGGCAAACCATAGCCGAGACCGCGGCCGGGCTCTCTTGCTCCGGAGTTCTTCTTTAAGCGAAGCAATCGGCGCGGTGAATTGACAGAAGACCAGGAGGGCCCTACTCTTGGGCGCAGGCATTGCGCCCCGCCAGAGGGTCCCACGCGCTGGATGGCTCTGTTTTTCTGCGGCGAACAAGCACCCCGGCGATGTTGTCGCAACGCGCAACCCGGGGGCCGCTCCGCAATGCAGTCGCGGAATACCTCCAAAGCGATGCGGGACGCTAGTGCCTCCAGGACTCCGATACTAGTCGCGCGCCCTCCTGCCTGCGAGAAAATGGCCGGCGCTCTCGAAAGTGGCGCCTGGCGGCTCTCTGCCGGACCGACGCGGCCCGTGGCGGCCGACATGGGCCAGCGCGCTGCGCTGCCGCCCGCCAAAGGCGCGCGCGTATGCACATGCGCAAGCGACAGCCTCCACGCCGGCAGAGGAAACAAGAAGACACAGGATAACGCAACGAAAGGAGCACATCCACATCACCAGGAAAATTCCAGAGTGCGCCAGATGAACAACTACAGGGCCTCCCCACATGGACCACCTGGCTGAAGATCATACAGCTTTGCGTCTCATACACACAGAAAAAGTGTAAGAGACGTATTTCAAAGACACCTGCTTCGTAAAACTTACAGGGAGATCCGTGGAGTCATCTCTTTGCTTTTTCAATATCTTCCTGTAAACGTCCAATGACCTGAAGCGCTTTTTCAAATCTGTGCTGGAGTTGACCATATTCAGCTTTCAAGCGATCATTCTCCAATGTCAAATTGACAGCGTCTTGCTGAAACCACGAGTCGATCAATTCATCCTCCGCTGTCTTCCGAGGGCGACTTGGCGTAGTGTTCTGCGACGCCGGCGGATTTGACCGCCTCGAGCTCGCATCAGGAGCATCCACGCCCGTTGCGATCTTCTTGCCTTCAGCAGCAGCCTCTGTCTGAGAACCTGGAGCTTCGTCTTGTTTGCTACTACTTTCTGCGCTCTTCATTGCATTCTCCAACTGTTCCCGCAAGGCGAGAATCTCGGCCTTCAAGTGGCTGTTCTGTTGGCGTAGACACTCCTTGTCGCTGCGTGACATATCGGTTGGTGATTGCTCCCCCGTCCCGGCTTGATCAACGTCGACGTCCAGGCCTGTCCCTCCTCCAACAGGAAGGGCCGCACCACTCGCAGCAGAACCTTTCATACTCAGCGTCACTGTGGATGTGGACGTGATGTCGTCTGCTGTGCCGCTCGCACTGCTGACCGAACCCTTCTGCTCGTTCGCTTGCTCGTCGCGCTGCGCTTGCGCAGCAGCTGCCGATGAAACTTGTTGCTGTAATTGCGCCAGGGCGCGTTTCAGAGTTTCAACCTCGAGGCGCTCGGAGGCTTTGATATCGCGAATCTCGGTTTCCCGCTCTACGACAACGGACTGCGCTTCCGTAACTTGCTCCCGCCAACGTATGACTTCCTGATGTGACATCAGATTCAGATTTCGTCGACGCATTCGAATTAGTTCCACCCCATGCAGTTTCTTTCTACTTGGTGATGACAGTGAAGCGAAACTTTGCGTGAGAAGAAAACCATCCAGCTCACATTGAACAAGAGTGTGAGTACCTTTTCCAGCTCCGCCCTTTTCTCCTTTTGCAGCACCAGGTCGGTATTCAGCTCGTCGATAGTTTGGTGCAGCTCGTAGGTATTGGATTTTGCATTCGCTTCCAGCTCCGCGAGTCGTCGCTGGAGCGGTGCGGAGGCTTGTGCATAATTCGCTTCCAAGTCCCGCATCTTTTGAATCTGGCGGTCCAGCCTGTTCTGCAGCTGCAAGTTGTTGGTCTCCAGCCCCTTCACCTGCCATAAGAATTTCGAGGAACATCCCAAGGATTCGAACGCGAGTTGAAACGAAACCAAACTGAGTGCAGCTTCATTTGGCACAAAAATCTATGCATGGTATACTTGCTTCTGTGTTTCCATCCTCTCTTCCTCGACCTGAGACCGGAAAGCTTCGAACGCAGATTTCATCTCCTCCGCCTCCTGCTTGTATCGCTGCGCGATATTCTCCGACGCCTGGCCCTCGATGCGGTTTTCTTTCGCCTGCCGCAGCTGGTTTTCCTGGTCCCGAAACTTCTCCTTAAGCTGCGAGTGCAGTTGGTTCGTTTGCTGCAGCTGCTCCTGCCACAGCTGATTTTGATGCTGTAGCTGCGACACCCGCTGCTCTTGCTGCCGGATCTTCGCCTGCGCCTCGGTCAGCTGCATCTGCAGAAAGCTGCTCATGGTAGCCGCCGCAGGGTCTAGGGGATGCTCTGGAGGTTTCAGGGTGGTGTTCGGACGGAGCTGCGAAGGCGCAGCCCCGGAGCCTGGCACTGCTGTCATCGAGCCTGGAAACAGTGCCCCTGTCGTGCTTACTGCATTTTTCGCCTGCATCATGGCACTGTGAGGAGACGTCGCCGATCCTGGCTGCATAGCGATGCTTCCAATTGCGGTGGAGTTCGGCGTGCCAAGATTCTGCGCGGCAATAGAGGCCACTGCAGTGCCTGCGCTCGCTGGCATGTGTCCGAGCGGCATACTCGAAGCGGACGGCGTTATGAGCGCTGCACTTTGCGCCGCCTCTTTCCCCGTGGTATCGATTGGTGGAGGCTGTGGGGATGTTGCGCTTGGATTTGGGGGTGGAGGAGGTTGGGCTTGAGAGGGGACTGCTGCTTCATTCTTTGCAGTGGTCGAGGTTCTTGCAGCGGTTTCTGATTGCGTCCGTGCCGCCGGCGCGAAGGGCGAGGCTGGCGCACCAGGCATGGATGATGCGATACCACTTGCGAGATCCAGCTTTGTATCACTGCTTGAAGCCGCAGGCACGACGGGGGGAGGCGGCGGCGGTGCGGAGCCAGCAGACGAGACGGACGTAGATTGTGGCAGCGGTGGTGGAAAAGAGCTTGCGCTAGCAAGCGACCCTAGATTATTTGGCGTCGCGCCGGCAGTTGCGCCCAGCGAATTGGGGGTTCCAGCGCTACCGCTGGGGGTTCCAGCTCCCGCAAGAGACGAGGACCCGCCGCCGAATAATGGCTGCCGACCCGCGGTGGAGGACGAGGCGGCGACCGTGGCCCCTGCAAGCCCTGGAATGGAAGAAGATGCTCCTCCCGGCGCAGCGCTGGCGGTCGACGATACTGTGCCTCCCGCTGACGATGCGATCCCGGACTGTGAGGAGCCCGAGCGCGGGAGTCTTGGCTGTTGTGGCCCATATTGGGACTGTATATAGGCATTGAGAGCTTGGTCTTCCGCGTCATCCGGCTTACTGAAGCCACCTGGTGGCAGCGGCTGGCCATTGGAGGACCCTGAAATGACCCCCGCGCCGGGTGGAATCGGGATTCCGTTGGTATTGATCCCGCTCGTACTCTGGTTCGACGTGCTGTGAGTTTGTTTTTTAAGTATGTCCATCAACATCTTCATGTTCATGGCAGGGTAGATGCGAATGCACAAAAAAGAAAAGCTGAATCTACGGAAGGCATCAAATCAAAACAAAAAGCACTAGACTATTTTCGAATACACTTTCTGGAAGTCTGGCACTGGAAATGGATCCTCGGAAAGGCCCGCGAAAGATTCTTGCAACTTGGACTGGGTATCCTGCAATGTGTCCTGCAGGTTCTTGAAACCCGACGAGAGCCCACCCCACAGCGTCATGGCGATAGCTGCTGCTGCAACGCAACCAATAAGAGAAATGCACAGTCGTAAAGAGAACTGTGGTCGCGACGCCAGGAAACTGGCTTTAGGTTCGCATTTTGTTCTTCTGATCCTGGAGTCTACTACTAGAACTTGGGTAAAAATGGATCTATTGACTCGCGCAGCTTGATCGCCAAGAACGAAGAAGACGTTGGCGACTCGTCCGATTCGTGACGGATTGAATGCTCAGTCTGCTAGCAGATCGAGACACCTGTGCGTCCATGCTCGATCTCAGACAGATACTAACTAGTGTCTCTCGATCGTCAAAAGCGCATCGCACGCAAATGGAAAAGTGATCTTTTCGTGTAACTGAAACCGAATGCATAGAAGTGAAGTGGATGAAGGGGTTAAAAATGAGAGAGGTATTTGAGTCACGACTTGAAAACACACTTGTCTCACCAGGGACTCGCGTCTGGTCTCGTATTCAGAAAGTGCAGCGCTAGAACGCTTTGCTGTTTGCTTGGCCTGTTCATTTCGAAACGATGAAACAGACACGTTGTAAGTAGTCGTAGTTCATCTCGCACTCGCGAAACAGAAATCTACCTTATTCGCTGGCTTCCTGCAATGTGCAACGGGCAGACTGCTGCATGCTGCGTACGCCTCTAATTTAGAAGAAAAGAGCTTTATCGGGCGAGCGGTTCATGCTGGATCTTTCGTTGATTTCGTCCGCTTCTTGCTTTGCCCGCTCTTTATCAATTTGCTTCATTTCCTCTGTTTTTGGGATCAGCAGTTCGTGATCCGGTTTTTCGTCCACAGTGGCGTACGCACCAGAATCGTAATCCCGCTCCATGTGTTCCATGAGCTTCTGATCCCCGAGAGGATGCTGTTGGCGACCACTACTGAGTTCATCAGTAGTGCCCCCCAACAAACCTCCGTGCGCCATTTCTCGCTCCGCAGCTGACGGCCTCGCAACATCTTCCCTTGGCGCCCCGCGCGTTGCCCGATTTGCCTCGTCCAGCCGCTGCTGCATGCTCTTCACTAGGACGAGATCTTCGTAGATGTCTTTATTCCCAGGGACGAAATCCTCGCGATTCACACCCTTCAACGCAGGCAGTGCGGCCGGATTTTCGTCGTCAAAGTCCGTGTCGAGAATTTCGTCGTGTAGCAGAAACTCCGTGGCCTCGTGCTCCGCAGTGCGCGGGTATTCGGGTTCAACGTGCCCCTCCTCCGCGAAAAACACCTTGAAAATGAATCGCAGGCTTTCCTCGTGGGAGCTCTGGCTATGGTCCGAGTACACCTGCGGGCGAGCGTGGGTGAAATTCAATTCCTCCCTTGTGATCCACACCGCGTACCATTCGCGCGGCGGCTCGTCCGGGTTTTCTGCCTCCTTCTCAGAAATGATGACACTCGGCTCCGGGATCTGGACCGACCGAACGGACTCGGGACGGGAGTGCAGTTTGGAAATCTGGACCGCGGCGGACGGACCACCGGCTCTGCCCGTATTCTCGTTACTAGCGTCGCCGACACCTACTTTCCCGCCCGCATGAAGATCGCCAAAGGTACTTGTGCGGACGCTTGTGGGCTGCAAGTGTAAAGCCGCCAGCTCTACTTCCTGGTGTTGTTTCCTACTTTCGATCGTGGCGTGGCTTTCTCCGCTGACCAGACCCAGCGCGTTCACATTTTTCAGCTTCTTCTCCCTGATCCGCTCTCTCCTGGCGACTTCTTCGTCACTGCCTATGAGAAACCTGGATTCCGGGTGTTGCTCCGTCATGTTCAGCAGCATGCTACCGTGGTCCGCAACGGTCAGGCTGCGCATCGACTGCCGGTCGCTCTCAACCCGCCCCGGCCGGGCCAGTTCCTCCAATTGGGACAATATGGCTTCGTCCACGCGTGACGCTGGCAACCGCTGCGGGCGGGGCAAGGGGCTGTACGGTCCGGCGGGGTAGCTAGTAAAAGCCGAATGCGGCTCACTCGGCGTTCCGGACGCCGGCGGGTCCCCGGCGCCCCAGTTGAGAAGCCCCCCCAGTACGGGGCTTGGGTTGCCCTGCCCGTCCGCCGGCCGGACCACGCCGCCACCGAAAAGCGCGCGAGCGTCGGCTCGCCCAATCCGGTCCCGCATTGCAGTCATCGGGCTCGTTAGAATCTGCATCGTCCGCCCCTTCGTCGATGTTGCCTCTGTTCTTGTTGTCTTCGCGCTTCTTGTAGGGCTGGTAGTTCCAGTATAACCTACTCCTCTGCCAGAGGTCCTCGTAGGGCCACTCCCAAGCGGATGCTTGGATGATGGTAAGCTGAGCGAAGAGGCCAGTGGACGATCGCCGGAATCAGCAGCGTTTGTCACCTGAATCTTTGGGCCAAGAAGTTGGTCGTTGTTCGCATCCATGTGCAAGTGCCAATGCTCATCTAGCATGAGCTCTGCGATCTTCGGGTCCATAACCCGCAAACGGGCGGTCTCCGCACGGTCGTCTTCTTTTCGAGAGAGTGGCACCATGTGCTCCTCGAAACCCAGGATGTTTTGCTTGAGCCAGTTCCACGCACCACCGCCCCCAAGGACATCATGCTGCGCCGCTGCACGCCGATGCTGCGCGTCGCCCATCATAACCGCGTCCCAGTCGTTGAAGTTCTGCGGTTCGCTCGAGCTGCTCGAATCACTGCTGTGCTCTGCTGGTTTTTCTCCGCCGTGCAAGCCGCGGCTACGGACGCTGTTCAGGTGCTTCCTATCGCGTCGCCAGTTTGCGGGAGACACCGCAAAAGGGCCATCTTCCACGTCGATGGTCTCGGTCGTCAGGCGATCCGATCGTGCATCGTCGAAAGGCGGAGTAAATTCCTCCGTTGCGTTCATCATCCCTCTGCTCACCAGCGTGCTTGGACGGTAGTTCATGGCACTGCTCCCGAACGTCTGGGCACGCTGCGCCGTCTCTGGATCGCCTTGCGTCAAGAACTCTGTTGTGGCACCCGGCGCTACAGATTCCAGCACCGGTCCGAAGTCGTTGCCAGCGGCCCGAATCAGTGCGACGTTCTCCTCCGGCGTCCGCCGGCGGCGCAAGTGCAACAGCCGACCCGGCGTCCAGGCGTCCCCGTTTCCCCCAGCTAGGAACGGATCTGAAACCACCATGTCCTCGTTGACGTTTGGGTATGTCAGTGCATCCTCGTGCAAAGCGCTGAGTAATTGACGCTCATCTTGTTCTGGGTCGTCTTGCACGAACCCCCGTAGCAACGGCGCGGCTGTAGACCGGACTGTTTCTTGGAGGTTGCCGAGAAAAAGTGCGTCGCCATCGCGCTCCGAGGGCGGATTGGAGTCCGTCTCATCTGCGTCGATCACCGCACTTCTTCGAGGGGTCATCCCCATACGGGGCGTCGTCACGGGCATGGCAGTGTGCTTCTTTCGCCGCGCATCCAGACTACTACTCCGATTTTTACTTCGCTCGCTAAACGTCCGGAGCAAGTCCGCGGATTGCTGTTTAGCAAAGTAGCCTCGGCCGCGAACCCGCTCCACCAGTTTGTCCAGGAATACGGGGCCGTAGCGCAAGCGTCTGCAGGCTCCGGCGCGCATCCTCAGCGCTTCCTGCAGCTGCGCATCGGTCACCCCCAGAGTTCTTGGCGGCTCTGCAGATCGGGTTCGGCTCAATTTCATTTTCATCTCTTGCTCACTAGAATTCGACTTGTCCCGCCCTCGTCCTTTATTTCTCGCCTTTATTTCCTTCTGTGTTCTTTCGTAGTCTGTGCAGAACGCCACGAATTGCACGAAAGTCATGCTGTGGCACTTGCTGCTCTCGTCGATGAAGGCACCGGCGCGCACGTTCTCCATTAGCTGCTCCATCTCGTCCAACATCTGTTTGATTCTCGGAGTGTCCAACGCAACGTTAAAATGCAGCACCATGTCGTCCCAAGAAAGGAAAAACTCGAATTTGGTCTTTGCATTCTTCGTCGTCCGCTGCCCCGTCGCCCGTTCGTAAGTGAAAGCTTGAGCAGAAGTAGCAGAAACTAAACCGTCCCTGTTCATCATCTGTTGGGGAGCATACGGTGCGTAATCGGTTTTGTTCTCTACTTCTATTCCCGAGTTGTAGTTGTGCTTCTCGCCACTCATTGCGTCAGCATAGGATAGCCTGGCTAGGTGCTGGCTGATCCTCGAGTCCACCAGATCGCCGTCCCCGGTCAGCAACTGCTCGAGCGGAACCGTGGATTCAAACTCCACATAAACCCCCATCGTGTTTTCCCGCACATCCAAAATCCGGCCCCGGTTGCCCCTTTGTAGAACAGAAGCCGGCAAGTGCACGTGCTCCACGACGCACTGCTCTACCGCACACACGAGGACATCGCCAACGCGCAACAGCTCCTTGGCGGCATCGATGACCTCCGCACAGGACTTCCAGGCGACCTTGCCGAACTGGCGAGACGCGATATTACAATGAAAAATGCCACCACCCCCGAACTTGGGAGCATTTGTATTGCAAACCTTTGCAAATGATGAAAAATTCGCCCTCTTGCATCTATCAGCATGACAGATTTCCAATCGTGAATTATAGAAAAAATTTGTATTGCGCAAGATCCCAGCAAGCGTGGCGCTTGTCATGCAAGCAATGCGATATACGCCTAGGCTCTGCATCAGAAAGAAGCATAGTCCTTTCATGCATGACAAAAAGTTTTCATTTGGAAACTTTGCATCACAAATTGCTGCAACTTTGGGGCTGGGGGCATTTTTCATTGTAATACGCGAGCACGTTGAAGGGGGACATGGGATTGAAGTCCGCTATCAATTGCAAATATGTCTGGGTCTGGAAACTTGTAGTGCTGCGTTGGGAATAGTGAATGCTCTGTAATGCACAGGCAAGCATGAGAAATATGTACGCTTCTTTGTGTTGCGTTTTTCGCATGACAAACTGCGTTTTTGCATGACAGGCAAAACGGTCTCTTCTTGGACACGCATCACAAACTTTTTGGTCATGCCAGACAAGCATGACAAATCTCGCAATCTTCCAGACCCAGACATTTTTACATTTGATATCCGCGCTGTTCGCACGGTGCCACAAGTCGTACAAACGCGCCCGCAGCCTGACCCGCTCCTCTTTCGTGGACAGCTGCGAAATCTCGTACTTGGACAGCTTCGCGTTTTTCAGCAGTCGCAAATAGAAGTTCCGCCAGGCCACCATCATCAAAGGGCGTGCGCGCGGCACACCATCCATGTCGTTGATGATCGAGACCATGTACTGTTCCGATTCCTTGGCCAAGCGGAGCGAGCAGACAGACCCCGGGGGCGCGATCAGCAGGCACCGCAGCCGGTGTTGCTCCAACAGCTCCGGAAACTTCCGCGAAAGCAAAAGTCCCATGGCCGCACTGTTGCCCGCACCGAGGGAATGCCCAACGCAAACAATGCCGTAGTTCGCGGGGATAAATTTCGGGAAGTCTAACTTCTCCTCCATCTCCTTCAGCGTCGTCCGCGCGCAGAGCAAAAACCCGGCGTGTACAGTCTCGTCGTCGTCCGCATCCTCCGTGAGTTTTTCCATCAAAAGCTGCCCGTTCGTGATCCAGTCCCCGAGGTCGACGGATATCAAATGTAAAAATGTCTGGGTCTGGAAGATTCTGACCCTTGTCATGCACGTTTTGCATGAGCCCTGATATCTGTGATGCATGCCCTAGCATCACAGATTTTTTGAGAGCTTTTTGATGCCTATTCCGCATGACAAATGCCCTCTCCGCGTAGCAAAAATTACATTCCCTTTGGTACTCATGCAAGACAGATTTTTTTGGAATCCAAATGCAGCATCACAAGTTGCATTCTTCCAGACCCAGACATTTTTACATTTAATAACGGACCCCCGGAAACCAATCACGCAAGACCGCGTGAAGTGGTCCATCACGACGAAGTAGACCCCCTGCTGCGCCCCCACGACCGTGGTGTTTACGTAGAGCAGCTCGATCTTCAACTCTTCGCCCGCATACACGGGGGTCGCGAACACGGAGGACGGTCGCCGGGTACCGCCGGGAGTGCTGTCAGGGTCGTGGTCCTGCAGACTTGCAGTATCATGCGAGGCCGTCGTTGTACTGGTGCCCCTGTCGGAGGTCGGGGGAAATGCGGCCTGGCCGCGCTGCGGGAGCGGTTGCGGCCGCGCAGTGCCAGTTGACGAAAATGCTGGGTCGAAATTGCCGGGACCGCGGCGCACGCTACTTCTCGCACTTGGTGGAGTTGTGTCGGCACCAGGTCGGGATTGGATGGCCCCTGCCGGAGCAGTAGTTCTCGCAACGTCGAAGCTGCTCCCGAAGCGGAACAGACGGTTGCCCACGTTTCTCCGCGTCGACAACTGTGGTTGAGCACTCTGTCCAAGTTGTGCCGGCTGCTGCGAAAAAAGTTCTTCCTCGCGCGTCTCCCCGCGCGCGCCGATACCGTCAGGCGCGGCCGCAACATTATCAGTCCCGTCGTCTGCAGCATTCAGATTGAACATGGTGTCCGCCAGGCGAAAGAGGTCGAAGTGCTGTTCCGTTTGCTTTCCACTAGTCCCCGATGCGGCAGTTCCCAGGGGCTTTCGAATCTTCGATCGTGGAGGACGACTTGGGGAAGACATTTTCGAGGGAGCGGGTTCGAATATGCGGTCCAATATGTCCATGGACAAATCTTCGTCCTCCAGGTCGATCGTGTTCCTGGATTCGCGAACGCGGGGCGTCGTCGTGTCTTCGCTCCAGCGAACGCCGCGAGATTTTGACTGTCCTGTCGTGCTATGAAGACCTGGGTGCAGTCCATTACCGGCATAAAAATCGTCTTCTGTCGCGTCTTCGTCTTCACGTCCGAGCCTCTTCGTTGTAATGAATCCATCTCGTACTATGCCTTCAGCGGCGGCTGCGCTTGATCTCGCGCCGGCGCTCTTCCTGCGAGAACCACGATTCCGTAATTCGTCTTGTTTGTGTGGACTCTGTTGTTCAATGGCGCCATTTTCCTTGCTTGTTCTGGCAGAAGAGGAGATTGCGTGATGATTTTCCTCAGCATCAAAGATCGTGGACTTTCGCTGAAGCGGATGGCGCCGGTCGAGAACGTCAGCGTCAACAATTTCCTCGTGTTGCGCATCCCTCTCTCCCATCGGCCAACATACGGAAGATGAGGATGAGCTACTCCCGCCCGTACCGCCCGTTTGTACTATGGCAGCTGCATCCGGAGGACCATCTTCGCCGCCCTCCTCTGCTAATCGTCCCAATGCGGCTTCGCCAGGCATCGCCTCGCCCTCAGGACCTTGCGACTGGTTCCCGTGGGCAGCAATCTGGTCACGATTTGCGGTCATCATCAAATCCCGCCGAGAGGCAGTGAAGTTTTTCGCTCTGCTTTTTTTCGTGCTTCGAATTGTGGCCGTTGCTGTGTGTGCGGCCGGGGCGAGACTGCGCGAAGTTGCGCTTGGTCCTCCTTGTTGGGCTTGGGCGGTCGATGCCTCAAACATTCGTTTTTGTCGCAACTGCAAAAGCTTCAGGTAAGCCTCCATATCCCGCTCAAACTTCCGATCGGCTCGCTTCGACCGGCGCGACTTTGGTGCAGCAGCCTCCTCGCCCTCATCGTTCTCGTCCGACAAGACCGCAGGGTCTGCTTCGGCTCTTTCTCCTCTGCCCATCTGCGCTTGTCTTTCCCCGACAACTTGTAAGTCCCGCACGCGAGCCGCGACCCGCCGGCAGCATCGCGTGCAACAACGGCAACACACGCGAAAGCAACTGGCGACGGGTTTGTCCGGCTCCCTCTTTTCGTCGTAGCCGTAGGCAAGCCAGCCATAGGATACGAAGGTGAGGATGAAGTTGATTTCGTCAAAGTCCTCCCTTCTGCTAACCGGCTGCCCCCGGGTCAGGTGCGCGCAAGGCAACGATCCGGCGAAGGGGACTCCCTGGGCCAAGGTTCTCCCGACGCGGATGTCTCCGAGCGTCAAATTGTGCACCCCGAGGAAACCCACCACGGTGCGCTGCATCAGGTCCACGTTCTTGTCCGGCACCCCGTAAAAACGGAGGAAGCAACGCAAAAACCGGTACAGGTTGTCCAGCAACCGGGTGAAGCCCTCGCGCTCCTCTATCGTGCGCGTTATCAAATCTTCGCTCGTAATAAGCCCGTGCAGCTTTTCTTTGAATTCATACTCCGTCTGCGCATCCGCGTACGCGTACTCCGAAAGGAAGACCATGGCCGCCAGGCAAAACGTGGCGGAGCCCAACATGTAAAAGGTCAAAACCGCCAAAAACAAGGCCAACCAGCCGCCGGTCTGCACCAAGTAGCACTTCACCTTGTCCTCTGGGGGTAGGTTCACCTTCCCAGTAACGGAATCCTTTTGAAAGGTCACTGTCTGTCCATCGCTGCACTCGTAGACAAAGGTGGTGCGGTCTTGGCCAATAAAGAAGTCGTTCACTTGGTCGGGCTGTAACGAAGGCTCACACACCGAACGGACGCTGTAGGTGGGCGCTAGCAGCAGCGTTAGCAGTATCACAAGGAACAACACCTCGTTTATGTAGCGCAGGCCGAGAAGCAAGTTCATACCCTTCCGCTGGTCCTCGCGGTCATTGATCCAGCCCTGCTTAGACCAGTGCCCGAACCAGAGATCAACCAACAACGCGGAAAGTGCCAGGAAGAACATGATCCTGTTTATTTGTGTTATTCGATGTTCCCCTTTCCCTTTGCGCAAATCCTATGTTTGTAAAATGCGCACTGAATGCATTCGAGGAAGAGATGTCCAAAAATAAAGCGTAAATCAATGTACCCTGTCCACCCGAGCACGCAACCATAGACGAAGAAAATGGAGACTGTGAACAGCTTGAGGATGTCCAAGCCCACCCACAGCAGGGCAAAGCTCCAGACTTCGTCATTTGCCCACAGCTTCCAACGTCGACGCAAGCAACGACACGGAGGCATCTTTTGATTTGGTTCGCAATTTTGACTCTATGGATACAGATACAGAAAATTTGTTGCAGCTGACTTGAAATTCAAGAGCCTTCCACTTAAGGAACCAGGAGCCATCCCCATCGCTATCTATGCTACGCTACGTTGGATGCAGGAGGTTTCGAATTCGAACACTCGCACGTGGACAATCAGAACATGTGAAAACGACCAAGTAGAAAAAGGGCGATAATAACCGGAAGCTACTAGCAGAAACGAATCATGCGAAGCGATTTCCAAGAAACGAGCGGGACCACGATGTTTGAACAGATCGAAGCTGTAATCGAAGAAAAAATCTCCGCTTGCTCTATTAACGATGGCAGATGCAAACGAAAACGAAAAGTGCCAACGAAGAACAAAAGCGACGATTCTTGTTTGATCATGGCCATACTTTTTATGGTTGTTACGCGCGAATCTGTTCAATATTCCTCGTGTACGAATCGGATTCGTATTCACCTGGTGACTAACAGGCAACCACTAAGTGGTAAGCGCCACGCCTTCTTTCGATATCGCGAGAATACGTGGACCGGAACTTCTGGCCCACGCGTTCTCGACACCATCGCCATGTTGATACAGCGAGTGCATGTCATGCACTCGCTGTAACAGCTATTCATCTTCTGCAGCTATTTCTTTGGTTGATGTATGCGGTCTTGCACTCCGCATCTCGCAGCACTAACACAAACAGTACCAAAAATTTTATATCTTTGCTTGATACCACGTACTTGGTACTTTCACAAATTCCGCGATTTCTTTGCAGCACCACCTGCCACGAAAGTGCGCGGCAGCTGTGCAAGTACCAGTACGTAAGAGCAATTTCTAGTTCTTGAAACCGAGACGAACGCGCAAGTACATTCCATAACACTTCTGATTTTCAAAAGACATAGCGACGGTCGTCAGCCATTTCATTTGTTGTTTCGTGGTGAGATTGCGCGAAGCTTCCTTCCAGATGTGGGGATTTCTTCTTCCTGCGCCAGTGGGTTGCCACCAGGTGCGAAAGAGGCGCGCTTGACTGTGTCGCCTGATGGCGCAACAACATCTTCCTTTCTTGACGGAGGCACCGACGGCAAGGTTGGTGGAACCGTCGGCATCGGCACCGGGGGCACCTTGACGACCTTCTCTTTCATTCGCTGTTCGCTTTCACTAAACGCGGTCGTCACGATGGTGGCGGACGGGATTAAATCCGGTCCTGGAACTACAGAGCGGCCTGCGGCTCTCTCTGCTGCCGCATCTACTCTGTTGCCGCGATTCTCTTTGTTGCGGTTTTTGCTCGTCATCGAAGATGATGCGACTTGGGTGGAAATGCGACCGCGATTATAGGATGCTGCTGTACTAGTTGACTCCGTAGTTACTCGGGATAGCGACGATCTCTCAGTCGCTGTACTTTTGCGCGGCTTTGATGTTTGCCGCGCTATGTCGTCTTCCACTTCTTCTGCCGTCGGATCTACTTCACCGAATGGGGCAGGAGCATTGCTGTTGACAACTTTTGGCCGTGGGACGTGCTTCATCAATGGATCTACATCCTTCAGCTGTACTAGCGCCTGCTCACCATCATCATGCTCCGGGCCTGCGATGCTGCTGGCGCGGGACAGCACGTGGGATTCTGGGTCTGCTCGGTTTAGCAGATCTGCCTCATCTGGCCCGAACGATGCGGCAAGGAGGCTGTTTGGGTCAAATGCTTCTTCTTGTTCAGGTGCAGCACCGTCGTAGTCCTCATTCCGATCTGGAGCGGGCATCAGGTGCGAGAAGAAATCTTCAAATATGCAGCGCAGCCCGGCATCGTGTGAGATTTTTAGGTGGTCGGTGACGGCTTCTGGGCGGTTGTACAAAAACTTGAGCTCCGCGTGTGAAACCCAGACGGCGTAGTAGCCCTCCCCGCTGCCGATTCGTTCCTCCAGGTCCAGCTCAGCCTCCAATTGGCGCGCAATCATACTCGGCCGGATAAAATCGTCGTTAGAGGAGTCGAGGAGAGCATCGTTGCTATTCTTTCGCGCGGGAGATGAAGCCGCGGTAGCGCTTGTCGAGCTGCTCAAACTGCTCCTCATCGACGAGAGTTGTGAACTGGGTTGTTGTAGGTGCAGCAACGATGTTCCTTCCCGCTCATCATCTTCTCCCCTGAACGTCGAATCCACCGCGAGTCGTGTGGCCCCGGCAGAGTCACCAGCACCACGACCTCTCTGCGAAGGAAAAGCGCCCTTATTGTGGTCCGGAAACGCGACCTGCTTCCCGCGAGGGGTGGAAGGGATGCTCCTGGTACCACCAGCAACTTCATCTGAAAGTCGCTCCACTTCATCACCCGAAGACAGCGGCTCTTGCTCGCCGGAGTGTTGCGAATTTTCGCCAAAACCCCCGAACAGTCTTGCGAAGATACCCTTCTTTGGCCTATTAGCTGCCGGATCTTCCGGACTTACTTCTGTGACCGACGCGCCATTCGTCCTCGTCGCTCCATTGAATAGTTCCAGGTGCCTGTTTCGACTGGAGTCTTTTTGCGCCAGCGCATGATCGGCATGTAATTCGTATTCGCCTCCGAGAACTTCGTCTGGGTGTGCGCCGAAGATGTTCTGGAGCACCGACGTGTGCAGCAGATCCGTCCGCTCGTCGCGCCGCGCCTGCTGCTGCTTCTCGCTGTAAATGTCATCGAGGCTGTCGTTACTCGGCCCATGATTTTGTGTGCGCTGAAGCGCCGTTTCTTTCGACCGTTTGCTGAGCAGACTCGACATGTGACTTGCAACCGACTGCAGTGCGCGGGTGCGTTTGCTGTGCAGCTCGTTTCTGTCCAGTGTTGTTTTGTGTCTTGCGTTCAGAACTTCTTCGTAATTAGGCCCGTATTTTTCTATGAGTTCTTGCCGCTCCACGGCATCATGTTCCAAATTCTTCAGCATGTTGTCGCCCCCCAAAATCATCTTGTGCAAAGGAATTTTTCGTGCGATGTGGATCAGCCCCGTGAGCACCGGGCGTGCTGTTATTGCTGCTTGTGCTCCTACTGCAGGTCCTGCGCATTCATTTTGTTATTTCCATTTTTGAAACGATGAAACGAAGAAAAAAGAACAACACTTGGACTTGCCAGCAAAAGAACGCTGAGCAATGAATAACGTTATCTATTCTGTTCACGCAGGATCCTTGCTCCTCGTGAAAAATCAGGTTGAGGTTTATTCATCTTTTCTGGGAAATGCTGGAAGTGAACGTGGTGCTCCGGAGGACGAGGAGCCAACAATTGTATAGTACCCTCATCATTTTCGTCGAGGATGGTTCTGGTGAGTTCTGGGTCGGTGGGTCGAAGCTGACAGGGCTCCGGGTCCTCGGTTTCCAGCCCGTCCGGGTCTAGCTCGTCCACCTCTTCACCGTGAGAAAATAGAAAGGGGAAAAGATACTGCAGAATCCGTTGTAGTGCCGTCGTCAGGATGGTCCACGTAGTTGCAGATCGCCTCAACAAGGTACCAACGGCCTCCCGCCGCCGGAAACGCTTGAGGCCGGCGAGGCTCCACGATTTCGCGAGCGTTTTAGGTTTTGCTTTTCCGGGATGGTCTACTTCATCCTGGGAAGGAGGAGAGTCGTGCCTTTGCGGCTGATCGGACCCGGACGACCACGCGTCGCTTATTTCCTCGTTCCGTTCGGAGCCAAGGATGTCACCCACGAGTCGCGCATTCATTCGCAAGACACTTTTTTCGCTGCGCGGTGGCCTTTTCACCATGATCTTCTCCTCGGAGATACTTCTGGCCGCGGTCGTCCCGGTGCTGCTGGTCGTGCGCTGCATGCGTAAAACATGGTCGCTGAACGTGCTCTTTTGCACGAAGCCACCGCTGCTCCACAAGGGGCTGGCCCGAGCCGTTTTGGTCGCTGACGCTGCACTCTGCTCGTCATTTCCGCTCTCGCTGGAGTCCGCCAGAAAGACAGACCGCTTCTCCTTCTGCAACGCCTTTTCAATTACCCTGATTCCCTTTCTTGTAGTCGCATGTTCTTCGGTAGACGTGTCCTCCATGGGAGCTGCGCCAGTTGTGCGCGACCAGTGTTTTCCGTCCTTATTGTTCTGTTCCGGATCCTTGCTCCCTCCCGGTAGTTCTTCGTCCCCGCCGAATACGGTCTCCAAAAGGTTCGTGAAGTCGTTGCGCGCCGAGCGATCTAGCACACCCTTCTCCTCTTTCGAAAGCCTCTTGCGGATGTGCAGAATGCGCCCGGGTACGTAGCCTTCGGGCATCGCGTGCAGGTAGGGTTCCTCCTGTTCGTGGTGGTCGAACCAGGCCACCTGGGTTCCGCGAATGCGCTCTCTCGGTTCGCTGCGAGTAGTTTCCGTGCCGGCGGAAGCAGGACCCATGTTGTAGTCATTTGCGTTGCCGGGAACCACACGAGTCTTGGACTTGCGCCCCGTAGGCTTCGTGGCAGCTACGTACTTTATGGACGAGCCAGCGCTCGTGCGAGTGCTGGTGCCTGGAGACGATCGCAGCTCCGAAGAAGTGCTGTGGACGGATCGTGATCCGTCCCCTTTGTTCTCGTTTTTGTTCTCGGCAAACACTCGCAGGAACGCTTGCACATCAGCCTCATCCAAGTGCATATTTGACCTTGCGCCGTGGCGTTGGAACAGCTTTCGCTTGTGGTTGTGTAACGGCAGTTGATCCGGCTTATTCGGGATCGCTTGCCTCGCCACACCGGCCGCGGATGAGCGACGCACAGGCCCCGGGGTGCCCTGGTTCGACTTGTTCTCGGCGCTTTCTTGTTCCACTTCACTCTCCTCGTTTACTATTCCCACCTCCTTCGAAGTTTGCTCGAGGTTCGCCTGCGTCGACGATTGCGTGCTCAGCAGGCTGGTCCCCATAGATCTCATCGTCACACCGCGGACGGCTTCCTCTGCGTTGCGCCACACAAAAAACGCCAATATGTCGGAATAGCTGAGGAAAACCTCACAGGCAACAACTTCATGTCTCTCTGCGTTCAGAATCACTGCGGGATCCAGAAAGTCGCGATCTTCTTCATCGTCCTCTCCGTCGGTACTGCTCCCCCTGAAGGACGCAGTTTCCTCGGATATTCTCTCTCTCTTCTGAAGGCTCGTTGTAGTCATGTGCGCCCGATCCTCTTTGTCGCCTTGATGCTGTTCCCGCCCTGCTCGACGGGGGAACAATGTGACGGTGATCCGCACCCAGATTCCGTTGCGGCCCGGCGCGTCGGCTACGGTGACGACGTCCCCTTTTGTCAACAAAAGCCCGTCCTCACTCGCCGTGGTATCCACCACCAAGCGCTGCACGTTCACCACAAGCTGGTCGCCCACCGACAGGTAGCTGCGGAGGAAGTTTGTGCGCTCCTGCGGGTTCAGCCGGCTGTCCTCGAATTTGCGTGCGTACATCATGTTGAAGGGACTGGTGGGGAAAAAGGCGCTGCTGTTGGCCGCGTGCCAGCAGTTCCACAGCGCGTCCTTGTAGTCGGAAAGCTTCCCCGCGATCAGCTCCCACTTGGAGAAGTGGCTCTTGCGCAAGCACTCCGACATGAAGTTGCGCTCGACAATGATGGACAGCGTCCGGCTGCGGGGGATTCCGTCGAACCCGTTTACGAGCGTGATCATGTAATCCAGGCTATCATATGTAAAAACGTACCCACACCAGAGTCAGGATGGGGATTTTTTTTTTTTTGCCCGGCCCCCAATTTCATCAATTTCAATTTTCAATTTTCAATGATTGTGTGACGGCGGGAACGGCACCCGCCCGCTGTGCTTAATAATGCGCTCCCACGCGCGAACTTCTTTTTGTCTTTTGCATCACACATGCAGAAACATTTTCAACCCCCTAAACCAACACCTTTTTTCATCTTCTGCCGCCCTCACGCAACAGGACTACTCCTGAAGCGCGGGAACAACCCGAAGGTTGTTTTGCATGACAAGTTCTTGCAGCAGGTGCATGCAGCAGTGGGAGATACAAAATTAATTTCAAAACCCTAAACCCGCACAGCGCACTGATCCTAGTTAACGTCTAGAGCCGTAAGCCGCGGCAGACGTCCACCAGGGGAGGTAGAGGGAGGCCAGATCACAGTCTCCGTAGGGCGATAAGTGCAGTAAGCCGCTGCACTGAAAAATAGTAAAGATAGGGCGAGACCACTGTGTATGGAGATAGTTACCCATAGGGGGCGTTAATCAGGTTCGTGTTTGCGTGGTTACTAGGCGCCCCCGAAAGGACGCTTTTCCTTCACGTTACTGCCCCCCGAAATATACGGTCGAACTGGATCACAGATACTAGCCGTAGGGCGCGATCGACCCGAATCGCATTAATAGAGGCTGCGCGACCTGGCGAAGAACATCATATGACCCATGCCGAGGGACTTCAGTGGAAAAATACTCCGGACGCATGTGCAACCTCGGCCGATGCAAAACGGGCGACCGCTGTAAAATTTGTGCTCTACGATAAAAATAATTTCTAAGTGGTCTCTATGGGATGGGGGCCGTTGAACCCACGATGCGCGACGACCGGATGGCTGGGCCCACTGCTGGTCTGGTCGTCGAGAGAAGATCCGCAGAGCAGGTTGGGCAGGAACGGCGGCGAGGAGAGGGTCGGAAAACAGTGGGCGCGTTTTTGCCGAATCCCGATGTTGTCGTGAACGGCGACCACAGCAGAAATCGTCACCACCGGTGTAACCGCCACCGGAGAGATGTCGACGAGTACCGCGAGAGCGCCAAAAAGGTCAAGTAGCTGGCTTGGCTTGTTTGACAGCATGAATCCCGCCCGACCGGCTACTGATCGGGGAGTGTGCGCGACAGCCCGAATCTCGTATTGCGGCGCGAAAACGATCTCCGCCAAGAGGGTGATCGACGACGGAAGCTGGTCGGCAGTTGGGCCCGATGAAGAAAGGTGGTTCATCAACAAGAACTGGCTCGTCCAAAAAACGCCGCAGCGTCGCCGGATCGGATGAAACAGCAATCGGGCCCGATGGTGGCAGGGCAGGAAGAAGGCAACCATCGACGGGGAACCGCCATCGTGGCGCATTTTCCAGCACCACCGAATCCAACGCGCATGTAAATAAGCCCTGACAAACAGATGAGCACTCAGAAGAAGTGTCCAACCGAAAGGCAGCAGCAGAGGAAAAGCGTGGATTCGGGTCGGGGAAAATCTACACGAGATTGGTTGTGCTGCAGAAATGGAAACACGGCCCTAGCCCAATGATAACGGCGTAGTCAAATACAGAAAAAGAGAAAGTCCTACTACAGGGCTGACGCGCATGACAAATTCCAACTTCAGTTTAATCCGCTGACGCGCATGACAAGTTTCAACCTCAGTTTATTCCGTGTGAGTGCACATAATTGCGGGGTAGTCAGTTTTAGGCGGAGTAGTGCAGCATGGTGGAGGCGCAGCGTCGAGATGTACTGCGACAGCCGGGTATCGTGCGCTGCAACTTCAAGGTCGTTCCGCATCTGTCCAGTCGGCCCTTGTGCAGGTGCATGCCAGACGTAGCTCAAAAGATCTCCGGCGAGTCGCGAACCCGGCATCTCACCCCCATCGGGAGGTGTAGAAGGCCCACACTATCCTGGACCTGACGACCGAGGGGAGCACACCGCTGCGCAACTCACCTCTTCGTAGAAAACTGCGGCGCGCCGCTTCGTAACTGCAGATGATGGGCACCACCGATGGCGTTCTGCCCTTAGACGGGTTGCGCGGGGAAGATGCCGAAGGGCAAGAAACCGCTCGGGGGCGGTGGTGGTGATTACTTTCCCAGGACGGTAATCTGGAGGAAGGCCGGGAAACCGATAACCCCCGCGATCGTAGAGTAGCGTCGGGCACAGCGGCAAAACCATCTGATACTGAATCCAGTGAAGAGCAAGCGCGAAGACCATCTTGTAGTGGGGGCTACTCCTTAGTTTTGAGATGCAGAAACTCAAAGCACTTATTTTAGAGCGGGACCAGGCGATGCGTACAGAAACAGAAAAATGAGCCGTTTTCGTCGAAATTTCTTGTGATTTCGGGATGAAAAAACTAGCGTAGCATGGGGACAAGGCGTGGCGGTTGGAAAAGTAAAGTACCAGAAAAATGGAGTATACCACCCGTACACAATACTCAACACAGATAACCCGACATTTCAAACAATACTAATGTAAAACTAAGGAAAGTAGTAGGGTCATAGACTTAGAAATTAGAAACCTAAGCGGGTCCGGTAGGTACTACAATCTAACTGCATCCTTCCGCGCGGGTCGATATTTTCCACCGGGGGCGCCAAAGCAGTCGGGCCGCCACATCCCTAACACCGGGTAGCATCGAGTCATCATGGTCTTGTCGATGGAGCTTGGAAATGTGTCGGTAGCGGAAAACGTAGTAAACGCCCGGGACGGCGAATCCGCGTAATCGCTGCAGGTCCGCGTTAGCGAGCGATGTCCGCGTGAAAATAATCTTACGGAAGCAACAACGACAACACACAAACGAATGAAAGCGCCACAGGTCTCTTCGTCCTCCTGTCACAATCACGTCTCTTTACATGTCTGACAATCAAACTCATACAAGAACTGGCGGCGTTTATTATCTCAATCACCTCAAATTCACCCTAGGCACACATGACAAACTCGTGCTCAACCACACCCGCTCTGCATATCCATGTGCATAGAAGACAACATAAAAAAAAACCCATCTACAACGTCCTGGAGAGGAAGTTTGTATAGGTGGGGTGAACATCAATAAATGCGAGGGGCATGGCGAGGCGAGAGCTGGTTTTTGAATTGTGCGCAGCCAAACGATAACAGACACAGTAGCTCATTATCAATTTTTGAACAGGATATCTGCTGAGCAATAACAGAAATCTTTTGAAGCACAAACATGAAGATACATAAACTTTAACCAAATAATCCGCAGCCATGTACATCGTGGCGCTGCTTGATGACCAAATCAGGGTGCTCCTGTGCGTGCCGTTAGCCCGACGGGTCCTGGGTATTCGGGGGCGGTATCGATTGGGAGTCACTAGCAACAGCTTGGGACACTCCGGCACCGGTGCGCTGCCGCTTCGGGGCAGGGTCGGTCTCGCTCTCCTTGTCATTCCCAGGTGTTTGCGAAGCGAGCTTCTCCATCCCCTCGCGCACCAGTTTCGCCAGACGGTACTTATGGATTTTGTCTTTGATAGATTTGAGGACCAGCGGCATTTTGAAACTGCGTTTGGGCCACTGGACAAACGCATCTCGCCCCGCAATCTCGGTAACCGCAGCGGGTACCGTGTATCGATTGGAATCGTCGAGATCGGGGTGTTGGTAAATGTTGACTGCTTTTACTTGCTGCTGGTAGAGCCACAGCCGCCCGGACCAAGCGGAGCAGGATGACCAAAAATTTCGGTATGTTCCGGTGTTTTTGATCCTCGCGTTCACCTGGACGCCTTCGATCACCAACGCGGGCCTGCGCTGGATAACGTCCGTAAGGAGCAACAAATGCTCCATCGAGCTGGAAGCACAGGTCAAAAAACGGAGATCAGCGGCAGTGGCGGGGTCGGGGATGTCGGCAAAGTCGTAACAATTCACTGCCCAAAGAATTTGCCCCTCGCTATTCAGAGCGACAGCGCCGCTAGTCGCCGGGCAGCGGGTGATCACAACGGCGCCCTTGAGGTCCTGCGGCGTGACAGCACCGGCACTGACATGTGGCATCGGGAACAGGCGGTGGAGCTGCGACACTACAGTGTCACTTGGTCCCGGTGGCGTCGTCACAAGCGGCTGCGCCCCGATAGTAGAGGCCGCGATCTTGTCCTCCAGAACACGATCGGCATAGTGAATAGCATTCACTTTCTGGATATCAGCAGCACTGAAACCTTGGGGGCCGAAAATAGGCACCTTTGTTGTGATCGTGCTCAAAATGTCGTCTTGACCGGTTAAACACGACCACTTTCCGGAGCAACTCCGCGCCGTCCGCACAGCAGCCACCCAGGGATCATGAGCATCAAGGACTTGGGAACAAAACGCCAACTTGTACAGTTGGTTGTTGTCCAATTTGTTCAGCTTAATAAGTTCCGCCACGTGTGAGTTGGCGTAACCGCAAAAATTGAGAACGGAGAGCCCGACCTTGTTCAAAAAGCGCAACCAGTCGACATTTTCGTATAACCTGACAGCTACCACTGTTAGGTGCGCGACGGAGGACCCGTAAGCCCACATTCCCACCATGCGGATCAACATGCCGTCAAGAAACTTCGCACACTGGAAAACGTGTTCTGCTTTTGCGCGCGATAGTCCTAACCGGCTGTGAAGTTGTAGGGCCATCGTTTCCGGTGGTAATCGGTCGACGTTAAACGCACACCCCAGCAGTAGCGTGCTGGTCTTGATACGGGGGGCCATTTGGAAGGGGTGGAGGTTTTTGACGACAGTTTCGCGCATTTTTTCCACAAGTTCGCCGTAAGTCTTCGCCCCCACTGCAGAACGGAGTCTCGGACTACCGAACATGATCTCGAATTTGCCCCCGCCCGCTAGAAAAGTCCCCATTTTCCGAAATTCGATTTGTTCGAACTTGGTGATGGTGTCGAAGATAATGCCGACGGTACCACTGGAGACGTCCACGGGCTTGTACCGGAACCCGGTCCCCCGATCGTCCACGCACGTCCCGGTGGTTGCGGGGGGGGCCTTGCCGGTGGGTGGCACGGAATTTGTTGCAAAGTGGCTGGTCATCGTCACCTTAGATTTAGAACACGACAACTGGCCCGCGGGTTGGTAGAAGTACTGCGGGTCGACGTCTGTGGACCAGGCGTAATTCTTCCAGGAGTGAGGGTCGGAGTCGTCGGCCTTCGCTTCCGCAAGCAGAACAGCGGCGGCCCTCGTGGTTCTGGTTTTGCAGAGGCCCCCGGTCTCGGGGCAGTAGCAGCTACACAAGAACCGGTGTAACCGCCGAACCGTGGAAATCGAGAGCAACGTGCCCGCAACCATGGTCTCGGTCACCCCCTGCAGCGAATCCGAAAACTTGGACACAAGCGCGTACTCGCGGCCATTGCGTATCAACACTTCTTTATCTTTGTTGCAAGACAAGAAAAAAAGAAGAGTGCAGGGGTGGGCCCCCGTTAGCCGTAACGAATTCGCGAGACTCACCCAGCTCATTGTGTTGAAGAAGTTGCTGAAGTCCATGCCGATATAGCACCACATTTCTTCGCTAGATGTCGCCAGATAGTTGTCCAACAGTTTCCACGTCAGAACCGCGAGTGACACACCGGGGCGGCCACCATGCCCATAAATTGACCAGCACGAACGGTGCTCAGCCAGTCGCATCACCTCCCGTCCGAGTACACCACTGATGACTTTTAAGGCGACACAGGTGCGAATCACGCCACGGATTTTTTTGATGTCCTGCGGAAGTGAAGTCCCCCCTTTGCCTAACAATTCCATCTGGAGGAACCGCATCTGCTCTGGGACGACTTGCAAAACATGTCGGGATGGGACGGTCTGGAACTTCAGGAGCATCGTGTTGCAGCTCGCAACAAAGTCCTCAAGGGAGGCGGCGTCTAGAGACTTGTACGCGGAAGCCCTGACACCGGAAATCCCTTGGGCTTGGGAATTGCAGGTAGCAAGAAAGTCCTTGACTTCTGCAACGGAGATCTGCAAGGGCTTCACACGCTTGGCAGCTGCGCACAGCTGCTCCTTCATGCGGATGAGCGTGTCCAGCGTGGGTTCGACTTCGAGATGGGCGTGGAGCCGAAGGATGGGACACTTCACAATATGGCTCTTCCCTACTTCGCAGGCAATCAGCTGCGCGCCGATCAGGAGCCGTTTTCCGGACAAGATGCGGGCTATCTCGCCAATCGGCTTCCCCTTCTGAACTCCGTCGTAGGAACTTTTCACCTTGGCCTGGATGTCGTAAATCGCATCCTCAATGCGGTGCGTATCAGCTTCCGCACCGTCCGGGTCGAAGTCAGCATTTGGTCTGTACTCTTTTTCGGCCGTCGCCCAGGTAAGGAAGTCCGAAACGTGGGCCTTCACATCTGGTCGCGCGAGATAGTCGGTGGAGGAGAGTACAGCTAGACAGTCTGGGGTTGCCGCTTGGGGGGCCACAGTCCCCGCGCCTGCTTCTGTAGTTTGTTTCGGAGATTTTCGGGACCGCTTCAGCTCCGCTTTTTTCACTAATCCCGCGTCAACCAAACTTTCCGCCCGCCACATCTCGAACTTCCAGGGGCAATCCTTCGGGGGCAGGATTTTCCTTCGGTAATCCTCCCCGGCCTGCTGTAATTTTTCCCGGGTGTGGGAGCGGTCGCCCCGGCGTGTAATTATGGTGTAGTTGATTGTTCGTGGGAGAGCTTCCTTCAGGCCGCCAACCGGTTTTATTTGGCTGCGCCCGAGATCCGCGTGCGCTGGCATCTGGAAATCATCATATTTCCCGAAAACGTTTTCTGCGGTGATGCAACTGTTGAGGAGTTTTGTCTGAGCATCGGAAATTCCTTGCGGCTGCGAGTCACTGTCACCGGTTTCAGGGCCGAGCTGGGTGCTAGTAGCTCGGTGGAACGTCTTGATGAGAAGTGCGAGATGATCGGTGGTTCGCTCGCGGATGTTCAGATTCAGATTCAGATGCGCTCTCCGGTCTATTTCCGCCGGGGGTTACGCCGTGTACAGCAGGTCGACATCATTCAATTATTCTAGTCGGGGCGGTGGGCGTTTCCAAAAATGTGAAGAACCCCGCCCGCCCACCTTGTTATTCACATATAAGGAATTGCGCAGGTATACGGCATTTTTTCCCGATTTCTTACATTCGTCGCCCGGTCTTGCAGGGCTCTCGCCCTGTTGGCACTTGAGCGGCATGCTGCTGGATGGGGATTTTGCAACACAAACCTAGGAGTTTTGTGAGTCACGCATGACAAGTTGCGCTCTGCAGTGTAGTGCAGGTTAGCAAGTGCAACCGCGTCAGAGATTCATCTGCTCATCCTGTTCACAGCATCACAAATTCCAAAACACGATTGGAAATGGCTCTCATGGGGATGCGCATTACAAGTCTTCCTGTCTTTGCAAATCTGCATTACAACTCTGGTGTGGGTACGTTTTTACTCAGGATACAGGCTCTCCTCGCGCAGCTTCAACGAACAGGTCAACCCGGGCGGCGCCACCAGGAGGCACCGGAGCCGATTCTCGGCGCGGAGCTCCGGGTACTTCTTTGCCAGCAGGAACCCGAGGCAGGCGGCGCACCCAGCGCCGAGCGAGTGCCCCGTGCACACCACCGAGTACGAGCTCGGGAGCGCGCGGAGGAAGCCTCCACGCTCGAGGCACTTCAGCGCGAAGCGGGCGCAGGACAGAAAGCCTGCATGGACGTACTCGTCCGCGGGCGAGTCGGCGAACAGGCGGGCCGGGGCAATGGCCGCGTCCGAGACCATGTCTTTGGCCGACATGGTGCCGCGAAACCCGATCACCAGGGCGTTGGAGAAGTTGTCCTGGGCGAAGTAAAACACGGCGCGCTCGCCGCCGCGCGTGTGCGGACTGACGTACAGCAGTTCCACGCCCACCTCCTCGACCGCCAGGCCGTATCCTGAGTAAAAACGTACCCACACCAGAGTCAGGATGGGGATTTTGCAACACAAACCTAGGAGTTTTGTGAGTCACGCATGACAAGTTGGACTCTGCAGTGTAGTGCAGGTTAGCAAGTGCAGCCGCGTCACAGATTCATCTGCTCATCCTGTTCACAGCATCACAAATTCCAAAACACGATTGAAAATGGCTCTCATGGGGAGGCGCGTTACAAGTCTTCCTGTCTTTGCAAATCTGCATTACAACTCTGGTGTGGGGACGTTTTTACTCAGGATAGGCCGCCGTCGCTGTTCAGCCGGAGCGTCGGGTCGTCCTCGGCACTGGCCTCGGACTCCTCATCGAGGTCCCGCAACTTCGCCTCGGTGTTCTTCATTTTCTCCTGTCCGAAGCCCATGCGGAGGGCCCGCGTCTCCTGGAGCGTCTTCAGCTTGGCCTGCCACTTCGTGCGCTTGGCAGCGCGCACCGCCGCACGCTCGCGCTTCTCCGCCAGCAGCTCCGCCTCCCACGCCTCCTTCAAGGCCTGGAAAGCGGGAATCTGACGCTCCAGGGGCGACAAATACTCCCAGTCTAAACGCTTTATCGTGAAGGCGGCGCGCGCCCGCGCTAACTCATTCGACACGGTTTCCTCCAGGCCTTGCAAGTTATCCACCTTCGCCTTCGTTGTAAAGTCTTCCACCATAGAATTTCTCAGCTCGACCGCGGAAGACGGCTCCAACTGTTGGCTTGCCCGCCGGACCGGCTGCAAGAATTCCAGCGTAAGAATGGTATCCGGAGTAGAATCACTACGCGTCAAGTTGGCTTTCCCCTTCGCCTGTTTTTCGATGGTATAAATCGATGCATGTTGTATACAACGTTGGTTTCTCGAAAATGACAAAAAAGAAAGCGGTAGCGGTTTAGGGTTTAGGGTAGCAGATGTCTTTTTTTTCTTACATACTGGTAGTTCTTTTTCTTACATACTGGTAGTTGCCGTTGCCATTCCATTGTTCTAAAAGATGATGATGAACTGTAAATATGATCCGCGTCAGGAAGAACAACAACGAGGAATTCATCAGTTTTTCTACCTTCGGAGCAGCTTGCTTGTTCCCCTGTTGCAACGCCAAGTCGACGATGTTTGCAAACGGACTTCCTCTCAAGAGCCGGAAGACGCCGGGCCTTCGGTTTTCGTTTCGTTTCTTTCGCGTTTCGCGGATGGTGTGCAGCAAGCCGGCAGCTGTTGCGACCGCCACCTTGCCGACACCGTCTTTGCATTCCTGTGCGTAGGAGTGGAATACCACTGGTAGCGGCTTGCCGTCGACGAGTTGTAGCGTATCCCCGACCAAGATCCCGTGCTGGTCGGCCACGCTGTGCGGTACCACGTTCGTCACCTTCTGCGTGTAGGGATCCCACATCGCACCGAAATTGTCCACCTCACCTGCGTTGTCGCTCAGAGTCACTTTCAGGAGGCCCCGCGACGCTCGCAGGCGCTGTACTTCCAGATCCTGAGAATGCTCCTGTGCGACCGAGAGCCGTTTTGTATGCCTGCACAGGCGCAAAACGGTGAAGATGGCCGCAACCCAGCGAATTTTTGGCTTTGAGTAGTCCGACCATTTGCCCAGCTGCTCCGTCAAGTGCTCGTAATGCACAGCCACGTAGCCGAGGGCGAAGCGGCCCGCCATGACGCGCAGTAACGGCGCCACGAGCGACTTGTCGTCATCCTGCTGCTCGAGCCTCTCGGTCCAGCTGCGCGAACTGTAGAGGTCTTCCGCGGTTAGCGTAACCAGGTCGGCCGAGCCGACCGCGTGATTCCGGATTACCGTGCCGGCGTCAAAGTCCTCCAGTTGGTCGGCGTACGTCTGCAGCATCTGCCGCTGCCGGTACTGCAGTAGCTGCATGTAGTCCGTCAGGTCGCGTTCCCAACTCTGCTCCTTTTCCGTCTTCGAGATTATTCTCACCACCCGAAGTGCCTGGCTTCCGAGTGCCCGACCACCGTGGACAGCGCCGTGCAGATGGTCTGCCCCGGGGAGAGCGCTGGCGAGGTTGTCGACCGATCGACCGAAACTGGATCTACTTTGCTGTTGTTCTACTACGAGCCCTCGGGACGCGCGCTCAAGCTTTTGTAGCTCCGCCTCCTCGTCTGCATCCGCATCCCCCGTCAAGCCAACCTCTTGCTGCATTTCGGTCAACACTCCGGGGCGCTTCCTGCGTCGGTTGCGGCAGCAACAGAGCAGATCCGTGAACCGGTCCCACAACGCAACTTTCCGCGGACCCTGGTAGCCGTAGGCGATCCACGCATAGTTGACGAAGGTGAGCAAAAACAGCATCGGGTCCAGGTCCTCTTTCAAGTTGATCCGCCGTCCCTTTTCCAAGAACGATCCCGGCAGCGCGCCCGAGAACTCCTTGCCGCGGGCCAGCGCGACCCCGCAGCGGAAGTCTCCAATCGTGAGCTCTTGTACGCCCAGGAAGCCCATCACGGACCGCTCCACGCGGGAAATATTTTTCCCCGCGACGCGATACAACTCCAGTCCCTTGCGCAGCATTCGGAACCGGGAGGGTAGCAGCGACCGAAACCGCGACCGCTCCTGCGGCGTGCGCTGCTCCACATCCTCGCGCAAAACCCGCTCCTGGAGCACCCTCCGAAACGCGTACTCCTCCTTTGGCGACTCGGTGGTGCGGTCACTGAAGCTGGCCAGGACGGCAAAAAGGACAAAGATGGCCCGTTCGATGAAGATCAAGCCGCTGTGCACCATGATCGCAAACCAACTGTTCGCGACCAGACGCACATCCACTTCGGGGTCGTGGATCACCTGCCGGTAGTCCCCGCCAACCGAGTGGTCGAGCAGCACGTAGTCGTTCGTGCTCGTGTAGAAAAGGTAGCCGCTATCCTCGTTGTGGTGCACGTAGAGCCAGCTCCACGACTTGGGGTCCGCTTTCGGGTCACAAAAGGTGAGTATCGGCTCGGGGCTCACTTCCAGGTCGTAGACGAGGAGCGCCATGTGGATCAGGCCGAAGTAGACCCGCAGTTCGACGAGGAACGGAAGACGCGCACGCAGCCCCTGTTTGTCGTGCAAGGCTCCCCGCTTGGAAAGCTTGATCAGTACCAAGTCCAGGGCAAGCATAGCAAGCAGCAGCACGAGCTGCAAGTATCCTGTGCCCCATTTGCCACCACAGCCTATTTGCAGCTGCAGGGTGTACAGATTAAACAAGGCCAAGATCGACAGACCCCAGACCGAATACGGAACCACAATCCAGAGCTCATCGAGGCTTATGAGCCCGTAACGTCGACCGAAGACTGTAAACGGCGGCATGATTAAGACTATTTTTCTTCCTGTTACTGTTTCAGTACTTATCCGTCGCTGTTGCCAATAAAACGTTTTTATCAACACCTTGTTGTCAGTCCCTCATGCAGGCTGTCCTCATTTTTGGAACTAGGTGGGTGTAGTAACGTAAGTACTAAGTAACGTTTCTTGTTTCAGGTGATCGCCTACGCAACCTAAACTCGGCTTTGGAAGTTGCGTAAAGAAGGACCTCAACTGAGGCCCTCGATGAGAATCGAGGCGGCCATTTGTTTCTTTTTTCGTTTGCTGTTCTCGCCAATAATGATGGGCGAGCTTGTAGTGCGATTTGCATAAAAACGACCTCGACAATTGTTTCGATTCCCCGTGGCTCAGAATCTTCGCAACCGCCATCTTCTCACAGCAAGCGATATTTGACGAGCGAGAGCGTAACTTGCACTTCACGATTGACGATGGCGAAACCCGATTCGATTTGGTTCGCTTCCTGCAAATGCTATCAATGACGATGCCTCTCAATGAATTCCGTACACAACGAAAGCGACGGATTCCAAAACATCTTATAGCGGTTTGAAGACGCCAACGTTTGCAACAGGAGAGGAAGGGATGGATCTGCGCCGGCTCTGAAAATCACACTGTTCGAAACACACGTGGTCTCAAGTAGCAGCAGGCAAAATCACCGTTGTAAACGAAATTCGCATCCTCCTTGTTGAATACCCTCTTCGTGTTCACTTACAAACTTCTTCTCAGAAACATACACAAAAACTGTAGCAAAAAAATGAAGCTCTGGTGCTTACTCAACGTCAACGCCCAGATCGATGGATCGTTTAAACAAAATCCTACTCCTAGAAGAAACCCGTATTGGTACGTATCCGCTGCATTTGCTTGTGCAATAGGTGCCTATCATCAAAGAAAATTCAGGCCGCAAGAACCGTCTGTCTTCACTCCTCCGATACATTCTGCCCCCCGCGTATATTTGCTAAAAACTCGCCTTTCCGTCATCCTAACAGAACCTCTGCTGTTCCTTTCTTGTCGCCGGATCGCTGGTTTTATTCCACAACTGGCACGAAGTCCGACTTTGCGTTCATCGCAAATAAATCGGCTTCCCGTTCCATCAATGACTTTGTTTGCCTCTGTCAACATCATCGTCGTTGATCCGTGAACGGCCGCAAAACCCGCCAGCCCGATTTCTCCGATACCACTCACTGCTACCTGGTCGGGAATGATCGCCAGAGGCGCTTGCCCAATGGGGCTGCGCCGCGTGGCCGCGGGAATGGAGGAGACCGGCGTGCCGTAGATGTAGCTTTCCCAATTAGCCATGGCGTTGTTAAACTGGTCGATTGCCAGGTCCACGTTCTGAGCGGCGAGGTTCGCGTAGGAGGAAGTTTGATTCGCGGCGGCGGCAGCACTGTTGATCGAAGCCATGGCTTTCACGGCCATGGCCGCCGGAAGCACGGGAAGCGGCATGGTTACCAAAAATTTTCAACAACAAGCACTCGTGTTGAGAAAAAAAAGCAATCTTAAGATCCTTCTCGTGTCTTCGTACAATTGTCACTCACTTGTCGCCATTTTCCTACCTTCGCCGGTGGAAATAATCGTGTCCGTGTTTACAACAGCACCATGCAAAGTATATCGCCTTCGAGCACAATCGTAACGAAGACTCGCTCACTTGGTCTCAAATCCCCGCTGAACCACTCGGGCCCCGACACAACGATCCACGACCTCTAGGTATCTCTAGTACTTTCTTCACGACGAGTTTTTCATTCAATCCGCAAGCACGCAAGCAAAAATCCGCGAGCACGCAACAGCGCACGGACACTGGCAAACAGAATAGGCGTCTTACTGCGCTTTGCGACGCTCTTGTACAACAGGGATCGATGTTTGAAAGTGAAACTTAGACGTCTATGATGACAGACATGATTATGTTGTTCGTGGTGTTGAGTTATCTACTATGAGCTACAGCTGAGACCAGTATTTGTTACGAAGGCGGCTGTGAAAATTGCTCGCGAGTTGTTCATTTCTTTGTCGCCTGGCAGTGCTGTTCTCAGATTTTTTCGTTTAGCAAAACTTGAAAGAAGATTAGAGCATTATCCGGCCGTACCAGTAAATCACATTTCACTTTGCTACATGAGACAGAAATCAACATGTGTCATATTTTCACGAAGTTAAGTACTGTTGCTTCCATTTTGGTCGAATGTCAGCACTCTGCTACGGCAGATCAATCCAGGTGAAGGCCTGTTTCCGGGCTGTCAAACGATGGAAGAATACTCTGCGCCGCCATCAATCTGCGAAAACCCTTCACGTTGCCGGAGTACAAATTGTAAGACGTTGCTGGACCACCATCAACGTCTTTCACTTCTGTGTCCTCCCTTACCTCCCTCATTCCTTCCTGCTGCATGCTTTGTTGCTGAATCGTGACGAGCGTGACCGGTGCGGGAAAGAAAGATGGTAGCCGATGCATGTTGTCATCTTGAGGTTGGTGATAGTACATCTCCTGTGTGGAGGACGACTTCTCTGACGATGGGGAATTTTTCTGTTCTGCATGATCCAGAGCACTACTAGTTCCTTCACCGATTCCAACTCCGATACAAATTTCTGTTAGCTCGTTATCATCGCATTCGTCCGAGGTCGGTGTTTCAAGACCGCTAGTACGACCCCCGCATTTGCTCCGCGGCCGGCGGGGCACGTCGTATTTTTTGAGCAAATCGTCCACGACTGTCGACTTCGGCGTTGTCGGTCTGATGTGTGCTGAAATTCCATCCTGCCCAGCAGCATCACGACATCCCGCAGGTACAGGAACATCATGAGCACCGGTGCTGCTACAAGAACCATACCGAATATCATCTACATACTGGTCCTGCACAACTGGTGTGGCCCCCCCTGACCGACGCTCGCTTCCACCACGATACGCAGCGACGCCGTGCTTTTGATGAAAGCCTCCCGGAGGGGTGGAAGTGGGAACCACGGGCGAAGACTCCTGCGGGTGGTCCACCGCAAACTGACTGGTCCGGGCCGGTGGACCGGGAGCCGTGTGAGAAGGTGCCTCGGCGTCACAGAAAAAGTGCAGGGGTGTTGTCGCACAACTGCTGACCGCCGTTGCAGTGGAGGGCGTAGTGGGTGCTGACCACGGTTGCCGTGGAGGAGCCAAATCGTCGACATACTGTTCGTCCCCCTTGCGTGGTCGGATCTGCACTACTTCACCTGTCGGCGTCCGCGGCGGGTCTAGCGCGGTCGCTATGAGGCCGAGCCCGAGATCAGTTCTCGCCCGCGCTTTTTGCATTGCCTCTTTCTTGCCCCCGCTGTCAAGCTCCGAAAGCCAGCGCGTGAACTCAAACACTTCGCCATCACGGTCTCGTCGCGGGGATGTAGAAGGTGCACTTGTTCTTCTATGCAGTCGCGCGTTGTTACCGGAGGTCCTCTCTGATTTTGTACTGCTATCGTCTTCTATAACCGAGATCATCCCCGCTAAACCTTGATGCGAGCGCGCGGGGGATAACACAAAACTCGGCTCCGTCTTTGAACGGGTACTTCGTGCGCCGTTCTTTTTGGCTACAGATTTTGCCTTGATTACCCGCCCGAGTCCTACCTTCGCATCTTCTGTTTCTTGCTCATCATCCGCAAAACAGAGCGTTCCGCAGTTTATCGACTGTTGATACCACTTGTCCGCTCTTCGCTCTGCGTCTCGCGAGCGGAACGAGGACATGAGCGCCAACACCGGACGCGGCGGGGGGCCCGGTCCCTTGACCCTCTGCTTCGAGTTGGACCGATACAGTGGCACTGCTGCTGACGGCATGACTCTATGATCATCCTCGACTCGGCAGGCACGATCGTAGCAGGTCTTCCACAGCGGGAAATGGGTGATGCCGTCGCGCAACTTCAGAAGCGCCGCCTGTTCCGCCTCCCACGCAGACAGCTGCACGGTCTGCAGAAAAAACGCGTAAAATTGCAGAAAATCTTGAAACAAAAGCCGATCTTGCACTCGGTTTTGCGCAAACTGTATGGCCTCGCGCTCACTGGAAATCAACAGGTCCCGAGGCTTCGGGCGCGGCACCTCAAGTTGTACCGTGGCGAGGGAAGATGCCGGCAGATTCAAAGGAAAAGAACTACAATTTGCGGCTGATGCTCCCTCTCGGGCCGCTGCTGGTACTCTCTGGCGCTCATCGCTGCAATGCTCTTCGTCCGAAAGAATCTTCTTCACAGAGTCCAGCTCGCATTCTTCGCACTCCGTCGTCCATTCTGCTCGATAGTTCGAAGAACTCGTCGCACAAGCTGTTTGACACGAAGATGCCACGCCGTCTTCATCCGTCTGCTCATTTGCAACCGCGACATTTCGCCGACAGAAAGCATCGCGCTTCTTCTCCACGTCGTTTTTGCTCACCTCCTCGTCCAGCGGGGTGATGCGAAGTTGAAAACCAGCTCCCGTGCACGGAAGCACGAAAGAGGAAGGCAGACACCGGGCGCCGCTCTCGCACAGTGTTGGACTCTTCGGCACAGCTATCGTCGTGCCGCTCTTCGGCGACTTCGTTCGCCAGGAGCGACGTTGCGGCTCTTCTGCACTGGTCGTGGGACTTTTACTTCGGTGTTTGGGTGTCGAGCCTGGGCTACTGCTGGTGTCTTGCTTTGATGAAAATGACGTCAGGCGCCTGTCTATCCAGGAACAGGGAGCTATTGTCACACTGTAATACGGCTCAGCGCTTGGTTTCGGCCAATAGAAATCAGTCCAGGCTCGCATTTCTGACTCAGCCGCGGAGTCGGAACCTGCAGATGTTGACCAAGTGGAGGGCACAGCGGCGGGGTTAGCGGAAAACAGATGACGATGAGGCTGCGCTGCGCCCACAGAAATCATTCTGCTAGCAGAGAAAGCAGCGCAGCAAATCAGAGTGAAACGAGTCATTTTTGTACAGTTTTGGTACCAGCCATCATTCAGCGAAACTTCTACAAAAGTCTCGACTCCACATCAACGTTTAACAAAGATCTTGAAAACAAAAATGCGCTACAGCTAGCTATGTCGTCGAAAAGCCACAAGCGCAACGCAGACAAACACCAAGGCAATCTTGGCATTTTTCTTCTCTTCTGGTCAACACAAGTAAATCACTGTGGGAACGAGGTTTGGTTCGACTGAGCATTTTGTATCGTCCAAAACAAGAGATCAGAAAAGCAAGCGAAACTGATTAAGTGTTGGAACGGAAAACAGAATTCATTCTGTTTTTTACTTTCATAAGGCTACGCGAAACTCGATCCACGACTGCGGGAAGCACTATGAACATTTTGGCACAAACAACACTCATGAATCGTGAGAATGTTAGTTTGGTTCTGCGAGGCCGAAGCAGACTGTCACTGCCTTTTCTTCATTAGGATATTTTCGTGCCAATCTGATGCCATTGCTAGTTTTTTCTGCGTGCTTTGTGGCGGGAAGGCACAATGTGCACCACACAAAAAGCTTATACCAAACAAGTACGTCTCGCGCGAATCGGTCTCGCCTTTATATTGAATGAGGGATTGTCGGTCTCCGGAATAATTTTTGATCGAATGAGGTCTGTCCAGTTCACAAAGCAGCAGCGCAATCTCAGCTAAGTATACCTATGCGCTCCTGTTCAATTCAAAAAAAACGAAACCAACAATGATATAAAAAACGCTCAAAATTAGTGATCGCGGACCAGTTTGCAGGCAAGAGAAGAAAAGTTCTGTCGTCTTCCACAGGACTACACTGGTGGATTCGGGATGTTTCTATGGTAATACCTAGTTCTTTGGCATCCGCGTTCCGCTGGCTTCCGTGTGTTTCGTTTCTCTTCTATCAAATTCAAATCAAAACTGCGCATAAACAGATACAGAAACGATGACAGCGCATTCATCAACTATACCTAGTGTTGAACTGCACCGCCATGGTGCCCGCAGTTACAAGAACTTACCATGTGTATCCAACACTATCAAATTTTGCTGTGGACCTATGGACGATTCTATAACTTAAAGGGGGTCTTACCCTAGTGAAGATTATCAGGCTGTAAGTATGGCTCACGTCTAAGTTGTGGCGTATGTTTTTGGTTCGCGCGATTGTCAATTGCCGAAGTACTCGAAAATTTCATTGACATAGTCGCGCATTCTTGTAGCGTACTCCAGTGTGAGTTTCGCCCGTGCTGCTGGCTTCTGAGTCTTCATGAAAAGACCTTGGACGTCCTTGATTTTTTTCTCGAGTTCCTCGTCGTGCACCGCGACGTTATCTTGCAACAGCGACTTGTACAGCAGCGACAATCCTCGGGCGCTAAAATTTGCACTCGAGCCTTTCGCAGGATGCTTTTGATAGCCAGCTTGTCTCGCTTTGCCGAGTAACAACTTGTGAACAGCGGAAAACGCATAGTAGCAGGCGGAATCAAAGCGATTTCCGGCAAGGTCTGCGTCAATGTACCCTCTAAGTTCAAGTCCGAGGGCCACGTACTCTGCAGCCTCAGCCTGTGCCGCAGCCGCGCTGTCATCTCCGAGCACAACAGCTTGCTCCTCGTCGCTTGCGTCGTCCTCCACGTCTTGGATGACCCCCGGACTCCCGGCTTGTCCGTCGCGGGGTGGTCGCAGCGCACTCGAGGCCGCTTGCTGCTCACGTCGATGCTGGCGGGCCGCTCGCCCCCATTCTTGGTACTCTTGAGAAGTTCCTGCTGTCCCTCCAGTTGCAGCTCGCGGTCGCGGATGAAAAGCATACTGATTGCGTTGCTGGTCCACCTCCGCTTGCAGTTCGTCAGAAGTGTACCGGTAGCTCTCGTCTTCCGAAAACCTTTCATAGACTTGCGTCAAGAACTTCGTGCCTTCAGTCGCGAGGGGCTCCGGAACAGACAGCTTATCCGGATGCCAATGCACGATGAGTCGGCGCAGGAGTTTCTTGTAATCAGCCGCAGAGACGATGTGCTCGTGATCCGCCAGCTGCTTCCGGAGGTTCTGCACACTTGGACTCAGGTTGCCACTTTGCAAGGGCGTCACACCTGCTGCATTCGGAGCGTTCACCAGAGGCAGTGCCAGAACGGTACTGGAAGAAAAAAACTCGTTCACCCGCTGGCCCCGGGTATTGTCGTAGTACTTGTACAGGTCATGGTGCGACAAAAATTCCTCGCTTCGCTGCTGCGCTCGATTGACGTCCACAAGCACAAGGTATGTGGCGTTCAGTACTCGCCAGGGATCATCATCTCCGTAATTCGGGTGGGGCTGCGCCGCAACAATCGTTGCGCTGAAGTACTCGTCCCTGTTCGCGTCGTACCTCACCACATGTTCTCCTTCTCGGAAAAGCAGCGTTGGGCTGCCTTGCAGCTCCACTAGATGAGGCTGCACCTTTACTCCGACACGCTGCTCCTGTCTCATCAAGCTCGGTGTTGAGACCAATTCCTGCAAGTCCCGCTTGTAGCCTTCCAAAACTGTCAGTACGAACCAGCGCGCACCCTGGTTTGTCTGAGTGCCGGCAACCCTTTCGATTGCGCCCGTTAGATCCCCCGCAATTTGCCAAGTGCACGAGAAAGACGACGCATCCAGCGATTTTTCAAGATAGAGAACGGCCACGGGTTGTCTTGTATTTCCGTCGATCAAGGACTCTTCGTGAAGATGGAAATACGTCTTCACAGGGTACACGCACACTGGCTCCCCGTCAGGTGCCCTCGCATCCAAGAGTTTCTTCTGCAGGTTGCCGACTGTTCTCACTTCCAAGTTTTGAAAAAAAGAGCGAACCTTTTTTGCAGTCTCGTCGCGAGCCGCATCATCCATCTGGGGAAATAGACCAGTTTCGGGGCCGAGAAGTGCATCCACAAACGGAAGTCGGACCTGTCCTGACTCTACGCCGCGACCAGAGACGAAGTCCCGCAACCTCTGCAAGTCGGGCGCGTCGGCGTCGCAAAAGACAAAGTCCTCGTGCAGTTCCTTCCGGAACCTGACGCTGGGATTGGTGATTCCAAGGAGCTTAGCCCACTGCGAACGAAATTGTGAACTCATTGCGGTCTCTACCTTAGCATCCAGGACCATAAATCCTCGCTCTGGTTTCTCCAACTCTTCTTTCACGGCTGCGTCCTCATTCATCACTGCTCGATAAGAGAAGATCTCAAATCCTTCCGCAACGCGAACGAGGACGCAACTAGTAGTGAGGAGCAAAATCTTCCGCTGCACCTCTGCAGGTATGTTGTGCACGTCCTTATCGTGTTCGTAACTCGAAACAAAACGCTCCCACAGGAAGAGCCACATTTGCTTCTCGTTTGGATTCAGAGCAACGCCGGGCTTAAAAATCGATGTCATGAGACGCGGAATGTGGCTGCGGTCTAGGGCTGACACACGAAGGGCACGAAAGACCTGCGGAACTCTCTCCGCAAAATCCTTATCGAGCGTCGACAGGCGCTTCTTCAGCTCCGCCGGGATCTCTTCTGCATTCCGACCAAGAGCATCACTAAAACCAGTGCAGCAAAATCTGGCATTGCTCAGCGTGATGCTATCCGGATTGTCCAAATTCTTTGAGGGAATCCAGCTGCGATCTTCCTCTTCCAGGAAACTGAGCCCGAAGTCGCCTATGACCGTTCCAGAGCTAGCTCCCCGCATTTCTGCTTCAACATACCCGAGGGCATTCAACAGTGCCTTCTTTTTGCGCGTGCACTCGTTTACGCGGCGCGGATTGCGATGTAGATCAATGTTCCAGCTCTTCGGCGCAAGCAGTGTTTGGATGTGGGCGGCTACGTCCAGCGGTCCGATCTTTACGAAGTCCAACTTGTCGATCGCAGCTCGCAGGCTGCTCGCTGCATACCTACCTCGGAAACTTTCAACACTGGCAACCGCAAGGGCCGGGTACTTCGTGAAGCAGCAATTCCACTCTTCAGGATCCCAGATAAGGTCCGGAATCGCAAAAAAGCCGCGACACTCCAAGCCAGTATCGACATCTGGTATTTCAGTGCCTGGAAGAAATTTGATGCCGCGCAACTCGTCCAAGAAGAGCTCCTCTGCGAAGGGAGAAGTTTCTTGGCCCGGCGGATCCGCAATGACCAGTCGGTCAAGGACGAACGACAAGAGGCGCAGCGAGCGCGCCGGCAGATGCTCTCGCTGCTCGGCTGAGATTTGCGTGCTCCGAGAAGCGTCGGCGATCGTTCTCGCCTCCATTGCGACTTTAGCTGGAGAAAGCTCAGTCTTCAGCTTCAGTTCGTCACGGAAAAACGCTACCCACGCATCGTCGCGCCACGGATCTGGAAGAAGATCACCGGCATCGAGACAATCTTGCAAGAGCGGATCTGACGGGTTGTAGAAGTTCTCCACTTTTCGCAGATCGCCTCCTACCGCACTTCTAACAAAAGGGATGGACCCAATATGCTTTAGTAGGTCTACGATATGTTGGCGCAATGCCGCGCCCCGGGGAGACGACGGCCTGTACTTCTTGTAGTTGTCTCGTATGTACTGCAGCCAGCTTGCAAAATGAGTACGATCTTCCTCGACTTGACTCGACCCCAGCCTCTCCAGTGCACCGGTGCTGATCAGTTTCTCCGTCACTTCCGAACAAAGCAACCCGTCGAAGCGCAATCCTAGATCGCTACTGTTCGGTGTGTGCTTGTAGACCTGGGCTTCGCGCAACTCACTGCCCACAGCTTGGATGAGACGTTCCTCTACAGTGGTCAGGTCCTTCGTCAGGAAAACGCACGGATCGGGATCTTGATGCGGAGAAATATCTGTGGACACAAGAGGGGCGGAAGCGCAGACGCCCGTAATTCTCTCAAAAAGCGGAATCTCTCGTAAAGCCGGAAGCCACGCCTCTTGCGTCGCGTCACCGTGCGGCAGCTGACAAAGGTACTTCAGTAAGGCTTGCCGCTCCGTGCGGCTCACATCAAAGCTTATCAACCGCTCGCGAGCGCCGGCATCATTAAACAATCTGCACATCCCTTCAAGCGAGCTTGTCTTCTGTCTCCAACTCTCTTCGGGGCGAACTAGGAATCTGGTTCGCTCCTGGTTTTGTACTGGAGGCTCGAACACCTTGATCAAAATGTCCGCGATTCTTTTTCCGTCTGGAGTATTCTCCGTCAAGCACACGTCGTTACTTCGCTGCCATGAAACAAGGAGCCGCGAGTGCTGCTCTGCATCTCCGTCCTGAGCCATGCCAGTTGCCGTGATGAGTGGAAGCGCCAGAACTTCATCGCACGTCAATATCCGTGCCACCTCATCGATCAGCTCTTTTCGCACTGCCTTGACCCACTTCGACGTATCTGCCGTCGCACGCACGTAGCCAAAGTTTCGGAAGTGAGCGAGATCGTCGTCATCGAAAACCAATTCCAAGCTGATATCCTTCACGTCTACCGGCTGCGTGATCCGTCCAAGTTCCTTGACCATATCAACCCTCCGGTACATCGCAGAGGCAAATCTTTCGCGCCCACGTGGCATAAAGTGAAGATCCCGGGCTCGAAAAATTCTTTCGTTTGGGTTGTGCAACCGAAGAGCCATGTCTCCGTACAGGAGGACCGGAAGATTCCCAAGATCCACCTCGTCGTGCAATCCTGACCCGCTAGCAGGTTTTTCAGGGTTCTTCATAGACGCAAGCAATTCAACAATTGCGACGCAGTCCTGCGGATTTCGCAGAAGTTCGCAATGGGACATTGTGTCTGCGTCAAGAGCAATTGTGGCTTCACCTGTGGACGCGAGGTGCCTTCTTAAAGGCTCACAGTACTTCCGAAGCGTGTCCGCAAGAAAGTGAGGGGTCAACGGATTCCCACCGAGACCCTGCAACTGCTTCTGCACGCTTTGCGGAGCCAGGCAGATCGAAAACGACGGAATTTTTCGCAAAACTCGTCGATACAGCCCGAAATAATGCGTCAGCTGGCTTCTTGTTTCCTCTGCAAACCACGTGACGGCATCGCAGTCGTAGACAGAAGTCGTAATCGGCGCCCAGTCAAATGATCCATCCGTGGCTGCGATCTCATTGCTAGCGTTTTCGCATGTCAGCTTCTCGATCTCTTTCAGAGTACGGGCCGCCGCCCGTTTCGCAAATTCCTTCAGGGTTTTCACGACACTTCTCCAGGTAGAATGATTGCTGTCTGCCTCGCCGATCGATGCTTCTGCTCTGCAAACTGCATCGCGAAGCTCGAGGAACAGCTTTTCTCGACTGCAAACCGTTTCCTGTAACTCCTCCTCTTCGATCTTTGCACAAATTTTGCTAACCTCAGTCAGTGCTTGGTGAGACGACAGCTGAGAAACATGAACTGCTGCTCGCGTTAGCGGATGTTGGCCAGAACCACTTTGGAGGTGCTCGGTTATGCACTCGCGGTCGAAGACATTGTGGCGCTCTGTTGTGAAGTACACAAGATCCGTCGGAAAATCCATGGAAATGGGGCACGTCACTTCCTTTGCAATAAGCTTGAGCACCCGGGCCTGGTCGAGGAAAATCCTTGTCTCCTTGAGCTCTGCGTCGCTGGAAACCTTTCTGGACACTGGCACACAAGGAACCTCGTGGTCGCACAGATACTTGATCGACTCGACAGCCAACTGTTTCCAGAAGGCTCCCGAGGAACTGCCCCTAGGGTAAGACTTCGGAACCAAGTCTCGCAACGCAGAAATCACTCTCGCCTGCGGCTGGTGTTCGGTCCGAAACCGTTCCAATTCCATTTCACGAGACTGCGAAGCACCGAGCTCCACCTTTTTCGCCTCTAATGCCCTAGCGTATGTGGAAAAGTCCTTCATCTGCAGATCTTCGAAGTACGCGAGGGATGCGAGGAATGCGAAGCACCAGCACTGCTGCACCACTGACTTCATCAGCATTTTGTTCCACCCAGTCTTTTCATCGATCTGAAATTTCGTGCGACTCGACACCAGGTGCCAGTGTGCGTTGACAAAGCAATCGCTACATTGATCGTCGTGGCCCTCGATCTGGAGTTCGCGGAAGCAGAAGAATCGATTGCGCCAGTGCGACTTCGAGTATCTCCCGAATTCCGGGTCACCGAGAAAGTACTCGCTTACTAGCGTTGTCCTTGAGGCTGCAGTGGACCCGACCGCACGCGGGTTCTGGCTTCGGAAGGCCATTCGAAGTGGAATCATGACGCCCCCGATCGGCAGAACAGCGTATTCGGTTTCTTTTTTGTGGTTCAGGGCCTCCCGCAAGCACTCGCCGTTGTAGAAGAGAGCTTGAACGAAATCGAGCTCCGAAGGATGGTGCTCCCCGTTTCCTGCAACTCCACTGTGTGCTGTAGTCGCCGACAAATTCCGCAACTTCATGGTCGAGAAGACCGCGCACTTTTTTCCGAATTTCTGCAAGAACGCAGCTTGCGCGGTTTCGGAATCATCACAGTGGCCATGCGGTGTCTGATCGTATAGTTCGGCGGGGCTCCGAAGCACTGTGAGATTCTCGAAAAAATCGGTGTGCCGCATTTTATCTCGGACCTGAGCCGCGACCCCATCTTGTAGGTCTTCGAAAGTTTTTTTCCAGTCCCAGAGCTTCACCAATTCCCCGGAAGATTTAATGTTGTAGATGCGGTAGCGCCGCAAGTACTTGTCGAAGAAAAAGAAGGCCTGGGGATGCTCCCCGATTTTCTGCAGCGCTTCCAATAACTTTGCCGCGTCAGCGTTTTTCGCTTTCCCGAGCTCGTCGTCCTTTGTCCGCAGGGGCAATCGAAACACCGTTCCCGTCGGCAGATCGTCAATTTTCCCTCGCAATTTCTCGAGGGGCGCCATGTGACCGGGCCAGAACTGCTGCACTTTCTGTACGGGGTACTTCACTCCCGGCCTCGATGTTTTCAGACGCTCCTTCGCAACTCCAATCCTGCAAGGGTCCAACGCGCAGAAATGGTCCGCCGACCAAAATTCTAGCTGGGGGCTAAGAATGAAGTTATTGGCCATACCGATTCCAAAGCGTCCGTCCGAGTCAAACTGCGAGCGCTTCTTGGAGGCACCGAATTTCGTAATGTTCGCGAAGTCGCTGTCCTCGAATACCGAGCTGCCGCAGATAAACACGCTGGCACCGCTACCCAGCTCGTCGATGCGCCCTTTTGCCTCTGTGCCGCTCAACTTCCGCTCATCAAGCACAATGCAGATTTCGGACGCTTTTTTATCATCGAAATTTTGCGCATGCTCGCGCACTATCGTCTCCAGGTCAATAGAGCCAGAATAATCCTCAATCGTTCGACGGAGATCGGAGACAAGATCCGCGACTTGTCCGTAATTTTCGCTTGAAGATGAAGCTGCTTCGAACAAGCCCAGGTCCATAACCTCGTCTAACTTTCGCACGCCGAGAGCAGAGGCGGTCTCGGGACTAACACTTTTGTGAACCTCGAACACTTCGGTGTCCACAGACGGGCACGCCGCTGCCACTCCTGGAGGCGCGCCCCAAAACGTCTCAGACCCGGGACGAAGCTTGTTGTCCTGACAAAGCATCGGAATGTCCGGCGCGACAACTTCGCCGTTCTGCTGCACATTTTCCCCGAATTTTGCGTACAAGTGAGCTAGTTCTGTCTGCTCGGCTTTCGAAAACCCTGCATCCCTGCCTCTTCCACTTGAGTGAATTTGCTCCATATTGACTTGCCGTTGGTACAGAAGTCGCAGAACGCCCTCAAGCTGTTTCGATGTGCACTGGTGGGTAACGCCGAAAAGACCGCCCCACACTAATCTGTCACTTTCAGGGACGCCACAGATTGAGTAAAGGTGTGGCCGAAAATTTAGATCAGAAAGGCTGCAATTTCCTGGGCACGCCAAGGCATTCGTGCCGTCCCGTTCCGTCACTGGAATGAACTCCAACATACTGAATTTGCTGACGCCGCAACTACTTGCGATTTGACTCATCGGGACGCCGTGGTGCACGGCCCTGGTGATCTGGAACAGTGAACTCATCCGTTCACTGTGATCGAAAAACTCCGTGTACAGGTTGCTGGATAAAAATGAGTACAGCAGGTCGGCGCGCAGATGAACTTGAAGGCCACTACCTCCCACGACGTGCCGGATTAATGCAGCAGTAGCTTTTAACGTCATGTTTTGGACGACGAGATCTGTAGGTGAAGAGATTGAGACCGCCGCCTGATCACACATCCGCTTCAACGCGCAGTCCAACTCATGGTCGTGCAAGAAGTGTCTAAACGGCTTCTGCCGGTGGACCGCATCAATAACACTGTCATCCGCAGCAGCAAAGCTGCTCTGTGGCAAGAAATTCTCCAAGTCACGATGTTGTGCAGGCCGCAGTAGCTCTTGTGGTGAAACGAATTTCGACCTGCCATCTTGTCGACGCGTTTCCAAGACAAAATTGCGAGGCAAGACGATGCCACAGCTGTCCACGGATTGTAAAATCAAGTGTAGAACCGTTCTTACCGTCGGCAAATAACTGGCATTTCCATTTGCTTGACCGAGTTGACAATGCCTTGTTTTTTTTTGTAGCAGTTTCGTCTCGTCCTTCAATAGTACGTACGTTTAGCTGTTTCACACGTTGTTCTTTGTTTACTGACACATCAAAACTCACTCCGTGGAAACGGGTCTTCACGCTTTGTGATTTGCTGGGATCAGGTATTATCAGTAAAAAAAGCTCAGGTACCTGGGAAAAAAAATTTCCTCCGCAAACTTCTTCAGGCTCACTGTGGCAAGGTCCATCAGATCCAAGAGGTTCTGTCTATGCTCGATCGGTGGCTGAAAGATGGGCTTGTCCTGGCCAAGCAAGACAAAGTCGGAGCGCAGCCCCGAATCTTGCGCGACGCCCTTGCTTTTCCCCTTTCCCTTCATTCGAAGGCGAGCTGCCGCAGCGTCTTCCTGGAGTTTAAAATGGAGGAAATGATACTTGGCACCCGTGGTCTCTTCGATAATCTTTCCAGAGCTGTCAACATCGGCACTTAACGCAAGACACGCACGCGGCTCAAAAACTCCGATCCTTCCCATCGCACCGACAACTGGCAAGACTTGGGTGCACTTGATTTTCTCCTTTAGGGCGTGCAAGAATAGCACCCATTCTTCTTTTTTGATGAGCTGCGCCGGATCCGGAAAGTAACTCCAAAACCGGCGCATGTCATTCGTAAGGCCAATTTGTAGCTGCTCCTTAGCCATCGCCGTTTTCTTCAGTCTATTTGCTTCGGTTTTCAGAGCATGAGCAACCAGTTCCGGGAGAGCTTCGCCAACCACAATTTGATTCCATCTCGCCCGGGCGTCTTTCCTCTTTAACTTCACGTGCTCCGCGATGTTTTCTGGAAAGTACAAATTCTGGCGGTTCTCCAAAACCGCAAACGAGGCATTGAGCTGGAAGGGCAGCCCTGTTTTCGCAAGCGGCAAAGGCAAGAAGTTACAGACAGCCGATTCAAAGGAGTTGTTGTCCAATCTGAACGCGACCCCGACTATTGGCAGCTCTCTTGCTTTGGTAGCGGCTTCCACTCGCTCTTCATCGGTCAAAACTTCGAAATATACCAGTGCTGAGACACTGTACTTCGTCGCGCCGGTGTAAGATGATACTTCAGGTCCAGCTCCAACCGTATTTGCAGGACCAAGTTCTTTTACTTCAGCGGTGTACTTGAAGGACTTCACTCCCGTAAAGTTGTTTTCCGCAGCCCACTCGCTGTCAACCGCCTCATGGAGCTCATCGTAAGTCTCGAAGTTTTTCAACGCCGCGAAGACATCCGCGTACGTGCAATGCCCCCGGCCTCGGAGGGAGCGACCTCCACTACTCTCTCTGCTTGCGGATGCGCAGCGGCCTGACGACGAACCATCCTCCAGTCGTTGGCGTTTCGGAGACGAGGACATCGGGCGAGAAAGACTAGTACCATGAGCAGTAGCTTCAGTTCTTTGCTTTCCCGCTCCTGTGTCAGCTTCTCGCGGACTCAGATTCTCGACATTTTCATGTGCGTCACCGTGGTCGTCAGGTTCATATCTGAAAGTCGTTTCCAGGTTCCAGCGACCGGAGCATGCAATCGCCAACCGCTCCAATTTCATCGGCGCATGCAGGAGACGCTCGGCCATCTTCTTCGGCATTTCACGCAGGAATTTCTCTTCCTTGTCCACCTGCAGACAGCCGAACTCCGCAAATGCTGACGCATGACTATCCTTGCGAAGCGGTAAAATAAAGCGCGTCCCTCTTCTCGCGGAGGGCAGGAGCAGGACTCCTTCCGCGGACAACAGCTCCTCTGCGTCAACCAGCGGGACCCAAATCTTCTCATGGAAATCCTTGCCAAACCTCACTGCCATTTGACTCTTGCCGAGTTCCCGAAGACGTTGCCGGTCCTTCTCCTTAGTCAAGTCGTGGAGAAAAGCCCTGTCCGCCACAACCAGCTCTAGCGGGTCGGTTACGTACACCATGTGGCCAAACACCAGGACAATAACGTCACTGAAATGGAAGAAAGACTTCGCCCCACATCCTTTGCTGCCCAAAGTGGTTGGCTTGTCGCTGTTTGTGGAATTGATAAGTCACACGAAAGATCCAGGTCTACCTCGATCGCGTTCGGGCGAACCACGCGCAATGAACCAATTGTGATTCCGCTTCCGAACGCGTGAGCGCTCCAAGTACAGCCTGAACCTGTAGGACAGTAAACAATAATGAGTCAAGCTTCCGAGCACGGAGTGGGAAAAATTTATATATACTTACCCCTTTCCGCTGTCCTTGATACGTTCCCAGCTGTCGAGATCCCCCAGAGTGAACTCTCCGTCGTTCCAAACTACGAGGCTCGCGTCGTGCAACTCCATGCTGAATTCGCGAGCACCGGCATCAACAGGAAAAATCCCCCCTCCCCATATCAAAACGAAACTGCTGATGCTAGATTTGCGTACACAAATCCGATTTGTCTTGCAGTAAGGCAGCGCAGCCAGATCCTCGGCCTAAGTAGGGGCGTTCGGGTCTAGTTGCTTAGCATTACAAACGGCTGTCCCCTAGGCGCAACAGCATGCCAAATCGGTTCCATAATGGTATCGAAGCTTCTGCGCTTGTTTTCTTGCAAGACAGACGCGACTTGTGGTCTCAAATCAGCAACACAAATTTTCGGAAACATACTTTTTCGATATGGGGAGGGGGGATTTTTCCTTACAATAGCCGGCATCCGACGCGTTCTGGAGAAACTCCTGGAGCACATTTTCAACCGTGCCCGGGTAATCCCGAAGAATTCCGGCTATCTGCTTCCCCAACGAGGGGACCTTCATGCCCTGACCAATATCATACGACATGGTGACGACGCGGGAAAACGAAAACGAAAAGGGGGTCCAAGTGGTAGAGTCGTAAATGTAAAACGCAAGTTTATGGAATGGGGATATCGTTAAACGGAAGTGTATCTAGTCTTCGAACAACTCGTTATATCAAGTAGGCGAAAATCGTTATGTTGTTCACTGAGCAAGTGATGGTTGAACAACATGCGTGGAAAACACTCCGAGAAAGGAAGCAGAACCTTATGCGATCCGAGAAACGTAGTGAAGTCCAACCAAGGAAGGATCATCAATAAAAAAAGAATGGCACCGCTCCTAGAAGACCTTGACCAATTTTTGTACTGTCTTTCTTGAGCACCGCTCGTAAAAGACTTTGACCAATGTATGATCATTTCTGTTGGATCCCAAAGAAAAACGCTTCCAGATTTTCAACAGGGTGATTTTTGATCTGTGATCACATCGCCTTAATCAGATCCAGTTTTACTTTACATCAGTGTGCATCCGAGAACTCCTCCGCGGCCGCCATAGCAGTTTCGTGTCGACAAGTAGCACACCGGTTTGACTCCCATTCGCGGAGCTGACCCACTCCCAGAGCGAAACTAGCGAACGATTTTACAAATTTCGCATCGCGCGTTGAATGGCACTGCCATACGAAAACTGATCTTGTTCATTTCTAGCTCCACTTCCCGAAACCTGTTGAATCTTACATTTGATTCGACTGCAGCCGAGCTGAAGGATGTCTTGGTCCAAAACCTCGTGCGCGCCCGACTCCTCGCGTTCCGCCGAAAGGCGGCAACTGGTGCCGTTGCTGCTCCCGAGGTCCGTCAGTGTCCAGGAGCAGGGCGGCGAGTATTCGATGACCGCATGCTGGCCGGAAAGCGTCGAGTCCCCGCTCAGCGCGGGCAGGTCGGCAGACAGGTATCAAAAGTAAAAGTGTCCGGGTCTGGAAGATTGCAACTTGTGATGCTAACTTTGGACGCTAAAAAAATCTGTATTGCATGACCAGCAAAAGGAGTCCAGTTTGTGCTACGCGGACAAGGGATCTCTCATGCGGAAGGCGCATCAGGAAGCCCTCTAAAAGTATGTGATGCTAGGTCATGCATTACAGCCATCATGGGTCATGAGAAATATGCATGACAAATCTCGCAATCTTCCCGACCCAGACAACATTGTTGCATTTGATAACAGGCGGCCGAGGACAAATCTCCCCGCCCCCGCGGGCACGGCGATTTGCTTCCCGGAGACCGGGCCCTCGTAGAAGAAGAGCTCGCACTTGTCAGAAGTGAGTTCGCAGACCACGAATTCCGACTCGCTAAGCCGGAGAAAAAGCCCCTTGAAAAGCGCAAACTCGCACTTCGGTTTCAGGAACAGGAACGTCCCCGTGGTACTGCCGAGGTCTTTCACGAAAAATTTTGTGACGCTGGGTCCCGCCCGTTCTTGCTGAGGTGCTCTGAAGGGATCAGAAGGTGGTCCCCCTTCCGTCTCGCTGTCAGCATCCGCTCCTTCCGCGGTCGTTTTGCTGAAGAAAACGCAGTGCAATCTGCTTACGCCAGACTCTGGGATTACGAGCGTGTTTCCGGCGGCGTTTCTCCCAAGCCGACACTCTGCACCATTCGGCTCGACGATGCGCGTGGCGCCTTCCGAACACCCGTCCACCACAGTGAGGGACAAACAGTACCTGCGCTCAAACTGATCTTCGCTGTTTCTGTCAATGCCGGATGTCGTACCAGAGGACAACATCATTTATTCGCCGCAACTACTGTCAATTTTTCCGGCTTATTTCGCTTTCGCAACCGCAAGGGCGAAAGATAAAAAAATTTCAGCAAAAAACAACGTCTGTGTACGAAGTTGTTCCTATTCCTAATACCTAGCCACGGGATCGATAAGCGCAAAGGCGCCACAACAGAAGAAACAAGGATGGAACGAAACGACTATAAAAAAACTTCACTCTGCAATTTGATGGTCACTGGAAGGCTTTCGCTGTTGTCACGTCTCCAACTTTACGACGAAATTCTCTCGCGAGTTTTCATCCAACAGGAAAACTCTTCCTTCAGTGCCCAATCTTCTAGCACCTCTTCGGCCTGTACTAATTGACAAAGCTTGATAAGTATTGAGCAGCAACTAAACGAACATTATTTTTCCGTCCAAAAAGGCTGCAGCTGTGGACACAGCTTTTCCTCCTGCGACACAACAAAGTCTGACATTTTACGTGGTTTGGTGGTTAGAGTAGTTGCTGCCATTTTTCCCATGATCTTCTGTTCGCCAAGAAGTGCGTTGATTTGATGCTCCGCGGTAATATTCTCGTCATACACCTAATCGTGGCGTGCAAAAGGCTATTTTCAGAGTTTCGCTTCCTGCTCGTGGATATTCGTTTGCAGGCGGTTCTCTTTCCCTTTAAATTTCAGACTCTGATGTTCATTTGCGACCCTCCTTGTGTTGCTAAATCTAGTCTGCTCTTGTGTACTAGAGTCCCATTGGACCTCTTCCTATCCCAGGTCGCCTCCTCCGATGTACTACATCATGCTAAGTACTATGCTGCCTCGACGTACAACATTCGCAATGTTCTTAGCTGCAACACACGATAAAATTTACGCCGGCTGCGCTATTGTAGTAATTTACGGGGGCTCTTGTCGTGGTTTTACATCATAGAAGCTGTCATGGTGAGAATAGCGTAGCTAATCTTTTTTGGTCGTGTTCAAAAATAGTTGGTGATGACCAGAATCACTCCTAAACATCTGGAAGAAATTTTGGTCGTGTTAGAACGACTAGACTCTTCTCATTCTCCTTCGTTTTCGACTTCGTCCAAATCCCAATGCCTCTGTTACAATTTTTAATCGTGCAGGGGATCATCAAAATACGCGGTCATGCCCAAGCATAAGTTGGAAAAATTAAAATTGATGTAGCAAAATAAACCATGTGTTGTTCATCTTATGGATTGCCATCAACATCTCCATCCAACTAGTAGTAGGCCGTCGGTGAGAAAATCAGAAACTAGCGGTACTATATCTCGTTCTTGTTTTCCTTTTTCGCTTCGGTATAGCATATTTCCTTTCTTCTTTCTCTATGGCTCGAACCATTTGATGACGCTGATGTGATTGATGTTCTATAGTTCTTGGTCTCAAACAGGCGGCGATGTATAGTCTATCTGCTGGAAAAGAAAATAGTCACAGTGTTTTTCAAAAAAAAACCTGTTACCTTTTCTTGAACTGTTTTACGGAAAGGATGGACGAAGATTGTAAACCAAACTCTGTCCTCGTCCCCTCGTTTTTCTACTGGGATAGGTTTGTAGTTGACGCATAATTGTTTATTGTTTCACTCTAGTTCTAGTATACAATGTGAGCTTGTACAACCAAAAGTCTGATTCAATTCATCGATTCTGCTCGATTTGATGTGTTGATATAGTCTGAAAGTAAAAACAATGCACACGAATGATCTGCTGATTGACGAGTAAAAAAAATCATCTTGGCAACCAATAAGTAAAATCGCTCCACCGCTATAGAAGTTCTTGTATATATGGTTTGATATTCAATAGATCGAGTTTCGACAAGGTTGATAAAGTAAAACTAGGATTTTGTTCGATTTTTCCTACTACAAAACGTATACTCTGGTGTTTTCGAAAACCATCAGTTTTCGAAATTCTAATTTCAACGACGGATTTGAAACGAACGTAACATTCAAACCGTCTGATGATAGATAATACTTTATCCATGCTGCTGGCCGCCGTGCGCCATGACATGCTGCTGATTCGGATCCATGCCCATTTGTTGCTGCGCATTGGTCTGATTCACCCCCATTTGCTGCTGACCGTCGGCTGCGACTTGCGCGTGCTGTGCGTTCTTCGGGTGCACGGTACAGTAGTTCCCGGGAAAGTACCCCTTGTTGCCCAGGTTTCCGTGGCTCGCGTCTTCGAGAACGGATCCGATCCACCAGCCGCAATCGTGGCGGTCCTCCACTATAATCGTCTGCTCCGGTTGGAAACTAATATACGGTCGGGTCGTTTCCGGTTTTGTGTCGAATGGGTATCTGTGGTGTGAAAGAAAATGATTCGCTATCAATCGGGAAAAAAATTGAAAAATCTTTTTCAAGGATCATGCTATGTCGATAGTTAGATGTATGCCGCTGCCAAACCGCAACAAATCTTTGAGGGACTCATTCAGTCATCCCTGCCGCCGATGCAAAGCGGCTGTGACAATTTCGGATGTACAAAGCTTCGCTGGCTAGAAATTGAAATACGCAAAAAAGATGTCGACGGAAAACATTAAGGGGTATAATAAGTACACTGTGGTGACGAGGTCGAAATGGCAGCAGCTCGTGGGAAACCAGCCCTGCTGCTGAGTGGCAAGATCTTTTCCGAAGCTCCATCCGCTGCCGTTGCTGTCGTACAGAATCACTTCGATCTGCTGATTGAGGTCTGGCGGGATCGCCAAAAACTGTTGGCCTGCGTTGTATTGCTCTTGCTGCGGGGAGTACGGGAGTTGCGGCTTGACCTGTACAGGTTCATATTTCATTCTTCCACGACTGCACGAGATCTATTCATTGCAACTTCTGTTCTTTTTCGGCCCGTTGCTGAAGGACAAAAACTACCGGTTCTGACTCCTGCAAATATACTTCACAGTTCTCGTGCAGGTGCATGCAAAAAAAAAAAAATGAAAAAAAACATCAAGGTCAATGGACGGAAGCTTGTACTGTGATGCGCTGCAGTTGCTCTTGTGCAGGTTGGGGCTGCTCATACTGCTGCTGATTGTAGTGGCCTTGTTGTTCGTGTGCCTGCGGCTGCGCCTGCTGGTTGTAATACCCAGAGTAGTGCTGTTCGTAACCTGAAATTAGTTGGAAGCAAACAACAATAGAAAAGCAGCAGAGCTTTATTTCGCAGCGTTCAAACGGATAAATGAGATGAACTTGAACAATTCGTAAGATGCAATAAAAAACTCGACGCCCGGTTCAGCCATCAGCACCAGGATCAACAATCGACTGCATCAATTAAAGGAAAACGAACACATGAAGTCTGACCACAAGAAGTCCGATTCTACTTGCTGATGATCGATATAGTACCCTGCTGCTGCAGCTGCTGCGGTTGTTGGTGCGCCTGTCCTCCCTGCTGCATCTGCTGCTGGCCTTGCATGTGCTGCTGATGCTGCTGCGTTTGGTCGTAGCCTGCATTCGCCTGGTGTCCATTTGGGTCCATCAAACTGTTCCAGCCCGACATGCGGTCCGGACTGCTGTAACCGTTGTTCATTCGTGCCTGATCGTGCTGCTGGTTGTACTGCTGCTGAGCGGCGTTGTTCATCTGTGGGTTCACATTTTGCTGTTGGTTCACCGGCTGCATCGCATTCTGTTGCTGCGCAGCGGCCACCTGCTGTTGAGAAACCGGCTGCTGTTGCTGCTGCTGAGAAACGACCTGTTGTTGCTGCTGCGCTTGCTGCTGCTGGACAGCGGCCTGAGGTTGCTGTTGCGCCTGCTGCTGCATTGCGTTCGGCTGTTGCTGTTGACCCATGTTAGTGGCAGCACTATTGTTTCCACCTTTATTTGCGTTGGAAACCTGCTGTTGAGAAAGTTGCTGCTCTTGCTGTTGGGAAGCTTGCTGCGCGTTCGAAGCACGGTCCTTGTGGAAGGGAGAAGTCGATTGCTGAGTATTGTTGTAGGAAGATCCTCCGTTCGCGGAAGCGCCCTGTTTTGCGCCAGCTTGGTGGTAAGTATTCGCAGAACTGTTGTTGCCGTTGGTGGCTGCAGAACTATTGTTGTTGCCCCACCCGTTGCTGGAGGTGTAATAGTCTTCTTTAGCGGAGCTGTCAGCCGTCGTCGTGACAGAGCTGCCGGTCGAAAGATCCTTGGTACTCGACGCCTTCGTGGAGTTTTTCCCTGAGTAACCGTCCGTTTGCGTCGGACTTTTCGCTGCCGATTTCTTGCCACCTGTTGCAGAAGTTTGTTTAGGTGAAGATTTATTTAATGGTATTTTTCTTACCGAGATTCTTCTACGTTGCCTCTTCATTCTGCTTCTCTCGCATGCATCAGAAACCCTTCATCCATTGAGAATATTTCTCACAAGCAGGAGCTTTACTGTGAAGTTGTGCAGAAGTAGGAGTAGCTAGCTTTGGAAAACTATATAGTATATACCTTTTCCAGTGGTCGTTGGCTTTGTCGTCTCCGGTGCGGGTTTTTCTGCTCTTTCCGGAGGTTTATCTGGTTCCTGCGTTTCCTCTGGCTCCTCGACGCTGTCGGATGCGGTCGATAACGTTTCTGCACCTACTTTGCCGCTCCTGAAATTAATCCATGGATGCGTTTGATTATATACGTAAATTTCTTTTTGTTTTATTGGCTCCGCTTTCAATTCGTAATTTGTATCTTTTTACCATTTTTTCTGAAATAAATGACCGGTCAAAAACTCAATGCGCAGAACCGTCCACGCATTCGTTTGTTGTCGTTCATGAAAAGTTGCAGATCATGTTGAAAAACACCGCAAATAAATGCATACTTGCTAGAGCCCTTGGCATCTTGGTCCGGGTCCGCTTCGACTCCCTCTTCAAGCAACTTATCCAATGCTTTATTGACGTCCCAACCGCAATTGCCACTGTTTTTTTTTTTGAAAAACATCAGACTCAACATCATTTTTCCGACCTATTTCTGCCGAAATCCAACAGAAAAAGATTAAGATTAAGAAGTTAAAGTTGGCAGGCCAGAAATAGTAAAACACAACAGCAAATTTCAGTACAGCACGCGCTTGCACTGCTTCATGCTAAAGCCCATGGCGCAAAGCTCCGTGACTCGTGAATCCTCTTGCACACCCCGGGAAGGCTGCTGCGGAGGTGCGGTAACCGTAACCGGCTTTTTTGGGTTTTTGCCACCGGCGCCCCGGGAGGGTGCTTCTGCCTCTGCTCGACCCGATGGTGCTCCACTTGAAGACTGTTCGCCTCCCTTACCGCCGCCTTTTTCTGTTAAGTATGTCGTCGTGATAAAGGCTTTCTTATTTTCTAGCGGAAACGCTGGGATTATGGTATGGATTAAACATGGCTTTATCATCAATAAAGAAGTCTGAGCAGACTGGGTTCCATCAAGTCCGTGTAGTATGCCTATGCTTTGTAAGACATGATGGCGAAAAATCAATGAAGCCAAGTTATACTTCCGCCAAACTGCGATAAGTCCCGCGGTGGGAACGACCTTTTGACGTCTACCCATTTTCCGCTGATCTGGTGCCCGTAATCGTTTTTGTTCAAGCAGCGTTCTACCGCCTGCGACTGGTGAAACGTGATGTAGCCGAAACCCCGCGCGATGAAGAGTTCTTTCCTGTCAACTGTCCCATACTGCTCGAAATACTTCATTATTTGGCTTTCCGTTGTCGTCTGCGCGAGTCCGCCCACGAATATTTTGCACGCTGGGTCTCCGTCCTGTGAACTTGTTGTGTCGTGTTGCTTTCCTTTGCTGTTGTGGCCGGCAGAATTACTCTGCCCGCCTCGGCTTGAATTATACCTGAAAATTGAATAAGTTTGGAAATGAAGACAAACAGAAACCTGCACACGGACAAAGACGAGCGACCTGTTGGTAAAAGGTAGGTAGGTAGATTTACTCAACTACGAAGTCATGATCATTCCAGTACTGCTTGTGCTTGTGTTTTTGAATTTGGAGTTGAACAAAATACAAAGAACGCAAAAAAAAAAAACAATACTTCGACATGATGTCACGTCGCGATCGAAAAAGAGTCGTCAGATGCTATTCCTTTCGGCTCCCGAATCAAAGCAGCATAGGAAGAAGATGGGGAGTCATGCAATGTTTGCGGTCCGTTTTTGCAAGAAACACAAAGAGATAAAGAGTTTTATCACTTACACTATACTGAAAATTCTCTTTGGTGCTACAACTATTCGAATTCTCATGGGGAATAGGATGAACTTTATTTCTCGTAAGGACCCTCCAACGAAGAAAAAATACTGACACAGAGATACGAGCTCTCGAAAGAACTCGACCCCTGCTATAGATATAAAATGTAGCTCTTAAAAACGCCGTAAAGTCGGCACCTGAAGAAGAATTGATGTAATACAAAATGGGCGCTTACATAGAATTGGACGTCGTCGGTACTACTTAATATTACGCAATATTTATGTTGCGTTGCGGAGGATTTTTTCATGAACAAGATTGTGATTGAAGATCTGGAACAAGATTTGACTTCATTTGCCGGTACCGCCGCATCGGAACGATTTGTATTTCAAACGGATCCTTTTTTTCTCGACAATTATTTTCCATGCTGTCGTGTATCTATGCGTTGTAGTCCTAATTTCGTAATCGTATCATGATCTTCAGAATTTGCTTCTTGTCTGTGTCTGTCAGTCCTTGCTCTGCTCTAAGGGAACATCGGCATGCGATATTTCTGTTCTCCTGATGCATTCATCGCACCGGTCCAAAAGGCGCCAAAAATATTTTTCTGATCTCCATATACATCACGACTCCTGTCGGGCTTGAATCAATCAATAGGTTATTTCTTGCGATGCGTGCGCGTCGTGTAATATTCTGTGATATCTCGTCTGCTTAGTATCCTTTTCTGGTGACACTGCGGCTACGTATTGTTGTTAGTTTTCTGGCGTTCTGAGATACTTGACCATAAACTTTTCTCTTGGGCACCACCACGCTGTTGATTCACAGGCAGCCCACGAGGACTGTGGACCATTCACAACAACTTCAAGCACATTTATCCCCGTGCGGGATGGGGCTCTGTAGTAGGCACAAGTATTTCGCTTTGCGCTTGCCTCTCCCACTGCGCGCCTAGTCCACCTGTGAGGGAACAAACAGCAGCGTTCAAGAACGCTGGGGCAAAAAAGTTCGGGGAAAACTGCAACGATCTAGCACTAGCAGTGGCAAAGAACAACCGTGAACATACAACATGATATGATAACAGACACTTCGCAAACAAAATGTAAAAAATTCGGCAAAACAACAGGCGATGAATAAAAATTCGGCAAAAATGCAAAAAAATGACGCTTAAAATCCGTACCGTTTGACGTTGACAAGCATCCAGGCGAGTCTATCGCTCGTAGTTGCGCGGCACAATCCTGTGTGTGAGTCGAAAACCTTCGACTTCTCGGCTTTAGCCCCTGTTTTGTGTAGGTATTTCAATGGAGTCTGTATCCACTTTATCCAATTTTCGGCCCCCGGGCTTCGACGAGATATTCATATATACAGTCTGTCCGATGTGCAGAAGTTGTACTACAGCTGCCACATTTTTGCGCACGTCTGCCAGTGAAGGTCTGCAGCGATTCTTTCACATCCTAGAGACCCGAGGCGAGCACAACAGGGCGAATGAAGAGATTTGTCCCTCCTATAATTTTCATACTCAATCGTAAGTCTATGGTGAAAGTCGAGCAGGAAAATGGAATGTGAACTACCTACCATGGAAGCGCTCCCAGCCCCCGAGCGCGCTGCTGTATAATTTGCGACGCCAAACGTGCCAAGAATCGGGCTCCGACACCAAGCCGCCCGCCGTGTGCTTCAAGAACAAAATGAAGGTAGAGCGAAACGAAATCACAATATTAAATGGCCACTCGGGATCGGGAAGATGTAACAATATCATCTTTCCCGCGAACCACGTCGACACCAAAAGCAGCAGCAGCGACCCTCCGCTAACTGTAGCGCGACGTGCCAACAACCGGCTTCCTCGGTGGGGTACGAGACCGAGATCGCGAACGACCACGACCTCCAAAATGTCCGCTTCCGTAATAAGGACCTCCTTTTATTCCATAGCTTTTATCGTAAGGGCCGTCATACCCGCCTCTGTGCCCGCCCTTGTAGCTACTGTCGTGGTCCACCCTATCGCGCTCCCGATTGCGCTCACGGTCACGGTCACGGTCCCGATCCCGGTTGTCATAGGTCGAACTCTCTTTGACAGCTCGGGGAGAGCGGTCCCGGTCGCGTTCTCGCTCTTCGTAGCGATCGCCCATGTGGCGGTCTCGGTCTTCGTAGCGGTCGCCTTTCAAGCTATGAAATTGCAAAAGAGGCGGGGGTGGCCCTGGAAACAAGAAAGCGAATGATTCGCTTTCCTCAACTTCACTTTATAAAAACCTTTATCTTCAAATCGACTTTGCGGCTGCTGTAGATGTAGTCGATGCCAGCTGCTGCACATCTGTGTTCGCAAAAGAACACGCAGCGACAGACAGTCTGATTAACTCAGACAGGTAGCCGGTATGATGTTGCACTTACTGTTTGATTGATATCATAAACGCAACCGCAAGGTGGATGCAAGAATCTTAAGATTTCTCCATCTTCGTTCTCTTAGGTACTATGCCAGTTCCAAGATAAATTCTCTTTGGCAGCGGCGCCATTCGCGCTTGCCGATGCACGGCAGGTTAGTCGGTTATGCCGTCGCTCATAGATAGTATTATTGAGGACCACGGACTTGCTAAGTATGCTAAAGAGAGGCTAAGCTGTTCAACCAGGACCCTGACCCGAATAGTATTCGGGTTCGTACCCCTTGTAGGCGTAGTCGTAGTAGCGGTCCTCGCGGTCTCCCTTGTAGCCACTTTTATTCCTATCGCGGTCATCGTAGTAGCCCCCGGGCCTTCCGCCCTTGTAAAAATCGTCATACTTGCCCTTCCCCTTGTAAAAATCCTCATAGTAGAACCCTTTGCCTTCGTAGCGGTCCCGGCGGGCTCGAGCGCGTTCCCGCTCCTCCCTCGGGTCCAGTCCCTTGCCCTTGCAATACTGCTCGAAGCACCACTTCCCGAACTCGCGATAAAACTCCGCCCCGGGCTGAAAATCCATGTACTTGTGTCGAGCCTGGTCGCAATAGCCCCGTTCGTTTTCCCACAGCTCCTCATACTCGCGGGCCATAAACAAACCGCGCAACAACATGCGCTTTCCAGACTTTGGGTCATCCTTACTAATATCGTCGTTGCGCTGCTCCACAATACTCGAGATGGCCTGCATCTGTAGAAAATGGGAAAAAGACATCATGTCAGTGGAAAGACGAGCGGAGATGAACAGTAGACCACGCGACGCTGCGGCTATCCGAACCGAGCATGCCAACAATGAAGCGCCGCGCGCAGCGTTCACATCCGCGGCAGGAGTGCGCATTTACAGGGACAAACGACCTCCCGAGCTCAAGAACGAATCGAATATGGATTCCAAATTCTACAGCCTACCTGATTCGAAGTCGAACCACGGCGGTGTGGCATTAAAAGTGCGCTAAAAAGTAAGCGCCTTTTCGGAAGAGGAAGAGCAGCCGGGATGTGGATGAAATCTTAAAATATAAAATCTCAATCGCGGTTTCCCAAACACAATCTTTACCTGCTGCCAATGCATTTTGGTGGGTCGATACCCCGGGTGGACTTTCAGCCACAACTTGGCGTACTCTCGGAGTTTTTCGTGTCGGGTGGTCGGCCCCGATCCGGCCTGCTCCTTCCGGTCGGCAGCCTCGTTGCGGTGCTTCTGCCGTTCGGTCCGGTGCACAGTCGCGTTCCGTTTCCCAGACAAGGCTTGCTCAAGCATTTTCGGGTCCTTTTCCCATTCCCTTTGTTCCTTGATCCACGCTCTTTCCGCTCGCTGGTCCTCGCGAGCGAGACGGCGCTGGCGCTGCTTCTCCTGCACTTCCTGGATCCTTTTCCGGAGAACTTCTTTCAGCGAATAGCGCCCGACCTTCAACTGCTGTCCGAGACTGTCTGCAAGCAAATTTTGTACATCAGCCCCCACGCCTGGTAAAATGTCGTGAACGCCGGCTAGTATCTCATTCGAGGACGGCAAGTCCGTGTTGATATTCTCGAAGAACTCCTTCTCTTTTTTCTGATTCTCTTCGTTCCCGCCCTTCTTCAGCAGCGGCGTGTCTTGCGCGCCGCAGAAGAACCGGCGCTTGACGTCCTCTACCATCCTCACCGACATTCCCGTGTCGAATGTCATCAAGGAGATGAGGGCATTGATCAAGTCAAACCCCAGCGAGCACACCGGATCCACATCCTTCGCTGCGGGAAACCAGTGGCCGTCGATCACCCCGCGCGCTTGCGCGTCGTCAAACTCCGAGGTTGCGAGGTGGCTCAGGACCTCACACACCCCCTCTTCCACCCCCTTCTTGTTCCAGAACGCCTCCGCGCCCCTCTTCTTGCTCCTGCAATCAAAAAAGGCGCGGACTTTGTTTTTCAAATTTGTCCGATTTTCCTTCTCCATAATCTCTATCAAAGTGAAAAAAGCCCCCACCCCATATCGGAAACGGAAGATGCGCGAATTTGTGATGCTGTATTTGAGGCGTGAGGCGTAACATGATCGCTCTCGGAAGAGGTGGAACAGTCAGCAGCCCGAACTCATCGGTTTTGCCAGGTCCACAACCCCCTGGGGGTGAAATACGGGGGTGGCTCCGCGTGGCGGCGATCTAGGATCGCTACCTGGAAGAAGGAGTGGGAGCCTCTTTTCAGATGTACTCCACAAACCTAAGCCAACCACTGCCCCCGCAGTCACAAACTCACACCCGACATCGAGAACCGATGCGAGGGAGACCCCGGCAACCCTTCCCTGCGACCGAATACCGAGAGGGATAAGTGGACCCCTCAGTTTAGACGGAAGCAGAGGCATAGTCCCGGAGGGCACAAAGTGTACGAATGCTCCCCCTAGTGAAAGCCGGGTCGTTTCAGCACTATGAAACAGTGTGGCAATCAACCAAGGCGCTCGACTGTACTCAGCGGCGAGTACGAAGAGCTAGGGACGTGAGAGACACCTTCCGCGCGACATCCCGACCAGGTAACCCGTATCCCCCCGCCTCAGGGGACCGGGGACCAAACAGTCGTGGCAGCAAAATGAGCGAACCAGACAGATGACAAAATGGGCGAACCAGATATGCTGTATTTGAGTACACAAGTCGACTTGTATTGCTAGAAGGCCAAGAGACGAAGCTGCGGCCTAAATTGCAGGCACTCTGTCATGCTGTTTCCCACTTCCAGTTGCCTCCTGTCATCCTGGAGCTGCAAGGCTTTCCCACGCTAGACAGCACTACAGTCCGCATCTTTTGCCGTCTAGCATCACAAAGCTGATTTGTGACCCCAAATCTGCATCACAGATTTCCGTTTTGATATGGGGAGGGGGCATTTTTCATTGTAATACTCTCCCGGTATACTGCGCGGTCCATCCCACCGCGGTGCGCGTCTCTAGCCCGAATTCTCCTCGCCTCGCAGAGTTCCTTGTTCGGCGAATAATCAGACATCTCAGACATGTCCGAGAGCGGCTCTGAATCCTCTTTCGCTGCCGCCTTCTCAGCAGGGTGACCCGTTGGTCCTGGGTCACACCCATTCAAAATTGCGCACAGCCGCCGGCGCACTTCCATCATGGAATCCTGGGCATCCTCGTCGTCGTACGAACCTCTGCGTAAATCCGCAGTGGGGGCACCTTCCGACAGCTGCGAATCCGACACTTCCTCGGAATCCGATTCTTCGTCCTCGTCTTCATTGCTCTCACCTGCTTTGGCCTCGTCTTTCTTGCGCTCTTTCGAGGCGCGCTTGTTCTTGCCCCCCTCGGCTTCGGACTCCAGGGTTGCGTCAAAAAGCGTCATCATCCGCTTCACTTTTTCGCGCATATCCGGGTCTTCGTGCGTGCGCATCACCTTCTTTATCTTTTCGGATTCTGCCACATAGATTATCCTCTCCAGCTCCTCGCGCCACTCCTTTCCCCCCGAACCCTTGCCGGCGCCCGTCTTTCCCTCGCCCTTCCCGCCCTTCGCGTCGCCATGTTGGTAGTAGTGCTCGGGTCCCCCTCGTCTCCGGGCTGCACTGGAGGATCTTCGTCGACCTCGGCTTCTTCTCGGACCACCCGGGGAACGGCCGCGGGAACGCGGCCTTGCTTGCCGCCGGCTGTCTCCCGAGCGCGGACGCTCTCTTCTGCGGCCGGGGGAACCACGACGGGGCCCGGAAAGGAGGGTCCGTGACAAGCTACGCGAAGTGGATCTGGCCCTGCGCGCCGCAGGTGGCGGGCCGCGGGGTGCGGACACTCGGCGCCTGCTTGTCCCACTTCGGGATCTACTCCTACCGGGGGACGCGGATCTGTTGTTCCCTGGAGGTGCTCGTGGTGGGGACCGGCGTCGACCGCGGCTTCCGCTGCGGCGCCGCGGAGGACCTACTGTGTCAGGGGGAGGTGGTGCGGGGGCGCGTCCCCGCGAGTCCGGCCTTTTCCAGAACTCCTCATACCCGGCCCGCTTGTCGCGCTCCGGCTGCTTGGACGGAGACCGCGCGCGCGGGGGCTGGCGCTCCAAATCCAGTTTCGCCCGCTCTTCCACGACGACGTTGTCGTTCTTGTCCACATCCACATCCTCGTTCTCGCTCAGATCACTCATCTGATTTAAGTTGAGGAAATTTTTTTCTTTCAACCCTTCGACCAAAACGAAATCATTTCGGTATAGGTCCTCAAATCAGCGGAATTAGGCTGCTGCTGATTTGCAAAGGCAAGAATAAACACATCCACGCGTGTAGTCTACGAAGTATTCTGTGCGTGTGCTCTGCACAGTCGTCACATATCTTTTAGCAAACAAACAACAAAAGCGAAAACCATGATCTATCCACCAACGTATATATCCGTGCTTCTAGTGATAATCAAGGCTCATGAACTCTGTTTGGACTCTGCAGCTCGTTCACCGCAACACCGATTTCGCTTATCACACAAAAGTAACCACATGACAAAATCCTGCACCTGCTTTAGCTTTACCTGTTCCTAAATAAATGCTTGTCGAAGATCAACTGCAACTCCCGTCGGATCATACAAAACCACTTCAGCGCCAATGGTTGAGTAGATCAAAAACGAACGACTTGTGTGCAAGTCGCTCTTGTCGTCATAGCCGAAGCGGTCAAGCGACGTCCAATTACGCAGCTCGCGACCATGCAGCCTCTGCTAGACTGCAAGATGATTTTGACGAGGAAGCCCAGCTAGAGATCGTCGCCCCGTCCTCCGAGCCTTTACCGCTCTCAAAATGCTCGCGTGGTTAGAGCAGTCGTAGCGGCATACAGAAACTAGAATTTCCACTGCGTAACCACCAAGACTGGAGGCAATGTCTCCCTTCCTAGTTGCTCGTGGCTAAAACACATCAGATGAAGTGTCAGAGGATACTTATCTGGTCGCAATGCTTCAAAGAAGTTAGGTTTTTATTCTTCTCAAGTACAACTTCGCTTTCCCGAGCGCATTAAGGAACAAGAACCTTTTCTAAGAGAGTGTCGTTGGTCAGTAAAAAAACCCCCAGGATTTCTGTCTTCCAACGACTCGCGACAGCAAAATTGCAAACCAATGGTCCTGCGAATTTGTATTTGATGAGGTAGAAGATCAAATGGCAAGAGGTCGCACATTGAAAGATTCTGCGAGATGCAAGAAAGTTTCTGGCATCTCGCATGCCGGCACTACTGAGAAATTTCTGCTGAAAAGAATCGCTTATGACTTTATTCGGTTCACATCGCTACTTACTTACGCATTGTAAGATGCTGGGGGACCCACAGGAACGTCGTAAATGCCATCATTGATCTCTGACGCACACACAAAATCAAACTGTCCTAGTCCTTGCCGTTTCTTTAGTACAAGAAGTGCTCCACCATCGTCATCATAACCGGGCGGATGATCGCTTCTTGAATTATTGGTTAGGCTGTGCGCTGGCTCGCCAAGAAAACCGAAGGAACATCAAACTACTTCTCATAATTCTGTAGAGCTGGAGAAGCGTGGGAAAATGCCTTTTTCGTGTGCAACGAAGGAGCTCACTTCCTCCTGCCTGGTGCCGCGGCAACGGGAACCAACATAATCGCGACTTTAGTTCGTTGTTACTCACAAGCGCCAAACCAACAAAATGTGATCCGCAACTGACCCTGACTCTGTACTCTCGAGGTGAATAGAATTCGTACGCTTCAAAAAAATCACCATCAAAAGAACGATGCGCTTGAAAAAAGTGCGCAGAGCTCACGGTCATGAGTGACCACGCACGAGTAACTTCTAAAAAAACGCTTCGTTTTTTACGTGGAAATGTCTTACTTCAACTACGCTTGCTATTTGAATTTGAATTTCCGTTTTGCATTTACGTCCCTCTAGTTCTTCGACCAATAGGTTAACTGACTTTCGCTTTCCTGTCTGTGTGAGCTTTTCGAAATAGCGGACGTGGTACTGACAGTAGCTGAGTAGATACATATGAAGGATATTCAGAATCGGATCTTTCCCCGTGAAGAGAATAAACTACTGAGTTCATATTCATTGCAGAAAAAACCACGAAAGACCCTATTGAAGGTCATGAACATGATCGCGCGAAGCAGTTGCTCATAATCTAAGAGAGGTAGTGGAAAACGGCCTGACTTGGGCGCTGCATTGCTGCTGGCACATCCCGATAGCTCGCGCGCTCATAGTCTTTCAGAATATCCTCGTTGCCTTCCCGCATGCGCACGAGCACAGACGGCGGGCCCTTGGGCACGCTAACGGGCCAATCTTTCTTGAAGCGACACTCGCTTAAATTCAACTCCACGCGACCCTTGTACCTGGCATTTGTGTAAAGTACGTTTGATGTTTCGCTTCATCCTCTACTGCGATTTTTGATCTCGTAGCAGTGGAAACGCGAGAAGGGGCAAGAAACTAGAACGCACAAAAAAAATGTACTTTTGCAGACAAGTCTCAGTCTCTACAACAGTAAATACTTACCCCAGCTGCGGCGTCGCTGGCAGTTTGATCAAGAAGTCTGGCTTCAGCTCCAGCGGCGTGTCATTCTCTGCTTCCTTCTCGTCCTCGCCATCCTTCGCGCCACTCGCTTTCTTTTTCGGCGACTTCGCGCACCCGCACAAGCCGCCCACATTTTTTGCCAGCTGCACTGCAGCGTTGTCCATGAACTCAAACGTTTTGTCCGCCTCTACCCGGATGTTCTTGTCGCCGACGCCCCGCAGGGAGACCTTCGTGGGCCCGATCGGGTAGTCGTTCTTCCACTCCCCGGTTATGGTGGAGCCCCGGAACTGCATGCCCTCGAACTCGTAGTCCTGAATTTGCAGCGAGCCCGGGCCGTGCCGCATGCCGTTCTGGAGTCCACCCTTGTACTTCCCGAGTTGCGTGACCAGCGTCCCAGTCTCGCCCTCCCACCTCCCGTCCACGATCGGTCCGTCGTAGGAGTGCTTGGCGCCCTTGATCGACATGAACTTGCCCTCAGTCATATCGTAAGGAAAAATCCCCCCCCATATTGACGCGATACATTTTGTGTTGCTGATTTGTGACCACAAATCGCATCTGTCTTGCAAGAAGGCAACTCCACAGACTCCGCCGTATTATGCAGGCGGTTTGTCATGCCGTTGGGCCTACAGCGCGGACGTTTTTCATGCTAAGCGCCTAGGCAAAAACCTCTCTCCTCAGGCTCGATAGGGGCCTGCAGTCCTCTCCAGCAACACAAATCTGATTTGTGTACGCAAGTCCAGCATCAGAAACTTCGTTTCGATATGGGGAGGGGGGATTTTTCATTTTGATAAATCACGTACACGTCCTCCTCGCAGAGCCGCGACGGCTCTTTCACCCCCGTGGAAACCTGGTCGCCGTCCAGGTTGAGGGTGATCGTCGTGATCCCGGTTTGCGGGTCTTTCACGATGGAGAAATCCGTCTCGTCCTCGGGTGTATCCACGAACATTTTCAGGATTTCCGCCGGCTCGTCGTCGTCCCAGATAGCCGTGATAACCCGCTCCTCGTCGTGCTCGAGGGTCCCTTCGCCGTGCTTCTTGTTTTGCCTCCACTCCCCCTCGTAGGAGAGGAAGTTCGCCTTGGCCGTGGGCTTCGCCTTGTACTTGCCAAACCCGTCGCGCGCCCCGTTCTTGAACTGCCCCTCGTAGCTCCAATTTTCCGCGGTCAGCGCGCCCTTTCCGTGGAAAAAACGGTTTTCCACATCTCCCTCGTACCGCAACTTCACGCGTTCGTGGGTAAAATTCATCATCGTCTTCCCGTCGTCCGGCACACCGCCCTCGCAAAACTCCACCTTCGACCCATCCAGAAACTGGATGTAGCCGCGCAAAGAGTCTGCGTTTTGGAAGCAGGTCAGGCTCCGGTCGTGGTGCCAGGGATCGTCTTCCGGGTGGTAGAGGTGCAGCGTGTCTTCGTCGGCGCGCGTGTCCTGCAGGAGCTGCGGGTCCCCTTTCGCTTGGCAGTAGATGTTCTTCTCCACTGCGAGGGCGAGCTTCGCCGTTTCCACGTCTCGGTTCATCTGCATCACGCGGCCGTACTGTCCGTAGTGGAAGGGGATCACCAAGTCCGGAAAGTCCTCCTTGAAGGCTTCTTGGGAGATGGAAACCGCCCGCCGGGCCTCTTCGGACAGCAAGGAGTGCGTGTGCTCGTACTGGGCGTTGATGGCCTCGTATTTTTGCTGCAGGCCGATGAAAAAATTCCGGCCCTCCTCCGCGTTCTCGCCGAAAATCTCGCCGTCTATGTCCTCGAAGTGCGCCATGCGGGCCCCCCGTATTACAATGAAAAACGCCCCCACCCCAAAACTTGGCGCATTTGTATTGCAAACCTTTCCAATGGAAACACTCCCCGTCTTGCATATATCAGCATCACAAATTTTCCATGCTGAATAGCTCAAATCTGTGTTGCAAAGGAGCCAAACAGCAGCTGGATCTCTTATGCAAAAGATACCTTGGGCCCCTGGATTCTTCATCAGAAAGGCTCGTAGTCCCTTCATGCAAGACAAAAAGCTTTCATTTGGAAACTTTGCATGAGAAACTTTTGTAAATTCCGGGGTGGGGGCATTTTTCATTGTAATACCTCGCGGGATGGCTTCCTTGATGTCGGCGACGTTGCACTTCACTTTCTTACAGTCCGCGATCGCCATCTGCAGGAGCGCCCGGCTGCCGCTCATGGGCAGACTCGCCAGGGCACGCAGGGCGTTCTTCTGCTTCGCTCCTTCGTCCGTACCGCGGTCGACACACCGCGCAGGGGCATACGCAAGATACTCCGGTCGGTAATCGAACACCGGTGCTTTTCCCACGCCGGTAACCGACCGCCAACCCGTCTTCGGCGGCTGGACGCCGCGCCCCTCGTCGGCGGTACCGTAGGCGGGCTTTGCGTTCCCGTCCTCGTCCAAATCCGGCAGAACTTCATAGCTCGGCTCTCCGGTAGCCAGGTTCCCGAAAAACCACTGCATGCTCCGGTTTTCGTAGCTGTTCATTAGTGTTGAAAAGTTAAAAACATTTTTCGGCCTCCGCACTGCACAAAGGTCGGTGGCTGTGAGTGCATAGTAGCCTCGTATCAGGATAGATACACACTTTAAACTCAAAGTAGAAACGAGAGCAGAACATCAAACTGTACAAGATTTTCCTGTTGCTTCCAGTGGAATATTCGATGTCTGCCACATGGGTGAACTCCGTGTCGGAAGTTCTCCTGTACGTTCCGTTGAGCTCCATCTGCATCGACTGCGTTACCGAGACAATGTTTGGGGCCAGCTCGCGCATGCAGGGCACTTCCAAATGGTGCCACACGTGCCAACAGAGTCGCGTATGGTGCCGCATCTTGTCCGTGACCGCGGTGAAGTTTTTTTTGACGAAGGGCAGCCGTTGGGCCAGCTCAAACGCTGACTCGTCCTTGAACAGCAAGCTGCCGCGCTTGTCGTCCATCGCGCGACAGGCGGCAACGACAGGCATTTCAAACAGGTTTTTCGCGAGTCTTTGCAAAACATACAAGTCAAACTCTGTAATATCCTCAACGTCGTACCCACTCGCCCGCGCGTGCTTCAGGGGGCCTTCGTTCAGGTTCGCCTGCAGCGAGTGCAGCGCCGGGTCGGGCTCCGTTTTCAAAAATTTCTGCACGTAGTGGTGGAAGCAGTGCGTCGGCGTGGGAATGCCGATGGAGGGTTCCAGGGCGTCGTCATCGACCAAGTTCAGCGCCAGGGCCGCATACAACTCAAAAGCCCCGACGAAGTGGAAATCGTGGAAGTACTTCATCATGTCCCCCATCGGCGCGACGGAGCCAAGGTAATAGCGGATTCCGGTCCGGATCGCATTCTCCGCGATGCGCTCGTAGGGCATGACACGCCTCGGCAACACGTCCTCAGGTAGGTCGATCTGGTCGATTATGGCGTTCTCAACTGTTACATTCTCAGCTGTCACATGAATTTGTTATGCAAGAATGGCAAAAGTGAAAGGAGGGAGCTTGCGCGTCTTGCATGACAGATTTGGTACAGATTTAGACGCTGTTTAGCCATTCGAAAACTTGTCATGCGAAGCAGCTTGATCGTCTGGTGGCTCATGTTGGTCATTTTGCATGACAAATCATGATGTAACAGTTGAGAATGTAACGTTTGAGAACGCCATATCGATCTCCCCGAATATTGGCTCGTTTTCCAGAAAGATCCCGTAGAACCGGTAGGTGCAATCAAAGCGCTTGAACAGCATGGAACCCTTTCCATGTCTTTTCCCGTTCTTCCACGACCCATCGTAGGCGAGGACTTGCCGCTTAAACAGAAGACTCCCAACGGTCTCCGCAATCTGACGAAAAGCAAAGGTGATGATGAGGATGGATGAAAGGAAGTGTATACCAGGCCTCTTTCGTTCCACATCTTTTAGAGTGCATGCAGGCAAACAGTAAATTCGATTTCCAATTCCATCGCGTCGAAAATGAAAAATCATACCTTATTCGGATCCGGTGACGGCACTAATTTGATGATCTCCCCCAGTGTCTTGAAAGTGTCTAGTTTGATGTCCTTGGAATACTCTGTTCTCAACAACCTTCCCACCCCGTGATACCGGTGCATCGACCAGCCACCCTCGTACACGCCCCGCTCCGCCCGGCCAATTGCGTTTGCATCGAGTTGCTGGAACCACCTCTGGATGCCTCGCATCCCGTGCCGGAGCCGGACCGCGGGGAGTAAAGGAGATGCGATGGTCGTCCCCTCGTAGCCAAGGATTTCCCTTCTCACATTGTTCATATAATGCGTGTGAATGATCTGCTCGTAGTGTGCCGCTTTGTTGCGTGCCATCCCGAAGACCACGGTGGTGCCGTCCTTATGGAAGCGTCAGGTTTGAAATCGTCAAAGTTGAAATAGTTTGCCATGCATAAAACGGATACCAGTTAGACCTACAGTTTGTAGTCGGCGCATGACAAATTTTCCCGGTCATGGAAGCGAGTCTGTCATGCGGTTTAGGGCAACAGAGCTGCCTTCTGTCATGCTAGTTAGCAGTCCAACTTTTGACCCTTACCAGGACTATAATCTGCCTCCCGTGGGTCCTCTGCAATAGAGTCGCTTTTTGTAGTCGCATTTTATGCATTGCAAATTATTTCAACTTTGACGATTTCAAACCTGACACTTCCATAGTCCTTCAGCAGCACGTACAAGCTGCGGCCGTGGACCCGGTAACCAGAGAGGAAATAACTGTCGACAACCGATTTCATGGAGTGGATTTCGTCGAAGTGCAGAAACATCCTCTGTGCGCGGCACTTACGGTTGAGCAGCAACCTCTCAAAGGAAATTCGGTCCGGTCGGAGTTGCATCATGCCAAGCACCCCGCTACCCTCCTGATTGCTATCCAATTTGAAAAACTCGGCCGGGTGCGCCTCGCACATGGGCGGCTGCCAAGGGAGTTCGGGGCGCAAGTCGTCGTCGCGGAGCAACACGTGCAGCAATTTCACGGTGCTGACGTGCTGTTGCGTCACGCGCACCATCTCCGCCATTTTCGGTTCGTTCGTTTTCCGGATCAGAGTCAAAAATCCCGGCCACACGACGCTGTTCGGTGACTTGTTTGTGTCGACTAACTCCCGAATGCGCTGCAACGCAGAAGACTGAAACGCCTCTGCGCCCTCCGGGTCTTCCTGGTAATTCAGCCAGAACTCCGGGTGCGATTCCCGCACTTCCTGCTCTCTTTCCGCAAATTTTGCCTCGATTTCCTCCCGCATCTTCTTCGGCGGGTTGCCGTATTTCTTGATCTCTTCGTGGGCGAGCTCTTCGTGGAGCAGTGTCGTGGAAAGCTCACGGGTGAGCTTTTTTTTGTAGCGCAACGTCCTCGATTCCTCTTCCATTTTTCCGGTCTCCGCGGAGAAAACGTCGTCGCCGAAAATCAGCCACAGAAACGCCATGTGCGAACTCCCCAAGGAGGACCCCTGCGTGAGTCTCAAGTACTTGGAGAGCAAACTCACATCTTCGATGTACAGATTCCCCGCCCGCGTCTTGTCGATCTCCAAACCCCAAAACAGATCGTTCACGACCGCGTGCAGGGGGCTGAGCGGATGGAAATCCCCCCCGATCTTCTGAAAGAAATTCACCGTGTGCAGAAACCAGTGCGCCAGCATTTCGGCGTGGTACTCGTCCCGCTCCATGGCGGAAAAGGATTCCCGGCGACCGAACAGCATCGAAGACGGGTCGGAATAGACAGTTTCCTTATACACGGAAAAAGAGCCATCGATTTACCTTTGATTGTCCCCATGATGCGTTTTCCGCATGACAAACACAGGAACAAGCTCTGATGCATTTTTTGAGTGACAAATTCTGGAGGGGAAAATCAATGGGTCTTTTTCTGTCGGTACTCCTCGTCGTCCTGGTAGAGGGAAAGGAACAAATCATCCGAGGAGTCGTTATCCTCCCCAACAATCACCTGGATCGTGCAGCACAACTCCCGTCGGTCGCTCCCTCTGGCGTGCGTCCGTTTCCGGTACTCCGCTCGCACCTTCTCGTACGCGCGGATTTGCTTCTTGGACATCCGTGCCTTCTTCGTGTCGGTCAACAGCGGCGGCTCCGTGAGCAAATCCTCGCTCATCTGCCCCAATTTCGCCGGCGCAATCTGCACCGGCATGTCGGTCAAAACGTTTCGCCCGACGCCCAGCGTGTTCCTCGACTGCAGTAACCGCTTCGTCAACGTTCTCCCGTGCTTCACCGGGTGGCACTTGGCCGGAAAGTGTACGCCCATTTGTGGAATGACCGCAAACACCGTGTCGATGACGGCGTCGTCGTGTTCTCGGAAGTAGACGTCCCCCGGCTTCAGCGGGCAGAGCGCGGTGTTGTCTCGCACGGTGATTTCCCGGGGGTTTTTAAATCTCTGCTTCTCATCGTAGCCCGCGCCGTGAGTCTCCCCGCTGAACAACTTGCCGAAGAACCCGACTTTCGGCGGCTCCCGGTCCGGGGCGACCTCGATGTACGCGGGGTTTCCGCGCGTGTCGAGGGAATTCAACGAGTAGAGCGGGGGCAGTTTGTGAAATTTTATCTTCGCTCCCTTCGCCCAGCCACTGCACAGACCATCCGCCGCAGCGACCTGGTCGGCGATCTGTTGCCGGGCGTCGAAAAGTTCCTGCTTCCTCGTGTCTGGCTTGCAGCACGCCGTCGTGCGCACGTTCGTCTGCGTCTCCACCCAGGGGTGGCTTTCTTCCCCCACCTTGCTCAAAATGTGTTTGTGGATATCCCCGGCCCGGTCGACGCGAAGGGATTCCAAAGTCGGCTTCTTTTTCGCGCCGTGCAGTTCGGCAACGGTCGCTCCGGGGATGAAGTCCGTGCCCAAAACGGCCAAACCTTCCTCCGCGTCGCTGCCCGCATCGGTGTCGGGCACGCTTTCCTTCGATCCTTTTTTGTTTTTTCCGCCGCCCGCGTTCAGAACGCGGTCGAGAAAGCCCTGCTTCTCGCTCTGCGCTTCACCCCCATCGACGAAGAAATCGCCTTCGCGAAGCATGTCGAAGCGCTGTTTCGTGGTGTACAGAAACTCCTTTGCCTGGTAAATCCCCTGCTTCGCGAACGCCACAGAAATGCGCGGCAATGCTTCCGCGTCGGCGAGTGGCTTTCTGATCAAACGGCGAACCTCCACGTATCTTGTGCGCAAAAACCCCTTCGGATTCGTGCTCAGTTTCTGCTTGAACGTGAAGTACCTCTGTTTCAAAACGTCGTAATTCAGCATCAAAATGGCGTAGGTCGAGAAAAAGATCAACAAGTAAGGCGCAACGACGTGGCTGTACGGGACTTGCAGCGGAGTCCCTGGGTGGGTGAAACATAACACTAGGACGACGGATAACTGCGCGAAGTAACTGCTTGCGTCAGGGCCGGCGGTGAACAGTGCGTCTTTCCACCAATAGAAATTCTCCCTCCGCATGTACCACTCCCACTTTTTTGTCACTTTGGTGGCCTTTGCCCTCGTCCGCAGGTTCGCGGACTTGTTACTTCTGTTCGTATCGGGCGGCGTGTCCGCGTACCGCCCCGGGCCACCTGGTGGCGTCTCCATCATCAGCCTCTCAGGGTCACTGTCGCTGTCGATCAAATCGTCCTCGAATTCGCCCTCGTCCTCCTCCTCCGCCATCTCCAACAACCGCTTCGCTTCCATCTCGTGGTACTCAGACCTGAGTCTCCCCGCGACGAGTGTCACCAAAGTGAGCAGCGCCGCGCCGCCAAGCGCGAGGATCTGCATGAAGCCCGCCCACTGCTTGTGGGCGTCATCCTCGAGTGCGCGGAGTTCGGCGAGTTGGTGTGGCGGCATCTCTTCGTAGTCTTCTTTCGAGAGGCTGGCGCCCACGTCTTCCTCCACTTGCTGCAGCGTGGCGTGCGCGTTCTTCGTCATAATGTCAACGTACACCACCACATAGATGGCCACGAGGATGAGCAGCCGACTGACGATGAAGTTGTAGCGCTGGTATTCAGCCTGATATATCACAAGAAAAAAGTGTTACAGTTACACATTTGTTGGAGTTTTTGCATCACAAATTTTCTCTGTGTGGCAGACAAAACTTGTAATGCAAAGATCATAAAGGAAAATACGTAGGAAACGAGGCTCGCAAGTATTTCCTGCATGACAAAGGTTGTCTGTTTTGCGGCTCCTGCAACACAATGTGTAACTGTAACACTTTTTGCTTTGCATATGATAAGTTGTGTTTCAGTAGAAGATCTAGATCTTGACGACTGCTCCATTTATTCGCGAAAGGGTCCCATCCTCGGGCTAGTCGCTCATCTGCGACCATAAAGAAAAACGGATGCTGGGCAATTCGAAAACATCAAAAAAGAGTTGTTGTAAGTCCAACAAGTACCTGCCCCAAATAATACAGCTCGTCAGCATCATACTGGGGGGCCACAAGGTTTCGCTTGGGCACGGCAAGCATGGTATTTGGACAATGCCAATGCATCGTATTCAAAAGTCCGAGTGTCAGCGTCGACGGCAGGTAGAAGACGCAGCCGCCGACTGTGGTAATCGTCATCAGCGTTTCCCCAACGGCCGCGTCGGCATGCGCTTCGAACACGTCCGAAAGACGGTAGACGTACCTGGTACAATATGATTTATATCCCGAAAATGCTTTTTCTTCGATACAGACAAAAATGCAAGCACCTACTGTTTCCTTAGCGACAGAAGCAGAACCAACTACAAGCACAGCTTAAATGAAAACAGCACGACTCCGCACCCATTCGGCGACACTCCTGGCTGAAGCGTGACCCTCTCGTCGATCGCCGATATATTTTGGAGAATATTCGGCACGTGTGGCTTTTTCTTTTTCGCTCCTCCCCCGCCGCACCAAAAGCCCGTGTCGTCTCGTGCGGACACGATGATCTCTTCCGTCTGATCAAATTGGTCAAAGGTAATCGTCGGCATGCTGGTGTTGGGACTGCCACCGTCTTCCACAGCGCCCCACCCCTTCATTGGCGGATTTTCCGAGGGTTCGCCGGCGAGTTCGTATTTGTTCACCACCTTCCCGTCTGGCTCGATACTAGCGACGAACCACTTCTTGTCGTCAAACGACCTGCCCCCGCCATTGTCGTAGTAAATCTTCGCGTCCCCGCGCAGGTTCACGAACTCCGGGAAATCGGTCCCGACTTCACGCTCGTACGTACCATTGAACTCGGGGAGATCGGCGTTGTTGAGAAAAACTCCCTGCACAATCAGATCGCCCGGGGCGGAGTGGTAGCCCTCTCTGTGCTGCTGGTGGAGGTAGCTTGCTGCTGTACAACTACCCCGGCCACTGCTGTTGCCATATTGTGGCACATTTTGGTAGTTGTAGTCAAAGCGAGTTGGTCTCGAGGTAGAGGAGCAGGCGGGAGACGTTCCAACGAGCGGTTGCGCGTAGGCTCGTTTTCTGTTTCCGAACCCGAGATACGGTGTCTCCTCCTGCATTTCGATGTCACATCCCATGATCTCTACACCACCCGCAACATTGCTGTAAACAGGTCCACGTCCATGCCGACGCGTCCGGTTTTTCGAACTAGAACTACTTGCAACAGAGGAAGCACTGGACGTTGTGCTTCTGTTTCCCGGAGATGATGATGATGATGATGATGAAGACGCGAGCATATCAGGCAGGGACTCCTGATACTGCTGGTCTTTTCTATCCTGTTTCTCCGGCGAAAGAGGAGAAACAGCAGCTCTCGACAACAGAGAGTCCTCCTCCGCCATCGGAACAAGCAAATTGTTCCGAAGAACGCGACCAGCTCCGGCACAAGAAGGGACAGCCTGCGCGTGCGCCCCTTCTTTCAGCACGGGCGCTTGCATCAGATAGTCCCCGCCCCAATCGAACTCTCCGTTTTTCACGCGCCGATGCTTGTCGTTCTTGGCGTCCCACTTGTTCCCGACTAGTGTTGCTGTTCCCAAAACGTCTTGCTTCACGCCCGGTAAAAACACCCCCTGCTTGGGGTTCATGATCAGGTCCCTCGGTCCGTCGTCGTTCTCGAAATTCACAATCGCGCCAGACACCGTGAACCGGAAGTCCTGCCACTCGGCATTCCGCGACCACCCGGAGGGGATGAGCATCTTGTCCAGTAGCTCCAACCGCTCGATCCGGTCGTCGATTTGCACGTCCATCGAGACGGAAATGAAGACCGGGCCGCCCAAATTCTGACTGTCGTCGCGCTTCAACTGGAACCGCAGTAAATCTCGGCTCGTCTGCTCCACCGGCGGCTCCCCCGGACCGTCCCGGAAGCGGATCAATTCGTCCAGCCGGTCCATCGTGTACGTCGCGTCCCAATTCAGCTTTCCGTGGTGCGAGATGTAGCGGAACCGCGGATTGGTGATGTCCCACGCGTTCACGATGGGGTTCAGATTCGGCTCGCACGGCTTCATGAACTCCATCGCGTTCTTCCCCATCACCTGGACGCCGACCTTCGGGTTAAGCACTAACGGGTCGGATTTCCCTCGCTCGACCGTGATGGAGACGGATTTCGGAGTTAAAGAGCACTTGAACGTCCGATCTTTCTCCGAAAACTGCGTCCCCTGATCCCCGTGCCGGAGCATGAAGAGGCGCCACACCCGTTTGTTGTTTGCATGGATGTCGATGTAGGCGTTGAGGATTTCGTCCCCCTTCGACCCCCGGCAGGTGAAGCGCAGCACCGGCATGATCGCGACTGGCCGGGCCAAAGGCTGGTTGGTCGCGACGACATTCGTGCCGCCCACACCGTCGATGAACGGTTTCGCGGCTACTTTTTTCTCCTTCAAAGCCGCCAGGGGCGCGTTTACCGTCATGTACCAGGGGAGCACGATGACCTCGGGGTCTAAAACCACGATCTCGTCTTGCATGGGAATGCTCTGTTTCTTCCCGTCTCCGGCGGCCAGATCGTCCTCCTCCCGCGCGAGGAACTCCAGCTTTTTGTTCTTCAAACTGGTATCCCGGTAAACGCCCGTCCGGTCCAGCTGCACTTGCAAGCCTTTATCCCCGTAGAAAACTTTGCTGTCCAGCTGCACCTTCACCTCCTCGTGGGGAATGTACTGCTGGGAATCGCAGACAATGTGGGACTCCTTCAGTTGCAGCCTGGCGACGGTGTTTTTCCCGGCTGCCCAGAACTCGATCGTGTCTCCGGCGCACGCGCAGCGGAGCAAGTCGGTGGTCGCGTAATCCAGCACAATGTCGACGTGCTTCGGCTTGCTGCCGATTTTCGGGCCCAGGTTCCGCAGAACGATTTTCTCATCGGAAATGTACGCGTCCGTCGTGACGCGGATCTGCTTCACGCCCCCCTTCGCCGTTTCCGGATCTTCCCCGCCAGCAGCGGTGTGCGCGCTCTCGATCGCGGACAAAAAATCTTGCTCGAACTCCCCGTCGTTCAGATACTTCGCGAATAATCTCCGGAACTCCTCGCAGCGCTTGCGGTACCTTCGCAAGATCTTCCCCCGTTCATATTTCGCGTTTTTTCCGAGAAACTCGCCCGCCTTGGCGCCGTCGTTGTCCAGCATCGTGTTGCGCAGCTTCCGCAGATCTTCGTCGTGAAGCGTGATCTCGCCTCCGATGGTGAGAATCGATTGCGTCGCGCTGGTCTCTGGATTGACCACGGTTTTTAGGCTCCATTTCGGGAACTTGATGCTGGCCGGATGGCGGATGGTCGGACAACGAACCTCCACGGCCATTTCTCTTCCGTCCGGTAGGAGCGACGCCCGATCCTCCTGGATCTGTTCCTCCGGCCCGCCGAGGCCGACGCTGACCCGGGTGTAGATCAAGTCTTGGATCCGGTTTTGGTAGTGCGTCGTGTAGGCCATCCACGGCTTGAAGAAGTTTTCCGACGCCCCAAGGACCTCCACGACAAAGCCGCAGTGCGCCTCGGGACTGCGCAGGCAGAGCGACAGGTTCAAACTGCCCTTGGTGCACTCCGCCATGCAGCGGACCGAGAGGGAGCGGACGTGGTTGAAGAGCCGGGGACCTTCGGAGGCGTGGAAGACGACTTTCGGCACCTCCAGAATGCACAGCCTGCGTTGGAAGTCCGGCTTTTTTGCTGGTGGCGTGTTCGCTGGCAACCGGGGTAAAAGCGGCAACTCCAGGTCCTTCAAGTCGTACATGGTGTCCTGAAAAGGTGGGAGAAATTCTTGCAGCTGCTGCGCACCCCCGTCTGCGGCCACTACTTGTTCCGGGTTTACTGACGGAATCTTGTAGGGCTTTTCCAAGTAGAGTCGGTGCAGCAAGTACTTCTTCATGGACCTTGCTGGCGTCTCGGTGACCTCGAATGTGATCGGGTCGATGTCTCGTCTCGCGTCTACCTCTAACGAGCCGTCAAGCCGGATGTCGTACTTCCCGTCAATCTTCATATCGTCCTCTGAAAGTTGCAGCTCGTACGAGACCGGGTTGGCGTATTGCGGCTGCGGCCCCACTGGATCATCCCTGAAATCCATGTCCGCACCATCGAGCAGTGGGTCGGCATTATTTCCGCGATTGGATCTCGGCGGGTTCCCACTGCGGTTCGTCAGCATCGCAGCAAACGACCCTTCGTTCGTCCCACCATAGTAGCCGATTGCCTTCATCTTCTGCGCTGGCTTTTTGCCGTCGAAATTGAGTGCGAGCAGCACTGGATCGATGAACTCCGCGCCGTCCGGTTCTGCGAGCTTGTCCTGCAGCTCCGTGTTGTCTCGCACGACGGCTTCGTTCACCTTGTCGAATGCGCAAAGCTCGAATTTTTGCACTTGCACAGAGGATTTCGAGATGTACTTTCGCTTGGTCGATTTCGGCAGTTTTCGGGTTTTCAACAAAAAGCTCTCGTTGTGATCGACGAAAAAGTAAAATTCCGTGCCCGTCGGTTCGATCAGCGGGTGGTTGGTTTCTTCCCGGTATTTCCCCACAATTTCAAACGCCTCTTTCAGCTCCGAGGACATCAGGTGCTTCAGAAACAACTCCGCAACCCGTTCCGTATTCGAAACCAGAAACGGCAGCGCCTCCGTGCTCTGCTCGGACTCGAGCGCCAGCCGTTCGCGTTCGGCGTCCATGCGTTTCCGTTTCGCCGCGATCGTCGTGGATTTCTGGTCGACGGTGGTGAGGAGCGACTTTAAATCGTGAAAAGACTGCCGGAGGGACAGGCGTAAGAGCTTTATGCCGTGAATGAGGCTGGAGCTACTGTACCTCACCGGTGGCGTTTGCACTCTGCCGCTCGCGTTCGTCACGACCGAGTCGCAGCCGGCGCACAGCATGTTCGCGATCTCCCGGAGTTTTAGTTGCACTGCGGGCACTTCGTTGATGGAAATCAACCTCTCCCCCTCCACGAACAGCTTCCTGCTCACATCCAACCCCCCGACGGGCGAAACTTCCGCGACCAGAACCTGCAGCCACTTGGTTTGAATCGCATCCGCGGCGCCTTCTGGTTCGACGAGAGGGACATTTTTGAACCCTTCCAAGGTGATTCCCAGTTCCCGAACCCGGAGCGTCGACACCGCTTTGTTAAACACCAGTTGACCCTGCGCGTTGCGGATTTCCGTGACCGGAGTGACCCCGTCCACGTCTCTGGACAAAGAGATGCCGAACATGTTGTGCAGAAAATTGCCCAAAACCGGGACCGGAAAGGGAACGGATTCTCGCGCCCGGATCTCCTGGATCTCCTCTTTGTCCACAAACTGGCCCAAGGCACGGTTGTAGCCGATGTGGAACCTCCGCCTAGAAATCGTGAACAACGCGTAGAGCAAGAACGCCACCGGATAGCAGATCACCACCGAAGCGATGTACGCCTGCACCACGTCGTGAGAGGGTTTGATGTGCAAGTCATCGTACACGCCGGGGATCAAACCCGAGGGGATCCGCAGATTGATCTTCTTCTTCCCGAAGTAGACGTCGGAGCTGGCGCGGAGAAATCCGATCAACCCAATGTCGAGCAGAAAGACGACAAGAAACTGGCCCTTGGTCTCTCGCACCTGCGCCTGGTCGTAGTCCTTTCCCAGCATCCTCGCGGTCCGCCCCCCCTGAAACCGCAGGGCGGCGCGGAGCATAAAGGCGAGTACGGCGAGCAAGAGCAGCAAGGGAACCACGAGAACTTGCAATAGCAAGTTCCTTTGTGCGGCGAAATCCTTGCGGAATTGGTACATCTCCTCGCGAAACTGGACAAACTGCTCCTTGTACTCTTTCGCAATCTTGGCCATCTCCTGCATGTTCCCCCCGACGTCCATCCCGAGGTAGTTCACCTTGTGGCCCACCTCTGCCGGCAACCCCGCCTCCGCAGCAGCGGCATTCCCAAGGTTGTGGTAGTCGAAGGGCATGAACTTGTCCAGTAGCCCGGAAAGAATGTCGTCGAAGGCACTGAGGTCTAAATTGATTTTCTCAAACCCCTTGCAGAAGTTCTGAAACGCCTCGGGCAAGCCGTGCACTGCGACGAGCAGCCCGAGAAATTGCAGAAACTTCGCGACGCCGAGAAAATTGGATCCGGAGATCACCGCCAGGGTGATGCCCATGATGGCCGCTACATTCGCAAACATGGCGGTTCCAAAATCACTCAAGCCCGCCATCGATTGCCGGGTCAGTGTTATCCAGTAGGCGTTCCCATCTTGCGCGGCAGCGTTGTAACCAGGAATGAGTTTGCCGTCCTCGACCGGCAGAGTCAGCTCTGTGGAGGTTCGTATAATTTGTAGAACTGCAAAAAATGCGTTCTTGGGAAGTTCAGTTTTCATCAAACACTTGCTGGAGTCTAGTTTGCCTACGAGTTCTTCCAAAAGCAAGAGAGAGCAAGATAGAATACCACCACACAAAAAATGTATATTGAAATTCACCTATCCGTATCCGGGTCGTTTCCCCCCTGGCCAATCTATACGGGTTCGTGGGCTCGCCGGGGGTCCAGGCCATGCCGTCCACGCGCATCAGAACCGACAGATCGCGCATCCGCGGCCGGACGCTGACCCACTTCGTGGACATGGGGCAGACCACGTCGTACTGCCAGTAGATGACGGGATTCCGCGCTACCGTGCAGTCCTTGCCCTGTTCCACCACCACGTTGACCAGTTCCAGCTTCAGATCCGTTCCCTTCTGGATTGCCACCTGGTATTCCTCGCCCTCGTAGCCGCAAATGGTCGCCACCGACTGAGAAACGATGGTGCCGAAGGGCAGCACCTTTGGCTCGGGCGGAGCCGGCGCATTATCATACGGCCCTGCTAGCAACTGGCGATGATGTTCTTCTTGATGACCTCCGTGCGGTTTTGGCTTCGGCGGTCCAGGTTTTGCAAAATGTTTCGGCTTCGGCTTGGGCTTCGGACTTATCTTTTTCGGGGCGGGCAAAGGCAGTGTTTTATCCGTCACGTTCGTGTCGAACTGGATCCAGGCCGGGTAGAAAAACGCACCCCCCTTGTACTTACTGTGCGTCCGGTGCAACTCCGTCAACAGCCGGCCGTCGACGCTCACCCGCGCCGCTGGGTCCACGGTCACCGCCCACCACTTCACCTTCTCCACGTCGTTCTTGCAAATGAACCGGACTCCTCGCATGAAGCCGTGCGGCTTGAAATCCGCCGGGTACTTCTTGCAGCCGTTTTTGTACTCCTTCCCGTTGGCGTGGTACGCCGTGTGGTGGAAATTCCGAATCAGCGCGTTGTTGCACCTCGCCGCGCCGTGGCCTGACATGAGAAGCGCGTCGTTGAACTCTTTCTCATTCTTCTGCTGCGTCAAGTTTATCGTAATCGTTTGCTTTCGCCCCTTGCACTTAAAGTGACAGAACTTCCGTTCCTTTGCAAAAACACGCGGCACGTGCTTGGTCTTGTCATCTTCCGCTTTGTGCGCGAAGGGGTTCGCGAGCAACTTTCGCTCGTGGGGCGCACGGTAGCCGAGATTCTCCACCGCCCGCCTCGGGACCGTGGTCGAGCGGACCTGCATGAGGTCCACAGCGACTTCCATCGTACGGATCAACGGCGGCCCGGCGCGCATCTTCAGCGGTGTGGCTTTGATGGGTGGCTCCTCGGTCTCGGGTTCGTATTTGTCGCTGGGCGGCTCCAGCAGCTCGGTGCTGGTCTCATTGTACCCTGCCGGCACCAGTTTCGAATGCAGCAAGTCCAGTGGCGGCACAAAGTCTTCCAGTTCTTCGCAGAACTCGTCGCACTTGACGTTCTCCGGGCTGACGCCGGGGCCCGTGAGGAAAAACTGCACGACTCCCGCCGTTGGACCGCACAGCAGGTCGTAGGTGAGCTCTCCCACGTCTCCGGGCTTCATGGTCCCGAGACAGGGTTGCTGCCCCGAAGTCGAGATGGTCTGCACGACGCCGAGCATGGTTTGCCCAAACTTCGGGTACGCTTGCTGCAATCGCGGACCGTCGCCGAAGGGCGACGGGTGGGAGATGATTGTCGATGGGTCGTCTCCGGCCGTGGATTTTGTTCCCAAGGTCAGGTCCCCGGCCGTCGGCAGCTTCAGTCTCTGGCCATTGTCCACCATTTCTGTCAACAGGGGGAAGCCGCCGGTCGAAAAAATGCTCCCTCCGCCACCCCGCCCGAGGTACAGGCTGGCGGCCGCTGCCGCCATGTGCGCGGGGCCCTTCAGAGCGTTGTTTTCGACGTTTTTCTTCAGCACTGGCACACCGCGGTCGTCGAATTCAAAATCTCCATTCAACCAATGGTGCTCCAACTCTGGGGGCAGCGCCCCGTGCTGGCCATGCTCGTGGCTGGCGTAAAACACCGCCGCTTTGCCCTCCTCGTGACCGTGCTTGGCGAACACCTGCCACTCGTGCCGCGCTTCCACATCCGGTTCGCACTGCTGAAACATCCAGCAGCCGGAAACGAAGGAAAACGCCATGAAATTCATCGTTCTCAGGGACGAACACAGTTCGATGCAGTCGTTCACGGTGGACGCTTGTGCGGAGTGGATGGAACGGTCGGTGACTTTGCAAGGCAATGTGTTGTAGGCGAGGGGCACCAAAGCCGGGGAGTTCAGCACCGCGAAGTCCTTCTTCACGTTCGGCACCGGGTGCCCGGTCAAGGCCACGACCGCACTCGTTCCCGGGACCTGCATCGTGATGCCAACGCCGCCGTTCACAGGCGCGTGGTCGTCCATTTTTTTGGGAAACAACCCCACACTGTAGCCGACCTCGACTGAGCGACACACCTGCTTGACGCACCGGTTCACCTCGCTCCCGGGTGCGAAACAGTCTTCCTGTGTGAAGCACTTTTTCTCCTGGATGTCCACCTGTTTCGCCAGAATCTCGATAAGCACCGAGGACGGCACGCCGTAGGACAGTTTTACCGGAATCGACGCGACATCCGCGTGCTCCTTCAGAACTAGAGTGTTCAGCAGAATGTCCCGTTTGTGCTCCCCGGCGTGCATAATCACCTCCACGGGCGTGGCCACCTGTCCGGAACATTGCCCAACGTAGGACAGGACGGACTTCTGAAAGGAGGGAACCATGGAACACCCCTTGATGGTCAGTCCGCCCAGAGCTGCCTGCTGTTTCGATACCGCCATCTCAACCTTTTCCTCGACGTGGTAGTGCGTGTGCATACCGTGAAGGTCGAGAACGATCTTTTTCAGAACCTTTTTGCAGTACCCCAACTGCTGGACGCACACAATACTTTCCGCGTCCGGCCCGCAGTCTGACTGGTCGCGACAGGCATTTCCTTTGTCATGCGCCAAAGTCTGCAGCTCCATGAAAGACGGCGGGCGAGAAAACGCCTCGAAGGGAAGCTCCCAAAACGCACCGTGTGCCACCATGCGCGGGTGCCACAGTTGCGTATTCACCATCACGTCGTGACGACTGCTGAAGTAGATCCACGCGGAACCCGGGTTGAAGCACTCCAATTTGTATTTTTCTGTGCCTGGATCGAAGTGCGGCGTCATGATGCACTGCGAATCGAACAGCCCCTTGTACCTTTTTATACATAAACATAAGTAGTATGTGCTAAGTATCTCCACCTCCATAATATGGAAAGCAAAGGATGCTGCCAGTTTTACATTCAGGATCCGATGTTGTCATCTTCAGACATAGAAACCTCAATGCCACATACGTAACTACCCGAGATCTAGCAGCCGTCCGTTGTCGTTGATGTCCAGCCGACTTTCGTCATCCAGGCGCTGTTGGTAATCGTCAGACAGCTCTTTCTCCAGTACGATCAAGTAGTTCGTCACACCGCCGTGCGTGAAAGACGCCAGGTCCTCCGTAAGCATGCGCCGCTCGGTTTCTTCGTGATTATCCCTGTCCTGCTCCTGCCATAGATGGTAAGCCTCTGCTTGTGATACCATTTCCATTTCGTTTTCGATGTCACCAGTCGCTGTCACCTCGTTCCGCTGCATTTCGACGCCCCTGTCACTTCCACTGCCAAGGATACCTTTCAACTCCTGCAAGGTGCGTCGCGAAAGACTACTACTAGAGCCATGCTTTTTCTTCTCCTTATGCGGCGTTTTGAACTCCGTTCCGGGGCGCGCGCTGTGGCAGCCGCATCCCACGTTGATTTCCATGGCCGCAGTCAGCATGGTGTTCGAAGTTTCAAAAACCTCCCACACTTCGGACCGGGACTTGGCAATGGACGACGATACGTCCCAGCGGAAGGGGTACGTATCGCCGAGCACGAAGCCGTCGTTGTACGGGATTTCCACATCGTTCATTTCCGTCACGGCGTTCGAATCATTTGGCACCACGTACATAGTTATCAAATGCAAAAATGTCTGGGTCTGGGAGAGTCATGCTATTTTTGCATGACGCAGAAGGTCTGGCATGGAAGCTCTAGCATCACAGGTTTCGAGAAGCTTCCGCAATGCCAAATACGCATGACAAATCCCCCAGCTTGGTGACAGAAACTGGGCAGCTTTTGCTACCTATGCATGAGAGATTTTTCTGTGTTCTGAAATGCGCATCACAAGTTACATCCTTCCAGACCCAGACATTTTTGCATTTGATAATAGTCACGCGCTTCAAATCTTCCGCTTTGCAGCGCACGCGAACGATCCGCTCGTATTGCTTCTTGAGCGTGTGAAAGAATTTCTCTTCCGAGGGAAAAAGCAGCTCCGAGTAGGTACAAGATTCCGGCAAATAGTAGTCCGAAATTTCCATGCTGGACAACCCGGGAATGGAACAGGCCACCCCCGTCGCGTAGGCGATGTCGCTATCCAACGAAAATTGGCTGAACATGGGGTGCTGACTGGTGTAGAAGTGGATGTTCATCGGCACCGCGCCACCGCAACTCACCGCAATCACGGACCGGGGCAAAACGACCTCCACGGCGCGGGGACTGCACACCGTGTGAATTAGCGGTAAGGTGTCCTGGATCACGGCGCCGGCCTGCTCCCCCTCCGCTTCTTCGGCGCGATCCATCAAAGGGTTCAAAATGCTAAAATGGTCACTGCACAAGTCGGAGGTCAAAGCCCCGAAGGTTTCGGTGACCACCATATCCAGCACGCTCTGGTCCCCATCCTCCTGCACCGAGTGGCACTGCGGGATGCGCTCGGCGAAAGTGACGGACGTGGGATGGAACAGGAGCTTCAGTCTGTCCTTTTCCCCGAAATCGAAACAGTAAACGGCATTGCCCTGCATTTCGCAGCGATCGCAGGCTTCGAACCCGACGACCCATTCCCCACGGGACACCCAGCGCACGAGCCGCTTATTGTGCCGGTTGATGTTCAAGTCCACTAATTTGTCCGCCCCTTTTCGAGACAAGTGCTGCTCCGGGCTGCCGAGCCTGCGCTTCGCCGGTTCAGCGTGAATGAAGTCCGGGTGGTGCTGGAGGGCAGGCGGTTTTTTGCTCGTTTTCGCAGAAATAGGAACACCTGCGAGAGGAGTGTGATCTGCACTCACTGCTACGCGAGTGGATGAACTGGCGGCGTCCCGGCCTTTCAACTCCGCTCCTTCTACTGCTTTCCGTGAACGGCGGCTGGCAGTTTCCGGCAGGGCAGTCCAGGCAACTTTTTGCGCAGTTGCGATACTTTCATGGACGGCTGCAAGGAGTGGCGACAGCAGCAGCCTTACGGCATACCGCAAAACCGAAGGACGGCGAGTCCGCCGCATCGTCGACGGTGATAGTCTACTCCACCCTAGTGGACTGCGTTAGTCCTTGCACGGTAAACGATGAAATCCATAGTTCTGCAGCGAGGGCTTACTTCGACACGCAAGTGTGCCTGAGCAAAAAGGTCATTGTGATTCGGAAAAACAGTGTAAGTCCCCTTGTGTTCGCTCACCTGCTTCTCTCCGCATCAACGCCACTCTTGTCAATATCACTCCCAATCCATGAAAAAACGGTGGATGGTAGACGAACACACACAACAACACCGCACCGAAGGTATTGGTGGAGCGGAAACTCAAACTACCCCTGTTTACCATGACTTTTGGCCGATATTTAGTCACGACACATCACATACCGGACCAGTTCGTACTCTGTTGTCGATTTTCAATGTCAGCAAGATGTTCTTACGTCGCTGGTGCGTCGAAACTGATTTTTGATCGGTAGACAACTATCTGTGAAACTACAATTAGTGCGGACTTACACTAGTCACACGTGCTCTACGAAAAAGGCATGCATGCTGTAGTTAAACACTGTAAAATCGTACGCACGCGCATCTATGTAGAGTACATCTTAAAATTTCGGAATGGGTGTTGGGAACCTCGTCTCCAGGACAAAGCCCCCTTTCCAAAAAAAACTGAGTTTTGTTTTTTTATATTGTGGAAAAAGTGCCAAACAGACCGATTTACATTTAGTATACAAAACCATCTAGAAATAAATGCGAGAAAACTATGGAGAGTAAAGCACGCTTACTCGATACACAAAATTGTTACGGGGATACACACCAGACCTATGAGTAGCACTATTGGCAACCCAAGCTTCGGGAAATCGTTGAAAGAGTAGTCTCCTGCTGAAAATGCCATCAGATTTGTTTGGTACGAGACCGGTGACAGCATCTGACAGCCGGCGCCAATCATCAGAATACACACGGCTTGGTGCACTGGGACGTTCAATGCATGTGCCGAGTCCAAACAGACTGGGAACATGAGGATAACCACGGCCGTCGCGTGGAAAACAATCCCCAACATGACAGTCACCAGGAATATCCCGGCCAGCAGACCAGGAGCGCCGAACGGAGCCATGGCCTGCGTCACGTACGAAGCCAGCAGAAACGCGACTTTCGTCTGGCCAATCGCGTCCCCGAGTCCGAAAGCGCCGACAATCGTCAGAACCGTGCGGATCTTGATCGCTTTCAAAGCGATTTCCTTCGACATGCAATCCGTGTAGGTGAGCGCGACTGCTGCGGACATGCACGCGGTTAAGAGCGGTAAGGTGTTGGTCGACACACACACCACCATGCAGAGCAGAATCACCAGCGAGGCAATTTGCTTCACCATCGACACTTCGTCGTCGCTCTGCTTCGTTCCCTCCTGCTCCTGTCTCGCGCGCTCCGCGGCCTCGCGCGCCGCTTCCTCCTCTTCGTCGACGACCGTGCGCACGCCGAAGAACTCGTTGGACTTCCAATGGCGGTCGGAAAAACCAGAAGCGGCGAACAGGACCAGCGTGTCACCAAGCGCGTACTTCCGCCCACCCATCTCCGCCACGGTGTAATCCAAAACGCCCCTTCGCACCCTCCTCGGGTCGTAATTCACCGACAAAGCCCCACGCAAGGAGTCCGTCAGAGACAACGGCCGCACTCCGAGCACGTGCGCACCATACCTCTTCCGCACGTCGCGGTTCAGACACATGCGCTGCCCAATCAGAGCGCACGAGGCGTCCAGCACGACCTCGCACACGTCCATGTTCTCGCTCGCCCGGAACTGGATCGGGTCGCCGATGTCGCGCGTGATGATCGACAGCGCCGGGTTGTGGTGTATGGCGAGAATCTGCAGACTGCTGGTGTACAGGATCACCACGTCGTAAAACTGAAACGCGAAATTCGGCTCGGAAACGTCCTTCACCTGCCCGAACCTCTCCACCGCGATCGCCTCACATCCCAGCTGTCCGTCCAAAAAGTCCACATCTTTCAGCCCCTTCCCCACGTACGCGTGACTCACGAGCTGCACGCTGACCACGTACCGCTTCGTGTCCTTGCGCCGCTGCTTCCTCGCCTGAATCTTCTTCGTCGCGGCCTCGGTCGCCTGTCCTGGTGCTCTGTCGTCCTGTGGGTTCTCGCCAGCGGTGCTCTTCGAAACACCGTTTTCAAGCAACGGCTGGCCAAGAGCTGTGTTCATTTTCGGACTTTCCAAGAACTGGGCCATAGTCGGCGTATCCGGCTGTACGGCGTTCTCCTCCTCCTCCTTACCCGTTTCCTCGTGGCTCTGGAGGTCCGGGAAGAGGCACTCCATCAAAATGAAGACGCAGAGCAACGCGACCACGGTTGCGGCGATCGCGACCGGCGCGATCTCGAACGTCGTGAAGGGCACTTGGCCGGACTTGATCATTAGGCCCTGCGCAATCAAATTGGACGAAGTTGCGAAAATCGCGACCGTACCGGAGATCAGCAAGATGAAGGACAAGGGCATCAGAAACATGTTTTTCGAAATCCCGATGTCCAAGGACCACTTCTCCAAGATCGGCATCAAAATGCTCATGTTCGCCGTGTTCGACATGCCAATGTTCATCACAATCGCGGGCACCATCAGCCGGAGCGTGGCCATCTTAAAACCCTTTGGCCTTCCGAGCAGAAAGATGAAGATCTTCTCCACCGCCCCGGCCCGCTCGACCCCCTGCGCGACCACGCCGAGCACCGCGACGGACAGAACCACCTGGTTGCTGAACCCGGCCCACGCCTTGTCCAGGTCCAGCACCTGGCACAAGCAGAGAAACAAGGTGGCGATCACAAGCACGATGTCGCTGTCCTTGCCCTGCACGAGCAGGTTCAGCACGATCGCAGTCACCCAGATGACCAAATACGGCTGCCACGTGGGGACCACATCCGCGTTCTCGGTGAACAAGGGAAAAAACTCCACGCGCCAACACTCGTACATCACCGCCGCGGCCACGATCGCAAACCCTGTGTTCGCATTGATTAATTCCGCCCCAATCGTCTCCCACATACTCTCGTCCTCCTCGTCTTCCAAGGCCAACGCCGCCTGGGACTTCGCAAATCCCGCTTCCTCGGCGTCGGAATCCCCGCCGTCCTGATCCACGATAACCGCATCCGCATCGATGCTGCGACGCTCGCTTACCAGGTTCCGGTCCAGGATTTGCACGACCTGGAATTGATTTTAGGGGCACATGATCAGAAAGTGACTTGAATTTCTTTTGTGCTTTGCTTCAATAAATCTTGTGGCACACCATCTGCAACTTCTGCACTAAACACACCATGTCGCGTGCTGTTCCGTTCGTGTACATATTTCCCTCGAACCTGAAAGTGAGTAAACCAAACGTAAGGAGAAAAAAAAACTGGATCCTTCACAAATCAATACCGTGAGTAGAGACGGGCTTTCCTTTTGTTTCTGCGGGGAGTCCTCGAGTCCCTGGAGCGCAGCTACGACGCGGTGGCGGTCCGTATGGCTGATGACCTTGCCAATAACGATCTTCTTTTGCTTCTTTCCCGTGCCGTCCTTGGAAGTCGTTTCTCTGGACAGCAAGCTCGTCAGTTTGCCCGTTGCTTGCCGCCAGAGGGATTTCGACCTCGGCGTCGTGACGGCTTGGTTTTTGAGGTCGTTGCCTGCTCCGAGGTCGTCATCTGGTATGCTGCCAAGGGTCTTCGCCAGGTCAGTGCTTTTATTACCGCTCATCTTCGCACCCAATTTCATCAGGGGTGGCAATTTGTCGTCGTCGTCGTTGTCGAGCAGCGGGTCGTTCAAATTCGATTCGGAACCGAACGAGTGCGACCCGAGAAATGCCTTGCCCACGTTGCTCCACCGCCGCTTGACCGTGAGCGGTTCGCCCGCTTCCCCGTCGTTGGAGTAATCGAACGCGCGGGACAGGATCAATTTGATCGGGTGCCAGCGCAGGTAGGCCGACCCGGCCCGGGTGTCCGCCAAAGCCACCATCGTGTCGGTCTCCAGCGGACTGTAGATTTTCACCCCTCTTGGCGAACTTGGCGACCCCGGCTTCGCGTGGTCCTTCTGCTTCTTGCTCCGGACGGTCTCGAGCCGTTTCTGCAGTTGCTCGTTGGCGTCCACGAGCAGGTCGAACTTCCGCAGAATCCGCCGGATCGCCTCCGTGTTCACTTTCGCGAACAGAATCAAGCGGTCTATACGCGCGATGTTTCGGCGCACGATGCTCTCCGACTCGATGTCCGTGAGTGGCGCGGTTTTGCTGTTGCTTTTGTCCGCCTGCTGGTAGGTCTCGTCCCGGTCCCACCCGAGCGGCCCGGCGGCCCGCGAGGCACCGAGGGACACACGGCTCGACCCACCCTCTCGCCCGGCGATCTCCACCACGTGCGACGTCTCCGCCTTCACCTCCGCCTCGCTTTCCCGCGCGGTCCACCGCTTCAAACTGTCGAGGATGACGCCTTCGCGGTACACGTAGAACTGCACAAAGCGCAGAATCGCACTCTGCAACTCCTGCAGAAAACGTTCGGTGGCGTGCTGCGGGTCCCGCTCCACTTCGGTGAGTAGGTCGGCAAACGTGTCATACGAAACGTAGTACACTCGCCACTCGGGAATCATCTCCGCGACCCATTTCTGCCCGCGCCACGTCTGCTCCACCTCCACCAGCGCCGGGTTCGCCTTCTCCCGTTCCGCGTTGGTGGATTGCACCACGATCTTATCTAGGTTTTTTGCTGGCAACATTCGTTTCAAATCTCAACAAAATACTGCGAAAAAGACGTACGATGATGCTGAAGAAAGTTCTTAGTATTGGTGTGGTCTCGTCACACAGAACATGCCCATGTGATTTGTGACATCACCAGATTGTAAATTTGGGCTTACTTCTTCATTCGAAAAGGAAGTGCAACCGCAGGTCCTGGTAATTTTTTGCGGAAAAACAACTAGATCATACAGGCTTGGGTATGCGCTGCTAGAATGGCAATTCTGACACTGTTGACTTTGCGTACGAGTTCACGTGGAACGGCCATCCGATGGAATCTGTTCTTGTGCACGAACCGAGCTTGGCGTGGCTGAACGAGCGCGGTGTTTGGAACGATGCCAGAATGAATCCGTTGCAAAAACAGGTACCATTGAATGAGCACGAACCGATTCTTTGGACACAGAGCAGAGCGTGAAAAACCGACGCTCCTATACCGAAGATTGTAAGAAGTGCACCACCGAGCGTACAAATCTTTAAACCTACCTTGACAGAAACACTCGCAACGATTGCTTGCGTAGTGACTTCGCTGGTGCCCTATAAACGGCGCCGTTGCATCAAAGTGAAATTTCCACTTACTCTTTAGCGTTTTCTTGATGCTTTGCTCTTACCTTACGGCGCAGTGTAGTTCATTCGTTGAAAAGTTCAGCTATGCTGTATTCAAGTTCGTTGACAGAGTGAGAAAGTGACGAAAAAGGAAATGCAAAACAATGGTGTCTTTTTGTTTGACACTTGCAAAAACTGAACCGAGTTAGTACAACCAGGTCGAAATAAACAGATTTCATCTTACTATCACAAAGTACTTATTCGGAGCGATTACGATAGTATGGTTGTTCTGATCTGGGTTCACATGATGCGGCATTTCTTACTCGTACATACATGATGTGCAATATCATACTCCCTTTTCCAGGCGCTCGATCAGCTCCTGCCTACGTCCGTGCGTCGGCAGACTCTGCTCCTTGAGGCGCTGCTTCAGTTCTGATATCGCTAGGCGATCTGTTGAAAAAGGTTTTTCTTTTTCCTTTCGTTTCAATCCCGATGGTGATTTACTCCGCAAGAAACAGAAAAGACCAAAGTCAAACTCACTTATACTCTGCTGACATATTGAGTACTAGAAACAACAACAAGTGAACAAAAATTGTACTGAAGTCCTCCATCTGCATCGGCCTATACGGCGGAGGTTTGTTGTTCCCTCCGCTAGCAGCTTCCTGATCACTGTCGGCATCGTGGAAGCTGTCGCTGAGCCGCGGTTGGTGCGAATCCGACTTGTCCCCACTGGACGGCCAGTCGTAGTCCGCATACTGTTCGTTTTCCCTCTCCGTGAGAAACACGTTGCTCTTCCGGCCTACGACATTCGTGTTCATTTCGACTGCACTGGTGCCGCAGTTTATCCGCGCGGCACCACTTAAACTCCCGTTGTAGGGGCTCGTGTTTGGAACAGCTCTACTTGAGCCGAGGCCGGAGTTAATATTCATCTCGTTAGTCGACGGCGTCAACAAGGAGGAGCTGATACTTGCAGCTGAGCCGGACAGTAGTTGCGATGCTGTTGTGCCACCTGTCGCTCCCGTGCTAGCTGACCCAAAAGCGCCCGTGACCGTCGAGAAATCGTTTGCCCCGAGGTCGTTATCCGCGAAGGGATTGTTGCTGTTTCGGAACTGCATACCGTCTCCCGCCCTCGAAGAGCGAAAACTCGCCGCACCACTCGAGGCAGAAGATCCACCCCCCGCAACCGAGCCCGTGGCCCCGCGAAAGGAACTCGTGCCTCCGGCGCGTGGCAGCTGCGTGATGTCGTTGTTCGAGCCGTTCCGCGAGGAGCCTTGCAGATTGGACAGCTTCTGCACGAAGCTACCGGCAGAGTGGTGGCTACCCGCGCGACTGGAGGTGTTGTAGGTTCCGGCGTCCGCTTCGACATCACTGGCGGACGAACAGCTGCCCTGATCCGTGGTCGACATGATGGGGTCGGCGTTCACGCCACTGTTCTGTCTCGCTATAATAGTACTACCCGGCTTGTTCTCGTGAAGATGCATCCCGAAGGGGGTGCTTCCGTATCTCCCGTTCGCCTCTCCCCTGCTGGTCCCGATGCTGTTGCGCTCAGTTTTGAACTGCAGGGCGAAACTCTCCTCGGAATAATTCTTGAACCCGTTGCTTTGAGGTGGCGCGCCAGTAGTTCTACTGCCGGCGGCCGAGGATGGTGCTAACATGGTTCCCCCGGCGGATGTTGAAACAGCTTCGCGCTGGTGTTGAGACTGTTCGCGGGAGCCGGCTGTGAAGTTCATTTTTTCTGCGGGAATGAAGGAACCATTGCTAATTGCACCTTCTCCTGACGCCACACCTTCCCCGCCGTCCTCGTCGGCGTCAACCACCAGCATTTCCGGTTCCGCAGGCTCCCATCGCTCTTCGTCTTCTTCCAGATTCAGAACGTCAAAATGCTCCTCGCCATTCGGGGACAACTCCTGGCGCGGAATCGACAAAGACGCGCCACTGCTCCTTGTTGGCACTTCCATCGGTTGTACTCTATTTCTCAAGTCCAGCAGCTCCTGGGTCTGCCTGTGCAGTTTTTGTCGCAGCAACTCATTCTGGCGTTTGAGGTCGCGGTTTTCTTTCTCCAGATCTGAGATCTGCAGCACGAAGTCAGACTCCTTTTCATGCTTTTCTCGAAGCTCCTCTTCCTGCAGGACACATTCCTCTTCCTTCCTGCGCAAATCACTTCTCAATTCCTCTATTTCTTGGTCCCGGTCCGAGCCTAGGCGCGTCAGGCTGTCAACGTGCTGGGTGTGCTGTTTCTCCTGCGCCTTCAAGCGATTAATCTCGGCAAGAAGAGATTGCTCTCGCCCGCGGTTTAAACCCTGCAGCTCCCCATCGTTCGCCGACGATGTCGTTGTCACGCTGCGGAGCCCGACGGCACTGACAGAAAATGGGACGAGTGTACTTGTCACACAATTCTAGATGTGAATCTCATCATTTCTGTGGTGTGGAGAAACTTAGGCACCTCCCCTTGAGTGAAAAATTCATGCTGAAAAAATGCGGATGTAGTCATGAGAATCCTCGCCACCAAAAACCGCATTTTATACCCTGCTCTATTATTCGCCACGGGCTGCTCTGGATCTACCGGACTTTGGTGCCTGCTCCGATTGGGAGCGTTGTGGCCTCCAAGTGTCGTCCTCCGAAGATCAGTTTCGCGGCGGTTGTATCAACTGCAAAAATGTCTGGGTCTGGAAGAGTCATGCTGCTTTTGCATGACACAGAATGTCTGTCATGGCAGCCCTAGCATCACAGATTTCGAGAAGCTTCCGCATTGCCTAATCCGCATGACAAATCCCCCATTTTGGTGACAGGAAGTGGGCATCTTTTGCTGCCTCTGCATGAGAGATTTTTATGGGTTGTAAAATGCGCATCACAAGTTGCATTCTTCCAGACCCAGACATTTTTACAGTTGATAGATTGCGCCCAAAAATACTGTCTGTCATTTTCGCGGCGATGCCAAAGATCCCGGATCCGGACGAGGAAGACGAGGCGGAGGCGCTTGAGGAAAGAGCTCCAGTCGTGCCATTTCCAGTTGCAACTGGACCGGATGCAGTGCCTGTATGTCACACAGACGAACGGTGGCTTATTTTTGCTATGTCTCACAAGCATCCAAAAGCCCCTCTCGACGACGACCAGAGAGCTAAAGCGAACATATATGCGAGCAGCACTTCAGTTTCTCCTAACAGAAGAAAGACATGATAAAAGCAAAAATTCTCTACCGTTGCTAGACGCTGAAGCCCCGGCTACAGACTCGCGCACTTTGCCCCTATCTGCCACACGTGGCGCCAACTGTAGTTTCTCAGTGTTTCCGCGCTGCGAGGGGCCAGAAAGATTTCTTCTTGGGGTGCCAGGTCGTGCATTGGGTTGCGGTGCGTTACCTAATGTATTGCGAGTTCGTGGTTCTGAATTTGACTAAATCCTCTACCTTTTTTGCGCAAGAAGTAAGTACCTACTCATTCCTCCCCCGAAAACATCTTTACTCCTCATGTGTACACTTCTAGTTACCTGCCTTGCCCGGAACTCGTAGGGTTCCGCGAGTTGGCGTTCCTGCGCGAATGCGTGCTTTTTCTTTCGTTGAAGTCTCCGCTACCTCTTTAGGACCAGCATCCGTTCGCGCGCCACCAGGAGGACTCTGAAACCGCTTGACTTTTCTTGTTGGCGAGGGTGGCGTATTTTTTTCTTCGTTCACTTCTATTGCCGTAGTTGTTGTACCGGAATTGTTTACCTGAAGGCAGCACGAGAGGATCTTCCATTTCTGCCAACTACATGCTCTGCTGACCTGCATGATTTCAAGGAACTCATCACATCATCAGAACTAGCCCTGCAAAAACTAAAAAAGAGAAATTGAGGTACCACCGCGCCGGCCAAGCTGGCCTCCCCTGCCGTGGTTCCCAGCCCCGCTGAGCTCGGTCGCGGCGGTGCTTTTTCCTGTCCGCGCGCCGTCATGGGCCTTTGGCTATCTGTCCGCGCGGTGGTCCCGCCGGGCCCGCCGCGGGACGTCGGCATCGGGTCGGGGGCCACGTTCAAGTACGAGAACGTGTTCAGAATCGCCTGCAGCTGCTGTGGAATGGGGTTCACGGTGATCAGCACCAGCGTCGGATTCGCGCTGCTTTCCAAGGCGATGCGCAGCAAACGGGTCAGCTTGTCGTCCCGACACACCGGCTTGAGCGGTTGGCCTGCGCGCAACGCAGAGAAAACCTTCACCAGCGACAAATACGTGGAATTGATCTTTTTGCTTTCGTCAATTCGGCTGCCCCGGCCGGCGGTATTCGTCTCGCGGTTGTCCTCACAACCCGCTAAATCCACCATGAACAGTTTGCCGACCTGCTGTTGCACTGGCTTCACGTGCCGCGTCATCGACACTTTCTCTTGCTTGCCATTCTCTTCCGCCCGGGAAAAGTCCAGCTTTTCCACCGCGATCTGGATGCAGCAGTGGCTCCGCGAGCTGCAGTTGTTCAAGGAGGTGGCGCCCGTTTTGCGCTGCCTGATTCTGTTTGCGTACAAATCGCGAAACTGCTCTACCGACTCAATCGGCACGGAGCTGAGGCCCCCGACCACTTCCTGCTGATTGGTGTCCATCTGCACCGGGAGGTCGTCTATTCTATACTTCGTTTGCTTCAACCCCCCGCCGCCCTGGTCGCTGTGGTCGATGCTGCCCCGTAAGTGCGGATTTCCGTCCCCCAGCCACCGCTTCGTCGCCTTCGGGACGCCGCGGGACGTTGGGTGCAGTTGAAACGCGTCCTCTTTCGGCAAGTCCTGGAGCAGATCCCGGACTTTATCGCAATACAGCTCGTAGAGGGAGAACGTCACTTTGTACTCCTCCGTGCAGTCCGGGTCCAGCTGCTTGCTCTTCCACAAGTCCAGAATGTTCCGCACGGCTAAGGGGACGAACCCGCAGTTCGCGCCCAAGTCGTCGCCCTGCATGCTGTAGGTCTTCCCCGACCCGGTGGCCCCGTGCGCGAAGACGGTGCAGTGCTTGCCGTCGAACAGCGGCTCGAGCGCCTTGGGACCCAGCTCCTTGTCGAAAATCTCGCCGGTTTTTTCCATTTCGTACACCGCGTCGAAAGAAAAGTGCTTATCCTCGTACCGCTCATTCCGGGTGTCCCGGAGAAACACCGTGCGGTCTTCCACGCGCTCCAGCACGGTGTTCAGTTTACTCGGGTCCTCCGGGGGCCGCAGCCGCAAGATCATTCGCAACTGCTCCTGTTTCTGCCGTGCGGCGCCTAGCGACATCGCGGGGTTCGCACCGCCACCGAAGGAAGAGGCCATCATCGTGATGGTGATTTATTGATTCACGAGGGTGGAGGTAGTATTTGGGAGAGCCGTACCGCCACTCAGGTGGCGCGACGGTCTTTGACAGAAAATACTGCTTGGCGGTTTGTAGTTGACTCGATTTATTACCGTTGCTCGACGTCGATTACCGTTGACTCGACTACCGTTGCCGCCGGGCCTCCCGATCCGTCCGGTCCTTGCTATGCGCGGGAGCTTCACATTTTGTCAGCGATGGGAAATTCTGAAGCGATCACATGAGCTCCACTTTTGACTATATTAGCCTTCTCATAGTCATACACAGAAAAAGATCTTAATCGGCAGGCCGGCGACCTATTTGTCAAATGTCCGAAATGTTCGCGCGAAACAAGTGAAAAAACACTTCACATTTTTGTTTTCAGCCGAGGATCTCTTTCTTCTGGTGCAGCGTTCGTCGATGGAACGAAAACCGCAAGGAGTAGAGCTAAGCAAAATGCCGCTGGCTTAGCGAAATTCAGATTTGCGCCAGGAACTAGGGCTTTTGCGAAATCGACGGGTCAGAAACGAACCAACCATGCAACAAATCCAAACATCCAGATCAGAGTCGATTAACGAGCGATTTTGGGCTGCTCTCAGTTCCAAAACCAAAAAGCCTGTGTGTGAAATTGTGGTCACAAATCGAAAACGAAACCACATTTGCAGCGACAGGGTTGCTTCACTGAACACTCCCACTTTTGAGTCACAAAAGAACGGGTAAAACGCTATTGTGCCTGTTTTGGGGAACAAAGATTTCTTCTTGATTTCGCGCACTTCATGCACTGGCAGCTCGCGACAACAGAGAACTAGCACAATCTTCCGCTTCGGGAGCACCTAAAAAATCATCTTGATGTTGTACTATCTGCCGTTTTTCTACAACTCGGTCTTGCAGAGAGCGACTCTGGAAGCCTGGATAGCTGGGCAACGCTGCCAGAAGTTCAATCCGTTGTGCGTTTGTGTTGATACGCACGTCCGGACACTTCGCTAGGCTGAGCCGTTGTGCCAGTCCCCGTGACACCTTGGGCGGAAAGAAGTCCGCAGGTAGCTGATGCGCCTTGTCCACTGGAGAGAAGGGTGGTAACTGCTTTCGCTTCCCGCGAAGCCGGGTTGCGCTTTTCAGAATGTCAAACGCAAGATCGTGCACATCGTTCGGGGAAAGCTTCAACTCGTGCTTTTGCCGGTCAAAAAAGGCCAATAATGACTTGTACATCAGATCGGCGCTGGCGTAAAAGTGCTCGTACTCCCACCACGGTGGATCGTCTGTAGTACTTTTAGTTTGTGTGGTTCCCATGTTAATCTTGCAGTTTATTTCTCCTCCGGAACCAGAAGTGGACATGTTGCCAGCCGCATTCTCGATATTTCTTTTTGTGGACTCAGAAACACGACCCTCGAGCACCGCCTCCTGCTCCACCTCCGCTACACCCACATTTGTGCAAGCGTTTTTTGTAGTGAGCTCCCTGAAGTGCGCGGTTTTTTCTTCGAACCTATTCACAAGTAAAACGCTCTGCCCAAAGTTGCCATGCCGTCCAGTCCGCCCGATGCGGTGCACATATTGTTCGGGGCCCAGGAAGCTCAGACCCATTTGCACAATCAGATCCACACCGCAAAAATCTAGCCCACGCCCTGCAACGTCCGAAGCGAAAAGGATTTCTCGACGTCGGCGGAAGTTTTGTTCACCTGAAGATGATACCTGTGTGGTCGTGAAGCGGTTGACGACAGCGCGCCGCTTATCTTCTGCTAGAGCGGAGTGCAACGCAAACAAATCCGCATCAAGCTGGTAAAAGTGCTTTAGCAAAACGTAAAAAAACTGCAGGAATCGCCGCGTAGGAAAGATGACCAAGGCGCGCTTGGGTGGAGATGAACGTTGCACAGTTGTCCTACTTCGGTGAGATGACTTTATTGCAGACCCCTGTTCCAAAATCCGAACCAGATCCAGACATAGGTTCGTCGGCTCGTACACATGATACAGCTCGTCTCGGGTCGTGGCAGCAAGCTGCCGGTCTACTTGCTCGGAATCACACACTGCTTCGTCGTCCGGAGATTTCAACTTTATTTCTGACGCGGGATCATTCTCAACAACACGCTCCTCACGACCTTGACCATCCGCATCGCTCGGATCCAGTGTGCGATACCCAGGGCGTAGCAAGGTCCTTTCCGCCAGTTTTTCGCGATCAAAAGCAAAGGTAGCGGAGCAAAGTATCGTCTGAAAAGCGCTACTACTGGAACTGTCGCTCCTCTGAGGCTGTGGTTGTGCGCAGTGATTGTAGCTGCAGGCTTCCTCCTTAAGGGTTCTTGCCATTTCAACTTTGTCAGCTACGAAGGCAGCATCCTCTTCGTTCCTCGTCGCAGGGTCGTATTTTGACGATCGAAGGGCCTCAACCACGAAGCTGATTTGGTGAAAATAGCCGCTGAGATCTAACAGCGCGTCTGCTTCATCCAGGACCAGTGTGTGGAGTGATTGGAAAAAACTCGGAAACCCGGCCGTGTTCATCAAGTGCCATGCAAGCTTTCCTGGCGTGGCGACCAGAATCTGAGGACAGTCGAGGCGCAGCCGGGTGAGATCACCGCTACGGGAGCTGCTTCCTCCACCTCCATTGACAGAAATTGACGATGCCGAGGCGGTCGCAGGAGCGCCATGAGAGCCATTTCCAGGCCTGCACCCAGCGTCCAAAGCTGGAATCTCGAGACACGAATAAAAATCACCACTTTTTTTGCTTCGATGTCCACTCGCGGTCAAAAATGAAAATCGAACCTCGGGATGATACAGAAGCAGCCTTTCCAGGGTCTTCTGCACTTGAAACACCAGATCTCGAGTGGGGCAAACAATCAACGCCTCCACGGCAAAAATGTTCTGATTTCTCGTCTTCACATCACTTCCACTACCGGAAGACCGACGCAGAACCTTTTCGATCAAGGGCAGAAGGTACGCCAGTGTTTTTCCGGAACCCGTTGCAGCTTTAAGCAGCAAATCCGGCAGGAGGTTTGGTTCTGGGCTTGACAGAGAGTCAACCGCCGCCTCGCTTTCGTGTTCGTCACGTGCTGGTATTTGTTCCCATGCAAGCGCCTGAATCGGTGTCGGGTTTTCAATGCCAAACTGTTCCCGCAGAATCGCTTCAAACTTCCCCGGAAGTCGTTCTTTCGGTCGGCCACGTCGATAACTGCCGTGGTCTTGTACTGCCGCAGGTGCACCATACTGACCGAATTCTGAACGTTGCGTACCCGTCGATACGAGTCTCGCGAAAGACAAGCGTGACGAAGGCGTTCTTCGGAGGAGAAGTACGGGACGTCTTCCGGGAGCTCCAGTGCTTCCTGAGCGAAGAAAGAAGTTAGAGAGCAGCTGTTGTAGTCCTCTCCGCACTTGGCCATCTGAATTTCGGAGTTGCAGCTGTGCTCGCAAAAATACATCCCTGTTCATTTTCTATTTCTACTGGGGAGGGGGTTCCTGAAGCGACAAACATTTTTGTCGAGTCGAATATCCCCACTCTACGTCTGACCTCCTGCTTGTCGTGCTTTCTTTGTGTTTGTGGCTTCTAGAAAGGGTCTGTCTTGTCGACGCTTTCTCGCCACTTACAAAAAACGATAAACTCCGACAGTGGAGGTGGAGTTCTGAACGAAACCGAAGCTGGACAGACCTCCTCTTGCGGTCAACGTCTAATCCATCGTGGCGGATTGAATAAATTTATTTTTCACGACGGAACTGCTGATACTAGGTGATGCGAGCTGTCTTGTCACGGTCTGACGGACTCCAGGACGATCTTTTTCACACTCACCCCTGCTAACCTGATCGCAGGACCTTGATCCATCTTTCGAGAAAAGAAAAAAACGAACAATCTGAAAGCCATGTTGAAGACCGATCTTCCGGCATTATCGTCATCTAGCGTGCAATAGGTGATATGCAGCGGGTTGCGTACGAGCTGTCAGAGTTCGTTTCAGATCCGCAACATCACGTCGCGATAGGAAGTCTTCAACATCTACATGGTTTCGCACTATATTTTACACGTCGCCTGAATCAACAGAGCAGTTGCAATGAGGATATTCCTATCTTCAACACGAGCTGCAATATGACTAACCATTCCTTATCTTCAAGTAGAGATAAATCGTATGAGAATGAATCAAATAAAGCTCAGATATGTCAAATCCTCTAAGGCATAGGCTGAGTCCGGTCCATCAAGCACAATCAGGGTTACAATCGCCTCCCCCATAGTTGTTTCACAGGATAGACAGGGAAGAGAGAAGCCGGAAGGATTGTTTCTTGACAGGAAGCCATGTAAAAAGACATGCCGACTCACTGCGTCGATCCATTGTCCTCCAGGACGCAGACGCGCAGATACTTTCTACAACTAATTCATATTCAAATGTTTATGACACTAACGTGAAATACGAGCGATAAGGATGCAGCGGTAATATGCTTTCTACTTTATGTCTAGCCGTACAAAGAGTATATGCCAATCTTGAAAAACGCGAGGCGTGTTGGACCTCGCGCTCGCATCCTTCTTGTGCAGAAAAGCATAAAAAGCAAGCATATGTTGTAGCACGCTTGGTGGAAGATATGTTAGTTTGTATAGCGCTTCCAACAAGGGAGCGAAAATCATGATCATCTCGAGGAGTGTCTAAAGTGCAAAAGCGTGGTCACTGCCACGACTTCAGAACCAATCCCGATTTTCACAAGCTTGTTTCTTAATCATGATATGCCGTGGCGCAGCTGCCTTTGAATTAGTTGATGAATGACCTTGATATATTTATTGATAAATTTGTTATACAAATTCGCGAAAACCATCTTCGTGTAAAACTCCTCGCACGTTTCTATTGTAATGCTTATGTGTTGTAATCTTTTTTTGTTCGAATTTCTAGAGGTTTCCTTTTCCTATGGTGGAACAACGCCGAAATAAAAGCCGAGCTCGCTATCCGTCACGTACTCACTTTCTGCCGCTACGGACGAGCCAGACTCTTCTACAGGCAAATCACCAAAGTTGTTAAAGAACGCCCCCACCAACGAGGGGTGTAATGCTGCGCCTTTACCGAGACGCACGTACGACCGCCAGTTGTGCAAGTTCTCCGAGGGGAAGTTCTCCGAGGGGAAGTTGTTACCGAGCGCACTTCCTGCCGGTCGAGCCGCCCCCGGCAGGAAGTGCGATTGGCGCTGCCAATCGCACGCGACGTAAGAAACGCGGAGGTTCGGTATTGTGCCTGATTGGAGATGATTGTACATGAAGGACTTATGCCGTTATTGAAGAAGTCAACACGACATCAAATCGCTTCCATTCTCTAGTATGCCATAGAAGAGCCTATTGATTGCTAGATGTGCCTCCTCGTACTTTGCAATACATGACTGTGTACCTCTTTACTTTGCTAGGTGTGCCTCCTCGTACTTTGCAATACATGAGCTTCCTCTTGCTTTTCTGCCCCACGACCTGCAGATGACGGCTGCTCTCCACCCGTTGTACCAGTCCAAACGACATTGCTGCCCTTTCCGAAGGCCGCCGGGGAAGCCAGAAAGTAGTCCGACTCCACGCCTTCTGCGGACGGGATTGACGTGGCAGAAGGAGAATCACTGCTGTCCGCGGTGCTATACCTCATGTGAGTTCTCTCCATCGCCTCGCACTTGTGGTGTGCTGTCGCCATATGAGCCACATCTTCGAACTCCACGAGAATGTTGCCGGTCCTACGCTTGTAGTCCTTGTCAACGAGACCAGTAGAATTAGTACCGGTCGCCCCGTAGTTCTCTCCTGATTCTTGCATCTCCTCGTCCTCTCCTATGATTGTTCTCTGAGGAGCTGCTGCTCTGCCATTCCTCCCCTTGCGCAGCAGCGGATTCTTCTTGTCCGCGGCGACGGAGGCCTGAAACAGGGGGTCCCCGTATCAAGTGCAAAAATGTCTGGGTCTGGAAACTTGTGACGCAAGTCCGTGAACAATAAGTGCTCTGTAATGCGCCGCCAAGCATGACAAGTTTTTTCGTGCTTCTGTGATGCGTATTTCGCATGCCTTTACCGAGACGCACGTACGACCGCCAGTTGTGCAAGTTCTCGATTTTGTGCCATGGCGTGTGGAGCAATATTCAGCGTAGATATCGCAGGATTTACCACGACAATGCGAAGTAAGAATGCTGCTCGATCATCGGCCTACTGTGCTAGTATGTGTATGTAGTAATCATGAAGCTCTGATATCTATGTTCTTGAAGCGACTATTCACCGTTCTTGCTTTGGTCCAAAGCTTTTCATCGGACACGTCTCACGCGTCCGGGGGTGGAGAAAATGCACTTCCAAAGTGCCATCTTCTGCCCGACGGTGTGGAAAGAAGCTGAACCACTAAAAGTAGTAATTCGAAATTCCTTGCAGCTCCTGATCTGAAAATAGAGAAACGGGACATCGAGCACCCCGAAGGCTGGCTGTGAAAATCAGCATCGCGCGCCGTATTGCTCTGCAGTTAAAGTTATCAGTATCTCTAGGCTTATTTTGCAGCGAGAGCATTTTACGATTCCCGCAGACCAAAACACGCTTCTGGAAAGCGAAGACTTGCACGTCGAACCGAGCTTCCATTTCCAATATAGGTAGCTCGGACGAGGAAACTAGTTCTAGTAGGAGTACTATCTCGCAAATAAAGCAAACAAAAAAGAACAAATGGGAGCACCAGAGCAACAAATAGCTAGCAAAAATAAACAAGAGGAAAAGATAAATGTGAGCATCAAGTGCTTCTTCGATTCAGAAAAGCAAAACATGGAATTTGCCAAATGCCGAGCTGCAACATGGAGGTTGCCATAAAGATAAACCAGACTACACTAAACGAATCGTTAACTACACTACCCC